TGAGGACTTCAATATCAGTCACCTTATCAAGGAGACCGTAGCAGATTCGAAAAATAATCAATTAGCACCGCCCACAGAGGATGAGCATCGTGCGCAACGTGATGAAGCACCTGCTAACGAACCCGCCCAAGATATTCAAGGCCACGTTGAATTATCCGCTCCGATCTCACCTCCTCGTACTCCCTTGACCAGGGCAACGCCTATGATCGATGTTGATCTTTCACCAGCCCAATTAAGTAGTCATGTGGAACACGATCGCCCTTTTGACCAGTCACCACAGCCAGGCAAGAAGGCTAGAACCCGTTTGTCCAGCGACGACGCCATGATCCCCGAGCCTCTTTCAGCTTTAGCCGATGCTCCTTCTCGGAACCTTGAGAGCTCAACTCACGAAGTCCCCGACTCAATACACCTGCAGGATCAACATATGACAGGAACCGAAGAAAGTGATACTCCTCATCAAGACATTACTCCAGCCCGGGAGATTGCCGTCTCTTACCTTGAATCCCAACCAATCTCAATAGGTGACAAGCACTCTACGATAGGAGAGAACCCGTTAATCGAACAAGTCAGAAATGCCGGCCTGCTCCCTGTCATCACACCACAACGAGAAATGGCCGCTTCATACTTTGAAGGACGCCCTACAGATGACATCCCAACTGACGACAACAAACTCGAAGACAATGCTGAAAGCGTAGCCGGTGGTGCACAGATCACGCCTGAAGAAGCCATTACTGCTCTGCCTCTAGGGCCGCAGCCTAGCCAACGAGAGCCTGAGCATGTAGAAGAAAAGACGCAACCGTTTACACCTGAAATAGCCAGTGAACCAACCCCAATATACGAGGAGGCTCCATCAGCACGCGAGATTGCGGCGACCCTCATGGAATCCCGTCCTAGATCTTCCGGAAAACTAACAGAGCCGCCGAAGGATCCAGGATCTAGTACCGAAGATTTGTCTACTACGTTCCCAACTGGGGGTGCTTCACTTTCAGCTGAAATTCCCGACGACTCTAAAATCAACAAAGAGGGAATAGCACGGCAGGAACATATTGACGAGAGAACATCAAGGAAAGAAGATATACTTGACGACCCAACGCTCCACGATGATTCCAAGCGCAAAATACCGGAGGAAGATGAACAGCTAGGTGCAAAGCCAAATGTGGAGGTAGAGGAACATGCCAAATCCTCATCCTCCGAACCTACAGAGACAAAACTCCCCGGTGACCTACCGCGACAAGACAGTTTTCCAGAGAATATCGAGAGTCCAATAATAGGAAGAGAGGTGCAACGTGACCTACCTAAGGCTCGTGACCCCAGTCAGGAGATTGCAACACCAAAAGAGCCGCCAGCCTCTGAAATCATAAAACGGTTAGATGACCTGGATACGTCGGAAAACGTTGATGATCCTACCAAATCAGCGAAGGAAGCCAAGGTTGACAACGCCTTACTGAAGTCTCTAAGTCCTAGGCCAATTCTTGACTATTCGAGTTCCGGCCGTAACTCTCCTCGTGTAAGTCTTCCGCCGGTGGAAGAAGAGACCCGAGAAGAGTTAGAAAAAGAACGACGACAAAACCGAGCGCGCGACGGATCTAAAAGGTCTTCAATTACCATAGAGCCGAATAGAGACAGCGGATTCTCAACGGGTTCCCCGCATCCAAAGCGGCGTAGTCTCGTCGACCCAAGCCTACGGGATAGCGGTGTGCATCTGCGCGACTGGAACGAGGGCGAACCCAAAAAGGCAGTGGAGTTACCGGAAGAGGAACAGGGCAGCGCACTTCGGACTCCCCAACCTAACGAGAAGCGAAGCAAAAAACTAGGGTTGGGAGATGATACACCAAAATTAGAGACACCAGTCATGCGCAATCAGGAGGATGACGAGAAACCCATGACGGATCCCAAGAAATTATCGCGCTCTTCATCAAAAACTTCAAAAAGTTACGGTGATTTAGGACAGCAAGTTCAACAGCAAAGAAGCGTGTCGGACAATATAAGTCATTCAACGACGCCGCGGACGGAGGGCTTACAGGGCTTACCCCAAGCTCGACGATCTGCGTCGAATATAAACATTTCCCGATTTAGAAGGACACGGACACCAGACCCGCTTTCATTTCGGCCTGAAAGTCCAGGCAGCTACACATTCAGATCAGGCAATAATACCCCACCGCTTCTTAGACGGGTGGATAGGCGAATGAGCGGTGACCTGAGATCGCTGAGCTCCAACCTCCCGAATAATGAAGAGACGAGAGAAAATATCCACTCGAACCAAATCGAAAGCACAACACCCATCGCTAACGAAGGCCGTGTCCGAGCCAAGGACATGACCGACGTATATGTAAGTAATTATGTTGTGACCGCATCTTTCATTTCTGTATATTCTATCCATTAAATTCATTAAGTCCAATAAAAAAACACCAATGATGAGATGGGTACCATTCTATTTGCTAACTCCCCTCTGCAGGATGGATATGGCGAGGGCCGTATTGGATCCCCGCGGTCCCCAACGAGGCCACAAAGCATGCGACGTCGACAGAGCATGCAGGTATTAGAGCTCGAATCCAGAGTCGAACAGCTAATAGCAGAAAATCGCGCGCTTGCCGACGCAAAAGTACATGCCGAACAAAATCTCAATAATCAAGCTGTCTCCGCTATCACCGAACGCGATGCCGAAATCGAAAGTCTCAAGGCATCGCTCGAATGGCTACGCAAAGAAGTCACACGTTTGACTGAGATCAACGAAGGCCTGCATAGTGCCAACAATGTCCTCGCCCTAAAACATAACGAGAAGTACGGCCAACTCGAGTCACGACACGCGTCTACATCTAAAGAACTCGATGAATTCCGAACCACTCGGGATCAGTTCACTAGGACATTAGAACAAAAGGACGCAGAGATACAAGAACTTCGCGCTCAGCTCGAGGCCACTAAAGAGCAGGTCAGGGAGATGCAACAACAAATTCTCGCATCGAAGCCTCCTGATGCCGAGTTCCTCCGCCTTAAAGACGAGGATCATTTTGACCATCGCTGCCAACAATTGTGCTCTCACGTGCAACAATGGGTCCTTCGCTTCTCGAAATTTTCCGACATGCGTGCTTGTCGATTGACAAGTGAAATTAACGATGAGAAGATCATCGATCGATTGGACAACTCCGTCCTAGATGGTTCCGATGTGGACACCTATCTAAGCGACCGCGTAAGGCGTCGCGATATCTTCATGTCGATGACCATGAACATGATTTGGGAGTTCGTGTTCACGCGTTATCTCTTCGGCATGGACAGGGAGCAAAGGCAGAAGCTAAAGTCCCTCGAGAAGCTCCTACAAGAAGTCGGGCCACCCCAAGCTGTCCGGCAATGGCGTGCCGTAACGCTGACGCTGCTGTCTAAGAGGCCAGCGTTCGGTGATCAACGTAACCAAGATACCGAAGCCGTCGTGCAGGCAATTTTCCAGACACTGTGCATGATCTTACCGCCGCCGTCCAACCTAGAGGCCCAGATACAATCGCAGTTACGCCGCGTCATGCGTGAGGCCGTCGATCTATCGATCGAGATGCGTACCCAACGTGCCGAGTACATGATGTTACCACCCTTGCAGCCCGAGTACGATGCCAACGGTGATCTAGCAAGAACTGTCTCTTTCAACGCGGTGCTTATGAATGAAAAGTCTGGCGACAAAAAATCAAATGAACAGTACGAGGCAGAAGGTGCTGTTGTCCGTACCGTACTATTTCCCCTCGTCGTTAAGAAGGGAGACGACAATGGTGTTGGTGATGAAGAGATTGTCATATGTCCCGCGAAGGTGCTTGTCGCAAAGCCCCCGGGCCATGCTCCCGCTCGTATGGTGACGCCTTCGAGCGACGCGGGCGGAGTGCCACTTAGTAGAGGCGCCACCCCCTCCATGTCCGCGGCAGGCCAGAGCACGGTTAGCGTCCAAATGCAGGACGCACCGCTGCCGATGCCAACACCACCCCATGAGAGGGATTACATTTAGAGGATGGAGTCATCCTCGCTGAACAATAAGAGAACAAAACAACAAGGAGTTCCCTCGGAAGGGAGTAATAAAAGGAAGGGGGAGGCAAGGCAGGAAAGGGGATAAGGTGACGAGTGTAGTAAATACGTACGCATTAATGAGGGGGTAAAGGCGGAACCGGTAGATCGGTCCATTTTCCTTTTTCTTTTATCTTTTTTATAATCATCCCGGCCTCGAAAAAAGTCATTTGGATCTTGCGGGAGGTTGACGATTATACCTTGGTCGGCGTTTACTTGATTGCCTACACTTGACTGCATGGGTCGGACCGTTATTTTCCACTCTTGATGATCATTATTCAAATCACGTCGCATCGCATCTCGTCTCTCTACAATACCATGGAACGATTTTTTACTACGTCGGAAATTCGAAAACTCTCCCTCGCCGTCTACGTCACGGGAAATCGGGGAAATAGAAACGGGATGTCCTGGACGGCTCTAACGACTTATGACCTAAGAAAGTGTTCACCTTTTTCCTTAGTTCGTTTCTAGGAACGTGTACTTCATACAGAACTCAAATTTACCTATTCACTACCACTTTTACGTGTCTCGATGCTTTGATATGATGTGTGCTTCTCGTGACTGTGTAGATTCAAGTAGCGGGAAACAAATCTCCATCTAATATATTTCCGGTGCATCTCGTCGTGGTAACATTCGTCCTTGAGTTTCCCGTAGCCGTTGTTTGTGGTGGCACTTAGCTTATAAGCTATAAAAACGCCCTAGGCTATCACGTACGACCATAGGATCTAGAGAACTCGGGATCCCGTCCGCTCTCCCTTTGATAAACTGGATACCGCCGGATCAGTAGTTGGGTCGGTGACGACCAGCGAATCCCCGGTGTTGTACGTTTTCTTTTTTTCTTTTTTAAATTTTTTTTTAGTTGATAATATGTGGCTAGTCGTCTTCTATGTAAGTGCCCACTTGATAACGGCAAGGTCCAAGGCTAGATAAGAAATCTTGAAGATCTGGTTGAATTTCAGATAGTAGGTAAATAATACGGACGTAAAAATAAATGAATGCCAAAATTTCATCGTGGTATATACTAGGTACGTTCCTTTATCTCCGTATCTCGTTATCCTTCATACCTTGCTATTCATATACAAAAACAGTATCCTTAAGTCTCCATCGCGAATTGCTTCATATCGTCTAATCTTTTGAGTTGAGATGAAAATGGAATAAACACGATTTATATATTATCTCCTTAACCGCACCAACTCGCGATGGTAAAAGTAGGGTCATGGAAGCCATGGATGCTTATCCCGCCCGTTTGCGGATCGTTGGGAAAGAGGTTGTTGATGGTGTCCTAGCTCCTAGGTTAGCGCGCAATTCAAGTCACAGGTCACTATAGTTAAGATATTGGGGGCTCACCCAATCGATGGTATCCATGACGCTACCCTGGGTCGTCCCTACTCCACCCCTTACGGCCGACATAATAACCCTCTGGCTCCCTTGATCTGTATTCGACGAATCGCTATTTCCCGGGCTTGAGTGACTCGGCGGTAGGCTCCACAACGCTTGCCCGTCAGAAACGCCAGCAAAAACCATTTGCTGCTGTGGTATTGGGGGACCGGCCGGAAGTGGAGGAGTATACCCCGGTTCAACCTTCGGCATATCCATTCCTACGGGTGGTTGTCGAGTATGATTATGTACCACCGAGACCGGCTTCCCGGTCCCAGCAAGTGCATTGTGTCCTGGGGCGGCTCGCGAGAGACTTGTTGGCCCACGCATCTTCCGCATGCGCATATATACCGCCGTCTTTCCCTGTATTTCGGATAGAAGTTGTATGGCCTTGGCTTCAGGTGGAAGCCTACGATCCATGCTGAAAACATAATCTAAGCATGTCCATATCCGGTCTGCCTCGCGAGTCTGTGGGCGGAAGTAAACTTCCGTTGCCAGCAATAGCGCTACCTGATATTGGAAGAAAGCACCCAGGTACCATGCCCATTCATGAAAATTTGGATTGGTTTCGAGTTGGATCGCAAGTTCGACGATCATAATGCCGGAGGTGATGAGGAGTTGGTTCAGCCGCGGGGGCATAGGGTTAGCAGCGTTAGAGTGGTAAGGGTGAAGGACCATGACGTGTAGGCGATATGTCAATAGATACATGACACATTTGGCATATCTTTGTATAGGTTGGGTAACATCTAGGAGGTGATCATATTTTTCTGACATTTTCCTACGGAAATTTTCGATTTTGGTGAGCACGGCTGTTAGCGTGGTCCGGTGAGTCTCAAGCCTCCGTCTATCGATCCATATAGTGCGCATCATCTCGTTAATCTCAAACCGGATTAAGGGAAGTGTATTAGTAGTCCATTCGTCTGAAGATTCGGGTGGTGCGGTTGCATGCGTAAGTTCATCTTCGTCACAATTTATAGGTAACTTTGTGTCATAGTCATCTCGTCTGATAACCGGCCTAGGTCCCTGAGCTTCGCAAGTCCGAATGTCGAGGAAGCATAGCTGGTGCCAGATCAAACGACGAACGTGCGTTTCGAGGGGCGTGAGACCATATGCATCTCCATCACGGTGCAAGCCCATGCACTCAGCCATTCGTACCGCAGCACCAACAAGTACGGAATGGGCTCTCGAAACCTCACCTCTGCATAAGGGAATCTAACGCCGAGTTAGTACCGTAACCTATTCACAAGGGACTGAACTCACCATATATATAATAAAAGCCTGCATCGTTTCCACCTTAGTAGTCCGCAGAAAGTTTGCCTTGCTTAAAGCGCTTTCGGTGCCTAGCTTAAGGGTGGTAACCCAATACGCTCTCGAGTATCCAGTTGACTCGGGAAAGACTGCATTCTCATCTATGCTAACAGCGCCACTAAACATGGCCCCGAAAATGATAGCTTGCATCGAAGGCCTAGGTTCAAAACCTGCGTTTATCTCTTCCCAGAAAGTCGCGTAGATAGCCTCCAAAGATGGCCGGTGGGCACAGGGAGCAATTGGGTGGACGGCAATGAAGTATTTCTTCATCAACCAATCTGCGACGGACCTAGGAGGCAAGAATTGGAGTATGGTCGGCGGTTCCCCTATTTGACCAAAGAAGAATCCACTAGTCGGCACTATGTATTGATCTCCTGGTTTAAGGAATTCGGGCAAGTCTTCAATTCCTGGTGTCTGGCCTCCGTTTGGAGGTTGTAAACCTGGAGGCTGCACCCCCGATAAGCCTGCTGCTATCTGCAGTTCATTATTGTGAGTAAATAAGCTGAAACTATTAAGTATAATCCATACCTCTTCTGATATTCTAGGTCGCGATAGTCCACCTATCCTTTCGGTAATGCGCATTTTCCCTATCTGGATTCCGAGATCTATCATATCGCCCGCCCCGTCGACATCGTCCTCGTATGTCATGTCTAATGCCGCGAGGGGTGTGGCCTCTAAATCGCGTTCCTCGTCAAAGTCGCCTGCAATATCATCGGCCAGGATGCGCTGTTGTAGCGTGTTCTTCGAAGTTGTAGACTTCGCAACATTCCGCTCAAGTTCTCGCTCAAGAGTTCCTTGCTTCTCCTTAATTTCGGCCAGGCGCATTTGACTTGCTTCGTCTAATCGTGGTCCTATATAAAGACAGTCTCGTCCGGCCTTGACGCAATTTGTGCATGAAGGGCTTGTCTTGGAACATTTTAATTTTCTTCTTCGGCATTCCAAACAACTTTATATACGGAGCGCAAAGAAACAAAACATCGGTTTACCGGGAAGGTCTGGACCTAGATACCGGAAAACCGAATCTTGTTTCTAGGGCACTCTCCGTACTTGAGAGTTAGCTTCGGCGCTTTATACCAGCGAGAAGAAATATGGGTACGGTGTTAAATAACTTAAAGAATAAATAGACATAATCGTATGGTTCCCCCTTTCAATACATAATTTGGATGTATAGTAATAGAATATATCTCACCTATTAATCATGCGATTGCGCCGGCGGATGGGCTTCGCTTGCCAGACGGACCGCGAATGAGCATCCGGATCCAAGCCGGGCACGTGGTCGGTCTGATCCATGATTAAGGGACGGTGCTGTGGTAGAGTAGCGACCGGAGTTCCTCGGGGTTGTTCAGGACTTTACGAGTTCTACTAATGCGCCGACGCCGCCTGGTGGATCGTCGCCTCGATCTCATAGGTCCATCTAACCCCCCAGATTTCATGTCAGATCTCACCCAAAGCGTCGGGGATACTAGTATTGGCTAATTGAGCGCCTGGGCCAATTTACTTCTTTTTTGTTTGACTTTCTGGGTATTCGTAGGATTCTCTTGGATACAATATGGTAAAGATACGGGCGTAAATGAGTGGTTTCTTAGGTGCGGTGAGCTTGGTCTATTATATGGTATCCAAGATCAGAACCCGATCAGCACCGGCATCTGAATATACGTCTCTGCGGTATTGGGACTACCCAGGTGGATTCGGTGGATTCCGCAGGTTGAAGGGGGGTAGTAATATAGGTACCGATCCCGTGGGCTCCCTTGCATGCAATTAACGTCCATGGATGAAAACGGCAGAGTTAGATGACCACCTTCGTTGCTGATACTGCTGCTGCATGTCGGGAGCACCCACGAATAATCGCAGGGTATCTAGCGAGTCGGGGATGGTGGGTGGAGTGAGTGAGTTATGAGAGAGAAAAACAAGGAGACAAGGCTAAAACTGCCTATCCCCCCATCGTTAATAGCTCTAAATAGACGAAATGACATGGGGCGAAGGAGGAGAAGGGAAAAAACATGAGAAGGAAAGGAAAGGAAACATTCTGGAGTACATACACTGGGCGGCGCGTAGTGGGGCTGTTTCCTCTTAGGTATTCTGTCTTGTGCCTGCCATTTGCCATTTGCCTTACGAATCATAGACGACTTCCAGCTACATCTATACTGGTACATTCATCCCATACCGGGCTGTAGCTACCTACCTACTCTGCTACTGTACATGCCTTCCTCCTACATAAAGCCCTGAGACAATAAGACACCGACCCCACCTGAAAACATTGTACATAGTACATACCTATGTGGATGTGGAGGTACTTTGTACGCTTGTATGAAGTATACCTACCTACCTACCTATATAGATGTACGTATGTACCTACATGTAGGCAGGTAGGGGTAGGTATCTTTAAATCTTTAGCAATCCAGACTACCAGATTACCTAACTGTTAACTGTTAACGAGCATTGACTTCAGTGGATCGAACATGATTAGGTAGTGACCCGACCAGCGCCCCGGGTAAGCTACCCGAGTAAACGGGGGAAACAGTTCAAGGAATAACCTTATGCACAAAAATCAGAACTAACCATTTGCAGTTGCCCAATCAAGAAATCGACAGATTAGATGCTGACTTCTTTTAATCTTCTTAATTCAATGTTCTGTAAATGGCTGGCTTGTCACAGATTTACAGTGCGCTGAATAGAATAGCACATACCAAGATAGGCACTTAGCCTCATTCGGCCCTCCCGACTATCCTCTAAGGATATCCAACAAGCGAAGAATCTCAAAGTAGAGCCGAATAAGACCACATGCATTTAACATAATCCCCCAATTACCCCCCTCATCCCTATCAAATCCTTCGTCATGTAGAGTTAATATTGCTAAGCCCGCCCCCAGCACCTAGCCTAGTACCTAAAGCCCCAGGAAAGATAATATCTGGGGGCCACATAGGAGGGGCTAACGCCAATCCGTCATGTCTGTAGGCACCCTAACTGCCGTGTAACCGATGGCAATGTAATAATAAGCTCAACTCCTTCCAACAAAAAACTTTAAGCAGTTGTAGGATACCAATCACAGCCTTCTTCCCGATATTTGAAGAAGCGAGCCCGGTCAGAATCAGTCGAGTATTACGTAGTTTATAGAACTCCGCTTGTGATACCGACAACCCTTTATCATCTGGCTTTGTATGTAGGTATTATTGGTGTTCTAATTATGGATCTAAGTGTGAGTGCATGCAGAACAAGCTTCAGATCTCAAGATCCGTATTCGGTCTGTATCAGTCGGCCCTGCTCTTGTAGATGACCCAGCAGCTGAATTCCTTTAGGGTTTAAAGTTATCTTAGCTTCAGCTGGCGCTCCATCCAACTCCCTCGCGGCGACGCCGGTCGTTGAGCTCTTTCAAGTTGAGCTCTCTCCATCGCCTAAGGCCGAGCCCTATCCGTACCATATGGTCGCGGCCGACGTTCCTGTGTAACAATCCCAAAACCCAACGTATTCGGGCAGTTCTGCCTGGCCCCCCACGCGCGAGATCCCTTGTGACAATGTGTAATAGAGCCCGCAAGACTGGAACTGGTACCACGGCCCGGGGAAGTCTCTGAAGATAATATATGCATTGTGTGATTAGGTTCAGGGAGGTCCTAGGTGTTATGACTGGCGAAATGGCAACCGCCCTCGCTGCTTGAATCGCCTTCAGGGTTATCTTTTGTATTTCATGCTTGCTGGCGAGTCCGTACCGATATCGTCTCCTCCTCGATAGACATCTCACACGCAACGCGCGGAGAACTTCGATTTGTCTCAGGAATGGAGAATCCATCAAAAGTTTCAAGGCCTTGGATGAAAATTCAGAATCCCAGAAAAGCCTAGAGCTAGCTCTACTCTTCTCGTAGATGCTAATAATTTCTATAGCTAGTAGAGGCAGACGTCCCCCGATGGCGATATTTGCTAGTGGTCTCACCTCGTTTGACACAAGGTTCCGGAGTCCTTTCGCAAGACGCATAACATCTTGATCCCGGCCCAGCTTCTCGAGAAATTTGCAAAAGTCCTTGACGTGATCGAATTGTCCGGTTTGCCAGAAGGCCATGCTAAATAAGCCATAAAACCGAGAGTCTTTGTTGCCGTGGACTTCTTCCGCTAGCATATTGCGTACTGTTGGCGCTTCCTTAATTGTAGATCGATGTCTAGCTAGATACATCTCGCAGATCTCTTTATTCGAGAGAGGCTCAGCATGTTTTCCACTTTCAAGGACAGAACATGTTTCCACCAATGAGTCGAAATCTACGTTCGGTAGCCTGGCCAAAAGTTGCAGCCAACTGAAACGTACTTGCGAGTACCCGGCGCTATTCGATGCCATATAATTTAACACGTACGAAGTACCGCATTCTAATATTTGAGGGTGACTGGCTAGATCAAGACTTCTCAAAGACTTAGCCATCTTGTTAGCTTGGCGGACCAATGATGAATGCTTCCTCTCGCGTCCTGAAGCCATTAAATAGGCATTCAAATTTAACAGTATATATGGAGATATGTCGCCTAAGCGATGGTCTGGTATATTGGACACAGAGTCCGTCAATATGCGAAGGCTATTCATCTGTAGCTTTGATGTTATCTGCAAGATTTTTTCCCAGATGAGGTGAGCTGAATCGTTGTGTTTGTGTATACTGCTATTAGATAACCCTAGGATTGTTGTGGTAAGTAGGCCTAGCATAAATTGATTGGCAATCGTTCGTTCCAAAGGCTTAACAGTATTCGATTGTAGTATCGCGAGCCCATTATAGATACCGTCGAGTACAGAACAGGTGGTCTCTCCAGAAAAAATACCATTGGCTAAGCATTCTCTGAACCTGTCGCGGAAGTCTGAGAAATTCGGTTTTATGACGACCGTCATATCCGACGATAAATCTCGAGATATAAGATCGAGTCCAGTTTCAATGATTTCCGATGGACCGGTTTGGGAATTCCAGACTATTCTCTGCAAAGGCTGTTCTGCAGCATCTGGCTCGTGTATTAAGTAATCCCCTACATCAACCGAGGCAATATCTGGAGCTGGAGCTAGAGCTGGATCTGTACTACTAGCGAACCACTTCATCATAGATTGCACTATGCCTCTTTGCTTTCCATCCCTAGCTATATCTTGTCGAAGCAGTTCATCGGATGATGAGGGTGGCTTCCATTTCCATTGTGTGAGGTCGGGTAGATTTTCGAGCGCCCATAATGGCGAGGCGCTGCGAGACTGGCCAAAGTTGAGTTCTGCCATATGCCTTTTCCCTATGCGCCTCCTATTCTCCATTGGCCCCGGGACAGAGGAGCCATATCGAGCAGCAGTCCTTGTTATGGCGTAGTAGCGATCAAATAAGACGTTGAGAAGGGCTTCGGGAAGCTGCGCAGCATCGTTATGGGAGCAGAGGTGACGGTAAGTGGCACGGCGGTACCGCAAGGCCAGAAAGGTAGTCATTGATGAAGAAGGGAAGAGGAGAATGGCAAGACACACATATTCTCCATTCGATCATAAATAATTCGATAGTCCTAGAGAGATCATTGCTACTTTCTGTAGGTAAGAACCTGGGTAGTAACTATCGATTACCGAAGATAAATGTCGAAATTGAAAAATTGTAATTGTAATTTGAAGTCTAAAGTCGAGTTGAGCGTAAAATCAATTTCATTGGCCAGTTTGAACTTTTTATCTCCACATGCGCACTTTCCGTATTCCGTGACCCCGCTGTCGAGGTTCATCCCACCACTAAAGCTACCCCTACCAGTAAAAGGTACCTACCCCTACATACTTAGTATTTCTACAGCTTTTTACTTAAGCACATCCCACCGTAACACCCTCAACCTTCAACCAAGCCCTTAGTCATTTGTATATATCGATTTACAATGGCCCACGACTTTGAACCATTGACTAATGATTTGGTCTTGAGAACGGCACGAGGTGTGTGCCATTTAGTTTTTACGAGTACTCTAAAGCTATAGACTAACTTAAGTGTTTGTGGTATGATATAGGCGAAGATGTAGAGCGTGCTCCAGTATGGATCATGCGTCAAGGTATACACGGATTATACCGCCCATGAAGGAATTTTCCATTAATTTCACTGTTAGCTGGTCGGTATCTACCGGAATATCACGAAGCAAAGGGGAACCGGGACTTTTTTGAGGTCTGCCGCAATCCCGAGATTGCCTCTACCTTGACTCTGCAGCCCATCGAGCGCTTTGCTGGCTTGCTAGATGCCTCTATCATCTTCTCTGATATCCTCGTCATACCCCAAGCTTTGGGCATGGTCGTCGAGATGGTAGAGAAGAAGGGTCCGCACTTTCCGGACCCATTAAAGTCCCCCGACGACGGCCAGTACGCCAAAGTTCTCAACAAAAGTGTAGATGTTGCGGCCGAACTAGGTTATGTTTACGAGGCTGTAACGTTGACAAGGAAGAAGCTGAAAGGCCGCGTGCCGTTGATTGGCTTCTGTGGAGCCCCTTGGACTCTCTTCTGCTACATGGTTGAGGGCGGCGGGACGAAGCTTTTCATCGAGAGCAAGAAGTGGATCTACCGCCATCCAGAAGAGGCCAAGGCCATGCTTCAAAAGATATCGGAGGTCTGCGTTGAACATCTAGCGCTACAAGTTCAGGCAGGAGCTCAGATGATCCAAGTATTTGATTCATGGGCAGGAGAGTTGTCTCCTTCAACCTTCAAGAAGTTCAGCGAACCCTACCTAGCTTATATCTCTAAGCATCTACCCAAGAGGTTAACAGAGCTGGGGTTGGAGCAAGTGCCTATGATCGTCTTCCCTAAAGGAGCCGACTACGCTCTTGATTCAGTATGCAATCTAGGCTACGATGTCGTGGGATTAGACTGGCAAATCGACGCCGCGGAAGCCGTCAAGATTCGGGGGAATAGACGCATCGTACTCCAAGGAAATGCGGACCCCGGAGTATTATACGGCACGCATGAATCTATAACCGAAACGGTAGAGGAGATGGTCAAAGGCTTTGGAGGCGGCAAAAAGGGTTGGATCGCCAATTTAGGCCACGGTATCACACCATTCGTGAAGCCTGATGATCTAAAATTTTATCTTCAAGAAATCAAGCGATTAACTAGCAGTTGATAGAACGTTGCAAAGTTCACTATATTTCTATTGAGACTTACTAACAAGCTATCTATTGGTCCGGAAAACTCTTGTCTAGATCTATCCTACTCCTACTTCTAGTTAGTCACTCGGTAGAGAAAAAATGTGATGAAATATCAATATGCATGAATGGTTACACTTACCACGAGACCGCCCAAGCCACCTTTCCGCCTAGACTCTTGCAAACTCTTTGGCTTTTGGGGTTGTCCGGCGCGACGTTCGCCCAACAATGTCCATCGTCATCAAAGTCCTTCAAGCGCTCTCGAAAAATATTAACAGCCACAGCCTTCGCAAACCCCTTCCCGCGCCACTCCTCCTCGCAATGAAGGCTGCTCAGCGAAGAATCCGGACCCAGGAAAGCCCACGCGATAGGCGTTCCGTCGTCACGATAAACCGCCATGCTAGGCAATAACATCACAGTCCGTCTGTACAAAACAACTCAGTCAACCATGTCCCACACTATCCCCCTTTCCCGGAAAAAAAAGAAGAATAGGAAACAGGAAATAACATACTCAGTCCTAGGAATCTTCGTCCGCGAAAGCATAAGCGGAATATCCTTCCTCCTCACCGGTCCCCATTCCATCCCCTCGCCCAGCGGATCCCGCACCGCAGGCAGGTCCTGCAGGCGGAAAATCCACTTGTCGAAAATACTCACGAACTCGAAGACTATACCCTGGTTCAGCAGCGCCAGGCGCAACGTCTCGCTCAGCGCGCCGGCGAATACGTGCGAGACCTGTGCGCGCGCCGCTGAGTACAGGTCCCGCAGACGCTTGACTTCTCGTAGGACTAGGCGCGCGCATGTCGCTGATGCTTCTTCCCTGCTTTCCTCGTCATCGGTCCTAGTTTCCCTACCGACCGACGAAGCGGCGCGGGCTAGCGCATCCGGTCGCCGTTCCAGTGAGGCATACAGCCAGATTTCGGTCTCGGGGCCGCGCGAGAAATCTAAGTACGCGGCGGCGAAGGGCTCGTCACCGGGGGTGTCATCCCCTAGCTCGGCGCCCGATGCCGATGCGTATAGGATGCGTGTGTGCTCCGTGATACCCCCCGGGAAGCGCGTGAATCTCAAACGGCGCAGTAGCGGCAGCGCATGCGGGAGGTGGTGCGACCGTAGGAGCTTCTCGAGGGCCGGTGGGGGCGTGGTGTAGACCTCTACCTTAGGAGGCATGTTGCGCCTAGGTGTGTATGTATATAATCGTGCCGGGGTGAGGTTTCGGGATTCCTTTGGGTCTTGAAACCTTGTTGTGAACTTATCGAAATAGCCTTGGAATGATTCGCCGGTTTAGATTAGTCAGGGTATGTTTCCCTCCCTAAATTATTACTATGCATACATTTAGAAGGTAGGTAAAGGCGGGGAAACGGTAGGTCTATAGTAGGTATAGTACGTGCAGGCCCGGAAGACGAGACAAATCATAAATTCCGTTTCGAGACGGGTCACATCCGAACTTATCGGCGACGGCGTCGGGACTTTCGTGAGTCACGAATAGTTCCGCAGTCGGAACCGTGAACCGGGATTGGCCTCGGAATCGCGATTCGCATATCAATGGCCCCCTTTCTCGGAGTATAGCATTTAAAGGACTATAGATCAACCAGATAAGATCTAGGGATTCCCCCTTCTACTACTTGCAAATTTCTGTATCCAAGACATTGTACAGTACGAGCACCGTAATCACCATTGTCGTCGTTCGCCGGTTGCCGCCAAAGTTATAGAACCAATCACGCATGCTTAAAAAAAAGACAGGAGTCACCAACACAAAATTCACTATGCATTTAAGAACAGGAATAATAAGCGAATCTGGACCAGTAAGAATGAGCTGGAAGGGGTCAAGATGATATACACCCACTCAGGGGTAGTTCACATTGGATTAGCAAACTTCCCCCCTTGCTTTTCGAATCTGCAGACGTGCCATAATTCTTCAATATATTCGGGATTTGTTAAACCACGTGTAACTAACAGTTAGTTTGTCGATGTATGCCCTATATGGGAAGGGGTAGTTGCACAACCTCATCTTTAAGAGGTTCATGGGTCGGAATAATAGGTAGGTACGTTACCTACATGTAGTCTATACAGTAGGAATGATCATAACGAAGTCCCCATGAGTCGTATGATGCATCGTATACGGGGTAGATATATCACAAAATACGGTTATGAGTAGGTCATTATGTATATAATTTCCATCCCTGAACCCTTTTTCATGGCCATCTATTCCCATCAAATATAGTAGTAAGGGGTCGTGTGGGTGTGGGTGCGTTTTCTAGATCAGTTCATTAATCAAGCTATAGACTACCACACATCTCTCCCTGGGGGTGATCTTGGGTAAATCCACCAAGCCCTCCCCAATTAACACACCAACTCTTTTCAATAGTATAATCACGGTCCTACTACGGTCGAGCAGACAACCTATGACATGCCAACCAAATCCTGCTTTTATTTTAGGCGTGTATGTAGCCTCTTTCACGACTAAAATGCAAACCATAACTCCATGCTCACCAATGCCGATGGTATATCGGACCAGAAACAGACCTAACCCCCTTTTTATTCTAACGAATCCGCATGAAACCCCATGCACAACAGTCATGGCAGAATAATTATTTGGACGGCGCCTTCGACCCTTTTCTTCTCAAAGCATCCTAAACCTTCTTGAAGAACTCCTTGGCCTTGGCAGCCAGTCCGTTGTGTCGATGAGGCTGGTCGTCGATAGCCGAACCGTCCCTCGCGATCTCGGCCTCCTCGCTGCCTGGCCTGACAATGTTGGCGGCTCCTCCACGCCCTACGTGAGTTGCGCCCTGGCTGGGCCGTCTTTCGATACTAGAATCAACCATGTCAGCATGACACCTTCTCACCGTGGAAAAAAAGGACGAAAAACTTACGGGCCAACATCCTGGCGTGCTCGAGTCTGGACAGGATCGTTATTCGGTGCCATATTACCCGAACCTCCTCGGCCAGTAGTAACAACAGATGTCTTCAGAGTAGGCGTTTCGAGGTCGGCTGGCTGGATCTGTGGGGATTTGGTAGAGTCGGCGATGTTGCCAGCGCCACCGCGGCCGGTAGAAGTCATATGCCCAGTCATTTTCAAAAACGTCTATGCGGGAGAGAGAATGACGCTAAAGTCGAATATTTTCCAGGTAAGTAATTGAGTTTTCGAGGGTAAACGGGAAGTAAGCAATTGCGACAGAGACAAAGACAAAGACGAAAAAAGGTGTGCCCGAATTCGATTAAATTATACCCGATGGTTTAAGAATTGCGCAATCCGTGCTGGGCGAGACTTATAATAACCGCGACAAGTGCAAGCCTCAGAAATCTGGGACGTTCATATGACTAAACTACTGGGTCTCGAGGTAACAGCTACCTACATACAGTACCTACCATAATAGTCCCAACCGAGGCGCGCCTGCTTTTACATCACGAGGCGAATCAGAAATTTCCCGACTAAATCGAAAATGAATTTAGGGAAAGTACGTACAAAAATTTCGTTACATCATTCGCACCGCAAGAATGGTAGAGTTCGAGAGGTTCCACTACCAAGAAACCGGGCTGACCGTCTAGAGCCGACGGATGAGGTAACTAAGACGTAATGGAAATACAGGCTTCTCTTAGCACCGGGGCGTCATTGCACGCAACGCCCAACTTGTTCTTGCTGTCGTGATAGTCTCATAATACAGTATTTCTTATAATATATACATATTTACATACTTACAAATTAAACCTATTTCATAGATTTACATATTGAAATTACTGAATCTCGGTCTTTTGATAGGTAAATAACAAGCACACAACCTATACCTACCTAGGTGTGTAGGTATGTGAGGCCGAGCTGAATATAGGGCCAAGATAGCCTTATCAGATGTAATCTCGTCTGTGAAGCTGACTAGTTCTAGTTGATCTACTAGTAGCTTACCGAAGGTACGGTTCTCCTTCCCCAGATTAGACCAGATCTGAGCTTTGACGAAAATGAATTTAGGTATCTGGTACGCCGGTTGGTCTTTGTTTCTGGTGAGAGAACGAAAATGGAATGCATAACGGAACCGTCTTATCGTAAGCGAAATCTTTCCAAGCTACGAGATCCAGAACCCAATCCGAACTTTAGCTAGCATACGTTTGCATACATATTCGATCTTGGATATTCATCTGCATATTCCATGTTAGCTGGGTTAAATTTGCTGGTTATCTAAATTCTCCTTGCCAAGTCTCGGTCTTGTCTCTAAGGTTTGGTGACAGTGTACCGGTGCGCATATCCATCTGTCATCCCAACAATAAGGTAAATCTACCAGGCACACAAACTTTCGATGGCATACCTACCACGGATCATTAGTGAAATCGATCTTAGGGTCACAAACACGTGCCTATCGTTAGTCGTACTATACTCACCCGAACCACGTATACTTCCAAGGTTGTGCACAAGAGATTAGTAGCAGTGTTCCAAGAAAAACTAGAAATATAGTGTAATGGATCTCATCAACTCTGTACATACCTAAGAAATTGTAGGAAATATCTAGTGGTCACAAATGGCGGAAATTAGGTATTCATCAAGGTAGTTAGACGGAAAGTTACTGCGTCCCGAAAACCAATGACGCGCATATCTTTTATTTTGAAATTCATCGCTTCCATACATCTCATCTGTGCTTATGGCGGGTATATTGCAGAACCAAATCCTCGGTTTGCAAATGTAACGTATAAACCTAGTCAACCATATGCTAGGTTGAACCGGGCAATCCCAAGTTTCGCCCTGTCGTCGCCCGACCTCGTTTTCCGTCGGCATCAAACGGACCTTTCTATTCCCTACGTGGAATTTGTGTCCCTTTTTGATATGTAACCGTCCAATGGTATGCGAGCGTAAATGCTCTCGACGGTATATCGTGATATGATAGGTTGTCCCTATTCTAAGGGAAATGTAGCCGAACCCGGCAGGCGTAACATCCAACGGAGTCAAATTCGTCCCATATTCGGACAACGGTCGAGACAAATCCTAATTGTCCTCTTCATCATCCGATGCTCTACCCTTGCTTCCCTTTCCGTCTTGGCCATCCTTCCTAATTGGAATCTTAACTCCCTGCACAGCAAAGCACTTACTTAGAGCAGTGCTTTCGCAGACACCGGGGAATTTCTTGGCCGAGTACACCTGGAACTTCTCGCTAAAAACTTGCGCAAGAACTGGCGCTCTGCCTCGGTTCAGGAGTTCGGCATCGCTGCCACCATTAGAAGTCGCATCCGGTCTTCGTAGATTGATAAATGAAAATCGCAATCTGCATCTTGTGTAAGCGTGACGCGTGTGGCTTGCGCTTGGCGACTTACCTAAACCAGCCCTCAGTTCGGACACTTAGATCCTGCAAAATAAACCATATTCCAATCTTGTCCGTAGGATCGGTGAGACGCGACGCACTGGCAGCAAGGCTACCAATTAGGTTTCTCGTGTACATGCCGTTTGGTGATTGAGGTCCCATCAGACGGTGTTGCGTCATCTGGTGCCCGGACATATCTTGGGAAAAACGAGGTCCGAACATTGGCTGTGATGGAAGCTGAGGCACACCTGGTACCATGTCGTTTCGATAACCCCCGCCAGGGTAACCGTATGGCTGGGCTTGTGGGGGATAACCGTACCCTACAAAGAGTGTGAGAAACCAAACAATGCGGTACGAGTCACCAGGACATTATTTACCTTGTCCGTACGGGTCTGGCTGATAAGGAGGCATTGCGTGAGGGTAGCCTGCATTGGTCTGCTGTGCATATTCCCGGTTTGAGGGCACAATGGATTGGTACCCATAGCCGCCGGTCTGGCTTCCCTCGATTACTTCTCGGAAAGAGGAGGCTTGTGTAGATGAAATGGACGGCGACTGCTGGGAGTGTTTGACGAGATTAACCTCTTTGTCTCCATTTTCAGACCATAGATCAACGTGCAACACATAATGTTGGTGTTCAACCTCACTAGCTTAGGGTTAGCTATGGTTCACGAAGTAACAGTGTTGTGTTTCACCCACTTGCAATCTACTTCCTTGCCCGTAGTTTTATCCATCACAACGAGTCTAATACATGGCGGAGGGGTGATAGGCCGTCGATCCTACTTGAAATTAGCACTCAATCGACAGACAGAATCAGCAAATAGTGCTTACCTTGTCACCGAACCCGCACATTCTCGCCCTCAAAGGTTGTTGGACAACTTCGAGTCTATGTCCTTTGTTAGTCCCACTACCCAAAAATTGCGGGCTATACAGCTGAGAATGAGTAGTACCTATATTTCCTAGATGTGTCGGTACCCTCGATAGGTTGCGGAGCCGGCTTGTCCTTTTCTTCTGCTCCAGGTTTAGAGGTAAGCGGATTGGAACCGGGACCGCCAACGCCGTTCTCTGTTGCGGTGAGCTCTCCAGTGCGGTCTCTAGGGCCGGGCATGTTGGGCGGGGCCATATTCGTTCTCGGGGGTGGCATATTCGTGCGGTGAGGGTTTGTTATAGGATCTTGTTGATAATTGAAGGACATAGGTGGAGGAAGTTGGGCATAGCCTGGGTGATGCGCAGACGGGCCTGGCATCTCGGGCGGGAATGCCTGCGAATGGTGGACAGGCGGAGCTGGATAACCTGAACTCATAATGGCTAGATTATTCTTGCTTCCCCTAACCTTCTGCGCAAATTGTTGTTTTCTTTTTTTCTCTTTCCCTTATTGAGTCCTACGTAATTTGTGCAATCGATCTCAATATTATTCCTATTTTCTTACGCCTAATATGCTATGGGCGGGGAGGTCTGAAAGTCGGGCTGACAAAGCGTGGTTGAGAGAGGTCGGTCAAGGTCGAGGGCGAAGGAAGAATTAAGGCGTGAAATATGCCGTACTCGAAAAAAGCGTGTACTAATGGGTGTAGGTGGAGCGTCTTGTCCTCTAATAAGGACCTGAGTATTATATATGTAAATGCAAGTCGAGTTTGGTAAGGTGGTAAAGGTTCATGCGCTCAAGGGTGCCTCGGTGGTGGACCAGGCGGGACATCCACAGTTTACCTTTCCAATGGGGAGATGGGACAGCAAAGTGCGCGGGGAGCTGGAAACAGAGCTGGAGATCGGATGATTCTGCTGGATAACTGTATTCTACTAAAGTTTGTTTACTATGCGGTAGAAATAAGGTGGGATGATTTGACCGTTCGAAGTATGGAGAAACGTGGTTGGAGAAAAATTATAACTTCGAACAAAAAAAAAACCTATGTAAGACAAAGTCCCCTCAAAGGCTCTTAAGGGACTTCGACTGCACCTGCTCTGCTGCTGTGATCAACTGGGGAGAGGCGCAAACTTTATTAAAGCAGATGGAAGCGCCACCAGCCGATTGGAGGCAAGGGTCAAGGACATACAGTAGCCCTGGAGCTTGTCGAGCTTTCTTTGGGGGGAAGGTAAGAGGTGGGGGGTGTGGCGCGCCGTAGATTAACATGGTATTAACATGGCAAGGTGGATTTAATGGGGGAAAGTGTCTTGGAAGAGCACTGTGATACCCGTAGTGGGTTAGTGGATATGGCGGCTAACCCTTGCTAATGTACTGCGAACTAGCAGTCCCGGGAAGGCACGCATCGGAACTTTTGCAAGGTTAGGGTAGATATTTTATAGGCGGCTAACTGGAATAAGTATGAGATGGCAGCTATTACCTTGATATTACTTGGGATATGCTTGTCGAGGAGGTTTGGTAAGTTTGGCTTGAGTCTTGAATGACACTTGCTTGACTTGTGAGCCGTCGCTATTGACATTGAGAAACAAGACTAAGACTAAGCAACCAAGGTAGAAAAGATTGTACAACACGAACAAACATTTTGAATTGGTATTATTTACAATTGTTTAATGTTTAAAATTACCTAGGTACGTAATGATAAGCACATGTCTCATCCTATTCGGGACTAAATATGTTCATGTATGTATGATATAGTGTGTTTAAATTTCGAGGATGTGGCAAAAGAGAAAGACTCAGATGATTGGGTGCCATATATTCGGAGTCGATGATGTATACTTGGCGGTATATTCCTTTAGATATTTTATTTTGTCAGCCTGACAAACTGATTCTTACCAGCGCAGCATAAGACTTGCCAGTCAATGATAAGCAAGCAAGTGAGCATTACTCGAAACGGAAACACCTCGAAACGTACATGAAGTGTTCGAAGATAAAAATTGGGACGTTTTGGGTAATTGGTTCTAATAAAAGTCGTATTAGCGAGACTTCGTGATGATAAGTTGTCGAAGTGCCGACTAAGAACAAGGTATACTGGGCAGTATAGCGAACGGACCTATAATATGTGTAATAACTTGGAACCAGGCTATTTCTATACACTTGCGCCATCGCCTCCATCGTATGTAAGGCTATCGGATCTCGAGTATACCGACATGAGTATCCATTGTTAACTTGGAACCATGAAGTTAATAGGTAGGTACTAGGTATGTATGTAATGTACAAAAAGTCTTCGATGATAGATTCGTTAGGCGCCAATTATATCTTGGGCGTCTGGCGTTTAAAGGCATACATAGTAGACTTTTAAGATGTTGTGCATGTCACATATAAATGGTAGACGGCTTAGACTTGAATAGGCATAATGCTATAGTTAGACAAGCGACTATTGCTCTAATCCTAGATATGATGCTGGTCGTGTTTTATTACCACTCGTCACTGAAGAATTTACTCGTACGATAATGCTAGCTATTCTTGACTAAACACAGCAAGCCTGGGAGGTCCAGACTTTATTCACCAACATCTCATCATCTACTAGGTACGCCCGCGTATACGGTACGATATGCAGAACCCAGGGGCCGCGGAAGAAAGTTGTAACGGTACGGTTACATCGACATCGTTTTTTGAAGACTTGGCTCTTTTTGTACTTTATTCTGTTATGTCATGTTCTGTTCTGTTCTGTTCTGTTGTTTTATTTCTATTTTTTCTCTTATTTTTATCCAAAAATGTATATACATATGCGCATACCTATCTATCGATGTACATATATCTCTTTCCATCTTTCTAATTCCAATAATATTGTTTATCGACTTAAAGAGGTAGGGAGTCCTACTTAATAATAGAAAACGCATCCCTTGAGTCTCGGGTCGCTTGAAGCCCCGCATGCATAGTACAGCGTACATAATACGGTACCATCATACGTGGGCTCGTTGCCCCCTATTTAGGATTCGATCAACCATATCTGGACATCTCTGGGAATCTCTAGTAATTAATTGTTGATGACGTTGGCTTATGATATCCATCGTTACCTCGTCGCCGCCCGAGCCTCTGGTAATCCGTCCGTTGACTGACGTTGACGATACGAACCTGAAGATTGGGTCGATTTGTTTTTTTGTTATTTTTTCTCGGGTTAGAACTCGTGGATGCGAGAGTGGTTCGAGCGCTGAATTTCTAGGAGGGCACGGGACTTGATGTGCTCTGAGAGTACCTAGTAACCCACGGTTGCTTCGATGTTACCATGCTATCTCGGGCCTTGTCTACCGAGTACCACAGTCTGGGGTTCTGTCGTTTGTCAGTTTTCTCGCTTCTCGCAAATCTCCCCGTCAATGAATAAGGTTTTCTGTCACTCTTGTCATTCTGTCACTTTCGTTGCGCAACCGCTATCACATGCAGGTCTGGGCGGAATGTGTAATAATTCCTGCTTCGAGGCCATGGTTGGTCTTTTCTGGTTCTCGCTTCGTTACCTGAACATACGGATGTATATATCGATGTATATATCGATGTATATATCGATGTATATATGTAGGACTCAGGTATGCCAGCAGATATGCCAGCAGGTACCTATATATAGCAGTATAGGAACTCGCCAGCTCGCCTTGCTCAGCTCAGGGCGTTCGATCAGTCATATATCATCTATTGTGGAGGACCCTTTCTGCAAAATACCCTCGTCTGCGTATTCATCTCTCCGACCACCTTAGCATACATTGCCATACATGGTACATATATCATGATTTGTTCCTACATAGTACTACATATACATATACTTCCTATACCCTCAACATCGCATTGCATCCCGAACCAGCCCCGAATCTTGAAGGGTCACGATCCGTGATTGGCAAACGGGTGGAGATCATAACCCAATAATATCCTTGCTGTTAACACACTGACCTACGAATCCGTTGATCTCTCCTCTCTTTTAAGTAATATCTGTCAAACCTAGTGTATAGTACTCTGTAGGTACATGTTGTCTTTCTGTTGTCTCTCTTTCAGTGTCTTTCTCGCGCTGTTACCCCACTGTTTCCCGCTAACGTTTAAGGTTGTTTAGGTACATAGAATTAGTACTAGGTAGTTGAGTGCCTAGGTACCAAGTTACTACCAACACCAGCGCTACATGAACATTAACATTGACGCTAACACTACACTAAGGGTTCTATTCCCTAGATGTCTACAGCACCTACCTCTGCTGTAGCGGGCGGTCAGGCGATCCACCTAAAAGATCCACGGCGCAACAACTTTGCCCTGCCATGCCCTGTCTTCTTGCCTTACCTTGCCTTGCCTTACCCGGCTCGCGCTGCTGCATCTTCCATATCCATATCCATAACCATATCCAAGCGCGGAGAGGGCCACCTTACAGCGTACAGCCCCTCTGAGAACGTGCCAAAAAGAAGTGTATCTTCCATGTACAAAACCCCCTTGCTCCAACCCACACACCATTAGCCCTCGATGTTCTCACTCGACGGACAATCGGCGTACTTTGGAACGATATGCGTTAAGATCTTCCCTATTGCATTTTCCTCTTTCCCTCATCTTTTTTTCGATATCAAGCGATATCGAGTATCGTCCGCGGAGAAGGCATTCGCAAGAAGTTTACGCGAGTCACGCATGGTGCAATATGCTACCACGACTTACTCTTGACCTTACGTTACATCCAAGCACACCTAGGCACATTATTATATCTTCCCCTAGATAGGTATAAGTCCTTATTGATCCATCGAGCTGCAAAATAACTCGGCCGTGCCGTGCCGTTGGATTTAATCCTTGAGGGTTTAGGTACGCTTGTTATGTGCGTGCAAGTCGTAGTGTTTTAGTACGCCGCGAGGTCTATGCCCTTTTCCTCTTCTCTCATAGCGTGCCTAAGCTGTCTAGGTATCGTACATACTTAGGTACGCTGTAGGTAGGTAGGTTCGCGGGTATGTATCGCCAGCAAAGTGCTTACCGCCTATCTACCTACATAACCTGATAACCTCCTAGGCATGTGTGTATTCCCACACGTCTGGATGTTGGGTTACACCGGTAAGGCCGAGCGAACTAGTCTCCTATATTATATGAACTGTCCAACAGCAGCAATAAGACCGATCCCAATTGCGGCAATTCGTTACTCCAAGTTGTAACGAAGCCTTACACCAATACTCCAATAGGCCGGTTTTTCCCTCTAGTGCCTTACCATTCATCTTCCTCTCGCATTGGCTTATTAACATCCTAAGTCGAAAGGGATGAGAAGCGTTCGTCATCGTCTCATACTTAGCTTTACCTGATACTGGCTAAATCGAGATAAAACTTGACAACACCCCCTAGAAAAGGAAAACATTCCCGCATGGTCGCTCAAACGTCTTAGCAGCATAGTAGCCCGACCTAACTGACCTACCTACCTGACCTGTATACTACGGTACATACACGTAACGTACACTAACTCCATGGGTTTTAGTCTAAGACTGCCACTGAAGTAGATCCATGATTCCATCGTCTTGTCTGCAAGGGGACAGATTTCGGTCCTTGGCGAGCAAAGTACCGACCTCTAAACCCAACTTAGACAGACGAATAAGCCAGTAGAGAAATGCCGACAAATCGTAAGCTCTAGGGGCTTGGGCTGGGCTAGGATATACCATACATATGTACATAGTATACATAATAGTAAGACGACCGACAGGACGAATCGGCAGTCCGAACTTCTAGCGTCATCTCAGCCTCCGCCTCCGCCTACGCATTGACGTATAGATGAGATATAATGAACCCTCGTATGATGGGATCTAGATATTGTATGAGCCGGATTCTATGCCGAACGACATCCCTGGCTGCGGACCAAACCAAAAAAAACAATTTGCAAAAAATCGGTTCCAGGATATTAAGCAGCTAAGTGAGCTAAAAGCCCCCCCATGGCCACCGGATGGACAGTGCCCTGCGCCCGAGAGGTCGGGTAGGAGGGAACATCCATCTGTTCGGGTACGTCAGGCACATGGAGGTCGCAGCACGGAGTCGCAGCAGAAACTGGAACTGTTGTACGAACGCCGCGCAACGCTTATTGTTTTTTCCCTTTTTTTCCCCTTCTTTAATTCCCAAGTCTGTGGAACCTCTCGGCAAAACGAGCGGTCCCATTGGGTTGGATGGGAGATCCCATAGCGTCGTATGTGGATTTGCGGCACTAGATAGTTAGCTGCGTTGTTGTAGTAGTAGTGGTAGTAGTAGTAGCGCGGCGCGGTATAAGCCAGAGGAAACAGAGAGCAAGCAAACAAACAAATAAAAAAACGGCAAGCCTTTTTGCATACACCTAGGACATACATACATGCGTTCATGTAAGAACGATGCAAACAAACCCAGACAACCAACAGAAAAGGCAGGAAAACGAGGGAGTAAGACGGGACTGGGACTGGGACTACGACTTGCGATGGGGTCCCGACGGCTCCGTGCTCTCGTTCCAAACTCCGCACGGAAGCGTAATCTTCATTCAGCCTCATCTCATCGCAGCGCAGTCCCAACATCCCGCCTCCCTCATGTCATGATTCACGTGGGTGGAGTAGAGTTGGTACTTAATATAATCCATCCTGCTTCCCGTCCATCCCAACGAAACAACGTGCCGCAGTGATGTGCACGAGGTAGTCAGATCGTTGAAGAGGAGTGGATCGCCGGAGAGGCATTTTGCTTGGAAATTTGCGGTGAGTTTGCTAATCAATGTGCCCGTCCGAGATCTAAGCACATGTCTGACTGTACTTGGGTTGCAATATTACCATGGATATCGAATCAAGTGTTTGACTGCCGGGTTTGCAGGAGTGGATAGACCTTGTAAATTATTGTAGAACACTCCTTCAGAAAATGTCGTTTGAAATCTGCCCGCCCCTTCTAGAGTCTGTGGATGATTATGAGACTAGACTCCGGAGTTATGACCCCGATGCTTCTAGTTAGATGCTCTCCTATCCCTATCATATCCAAATATTATACCAAGACATAACAACAACGACGTCTTTACGGAGGTTAGATGATGGTTTGTTATAAGATTTATTATAACTTCCACGAATCGCGGATTAAAAAGCAAGTTTTGATATCATCCGTCACCTGCGCTCAAACCACCAAGTTGTCCCCAATTCCGTCCACCGCCGGAGTCCTGTCTCTAAATAACAAAAATACAAGAGGCCCGTATGGGATACCTCCAAGCTAGCCGCCACGGATCGAATGTATGCCATTGCAGACCCTGAGACTCAGGCATGTCCCATGATACCATGGTCTGGGGAAAAAGACGCGATATTTTTTCTGTTACTTTCATTGCTGAGATCCCATTCTTCGACCTTGCCTGTACTTCGAATAATATCGTGTCCCGTCGCGTCGTACGTAGATAATACCCAACCAAAATGAGAAAACGCCGCGCTTGCCCACGCCTCGCCAGTAGCGTGGTAGTGTTAGATACCTCTTGCTTGAAAACTCTTTTTACAGATGAAACAGATTTGGAACGCCTGTTTTGGCAGGCTTTGTCTACCATTTTTTCTAATAAGAACCAAAAACGGCCGGATAATTAAGGTGAGCAATCAATGCTCGTGATGTCGCTGGACGTAGAATGACCAGTCGAGAGTAGGATAAGTCACGCGGCTTAGTCGTCCGCTAGTTTGGCAAAATGCTTCGACCATAGCCACCCAACTAAGTTTCTAGGATCGTCTTGATTTTTGGCAAGCCATAATTCGCCTTTCTCGGCTATAACATCGAATATCTAGAATAAATAATGATTAGCCATGACCTATTGCTTATCGAATGGGACCAGCAGACCTCTCCAGCCTGGTACGTTAGGTAAGGGTACCCGGCTTCATGTTTAGTAGTTTCAATATTAAATTCGAACAAAGAGGCGGCAAGCCATAGGACATTATACCCGTTTATGGGCTGCCGTTCTCGAGAAGAGGCGCGAGAAGACGCCTGGGATGGCCGTGGAAGCCGTTCTTGACTATCAGACGGAGGAAGTGCTGACTGGAATATGCCCGAGAAGCGTTGGTTGTCAGTTGATTGATGCGGGGAAGGATACATCGAATTGGAATAACGCCTTGAGTGTGCCCCAGACTCCGTGCTTTGCCTTGGTACAGCAGTTGAATCATAGCTCTGGCCGGTTCCAGGTCGTACAGATGCAGGCCCCATCGACCGAAAGGCGCTAGATGACTCAGGAGTGTGAAGCGAGCCGGATCCCGGGCGTCCTTGTGTATTGACCCCGCCGTAGTAATCGCGGTAATAGTGCTGAGGGCTCGGCATGGAAGCAGTAGTCGGTGAAATGGTGAATTGGCCACTATGACGCTTCATAAAGTCAGGTGTGGGCAAACTTGGAGCTGCATCGCTGCTTAGGGACAGTCCTCTACCGCGAGGTGAAAATTCAGCCCTGGAACGAAGTCCTAAAAAGGACCCATCAGTGCTGGTTGACTGAGACGGGCGACCCTTGGAAGCTGGATTTATGATTCCGATATTGTTGATCTGCTCGTCCTGGAATTTGAAGTCGCGATGGAACGCGGAGACAATGTCTGCGACCTCTGGTACTTCGGGATCCTCGAGCACCACCTTCACTTTATCTTTCCATACAGAAAACCATTGGGTCTGTATGGTGACGAAGTTTGCGAGACAAATCTTGCCAACCTTTTCCGTCAACGCAGAAAGTTTGGGTAACTCTTTTTTCAACGCCTCGTTCAAAGCTTCGTACTGTTCGATGAACTCGGAAAGTTGCTTGTCGATCTTCTTGCCACTCTTCTTGAGTTGGACTGACTTCTCGTAATCTAAGCGGCGTTTGGCTCGTTTTTTCATAGCCAAAGATGGATTGCCATATGATTTAATTACGAGCTCGAAAGGCTCAATGACTTGTTTTCGAATTTGAGAGAGCTAAATGATCATGTCACGTTAGTCCAAGACAACAGTAGCGAGCACAGAAGGGATATAACTGACATGCTGCTCCAGTGCAACTTTCTCTATGTCTCTCATAGACACGTTGAACCGGACCCACTTGCTTTCGATCTCAGGGTGAGGCGATGGTTGAAGTCTCATAACGAGCTCCATCGACGATAGATACTGCAAGAACTCGTGGACGTATACTACAATGTCCCTTGTGTAAGATTCGACGTCCCTCAGAACAACCTGCAATCGAAGGTAATCGTCCCCAAATCTTTCATGAAGTTTGAGGTATTCCGAGTCTTCTTCCGGCCTGTAAGTCGCCTGTAACTTATCAACCCTTTTACCAAATGCTCTAGCAAAGCCGGCTCTGACATCGGATTCCTTGCGTTTCCTACCGACTATCTGCCCAACCAATTCAAAGTTCTTCTTTGTTTTGTTGATCTCTTCTATGGCATTTTCCAGGGCTACTTTAGCAGATTCGAGGAACGGTCGATCTGGATGATCTGCGGGCGTTTCATGCAGAAGTTGGATAAGAAGGTTTGGATATTTAGTGATTCTCTGCATCGGCTTGATAAGCAGAGAATCTAAATTCCATGCTTTGGTCAAATCCCTTGCAACTTCATTACATTCGTTTAACCAGACTTTCACCGTTGGATCTTCTTGGATTTGGATTAATCGTTTTGCAGCGTGATCGCTGTTCTTGAGGAAACTTTCGTGTACCGCTTTCATCTGTTCCATGTTGCGAATAAAAATCGGTCCAAGTGACGTTTGCCTATCTCTACCGTCGCTCAAATGACCCGTAGCAGGAGTGGACGTTGCTGTTGACATTGATGAAAGAGGGGTACCATCGGGAAGTGTTGACGTTTCCTTTGGTACTTGGTTTCGGTGTATTTTAGGGGTATAAACGCTAGATACTCCTTCCTTCAGTTCCGTTAAGAAACTCGAATGAAATCTGATTATTTTATCGGTGTTGCGGAAAATCAATTTAATGGTTTGGTCATCAAGCTGCGGACAAGCTTCAGCTGTGCCTTTGTAGATCTCCTCGACAATATTCATATCCCTGACGAAGAATGCCTCAGTATCGATTAACTCTTTAATAGTCTCAAGTCGCGTGAATAGTCGCTTTCTTTCCTTTGGCGGAAGTCCTGTAGTATCTTCACCCTGATCGATACTTTCTGCCAGAGTTTGTTGACTGTCCAAGATGATCGAGTGGGCTGGAAGACGTTCGGATATCTCGAGGGAGCCTTGGTACAATGTACGAGAGCCAGATTCGGATTGGCCATAATCTTCACTCTCCCTTCTAGAAGGGTCCACAGAGAATAGGCTCTGATCATCCTTCCCAAGCTGCACGTAACTATTAGGTCTCGTATCATCGAAGTATTCACTTTGCGGCGCAGAACTAGGGACGTCACGTAGTGAACTGACGTCGGGAGGCGGCGGTGGAGCATGGTTAGGCCGTGATGGGATCGGACCGTCTTCTTGATCGTCATAGTCTATGATAAAGCCATCCCCAGTATTGAGCTCTGGGAGTTGATGAGAGGGAAGAGGTACTGAGTCTCGATCCTGGAGTTTGCTAGAAGACATTTCGGAACTGCAAGGCGTTTCTCTACAGTCTTGATCATACTGGTATGGCTGCGACATAGAGCTAGATTCCGATATTGAGTGACTATCACGATACGTTGAGTCGCGGTTTTGTAGATTCCGATTTTTCAGTTCATAGTCTGAGTACGCGTCCTGAGTGTTGATAGAGTAATCGGTCCAAACGGTAGTTTGGCTCACCCTATTCATCGACTCGGAAGTCCTAGGTACGGTGAGACTTGGAGCAGTGCCCATGGTTCTCCGAGAATCCGTAGAAAAACGCGAATCCTCTATTTCCTGTTGTCCGGGACTAGCCACACGATTGCTATCTGGAAACTGTGGGCTAGGATCCTCAGAGACAGCAGTTGGTGCATCCTTAATGATAGAACTCATGAAGAACTCCATCTCTCTAAAGCCAGCACTTGGGCTGGCCTGCTCCTTATTTGGACCTAGGCTGCTGCCATAGGAAAGCTTACGAGCCAAACTCGAGGGATTCAATTGAGAATCGTCTCCAAAATCACGATCGTCAGGTAAATCCGGATATGTACGCTCATTGACCACACGTGAAGAAGGCGAGAAGTCTGAATCGCGGCCAATGATGGTCACCTTCGTGGGGTACGACTGGGATGGAGGTGGTTGAGGGGAGTATTCTTCATCATCGTCCTGGTAAGAGCCTGGAATGGCATGGTTCGTATCGGGTTCGTCTGCGACCGGAATAGGTTTCGTTCGCTCTGGTTTTGCCTCCGTAGACGGATCTAAAGAGACGTTGATGGAGTAACTATTATCATTAATACATTCATCCTCGAAGGGAGATCGATACTCTATTTTTGAGTGCGTCGAGTCGGTATAGTTCTTGGTCCCGGCTTTGCTAACGTCTGGCCGTACGGGGATTTCTTGTAGCGGAGGGTCTGTTTGTGGTTCGTTATCGAATTCGGTGGTATTCGAAATGGCAGAAGGGGGCGCTTCGTCTTGATCGTCTGTGACTCCCACGGTTGGAAAGCTCCCAGGTATTCCCAATGTTGGAGAATCCCTTTGGTCAGGTCCTGGTGCTGCAATAGTATTCATCCCAGTTTGCACGAGGTTCGTCGTAATCGTTAACGGTATTTGCTCGGAGGTTGATGTTTCAGTGCCCACAGGGCTTTCGACATGGTCGCTCTCAAGTTCCTCCCGGCTCCTTTCTTCTAAACGTTGTTTTTCTAATCGCTCTTCCTCCAGTCGTTGTTTCTCTAAACGCTGCTCCTCGAGGCGCTGTTTTTCAGCAGCGAGTCTAGCCTTTGCAGCCTCGGCCTCGGCTTCAGCTCTTCTCTTCCTATCATCAGCAAGCTTTTTAGCGATCGCCCGAGCTTCGCTCTCTCGAATAGACTTCGTGTATGAACGTTTAATCTGTTCCCGTCGCGATTCGAAGTCGATCGGACCCACCGAAATCTTCCGTCTTCGTCCTGTTTGATCGTTAAAATTCGTTCCAGACCGTCCCCCTGTTCGCGACGCCGATCGGTCTCTATCGACAGCCTTCATTCTGGAACTGGCGGTGGTCGCCGAAGAAACTGGCTGACGAGGCCGTGAGCTTCGTAATGGCGGTGATAATTTTGGTGGAGGTGTCGAAATGTAGGCGTTAAGCCTTGTGCCATTATTGGGCGTATCGGAACTTAATCGATTTGGTCTCCTGCTAGCGGTGCTAGAGCCACTATTAGGCGTCTTCGCCCGTGCAGCTGGTATGGATTTAGATGTTTTGCCTTGGATAGGTGGTCGTCTTCGTGTGGAGGGCGAATTTGATCGCGTCGATGTTGGACTAGAGGAACCTGATGGGCTGTTAAGTTTACGCACTGAAACGGGCAGCCTCGAAGCCGTCGACGACGATCCCCGATCTATGTGGAGCTTAGGGCGTGGGACTTTAGGTGCGTGGGACTGCGCTGGCCCTGGCTTAGGTCCAGCAATGTCACTCTGTGACCGGTTGTGGGCCTTAGCGGAATTAAGATTTTTGGCCTCGGGACCGTCTTGGATTGCAGAGCTCTCATCCACGTTACGATACCAATCACTTGGCGAAGGCGGTTCAACATCGGTATGTGAGAAGCTCCGCTGACGTAGGCGATGTGGATTATGAAGATTCGATTCGGAAGTTCGTCTCGCCCTAGCACCCTCGATCCCATAGCCTGCCGACCCGGTATCTAGCTCTCCAGGCGCTATCTCGCCGAATAGAAGGTTACGAGGGTGGGGGACTGGCGTAATCGAGATTGGTGAGTGAGCTGGTGAGAGATTGCTGGTGGATTTTGATGCTTGGACGTGGGACCCGACCGAGGCTCGAGGTTTCGCTATACGGCTCGCGAAGGATTGCGAATTATTGGATAACTGGTCCTCGACGACTGATTTGTCCCTTTGTGTTACCCGCGTCACCGACGATGATCCTGTTCCAGAGTCTAAGTCACGCGTTACGGAGGACCGCAACGCTGCGTATGACTGTTGACCATTTGTTGGAGAAGAACCACCTACTGTACGGTACCTCGGCGATGAAGATGTCTCTCTGATTGGAATGCGTGGGGTAGTTGTGGTCTTGCGGGCGGTGGAATTACTCGACTGCGCCGCATTTTGGTCAAACCTTTTCTTTAAATCCTTCACGCTGGTCTGAGGACCGCTACGGCCCCCATACGGGGAGGTGGCTGCAGCTCTCGACTTTGGAACATTCCCAGACTGTTTATCATCAACGGGGGCCGATACGGATCGTGTAGCAGGTCTCCTAGTGGCAGATACAGCGGGGTGCTTCGGAGGCGGTCCGTTCCCGTTTGATCGTAACGAAAGATTCTGGTCTTGCCTTGGGGCAGGCAAAGTTGACGCCATTAATTCTTGGTGGGTCGAGTCTATACTACGATAGTCCCTGTAGAAATCGTCCGGATCTACGACGGCCACGGGCTCGACACTGGTCGCGTTCGCATGTGCGGCGTGGAAGTTACTTGAGGCATAGGACGCGAATTCGGGGGAGGACAGTATGGGAGGCTGGTTAAAATTGGACTCGTAGACGTGATCGTCGTATGCGGAGGAGTCAAAGGCTGCTAGATTAGAAATTGGGTGAGAATAGTACTGTTGTTGCTGTTGTTGTGGCTGTTGCTGCTGCTGTTGGTGGTGGTAGTTGTGATAGCGCTTCGGCGGCTGGTGTCTCGTTGGACTTGGACTGGACTGGGATTCAAAATTATGGGTTGCCAACGTCACACCAAGGGGTTCCTCCTCTTCCTGCATCTTCTGAACATCACCCTGACATTCAGGCGCCGATAGAATATTGTACAATACAAAATGATGAAAGTAGGTAGGTCAAGCCGAGCAAGGGTTCTTTTCCGGGCTACGTTGTCGAATTAGCTTGGGTTGCCTTGAACCCTCCTAACCCTAGGCGACTCAGGCTTCGAGCCTCTACAGTCTAAGTAATTGGACGCCAATGATCGATGGTGAGGTAGCAGCGAGAGTGTGGGGGGTGGGTAGGCTTGCAAGCGTGTGCGAGCGTGCAGACGTACACACACAGTAGTCGAAAAAAGGATTTTTAGAAAGCCATTCGATAATATTAACATGGGAAGACCCGCCCCTGGTAAGCTCTTGAAAGCTGTATGGTCGTTTAGGATGTCTCCCGAGCTTGAGTTGATGCGCTGGCAGGCCTGGCATGCAAGGTGATTTGGTGGAAGAGTTTAGTTTTTTTTTTTTCCTTCTTCGCTCGTTTGGTAAGAGGTAGGTAGTTTGGTAATTAGGTACAAAGTAGGTAGTTTGCGTGGTGTTCGGGGGTGAGGACAGGAAAGAGGCGGTACGGTTTAACGGCCTTCCATGGTTGCTCTAGATTAACTTAGAGAAAATAAACTAAAAATCCACGGATGGTGGAAAGATGTAATGTTGAGGCTACCAACTAATAAAACTTACGTAGCTACCGCCTTGGTTACCTTACATTTGTATGGAGAAGTCGCTATCCGGATAGGTATCTGGATTCTGGGCTGTCTGGGCTACTGAGCTACTGGGCCATCTAGGCAAGTGCCCTCCACCCAGTCCATCCCCCAAATTCGCAGGTTCGTATCCATTTCGATACCGTTCAGTTTTGGGTCCATTGGACTTGGCTTTCCAAGCAGCTTGGTAGGTACCTAGGTACATATCTCCATATCAAGGATCATACCAGGGATCATGGCTGTACATGCCGCAAGCATCAATGATCAATCAAGGTACGAAAGCGCAAAAGTTCAACTTGGTACATCATTCCCAATCTTTATTTGGATCGCAGCCTTGGAATTGCGATGCACAGCTCAGAAGATGCGGCTTTATTTTATATGATGGAGCCCTTTTGAGTGGTGGAAAAAGATTAGGAGTCATAAGCCGTTCCGCTGCATTTGCATGGAGATCGAACCGATGGAGAACATATCCCGGACCGCTATAGGTTGGCAGATCTATTATCTAGTATCTCATCCACAAGCAAAGCCGACGAGTCTGCGAGTCAGGAAGTCATCACTATCATAAGAGGGTTGTTAGCATATTTAAATAAACAAGCAGACGAGTCATGTCCAATTTTTAGGCTACTTAGTACGCATAATAGGTACGCGTACATTTGAGGTATGAATAAAACTTTTAAAGAAAAAAAAAGGAAAAAAAGAAACCGATGTTCCAGTGTGGCAGTGGTAGGTAGATGTCGTTGGTTTATAATGCACACTTCCACCTGCTAGTAAGCTTCGTGTTGCTTGTTTCTTTCTGGGGAAAAAAGGGGTATTACACATAAGCTGACCGTCCAATAACGAGGCATGATTCGGTAAGGAAGGCGTGTTAGAACGTCTCAAGGAGTTGATCTAGCTAAGCAACTAATGGAAAAAACGAGTTCCTTAAAGACCGAATAGATTTCGTAGGCTTCGCAACTCATACACCTAAAACCAAGCCACAATTTCTTAGATCCCTTACTAGAATTTTCTGAATGGCCATAACTAACCTATAGGCAATCGAAGGATAGGAGATCCGATCACGTCCGAATTATTTATTCTCCGTTACTAATAGGTATTGGATGCGTTGCATCCGCCCCTGGTCTCAGTTGGTAACTCACGGGCAGAAGAAGGGCTCTGGAAGACGAAATGGACCAGTTGGCAATGGGATACGACATAAAATTCAGACAGGAGTGCATGCAGCTTGCATAATTCCATCGCAGCCACTCATTGATTTCTCATCTGAGTCTCGGACGGTTTTAACGGACGGTTTAATCAACGAAGCAGAAGCCACAATTTATACCAGACTTGTTCGTCCGTCATTATAATCAACCTGAGTATACTGATTGATGGCTGCAGAAGTCTATTTGTCTGTCTATCTATCTATCTAGTAGAGGTACCTTAGTGGGCATTTTGTAGCTCGTTAGGTAACTTGCAAGTTGACTCGCATATGTATGTGTAAGCGTCGTCAGTGTGCACATCGACGGCTGATGCATCAGACCGTACCTAGAAGGGGAAAGTGGCAAGCCCCCATGATTGACGAATGACCCCTATCAAAGACAACTTCATTGCCAGGCACCTGCTACTACGTTCTGAATTGACCAACCTTATTCGTCCCAGAAGCTGTCATGTTGCATGGTGGTTTGCCTTTTGGATCAAGCCAGTGGATATTACGAAATGGCTCTATCGCGATCCTTCGCGCCACTGCACCTCTTTTCTCCTATGCACGTCTTAGGCACGACTTAAACCCGGTAAGCGTGTCTTAGCGAACCAATCCGGTATAATAGAGCATACGAATTATATTGCGAGTCGTGGCCAGCAACTGGGACAAACACAGCCTACATGGTGAGGCAACTCCAGGGCTACTTCAACGTGCCTATCTTGATGTCTAATGTGAATCTGACAGCGCCCAACCTGGGATCTAACCGGTCTTTCCGGTTCAAGAACTGGTCGGCAGAAGACAACTTGGGACAATCGGAGGAGATAACAAAAAAAAGTTTCGTGTTTTTATTGTAGCCTGTCAAGTTGTAGACTTGCTGTAAGTTTTCTTTGATTATGAATTTCTCAGCAGGAATAAGGATCGTGATCATGTCTCGGTAAAGTTTCAATATGTCATGACTTATAAATTCGAATTCTCATAGTGATACACGGCGCATATTAAACATGATTGCTGTGATATGATCGCTTTCTTAGGCGCATATATTTTCGTTTGAAGTGTAATGGAAGGGAGATAGGAATATGAAAAGAAATTTACGATCAGATTGTAGGAAGCCTTGTACCTACATAGGTTCTACATGAATCGATCCTGCGATCTCAGTAGGATCCATAGATATTTCGATACCCACTTTCAGTGAGCTAATTAATGTGGAACCACACATACGGAGCCATGTCTAACGGGAAACGGGTCCAAGCTTCAGTTTAAAGTTCAAGACGATCAATACTTCGGTACAACCAGACGCGTGTGCAATATTAGACCTTGAACATTTACAAATTCATGTTCATTCAATATTTCCACACGATACATTGATGTCAATCTTGTAATAAACAACTTCTAGACGTTACCAACGGAATCGCATTCAAGAACCCAAGCTCTTAGAAGGGCGAAGAGTTCTTACAAAACCTATGTACCCAGAGACTGGGTACTGGATAAGTTGTCCAATTTTAATGTTGGAACCGGGCACCCTCTAGGCATATCCCTAGCATAAAGAGAAGCAGTACCATGGTCCCCAACCTAACGTGAGTGCCAAATTCGGCCAGTATATCAAGCCTCCCTTAAACATCACGTTATGAGGCTACACAATGCCTCGTCCAAGGAAGCGGAAGCGTCCGGACTCCGTCAAAGGTGGTTTGGATGCTAGACCGCCAACGAAGAAAGGGAAAACACAACCTGAGACCAATCAGCAGTCGGTGCCTGTACAAGCCCAGCATGCTGTACTCAACCAATTCTATCCGCATGTACTGACATTGCGTAATTATGTCCTTTCCAAGCTACCTACCACCTCTAGACTTAGAAGAAAAAAGGTCGCCGCCGTCGGCATAATCAAGAAGGCTTCGGACTCGGCCCCTTCAGATGTAGAGCGATCATTGGGCAGTTTACTTGACGGCACCCTCGTCGGAATACCAGATGGATTGCGAAGTCCGGACGATCATATTTTGACCGGATGGAAGAATTTCTCCCAAAAGGGGGACGAGTCCTACGTCACTCTGTCTAACGGCGTTGCTGGATTTGTCGAGACACAGGCACTTGTACGACCCGGCTTTCTTTCTCGTATTCATAAAATATGCCTGATCATCATTGAGTGCCCTGCAGATAAGCTAATATTAGAAAGTTGCTAGAATACGTCGTAAGAACATTATTCTCGAGGGAGAAGACTGGCACATGGCCAAAGCATCTGCTCTGTGACGGCTTCACCGTAAATCGTGGCTTGGGGCTACGTCAGATTCGACCTAACCCGCATTTTGAGGCGTTGAGAGAGCCACCATGGCCGCAACTCCTCGCCTTACTAGGCGAGTCGGGAGAACGCATCATGATGGACTTGCTCTTTGACTGCGCCATTTTTATCGCCGTGAGAGCAGGATCAAACAATTTCTATCAAATCAGCGGTGAGCAATTCGACTATAGCAAGGACAAGATCATGTACTCATTCAGATCTAGGAAAGCCGTTATCGGAAGTTGAGGCTCGCGGCCATGAGAAGACCGGAGAAATCCCCATTAGCAATGCTGCGAAAAGTCCATCAGAGATTGTCTTCGTTCGTAACCGCATGCTCTACGCAAGAGCTGCTCTTAATGCCCGAGGTGTCGTACATTTTGGTCTTAGACATATCCGTGAGACGCTCGTAACTTCATATTCTAGATGAAAAGTTAGCTGATGATAATAGATGTATTGAATCGATCTCCATATAGCCCGCTTGGCGAAGATGAGGGGCAAACAGACGAGAGCAGGCAAAAGACTAGCATACAGAATGAAACCCATATCCTGAGGATCATGTTGTACATATTCCCTCGTCAATTCGGGCTTCATAATGCTTTTACTTCGAAAGTTGATCTCAAAGAAACCTCCCAAAGGCTCAAAGATTATACGTTAAGGGAGGAAGAAATTTCGCAAAGGTTCGGCCGACTCAATGAGTCGGCTACTCAAGTCAAGATTCCTAAGAGACTGAGAGGTTTAGTCCCAAAATTGATACAGAAACTCCAGATCTTACACCAACGTTGCTCTTACTCGAAACTTGTCCAGCACCACTGTCCAGTAAGTCCTCGAAGTCATGAAAAGTCGATCGTACTGACTTTTCAAGCTTCATGAGTCGCTTGATCACCGAGAAATCGAGGTAGTTGAAGCCGGTGGCATTCGTAAACTTTCTCGTAAAGTAGATGTGCTGCAGAAGAAAATTGCACCGCAGTTCCAAAAGCAATCACCGCCAGTCCCAGGGGGCACGACGTCGTCCATCTTTGACTTAGCAACTCCGCCTGCGAAGGTTTCAGCCTTCTGCCAGGCTGTTCTGAAGAAGATCGTTCCTAATGACTTCTGGGGTCATAGTTCCGTAGCTGAACACAATGAGAATACGTTTCTTAAGGATGTAGATCATTTCATTTCGTTGAGACGATTTGAAGTAATGTCACTTCACGAGGTCATTCAGGACATGAAGGTTAGTCACAACTTGGTCTATATATTGAAGGTCGATTTAACTAACCACGAAAAGTTGACGGAAATAGATTGGCTTGCGCCTCCGAAGCTGAGAAGAACAAAAACTTCCCAAACAGATCTGCAAAAGCGTCGCGAGCTCTTTACTGAATTCTTATACTTTTTGTTCGATTCCCTCCTGATACCCCTGATCCGCAGTAACTTCTATGTTACTGAGTCGAACGTACATAAGTATAAGTTGTTTTTCTTTCGCCATGATGTATGGCGTTACGTGGCAGAGCCAGCGATGGCTGATTTGAAAAGCAACATCTTTTCCGAAGTTGACCTCCTTCGCGCTAATAAAATCCTTGATTCTCGTGCTCTGGGATTTAGCCAAATTCGCCTGCTGCCAAAGATAACTGGGATGAGACCAATTACGAATTTGCGCAAAAGGGTTCCTGTACGGGGGAACTCGAAGGTATTGGGGCCTGGTATCAACAGGATTCTAGCGCCAGCACACACAGTCCTACAGCTAGAAAAGGTATGAGTTCCTATCCGTATCGATGCCTATTGTGCCTATCCTGCATGTCTAACATGAGTAGGCTATAAACCCAGAAAAATTAGGATCCACCTTATTCTCCGTGGGAGACATATATAGGCGTGTCAAGCCCTTCAAGTCTAAGATAGATAAGCCCGGCTCGAAATTTTATTTTGCGAAGCTTGATGTACAATCTGCCTTCGATACTATACCTCAAGGAGCTATTGTCAACTTACTTGATTCTATACCTCAGCAGCGCCGGTACAAGGTCTCAACTCATCTTGAAGTGGCGCCAAACTTGGCAAACCAGGCGGATAATACTACTAAATCAAAGTCTGTGAAGAGGTGGCCCTCTGTTGCAACGAGAGATGGTGATAACTCTACACTTCTTCAACAGCTTGAATCAGGTAAGGCAACTGCGAAGAAGAATACCGTATTTGTCGATAGGTGGAAGAAGTATTATGACACGAGAGAACTACTCCAACTCGTGGCCGAGCATATCCAACAAAACCTCGTCAAAATAGGGAAGAAGTACTACAGGCAAAAGCAAGGTATTCCGCAAGGATCCATATTATCCTCTACGCTTTGCAATTATTTCTACGCCGACCTTGAAGCCAGCATCTTACCGTTTCTTAATTCCGAGGACTGTCTACTTTTACGACTCATTGATGACTTTCTCCTCATCACTACAGACAAACAGAAAGCTATCCGTTTTGTGGAGACAATGCATCGAGGCGTTCCAGAATACGGAGTTACTGTGAATCCTCGAAAGACGCTTGTCAATTTTGATCTAAATATGAACGGAGAACCTGTCGCAAAAGTAAAAACTGACCAGGCATTTCCTTACTGTGGTACTACTATCAATTGCCAGACCCTGGATATATCCCGTAATCGAGAAAAGGGGCCAGACACAGGTGGGTTGCGAGCCCATTCCTTGTTACAAGACCGCAATTACTAGAAACTAACACGATCTAGGTATATACAATTCCCTTACAGTTGAGTTCTCTCGAACTCCAGGGCGAACATTCCAGCGGAAAGTTTTCAGTAAGGCTCCTTTAGATTCACTATATGATTAAATTGTACATCCATAAAACTGATGCGTTATGTAGATGCGTTCAAGATCCAGAGTCATCTTATGTTCTTCGACTCGGAGCTTAACTCGGCTCGTACCATGCTGAGCAACATCTATACTGCATTCACCGAAACCGCCACCAAAATGTGGGCGTACGCCCGCTGCTTACCGGTGCAGAAACAGCCATCACCGTCGCTTATCATTCGTAAGTTCCAGCATACATTGATACGTAGCGTCGGCGTACCGCCATGCATATTTACAAATGGCTAACTCATACCACCAGAGACATTACCGAAACTCGTTGATATAGCGTTCCTTCTCCTGATAAGCAAAACCCGCAAGCTCCGATACCCAGGCTACACTTGCGACGTCAAGAAGTCCGAGGTATCCTGGTAAGCTCAGTTTCGTTCCCCTCGCTAACATTCAACCGTGGCTGATAATTATATTACAGGCTCGCTTATAACGCCTTCTGCACCATATTGGAGCGGAAGCAATCCAGGTACGGCGCCACCCTCGCCTGGCTCAAGGCCGAGATCAGGAAGTTAAGCGTTCAAAAGGACATCCGCTATGGACGTGTAACCCAAGTGGCTTGTTCTCAGCCCCAATGAACTCGCTTTTTCGTGTAAATTGAATAGGACTCTTACACGCTTCTATACCCCAAATAAACTTCAGTCTAATTAAAATACTCCTATTGCGCACTACCCGACTTCTAGTCTAGAAGCCAAAACCATGCCATTCTATATGCCTGTCCGTATGCACCGGGCCATGCCTCGCTCCCGTAGTCTAAAGTCTCGCGCACTTAAACGTCTATCTATCCAAGTGAATAACAAACTGCTTACACATACCATATCAAATCAAACCGCAAGCCCAACCTCCCACCACCTCTCCCCGCGATACCACCCCAACCTAAAACTCTGATCCATCCTCCACACGCGCCTATCACCCTCGGGCCCCAGTCCAAAGGCGCGGAACACGGAAACAGGCACGGGCTCGAAAAGCCATAACCCGCAGCGGCTGAAATCGTCTACGAGCAGCCAGCTCGTAGCGCACATCCACACCGTCACAAACGCTAGATTCCCCGCCCTCCGCGCCCACCGGGGTAGCTTCGCTATGTACCCGTGCAGCAGACGCGCCAATGCCGACTGCAGCATGGTCCCGACGCCCGCGAGGAAGAAGAACAGCGGGGGCGCGTACCAGCGGGTATGTGTCGGCACAGTGGAATAGCTACCACTCGCGTGTAGAAAGCCCGAAGTCAAGAACGCGAAAGCAGCGGCGGTTAGTTTCGCGGCCGGGGTGTTGGGGCTGATGTATCCGTGGCGGAGTAGATACTGCGTCGGGGCAGAGAAGCCGAAGCGGAAGGTCTGGTGCCACCAAGCGCCCCAGAAGCCGGGGAGGCCGCGGTCGAGGACTTGGACGAAGGAGCCGTTGACGGTGGGGAGGTGCCAGGGGTGTGTGCGGAAGCGGAGGATTTGCGGGGAGGGTGGGAGGAAGGCGAGGGCGAGCTGGCCGGCGTTGAAGAGGAGGTCTAGGGCGCTGAGGGTGCCGGTGAAGGAGAGGAAGGTACGGAGGAGGAAGAGGGTGGTTGGGGGGAGGGAGGAGAGGTGTGGTGGGAGGGGTTTGGTGTGCTCGGGTCCGAGGATGAAGTACGGGTCTGCGGTCATGGAGACGGCGCAGAAGTCCGCGATGATGTAGGCGGGGAGGATGTGGTGCAGGAATCGGTTGAGGAAGAGCTTTTTGTAAGAGGTGTATCGTGAGTACCCCTGCCGCGTGTTTTGCGGGCCGACGGAGCTCAGGGGGAGTTGGTAGTCGCCGGCTTTGGGGGGCGGTTCGTAGGGCGGGAGAGATGAGATAGCCCAGTTCCATCCTGTCATGCGGAATGTGCTGACGATGTCGAATGCCCAGTCTAGCCGGGTCCAAAAGGAGTCGTTCGCTGGATATTCTTGCCAGTAGTACTCGAATTCTTGTTCGGCTGCTAGCTTTTCGAGTTCTGCTGCTGAATGGACACCATTTCCGTTTTCTTGTAGTGACGATGATGCTTCCGAGATATCGGTTCCTTTCTCAGGCAGCTTCAACGTCTCGGCATGTATCCGTCTTTCCTTAATGCAATGAGGCGATCCATTGTCGTTGTTTCCATGTCCGTTTACTTCTAAGCCAGTTGTTTTGGGCTCCTCTCTAGAGCTCTCTTTGGTGCAGTTCCCGTTCTGCTGTTTATTCGTAAGAGCATGACCATTTCCTAGAGTTTGAGGTGATACATGGGCCTTTGGCTCTGCAAGGAAATTACTCTTCACGTCCTCCGGCCTCCTTTTTCTTCTGATATTTACTCTTTTGGCTTCCCACTGTGGTCTGGTCCATATGAGCAACGTGAAAGTCCATACGATACCCCAAGCACCAATCAGTCCAGCGCCATAAGCAACACCAAAATCGGAGCTCGAGACGTTGAGTATCATGTTAGAGTTGAAAATAACGATAAAGGCGAGGACGAGCCATCTGGCACGATATAGCCATGGTCGGTTCTTGTGTGGTATAGCCAAATACAGGGTTGGCAAAATCCAGAGGCCAAGCAAGTGTAACGGAACCAAGAGCGGTGTCTTGGTACCCGCTTTCACATCATCCCGAAACTTTGCGCGATAGAGTTCTCGGTACGTCGTTGCTAGATTGGCATTTTGGTGGTCCATCTCTTAACGATCCGGGGAAACAAGGTTACACTCAAGCTTTCTACCCAGAGACGTGCATGCCTGTTCAGCGGTGAACCTTGTTGATAATTTAGGTAACAGCCACGTTCAGTTCTAGCTCAGCTTCCTATACCTTCCGAGAAGGGAGAATGCTTTAAATATATCCGATTTATCAAAAATAGATAACCAAGGCGAAGATGGTCCAATATTAATGCTAAATCAGGATATCTATGCCCATAGTTTCTGAAGCAGAAGGCATATCTGAATAAGGGTCTTCGTTGACGTAGATGAAATGTGCTTCACGCCCGTGTGCCATGTGCTCCGTACCTCCGAGCCGGTGTAGCTTTTTAAGGCATTTATCTTACCAACCTCAGTAAGTAAGACATGAGATGAGACATGATCCAGCCGCTCTGCCCAAAAAGCATCACGCCTTAATCAGAAGACAGTCCGTGTGGATGTTGTGGATCCACAGGTCGCCACTACGTCGTACTAGCTGGGTCTAAATATTTAAGTTCCCGCCCATGATGACGTCAACCCGTGTATAGACTTGGGTATATGCATGTACAGATATACATACGAAGTATGCTGCTTTCTACAGCTTCAGCGCTATCAACATGTCTGCAAGTTCGTCCCTAGTTCCTGATCGACGCAAGAAACCAACACTGATCTTCTAACCCATGCTTAGATCCCGCCCACCCCTGCGACATGCGATGATGCATGTAACACTCCCCGATCTGACGATGCGACTACTATATCAAACGTGGGGGTTTATATGGTACTTTCACTAGTACTTTGTGTAACCGGATTTAAAATCCGATAATAGCATGAAAGAATGGGTTTTAATACCTAGGCAACTGCTAGGCAGACTATAGGAAACCATGTACCGGGTATCTCAAAATTCATAATTCATCGCCCTTCATATACGCAATGTCCAACAAGTTGGAAGCCCTCCTAGCGTTTACACCCCTAGAAATCAACCTGTCCAAGCCCAGAACTTAGCGCTCAGACGCCAAAGCAGCCACAAAGAGAGTAACAACACAAAACACAGCCCAACTAGGATACTACGCTGGATCTCGAAGGCATCTGCCGCTTCCATCTTCATAAGCTCCCTCTGCTTTGTGTGGTAATACCAGCGTGTCTGGTTCGTTCCGGCTCTCGATGTTTCCCGTTTCTTCCGATCAACCCATACGTACGGCTGTGGGCTAAATAATCTGCGTTCTAGCCATGAAGGCAAGACCCAAGAAGGCAGACGATTATATTGCTCAGAATGTTCTTGGATGCGCTTGTCGTGGTAATAACAGTCGATGAGGTAAAGCGACAAGAGGAATGACACGAAATGAAATGGTGTCAAGATCGCCTACGTTACTTGCAATGTTAGAACTCGACTACTAGGCACGAGTCAAGGCCTATCCAAGAACCGACTCAACTCACCTGGAAAATTCTCGATTGCTTCCCCCGATTAACCTCCGAGTGGGACGCCGTTTTTGACTCCATAATTGCTTAGTCGAGGGGTTATACAGGTACACGCGCAGCTTCTGATGCCGATAATTATAAATTAGATTATGTGGGTTAAGAGGTGAGTTGGAGGAAGCTATAGAAGAGAAAAAAAAAGAAGAAAATGGAGTCGAGTGATTGAAGGTTGTTTTATCATTACTTAAGTCGACCAATATAAGTAATAGTTCGCATTCGGACCCGGATTCAGTGCGAAGTTGCGAATTACGAAAATTGTGTCTAATTGGACACTTATTCTGCTTCGCCCCAATCTTGGAGGTCTGGACGGTGCGATTCGTCTAGACAATCCTACAGAACACCAAAGCCACTGACGAACTCGTAAGCTTTGCGACGGCTTCGTTTTTTAAGAATGTCTAGTATAAAAATGTTCAACACATTTCGACGCCGTGATATCAGTCAAGATTATATTCATACCAAGATATACGTGCGTTCCATTTTCCTATCCGATCCATTCCAGGTGTGTTACCTTTCTATCCCCCTTATATCATGTGCGATCTTGAACGACCTAACTCCTGGTGTTTGCAATGTCTAATACCAAGATGTCCGTTGCTCCGATTTTGGATAATTCGTCCATTATCAGCGCGATCTTCTTCTTCTCGACCATTATGCTAACAGCGACCCATCCTTCCTCTTCTAAAGAGGTTACTGTTGGCGCTCGCTTTCCGGGCGCAATCTTCGTGGCTGCCACGAGACCAGACCTCTCAACATTGTATTGGCACAGCACGTATCGTTGGGCAGTAATGACGCCGCGGATTCGGGCAGCGATCAATTCGACCAATTCCGGATTGGAAGGCTTTCGCGACTTAATCAATATTGCCGTTGTCTCGATAACGGTATCGATTGGTTTGAGTCCCGCAGCTTTCATAGTTTCTCCAGATTCTAGTATAGTCAGTATGGGTCCGTCCCGAATTCTTTGGACAACCAAAATGCGATTAGTTAAGGACACTTACCAACAAGGTCGACAATCCCGTCTGCCACTCCGAGAGCGCAAGCAGCTTCGACACTTCCACTTAGTTCAATGATCTTAGTCCGTAACTTGCTGGAGAAATTGACTCTCGGAGTATCATTTGTCGTTTCCTTTGCCGTATCCTCTTCTAATTCTAGATTGGCGAAATACCTCTGTGCCAAGTTTACGAAACTTGTGCCGATATTCTTTCCAATAAGGTCTTTGGGAGAATTATAACCGCCTTTCTCGGGAACCTGAACCTGCAGCTTGCAACCTCCAAAACCTAGATCCATAACGGTTTCGCATCCTGAGCCTCGGGAGTTCCGTTCGGTCTCTTCTTCAGGGGTAATCTCTCCAGAAAAGCGCCGTGCACGGTGGAGCGCCCTAACTCCAGCATCATGCTCTTGCACCTGGTCCCATCCTGTGATTCCTAGGTCGACTTGGCCTTCACCCACGAATGTAGGTATATCGGCCGCTGGGAGAAAGATCAGAGCGATGGGTAGATTCTTGACTAAAGCTATGTCAAGTCTGTTCTCTCGCCTGAACTGTATATCCGCGCCCTCTAACAGATTGAGAGTAGCCTGGTTAAGTCTTCCCTCTGTTTGACGAGTCAGTATTACGGTTGATTATTTCGACGTATAGGTAGGGTATTTTACTCTTAGGAACGGCGAACAATAATCGGCCTTCTAAGCTATTAATTGATAGAGAATTAGCCATGATTATGGTAGTGAATAGCCCGAGAGAACTCGAGACTTCCCCGCATATACAGAGAAGGGAGTAAACCGAACAGGGTGGACGAACTGGTTGACTAAATCCATGGTTGGGTCTTGACAATATCCTCGACAACGCACTGAATGTCTCCAAGATGCAGCAGCTTAATATTGGAGATAGGCGCAGATTCTCCGACTTTTGATAGGCCAATCGAGTAGGTCGGCGTTTGTTTGACCTACACAATTAATAAATTCGTGCTTCAATGGTTTGATGGCGTTTGCCTGCGTTCTTGTATCGAATATGCCCTTACTTTAGAGATGAGATGACGGATAATAATTTTCAAACTTAAGTCGAAAATCCGTAACCCCACGTTCCTGAATCGGAGCTCCCACTTTGTTAATTCCATGGCGGGGCAGAGAAGCTAGAATAGGTCGGATCCATGTACTCGTACCTAGTACAGATTCACCTAGTAACAATCTTACATTCATAAACGTGGCTTTTATCTAGTAATATGATAGGTAAGGTAGGATTATGAATAAAATTATGGATGAACCTCATGCATGTATATTCTATTTCACACTTATATATCCCGAATCATTATCCTAAAGTCACGTTACGTTACTTAACAATCTCTTGTTGTCGGACTTGGTGATACCCGGACTTCGCGTAGATGTACTTCGTACTTAAAGGGTAAAATGGAGGTGCTTAAGTACTTAAGCGAACCAACGCGCTGGGACGGTTGCCGCGATCCATACCTGCCTTTTAGCTGATATCCGACGGAAGTCTTGGTAAAGCTGCGCCTGCGCGTCTACCTGGGTAGCTGCTTCGTATGCTAAATTAAGCAATGCTATCGAGTTATGTAATTGCCGCTTATCCGCTAGTTAGTTGTGTAGACTTTGAAAGTTATGATCGAATTGATCTTTTCTTTCATTTACTTTTCTTTCTAACGTGTTCGAATTAGGATACCTACTTAGGTATCCAAAGATGAGTTACACGAGGAAACCGGATGTTTAGTTGCTCAACGTCAGCGCCTCGCAACCACATAGCTCCTTCTGCTAAGGAAATGCACTTTTGTGTACGGTGTTTCACTTGAACAGTCTGACAGTACAGATTTCAGTGCAATGCCGAGCCACAGTGGAGTGCGATTAATGATCCACAAACACATCCTTGTCCCCCTGACATATTACGCATATTACGGTCTTGGGGGTCTTGGTCGCCTTGGTGTTGCTAATGATTATTACCGAATCTCCTAAACCTCGCCTATTCCAGCATTTCGCAAACCTCACGAGACCACTTGATAAGGCCAGCTTTTCTCCCAGCTCGCCATGTTCGCAACAACGCTCGGGTAACAACAAAACCTAAACATTGGTATCTATAATAGATAAGCACCATTAGAAAAACAATAGATATGTACGAATTCTCCAAAATAACTACGAGTTTAAGACATAATTTCGATATAATAGGCCTTGCGCATAGCTAACTGACATCACATACAGCGCGAACCCGAAGACGAAGACGATTGGGCTGATAGCCCCGACAAACCGGACAATATGTCGAGATGGGCTGGGCAACCGTCCATAAAGGGCAGCACTGAAGCCGTGCGTATGGCTCTGCTAACCCTCAACACCATCGGCATAACGTACGTCGCAGCCATGTAACACGGTAGTTGACAAGGGCGAGCGCTGACAAGATTATTACTTAGGTTCGTTTGGGGAGTAGAACAGACCTGTAAGATTCACAATACCAATACCAATACTTCATATATAAAACCAATTCTAATAAAACCTCTATCTAGATTGTACTCCATACCTTCTTTCCCTCGGCTTGACGAAAAGCAAAACCTCCTTGGTTTGGATCGCCGGACCGCTTTCAGGACTCATTGTACAACCTATCGTTGGCGCATTAGCGGACGAATCGACATCGAAATGGGGGCGACGCAGACCTTTCATCGTTATCGGCTCCATACTATCGGCCTTTTGCCTTCTCACATTGGGCTTCACAAAGGAGATAGTCGAATTCTTCGTCCCCAATCACCATACAACGCAAACCGTTACAATATCAACAGCTGTGTTGGCTATATACGCGGTTGACTTCTCCATCAATGCTGGTTAGTCAATGTCGCCTATAATTAGACGCGCTTGAGTCATGTTGTACTAACACTGCTGTTAGTAATGTCCGCGGCAAGGAGTTTAGTCGTTGATACGCTTCCAATCGAAAAGCAACAAACGGGTTCCGCCTGGGGTATGACTAGTGGATATAATGCCGGATTTACACATGCTAATTTCGTTGACAGGTAGCAGAATGTCAGCGATTGGTCATGGAATCGCTTATGCGACCGGCGCGGTTGACTTGCCCTCAATTCTTGGGACATCCTTAGGCGATACTCAATTCAAGCAATTGACCGTCATCGCCGCTTTGGGGCTTGTTTTCACCTGCGGAGTCACTTCCTGGGCTGTCACGGAAAGGATCTTGATCGCCCCAAGACACGATCCTCGCAGGGAAGAAGGGGGATTTAAGGTTATCAGCCAGATCTGGTCGACTATTGTAAATCTTCCGCCCCGCATACGAGCAATCTGTATGGCGCAATTCTGGGCGTGGATTGGATGGTTCCCCTTTCTCTTCTACAGCACAACGTGGATAGGGGAGACCTACTTTCGCTACGATGTCGTGCGTGACGCGAAAGATTCGGGGGATGCATTAGGTGAGATTGGTAGAGTTGGAAGCGAAGCTTTCATTATTTACTCAATTATTACCTTTCTGGGGTCGTGGATCCTGCCCATGGTCATTAAGTCTCCGGATGACGAGAGTTATACGCAACGTCCCCCAGAGGCACTCAGGGGCGTCGTTGAGAACTTCAATAAGTATAAGCCAGAACTCCTAACAGCGTGGATGTGGGGCCACGCAACTTTTGCGGGTGCTATGCTGTTCGCTCCATTTGCCAAGAGCTTCAGGTTTGCGACCTTCCTCGTTTGCCTATGTGGATTGTAAGTGTTTTATGTCAACACACATAATATTTCGAATTAATAAATCTAACTTTTCTTAGGCCTTGGAACATAGCGTCATGGGCGCCTTCTGCCTTCCTTGGGGTAGAGGTTAACAAGCTGAGTGGTGCGACTGGACCCAACGCCTCATACCGTCGCCTATCGCATAGTTCGCCCATAGAGATGGAGGAAAACAATGGGTCCATCTTAGATCCGGACGATTCACGTAGTGCATCTAAATCAAATACCACAGGCCAATTGTCCGGTGTTTATTTCGGCATTCTAAACATCTACACGACGATACCCCAATTCATCGGCACAATTCTCAGTACCATTATCTTTAGCATTCTTGAACCAGGCAAGAGTCCAGAGTTAGCGCATAGCGCACATCCAAACGAACACCACGGAACCGACGGGCCTAATGCGATCGCCGTATGTCTGTTCATCGGGGCTTGCAGCGCCATCGTAGCCGTATTCGCGACACGGAAGCTGAAATATTTGTAACGCCCACCTGTATTAGACTTTATGGTATGGATAGACGGTAGCATTATGGGACAAAAAATTACTTCTATTATGACTTTGTAATGGCTCTGGGGGTGCGTTGTAAAACGGGCTTGGTGGATAGGGCGTTTAGGGGGTTTGGTTTAGGGGTACGGTCGTCAACCTAGAATTGATTTGAATTTCATTGTGTTACGACAACCTTATTGCAAAGCATGAATTATTATGGTGACTATTTAGCTATATTATACTTGGTAAGTATAAATAACTGAACGAATTGAGACCAATTTTGAAAAGGGGTCGTTTGCTGTCCTTGTTACCTGGATAGAGTTTCCCAGTAACCTGAAATATCCAGATTACGTAACAGGTCCACTATAATTTCTATCACAGTTCACACACTTTCTAAAATTCAACCAACACTTTTACTCTCTCCCCCATCAACCACCTACCTTAACAGCAACTGGAAATCGCCTCACTCAATTGAACTCGCAAAATGGTCCGTATCATCGCCCTTCCAATAACTCCAAAATCGACGCACTAATCTCCCCCACAGGCCCCAGTAATCCCCTCCAAACGCCGCACCCTCCGCGCCAAACTCGCCGCCCGCAGCGGTCCCTCGCCCTACGCCCCGCGCAAAGCCCCGCGTCCCGACGCCGTCGAGACCAGCGATTCCTTCATCAATTCCAAGAAAGACAAGCGTCTGGTGAAACACGCATCTTTCGTCTCGCGTATTGAAAAGACGTCCTCGAAGGAGAAAAAACTTAAACGGCGTAGGCCGGGGAAGAAACTCGTTACGAACCTCGACGCGCTGGCGGATGCGCTGCCGGATTTGATGGAGACGGAGGAGGGGCTGCGGCAGATGAGGGAGGGGAGGGTGAGACATCGTAGTTTGAAGGGAGGCAGGGGTGCGATGAAGAGGAAGGAACGCGTGGTTAGGGGGGAGGTTCGGAGGTTTGGGGTTAGTTTGGCGAGGCTGAATGCTGTTCCGGAGAAGGGCGGGGAGGTTGAGCGGAGTGCCGATGTTGAGGGCCAGGGAGAGGTGGCAGTGCCGGTGGTGGCGCCGACTTCGACTGCAAATCGGTTTGCGGCGTTGCGGAGCTTTATCTCGGCGACTATGGAGCAGAACCCTGCTTTTGTTGGGAAGCGGGATGGGGAATGAGGTGGTGGTTTATGAACGCTACGGCTACGAAACAAATACGGATGGTTTTATGCGAGAATAATTGCCACGGTGTCAGGTAAGGAGAGCCCAGTCGAGGCCTTCAATGTCTTGTGCTAATATCATCTACTCAGGGTCGGAGACTTGAAAGGAGAGATCATGACCATATGATCTCTGATTTACTATAGTAGGCGTATATACTACTACGCTGCCCGCTCCCGGCTAGTCCCTCATGATTCAGATCTGCCTACCTGCAACGAGGTATACGTCGGGGGGCTATAGCTTATTAGGGATTACCTAAGTAGAAAGGTATTCAAGCAAGGTCAAGGAACATACACCGACCCCACAAAGCTATAATATGAACCAGACACCTGGGAAATGGTTACGTCTCCACTGATGAGCTTATATCAAGGATCTCGATTCGGGTACACAGGTATAACTCGAGAGCTCTAGTGCTCTCCTATTAAGAATAAAAGACCATATCACATGCTTGATAGACTGTAACGCCCACGTGAAGTTTAGGTAGACCGCATCTCAGCCTTGGAAATTGGACAGCAGCGTAAAATATTAGCTTATAAAAAGAATGTAGTCGAGTGTCTAAGATTCACTCTCCAACCCTAGTTTCTCAACAGGCAGGATAGTTCCTTACTAAAGAGGAGAGGCAAGTAATCGCATGACACCAGCGCTTCCAGTTATGTATGGACCTACTTTGATAAGTACCTAACTTAGCAAGTAAGATATCGGAAACATGATCTAGTCGGTAAATGGATCAGAATGGCCATAAGTTGACAGGCCATACTTCGCCATAACTGGGAGGGAATCAGACAGCGGCCTGGTAGCGTAAGTCAACGATAACGTTCGGATACTCTCGCATAACGAGTCAGGTCATCAGTCGATAATACCGGTTCCGTTCTCGTTTTATGAAACGGGTCAAATAAGGCCATGGAAGAAGCGGAGGCGTGGAGGCAGATGGGCTTTCGGATGGAACGCTATGGAGACGACAAATCCGTCCTCGTCCGATAGCATAATCTAGCACGGATATCCTGTACTTATCTCAGATAAGTTAGCTAACATGTCAACATTTCGAATCATTAGGGAATCAGTTTAAGAGAAAATTTAACTCTTCATTTGCCTCTGAATAAATCGAGCAGTATGGTGGTATGAAAGTAGTGGCTAAAGGTGATAATAATCCCCAGCATCTCGTGTAATAGACCACATCCTCCATCTGACCCATACAGACCACTCACTTCAGATGGCTTGCCTGTATTCAGTAAAATTTCGCGATTCGCCAGTAAAGAACACAATCCGGTTTATGGTGATTGTGCTATGCATCGTTCCATAAAAATGGTATCCATCCAGTTAGAAAAAAACAAAAGGCTGTTTCCAAATCCACCTGTGATATGTAGACGCGACAATAGACGTCGTAGTGTCGGGTTCTTTGCCGGCTCGATTATTCGCGAGAGCCCAGCATCATGTCGACCGGTGATAGCACAACCCATGGTTGTAAGACATGATTTCGTGCATAGGCTCGTTAGACTCGGACTTCTCAAGTTGGAAGATCATATCCGCCGAAGACCAAGTGACGACGAGCTGAGGTGATGCCGCGAGCAATTACTCGTCCTTATTAGACATCTCCTCGATTTCCTTCCAGTCAGCCTCAGTCAGGACCGCACTCTATTCGATCCGAGGTGGTGTGTTACTTGGCGTGAGCCGTCGTCGTTCGCCTTCCTTGCGCAGACTTTCAATTATCTTGAGCATTTCCTTACGTGCCCCGATACTATCGATTGCCTTCTGAGCCATACTCATCGAAACCTTGTCGCCGGCGTTGACAGATAGTAAGCGCTTGATAAGAAGATGTCGCATCACGATGCAGACGAATACGCCGCAGTCGCTACCATTCTCTTGCTGTGGTGAGTCGGCTAAGCAATGGAAGCGCAAGGTTACGCCGAGGACGCTTGACAGTCTCTTAGACGCATCCCATGCATCCTTGTTGTTCACGCCATCGAGTGAGTCGTAGTGGAAGGCCACGCCGTCAATGATGCTCACGACAAGTAAAGACCAATGGCTTCCACCCTCGGCCTGGCTGACGTTGTGCGCGTCGTTGATAGGAAGGAATATGTGAGTAATACCTCGGAAATCTGGTAGCGCCGATCGAACCATCTCGGTGTCCTTATTTTTCATCAAGAGGAAGGTCATCGAAGGGCGCAAGAGGACAATACGCGCTTGAGGATATTTCACTAGCACTTCTCGCTCCAAGAACTCTTCCCAGAATGCGATGTTCTATAGGATAATTACATGTTAGTTGTTGTTTAAAAGAAAGTTGCTTCCATTAATGATACTTACGTTATCGGTCAGCCAATCATGCTTCAGAGCCTTGATGTCTTCGTACGTCACTAGCTAGAGTTAGTATTGCGGAAAAGCCGGGATTAAGTATGGAAAGGCATACGAAGAATATCGTAATCTGAAAAACGCCATGTCAGTAATCACGTAGGCTTAGAAACAGGGGGTGTTTGGAATACTCACAGGATAGGTAAGGTTGGGTAGGCGAGGGAGACGGCGATAGCTGGTTTCTTCTTGAGCGCAGTCTACGGGAATGGGGTCTTGTTCTCATGGGGCTCACACTGTCATTAAGCCTGCGAGATAATCTCTCGCGAAACGTCATCGTGAAACCTGTTGTTAATACACCGGCGGGAATTTATTGGGTTACAATCGTCCTTGCACAATCGCCTGGTGCTTGGTTTCGTCGGCGTTTGGTTAGGGTCGCTAGATGCGATTCGCACGAGGGTGTAAGTGGGTTTATGTAGGTGTGCGTAGGTGTACGTAGAAAAGGAGAGGGTGCGGGGTGATCGGTCGAGGTGGTCGAAATGGTCGAAGTTCGATTGATTTTAGATTTAAGAATCGGAAGGAGTGAAGGTAAGATTCAAGTTAGGGAGGCAAAGGACGTTGCTGCCGTCGCGGGTCGTTAGGTGGCAGGTGGTAAAAATGAACCTGCAAACAGGTACGTTGCTTATGTTGCTTATGTTGCCTCGAATGAAAGTAAAAGGATAGATGCTGTTTAACTCTCGAATGATTGAGAGAAAAAATTAATTGCGAATGAATGTATGTATCCCTTACCAAGGGAACCTAGAACGATCTGTGGAAAAGTGTCAACGAAGTGCTAGCCTGAAATGACGACAGCCGAGATCTAAGTGCTGGCGTAGCTAAGAATCGAACTAGAAAAAAATGAACGTGGACAAGAAAAGTATGAAGTTATCGTAAAGAAAGGTGAAGAATTAGGATTAGTGTGAGAAAACTAGGTGTGCAATTGAAAGGGTTTTTTTTTTTCTGTGATGTAGAAGGAATGTTTGAAGAGCAGGAAGAAGAAAAAGAAGTCAAGATGATCAACGTACAATTGTTCTATGTTGTATTTGTCGAGTTCTCGAGGATCAGATTCAGAGTGAAGGATTATATCAGACCTAGAATTACTAGTACCGAGCAGGAGGAACAAAGAGAAAGGCGATTTTTAGATGATGGGAAAGCCGAATTGCGGGGTGAAATCAATGTACATCCAGTACCCTGTCCGCTGTATTTAAAGTGTTCAGGTATCCCGGTAAGATTTAACAGTTGGGCACGGGTATCGACATGTAAGTACCTAGGTACATACAAGTAACTCGTACTTCGGAGACGAATAAACTGTAAATACGCCGCCAGGTCGCCTGATACTTCCAAGCAATATTAAGACAGCGGATATGTCATTAATGCCACCTAGCGGTGAGATGCATGCGTGGTACTACCAGGTAATTTCTACATCTATGTATTTCATACTATGTAGATGGATCCTCAATTTATCTGTCTAAATACAAGGCAAAAACGTATGGAGTTGTTTGCGTAGGTACTACTAGCACATGCACACATCCATACCTTGTATCCGGGCGCTGGAGGAGCTTCAAGGTTGAAATCATCAGCCTTACGGGAAAAGTTTAAAATATAATTAAAATAACCGCCTAGTAACGAAAAATGACGAATATTCGGTAAACAGAGCGGTATATTATTACTCGCGACAATACCTGAGTAAGGTCATTTATTGAGCAGATGCTCCGGCGTGTAGTAAGATACATGTCTAGGCGCATATAAAAAGAGGAATTCAATGTTGGTGGTCCAGATCTGATTTTCTACGGGGATCAATTCAGATAGAATGCTGAAATATGTACCTAGATACATATACGTAAGTACTGAATTTCATAAAATGATTGCCGGAAGCTACAAATGTCAGTACGTACCCGTGTATTCCCTCGTAACACGACATCAATGCCCCCATAATTCAAGCGTTCTGTTTCAGGCATGTAAAAGCTTGGCATGTGCTTCCCTTCTAAGCCCCACTCGCAAACACGACGACCTCTTACGACTTACGATTCAAGTCAGTTCAAGACTTAATAACATCTCCCCACGAGTACACGCATTCATAGCTAATCCCGTAGGGGCAAATCGACGCACTTCATGCTAACCTGACAGCCGAGGCAGGGTCTCCACGGCCTACAAGAAACATCGTAGATCCCGGTGGATGCCATGTCTTATGAGCTATATTGGCCTTGGATATCACACTGGACGGTTTTAGATTAAAAATGGCTTAGGGTAGTTGAGGAGATACTGTAATCTCCTCAACGGGGTTTATCAAAGGGTTTAAAGCTACTACCCAAGCATTAACATCAGTCTCAAACATGGTATGTTGACTACGAGTCAGTGCTATTCATCAGCTATGTCTAACATGGAATCGGTGGTACTGCACCTAGGCAGCTAGGTAATATACCTTACTATTGAAAAGTGGCAAAACTTGTCCTAGCTGATGAACTTAACATTGAGGGTCGAATAAAAATACCTATAGCTCTCCAAGATCGATTCAGCCTTAGACGAACCTAGTCACGTAGAGTAGTGCATGAATATTACCTCGTCATCCCAGGATATTAATAGCTTCAACTTTGAGGGCAAAGAACATAATCTCATCTACTCGACATTTATCGGGTGATGGTGATACCTAGTCTTTAATGGCATTGCTGATTATAGCTGAGATGAGAATGCTCTTGCTTTACTTAGGCTATGTGAGCTGCGTCTACCAGCATGTAATGACGACAAATAGGACACTCAGAATATCCGTGAAACGTCTTATAGTGTGTTAGGAAAGGCGGATTAGTTAGAAAATATGCAAATCTATCATCTTAAGGATGATAACAGTAATAACTACCTAGCAACGGCACTAACTAGTACATTAGGTGCTTAGGTGCTTTCAAATACCTAACTCCAGGGGAAAATATAGGTACCTAATCAACATCCCTTCCTTTGAATATTATTCGGAGCTGTCAATTTGTGATAATAGGGTTTAATACCTAGGTATGCTGTAGTATAGAATAACTCTAGTAAACATGTATAAAAAGGTATATATGTTACTTGAGTATGCAATTAATGCTCTAACTAAGTTGATGTGAAGCCAGTAGTGTTTGTTTTAATATATCATTTAAGACTCGATTGAGGAGGGCAATAAAAAGAGACTGAGGCTTCTTAGGAATCAGATAGAAACTTACGATCATTAGGTACTATCTGTGTATATATTCGTTCTTATTAATAAACTAAGGGTAGAATATGATGACAAGATCCAGCTTCTAGCTTACCTGTGAAATCACCCATACTTCGGTACTGAATGGAAGTTGTGCTTCTGGCGATATTCCGTACCTTGGGCCTTTGGTGAAGAGCAAGGTATGTACTCATGAACTATGTCACAGAGATCGAGAGGATATGAAAATTACCGCAATTGCTGTAATCGAACAAGTCATGAGCATATAGTATATATTGAAATTTTGAGCCGTTCTCCTGCATTGGGTATCTTCGACTCGCATTGAAACTGGATTCCTGAGGTATAATAAAATATCTAAGTAAGATAAACATGCTATGTTCTGACTTGAAGCACCCACGCGAATAAGCTCCTTTCTCAACTTCACATGAGCAGTCTCCAAGCACCAAGTAACAGTGCCGCAAAACCAGTGCAAACTCCCATTAGCCACTGTAGCGTCTGGAACTTGACTTGCTCTAGCTTCTCTCGTAGGGCAGCAACTTCCTGCTCAATTTTGGTCTCCGTCTCCTTTATCTTCAGCTCTTGGTTGACGGCCTCTTCCCGTATGCGCCCCTTTTCTAGGTTTAGGTCCAATCGTACCGATGCCTGTGTCCGGCCGATCTCGTCGCGCAGTCGACTGTTTAGTTTGGTGATATCATTCGTAAGACGTTCGTGGGCGGCACGCGTGGTGTTGGACTCGGTGCTGTCTGCAGAGAGGAGTTCAGATCGGAGCTTGGCGAAGTCGACCTTCTGAGTGTATGTTGCTTTGGCCGCGTCCTCGCGTAGAACCATGGTTCGCGTTAAGTTTTGGATGCTGCTGGACGAATTAGCTCGGATAGCCGACGGGCCGGTGTTGAATAACGCTTACCTTTCCTGAATCACGTCATTGAGAACCTTCATCATAGCAACCGATTGCTCTTCTGTGAACCCATCGCGTTGTAGTCGTTGGACGAATTTTAGAGTATCGAAGTGGTGGTCTCTACCCCGCGGCGCCGTGGCATGGAATGATCTTCTCAAACCTAGATGCTGAAGCGTTGGAGATTCTCTTGTGGGTAGCTTTCCAGGAGGGTACCATGATGCCTTTCGAGATGTGTGGAACGAAGCCACCCTGTGCCCTTGTACTTCCCATGATCGTCGGGTTTCTATGGGAAGAGATGCGGCTCGGAACACTTGAGAGGGTCCAGTAGGTCCCGTCCAGCTCAGCCGTGGGAGCAGGAACCTAGGTAACGACTGGATGGCACTTCCCGTGACGCCTGCCATATTTCACACTTAAAATAAACCGATTTGGGGGTTGAACATCATATTTTGAACAAGTTATATGGGTATTTTCTGAAATAGGAACATGTGATGCAAGAGGAGAGCTGGCGATACTCGGAGCTCGTAGTACGTATCCGTACTACGTATCCGTACTAGTACGTAAGGTGGGTACTAGGTATCTGCGTACCTGCATTTCGGTTAGCCAATGTGGCTTACTGTGGCTAAAAACCGGGATAATCGTGGCTGAGCTAGTGCCGCCTATGTAAAATTTGAGAATTTGTTCGCGACTGAAGATTTTCTTTCCTTTCCTCTTCATTCAATATGAACAACGCAAATTTTCACATTCTCGAGACACAATATTTGGTGCGAGGTATCCTCTCTTTTGCAGTGGCCCACGACCACTGAAGTTCTCGGACAGAATGGAGACTAACTTACAACGAACAATCTTGGGTGCGGTGCTTCTCTACCCTCTCGAGGGCCATGAGAAGGATCGCAATGATTGAGCGTACATACATATTTACATATACCTCTGTAGTAGTTTACTGATTGGAGCTGATTTTTGTTATATGTGGGATTATAATCTGATTATAAAGGTTGAAGGTTAAAAATTCGAAATCGTCATATCGAGTTTATACTGCCTATGAGTATTCTTGTAGAACCTCGTAGGCTCATAGGTTACACGCCTCCGCCTGATGTATGTTACTAAGACTGCCTAGACTCTTTATCAAGAAGTCAGTTATTTCTTGTGACGATTTATCAAATTAAGAATTGGGTTGAGTATATGTTTTACATTACATGGACGTTTTATTAACGTAGAGAATTGCTTGCAAATACTTGACGTTGGTTTGCGTCAAAAGCCGTTGGCTGCAAGGGCTTGTGATTTCAGATTATCTTGCTCCTTCAGCTTTCATGTACATACTGATTCTAGACCTAATGGCGACCTGATAGGTGCTTCAGGTTGCTCAAGTTTGTAGGTATACATAGGTACCTAGGTACATAGGCCATTCTAACAGCAAAAAGAGCACATATTTACAAGCTTCACCGGACGAGGCTATACATGTAGGTACGATTGAAGATAGGTATTTGGGCAGCAAAAATGAATAAAATTACAGTGTTTATTATTTGACTTTTTGTTTTATGCGCTCTCGTGGAACAGCTGGGAAGGTACCTCAGAAACAAGTTAGTACTTGCCCGGATAGCTAGGCTGCTGGGTAAGGCCAGTACAAGGTTTGCCCACAAATTTTGGTCTAGGTACGCTGTAGCGACATAGTGACGCCGCGACGCGGGCATGTACCTAGTATTAAATAACTGAAGGAAAGTGGCCTGTGCACCCCACATCAGGTAGCTGTAGCCTCAGATGCTTCCTTGCGAACAAGTAACCCGTAACATCCAAGATTAGGATCATAATACGTACACACAGACATCCACATCCATCCCGTCCACTTTACTTTCCTCCTAGAAATTCTTCAACCATAAACCACATTTCTTCGTCTCCGTCATCCCTCATCTGTACAATACTTCCCGCTATCACTACACTCGCGTCAAGTTAATCATTACTGGCGTCTCCACGAGTGCTTTCCTCAATTTACTCTCTTCGTCTACATAATCAATCCCTGGAGGTAACTTCTGCTAATTTAGCACCTAACACCTTCCTTTCTACATTCTACCCCTTTCCTATCACGATCGTTCAACCTTTCCCCCAGATTTGTTTCTTATACCATTGTGCGCATCGTAGACAATCTTTGCTTAGCTGGTACTCGCCTCACCTTTTCTGGGATCCGTTATTCAGCTTTCAATAATCGTCCTTTCGATACCGCGTTTGCGCTTAACGATTATTGACACTGATTAACCGATGTAATCGTGCATCATGGCTCCGTTACCTATTAAGTTCCAGGAGCTACTGACGCTCGGTAATGTCGGTGTTGATCAAACTGCAGTTGGATTCAATTCTTGTGTAAGCTATTCCAGTTATGTTTTAATATTTCTATCGGTCCATGAACTAATTTCTGCCTCGCCAGACCCTAGAATCCGATTCGTTTATCTGCATACGAGAGAAGAAAGGCGACGCACAACCTGAAGTGATCATCGTTGATCTCAAGCAAGGCAACAATGTTACACGTCGTCCCATTAAGGCCGACAGTGCCATCATGCACTGGACTAAACAGATCATCGCTCTTCGCGCACAATCACGAACGTTGCAGATCTTCGACCTCGAGAAGAAGGCGAAATTGAAGTCTGCTACTATGAATGAAGATGTCGTTTTCTGGAAGTGGGTCAGTGAATCGACCTTGGGTTTGGTCACAGAGACTTCGGTCTTCCACTGGGATATATTAGACAATTCTCAACCTGCTCCCGTGGAAGTGTTCAAGCGCAACGCAAACCTAAATGTAAGTACCATTTTTCATTTATTTTGCCTGGAAATTGTACCCGACGAAGATCGCAAGCTAACTTTTACTGCGCCAGGGCTGTCAAATCATCAACTACCGAATTAACAGTGACGGCAAATGGATGGCAGTTGTTGGTATCTCCCAGCAGGGCGGTCGCGTGGTTGGTAGTCTACAACTGTACTCCAAGGATCGAGGCATCAGCCAAGCGATCGAAGGCCATGCCGCCACATTCGGTACACTTCGAATAGAAGGCGAACCGGCAGATACCAAGGTCTTCTCTTTCGCTGTCCGTACAGCCACAGGCGCCAAACTTCACATCGTCGAGATCGACCACCCGGAAGGAAACCGGCCTTTCCAGAAGAAGGCTGTTGATATCTTCTTCCCTCCCGAAGCCACAAACGATTTCCCTGTCGCTATGCAGGTTTCACAAAAGTACGGTATTGTTTACATGGTAACAAAGTACGGCTTCATCCACCTCTACGACTTAGAGACTGGCACAACCATCTTCATGAATCGAATTTCTAGCGAGACGATCTTCACCACGTGTCCCGATTCTGACTCTACTGGCATTCTTGGTATCAACAGGAAGGGTCAAGTACTCTTTGTGTCAGTTGACGAATCGAACATGGTTGATTACCTTCTCCAAAACCCAGCAAACACAGAGATTGCTATCAAGATGGCCTCTCGCGCTGGTCTTCCTGGTGCAGACCAACTCTATGTCCGCCAATTTGATCAGCTATTCAATAATGGCGATTTTGATGGTGCTGCCAGGGTTGCTGCTAACTCTCCGCGAGGCTTCTTGCGCACTACAGAGACGATTAACAAATTCAAGAATCTCCCAACACCCGCTGGCAAGATGTCCTACATTCTACAGTATTTTGGTATGCTTCTCGATAAGACCACCCCCCTCAACAAGACTGAAACCCTCGAACTTGCTGTACCTGTCCTGTCACAAAACCGCAAGCATCTCCTCGAGAAGTGGGCTAAAGAAGGAAAACTGGACTTTTCTGAAGAGTTGGGCGATCTGATTCGATCGCATGATCCTAACCTAGCATTGGCTGTCTATATGAAAGCTAACGCTGCTCACAAGGTGGTGGCTTCTTTTGCCGAGCTTGGCCAGTTCGAGAAGATTTTGCCTTACTGTGACACGACTGGTTACCAACCTGATTGGATTACACTATTGCAGCACATTGTTCGCACAAACCCGGAACGTGGTGCGGAGTTTGCAAATACGTTAGCTGGTCACCAAGGCGGTTCTTTGGTCGATATCGAGCGCGTTGTCGACGTCTTCCAGTCGCAAGGTATGGTTCAACAAGCCACTGCTTTCCTTCTGGAGGCCTTGAAAGAGAACAACCCTGAATATGGCCATTTGCAAACGAGGCTTCTCGAGATGAACTTGATGAACGCTCCGCAGGTGGCGGACGCAATCTTGGGTAACAACCTGTTCTCTCATTTCGACAAGGCCCGAATCGCGAGCTTGTGCGAACAGACTGGGTTGTATCAAAAGGCGTTGGAACTCTATGAGGACCCTGCAGCTGTCAAGCGAGTTATTGTTGGTATCCCCGGCACTGCAGGCTTCAACGCAGATTGGCTAGTCAACTATTTCGGCCAACTATCGGTGGAGCAGTCTCTGGAATGCCTCGATGCAATGATGAAGGCCAACATTCGCCAGAACCTTCAATCTGTTGTCCAAGTTGCCACCAAGTATTCTGAGTTGCTTGGTCCTACCAACTTGATCGACCTTTTCGAGAAGTATAAGACCCACGAGGGTCTCTTCTTCTATCTTGGCAGTATCGTCAATCTATCTCAGGACCCAGATGTTCACTTCAAGTATATTGAAGCCGCTACCAGAATGGGTCAGTTCGCCGAGGTAGAGAGGATCTGCCGAGATAGCAACTACTACAACCCAGAGAAGGTAAAGAACTTCTTGAAGGAGGCTAAGCTTGCCGAGATGCTTCCACTTATCATCGTCTGCGATCGACACAATTTCGTCCACGACTTGATTTTGTACCTCTATCAAAACCAACGCTTCAATGCAATTGAGGTTTACGTACAACGAGTCAACCCTGGCAGGACCCCTGAAGTTATTGGTGGGCTGCTTGATGTGGACTGCGACGAATCGGTCATTAAGAACCTCCTTACTACCATCAGTCCTGCTTCGATTCCTATCGATGCACTTGTCCATGAGGTGGAGACACGTAACCGCTTGAAGCTACTGCTTCCTTTCCTCGAGGCTACTCTAGCCGCTGGCAACCAGCAACCAGCAGTCTTCAACGCTCTTGCTAAGATTTACATTGATTCAAATAACAACCCAGAGAGGTTCCTGCGGGACAATGATCAATATGACACCCTTAGTGTGGGCAAGTATTGCGAAAAGAGAGATCCTAACTTGGCTTTTATCGCGTATCAGAAGGGTCAGAATGATCTGGAGTTGATTAACATCACGAACGAAAACTCCATGTATCGCGCCCAAGCCCGCTATGTCCTAGAACGTTCTGATCGAGAGCTATGGATGTTTGTCCTGAGTGAGAACAACATTCATCGAAGATCAGTCATCGATCAGGTTGTCGCGACAGCCGTTCCTGAATGCAACGACCCGGCAAAGGTATCGGAGGCTGTTGCATCCTTATTGGCGGCTGATCTTCCAGGTGAACTCATCGAGCTCTTGGAGAAGATTGTACTTGAGCCTTCGCCCTTCAACGACAATCCTAGTCTACAAAACTTGCTCATCCTTACTGCGGCCAAATCAGACAAGGGTAGAGTTATGGACTATATCCATCGTCTGGATGCATTCAATCCCGATGAATGTGCGCAGCTATGTATCGACGTGGGACTTCATGAAGAGGCCTTCGAGATTTACAAGAAGGTTGGAAATAAGACAGCGGCTGTTGAAGTCTTAGTCGAGCATGTTGTCAGTATTGACCGCGCGAGCGCATTTGCGGAAGACGTCGACATTCCTGAGGTCTGGAGCCGAGTTGCCAAGGCTCAGCTTGATGGTTTACGAGTGGCAGATGCGATTGAATCATACATTAGGGCTGGTGACCCTCGCAACTACTCCGAGGTTATTGAGGTTGCAACTCACGCCGGAAAGGACGAAGAATTGGTCAAGTATCTCCGTATGGCACGCAAGACTCTTCGTGAGCCTCCCATTGACACTGCCATTGCTTTCTGTTATGCTCGACTTGATCAGCTAGGAGAGTTGGAGGACTTCCTCCGCGGTACGAACGTTGCCAACATTGAAGAGTCCGGTGACAAGGCTGCTGAAGAAGGGTTCCACCAGGCCGCCAAGATCTTCTACAGCAGTATCTCAAACTGGTCTAAACTCGCTACCACGCTCGTTCATCTTGAAGATTACCAAGCAGCTGTTGAATGTGCGCGCAAGGCCAACAACATTCGCGTTTGGAACCAAGTCCATGGTGCATGTGTATCTAAGAAGGAGTTCCGACTTGCCAAGATATGCGGTCTCAATCTGATCGTCGATGCCGAACAGCTGCAAGCTCTGGTCAAGCAGTACGAATCCGAAGGCTACTTCGACGAGCTTATCGACCTCCTCGAGCAAGGACTCGGCCTCGAACGTGCCCATATGGGAATGTTCACCGAATTGGGCATTGCACTATCGAAGTACCACCCTGAGCGTCTGATGGAGCATATCAAGCTTTTCTGGAGCCGAATGAACTTGCCTAAGTTGATCCGTGCTTGCGAGGATGCTAACCTCTGGCCCGAGTTGGTGTTCTGCTACTACCACTATGACGAGTTTGACAACGCTGCACTGGCTGTGATGGAGCGTGCACAGAACTCGTGGGAGCACCAACAGTTCAAGGACATCGTTGTCAAGGTTGCTAACCTGGAGATTTATTACCGCGCCATTAACTTCTATCTAGAGCAACACCCCTCGCTCTTGACCGATCTTCTCCAGGTTCTTACCCCCCGTATTGATGTGAATCGCGTCGTTCGTATGTTCCAGAAGTCCGACAACCTACCCTTAATCAAACCCTTCTTGCTCAATGTTCAGAGCCAGAATAAGCGGACTGTGAACGATGCCATCAACGATCTGCTGATCGAGGAAGAAGACTACAAGACTCTGCGAGATTCGGCAGAGAACTACGATAATTACGACGCTGTCGAGCTCGCTTCTCGTTTGGAGAAGCACGATCTTGTCTTCTTCCGACAGATCGCCGCTAACATCTATCGTAAGACTAAGCGATGGGAGAAGTCTATTGCTTTGTCAAAGCAAGACAAGTTGTACAAGGATGCCATTGAAACGGCTGCTATCTCTGCCAAGTCCGAGGTTGTTGAGGAGCTACTCCGTTACGTAAGTCACTACCTTTTATCCTAGAGTATCTCGAATTTACCTATGCTAACTATCTAATAGTTCGTCGATATTGGCAGCCGCGAGTGCTATGTAGGAATGCTCTACTCATGCTATGACCTTATCCGCCCCGACACAGTCCTTGAGCTATCGTGGCGTCATGGTCTTAACGACTTCACCATGCCGTACATGATCAATCTGTTATGCCAACAGACTAAAGAGATCGCAACGCTTAAGGCCGATAACGAAGAACGAAAGGCCAAGGAAACCGCCCAGGAGAAGCACGAAGATCAGACCCCTATCCTTGGAGGCAACCGCCTCATGATCACTGCCGGCCCCGCTGCTACCGGCGGACGGATGTCCCCCGCTCCCTTCGGTCAAACTAATGGTTTTCCAACTACAACCACGGGTTACAATTTCTAGAAGGCATCGCAACGGGTTGAGAGATTCTCACGCCAGTCTTAGGATTCCGTTTGGCCGTCGGTTAGTATCCCCGCGATACCCATAAGGCCCTGGCCGTCTCATTGGGAGCGCTTCGTTTGATGGGACCACCAAGTTCATCATGATTATGGGTGGGGTGGATATTTGGGGAGTTCGTCGTAGAAAAAGTTCATTGAGGATTTTGCGATAATGTGTTCGTGTAATGGTTTCGGTCAAGGCCGAGACCAGTGAAGTTTACTGCACAAAACAACTAAGGTGGATATTCCGGTCTCATCTCGAGCATGTGGGATATCTGGTTACGGCGAGCTTGTAGGCCCTGCTTGCTTGCTTGCTGTATTTGTATGATAGTACAGACCTTTTTACCGGTCTGAAGTTGGCAGGCTATGGCTAATGACTTAAGCATATTGTGAGAAATAAACCTGCATCGTGTGACTCGTTCCTGGCATGCTTATCAAGCTTGTTTAAACATAGCTGGTATTAGCCTTCTTGGTAAACCCTGTGCGTCACTGTGCTGTAACCTCACAATGAGACGATAGAATTGATGGATAATTACGTTCCATTTTATGTTTCGTTCCGATAGGCTCGCATATCTTGGATTCATCTTCGCCTTATCTATCCACCGTTTTACTCCGAGACCTAGATCACGACAGATGAGGGGGAATATGTAGGGGGGTCCGTGAGGTTAATACGAGAATAGATACGTATATAATACAGAGTCGCATCATGACCTATGACGGGAGCGGACAGTCATTCTTTACGCTATCCTCCGGCTTCCACGCCTTTTCTACGGTTCATAGTTGCTCAATATGGTGGCTCTTAGGACTTTTGTCGCCCTCGCGGGTCTGGCTGGCGTGCACGCTGAAGCTGCTCAAAGATCGACATACAAGGATGGGGCCGATCGTAAGTAACTCGGACATGGGTCGAGCTTTTGAGGGTGTTTGGACTGATCGACTCTTAGTTGTGCAGCCGATGTTCAAATCGCTGGACTTGGGCTCTGTCAAGCCGCTTGGTTGGTTTAAGGACCAGCTTGAGCTTGAGGCGGCGGGCTTGTCTGGGAATATGTTCGACTTCTACCGTTTCGTTCACGATTCGAAATATCTAGGTGGAAATACTGAGTATTCGGGTCTAAGGTACCTAAGTATACATTTTTTATAGATTTTCGTTAGAAGTCAAAGTTGTCGAACACTTCTCAAGGGCATGATATATCATACATACTAATATTCTTCTGTGGATAGTGAAGCTTCCCCTTATTGGTTCAACGGTCTTGTACCGTTGGCCTTCGGACTGGGCGACGACAGAATTCGCGGCCAGGTTAAGTATTATCTGGACTACCTCCTTGACCACCAACAGGAGGATGGATGGATCGGATGGGAGACCACACAAGCGACAAGGGGAATTTGGGCTCGCAACCTACTTCTATTAGCACTTATTCAGTACGCTGAAGCCGATCCAACTGAGACAGATCGTATAGTGGATGCCATGCACCGATATGTAGTCCTTGCTCATGATAGTAAGTTTGTTGAAAAACCATCCCCTATTCTACCTGTGCGCTTTTGATGTATCAATCCCTCCACAATGAACATTAGGGACCTACAGGCTATGGGATTCATGAAACCCCCTGCGAGCTTCTTCCAACGATAGTTACTAACATCACACGTCGCAGTGCTTCAGAACAACTATACCGGTCTTCTTGTTCACGGTAATGATACATATGATACAGCTGGCTTCGGAGTTGGTCGTACGCATGAAATGCACATCCCTCTGCAATGGTTATTGGAAAGATACCCTCGGAATAATTCGGAGATTATTTGGGAGACGATGGACCTTATGATCGAAGGAGGTAAATTGGTGAGTAATTACTCTCGCCTGCTTACTTGAATTAGCAATGAGAAATAAAGGGGTAGAAAGGAGGGTATTGCTAACTTGAATCGATGTAGTGGGGAGCAGACTGGAGGACATTTTGGACGGACGAAGCATACCCTAAGGTCTATGACGATAATACCCCGTACCACCTGAGCTGGGTTTTCCTTCACGGAGTGAATATGGCTGAAGGTAAGAAAAACTGGAATAATATAACAATTAACGCGATCACCCACTAACAAAAGTTGCTTGAAGGCTTACGGTACACATTGTCATTATATCGTAACACCGGAGACCAAGATCTCAAGGACCAGACGAGGAAAGCGGTTGATCTATTAGCGCAGTACCACCGTTCACTCGCGGGCACAATTATCGCCGACGAATATATCTCGGACTTAAATCCCAGCCGAGGGGCGGAACTCTGCATTGCGGCTGAGGTCATGTTCTCCTCCGCCTACATCTACCAATATCTAGGCGACAATGACATTGCCGACTGGGCGGAACAGACTGCCTTCAATGCGTTCCCGGTCTCGGTCTCGGCGGACTGGTGGTCTCACCAGTATGTCCAACAGGAGAACCAGGTGTGTATCTATTCAATGCCTCCTTTCCCTCTAGCTTCCTTTGACTAGAGACATACTCCCATTCGAATGAAGGATAATTTCACTAATTTTCTATAGCCATGGGCTAGAAACCTCACAACCAACCAGAACTGGTTTGACGTCAACTCCTATTCCAACGTCTTCGGCCTCGAACCCAACTACGTAAGTTTCCCCAGCCATTATTCGCTAACCCTTACCCCTTTTCTCCTCCTACCCCGGTCCAAAATCCTATAAATCAAACCCGAACTAACAACCCCTTAACAGCCCTGCTGCACAGTAAACCACCCCCAAGCGTACCCCAAATTCCTCGCCAACTCCTTCGCCACAACAGACGGAAAAGCCGGCCTAGCGCACCTCTTCCTAGTCCCCGGCACCGTCGCCGCAACCCTCGGCAACAACGGCGAAAACAACGTCGTACAAGCCAGCGCCAACACGACATACCCCTTCGGCCACACGATAACCTACACCGTAACCGCCGACCAGCCCGTCGACTTCTACATCCGCATCCCAACCTGGGTAAACATAAGCCGGAGCACAATCGACATAAGCTCCCCGACTAGCACAACCTCCTCGCTAACCCTCTCCGCCGCCGCCTCTTCCGCCAAGACATCCGCGCGTCCCATCGGGCCCTGGGAACAAGGTCTGCTCCCCCTCGGTCTGCCCGCCGGCTCATCGACGCTGTCCCTACGTCTCTCCACCACCCCCCGCATCGTCCCGCGCGCAAACAACACAGTAGCGCTGTACTACGGCGCGCTGCTGTACGCTTTGGCAATCGAGCACGACATCGAAGACCGAGACCCGGTAGCCTACCGGACGGAAGAGATCCTGCCGGCAAACACGACGGACCCGGAGGGCCGCACGCGCGACCATTTCTACACGCCGAAGGCGGGGGCGCGGTGGAATGTGGCGATTGACCCGTCGCAGATCCGGGTTGTGCGGAAGGCGGAGAACGGGAGTTTCGTCGAGCATAACACGGATGATATACTAGAGGTAAGCGAGGACGAGGTGGGGAACCCGGTATGGGATCTTGGGGGCCCTCCTGTGGAGCTGCGTGTTGCGGGTGTTGAGATCGATTGGCCGATTGTCCTGGACACGGCGGCGGATCCGGGGACTTTTGATGTGAAGCCTACGGGGAAGCCGTTCTCGGCGCGGTTCGTGCCTTACGGGTCTAGTAAGCTACATATGGCTTTACTGCCTGTGGTTGAGCTGGACGACGTGGATTTTGGTCTTTGATATGTCGATTGGGATACGGTAGAATGATTAGATCAGATTGTTTGTAGCAAAACAGAGCACAGAGAGATAGCGATAGATGATGAATTTGATAATGATATTTGTGGATGCAAAGACTAGGCACATGCGGTGTACCTGAATATTTTGTACTCTCGTGAGTGAAAGAGAAAACTTAGGAGTAAATCAAAGCCATACGCGTTGAGAGAATTCCGCTCCAATCCTTATGTTCTAATCTCCCGTCCCTTAAACACTCCAGCCAAACCCTCGTCAGTAACCCATACCGTTACTCCACTCTTGAATTCCCATGAGCCATCCAATTTAGTAAGCGAACTATACTTAAGACTTTGCGATTTTGCACACCAAGTCCGATCCATCGACCGAGTCGCCTTCTTTGACTTGAAGACCTGTTACCTTACCGTTGTGGGGAGCTGAAATAACCATTTCCTATTACGAGTGTTAGCATGAATTATTATAGATATATATAGAACGAGGTGATCTTTACCATCTTCATAGCGCTGAGTACAGCGAGGGGATCTCCCTTCTTGACATCAGATCCTTCATGGACTCTCAACTCAACCAAGACACCGGCCATTGGTGCGCCAACCTGGCTAGAGTCGCCAAGATCAGCCTTTGGTCGGCTGACGTTCTCAACGCTAGCCTTCTTGTCATCAACGGTAACTTGACGAACTTCACCGTTCATCTCGTAGAACACCTCTCGTTGACCGGTATTCTCAGATAGAGGTCCGACAGCCAACAGCTTCAGGATCAGGACCTTGCCCTTTTCTAGCTCCACATGGAATTCTTCGCCAATCTGAGGCGCCGAGAGGAAATACTTTGTCGGCAAGACGGAGAGGTCGCCGAATCTCTGTACAAACTTCCTGTAGTCGTCAAAGACCTTGGGGTACATGAGGAAGGAAGCGACGTCCGTTTCGCTAACCTGTCCCCATTTTTGCACAAGCTCAGAACGCGTCTTCTTAAAGTCGACGGGGTCGAGATAAAGACCAGGTCGCTTATCGAACTTGCGGCGGTCTCTGAGGGCCCTCGAACGTAGAGGTTCGGGGAACCCACCGTACGGTTGACCCATCATGCCTTCAAGGAATTCGAGAACCGAACCGGGGAAATCGAGCTCACCAGCGCGATCGACAACATCCTGAGGCGAAAGCTTGTTCGAAACCATGAACTGGGCCAGGTCACCAACCACCTTCGAAGTTGGCGTAACCTTGACAATGTCGCCAAGAAGGTAGTTGGCTTGTTCGTAAGCCTTCTTAGTTTCAGCCCATTGAGAGCCAAGACCAAGTTGAGATGCTTGGAACATCATGTTGGTAAGCTGACCACCAGGAATTTCGTGCTCGTATACCTCGGGGTCAGGTCCAATAAGGTGAGCCTCGAAAGGTGAGTATAGAAGACGAAGTTGAGACCAATAGGTGTCCAGGGCACGAACATGAGCGGGGTTTAGGCCGGGATCATGTTCACTGCCCTCAAGTGATGCGATGATAGCATTGATGCTAGGCTGAGAAGTCATACCAGAGAGACTGTCTGTGGCGGCATCGACGGCATCCGCACCCGCTTGAGCACAAGCAACCATGGAAGCAACACCAGTGCCAGCAGAGTCGTGAGTATGGACGTGGATTGGAAGATCAGGATACTTCTTTCGGATGGCGCCGATCAAAAGGGTGGCAGCGCGAGGCTTCAGCACACCAGCCATATCTTTGATTCCAAGAACATCGATGTCTAGGGCTACCAGCTTGTCTACTAGGTCTATGTAGTACTCAAGGTTATACTTCTTCTTGGGGTTCTATTTGTAGAGTCAGTAAGTTCTGTCCTGTTATGGAGCTAATGAACGTTATAAAAATAGGGGCTAAATGATAAAAAGGGGTAGGGTAAATCAGAAGGTACGTACTAGGAAATCTCCGCTGTAGCAAACGGTTCCCTCGGCCACACCACCAGCCTTCTGTACAGCTTTGATACCGACTTCGAGCTGGTTGATGTCATTCAAGGCGTCGAACACTCGGAAGATATCAACACCGTTCTTCTTCGCTTGCTCCACGAAGTGGTCAATAGCGTTGTCGGGGAGTGAAGCGTAAGCCACACCGTTTGCTCCTCGCAGAAGCATCTGGAAGGGAATGTTTGGGATGGCCTTGCGCATCTTGCGGAGGCGGTCCCACGGGTCTTCGTAGAGGAAACGCATGGCGACATCGAAAGTAGCACCACCCCAGCATTCCAAACTGTACAGGTTGGAAAGGGCATGGCTCGTCTCCTTTGCAATACCTAGGAGATCAATTGTCCGTACACGGGTAGCTAGCAAAGATTGATGAGCATCACGCCATGTAGTGTCCATCAGCAGGCAACCCTTATTTTGGCGAACAGCCTTGGCGAATCCCTTCGGGCCTTGGTCAAGGAGAATTTGTCTCCATCCCTTCTTGGAAGGCTCGGAGACATCAAGTTTCGAGCCATCATCCTTGAAAAGCTCGGGAAGAATGATATCGCCCCTGAACTTAGGTTCGCCGATTTGACCCTTGATGCTGCTTCCGTTGACGGCGATGTCACCGAGGTAAGCTAGCAGCTTCTGTGCACGGTTCTGACTGCCGATAAGGTCGAACAGCTGAGGTGTATCATCGATGAATGTAGTCCAGCAGTTACCGTCAATGAAGGTCGGGTGAGTCAGCAACGAAGCAAGGAAGGGAATGTTTGTCTTCACGCCACGAATACGGAATTCGATGAGAGATCGAAGAATCTTTCGGCGCGCGATCTCGTAGGTTGAGCCGTGGCATGTGCACTTGACCAACATGGAGTCGTAGTATGGCGTGATAACCGCACCAGCGAATCCGTTACCACCATCAAGACGCACTCCATTACCACCAGCGGATCTGTACACCTCGATCTTTCCAGTGTCGGGCTGGAATTGCTTAGACGGGTCCTCAGTGGTGATACGGCATTGAATAGCGAATCCTCTCGTAGAGATTCGGTCTTGAGTTAAGCCGAGCTGAGCTAGCGAAGCACCCGCGGCAATTTGGATCTGAGCCGCAACGATATCAATACCGGTGATTTCCTCGGTAATGGTATGTTCGACTTGGATACGAGGGTTGATCTCGATGAAGTAGTAACGGTTTTGCTGGTCGACTAAGAACTCTGCGGTACCCGCATTTCGGTAGTTTACGGATTTTGCCAGCTTCACCGCGTCGGCCAAAATGTTGTCGCGGGTCTCGGCGGGGAGATCCTTGGCGGGCGCAATCTCAACCACCTTTTGATGTCTCCGCTGGACCGAGCAGTCACGCTCGTACAGATGTACAATGTTTCCGTGGTTGTCTCCGAGAAGCTGAACCTCAATGTGTTTGGGCTTGTCCAAGAAGCGTTCAACGAATACCGTACCATTACCGAAAGCCGTCTTGGCCTCGGAAGTGGCTCGGTCAAAGGACTCTTTCAAACTGCCTTGTTCTCGCACCACTCTCATACCTCGGCCACCACCACCATAGGCGGCTTTGATAATGATAGGGAATCCATATTCGTCAGTAAATTTCTTTACCTCCTCATATCTTTCAACCGCGCCTTCGGTTCCAGGGACAACAGGAACTTTCGCGGCAATGGCAAGTTTCCGAGCAGAAACCTTGTCACCGAGGGCATCGATGACATCGGGAGAGGGGCCAACAAACTACATAGACCGGTAAGTCACTTTGGATCCTATGCGAAAGTATACCCGGCTAGTAAGTAACCAGGAAATAACTTACAATGAGACCAGCTTTCTCAACGTTTCGCGCAAACTCGGCATTTTCTGAAAGAAATCCGTATCCTAAAGGGTTCGGTTAGAAACAATGACAAGATTGTAAATTGAGAATGAAATAATTACCAGGATGGATCATCTGAACACCATGTTCCAAGGCAATTTTGATAATCTCGTCGCCGGCAAGGTAAGCGCCGACCGGCGTATATTGACCTCGTTTACCAATGACGTAGGCTTCATCGGCCTCTGTAAGCGTATTAGCATTGCGCCACTCCCTCATCACGGTAGCGGGATATCTGCGTACTCTGCCGATGCATGCTAAGTCGGTCCTCATAACTAAGTACATATGTTAGCTTCGATGAAGTCATAACACGATTCTTACTCCGCTTACCTGAAAACAGCAACGGTGTGTAGTGACAATTCGTGAGCCTGATTGTTGAATTAGTTCTCTGAAAGCTTTGCGGAGAATTCTTGGGGTATCGCTTAGATTGCTTGAGGGGTTAACATACAGTTCTAAAAATCTAATACTCCAAAAATTATTATTAGTCGCAAGTAACTCCCAAGACATATTGTTGCATTGATACTGCATTAGGGAAGAGACATACACGAATAGCTATTAAAGGTTAGTTGAACGTCTCATTTACATGTGATGAAGTCTTGACTTACGAATTTCACCTCTGTTGGCAACTATACACCGGAATTAAGCAGTTAGTAAATTGATAAAACGGAAGCTGTAAGAGAGATAATTATAACTCACCGAGGAGTTTCTTCAAATGCATGATAGAGCTATTTGCGCGAATGTGATGCGCCGTCTTAGCCTCTTTCGGGGCGACGCCCTCTTCAAAGACATCTTCATTATCACTGCTAGTAGCAGCAGCACCGGCGGCTTTTCGCGCAGCCTCCAGGTCCTGGATGTCTTGGAAATCCATATCGGTCGACATTGTGACTTCAATGAATCAGCAGTTCCGGACTGCTGTTTGGGAATTAAAAGTCGCAGGAGCTCAAAGGAAGCTCAGTGGTGTGACGTAAGGAGAGGGGGAGGGGAGGTTTGTTGAGCTTGACGTCGTGATTAGTTTGGTGGGGTGGCGTTCTCAGCCGAGGGCCGTCAAAAGAGCTTGTGCTGCTAAGCTCTATGCTCTATGCTCACTTTCCTTCTCCCACACGCTGACGTACTAGGTATGTTAGAGCTCGACAGGCTAGCTCTGAGAAAGCGGGGTGTTTGTTCAATGTTGTAGGTATATAGGTGCCCGGATGGAAACAAAGTAGGTATGTAGGAAGAGACAAATAGGTCAGATAGATATGTCTGGTGCCTTTGTCTCAGCTAGCAGGTGATGTTACGCAAATGCCACCAAAAAAACGGAGAGGGGAGAAAGTATGAGAACTAATGACTCGGGAAAGGAGATTGAGGCCTTCTTAAACTTTTCTTATTTCCCACTTTGCGGGCCAAGAAGGTTGATGCAGGTAGCGCGAGTTCGTTCTCTTTTGTATACAACACACTACAACACACTACCCTCAATATAGTCTAGTACAACTAGTACATATAGTACAGAAGGCTTGGTGGATGGTGCCCAGATGGGTGGTGGAGGCTTGAAGTCGCATAGGCCATACATACTATAGTACATCGGAGACGGGCAAGCGGGATGGACGTTTTGAGGGGATTACTCCCCGTCCCCTTACTCGTCACTTCCCTTCCTTGGTACCTTGGTAATAGGTGATATGTGGTCCACGAAGGATGATCATCAGCCTCTTGTCTTACCCCCTACCATGTATAAGAAGGTGCCGAGCCGGCAAGGCGCCACCAAAGAGATAATTATCGTGGTTGCTATTTCTCTACCCTACCAAGTTGGAAGATTCAGTCCGAATCGACTGTACACAGTGCTCCTAGTAACTCGAGGGTCGCTACCTACCTTGTAATCTCCGAGCTCAATGGTCCATACTGCACATGTTACATGTGAGTAGTAACATCCATGATATTTTTATGGTGATAACAGCTCAAGAGGGAGGTAAGGCAAGATACGACACCCGCGAGGTTGCGCTTTGCAACGGTAGAATTTGACAGCTTAAGCCTCGAGTAGAAACGACCGGGTTAAGTTCCTTGGTAACCAAGTGAAAAGACCCTTGAGTTGACGACCAATCTGGACTATGCTCGGGTAATGGGTCCCGAGAAGATCTATTCGTTTCCAGACTCTAATTCAGACAGGGTATATACCACATACATAATGTGTATAAGATGGTATGTTATGGTAACTAAAAAAGGAGTACAATGTACGATGCATAGCGGGGTTGGCGGGGTTGGAAGGTTGAAAGTGGGAGGTGCGGATTTAATGGCTGCAGGAAAATACACCTCAAGCACGAGCTCTGAGCTATTAACTGCTGCAATAAACTGCAACAAACTGCAATAACCCTTGTTTACAAGGTATTAAGCATGGTGCTTCCGCGGTCCCTTCCTTGCTTCGCCTGCGCATGCAAAATAAAGTTGCACCGTCACCGCGAAGAAGGGAAAGAGGGGTCCTAATTGTTCAGGTCAAACATAGATCAAGCAAGCTCAACCTTTTGAGACGCAGTACTAGGGTAAGCCTACGAAGGTCCCCTGCTGTGTTTATTTTATTCTTCCTTTTTAGATTGACCAATGAGAATAGCCGGATAAAACAGTTGCTTTCTAATTCACCAATAATTTCGGACTAATACATGACTTTATGACTGTCTTAGAACAAGCCTTACTTACTACCGAATTCGGATACATATTTGAGGGGGATATATACCTAACCTACCTATGCTATGTCTTTTATTGAATAGCCCGCCTCGGCTATGACTCTTCTTTTTTTTGCTCACATCCCCTTTCTTCTCCTTCTATGTATTGTCGGCTTTTAGCCAGTGAGCGAACGAGAGATGAGCACCTGATGAGGTATGTATGCATCATGATCAAACACATGAAAGAGACATTAACATGCAGTTGATGGTCGGTTCTTGAGGGAGAGTTTACCTATTTCGGTAGTTTGCTGACAGGGTGATTCGTACAATTACATCACCCTAGCTATAATCCTACAGTATAAACATGGTTAATTAAGAACCGTATAGCTCTTATAGGAGTTCTTGAGAAGGAGTGATATTCGTCCTCATGCACCGTCACCCTCCTACCCATGCGACCAACATACTTGGCTGGGACAGCCAAGCTCCAATATCTTAGTTACTCCGGCGGAGGACGGCGGTGAAGGCCGTCTCGGCGTATTGTAGATATACGGAGGCGCAGATATCTTGGCTTGTTTTCTCTTCCTGACTTGTCGTAACTTGTTCTGTTTCGTTTCATTTTAGTTTCCCTATTGTTGAGATCAGACGTTTGGAAATTATATAATACGATATAATATATATGACTAATGTCCACCGTTCCGGCTCATACCCCGACCTAAGATGCAATAGAGATTCTCTTAATGCGAGAGACAGGGTTGCGCAACTCGCCTAGTGTCGTCACAGAGTGCGCCAGAGTGCGCCAACGCGACGGATGTGGTGCTAGCGATGCTTCCATCTGACAGCTTATCTAGATTGCGCTATTAATTGTTCGCCAGTCGCTTGGCGAGACGACTTAAATCCAAACTTGGCCGTCGATCGTCAGAAAATCAGAGAGGCTTTTTCTTCCTGTGCCTTGTCGCCAAGCTACTGGGTATGGATTTCATGCATCCGCCCGCCTTAGCTATAGGCATCATGCCTCTTACTGTATCCGCATATGGCTATTGATTTTTTGGCTCGGGCAGAGGGGAATATTCCAATCAGGTAGGTGCCTACTTGTCATGTTCAACTATGAATGTCAGTAAATAGAGAAAAGTGACAACTCTTTCTGTAGCCTCATCGGAATCTCGACTCTGTTTATAAAGCTGCTTAAGTATTTACTGTAATATATTCTAGTTTACTGTAAGGCTGAAGGATTTATCTGATCTTTGATCTGGCCGAGACACTGGAATAGCCTAGATTGCATGTGCAATAACAGATAATATAATGGATAGTACCTCCCTAGTAGTAAGTTATGGTCGGTCTCACACTTCATTGGTTACCCCACACATTGTTGAATACCTAGTAGGATCACGGATGCTCCTCCTCAATATTATCCCTCGCATTATTCTTTTTTCAACGGGAAAGTACAGCCGGTACGACAAATACATGTACGTTTCAAGGTTCATTCTGGTTCGTATGTACATCGAATCCCTCTCGCTGCGTGCGGAGATTAGCACACCGGCTTGAAGTAATGGTGTCGAGGACTAAAGCACTTCCCAAACCTTGAGGTCTCCGAGGGGGGCGGCTATACGAAAGTGTACATGGGACCCTCAAAGCTAGGATATACGAGACGCGTCGTCAGGGAGGGCATGTGACCAACTGCCATGAACTAGGGATTTCTCTGTTTTAAGCGTGGGGGTTTCCGTTACGTCGATAGGTCTGGTCCAGGTCAGACGGCATGGTCTGTTTGAAGCCCCTAATTCGCCATGTGAAGCCTGTTCACTCAATAAGCTCGAGAGTTTGTTGATTCAATGCACTTATCGGCGATACTACCCTAATTCCAGGCATAAAGTATTTCATTGCTATACTTTCCATAATTGGAAATGAGCTTTGAACACCATTTGGACCTTTCGTTTGTCCTAGAGACTCCTTCGGCTTCATCTTGATGGGTCTAGCTCCTTGAGTGGACATGATAGGAGAAACAGATAAATATAGACACCGCCAGGTTTGGTAGCGGCCGTGTCGATGACTTCGAACATCTTGGCTTGTCATACTTATGTTTTACTCATCCCCGCTATTCATTCTTTTTGTATAACTGAACAAGACGAACAACTCGTCACTTTATTACGATTGATAGCAACGATAACGACGATAACAACAACACGTAAGACATCGAGATCGCTACCATTGCATTGCGGATGAGTTCCCCGGTTTAGAGAAATTCACTAACGTACCTCGTTACCAGACGTTTCTTCCATGTATGAGTGTCACCAAAGAGCTGGAGTGATTAGAATCAGAACCTCATTGCTAATTCTAATTCTAGTTTAAGGCGATTACCACAGAAATGACTTTATGGCCCTTTTGATGCACTAGAAGTACAAAGTCATGACACTCCTTCACTCATTTACGCATGATTCCATCCAAACCCTCCCCTCAGCCCCTCTGTTGAAGAGTTGAGATCACTCTAAACGCATATGTGCGACCCCTCTAGTCGAATGCATAACATCGCCGGTAACAGATTCCACAAAATATATGATTGACGCCAAGAATGTTCCATATTTTGGAGAACTCTATTTCGAGATTGCCTCTTTGATCTTATCGCTGGCTGCAGCGGCCTTCTCTTTTGCTTCTTCAACAGCACCGCTGACGCCGGCCTTCTCTTTTCCGCCCCAATGATGCCATTGAAGATATCGGTACCCTTGTGTTATTTGCGAGCCCTCGTTGATGAAGTGGCATAGGAAAAGGAGGTAGTTCCTGGGTGTTATGGCGAGGGCGTATCGCATGAAGGTTGCCGAGTAAATTGTGAGGGCGAGAGTCATTTGGCCGGAAATCCTACAATTGGAAAGATGTTCAGCTTTCGAACTTGTCTAAGACATGAAGAGACTGGGAGTGGAAGACAATGCTTTGTCGTCCTACTTGCCCAATTTGCACAACAAGATGATAAAAGTAAGTGGGCAACTTACAGTTCAGGTGATTTCTGTGCGTCCATAACTGCTGCAACTGGAATACCGAAGTTCGACGCAGGCCCCCAAAAATCTGTCAATCAGCTATGTCAGCAGTCAGTTCCCAACATGTTGGTGATGGCGCATCGGGTAAGCAATGTCCTCATACTCCCATATTGCATCAGAAGAGAGCGACGCAGAAGTTCAGGATACCGCTACACGAGGCCTCGAAAAGAACCTTCGAGCCATTCGCAGATGACCCAATGTCATGCGCTGCCCAGAGAAACCATTATGCTATGTAGCGACAACGATTTCGTTCCATCGTGAATGGCATCGGACATTACTGGGTAAAGTCCGGAAGGGATATTGGGAGTCACTTACGTGTAGAGCAGAAGTAGCTCACGGTCGGGTTCGACCTAATCTTGGCGTTTACTGCTTTGAAAAAGGCTGCCATCTTGATCTGTCACCGGGATATCAAACAACGACGGAAAGGTAGGAAGGTTTGCAAAGCAAATAACGTTGTCGTTAAAAGTTGCGCGCCGGTGAAGGGATCCTTGAAAAAAGGTCGGGTGTCCGATTCGGATACTGTGGGAAAATTTCCAATGGGGCAATTTGGGGCAGTTTGCCAGTTTGGCGGGTCGCAATTTGTTGGCTGGTTGGATAGATCCGATAAGCGTCATAAGCAACACCGCACCTGTAACCTGCTGTAACCCCCTGGATATTGGGAAATAACAACCAACCATTACCCAGCTGTAGTCAGCTGGGTCCCGCTTATTTACTTTATTCCAGTAGACATTTTAGTACATTATCAAGGTAATCCCGACGACACTTTATCATCAATTGCATCTACACGGTACCTAGTACTTTATGTAGGAGACAAATTACTTAGTATGGTAGCCTTTAATGCTTTCGGGACTCATGTGGTGCTGTATTTGCGACCCTTCCGATCAATCGTAGAGTACAGAATGCGATTTTCACCATTATTTGGTGCTACCCGTAGTTTTCAGCTACTACCCTTTAACGCCAATGGTATTCCTGGTCATTACTCGGTACGACTTTCTTCCATTCTCTGAACTCAATTTCCAATCTGCTACTATCTTCGAGGTGGAGGGTTGAATCCCGGGGGAGCGCCGCCAGCAGGATTAAAGCCAGGTGGTGGGAATTGAGTGTTCTGGGGGAACCCTGGGGGAGCGAATCCACCAGGCGGGAATCCAGGTGCAGGAGCTGACGTAGGTTAGTATGCAAAGTTTATTGATATGTAATGATTTGGGAGATACTCACGACCGCCTCTGCCAGGACCAAATCCAGGGGCACCACCAAACTGGGGGAAAGGGGGAGGAGCACTGCCTCCAACACCAGCAGCCGGACCCTAATGAATATTAGTTCTGAACATCACCCAAGCTATATTTGCCCAGTACTGTTACTTACAGCAAGAGATGTTGGGGCTGCACCACGCCCCGCGGGACGAGAGACACCAGGACCAGAAGTTAAACCAGTAGGTAGACCGCTCGGAGTACTCTTGCCAAGTCGCGTGCTAGGATCGGCGGGAGGTGCAGATTCGACAGAGAGAGATACGATGTGAGCACCACGGAGAATCGTCAAGCCCAAAGTACGCTTTTCTTCCGTCTCGATCGTCTGGGTTGCGGATGAGCTAGATGCGCCCGGCGCGGTGGGCTTTGCCTGCTTTCGCTTTACGCGTCGAAACTCTTCCGTGTCGGCAAGAACGAGATTCATATGCTATAAGAAAATCAGCCAATGCATTTGAGCGAGTTCCGATCGAGTAATAGTTACCTTATCGAAAGCTAGCATTTGACCTGTCATTTGACGGCCGTCCATCAACGTGACTCTCATTCGGTAGTTGATCTAAAAGTAAGGTGTTAGTAGGCGCCAATACACTGTCTATAACGGGCGCGCCGCGATAGAAAGACGCGATCGAGGGGAAACATACGTAACCGGCCTAGAGAAAATCGGTTTAGTCAGCCTGTAACGTCAACGTCGAAGCTATAAATCGGTGAAGGGAGGCGACATACCATTTTTCCTTGCTTGTTCGACATCTTTGCGATGACTAGCTCCAGAAGAGCCTGTTATATGGTTACAAAAATTGTTTCTTTGTGTTTTTTGAAGTCGAAATGACTTCGGCGAGGACTCTGTCTCGACGTTCACGGTGTGAAAGGTTAGAGTCCAAGCTTTGATATGGTAGATAGGCGGAGCTCAATTAGCAAAAGTTGGACGAGGCAGAAATATCAAGGCTGAAAGACGAAGCTCCATTGAAAAATACCTAGGTACATGCAGCATCTAGAGGCTAGTCCAGGATGGGTAAGGTCACACCTAATCGAGAATTTGGATCCACACCAACTTTTTATCTCTCAACTGCCACACTGTATGCTTGCATTAGCCACAATTCTCCCCCACACTTTGCAATAGGGCAAAGAAACCCTTTAACCACGCGAAATTTAGAATTGAACTTTCTATTCTCAACCTCGCAATTCCCAATTTTTGCGATAAGCAACAACGTCCTTCAAGTCCACGTTTGCGATCGTTACTAACCATAAATCAGCCACCATGGTACGTTTAAATAATCGCAATTACTTCCTTACGTCTAATACTAATAATGCTTGTAATCAGTCCGACAAGGCCCAGAACCCCATGCGAGAGCTTCGCATCCAAAAGCTCGTCCTTAACATCTCCGTCGGTGAATCTGGTGATAGATTGACCCGTGCCGCCAAGGTCCTGGAGCAGTTGAGCGGTCAGACTCCTGTCTACAGTAAGTTGTATTATCAATTCGAAACCTAAGATTTCAATTGTTCCTAATCACCATGTTCTTAGGCAAGGCTCGCTACACCGTCCGAACCTTCGGTATCCGACGTAACGAAAAGATCGCTGTCCACGTTACTGTCCGTGGCCCCAAGGCCGAAGAAATCCTCGAGCGTGGCCTCAAGGTCAAGGAATACGAACTCCGCAAGCGCAACTTCAGCGAGACCGGTAACTTTGGCTTCGGTATTAGCGAGCACATCGATCTCGGTATCAAGTACGACCCCGCCATTGGTATCTACGGCATGGACTTCTACTGCTGCATGACTCGTCCCGGTGAGCGCGTCACTCGCCGCCGACGATGCAAGAGCAGAATCGGTGCCGGCCACCGCATCGACCGCAACGAGACCGTCAAATGGTTCAAGCAGCGCTTCGACGGTATCGTCCGATAAATCTCCAAATTTGAGATTGGGCGAAACGAAGGATAACATGGCGTTGGCTGGTTGCATTGATTCAGGCGGACTCTGGGACAAAACGATTCATGGACTTGTACCTACTGAACTCTGGCGAGTGACTTCGTCATATTACTAGCATGACTTGAATTAAGTCTGCTGCGGCCTTAGAGACCGACCGGCACACTGCCGGCTTTTGATGCATTAATGAAGAACCTTGTGATGACATTTTATAGTATCAGTGATACGACACGTTGCAGCATGCTGTTTTTGACTTCGGTTTGGCTTTTTGGTATAGTTCAAGGACGCTGATCTTGAATCTGACTATCTGCGCAGTGTTTACCCCCCTACATACAGGTAGGTAGGTAGTCTAGGAGCCGCGCGACCAGGGAAATCATACAATTTGTTCAAAATAGGAGAGCTTTTCCTGTTGGATTGTTCAGTGTTGTTTATCAGAGACTGGACTTACACTTTCTCCTATGCGATCTCGAGGCCTTCTGTCGGTACATTGTATTATGTTAAGCTATTGAAGTACTTGCAAATCTTAATAGGAGAGTTGAGGGAAGGTGCGAGTATAGGAAGGTTGCTAGAGGAGTAGGTATACGTTTCAAGAAAGAAGTCGCAAGGACACACCCTACCCGTTGAACTGCACCTTCTTAGTCTGACTACGGTCCAACACTTTACACAATCTACTTCTTCAAATTTTGAAATTTACCTTCGCAAACTTTCCTTTTAACATGTTGGTAACCCAGCAGTAATTCTACTATCAACCCACCCTTATACTCGCTGGGATACTCATATCCTTGATTATCGATCTTCATTATCACTTACTATATCAATCATATTCATGCCCAGACGCTCTAGACTCCGTACTAGTTTATCACCCATCTTTTTTCATGCATGGCGGTTAGGCCTGAGGATCACATAGTTTTCTAACTCAACGAAGCGACTTTGAGAGATTTCAATTCTGAATCCGCTCATATTATATATCTGGAGTATGAGCATAAACATCTTTGAAATCTATGAGATGTAGCTCTAGGTTCCATAGCGAACATGTCCTGTCACTGGAAACAGAAGTCTCACGACAGTTGGGAAATGACACAGAGCAACCCTCCCTCAGAACTTCCGAATGATCCCATTACATGTAGTAGTTCTAACCCGGACGAGCGCTCATCCTCACCACTAACACAAAGCGAGAGGTCACAAAACGCTCGTACTGCATCAGGGGTCCAAATTGGTGGCAGTCTTTTCTCCCAAGCAGCGCAACAAGAAACTGAGCCTATCCCTCGTGATATGGGCATGCCTAACCCGGAGGATATGCTCATCACGATCCCGGATTCTCCTTCTCACGTATCCTTAAAATCAGATATTGATGATCATATCTCATCAATTCGGTCGGAACGACTTGAAATAATGGAACACACAAAGCCAGACCCTAAAAGTCGTCGTCCTAAGGAGAAGTCCAACGCTGCGGGATCAGATTTGGATGATAGTGACTTTGAAATACCTGAGGATGGGAAAGAAGATTCCGATAGTTCTTATATGGAAGAGACACCTCAACGTCGTAAGAAAAGAGCACTAAGAAAAACCACGAGTGCTAAAGCCGCCAACAAACCACGAACTGTGACCAGGAGTGGTACACAAAACACATCGACGGCAACCAAGAAACTTAAACAAGTTGCAGCTCAGAAATCTCAACTGCAGGAACGAGACATAGTAGCGAAGACAGTATCGAAGCGCCCTAAGCCGGTCAATAAGAAATCTAATCAACCTATCAAAGTCATTCCAAATTCTCAACAGGCTCATAACGAGAAACAGGCGAAGCCAGTAGCAAGAATCCCGAAAAAATCGTTTTATGCCGAGCTACAAGATGACAAGTCGGCACAAGCTACACAGTCTATCGCTACTAAATCTAAGCTTGAGCCGAATTCTGGTATAGTTGCGGACAAGAAGCAGAATTCGAAAGATCAAAGTCGTGTGCCTTCAACTTCACATAATGAAATAGATGACGATGATTCATGGTACGTATTAGGGTCATCTGAGAAAGAAGACAGCAATCCATTGCCGAAAATATTACCCAAGAAACGTGTCCCACAAAAAGCACCTGCTGTACTTGTAGGAGCCAATTCCAAGACGAAGCGCAGCCCCGTGCAGTCAGAATTGAAACACGGAGATTTTAAGAAGAGCACTGCACAAACTTCCGATGGACAGAAAATCATTCAACGCCTAGGCGATAGCGAATATTTTCAAAAGGAAGATCACGAGACTCGGGGCCAGCAACTTAATGGTCAAGCGGAAACAAAGCAGCCAATGGACCAAGACATTGGGCTTTCTAATGAGGATATGGATTTCATACCAGATAGCCCGGTGAATAATTCGACTCCTGTTGAAAGTGAAAACAACGCATACATCAAACAAAAACGGGCTCTTCAAAGAATCACAGAGGAACCAGTGGAACCAGTGCTAGAGGCTGCAACCACAAACCAGGTTTCCATGCCGAATAAGGACATAACTCGAATATCACCAGACCGTGTCCCCCTAAACCCCCCAGAAGCTGACGCGCAACCAATCCCTGAGGAACAGCCACAGTTCTCAGCACTTATCTCGAGCGAGACTAAAAAGCAAACAAAAGAAGTAAACCCCAAAGCTCTTTTAGAACGTGAAATTTCTGACAGCAAAAGAGAGGTTGCCGCGAGCCGTACTGTACAACCCAGCACAACAGGTGGCTTATTGGGAAAAGTCCAAGCCAATAACTATGTGGATGATCATCCGAAATCACCGGTTGAAGAGGTCTATGACCGGATCAGGATCATGGATGAAGAAGAGATCACGATAGATACCAGACTTTCTAAGCGAAAGCACGCGTCCCTACCGTCTCCATGCACTAGTTTTGACCAGCAAATAATCCACATGGGTGATAGGCAGAAGGGCCTGAGTAAGACGAATGTATACGTTGATCAGTCACGGGACGGCCGCGTTCTAGCTAAGGAACACCAGCTTTATCCGGAGCCCAAAATCCAACATCAACGTCATGCAACACCTGTGGCAATCAACACACGTTCGATGGTTAGCGAGTCAGGGAGCCCTCTGAGCCCTTCGAAGCCGAAGGTTGTGGATGTAGGAATATCCAAACGGAATTCACTACATGAACTTCAACAGCCGATCAATTACGAAGAACGACTCAAACTTACAGAAAGACCCCACATCTCCGCTAACCATGATATTTCTTGGCCTGTGTATCCTTCACAGATAACCTCAGATTTCGAGCCTCGGCTCCTTAAAGCTGACGTTCCTCCGCCGGCTAGACGTGTGACTCCTCAGGCATCCAAACTGACGAGACAGAAACCCCTAGATCGATTAGAGAATTATCGGCCCATGCCCCAAGTATTAAGTCCCAGCTCAAGTATCCAACGTCCAGCAAAATGTCCAGAGGATACTGCTCTTCAAGCCCCGAGATTGGATCCGAGATCCCTAGATTTCGCTCGTAGAGTTGCGCAAGAACAGAAAGAGAGGGGCCCAAACCAAGTCGATGAATATAGACCAGGAAAGGAAAAATATCAGGTCGTCAAAGAGCCGTCATGGGTGCAATCAAAATCTGCAGTGATGCCCTGGGATGCCTCAAGGCCATCGCTTTCCGAAGCTGATAACTCGAGGGAATTCCTCGATAAACGATCTCCAAGGAGACATGAACGTAAGCCGGGTAACCAGGCACCGAAGCCCGAGTACGAGACAAAATGGCAGGAGGCAGTAGATGCGGCCTCTGGGGGTGTGGTAGATACTCTTCATTTTATCTCCACGGTAAAATTCCTCTTTCCCTCAAAACAGAGTTTTCATAACGCCTACTAATCAGAGAATAGAGCCTTCTTGAACATTTAAGAAGTCGGGATGAAAGTATCATTGCAGTCGTTAAAGAGTATAAACGTAACGGTGCGAAGATATCGGAGAGATTAGCCAAACGTCAATCAGGAGAATGGCACCAAGCATCAGTCACGGCTGAGCAGACGTGTTTGGAGCTTGCAACAATATACGGAGACTTGTCTCGAAAAACACAAAACTTTCGGACTAAGTGTTTGTCTAATCGTCGGAACCAAGCGTATGTGGAATGGCAACAGCAAGCGGCACGAATCAAGAGTGCCGTACGCGCTGCTAGAGAGGAGGCGAGTCTGGGTTGAAGAGGAACAAATCTGAAAAATATGTGCTTCTACCAATGCTCGATCAGTCATATGTCGACACAAGGCTAAATTTGCTGCCATCAAACTACATTATAATTTGCAAGAACATGTGGGAATCACCTTGGAAGTTTAATTGATGGTCCATTCAGCTCCTGTATCCGCCGCGGGTTCTTAGTTGGAGGCTGAAACATGGTAGCAGGCACCTTACCACTGTAGATTTAGCGGAATAATGCAGGGTCTATAGGTACCTATTAACTGATAAATTTCAAGTCTATTTGCACCTAGCAGTTCCTTCATTACATCCATGTACCTGATCGACGCCACCGGAGGGTTTATTCCGCACTGATTTAGAGAGTCGATTGGGACTGTCGGGTCCTTCTTTACTTGTCTGTTTGTTCAGCAGCATCCGACTGCTTCGTGTTGTACGATAAAATTTCATTTCGGTTGACTGCAGCGTGTACTCTGCATCAGCCAATGAGCTTATGCATTGACACCGCCATCGCCCGCCCTCTCAATGCGTCTTGCCAGCAAATTGAAACAGGTTTCCACGAAGTACATTCATAGGCACACCCTACCATCTATGTGGCGGCCTTCCCGCAAAAGGTCACATAATTACACCTTACAAGAGTCGCTAGAATGGAGCCTTTAGACGAGCCAGCCCACGAAAGGGAACCTCTTATCCCCAGAGATTTACCACAGGATTCGACCTTAAGCCGCTCTCCGCCACGGCCCCATAATGGCGTCGAGACACGGCACTGGACGTCCGATCCCGGTAAGCCGGCGGTAGGATCTGTAGATACCCGGCGGTCAACGAACACGCTCCCCCAGATCGCTGCAGCCATGTTCTCGTTTATCGTGCTGGGCATGCTGGTCTCGACGCTCGGGGTCATGGTTCCCCGGTTCGAAGCGTATTATCATCTCACCGATTTAAAGGTCTCGGCTATCTTCCTCGTTTGGCCTGTTGGGTACGTAGTTACTTCGTACCTCAACGGCGCGATCCATTCGCGGTTCGGGAGGAGGGGAGTCGCTGCTGTCGGGCCCCTTTTTCATATCGTGCTGGCCGCGGTTGCGGCGATGCATCCTCCGTTCCCGGTGTTGTTGGTTGCGATGGCGGTTGGTTCTCTCGGGACGGGCGTCCTAGACGGCTCGTTTTGCGCTTGGGCCGGAGGCATGGAGAACGCGAATGTGGTGCAGGGGTTCTTGCACGGCTCGTACTCGGCGGGTGCGGCTTTGGGACCGTTTCTTGCTGGGACTATGCTTGAGGTTGGACATCTGCCATGGTATGCTTGGTATTATGTTCTTGTAAGAATCCCCATTTACACCTGTCTACCAAGATAGTACATAGCTCTTTAAGGCATAGCTACTAACAGCAGGATCACAGCTCGGCGCCTCCATAATCGAATCCCTAACCCTCCTCCTCGCCTTCCGCCTCGACGACGCAGAAACATACCACTCCTCCCACACCACCCAAGACACCACCCCTTCTCCCACCTCTAAAACCGCTATCTTCAAACATCCCGCAACCTGGATCTGCGCGCTCTACTTCCTCGCCTGCGTCGGCACCGAAAACGCTATATCCGGCTGGATCGTCGTCTTCATGACCCGCGGCACCCGCTCCTCGCCCTACCTCGCCAGCCTCACCTCCTCCCTCTTCTGGGTCGGCCAGGCCCTCGGCCGCGTCGTCCTCGGCGCCCTTGCCAACGACCGTCTCGGCGTTCGCGCTGCGACGATCGTGTACCTCCTCGCGGCCCTTGTCTTCGAAGCCCTGTTCGCGTGCATCCGCGTCCCGGCTTTCGAGGCCGCTATGGTGGCGCTGCTTGGGTTCTGTCTTGGTCCGCTGTTCCCGTCCGGCGTGTTTGTGCTAGCACGGTTGTTGCCGAGGGAGTTGCATGTTGCCGCTGTTTCGTTCGTCGTTTTGGTTGGACAGGTTGGTGGCGCGGGGTTCCCGTTTGCGCTTGGGGCGCTGGTGGAAACGTTGGGGATTCGTGTTTTTCAGGCCGTGGTTTTTGCGCAGATTTTGGCGACGTTGGTGGTTTGGTTGGCGTTCCCGAGGTTGCCGCCGCCGCCGCTGGAGGATGAGGGGTGTGGTGAGATGGGGGAGGAGGAGGTTAGTTAGTTAGGTAGTTAATAGAAATATTACATACATCTATACTCTGTACATCGCTCCTGGATGTCGACCTAGGTAGGTTTTCGACAGGTGAAATTAGCAGCCATCTTGCTGCTGCTGTAGCAACCTCCACTATCTACCCCAATAACCGCGATGAGACGCAACAACCACGATACTCTACACGACATGTCACATTTTCATTTAATACCAGTAAATAAAATAAAAAGAAAAAAAGAGAAAAAGAATAAACATACAACACCACGGATTCGCTGGTCGTCACCGACCCAACTACTAGTGCGGCGGTATTTAGCTTATCTATGGGAGAGCGGACGGGATCCCGAGTATTCTAAATCCTATGGTCGTATGTGATAGACATAGGTATTATTAAAGATTATATTATCTACGTTTGTTGGGTGTTAGTGGGTGAGCATTTGCGACACTAGAAATCTCGTCACGGTTGCATATTGGTGTCTCGAATTTAACCTTTTTCAACCCAACGACAACGACTAGAAATTCTGAGATAATACACAGGTAGAATAAGTATGTTTCTTGTATAGTTTGTGTATACTGTATCTAGGTCAAGTATGTAGACGCCTTATGTATAGATCCATCCCTAGAATATCCCTACGCACTAACATCAAACTCATCAATAACGCTCACAGGCTTGACGAATTTACCCAGAGGCTTGTAAGTGAGATGCTCCATGCCGAAAGCCTTCGGGCCACCAAGCTCAATACCCCTCTCAGAAGTCCAGCGCTCACTAGCCGTGATTCCAAGAACAATGACCAGTAACCCGTACCGGTACTCAGGAGTGCCTATGGCTTCACCATTCTGCGCGTCGATTACGGTGATTAAGTCAGGCACAAGACCCAACACCTCGTCTTCCGTCTCCACCGTCTGCCCATCTACAATTGACCGGGAGATCTTGATGGCTGCGATATTCTCGTTCTTAAATGGGATCTTGATCTTACCCTGGAACCCGGAAGAATCCTTACTTCCCGCGGCGGCATCGTCGTCGACCACGTCCGCGCCCTCGATGATGCACTCGCCGTAGACGTGACCCATGCGCAGAGTGCGCTCCACGCCTACGATCTTGCCCTTCCATAACAACTTACCAGCCTCAGGACCTCCGCATTCAGCTAGGATAGTCTCCGCGACATTGTCGATACGATTAGCTTGGCGCGCCTTCGCGACCGCTCGCCCGATTCTCCATGATTGCGAGATAGTGTGTTCGACAGCCCATCGCTTGCATTCCGCCCCTGTCACAGGCGGGTCGGCGAACCCGACACCCGACCCCATCTGGCTCAGCGCCGCGCGGAGTATACGCTCAGCTTGAAGATCCGAAGTAGATTTCGGCACGATGACAACGTTTCCATTTCCATCTGTCATCGCAACAGGCGACCAAATCGGCGACCGCTCATTGAAAACCACCGGTGTCGTCTGCCACTTAGTCGGATATGCGCGACCCATCCAATCGCCGTCTACAGCCGGCATATTCATGTTCGTGCTCGCGCCGATGATCATGCTCTGCAGACCGTTGCCGCCGCCGATCTCCACCGCGATGATGTGCGAGGGGTAGTTGTCGCAGATCTTGTATAGCTCGACTTGCGCTTCGGTCATTTCGTCGCCGCCGAGCTTTTCTATCCCGACTGTCGGCGAGCCCGCGTGGCCGCCGGTTGCTACGGCCGCGTCGTCGGGTAGGTCGTCTGGGCTCACGACGCGGATTACGTCGCCTCTCCGCAGCATCCCTCGCAGCCGGATCATGGTGGAATAGGGGCTGCCGCCGCCGCCGGTCCCGAGGATGTAGCAGCCGATTGTGATCCATGCGAGGTCTGTCTCGTTGATGTACCAGACGCGGTTCGTTACCGTGGGCTTGTAGTTGTCGATGTCGAGATCTTCCTTTGGTTCTTGCTTCGTCTTTTTCTCGGAGTTTCGTGCGGCTTTTTCGTATTCGTCCATTTGGACGTCTGGCTCTGTGGATGATTCGTCGAAGTGAAGGGTTGCGAAATCTGTGCGTGAGTAATCGAGATCTCCGGCGGCTCGTACGGTGAATCGTGACTTGTTAGCAATGTACTATAATTACAATTAGATGATGTTCTTTCCGGTAAGGGAAAGAGTGGTAAATTACTGGTAAAGGTAAAGTATCCATTTCTACAACCTTTGCGGTTGATCTCGATGCACCATTCGCTACAGCTCGCTCGATAGCATCTTGGCAGATGTCCTCCAAGATTTGTTGCGTAGATCTAGACTCGGTAGATTTCACTGTATCTACGACAGCGCTGACTCTCGCAATTGCAGCTCCGATGGCATTTGCGACTCCCGACCATTTTGGTTTGAGGACCTTGCTCGCCCCCTTTAATTCATCCGGGGCTATTACGGCACCGCCTCCCACGAGAAGTACGGGGATATCCTCCGGCGATGTCTTCATTGTGTCGATTATCTTTTCGATCTTATGTTTGACAACAGCCTTGAATTTTGCGATTCCCTCGTCATTTAACGCGCCTTTCGCTAGTTCCTTATTCCCTATCTCGACTGTACTATCCGCTAGTACCGTACAATCAGTGGTGGTAAGTACTTTGCCGCCGAAGACTAAAGCTTCTTCGGTGATTTTATAGCCAACGCTATCAGGGCCTACGGTTAGTGTTTCGCCGTCTCGGACGATAGAACCGCCACCGAGGCCGATACTCTTGACGTCCGGGCATGAAAAATTCATCCGAACACCCGCCAAGTCGCTATACGCAGCTTGCTGGCGTGGGAAACCGTTCGCGAGCAATAAGCCTACATCGGTGGTTGTGCCACCTATGTCGACTACCATTATTGCTTCTTCTAGCTCGCTCTGTACGAGGAAGGCAGCGCCGCGCATACTGTTCGTTGGGCCAGAAGAGAATGTTCGGATAGGCAACTTTGCCGCCATATCACCGGAAAGAATAGTACCATCATTCTGCGTGATGAATACGGGACAATTGAGACCTAGACGCTTAACTGGCTCTTGGAACGAACGAATTGTCTTACGAGCAAACGCAAGGATCGAAGCATTCAATATAGCAGCGTTTTCCCGCTCTAGAAAGCCCAGATTGGCAACTTCTTTGGAACAGACGATATCGGCATCGGGGATCTCAGCACGGACAATGGCGGCGGCGCGTTCCTCTTGCTTCTCGACGGTGTCGATAGGACTGAAGACTCCGTTTATGACTATGCTTTTGATTCCCTTTTCCCGAATGATGGCGCATTGCTCTTTAATCTCGTTCTCGTCGATATCGGAGATAAGATAGCCGTCAACCTCCAAGCCTCCCTTTAAGAGGGCATGATAGCCGAGAATGAGTTCGCGCATGTCGTCCGGCCAGTCGATGCAAGGGGGGGCGTGCTTAGAGAACGGGCCGCAGAGCCGCAGGACGGCTACTTTAGACAGTCTTGCCGCATCCCTCTCAATGACGGCGTTGACGAAATGAGTTGTTCCGATGGTGACGCTAGCAACTTGCTCCGGGCTGATACCAGCGGTCTTGAACATGGTGGTGATAGCATCATTGATCCCAAGACTCGGGTTTGTAGTCGTCGGCGCCTTGTGCCAAGCGATGATGCCCTTATCGGGATCGAGGGCGCGCAAGGGGTCGAGGACGACACCATCAGTATTGGTGCCACCGACATCGACGCCGATGCGCAATGTTTTGCTCGAAGTGATAGAAGATCCCATTTTATTCTAGAAGACAGAGATCTCAGATCCTGCAAGATCTATGTACATGTATTGCGCATGTATAGGTACACTACCTAGGGCCAGTCGCGGACGGAGTTTCGTTGAAATAGCAAATAAGCTACCCCGGTTACTTGATCAGTATATTTGTACCGAAGCCGGCTTCGGCCGCGACTATTATTTATCGCTACCCTCTAATGGAGGGATGAGCGGGATTGGGAGGTCCAATGCGGCTAGCATTGCGTCTGAAAGGATTGTGATACTTTTAAACTTAATAGGACGGGAACGTTGCAAATTGATAGAAATTTGAATTCTATTCTTTCTTTTTTTTTTCCTTCTTTTTTTCTTTTTACTTCGTACCTACTCTTTTTAGATCTGACCTGAACATCTCGTTCGACTTGTATCTGATTCTTTATCAAGTTCGGAGAAGGAATGATAGTTAAATTATCCCATCGAGTAAACGGCATACGATTATATAAGTGGTAAGGAAATTAAGATTTGGAGGTGGACGGTGGACTTGCTATGAAGCACCTAGAGCTAGTGGACCCCACTTGATTACGCGGAGATCCCCCTTCCCGGGCTTATCATCGGATCAGATAAGATAGGTGTGGTACCTGTGGCTGCTGTGGGGGTGTAGATATTTATTCCTTTTTCTTGTTAAACCCCTTGCCAACTCACTAAACACTTCCATAATCTCTGCATTGGTCGTAGCCATGTCGATCCTGTCTTACCCGTTATCTCTAGATCGCGGCCTTCTGGCCATGAAAGACCTAGCCGACCGAACATGGATTACTCTGAATGGCTGATCTTCTGATCCTTTTCCGTGGTATGTTGCGTACCTTGTAGCTTGCGTAGCTGAGCTGCAGCTTGTGCGGGTCGTTACATCTATAATATCTACCAACGCCGCATTTCAGCTTCGTTCATTTTTATACTCGGTTTCTATCATGTCCATATATGGATTGAAGTACACATGGCTGTCGGCTTAAGGTCTCGTTTCGAGGCTGTTAAGGAAAAGATCCGTCTACACGGCGACGAGGCTCAACATGAGCAGACCGATCAATGGTGTAATCGCGACTTAGTCCCATTGCCACCAAGCCGAAGAACATGGGGTAAGTCTCAACTGCCGTACCACGTGAGATCCGACGTGTATTTACCATATAGGTGATTAGGATGGTTTCATTTCTTTGGGTTTTGGACTCTGTCGTCTTTGAATATCATAAACTGGCAGACTCCGAGTAGTTTCTTGAGTAAGTCCCCTCAATTGACTATTCTCCTTTACTTCCCCCTAATCACTCTATATAGCACAAGGGTTATCGGTCGCTCAGGCTATGTTCATAATTATCCTTGGCCGATTCCTCATAGCTTCCTTCTCGACTATAATTGCCTGGTGTGGTTTGCGATGGCATATCGGTTTCACTATCCAGAACCGCTTCACCTGGGGCATGCGAGCAAGCTACATCCCCTTGCTTCAACGAATCCTACTTAACTTCATCTGGAACGCCATCCAATGTTGGAACGGTGGGCGACTTGCTGCTGTATGCATGACAGCTCTCTGGCCGTCCTACGCCAAGATGCGCAATTTCCTGCCAGAAAGTCTACCTACAACTGGCGATGAATTCGTCGGCTTCATCGTCTTCTGGGTCTTGTCAACACCGCTCCTGTGGATCCCACCCGAGAAATTCAAGATTCCATTTTTATTCACGTCCGTCTACAGTGCCCTCGGTATGATCGCCATGATGATATGGGCTTTATCGACCGCAAAAGGTGTGGGGCCCCTTATGAGCACAGGCGTAGCAGTACCTGAGGGTTCGCTATGGAATATTTCATGGCTTTTAATGGCTGGCATTAATCAAACGATTGGCGGCGTCACTGCGGGTATCACTAACGGCTCTGATTTCTCGAGGTATGCTCGAGACTCTAGAGCTTACATAATTGGAACAATTACATCAGGATGGATCACCGGTATTCTCGTATGCCTCGTTGGATTAGTGACAACCAGCGCTGCCCAGAAGATCTATGGTGAGATATACTGGAACCCACCAGACCTCCTAATGACTATGATGAATAGCGGAGATGGATCTTCGGCAGCTCGAGCTGGTGTGTTCTTTCTATCTTTTGGATTTTGCTTGACTAGCATGTTCGAGAATATTTGCGGCAACGCTGTAGCTGGCGGTATCGATCTTGCTGGGTTGTGGCCTCATTACATCAATATCCGGAGAGGAGCTATGATAACATTTATTGCCGCCTGGGTTGTCCAGCCCTGGCAACTTGTGAACAAGGCAGTGACCTTTATCCAGGTTCTCAGCTCGTTCTCGGTCTTCTTGTCGCCATTGATCGGTATTATGGCAGCCGACTTTTTCCTCCTGCGTGGAGGCAAAATCCGTCTAAGCCATTTATACACGACTAAAAATTCCTCGTATTGGTACTGGAATGGTATCAATTGGCGAGCCCCTGTTGCCTGGATCTGTGGTTGGGCACCAACCATTGGTGGCCTTGTCGTTACTGTGAGAGGGGACGTAAATGCGCCAAGGGCCTTATATGAGATATATTACATGGCATTCTTTATAGGTAAGTGGAATATACCCTAGAGACAAGAGTTAACCGTGTATTTTCTGACATTATTCCTTCACCCAGGTTTCTTTATCAGCGCCATTATCTTCATTATCCTTAACAAGCTATTTCCTGTTGCGGGAATGGGCGAGTATGATGAAGTTGATGTGTATGGTACCTTCACTGCCAAGGAAGCGGCAAAATTAGGCGTTATTCCTGTGGATTTTCAGTCTGATGTCTATGATGAGGGTGGTGATCTCTCTTTAGCCCAGGAGACGTTTGATAAAAAGGAATGAATGGTTTGCTGTTGGTTTTGTATATTTGCCGAGCGTACATAAGAGCATAGCATATCAAATTAAATCAGAGAAAGGATACCTGCCTAGAATATAGGACACTTCGATGGTGTAAAGATAATCTATTGTTACCTTTAACATAATGCATTCTGTTTGATGAAGTTATTTATGTGAATAGAATAAATACGGTTTGTAGCATGGCAAACCTTACTCAAAATGCATTCAAACTGCTCGACGAGGATTTAAGGCCAACTCATATATACCTACCTAGGTACTTGGTTGTAAGGGAATAGGATATCAAAGTGATAATAAGTATAAAATTTGTCTATGATTTATCTAGATCCGTCATTCTAGATGGAGGTTAGCTATAGTACCTACCAAAGTATCCCATTGTTTGAAAACCAAAAACCTTGGAATATACTACAGAAGGATAAAGCAAGACTGTCAACATTTATTATATTAAACACCTTCAGAGTAGAAAGGTGCCTATTGTTCAACGAATGTGATAAATGAACACGGGCATTACTGTCCTCCAAGTCAACCTTGAGGTTAGCTGAGCGTCGTGGCTACCTACTAGGTATGCATGGAAGAAGAGATAGGAGGAGCAGAACGAGGTCCTAGGAGACGACTCGTAACGACTCCTACCTACATAGTATGCTATTAGAAGATCATTCACGGTTATCCCCTAATGAAGACATGGAGTCTTAAATGGTTTTATGTAGGTTTGTAATTGGAACTTATTGTAAAAATGGCGTATCATTCACAAGCTGGGGAGTATTCACTTAGACGGAGTCGCTAATTCCACTTGATTCTATTTACGTTCAGCAATACACCGTGTGTTTACCTAGGTACCTAGGTACCCGGGTACCTGGGTAACCTTTATCATGTCCGGTACAAAAGTACCTATGTACATAGTAGTCACGGTGACGACCTTGGTGATATATTGTCTACCTACCTGATTACTTAGGTAGGTAGACGAAAACACAACACACTTTTTAAATTTCTTCCTTCATACACAAACAACTTTTCCTTCTTCTTTCTTTTTCGTGCTCGTCAACGAACATTCATTTTTCCCACATTACAACCCAAATTCTCGAGACACGACCGTGAGCATCCACATTTCTTTCTCTTCACCTATTCTTGCATTAACGTGTCTACTCTAGCCAATTTATCGTAGCCATGGAGTCGAACGTCGATAAACCGGTCGATACCGACCCCAACCCGCATACTCCTACTAAGGGCGAGGAGGCGAATGCAAAGTCGTCACCCAGGACAGCCCCAGAGACCACGGCAATGGGAAAGCCACCCACGCCAAAGGCCGAAAAGGCCGACCCGCTACCGAAGGCTGACCTGGAGCCAAAGACCACGGCCGAGCCCAAGCCTGAGGCGCCGCTCAAGGTAAAGAAGACCGAAAAGTCAACACCTGATGAGGTCCTTATTGACGATAACCAGCAGGCCGCTCTAGAAACAGGTCTTCCTGGTAGTCCTACTGGCAATTCGCAAACTATTGCCACACCTACCGAAGACCAAGCCTTCCCACCTTCACCTCTTCATCCTCATCCTCATCCTCATTCTCCAATTCCCACCACAACACCTCTATCTCCCCATCCACATACAAGTGCTGCTACGGCACCTGTATCTCCATCTTCATATCCATATTCACATTTTCCTCCAACTCCTACTGTATCGTCTCTCACTTCTTCACCTTCGCCCTCACCTTCACCCCCCACTATTGCACCTGCAGTCAATCAGCCTAATACTTTGGCAACCACTGACAGCAGCCCAAGTCCTGCGATGGCAGAGAAAGATCCTCAGAAAAACCCCCCCATGCCCGGGGTACCGGAGGCACCGCAGGCACCGTCGGGTCCACCTACGGCTGAACGCGGACGCGGTCGCGGCCGTGGCCGTGGTCGTGGCCGTGGCCGAGGAGCTCCTGTCTCTAGACGACAGGAAAGACCCCCTCTACACCCGGACGATATCGGAAACTTTCCGGGCATGCCAGTAGCTGCTGGTCCTGGCCGGATTTTTATTAGACGCGGAGGTGGAACCAGTACAGTGCAGAAAAGGAAGTTGAGTGATGAAGAGGCAGAAGAGAATGCCGAGAAGAAGACCGAGGCAGAGGGTACTAGCAAGAGCAAGAAGATGCGAACTGAGGCAGCTCAATCGTCTGAACGTCAAACTAACGCCCAAGCCAGCCCCAGCTTCGGCCCTCAGACCAACCCCCAAGCTGGCCCCAGCTTCGGCCCCAGCTCTATCTCCAACTCCGGCCCCGGCTCTATCCCCAACTACGGCCCCGGCTCTATCCCCAACTACGGCCCCGGCTCTATCCCCAACTCTGGCCGCGCTCTATACGACAATTACCTCTACTTTGACTCATTTAACACCCTCCCCATGACGTCTCGTGCCAATCTTATCGATTTCTGTCAACGATTGCCTGATAGCGCATTCCGTAGACCCGAGCCCAGGGCTGCTCTGCCATCGGTATCGGAAGTAGGATCGGACGTAAGTCGTCTAAGCGTGTCACCTGTTGGACACGACCCGATGGGTCATGGTCCCTTTAGGCCGCCTTCCTCTAGCCCCGATCCAAGTTATCCAGCTGTTCGAGATGGTAGACTCTCTGCCCTTGCCTTGAGTAGGCCTGGATCTACAGTTGGTATGTCAAACATGTCTGCGGAGGGCACTTATCGCTCGGGAAATTCTGCTCAAGGATTCAACGTGCCTAATCAGGCTACGCATCCCTCTGCGCATCCCAACAGAGGTCCGATTCCCAATGCCCCTACTGCAGCTACACCTGCATATCAGTCTCCCGCATGGAACACAGCCAGTTCGGTCTCTTACCTTGGTAACCCAAACCCTTCCATGCACACCCATAGGGTTCAGAGTTACTCGAACCAACCTATGGCTCGACCGATGGCCCAGCCTGTGGCTCAACCAATGACCCAGCCTATGACTCGAGCTCCTATCCAACGTTCGTCCCAACCTGACAGTCAACATCCGGGTCAGTATGCTCCTCAATATCCGGGTCAGTATGTTCAACATCCGGGTCAGTATGCTCCTCAACGTACGGCTCAATCGCAGCCCCGACCCACAGCTCAACCTATGATTCGACCTGTGGGCCAGCCTACAGCCCAAGCTACAACCCAACGTTCGTTTCAACCTGGTATTCAACGCATGAGCCAGAATGCTCCTCAGCGTGTGGTTCAAAATGATGTTTGGCCTACGGCTCACCCTACACCTCGAGCTACGATTCAACCCACTCGTCGAGCTACGGGCCAGTATGCTCCCCAGCATACGGGTCAACCTGCACCTACCCCTCGAGCTATTGGCCAACCTACCCCTCGAGCTATGGGCCAGCCTATTCCTCAAGCTGCGGCTCACCCTACTGCTCGAGCTATTATTCAGCCTAGAACTGTAGCTGAGGTTCAAGCTCGGGATCTACCCACGGTTAAGCCCCGGTCTCTGAATGAAGCTGTACTTGCTCTTCAGCGTACGGCTCAGCCGGATATCCAGCCGACTCCTCAAATTCGCAAATGCAAAATCTGCCGAAAGAACTTCGACCAGAATAAGAGAGAAAAGTGCCCGGACAATCGAGGTAAGTGCAGTTACACCTAGTATTCTAATATAAGCATTACTAACATACATATTTAGTACATCGCGGCACGCTTATGACTGGTCATGTAGAGACTCTGAATCCTTGGACACAGGAAACAGACTATCGAGAAATAAGCAAATGGAGTTGCTGTAATCAAACGGAAGGAAGCTATATGGGGCCTTGTGATAATGGACCACACGAAGCTGAAGCTTCTTAAGCAATCCAATCATGACGTCATACGTCGCACGGCATACAATATCGAAGCGGGCAGTCGCGCTAATTATTACCATCTTCCGACCTACCAGCCTTAAGCTACCACATGTACCTCTCCGAACCGATCCTGGTAGCCCCGCCGCCCCGCCTGAACCGTGTTGAATCGACGATCGACGATCCTATCCGTAGGATCGTCACATCCCACTTTGCCTTACTTAGGGTTTCCTCTCGTTTTATTAGTCGCATCAGGTCGTTCTTACTCATCGTTGCTATCGTTTAGGCATTCCCCCGCGAATACCTAACCCGTTTGATTTTTCTTGTCGTTTCCTTTTTTCTTTACTTTCGGGTTTCCTTCTTTTGTGTGTCTTCAGACAATTTCCCTGCTCTCTTTCTTTCCTGAGGAATTTCACAATCGGTTGTTTCAGTTGTTGATTCTTCTTGGACTGGAATCGCAAGATTCCAAGTGAGGAAATCTTGACATTATGATTCCTCGAATAGTAACCTCAGATGAGGTCTATATTCTGCCTTTGAAGGATAATGGCGCTCCAGATATTCCTGGAGAGTACATTTATCTGGCTCCTACATCAAACGATCCTATTACCATACGATTCACAATCGAAGGCACCTCCTCTATATGTCGACAAGGCAGCTTATGGGTTAATATACCTGAACGGGGATCCGAGTTCCGTAGAGATCACTATCGCGAGTACAGGTACGTCTAATTAATAGTTATTGGAAGGTCCTGCAGTCGGCTTACTAACCCTTTTCCCAGGCTGAATCCTGATTTCAATCGAACGATAGAAATATCCATCCCCGTCTACGAAGCTGGTGCTTTCGCCTTTTATACCACCTACGCCGAGCTACCCCCTCTTTCTTCCGCCTTAGCCACCAACGAATCCGCCTCTGTCGAATCTAAAACGACCCCTACCTACTATATTGACATTGCTCCCCGGTTGTCACTAGATGGACGTCTACTACCGTTACCCGCATTGTCAATATTCTCCGTTATCAGCAAGTTCATGGGAAAATACCCATCTGATTGGGAGAACCATTTACGAGGCATTAGTGGCCGCGGATATAACATGATTCATTTCACACCTCTCCAAATCCGTGGAGGTTCTAATTCTCCCTATAGTCTGTATGATCAGCTTGGATGGGACCCAGAATGCTTTCCTAGAGGAGAGGAGAATGTACAGCAGATGGTTGACAGTCTCGAACACAACCATTCCCTCCTCAGCCTAACTGACATCGTCTTAAATCACACCGCTGATAACAGCAAATGGCTTCTCGATCACCCAGAGGCTGGTTATAACCTGAATACCGCCCCGTGGCTTGAATCAGCCTATGTTCTCGACACCCAACTCCTAGTCTTTGGATCCAGGCTAGAAAAACTAGGATATCCTAAGGAGCTTCTTTCTGCTGATGATCTTATCAAGGTTATGGACGGCATTAAAAAGCATGTCGTTGCCGAGATTCGTCTATGGGAATACTACACACTTGATGTTGACAGGGATGTGGATGCTGCAATCGAATCTTGGGCAGTTGGACAAGTACACATTCCCCAGGGAATTGACAGTAGTGTTCTTGACAAATTGAAAGTAGGTAGTGTTGAAGATCAAGCTATGTATCTAGTTCAGAATGGTCTCGTCGGCAACGACAGACTTGGTGCACGTTTCCGGCGGTCTATTAATCCAAAAGTTTCGGCTGGTCTAATTGCTACTCTATTTGGAAAGTATAGGGGCGAGGCAGATGAAGCAGTTATTCGCTCTAAATTTGTCCAGATTTTGGACGTGGTCAATGTTCCATTTTACGGGGAGTATGACAAGGAGATCGGCGAAATTCTCCAGCAACTCTACAATAGGATCAAGTACGTCCGCCTGGACGAACATGGGCCGAAACTTGGCCCTATTGACCAGGAGAATCCTTTGATCGAAACATACTTTACTCGTCTAAACAAGGCGGATGCATCCAAGAGACTCAAACCTGAAGATTTGGTTCTTGTCAATAATGGTTGGGTTTGGGCTGGTAATGCTCTGGTTGACAATGCTGGACCTCAATCACGCGTATATTTGAGACGCGAAGTTATCATTTGGGGGGATTGTGTCAAGCTCCGTTACGGCTCCGGTCCCGAGGATAGCCCTTGGCTGTGGGAACACATGACCAACTATGCTCGGATGCTAGCAAAGTATTTTGCAGGCTTCCGAATCGACAACTGCCACTCGACACCCATTCACGTTGCGGAACACATCCTCGACGAGGCACGCCGCGTTCGACCCAACTTGTACGTCGTGGCAGAGCTTTTCACGGGCTCTGAGGAGATGGACTATGTCTTTGTCAAGAGGCTTGGTCTAAGTTCGTTGATCAGGGAAGCTATGCAAGCCTGGAGCACAGCAGAGCTCAGTAGATTGGTGCATCGCCATGGTGGACGTCCTATTGGAAGCTTTGAGGTTGATGAGATTTCAAAACGTTCCATCGAAAGTGCTCCTACTAGTCCTGGACTCGCTGATGGTACGACACGAGAAGTCCTTCGCAGAATTAAGCCTGTCCCAGTTCAGGCTCTGTTTATGGATTGTACGCACGACAACGAAGTTCCAGCACAGAAGAGAGATGCCCGAGATACTTTACCTAATGCTGCCTTAGTGTGCATGTGTGCTAGTGCAACAGGCAGCGTCATGGGATATGATGAGATATATCCGAAACTTGTTGATCTGGTGAACGAAACTAGGCTATACACATCTGAGTCATCTTCTTCTAAGGAAGTAAAAATAGGAGGCGGCAAGGGTGGTATTGGCGGTGTCAAGAAGCTGCTCAATGAGATTCATACATTGATGGGGAAGGACGGATACGACGAAACACACATTCACCACGAAGACCAGTACATCACGGTCCACAGAGTCCACCCTGAGTCTAGAAAGGGATACTTTCTCATCGCCCACACTGCCTACCCCGGCTATGGAAACGGCAATGGTGCATTCAGCGCTGTTCATCTTAGTGGCACAAAAGCGCGGCATCTGGGAAGCTGGATGTTAGAAGTTGACGACAGCAAAGAAGCTAAGCAGAAAGTCGAAAGCGACAAGAAATACCTCCGAGGCCTCCCCAGTGAAGTCGTTGATGTGCCAGGCATTCGGTTGGAAGTCAATTCGACCGAGACAACCATCACGGTGCGTGATAAATTCCCACCTGGAAGCATTGCTCTGTTCGAAACTTGGATCCCAGCTGCAGAACACTCGGCAGGCCTGGACACTTATGTTACATCTGGAGCTAAGGAAGCCATGGCTGAGCTTGACCTTGTTGATCTCAACTTCCTGCTGTACCGCTGCGAAGCCGAAGAGCTTGGCGGTAGTGATGGCAAAGACGGCACCTACGATATTCCAGAACATGGGAAGATTATATATGCGGGCCTTCAGGGTTGGTGGAGTCTCCTGGAAAATATCATCAAGGATAACAATTTGGCCCACCCCTTATGTGAAAACCTCCGTAAGGGACAATGGGCTCTCGATTATACTGTTGGACGTCTTGAAAGAATAAGCCAACAAAAGGAGTTCGCTGGCCTTGCTAAACCTGCAGATTGGCTTAAGAACCGATTTGATGCAATCCGTGGTATACCCAGTTTCCTCCTGCCCCGCTACTTTGCACTCATTGTGCGAACTGCCTACAAGGCCGCCTGGGATAGAGGTCTCCAGCTTATGAACGACAAGGTACAGAACAACCAATGGTTCCTGCAGAGCCTGGCGATGGTTAGTATACAGATGACAGGCCTGGTTAAATCCGCTTCACTTTGGCCGAAGAAGCTTGTTCCCTCATTAGCAGCCGGCTTGCCCCATTTTGCTGTGGAATGGGCAAGATGCTGGGGTCGCGATGTTTTTATATCCCTCCGTGGCCTGTACCTTGGTACTGGCCGGTTCAACGAGGCAGCAGAACACATTTTTGCATTTGCTAGCGTTCTCAAGCACGGCATGATCCCCAACCTTCTCGGCAGCGGAAATCTTCCACGGTACAACAGTCGAGACTCTGTCTGGTTCTTTTTGCAATGCATTCAAGACTACACCCGATACGCGCCAGATGGGTTAGCTTTCCTAACGAAGAAGGTAAAACGTCGTTTCCTACCATACGATGATACCTGGTTTAGCTCAGACGACCCGAGAGCGTATTCGACGGAGAGCACCATCACGGATGTCATTCAAGAAGCTTTGCAACGCCACGCATCTGGGCTTAAATTCCGTGAAGCCAATGCAGGCCCAAGCATCGACTCCCAGATGCGCGATGAGGGCTTCAACATCGAGGTCAACGTCGACTGGTCTAATGGAATTATTTTCGGTGGTAATCAATTCAACTGTGGCACCTGGATGGACAAGATGGGCGAGAGTGAGCGTGCAGGCTCAAAGGGCATACCAGGTACCCCTCGCGACGGTGCTGCTATTGAGATCACCGGACTGCTCTATAGTACCCTGAAATGGCTCGCCAAGCTCAGTGCCGAGGGCAATTATCCGTATAAGGGTGTGACCAAGTCTGACGGCTCAGAAATCACTTTCTCAGCTTGGGCCGACCTTCTCAAATCGAGCTTCGAGCACAGCTACTACGTGCCAGTCAACCCATCGGATGATGCACAGTACGCTGTCAATCCTGCTGTTGTCAACCGCCGCGGTATCTATAAAGACCTGTTCCGCTCCGGGAAGGAGTACGAGGACTACCAGCTTCGGCCCAACTTCGCCATCGCCATGACAGTGGCGTCAGACCTCTTTGATCCAGATCATGCGACAGGAGCACTTGTACTCGCAGACGAAGCGCTTCGTGGACCGACGGGCATGGCGACTCTCGACCCGTCCGACCTCAACTACCGCCCGTACTATATCAACAGCGAAGACTCGACCGATTTCGCCACCTCCAAGGGCAGGAACTATCACCAAGGCCCCGAGTGGCTCTGGCCCACGGGCTTCTTCCTGCGCGCCCTTCTGAAGTTCGATCTCATGAGAAGGAACACGGAGCACGGCCGCGTCGAAGCCTTCCAGCAGGTGACGAGGAGGTTGGCCGGGTGCAAGGACCATATTCGAAACAGCGAATGGGCGGGGCTTACGGAGCTCACGCAGAAAAATGGCGAATTTTGCGGCGACTCGAGCCCGACGCAGGCTTGGAGCGCCGGCTGCTTGATTGATTTATACATGGATGCTGCCGAGTACTCGGCATAGTACGCATGATATGGTATGGTAAATCGGTCTCGGATCTCGGGTTGGGAGGCGGCATTTTGGGGAGCGGAGGCGTGGGAGTTGTTGGAAGGGATTGTCAAAAGTCGAGCATGGCACCCACGCGCATACGGAAGGTCAGGATTCGCATACGTATTGGAGGATTTGGGAGTTTGTTATGTTTCGCTTTGCTTCTACTGCTATCAAACTTGGAAATGAGGTCATGAAGCATACATCTCGTACATAGACACATGCATAGGTACGATGAATACGAGGTATGATCATGATAATTGGTATTGTGCGTGGTTGCGATTGGTGCGTAAGGTTCGGATGGACGGTTGAAGCAAACTTTGTTCCTTGGGATTGAGCTTGACGCCATCATAACGATGTAAGGCATGGAATCTGGGCTACTGGCTGTTAGTAGGAATAACTCTCAACCTTGGATCGCTTCTTACATCTCCATCCATCCATTTCTCCTTGGCAGATTAAGGAGAATCCATGCGTCACACCCGCATACGCTCCATAGCCTATCGCAACATCCGCAATCCGCCACACGGATTCTCCCTTCCCTCTCTCACCTTTTAGCCCAGCCTGCCCAGGCACACATATCATCGCTTACCTATATGTATGTAGGACAATCAGGAGCGCCTAGAGCACCGTACCTGAGATGACGGTTACGCGTAAGATCCGCGGTAAGATTTTAATGTGGCATCTGTGTAACAACGCCTCCTTTCCTCATTCGTAGTCGCAAAAAAGGGGGCTGGGGTGGCCGAATACCCGGGTACATTACCTGTACGCTTGTGCACAAGCCGTCTTGATAGCTATGTAGGACAGCTCGGATGGGGAGACAACCATAAATATTGAATCGTTAGTGATATCTGTTTACGTATCGATGGTCACCTACACAGTCCTTATCGTACGACGCTGTAAAATGAGCTGTCCTCCTCAAAAGATGCGAAGTTCAACAGCGTAATAAGTTGATAAACACAAGAAACAAGAAAATCAAGAACCCAAATGATATGGGAGGTATGCACAAGGAACCTCCGTACAGTATTAATATTGGCTCACAGGATTTTGATGTAGCTAAAGCTAGGTTATAAGACAAGACATAAAGTCTTTTATCTCAAATCGTACTTGTCCGATCCAGCGAGACAACAACTACCGCGAGGTATTCTAGGCCTCTCTTTCCTAGATCTCTCCTGAAAAGAATAGAGACTAGTAAACTGATATCAAACCATCCCATGCTGCCTGACCCTAATCCATGACTTATCCAGATCGATTTCCCCCCTCACGCCTAGGTGTTCAAGAATCAGACGATAAGAACCCGCATCGATGTAGTATCGTAGAAACACCTTTCCACCCCGAACGCCTTGTATGGAATTTGAACCAATGATAACATGCTTAAGGAATAGTCCTACGACGGTAGGTATAGTGAACCGCGATAATGGCGAGTTTGATAATGATGATGACATTGGAACTTGTAAGGATCGTCGTGAATGTTGAAACTGTTCTTCTGCTGGCTCCGCGCTTTTCATGTTCGTGAAGTGACGGTCCACTTCTTGCGCTCCTTTTTCGGTTTCTCGGTATAGCCAGCATTACCAGAGCCTGACATGAATGCGCCTTGGCTGGAATAATTGCTATCGCGCGCGCCGGGTCCGACTAGATTGCCCTGTGTGTTGACCGCAACGCTGCTGGGGAGTCCCTTGCCGAGTTCGTACATTCGATCCTTCTTCTTAAGGTACTTGCGGCGCCATATACATGCGCCTGTCCAGATTCCGGCAATACCAACGACAATGATTACAATCATGATGACCCATTTCCAATGAGTTGACAGCCTGTAAAGTAAGATATTAGTATTTGAAACAAGTCAAAGCGCCATTTGGAAAGCATACCAATCTCCACCACCTGAATTATTTGAACTTGAGCTGCTGGTGCTTGAACTCGTTGACGAGGAAGATGATGCGGTAGCGGTAGCAGCCTTGGCACAGAAACTTGTGAACCAGCCTTGTATGCTAGACAAACCGCCGGCGTCGGCTGTACACGCAGTGTCGCAAACTCCTGATGTTCCTCTGCTGAATGGTTGAAGCGAGTCGTATTTACAGAAGCAGGAATCATAAGTAGTTCCGTCGGCTTGAGCGGCAGCAGGAGGCACACATGCGCCGTTGGCGTCGTAGAGAGGACCGCATTGTACGGCGCACGAAGGTAACGACGCGAACGGAACAACGGTCGTCACAGGTTGAGCTAAATTTTTGTTAGTCAGAAGAAACAATTTGTCCGATATGATAAACCTAAAAGAATAGATTTCGTAGGATTAGATTAGAAAACATACCCATGATGAAGTGCGAATATCAGACGATAGGATATTCCGGATGTAGAGGACGTGAATAATCCAACAAAATTGGCAAACTTTTGTTACAAATTCCAACTTGTATGCTCCAAAACCAGCGGCGCTTGGCCCTCTCCTATTCAATGGTATCACGACAAAGAAACAATGGATGACGATGCGATGTTCGATGTTTAGGTCCAACCCAAAAACGTTGCCAACTAACAAATCGAATTATTAACAGAGTCAGTTGTAAATATGCTGAAGGTCGCCCTAAAAAAAGGATCGAATTGTAAATTATCGTAGGGTATTTGGTTGTTGTTGTCGAGAATATACAGAGACGCTAATAATTAACCGGTCGATGGGAAAATCGGCAAATCGGAAAGGACTTCTCGCGTCTGTCGTGTTAGGTATGGGCTTATGGGTTATCGGTTACGGGTTACGGGCTACGGAATGCGAATAAGAAAAAAGAACGAGGGGGACTCGTGTGTCTTGGCTGTTGTTCTCCTCTACTCGTTTAATTCTGCGACATATCCGCGTTCTTCCCCCTCTGGATTGGATCAAACGAATGTGGACGATTTGCGGTGCTAATTCGAACGAAGTCGTGGGGGAGAAGGAGAGAAATGGAGAAATGCAGCGGGGATGAAAAGAATAATGAGCGAATGATTCAAATGAAGGAAAGAGAGGGTGTATGGTGTACGATGTACGATGAGCGAATCCAAATCCAAATCTAGGCCGTGTGACTTATCGAATGAGGTAAGGTACTAGGGGGAAAAAAGGTACGGAGCCGATGCCAACGGGCTGGGCTGCACTTGGCTGGACAGGCAGACAGGCTGGACTGCACCTGCACTGCACAAGAACGTGGAAAAAAATAAACCTTGAATTATTTAGGCCAAGAAAGTCAAGAAAGTGGGAACGGACATGGCTTGGATCGTACCAGATTAAGTGTGTCCAGTCGTAACTTGTATCCACTCTGCTACCATGCTACCATCCAAGAAAAATGCAACAACCTTAAAGCTACCTAAGAATACTAGGGAAAAACAACGGTCAGAAACGGCGCTTCGGCGCAATGAAGCGACTCGCTATTGCCCACTAGACCACCTCCAGCTAGCCGCTAATAGAGGCCACCAATATCACCATACGCTGTATTATCATCCGTCAGCTCTTTCTTACAGTACAGCGTTCCTTTCGCGAGCAGCTTACAGCCAATCGACGCCTCTTATGTAACTGTTTGTATATATCCTATAGACTTTGTAATATTTATAATGCTCAGAATGCTTTCGCATAGCATAAATTGTGCTTAGCTGCAGGCTCCTAACCAACTTCTCCAAGCAGTACAGATCTGTGCGGGATGTCACACGTTGCGTCATTGCTTACCCGCGCCTCCGAAAGGTGCATTAGTTACTTATTGTTATACTGACTGCAGGTTGACACGAATTATTTTCGACAATTTTTCAAAATCAATTAAAATAACAGAATGATAGGGTCAAAGACCAATATGATAGTAAAGCTCATCAGAATCTATTCAGATATAATACATCAATTATAGTTCTCGTCAACTACGCGAGCTTACTTACCAGCTTACCTAGTATTTATGGAGGCTACGGAGGTAGGCATTACTTGCATGAAAAGCAGGTACATTCCTTTTATTTACAGCCATTTCTGGAATGCCCGTTCCGATGATGCCACACATGGCTTCCTTGTAAGTTGTCTGCCTGTTCAGCTCAATATGTTATTATGTAATCCACAACTGTCTTTGGCATGTTCATGGATATGTGCTCCGTAAGAAAGTCTTAGGATTGATCTATTTATAAAATACGTATAAAAAGTTTAACACTTGTCGCATCTTTTAATTACAATTGACAAGGTGCCGATTTCCGATCGATGGAAGAATGCCAAGGCGAGATTCTCGTGTTCTAGAGATTTGAACCTTCTGGGCGTTATTGATGCTCGCGCCAGCACTTAGACTAAAATGGCAGCTGAAATGCCTAATTTGGTAAGTACTCGGCGATAGTCGTGGTAGCGAGTTCCGCAACTGTTGCCTTAACATCGTATGAATTAAAGTGAGGACTAGCAAGTACAGCCACGTTTATGCCAACTTAAACCAAACCTAATCTGAACTCTAGCGTCAGGCCGACGACATGAAAGAAGATATGGGCAAAAGTTGTGTTACGCAAAAAACTTCAAGCCGTAATACATTGAAATATTCTTATTTATCCATGCTTTTATAATTATCGGGGAAACTGATCTCAGAGATATATCCAATCTACCCACTACCTAGGTATTTATCGTCTCATGGTGCGCAACTTTTCTAAAATATTAGTTAACCACCTAATAGCCGCCATGTTCTTTATGATTCTCTTCTCGAAAAATGTTGCTGCGTTGCCTGCCGGGCTAATTCATACTGTTCATCCTGGAGCACGAGGATATCCTCGAAAGGACAGCCAACAAACTGTTTGGATGGTAAGATCATCCACTCTGCACATCGAACCCTACGATATGCATTGAGGCATTTGCCATTAACGAAGAACCTCGCCCCTTTCACTGGCTCCAAATAGACCATAGGGATTTGCCATTGACCCGTTGGTGTTTGCACATCGCACTGCAAAGCCGCAAGCAGTGTCACGCCACTGCGTGGTTTCTCAAACTTCTGCTGGTGTTGCTTGATGTTATCAAGTATTTGCTGCTCATCGGTAATGTTGACTCGAATGGAAAGTCCCACATTGGTCATTGAGAACGGCGCAAGATTCCACGGTGCCCAAAGTCCCAGCGGAGGAACGTCTGCGAAATCAGCGGGCGATCGAGCCAAGAGACCGCTGCTTTCATAGTTTGCACGCCACGCAAAAATGGTCATGTCAAAGGAGGACTGCATAATCTCGCGCTGCAATCTTTTGAAGGCAGCCTCAGCTCCTTCGCCATACATAACTGGCATATGGACATCGAAGAGACCCATCAGGCTATAGGCAACATCCTCCCCTCGCGTCACGTATCGTTTCGAAGCCCAGCTCATGCGCTCCCCAATGCAGAAACTTCTCAGTAGACTCCTGTCTTCAATCAGCTGTCTACTTATCTTCGCAGATTCAGCGAGAACGTCAAGTAGGTCCCCTCCCCCTTTAATTTCAGACCAGTCGGCGGCAAAGAAACATCGCCGAGCAGGCGCGAGAAGCTCTTGCAGCGTCCATGCTCTTGAGAGCCAACGTGTAGCTCGTACCGCGCTGAGTAGTTGAGCTCGGGTTACCTCCATCGCTCCAATGAGCGAGTCGTTCCCCTGATCAACATATTTGTGCACATCTTGGAAGTATACAAAACATACTGCGGCGTCGTAATAATATTTGAACATCGAATTAATAGCTTCAGTCAGGTCGGCACTGCTGCGCTTATCAATACAACAGGTATCTATCCACGCATAAGCAAATCCATATTTCTCTGCCGTGGCGCAGAATCTAGTTATCTTCTTCCATCCTGCCTTGTCATGTACTGCCGTCCGATCCTCTCGCAACTCATGCCAGAGGACCTCTTCGGAACCCCACACATGAGAGAGGATCGCATATGGATGGTTGAGCACTTGAGCCTCGTTGAAAAACTCGAGAGTAGTGCTTTTAGTATTCAGAAGCCACATTGAGTTGAATTTTCGTGTCCTGTATTGTAGATATAAGCTATACTACAGGACAGCAAGGCTATAAACATAGAGCTTACGAGCATCGACGATGTTACACTCCTAAGCCTGCAGGGTGACATGGTCGCCATCCCGTCCCCACAAGATGACCTATATTCATTGGTACAAAACTGGCTTATATTGGGTCATAAAACTGCGAATAAAAAATATGCCTACACAGCTACCTAGGTAGGTAAGTATTATTCAGCCTTATGCCACCAGCAACTTCCCCTAAATTCAATCTATAGGCATCTCATTTCCTAGGAAAAGATGTGGCTATCAATAACACTATATGGCAAAATTTCACTTTTACTAAAAAGCAATACTTTAAAACGGTAGGTATTAGTTAGCGAAGACGCTTCATACGCCAAATCTACCTGTATGGATTATATCGCAAACACATTTCCTCGCTATATGAGGCCTAAGAATATTTGACGACCGATCGTACCCGTCGATTCCGCATGCCAATACGTCTCTGTCAATCCTTCAAGGACCCTTAGGCTTCTTTCTACGTCATCCTTCGCCATCGTCCTCGTGCTCTCGAGCGTAGCTTGGCTCATATTACGGAGAGCTACCGTCAAGGAAAGAGAAGCCGCATATGGAATGAAGGGGAGTTTTGACGTATCAAGGCCAAGGAGAAATGAGATTTTCTGAGCACAGTATTTATGTCTCACTTTCGCGCTTTGAATGGTGGGAAGTACTGTGCTATTAGAGGTACTTTCGGCACGTTGCCCGCGAGGCGGAGCTTGGGGAGGACGGTAGGATATGACGCCAATGACGTGGTAGAGGAGTTCCAAGCAGGCCTGGAGAGGAGGTTCCATAGTTTGGATCTTGCAGTCCTTTGCCAAATCCTCAAATTCCGGCCACGACGTCTCCCATACACATTTTTCTCTCGCCATTTCCTCGGCCGGCTGTGCTCGGTAAAGATCTAAGACTTGGTCGAGCATCTTGCTTAAGAATAATAGCAACTTGAATCCGGGGGGTAGGGTACCCATTATAGCATCATCATATGCTGGTAAGCATATTTCGCTATAATGAATTATGGTTGGTCGGCCGCTGGTCATGGCAATGATCTTATCAAGAGCGAGGAGTGAGTAAAGCAACTCCACACGCCGTGCTTCCGGGACTGGGCTCTCTGGTGACGAGGGGTAGTGCAAACCGGCAGAGTAGGCGAAGTGTACCGCCTGATTGAATAATCGGGCAACTTCATCATCGCCGTCGGGACCATATGAGTGAAAGGCCATTAGGGCAAGGACCTGGACGAGTTCTACCCTATCGCTAACGAGGCCAATATCTTGGGCGATCTTCAGGGCACCGAAAAGCATGTCGGCAAAAGATCGGGGCGTATGGGCAAGGGTATCTCCGTCCTCATGCCCTGGGAGGTTGAGATACTGTCTGGCTGATGCATTCTTGCAAGCGGCTAAGCAGATTGCCTGCCTCATTATGATAGATGCCGGGTTATCACCGTTCGCGGGCTCTGTAAGCGCTTGCGTGCCGAAGTCTACTATAGGCAAGATAGGGTGGATTTCTTCCCTGAAAATCTGGATGAGTGCTTCGAGATCCCGCCGTGGGGGGATCATTTGAAGACATTCAATTTCCAGATACGGTAAGACTGCTCTCACTACCATGGGGAGGTATCCAGGTCCTACACCCGGCCTTCTCTCGGAGGGGGGTGCCCTCATATCCTGGAAAGAAGGACGTAGGATGCGGGAGTATGGGAGTCTATGTGCCGCATCTAGGTCTATACCGGGAGCCACCATATTGGAGTCTCTACAAGCGGAGAGAAGAAGGGAGTGCGCTGATGAAGGGCCAGCGAAAGGAACCGTGGGTCTCGATGTTGATATGGGCAATGAAGAGTGCTGGGTTTGCTCATGTGTCCCTCTAGGATCCAGAGATTCTTGTGGTTGGTGATGTACCGGATGAATATTGTCACGGCTGTCTAGTAAGTCCACCATAACCGTCGCTTTTTTGGTCGTGCCTTTTTCCTGCCGTACCAGGACATCGTTACCGGGATCATGGAGACATCGACGTTTCCCTCTTCGGCATGAATCGCAAGCTCGCCGCACTTGTTTGCGCTTCGACCCACAGCCATCGCCGCCGTCTCCGAGAAACCTGATGTTTTTCATATCTTGTTGTAGTAACTTGTTGGTAGGTTGAAAGTTGAAGTTCCAGTTCATAAAAGCAAGTCCGCAGATTGCGGCGGTGTGCGGGCTTTCTCGATCTGGAAAGTCCGGAGATCGTTGCTCTTATTGTAACATTACCCCCATTGGCCCAGTGGATTATAAATCCATCCTAGAACTGACCAACATCCGAATTGGGTCATAGGAAATAGTATGCGACCATCTACGGATCCGAGACTCGATATTGCGCAAATTCTCGATGTAAATCGGACATACATGCTTAGACGTAGGTATATCATACTTACACCTGTAAGGCATATAAAAGGATGGCCGAATTACTGGCATATCGATCCCAATGGCGATACTCATCAAGCATCGGAGAATCTCACTGGATTACCTTTAAAGTTTTGAGAATACGCGCCCTTCGACATGCATCTTTCAACTCATACGTGGATGAGGCCTGAGCCTCTCGAGGTGACACTTCGGAGAGCGTCCTCTCTTGGTTATACGTCAGTCGAGCTCGCTGGCGAACCGTCAAGATACGATATAGACGAAACACGAGTTCTCTTGAAGAAACATGATATGACCTGCTGGGCCGTCGTAACGATTATGTACGGCTCCCGCGACTTAGCAGCCGAGGATCCCGCCCAGCGAGAAGCCACAGTTGGATACATGAAGAAACTTGTTGATCTAACAGCTGGACTTGGTGCAGAAGTAGTGACACTAGTTCCTTGCACTGTAGGAAAGCTGCAGCCAAAAGCAAGTCCGCGTGATGAGTGGCAATGGGTTGTACAGGGAGTAAGAGAGGTGGCGTTATATGCCGCGGAGAAGAGTGTCCGCATAGCGATAGAGCCTCTGAACCGATTCGAAACGTATTTGATCACCAACATCTCTCAAGTTTTACGACTTATCGACGACGCGAAAGTACCGAATCTTGGAATCGCGTTCGACCCCTTCCATATGAATATCGAGGAACCTGATTTAATCGCTGCCCTACGTAGGTGCGGCGATAGGATATACGACTTCCATCTCGGTGAAAACAATCGCCTTTCCCCAGGGGATGGAAACCTGGACTGGCCCCTAATCGTTCAGACGCTGCGTGAAATTGGTTATAAGGGTGGTCTGGCTTTCGAGGCTATGCCGCCTATCGATAGGACTCCAAACGGTGGCTTCGGATCGGAACAGATGGAAGCTGAACCGTGGGATGTGGACATAGGAACCCTGCAATTCTTGAAGGACCATGCCAGCGGCGTCCTGCGAGACGATTTCTACACCAAATTGTTGGCACGGTCGGCAGAGACAATATCACCGCTCATCAAATGAGATGTTTCACTGTCATCTTAGACCCTAACGCCACAATAAGCAAGCTAGGAAACGGCTGTTTTCTGTCATTTTCTACCCATGTTCGAGGCGGAAGGATTGGCAATTTTTACGACCGGATTTATTTGTCCTCGGCCTGAGAGAGAGCATCAAGGCTCCCAACCCCCTAAATGCTGCATCTCATAAATGGCTCCTACGTCACAGCTGACTGCCCGTCTCCAATAGCACATTCAATCAATCATGTTCAGATATCAAATGTGCAGTTTTGACTAATTGAAATAAAAGAGTTGATGTTATAATTAGTTTCGTATCACCACACCCAGATTGTACCGGTGAATGACTGTGAATCTCTTCATCACAATTCTCCCTCTTGCGTTATTGTGTAGGTAAGCTAGCTCATCACCGCAATATGATATCTTTCTAGTTCTAGGAGGTATTCCAATATTAATAACCTAGTGCTGAATAATATAAGATCATTGTATGATTACCTAGTCAGGGATACCTTACTCGGTATCATGATGCGATTACTTTCACGTAGCCTATTAGTACTGCAGCTTCATACTAGATTTTGACTTTTGTGATATGTTTAGGCACAGTATTGAGCCTGAGGTATATTCGTAGAGAGACACTTTTCCAATAGGACAACTGTGAAAGACCATGATTAAATCGGCACTTTGAGTGACGATCAGGCCCATGATACTCTCAACGAATCTAAACTAGATCTATCATATACACATAAATACGAACCCAGCTACCATCACTTGGCTCAATTCTAGATTCGAGGGCAATACCTTCAACACTCCGATAGCCTTCCTAGCAATTATATTGCCTCATCTGCCTTTCACTATGTTGGGGGCCACCGTTCTTGCCTCAGCAACCTGGTTGCTCGCCCTAGGACAATGCGCACTAGCTGCTGATATCGACTGGACCACCATCAAAAACAGTCGCGGCGATCATCTTCCCGACTTCAGTTTCTGCGGCTACCATTCCTCAGACGTGGCGCTCCCGTCCGCCACTAGACCAAGCACCACCACCATCAAGGCATCATCCAAGGACCAGACCTCCGATATCCAAGCTGCTCTGAACAAGGTCTCCGCCGCAGGAGGCGGCGTTGTAGAGCTTGGCCCCGGAACGTTCAAGATATCCCCGGGCTTGAGCATCCCGAACGGAACGACATTAAAAGGCTCTGGAGTCGGATCCACGCACCTTTCTGTTTCCAAGTTGAATGAAAAAGTCCCACTGATCTCACTGGGTAATGGCACCGGCCATAATGTGAAGCCTCTGAGCACCAATGCCATCACTGATAGCTATGTGGGAATCGGCGCCAGCACGGTCACCGTAAAAGACACGAAGGGGTTGAAAGTGGGACAGACTATCTTCGTCAACCGGGCCGCGACGGCAAAGTGGATTAGATATGACGGCATGGCCGATCTTACTCGCAAGAACAACCATCAAACCTGGATCAAGGTACGTTGATATGGCAGACTAATAACTGGAAATGTAGTCGCTCTTCGTATAGTAGAAAGTTAATCGCACCGACAGGAAGGGACGTTGATACAACAACCTCGGATCATCGGGTCCATCAAGGGCAACAAAGTCACATTAACAGTCCCCCTCACCGACGCCCTGGACAAGAACTACATGAGTCCCTATCTGGCCCCCTACACAGCCCCCTCGGTCGCATCGGAGATAGGCCTCGAGAACCTATCGATCACCCTCAAGCCGAGCTGCTCAGGAGTCGCCCTCACCGACAGTACCAACGGCTGTAAATCCTCAGCCATATCCGTTTCTCCCTGGACCGTCGACAGTTACATACGCTCGGTAAACGTGACCGGCTTCAACAGTTTCATCAGCGCGGAGTACAACTCCAGCCGAATCACAATAGACCACGTCGGTCTATACCGAGACCGTGACACAGACAACAAGGCAGGATACCCGGCGGATATCGCCATTATGGGCTCGCATATATTGGTTCAGGACAGTGGGCAGTACGGAATCAAGACAGCCAAGGCGTTTTCCGTGGCGACACAGGCCGGAACTCCGGGCCCCAACGCCATTTTGCGCCACGTTGTGCAGGCACCCGAGTTGCAGCAGATCTACCCCCACCAGCGTTGGGCGCACGGTATCCTCGCTGAAGACACCGATGCTGGTGTCATTTACCAGAATCGAAACAATGCGGGGTCCGGTCACGGCTGGGCGATTAACGCGGGTGTGGCCTGGAATGTTAGGGGAGGCGTGACGATCCAGAGTCCGCCCCTAGGTGTCAACTTCGGGATCGGAGTCACTGGGAAGGTCACGAACTCGAATGGAACTATGACCTCACCGGGTAAAGCCGTCACGCCACAGAGCCTATTCAGTGCTCAACTGGCTAAAAGAAAGGGTGGCAAGTGAGTCTAGTTGGGTTGAGTCAGATGGTACGATATAAAGATTAGGTAGACTTCCTATGTGTTGAGATAGTGTTGCATAGCAGTAGCAATACCGTAAGCCTTATAACGATTTCCTAGGATACACATATTCTTATCATGTTAATTATACTAAATCTTCTAGTGACGCTGGGCTATTCATATGATAGCCTTGGTCAATAGAATGTGTAACGTTGAAGCGTATCTGTGCGAGTTGATTTCATTCGTCGGAGCTCAATAGTAAACCCCTCCCACGAGCTCACTACTCAGCTTGACGTTATTCGCGGGGTATCTGATCTCATTTGGAGATGCTTTCATCCAACATTGACGATTCGTCAAAGATAGCGAGGCCGTTGACGTGATTCTACCGGGAGATTAAGAATGCTATGAATTTGAGCGTGGAAGATGATATTAGCTGCGGAGTCTCTTTATATAAAGCGAGGTTGAAGTTGGAGATATCCTGAGAGCATCAAATAGAATATATTCGCGTTTGCGACACGGGAAAGCACAGTAAATATTAGTGAAATTAACCAGTTGGCTGTTAAATCCTGGATCTTGCTCGTCATTATGGCTCCACCTGCTGCGGATATTGATGTGCAATCTGAAGCACCAGCCCCTGAGACTCTCAAGAAGTCCGTCGGCCCTGTACCTATCAAGACGACAACTAGCTCTAGACTTGACGGACCTTTGAAGTACACCGGAAGCCTCGACTCATACGAGCAATTTGATGTCACCAAAGTCATCGGTCGAGAATTCCCCAAGCTCCAACTTAGCGAGATCTTGCATGATGACACCAAGATCCGGGATTTGGCGATCTTAAGTGGGTAGATATGTCCCAGGGCTTAAACTTTTTGAGAGTCTAACTATTCGAAGTTTCGGAGCGAGGCGTTGCATTCTTCCGCAATCAGGATCTCAACATCGACGACCAGAAGCTTCTGGGTGATCGGCTCGGAAAGCTCACTGGGAAACCAGAAACATCTACTCTTCACCGTCATGCCCTCTCAAACAGCAAACGTGGCATCCCAGTCGACGAGAATGGCCGTCTCGATGATGAAGTATCTATCATCTCTTCCGAGCAGAACCGCAAGTTCTACAAGGATCGCTTTACCGCGTTCTCGAGGAAGATTGCAAGCAACGGTTGGCATGCAGAGTACGTGAAATCGCGCCGGTCATTAAGCATGTTCTGCTACTAACACGATTAATAGCATCACGTTCGAAAACATTCCTTCGGATTATGCAATCCTCAAAATCATTTTGCCTCCCGAGGACGCTGGTGGTGATACGCTCTGGGCATCGGGGTATGAGGCATATGACCGCCTATCACCACCCCTTCAGAAGCTCGCAGAGAGCCTTACCGCTACTCATCACCAGCCGGGTTTCGTAAAGGTCCAAAATGATTTTGGCGAAGAGCTTATTGACCAAAACCGCGGTTCTCCTGAGAATAATGGCCTTGACTTCAAGGCAGAGCAGTAAGTTGAATGGTTGCTCGGTTATTTCGGAGAAAGCTAGCTAATTATGCCAGTCCCCTTGTTCGCACTAACCCAGTGACTGGGTGGAAGAGCCTCTTCGGCGCAGCTGGTCAGGTAGAAGCCGGTTGGATTAACGGAGTTACCGAGCGCGAGAGCGAGATTCTCAAAGAATATTGTACGTTGCCCGAAATTGTATTCCCTCGGGTCGAGGGCACTGCTAATAACATTATAGTCCTTCAGTTGATTGTTGAGAATCACGACCTCCAAGTCCGATTCAGATGGAACAAGAATGACCTTGCAATATGGGACAAGTGAGTTACACTTACGATTCATCTCATTTGGTTGCTCTAACAAGTATTGCTAGCCGATCCGTGTTCCATACCGCTACAAAGTAAGTCGCATGAATAACAGAATTCATGAAATGTAAAAGACTAACTTCAAATCAGCGATTATGTCGGAAAGCGTCAAGGTAACCGAGTTGTGTCCATTGGAGAGAAGCCGTACTATGACCCAAACTCGAAGTCTCGCCGCGAAGCACTTGGGATTCTAGCGGTATAAATTGATGGTACAACTATAACAGGGTAATAAAGCGCCGTAACTGTTCTGTTTTGCTAGGCAATTGGGATTAAATTGGTGTAGCTTTTAATAATATTCATTTTTGAGAACGAGTACCAAAAAGAGATAACTTTTGGTATAGGCTTTGATAGCGCAAATTGAGGTATCAATACACGCAACCGATTTGTCGAGCAGAACGCTTTTATAGCTGTTTATTGAACAGCATTTTAAATGAGAAGTAGTTAAAATTGAAGAGAAACAATTGAGGAATCAAATTGAATCTCATAAACTCTACTGTAACGATAGAGTGGGGCAATCGTTGCAACTTGCCAGAGCAGGAAGCTACGCGGTGCCCCGCCTAGGAAAAAAGAGCTAGGTTCCCACTTAACCCACTAGCTTGCCCACTAAGATCTCTGCAAGCTTTTTTTTCCGCTAGGTAAACTCAAAGCTTCCAAATCTTTTCTCTATCGCAAGAATTTCTTTTTCCAACTCTATCCAAACTCCTTAAAAGTACACTTGGTAAAGACTCAATTCGATTGCTTTGCATTGGTCCTCTTGCAAAGAGCAACAAATAATTACCAAGATAATTTCTGTTTTAATCCTCTTTTTTATTCACATTGATTGGACAAGCTCGTTTGACGTGACTCCCCGCCGCCTCTTTTCTGCCCCGCGTCAATCAATCAATCAAGTCCAACCTCAATTGAACGAACGACCTTTCTGAACCCTTTTACCTTCATCATTATACTTTCAACACCCTCGAAATTCACTAAGAATCTGCTGGGAATATACGCGACCTACTTTACAGTGCCGAATATCAAAGAATACATTGCACTCGACTCACTCTTCGAGCCTCTATCTAAAACATCGTCTCGGAGTAATCCCCATCGGGAGCTCCCTTGTCACTATCATGAGTGATCAAGATACCAAGCCCGTTGAGGGTGATAAGACCCCTGTCGAGAATGTCGAGACAGACGCTATCAACTCTGACGCCACCTCCGACGTCCCTCAGACCAACGTCAAGACAGAGCCTGGTGTAAAGGTCGAAAATAGCGGAGAGGTCAAGGACAATGTCCAAGATGCCACTGGAGATATCGCTCAAGATTCTGCCGAGGATACCGCCAAGGCAGACGAAAAAGAGTCTGCTGGTGCAGTTAAAGTTCCCGATAACGGTGAAGACAAGGGATCGAAGTTCGATTTCAGGAAGAGAAAGTGGCCCCAAATCCGCAACCCCCCGAAGGGTATGTTGAAGGTGAATCGAGGTGGATGTCCTACCAGAGAGAAATCTGACCCGTCCATTCTCCCGGATTCTGATGATCCCAAGGCCATCCGTTGGCAGGTAAGATTCATTCTTCTTCTTTTCAACTCTCAAAATCGTTTCTAACTATACTATCTCAGGTCGAATTCTACTTTTCCGACAGTAACCTACCTAGTGACAAGTTTCTGTGGAACAAGACTGATGGATCTAACAACAAGCCTGTGCCGCTTTCCTTGATCTGTAGCTTCTCCAGAATGCGTCGCTTCAAGCCCTACTCAGCCGTCGTTGAGGCTCTCAAGACCAGCAATCGTCTTGTCCTGGAAGGTCCTGAAGGCGAAGAGACAATTCGTCGAAAGGAGCCATGTGAGCCAAGTGATGAGCTGACCAGCAAGATCGAGGATCGCACTGCCTATATCAAGGGTTTTGGCGAAGAGAGCAAGTCCACTCAATTCGATGCCGAAGATTTTGTCTCCCAATTTGGAGAGATCAATGCCGTCCGCTTGCGACGTGACGAGGGTGACAAGGAGAAGGTATTCAAGGGCTCTATCTTTGTCGAGTGGGTTGATGAAGAGACCGCATGGAAATTCTACGACATAAAGCCCGAACCTCGATGGAAGGATCACCCACTAATGATCATGCCTAAGCGCGAATATGATCGTCAGTCTGCTGAGGAGGAGCTCCGGAAAAAGCGATCCCAGAATAATGAACACAATGGACAGCGTCAAAATGGCCATCACGGCGGCAGAGCCGGTCGTAGCGCTCGTGAGTCCCAGACTCACCGCTCTGACCCCGATAACTGGAAGAAGCGCCGTGAGGATGATCGGCGAGATGGCTTCAATGATCGTCGCGGCGGCCGCCGTGATCATCGCGGGCGGGGTCGAGGCGGTGGTCGTGGACGTGGTGGGGATCGTAACCGAAATGGCAACGATCGAGCGAAAGAGCAAGAGTCTGTGCCGCGCGACGATGGAAGACCTAAGATCCACACGAGCAAGCAAGGCCAGAAGATTATCGACGAAGAGGCGAAGAAGAACGCAGGCAGTCAGTCAAACGGCAAGCGTGGTCGCGATGAGGATTCCACCACCGATGCTCCTCCAGCGAAGAAGGTTGATACTAAAGAGGCTGTTGCCAATAGCGCATAGGCAACAGAAGTTGATCTGTGTCTTATCACCAGCGAAGGACGCAAAATATGCTCATACATTTGCTAGCATTGTTTCATTATGGCATCCAACACATTTTGCACCAGATACGATGGTCAAATTCAGCAAAAAGTATTGCTTGGTCGGATTTGTTTGCGGCGTTTATGGCCACTTGAGATGGGAATTAGGTAGACATGTCTACTAGGGAAAATCAAAGTGTGTTTCATAATTCCTGTCTATTGCTACCGGTGCTGTATGAAACCCGTGGACGGTGTTGGTATGTCTAAATAAATGCGCCCCGTAAATTAAATAACGCCTCTCGTAATGCGTTTCCACATAAGTCTTGAGATACTAACAGCTTCATATCACCCTCTTTCCTCCCTTGCTATCGCAATATCTCTTTTGCAGACGACCAAGCTAATCGCCAGCAGCAAACGGACTCCTCAGCCTAAGTTTCTCGCCGTATTTCCACAACAGGAAAGGTCCGGGCCAGCCTATTGCAACGCCCAAGAGCGCCATAAGCGTGTTACCCCATCCGTAGCCAAGACGGTCGTACATCGACGGGGCAAAAAGCGGAAACCCAAATCCGGCCAATGACCGTAGCACTGTGGCGGCTCCAACGGCGCTCGCGGCGTACCGTTGATACGAATCCACCAAAAACCCTTGTAGGCACTGGAAACATATTATGGCACCCGCGGCGAACAACACGGCCCCGATGTTAGGTCCGATCCAATGCGTTCTGTACTCGGCCGTCCATCCATAAATCAGCAATCCGGTGGGAATCAGCACCGCTCCCGGCACCATCATAGGAACACGGTACTCCGGCTGTCCGTGTCCGTACCGTTGTTTGAGGTACACGTATATGCGATCCTGCAACGGCGCACAGATCTGCGCACCAAGAAAGAATCCCAGGCCTAGGGAAATATAGTTCAACCCCCCGATCCCAACACTCATCCCATACCCAGCAGGCGCAGGGGATGTAAACAGCGTCGGGAAAGACGCGAGCATGAGGTACATCAGCCCGTACACATACATCATATACAGCGCAATACACTGCACAATCACCTGCGTAACAAGCAACCTAAACGGCCGCGTCATCGCCGTCGCCAACGCACTCCAGACACTCCGACTCGTCCGCGCATCATCATCAAACGGCGTCCGCAGCGTCGCGGCAACAACCCCGCTTTCCCGCGCTGTCACGCGCTTCTTCCGCTCCAGCAGCACCGGCGCATACGTCTCGCGTAAAAACAACAACCCCGCGATCTGGATCGCTGCGTCGGCAAGACTCGTCGCCCAGAACGCCCACCGCCACGTCGTGGTCTGCGTTATGAAAGCGCCTGCGATAGGGCCGATGGCGGGGCCGAGGAGAGGCGCGAGACTGTACATCGACATCGCGCGCCCGCGCTGCTCGGCGACGAATAAGTCTCCGAGGACGCCGCCGCCGATGGCGAGGGATGCGGAGCCCCCGAGCCCGGAGAGGAAGCGGAAGGCTATTAGTTGCCCCCGGGTCTTGGCGAAGCCGCAGCCGAGGGTGAAGCCTAGGAACCCGAGGTTGGTGAGTTGCAGGATGGGCACGCGGCCGTAGATCTCGGAGAGGGGACCCCAGCTTGGGAGTGGGTTAGTAAGGGGGTTTGAGAGGGGGGGAGGGGGCTTACGCCAGGGGGCCTAGGGCGTAGGCTAGGACGAAGATTGAGAGGACGATGTTTTGCATGACTGGAGGGAGAGCGCGCTGTTAGGGTCCCTCTTTTTGGAGTTGGGAGGGGTGGGATAGAAACTTACAGGCCTCGGGGATGTCTAATTCTTTGCCGATGGCAGTGAGGCCTGGCGCGACCATGGACGAGGACACGGGCGACACGAAGGTGAACATTGAGACGATGAAGACGACGCCCCATTTCTTAGAGATAGCCCAGTTCTTGGGGTTTTCGGGGTCCTCTGCTCCGGTCCAGGTTACGAGGTTCGGATCGTTCACAGTGGACGTCTTGTCTTCCGGTTGCGCCTGCTCCAGATCGAGGTCTCGTCTTGATTCGATCCCGTCCCGTACTTCGGAGACGATCCGCGAGATGGCTCTCGAAGAAGCATGTTCGAGAACATCGAGTCGTTCCCGGTATGAGTAGGTGCTGGCTGTTTCTGAGTTACTGTTGCTGTTGGAATCCGATTGTGACTTTTCCGGTTTCTCGTCATCTTCTACTCGGTTCTCTCTCATGACTTGATCTGGATCCGCGGTCGAGCTCTGGTGCGCTCCCGTTTCCTTATCTATCTCCGAATTCTTCATCACCACACAATTCTGCTCAGGCAACTTCGACAAATTTAAAAATTTCCACAGAATAATAAGTATAAATACTGTCTAGTGAACTCAGACAGCTTCTCCTCTACTTCAGTAACCTTGTTTCGTCACAGTTTAGGGGCCTTTTTAAACAATGCCAAAGTCAATATTGCCTTGGTAGCTCCAACTCAACCCAAGTCAAACCAAGTGAGTTTCCGTCTGGAGAATTTATTCATACAGAAAAGTACACAGTGATTAAGGAGACGCGTATGACTTGAAGATCCTTCATATACTATCTAGGTACGTAACCTCGCGTCTTCGGTCTGAAGTGCCTTGAAGCGGTGGGACTCAGGAGTGCGAAATTATTCAAGCACGGCGGGTCGGACCTATTATGTACTATACAGTGTATCCATCACAAACGAGAGTCACATACTCCGATTGTCTAACAGACAAACAGTGCTCATAGGCGGGCGTATCGGGGGATCAGACTGTGGACCTGGGTTGGGATGGTAGATGCAAGTGATGTGGAATTACCCAATCACAGTGGACTAGATACATCCCGATCTCGTCTCTGATGGTACATCCCGGATATGAAAGCCGGATATAGAGGGCTTAAGATTTATAGGGTGAGGTGCGAAAGCAAGAGGCTCGATACAACCCCGGTGCCTGTCCGGCAGTCGGTGCCGAAGGCGGCTGTTTTGTAACCACATCACTTAAGACTGTTCAGACTAGAGCTCATGAATGGTGACTAATTCTCGCGAAGATCGGTGAAGGGTCGGTGAAGGATTCTTCCCTGGATCTGGAGACGACCAGACGATCCTGGGAGCGGCCCGGTGGGAGAATGGAGATAAGCCGAGTTAAAATCCGGACGGGTATATTAGAAGAGGAAAAGCGGATTCGAATCGCTGCAACATTTGTCCCGGTATTTGTTGACATCAGGGTTAAGATAAACAGTCATGTATCCACAATATACCTATCGTAACCTTCATCTACTTCGGCGTACACTTTGGCTCTTCCGGATATAATGACTAGGTATGCACGAGGAGGCTAGGAATGGCTTTAAGAATTCATAAATGTTTATAATATTACGATTGTTTGGGAGAGATGTGTTCCCCCAAATACATCATATGGTTTATGTGGTCTGCGAGTGGATGACAGTTACGATGGCGATGCTGTGATACCTCTAAAGCTACCCGGGCTATCCCGTTCCGACGAAGTTACAGGGCTTATCCGGTGCCTGTTCGGAAAAGCAAATGGGAAATCCGGCCGGGGTTGATGGTTCCCGTGCCAAGATATCAAGCCGTCGGGTCAGAGAATTATGCTGTGAGACCAATCTATCAATTGTGGTCAATTCTTGCGAAGATGTGTCATACTGAAGAGATTTATGTCTTTCGTATACGAAAAAATTGATTTGAGAAAAATACTCAAACGAATCTTGGAAGACTCTAGGGGAATAAGTTAGTGCAATGCAATGTGAAATCTTATTCAAATGTTATTCAAATGCTACACAGGCTTTATCGATAAGAATTCCTATCTTATCCTAGAAGCTTGGACCATTTCATTTATGTGCCGTAGCTATGGAATTGGTGGGGAAGATCTATACCCACACGTGATCACCTATCTAGAATTTTTGTAGAAGTTCAAGATCGAAATCTTGAGGTTACAGAACTTCGACGGCGGACCACGACCAAGCCCCGACTCTTCTGCTTCGCACACAAATCTCAGAACTGCAGCCGAGATGAAGCCTAGAAGATTCCACGGCCTAAGGCGGCCGGTAAGTCACCGCGAATCGGACTCAATTGCGCTCAATTCCCCCACTAATATCATAATTGTGCTTCTGTGTAGAAACTCCGCCAGAGCTGGAACAAGTACAACCTCTTCAACATCTACAGTTTCAAGGATCCCAAAATCGGTCAAAGCGACTCCCAAACATTCTTCCAGCAGAAATGGAAGGCGAAGGGTTTATTGCGAAACTACCACGGCGAGCACGTCGTCGAGCGCAAGTGGACGCGCATGTTTAGTCGCCGTCTGCTGGGTGTCGTCGACATGGACGCCAAGTACATGGCCGCCTCTGACGGTTCCGAGAAGGCCGCTGGTAGGGGATCTGGGAAGGATGAACGACCGAGATTTAACGATATAGTGGTGAACAAACGCGCATCGACACCCTACATGCAGATGACATTTGCGCCTATGGAGAGACGGTTGGATATTGCTGTTTTCAGAGCTATGTTTGCGAGTAGTGCGAGGCAGGCAAGGCAGTTCTGCGTTCACGGTGCTGTGAAAGTCAATGGCAAGGTGGTGAGTCTTACTCCTGACATACCATTCTATTCTCCGAATATTCAAACATATAAGAAGAGCACCGCTAACAAACACCACCCCACAGATGCCATACCCGGGCTACCGTCTCAACCCCGGCGATATGTTTCAAGTAGACCCCGAGCGCGTCCTCCACGCAACCGGCGCCCCGAAAGATGACCCCAACAAATCCCGCTACAAGAACAAGCCAAAAAAATACACCAACGCAAAAGACGTTGAGGCGGCGCCAGAAGCAGAAGAAGCCGAGACAGCAGCCGAAGAACCTGCCGAATCAGAAGATCCAGAGCAAGACCCAGACACGACAGACAAGCCAGACGCCCCCCAAATCAACCTGAAGCCCACGCGAGAACAAATCATGGAAGTCATATCTCGCGCCAAGATCATCACAACAGACGGCGCCATCAGCTCAACACAAAAACAGCGCCTCCGGTTCTTCATGAAGAAGATGCGAGCGCTAGCAGCGCAAACCGGGCGACCGGACATGACACCAGCCGAGGTAGCAGAGCAGCTATCGGCACATCTGTCAGACCTCAGCCTCGCGATGCCCTCCACGCCCACACCCGCAGCCCCACCCGAAACGAAAGCATCCTCGCTGTTACCGGCAGACTTCGCCTACGAGCTCAGCCCCGCAGACATGAAGAAGCTCGAGGCGCGGGTCGCGGAGCACATGCGCGAGGAGGAGGAGAACCCGCGGGACCGGAGCAAGCCGTACAAGACGCCGTGGCGGCCGCGCGACTGGATGTCCCCCTTCGCCTTCATCCCCAAGTACCTCGAGGTCAACCAGAACGTCTGCTCCGCCGTCTACCTCCGCCACCCCGTCGCCAAGGTCGGCCGCGGCGAGGTCCCCACTCCCTTCCCCGAGTACATCAACCAGCTCGCCTTCAACTGGTATCTGAGACGGAGGTAGATGGGCTACGTGTGTGTGTAGCTTTATCGGGTAGTTATGAGATGGCTAGCTGTGGTAGGAAAAACACCGCTTTTTGATGGATCGAGGGATCCGTTTAGGAGCTGCGGGCTCTGTCGTAGGTGAAGATACATCTACGGAAAGGGGTTACGGGCAGAAAGGGGCTTCGGGAATGTCATGTGCTATACAAATGCCCAGAGTAGCCTGAGATACTGCCTAGCATAGCCGGTGATGCTACCTTCCTACTCCTATGACTGCTCGCCAGGTAGTCTGATGGATGATGGGCCGAAATTCTTCTCTGTATATACCTAGGTACTTATATAGAGATAACATGTATGTACAATACAATGTATATGATCACCACTAACCACTCTTATTCGAGTCGTTTTCATCATGAGCTTAAACGTAGTGTGTCAAATATGTCATGGTGCGGTCAATTTTAGGATCTTACCAGAAGACGTTGAATGCGCCTGAAATCAAAGCGTAGAATAATATTATAGCAATACTCAAAACCAACGACAGGCGATGATAGTTGGCCCAAGAAACTAATGGGATTTCATATGTCTAAGGCAACATCAATTAGGGGCTCATGTCACAATCAAAGCATGACAGTCACGATATACATATTAAATAACACACTTTACTTCTTCATTAACGGCAAACTCGATTCCTAAGAAAAAACATCATCCTTTTTAATTCAGGCGACCTAAGTTGAGAAACACATCGAGGCTAGAAACGCAAGGAAAACACAGGACTGTGGGTTGACGCAAGGAAAACCAAGAGCAAGCCAAGTTCGTGGCCAGACGCGTGTGCGGACGTCGAAGGGGGGGTCTTCCTCTCCGGATGGCACTAGCCGACGAGGCATGTGTGAACACCCATCCTGCGAGTCAGAAAGATTACTCCTAAAATACAGGCATCTAATTTTGCAGGGGAGCATTCTCAGCTCTGACATTCTCCTCCGTATCCTCCACGAACACACCGAGCCGCCTATCGACTTTCCGTCTCAATTCCGGGTATTTTGTCGTAACAGCTGAAAAAAAGCAAGCACATATGATCGTGAAGGGAAATGAATGATAGGATAGACACTCCGACGGAGGCGACGAGAACCATGCTGTCTGTATGGGTTTTCGATATTCGCGGATATGTTCTGACCAGTAGACGAGGAGGGAATATAATAGAACGATGCCTCTTGTACCTATTCGCCATATGCCATACCAGCCCATAACAAGTCGGCCTAATGTGCAAATGCTGAGTGGAATAGGATACAGTTCATCAAAATCCTGAACCAAGTATATCTCGCCGTAATGTTCAAGAACGCCGGAAAAGCAACCCCAGATATCTGGAAACCTCGCCTCTCGGAAAACAGCTTTTTTTATCTTTCGGATGGCAGCTGCTGAGTAGGGCTTTTAGTACCACTGACCACGACTAGGTGATCCTCATCTGACAATTGCCGCTAGGGACAGACATCTCGTGAGGTGCATTAGTTGATGAGTAATTAAAAGAAGAGAAGTTGAATAGACAGGTTGATGAAGCGAAACAACGCGGTAGGCGGGTACTGTATGGGTTTCATGAAGGCTCGGACGTAAGTCGTAAGTGGTTAATTCCGTAGAGAGAAACCCTTTCGCTTGCCCTCCTTCTCTATCGGCCGTCCGCTTTCGACTCTCGCCTTCTTCTCCTCGAGTTCCATCCGTTGGCGCTCGAGCTGTTCCTTCATCTCCCTATGACGAGCGTATAACTCCTCTTCACTCTGCTTCAGCTTGCTCTCCTTCTCAGCCACCTTCTGCTGGAACACCATCTTCATCTCAGCCTCCATCTTAGCAAGCTTCTGTTCGTGCAGAGCACGCTCCTCCTCTTGCTTAACGGCAGGGTTGACCTCCTTGAAGACGCTGGGGTCCTGAGCAACACCCATTGCGGTGAGCTTATCAGTACGGTAGTTCTCGTAGAGGCTGTTGTTGGTGTGTTCCTTGAGTTCTTCCATGTGAGTTCGGATAAGCATCTGGCGCAGCTTAACGAAGTCGCAGTGCTCCTCGTTATCGACCTCAATAACACCCCATGGGTAACGGCGGCCACGGACTTTACGTCCATCGGCGTTGGTAACCTCGCTGTTAGCACCGACAACGGCAAATGGCACCTTGGACATGATCTCGTTGTTCTCCGCAATGGTTTCCTCATCATCCAATTCATATCGGGGACCCTCGAAGATCTGAATACCGTGGTGCTTGATGTCCGCGAGAATCTGTAACGATTAGATATGTAACTGGGAAAGTTCATGGACAAACTTACTCTAGACTTGAAGCCAGCGATCTCTTCATCGGTAAGAGTATCTGACTTAGCGATGACGGGGATCAAGTTAACCTTGGTATGCAGACGACGCATAACCTCGATGTCCAAAGGCTTCAGAGAGTGACCAGTGGGTTGGATGAAGAAGACGCAGGCATGGATACGGTTATCAACAATGTTCATGCGGTTCACCTTGTTCTCGGCATCCAAGTAAGCATCGTAACGTTGCTCGATGTTGTCGACAATGGGTCTCCACGACTCATCGTTGTTCACGAAGTCTCCGAAACCAGGGGTGTCGACAACAGTCAGGCGTAGACGAACACCAGCTTCCTCGATATCTGCACTGATGGATTGAATAGAGACGGTCTTGGGTATTATGTCAAGGCTAGGTCCCTTGCGGTCCTTGGGCGGGTATAGAGAAGTGTTGAACAGAGTGTTCACCAGTGTAGATTTACCCAAGCCGGATTCACCTAAATTTCACGAAAATTAGCCATCCATCGCAAGAAACAGGGTATTCATATACATACCAACAACCATGACATTGAAGTTGAATCCCTTGCGGACACTCTTGCGATGCCATTGGTTTGGCAGGTTAGCGAAACCGACATAGCCAGTTAGCTTCCTTCGGACGATGTTCCTGCTGTCATTCACAATAGGGCCCGAAGAAGGGACTGCGGCCGGGGCTGTGGGCTTCAGGTCAGAACTCGGCGGAGACGACGGCTTAGGTGTGGAAGGCTTGCCTTCGGTAGGCGCAGGCGATGCTATCGAACCGTTTGCGGCTATTAAAAGTCAGCACAAGTTTTAAAAAAGTAATGTCCGTAGCGGAGAGTAAATTGCAAGAGTGTGTCCGAAGAGATATACCGGTGAGCGATGGATTTATGTAGAGCTCCTCGTACGAAATGGGTTTGTGAGGCCCAAGAGACGGAGCATCGACAACCAGCATGCTCCGGTAATGACGAACTGGTGGCTGATTTTCCTGGTCCAATAGGCTGCTCGACCTCCCAGAAGGGACTGGAGGCGTAGTTGACTCTCTTTGTGGAACATTGAAATTCTCCATAAAGTGATTATCCAGTTGGACACTCCGAGTTCGTGCCTTGTTGTGGGGGTTGAGAAAAGCCGGCATTGTATGAATGGTTATTTCGTTTGTTTTCCGTTTATTTTTATTTTTCTGGTTTTTGAAAAGGAGACTGCTTCTAACGATGGCCAAATATTCCAAAGAACCAAAAAACTTAAGCCCGAGAACTGATGATCAACCAAAAAAGCGAATGGAAGGACGTTCGGTAGGCGAGTTTGATGTGAATGGGATGGGGAAAGGTGATCAATCCAAACAGATCATCCACCGGGGTAGAGATAAATAGTCGAGGCTGGACCTTTGCCGACTTCCATAGTATCGGCTACTCTTGCAATTTTACTCTCCTCCATGAAACGGGTGGCTGCATTGTTAAGATGGAGAAGGCGCTTACCCATAGTGAATATGTCAATAGATATCGGAACTTAAGAGATATGGTGAATGGAAAGCGCAAGTTCAAGTCTACAGAAGTGACAATGTTAGTTACGAGATCGACGTGGCTGTTGTTGATGCGGGATGAATGGCAGATGAAGATGGCACCTGAAAAGGGGAAGAGAACAAGGCACGAGAGCTATCGCGGAGGAGCAACGAATACTCAGTTGCTATGGAAAAGCTGGTACTGCTAGCAAGGTAGGAAACCAATAGCATGCATTTGTTTATGTGGATGAAGTCGCGGTGCAGCAGTTGAATGTTCACATACCTAAAATGATGACTTCGAGTCGCGTGTCGATTCACGTCTTGCGACGTTTCAAACAGTTTGTCGATGAAGCGAGCGAAAGAAGTAAACGTGTTTGGAAGGTTGGGAAGGGAAAAGAACCGACACTGCGCACACCTGTTATCTCGTGAAGTTCTAGAGAATGTCGGGGTTGCAGTAAAAAAAGAAAAAAGATGAATTGGATGAATGGTTGGTAAAACGAAGAACCAATCTACCAAATTAGGAGGTTGTAGATTAACGGGAAGAAGAATTTACCTTTACGTGGGAAAATGAGGTTTGAAGGTGTGCGACCCGACCTCCTGTTTCTAGTCTCCTCTCAACTCAATCAAAAAATCAAATTTGGGGCCCTGGCTCTTTTTTTTGCTTCAAAAGGGGCTTGGGCTCGTGTACCCAAGTACCCAAGTACCCGTACCTGAGTAACTCTATTAAGCATCCCCACCGTTCACTAACAGTCAACAGCCAACGCTCCTACTCTAATCTGTTAATGCGCGAGGGCCAAGTGAAACAAGGATACCCGTTACACTCTACTTCTCTAGGCACTCGTGGGTGTCAATGTGTGGCTAGGGATCTTAACTACAGGGACCTATGAACAGGGGTTCTCACTAACTTCAAGCTTGTTGATTGGCCAAAATATCCAATTGGGCGGAGGATTTAATCAACAGCAATGGTTAGAGCTCTTTTTTTTTTCTTTGCAACTGCATCGGCTCTGCAAGCTCTCTGCCACCGGTGCCACCTCATCATATCATTGCCGTCACCCTTCTAAGTTCTATTCTTTTCCCCTTCTATCTTTTTTGTAGGCGTTTTTTCTTGCTTTTTCTTTTCCTATCTGTCTACCGTTTTTTAAACGGCGGAAAAGGTACCTAGGTACTTATCGGAAGAACGCTTCGGATAGTACCTACCTAGTAGTAACCATACCCCTAGTTGAAGTTCAATGAGCCAGGCGGCCGATGAGCTAGGTACCTCCTATGTGCCTTGGTATTACGGTAATTTCAACATCGAATCCACTTCCAGAAAACGCGTTTAGTCTATTGAGGTATCTAGGTATATGCAAGCTTTGACCCAGTATCTGAATATGCACTGCAGAGATTAAGCCGACTTGACCAACTCGACCTGCTCGACTAAGAATATCCTATCGCAATACTATGCGTAGGTCATGGATATAAAAATATCGATCGAGGTTAGGGAGATTTTCCCCAATCGCAGACGTTCGGCAGGTTCTTGGTCAACGTACGCCTCTGCATAGATTCGTATTTAAGTGGCCTGTCGTACGTAAACCTGTATGTACGAAGTACCTACATGCGCTACATGCGCTACTATGCGTATGTGACGACTTTCCGCTCGTGTTCAGCAGTTCAGTTGGGAAAAAGGGAGCAGGGAGTAAGAGCTAGCGATCCAACTAGTTGGTGACTGGTCGCGACTGGTCGCAATCAAAAGGGTCACCAATTTGGTACTAATTTGGCGTAGGATCGCATGTTGTTTGTGGGGAAGCCATCTAACCTTACATAATCCCTGATATGCAATGTACGTACCGCATTAGGGAGAACTCCTTCCGTTCTCCGATCCTTGCGTCTTGCATAGTACGTACCCAGTACGTACTATTCAAGTTACATTAATCCATTAATATCTGAAGCTTCATCTGTCCGTCAAACTAAAAAAGGAAACATATCATCAGTAATTTTATACTAGAAGCTTGGTTCTACGGGTTCTACGGTGATATCGAATATCGATTATCGCTTAGATGGGTTATTACGACATTTAGGATTCCAAGAAAGATCTCAATTCGGTGTAGGTGGGTGTCAAAGCGAGTCTGTCGGTAGTTAACCAGTCCCACGTTTCATTAGACGATTACCTAGAGAGCAGAAGGATCAGGAGCTAGCTATTGTTCTAGACGACATTCCAAAGATCTCATATTCATGCTATTTTTTTAAGAAAAAAAAATCGCGAACGGGTGAGTAGAAGTATACAAAAGACACGAATTCTACGTTTAATTGACATTGTAATTGAAAGCTGATACCACGATAGTCTTGCTTCAATAAATTCGCCTAGTGTTTATAGCAATCAGCTCCCATACAGTGTCGTCTGAATTTTTGAATTGTTGAGCCTCATGTACCGTTAAGGTACACATCCTAGGGTCTATTGAGCGTAGATTGAAGCATGACTGCTACATGGTCCTATGTCATCGGTTAGTTGACAGGAAGTTATCGTAAAAGGGGCTCTAAGCATTCAGGGCTCATGCTCCATCCGTATTAAGGAAGCCCCATAGCTATATCACGAAGGGTATCTCGCGTAGCGATGTCTGCATTAAGCCCCCTTTATCTCTAACATCACGGAGGAAACATCCTTTTCTCTTTCCTGCGATTAAGCAGTACCGAAGTCCATATAAATCACCGATACTATCTCACTGGACGCTGGATTTGCAACCTTCCTTCTGCTTACACGGATTAAATTGAAATAAAATGGAAATAGTCAAGGGCCTGACTTACCGAGGGGATCATGAAGACAACGAGCATTAAAAACACAGAAACTCAGTCGAATGGATCTCGCGGAGATCGGATGTAGGATATTCTAAAAATTGATTGCCCGCTAATAGTCAAGCGTCAAGTCACGGTACACCTACCTATCCAAGATAACATAGGTATCATTAGGTTGGTATCATAATTCAAGGCGGGCAAGCTTTGCCTAGAGAAGACCTTTGTTTGTTATATATGTCATTAGGTATGTATCGTGTAAACTATAATCATGTAATATGCTTCTCTAAACCAGACAAATATCATGGCAAATCGATTCTGCTCAACACCTATAACGCCCCTACATTGCTCTCCTCTAAAACCACGATCCAATAAATCATGACCATACGTCATTCCCTACTCCTCCACCGAGACCGCAAACTTACTCAAGCTCCTCAACCTCCCACCGTAAAAGTACAGTGCCCAAATCCCCACAATCCCAATCGTGCTCAGCCCTCCAAGCAGACTAGTACCCCTCGCGACGCCTAAGTTCTCAAATAGCGGACGTGCGAACAATATACTCGCGAATGCGAGGGCAGAGCGGAAGAAGTCGTTGCCGGCGAACAGACTAGCGGCGTACTGGGGGTAGCTCAGGGGCACGTAGACGAAGATGCATTGCATGACGACGAACACAGAAGCACCGTATATCGTGATCCCAATAGTCGGTGCAATCCACGGGATGTCGGGGCGTGCCGTCCAAGCGAAGATGAAGAGTCCGATTGTGGGGCCGAAGGCGGCGCCTAGTGCCGGGACGAGTCTACTCTCGTGAATTGGGAAGCCTTGGCGCGCGATACGCGGGTTTAGGTAGAAGTATAAGTATGAGATGTAGACGGCAATACCGAGAAGGCACGCGACGAAGACACATAAGAAGACGAGGCCGACTTGGCCATAGTCCATGCCGTAGTAGACGGGATATACGAGGGGAAAGACCTCGAAGAAGGAGTAGTAGATCCCGTAGATGATCGCGGTGTAGACCTGCACGAACAATATGGCCGGATCTTTGAGGGTAATCTCGAGGGGTTTAATGAGCGCATCGACGATTACCGCCCGCTTATCTAGGTTACGCTGGTCCATTTCTGACTGCGACATGAAGCGCTCGTTACCCGTGAGTTTGCGTAGGCGTTGGGCCCGGCGGAGGAGTAGGTTCGGGGTCGAAGTTTCGGGTAAGAAGGCAAACATAGCCAGGAAGACCGGGCTCGCAGCCCAGATAATTTCGAGGAGTGACCATCGCCAGCCCATAATGGGGACAGAATACCCAGATAGTAGTGGGCCAAGGGCTGGACCACAATACGCGGCACTAACCCATGCGATTAGCGCATAGGGTAGGGACATCACGCTGTACATATCGCCGAGCGTGGCGGCGCCGTTTGCTAGACATGGTGAGCCGAAGAAGCCTTGGAGAAATCGGAGAACCATCAATCCTGGGTAGTTGGTTACTAGCGCGGTTGGAATGGATATGATGACAAACAGAAACATCGTTATAATGTAAACTGGGTTTCGACCGATGCTGGGTAACTCGCTCAGAGGTGAGAATAATAAGGGGCCTAATCCGTATCCCAGCACGAATAGAGCCAACCCTAGAGAGGCGTCTGTTGCATTAACGCCGAATTCTTCCATAACACCCTCGGATGAGTTGGTGTATATGGCGCTGGACGTGTATACAACGAATGTATAGAGACATATAATAACAGTCACCATGGCCCGCCGTAAATTCGACCAATTCTGAGGGTTATCCGGATCGTCGGTGTAGTACCAATCAACAAGAATTGCGCCATCTTTCGTCTTCTTGGGGACGATAGGTATCGACTTCGTCTTCTCAAGTTCGTGTTGTTGGTCAATCTCATACCGTGCCTCGGTATTTGGGAGGGTCTCAGCTCGACTCCTGGTCCTGATCAAGGTACTGCCGTATGGATCTGAATCTATCGCATCTACCTTTTCGGATTGACTCTCTTCGTCGTTGGGGTTGGGGGCTATTGATGTAAAGGTTGAGGAGCCAGAACTTGGGGGATCTGGTCGATCTTCTGAGGCCAAGTCAATCGAGTCTGACTTTAATATCCGTATCCAGGTTTCTGGGAGCTCAAAATTTGACATTTCTTCGGAGTATTGTAACACACGATTTCCCGTAACAAGTCGAATGAATTGCCCTAACGGGGCATCACGAACGATATACGACATTGTGTTGATCCTATCCGTGTAGATAGTATCAAGACAGGACTGGTCCGAATGTTGCTTTTGGGGATCAAGTACGGTAATGAAAGGATGATATGAGATACTTCTAGTCTGATGCTAGATGAAATAATCTGAATGGAATATTGACATGAAAATAATCAACCTTTAGAGAAAATTGAATTTTATATAGAGGCTCTTCTCACCTGGTTTGACTCACCTCGGAGTTATAGAACAATCTTTCTCCATGGTCTCTATTTCTAATCTCCATATTGCGGAAACTAAGAGAAAACCGACACTAAAATATCTAAGACATTCTTGACGTTGGTTTCTAATCCAAATGATGAAATTCTGCAAAGGAGGATTACCAATCTCAGCTTGTGAAACGAGTAAGTTCACAAGCTGAAGATTGAAATATTGAAGCGATGTGGAGATTTTAGATCTTGGTTAATCTTAGTGTCTCAGTAGATCTGGATAAAGAAGATCTCTGTGTTCTCAGATTGGACGACAGCTGTAAAAAAGAATCCAAAATGGAGTTGGTGTATGTAGGTAGTATCCAGTACAAACATAAGACGTAGGGCAGAATCGTGAGTCAGTGGTGGATCTTGACTCGTAATCTAAACGTCTTTCAATTGGTCCCAGACTGCCGGATTTAGCTTCAGTGTAGTGATCTCAGATCTAGGCCTTTATGGATTTATCAGCGATATATCCGGATCTAGTAGAGCTTGTACCTAGTACTACCGTAGTTTCAATTAAAGTGACATTTGGAGCAAGAGGGTTCCTGGTAGTTTTGAAGCACGCCTTTTTTAAGTTTGGGCTTAGACGCTTTGTGTCATCATTAGGACCGGTCGGAATTGAGCCGAGCTTTGTAATCTTATTAACGAGAATTGCGCCGGACTCAAGAGATGTCAACTAATTTTGGAATGTGCGTTAGTAATACATGATGGATCCCTTATATCGAAGAGCTGAATAAGACCTTCTAGTATTTTAACTTTGGAAAGTTAAGAACATTTATCTGAAAGGCTTACTGGCAAGAATCAATGAAGCCACGAACTTGGAAACGGTTAAATCCTGATATATTCTCGATGGATCTTGCCTTATGCCGAATCTGACAATGCGTTAAGATTTTGGCTAGCTGGCACAGTGTCGAGTGGTACTGTATATGATTTTTCTATAGATGAAGGAAAAGCACCCTCTGCTTCGGCTAGCTCCTTCTGCTTTTGCATACCATCAAGTAGTTGTTGCACTTCTGTGTCGATAGACATTCCTCGTCTGCGACATCCTTCGATAAGTTCCTGCGCTCTGATATCCTCTGCTTGGATGCACCTCCTGATAAGTGCTAGAGCTGAACTTCTGCTAATCCACCAGTTATTGGGCAAACCCGCCGTTTTGCTAGCCTTCATCTTCTCGAGAAATTGGAAGGCTTGTTCGTAGTCTTCCTGCAAACTAGCTATCCGGATTAGGTGATCATATGTCGTCTCGACGGGTTCGATTGAGAATGTCTGCATCTCATCAAGCAGGAAATTTATAGTTCTCCCCTTCGTACATTGACTAAAGAGGATATGATAAGTCTCAAGATCTGGCCCGTCGGCGCAGAACTGCCGAATATTTCTGTACAGGTCTAAGGTTACTGTAAATACGTGATGTACTCCGGTAGCCTCCAAGACAACGTTAAATGCGGCACTGGGCACTTTATAACGCAAGCTGAGGTCACTTAGTATCGCTAAGGCATTATCTGTCTCGGAGGGCGATTTGCGGAGAACTCGAAAAATGGATCGTGTGCTGGAGAGGTCGGGGCGCAAGCCTGTTTTGGCTATGATACATAGAACCGTAAACGCTTTCCGAAGGTCATTCTGCTGAGCATGTATTTCTACGAGAGCTTCGTAGTGGTGTAATTCAAGTCTCCTGTCGCGACTTGAAAGCATCTGGATTGCACTCATAGCTAACGGTGCATCTCCATGATTGGATGCTGTATTGAGTACGTTCATTACGATGCCGTCGGGAGGATTTATATATCCAGGCGAGACTGAATGATCCCATATGTGTTTAATTCCATCGTAAAATGCGTCTCGGCCGAAGACATCGAGGAGGAACTGACACGTATTCGGAGATAAGGGCTCGTTGGTGACATCTGCGATTTTTATTCGGTGTTTGAGAATTGATAGTGTCTCCTCATGGAAACCTAACTCCCCAAATGTATAGAGGAATATCTCATAGAGCCAGCTTGGGACTGCGATGGCAGTCTTTGAAATCGCCTCTAGCTTCTCTAACGCAAGTTCGTACTGGTTATCCCGTAATAGTCCAACGATGATGCTAATTTGGTCGTCCGTTGTTGGCGAGTACCAGCGATTCTTCATTTCGAAGAGTGCCTTATTTCGGAGGACATAATCAGGATGGACGGATGTGACCTGCATTCTCAAGTTAACATACGGCAATATATATTTTCAAGACATGTTATCTCACATCTAGAATTGCTTGATAGATCTGCGGCGTAGTTACAATGTTTAGCTTCTCCATTTCTTCGAGAAGCCCACGAGCAATCCCCGCGGATCCATAATATCGATCTATATTCGCTCGGATAAGACTCTCATAAAGAATGGCGTTTGGTTTCTCTTTCCTTTCCTTCACCAAATATTCAACTAATTTTACAACTGATAGATAAGTGTTTTCGGCACTTGCGAGTTCCTTGATAGCAGCATATAAAGTCTTCGTGGGGATTCTATCGAGTTTGGTAATAAAAGCATCGACACCCCGAAAGAGAACTCCGGGAGCCCATGGGTTTCGTTTCGCTATTCGCTGGAGGTATCCGATCCGTGATTGCTCGACCGACTCCTGGGAATTGCGACTGGGAAGGCCACTACCTACGTAGCGGTACTCTCGCCGACTTTGCCTGCAGGCAATCCAGATATTACTGGATGGGGAAAGAATCGGTCGTTGGCGAGGATGACGAGGCGGTCCGATCAGCCTAGAGAGAGTAGTTATATCTACCGAGGGACATAAACATCGCCAGAGCCCGTCAATAACGATACATTCCCTCGGCATTGCGTGGTTCAAAGCCAATCGATGTCAAGTCGACTTATATCGACCCCATATGTTGTCGCATCCGGAATTTCGACACTGAAAAAAGTTGATAAGAGATAAGAAAAAAGCGCGGATGGTGATTGGGTTTTATGCCTGATTCCCAGCTGTCAGCAGCTGTCATATGAAGTTAAAATCGCTTACAGTGATTTCTATGTACCTACCCGAAATAGCCATCTTGTAATGATACCTAGTAGTTATAAATAATTTGCGCCTGTAATGATGCATGTTCATTAACAAATTACACGTTTTGTCTGACCATAGCTTATCATTTACTATCATGCATTTGTTGGGATTCGACGAAGCTTAGGGTTTCCCGTGCTGTCGTGGTACTTCAGAAAAAACACACTGAATAGAGAAGCTTGAGTCTTCATTCTGGAGCGTACTGGAATTGCTACTACTCCTTCCTTCTCCTGTTGGACATTGAATCTGTAGTGTGATCACGGTTTAACACCGTTTGCGCCAACACCATTCTCGGCGGGCTGGGTATCTTCGTCTAGCGCGGCTGTATCCTAGCACTCACCCCAACTATAGCAGCTTTTTCGAAGCTCGCCTATGTGCCCTCGTACTGCCATTCGGAGCCATTTAGTATTGTCTTCCTTGCCTGCATGCCATCCGTGTAGTATTCATTCTTGCGCTTCATGAACCACGACCTCTACCGCGACCTCTTCCCTGGCCTCGTCCGCCACGACCACCTCTGTCACCACCTCTGCCACCATGGTCGCCTCGTTGTTGGCCATGCCCACCGCGTCCACCTCTGAATCCGCCTTGTTGACCGTGCTGTTGATCCTTAACAAGGTCGATGATCTCGTCTGGCACTCGAAGATATTTGATCTGACGTGTCTTATTAGTAGTGCGTATATAGAGGGTAGCTCTTTTTATAGGCAGATGTGCTCACGTTGTTTCCTTTGATGTATACTTCAGGTAGACGGACGAATTTATCTCCCTCCTGTTTCCTTATATTAGCCAGGTCACTAGCTTCATTTCTAGAGTAAGGTTCCTGACAGGGCTGGTCTGGATAACCTCCTTCAAGGTTAAGTTCATCCATGTGTCGCATTGTATTAGATGGCCGTTTAGAGTCTCTCCGTTCTTGAGCTCAACAAGCATAGGGTGGCCTTGGGCGGCGTTTAAGAGTCCGAGAGGTAACTAAGAAAGAGAGTACATTAGCATAAAAGAATATACCGAATGGATTAAGTAAAGAAGTACCATCTTGGACGATCAGCTTTGTAAGCTGTTTATGGAGTATGGGGACCAAGACGAGGCGCAAATTGGTACTCAATCTCGAATTTCGCGACAAGGAATATCTTGGGTTGATAGCGTGATGATTTGAAGCTGGAAAGCTTGAATTTAGATGGTGGGGCACAGTGTTCCATTGCGGATTCTCCAGCCACAACTTTAATCTTCCGAGTTGGAACTTGGAAGTCATTAGAACTCAGCCATTGACTGAGCCACTGTATTCATTAGTCATCAAGCGTCATTTGAAACTAAAGTCTTTCAGGGTTCTAGGAGCATGAAAATACTTTAATGAAGCAACATTGAAATTTGAACCAGTCAATCAATCATCTCTGATATCAATAATCGCATTCTTAAGTTCCAACGTCCAGTCCAACGCAAATACACATAAGTATGGGTATTAAACTGAATATTATTGGTTTCCGACATTCCATCTATGGATATTTACTTCATCTTGAAGAAGACTTCAAAGTTCAAAATCCTACGTGGACTACATAGAAACCTCGAACAGATTGCCGACTTGAATGGATACAGACGTACATAAAGATACAGAAGATGATTGGCCAGGTTTGTTTCTGTTTTGCTCATCACTTCACGACCTTGGATTGCGTACGAATCTATCCCTCAATTTTGTTCGGCATTGACCTAGCTTAGTGCAAGCTGGGTTAGGAGGACTCGTCAGCTAGTTGAAGCTCATTGGCTGGACTGTCCACCACCCCTACCGAGTAATCGTTAGGCCTACACAGCCTCATATAGAGAGGCAGCGCTAATGGCCTTTAATCATTTCCTACAGAGATTGCTGGCGGTCGATTGCGGTCGATTTAGTTTCAGAGCTAATGTGCACCTAAATAAATTCTTCGTTTCGCTCTGCCCGCTTCATTCTCCCCCCTGTGACTTTTGTGCCCCTTCTGCCGCATGCCCCTTGAAGATTGACGAAAAACAACGATTAGGGACGTTCGAGCGTGGGCATATTTCCTGAAGTGATATTGTCCGCGTGGCACCCCCACCTATACCGCACCCTCACGCCTTCATCGGAGGACCCGGGGCGTCTTACATATTCCTTTACCAACCCGCCTTGCGTAGGCAACCGTATTTTTATTTTCTCTTTCCATTAAGGTCATTTGTCGTGTGTGGGTGTTTCGTAGTCTTGCCATGCCAAGGCAACCTCATTTTGTCAATCATTCTTTACACATTTTCTAGGTGCCTGGCCCGCGATCATGCGTGGCTACCTACAGGCTCAGTTGCTGCTAGCGCCGCTGCTGGCCGCGGCTCTTCCAACAAAACATGAGGGTGAGTCTTGAGAAATTTCCGAATAGGATGAAAACTCGTGACATGTTTCTGACATGTAACTATTCAAGCTACTCCACTCGCCTTAATCAATCTCGATATCAACGACTCCGAAGATGGAGTCACCCTTCGAGAACCTGTAAGTTACCAAGAAACAAAATGAGGCATTCGACATCGGCTGGCCGACTAACTGACGCATACTACTTAGACTCTTCGCCTCAACATTCATGAGTCTACATCTCCATGCGGCTATGGAAATGTGACCCTTAATGACCAAACACTTGCACAAGACGATAATGGTCTTGGTTCTGGATCGATTACGACTGAGCATGGCAACATCATTCTCGCTAACTGGGGTTTCACCTGTGTGCACCTCGAAGATGAGTTTCAAGGACAGTTGATGACCTTTGAAGTCATCTCCGTAGATGATAGGAAAGTCGACGATGTTGGGTTCGTCGTTCAATTCCAACAAATGGCCCCAGTTTCGGTATCTTTAATTAACGGCTCTGGATCTGTTGTCGACGTTCCTATTCCCAGTGAGGCTATCAAAGGCAACGATTCTTCGAATAAGGAGACCTCGGAAACCCTTGATGATGAATTGGCGGAGTTGAAGTCGATGATGCGACAGCTGGCGGCACTCGAATATGCTATTTCTTCCAAGGTTCATCACATTTCTGAGACTTACGATTTCAAATTCCCACGGCCAGGTCACCCTCATTCACTTTCTGATTGCGATAGTCTGAAGTGTGTCGTAAGGACGATGTATATCCGGGCGAAGCATATGGCTAGTAAGCTATACGGCCACGGATTTGAAGGCGAAGGACACTTTGGTGGTAGACCGGGCAGGCATCATTGGCCATTCCATCATGAAGAGGGACGTCCTGGCCATCGACCTCATTGGATGCCACACCACCATGAGAACGGAAACCACTCTCGCCCATTCCCGCCGCATCATCCACCTCATGGGCCGCCTCCTCATGGACCGCCTCCTCATGGGCCTCCTCATGGGCCTCCTCATGGACCCCCTCATGGACCTTATGATGAACCACCTTTTCACCATCCGCCTCCACCCCCCTTCTGCGATTGTGGGCCACCGCCGCCACCACCTCCACCTCCGCCTCCATTCTATGGGGAGCATCCTCCTCATGGTGGCCCGCCGCCTCCGCCGCCGCCGCCACCTCCTCCCCCTCACCATGAGTTTGGAGACGAGCCGCATCATGAGCATCCCGGACCGGATGCGGGATTTCCTAACGAAATGGTAAGTTTAGATTAGGTAGTAGATTCGGAGCCGTGTGTCGCTAATTTTCTATAGGAACCCCCTGAGGACTTTGATCCCGAAAGACCTGAACACCCACTCTTCGAAGATGGAGAATTCCCTCCTCCTCCCCCTCCCCCTCCTCACCATGGAGGACCACCACACGGAGAGCACGGACCACATGGTGGAATGCCGCCGCCCCCGCACCACCCTCCTGTAAGTATTTGCATTAATTAAGCAATAATTCGCCTAGATACTAACATAATGAAGCATTTTGGCCCACCTGGTTTATTCCATACCATATCCGTTATCCACGTCGGGGCTGTAATCATCTTACTAGGTCTACTCGCTAGCGCCTTACACACGCGCTGCTTCACTAAAACCCATAAGAATCGACGCTCTAGCTGTGGTAAGCGACACGGAGCCCGGGGGCTCCGTTGCCGTCGCCGCCATGACGACGGTTTCTGGGCGTCTAGACGTGATGCTATCAACGCTAGGTACGATGAGATTGTCAGATGGGTAAAAGAAGGCGCGAGACGTCAAGAGCTCGACGACGAGGAGAAGGAGGCCATTATGAGACAAATTCATGGGTCTGACGGAGACGACAATCTCTCGACGACCATGGAGCAAGAGATCGCGCAGTTCCGTGCTGCCGCAAGTGTAGTGGGTGATATTGTCGAAGCCGAGGAGGGACGGTCGCGTTCTCGCGAATTCCCCCGCGAGATGCAACAACACCGCGCTCCGCAACGTAGTGCCCCTATCCCCCAGAGCCCAACTTCCGCCTTCCCCGATTACATTGACGAGGAGCTACCCGCCTACGACGAAGGCAATGATGATCGCTTCGTTTCCGACGGGTTTAGATACACCCCGGGAAGCTCAGCCTATACACCAACCGCGTCGTCCACGACGGGATCGTCCCTTGACGAGAATTTAGGAAGAAAGGAATAAATAGGTGTATATGATATGAATCTTGGCAAGGTGGCTGGGCATTTCTCTTTTGTCTTCCTCATGTATAAATAGGGGCAGCGACTGGCGCATTATACTACACTGCGAGGTAGTGTTGGGATTTAGATAGACCGCCTCTAGCATAGATGTTTTATGAAGCGTAATATCATAACTTGTTCATGAAGTTTAATTATTGTATTTAGAGATGATTACTCTGTAGATTAAAATCTTTTTTCTTTTGTTTAGAGGATTACAATATTAGTGCTGTCCAATATTAACTGCTATGGAATATGTAGGTACCTACTAGACCCATTTGCTTACATAACCTTTTACCCCTTTTACCCCTTTATCCCAAATTCACATTATCACATCCATTATTGTAGTATTTTCTTCTGGCTTTTATACTGTGTTCGTATCGTTTCATTTATATATTCTAAAAAACATTTCGTCCTCATTTCTCTGTTTTGTTAATAATCCAGTAACTATCCATAGTTACCTACGTAGTTATCGTACCTACATAGTAACAATACTCAACCGTTAAGATATTCTTTCGATCTCTGTCAAGGAATCGTTATAACTCATTGACCTGTGAACGAATCATCAGAATGGGGCCTCTGCCACTTCACGTTACTATGCTCCATCAACTTCCGCCATCTTCTAGTTGACGACCTCACTGGATGGTTGCGGAACCACAGCTACAAGATATCACTTATAAACATGTATGTCTCCTTCAATTATAACTCGGTCTCGAACTGTGGCCGGGAAATAAGAGAGCACGTCTAGTTTTCTACCTCTCTGATCAAAAATCCATCCTTTTTATTTACCTTTTACACATCTCCCACGAACAAAACTTCTTCCACCACTTCTTCCTGCATCCATCAAACTTCAAGCCCATCGAGACCTGCCAAGGTTGGCCTCCCTAAGCATGGAGGAAATCGATCCGAATATTGATCTGGTTACCGGTGAGGAATGGTAAGTGTATTTTTTTCTTACCTGCATCTTAGATTTTGAGTTTGATACTGATTTAATCACTATAGCATCGAGGGATTGGACGAGCCAGACGTTCGAGCGCGTTGTGGTCACTTCGTCTACCCCGTCCATACGGCCGTACTTCGACCTGGTAGTCGATTCTTACAGCTTGCTCTACGCGATGATAATGGCGTAAGATATATTAACGACCCTTCTTGTAAATCAGGTCAACTAATAATGGTTACTTAAATCTAGGTTTATCATTTGAACCTCGACAACGAGGACTCCGACTTGGTACGTTGGTTGTTCATCTACCTCTACCAGGACGCTAGTAAGTACATGGTCGCAACCCGTGACTACTTTTTGGACTCTACCCGTTATTTCTTATTGATTATTTCCATCGTACTAACTCAATATTAAAGCCACGCGAGGCCTGCAGCAGCGCCTGGATGACCCCGAGTCCTTCTTCGACACATGCCACGAGATTCTTCACATCGCGGCAGCCTACAGTCTCTGGAGAGTCCAGCATCTTCTCCTGGTGCCGCTTCGAGATCTGTTTACAGAGCAGTCTTCAATCCTTCTGAATTACGCCAATGCTGTCAACGGACAATTACCAGCTGACGAAAATGAGATCCTCGAGGACAACTTCGGAGTAGAATTCGTGCAGCTCGCAAGCCGCATTTACTCGCACACCAGATTCAGACCGCTGCGACCCGCCATCGTCTCTTTCATAGTCGCGTCTAACTGCGTTGCCCTGGAATTCAACGTGTTCCTTAACGTAGTGAGAGAGAGACCCGTTCTCTTCAGAGACATTCTCGTCGCGATCGTCGAGCGCTTGAACAGTATTATCAACCCATGAAAAAAAGGTCTGATCCAGGCTCACTGAGGAAATATTTGGTTTACTACACATGGTGACAAACATGCAGCTACTATGCCATTCAACAACTTCACCAATAGTTTACTGGGATATTTAACTGGACAGGCAGAATCGCGGAGTGTATGACTTCCGCTTGCATTCATAGGTTCGGACAATGGAATTATTAGCTTAGCAGTCAAAGTAATGAATATTACTACGTGAAATCATCAGTAGACCCAGAATTTTGAGGCTAAAGGTAAACGAGATGAGTGAGAGGAACATTTTGATTTGTAGGCCAAGACTAGACAACACACCAAACGTTCATCCATATCATCCCACATCCCATGCAATGATAGTCGATCCCTAATGCTTCATCAATGTCCATGGTATCTCCATGCTATCACCCAAACGCCGAATCTATGCACCAACCCACGCCGACGATTCGTCTATTAGACACGACTATCTAAGCGATTCTATGGTATTAAAGGCGTATTATTAGAAAATATAATCCGAAGAAAAATCGACAATTCTATACAACACCCGCCTCAACATTCTTACCCTTAACGCTCTTCCACTCAACCGAAGCACTCCCAACGACCGTAAAAGCGCACAAAGCCGTACCAACAACAAACGCCGTCGTCAGCGCATTATTATACGAAAGGATAACGCTCGGGATGACGTCAAGGGACAGGTTATGCTTCAAGTTCGTCGCGCCGGCATTCAAGACGACTTGCGGGTCAAGGCCGGGGACGTTGACAGCGAGTTCCTGGACGAGCTTGTTCGCGAAGACAGTCTGGCCGACGCTGACGAACAATGCGCCGCCCATAGTCTGGACGAAGACGAGGATGGAGGTGCCGGTGGGCACGTCCTTGATGTCGAGGACGGTCTGCACGGCCATGAGCGGCTGCTGCATGCTCATGCCGACCCCCGCGCCGAAGAGGATCTGGTACCCGATCCAGACGCCAGAACTGACGTCCGGCTTCCACGTGGACAGTAACCCGCCACCGATAGACATGACAACGGTGCCGAGGATCATGAACGGAGCGTAGTACCCGAAAACAGTGACCATAGCACCCGCGCCAATGGAGAACAGCACGACGCTGATGAGCATCGGCAGGTTGCGGATGCCGGAGTCGACGGCGGAGACGCCCTGGACGGACTGGAACCAGATGGGGATGTAGTACACCATGATGAAGAAGCCGGAGCCGACGCTGAAGCCGAACAGGCTGCTGGCCCAGATGGTGCGTTTCTTGAAGATGCGGGGAGGCACCGTGGCGTCTTCTTGCTGCACGTACTGCACGTATATGAAGGCGAGGAAGAGGACGGCGAAGACGACGAAGAGCGCGATGATGCGCCCGCTGTTCCATGCGTAGGTTGTCCCGCCCCATTGTAGTGCGAGGAGCACGCAGATGACGGCGGGCATGAAGAGGATGGTTCCTAGGGGGTCGAAGCGCTTGATGCGCTGCGTTAGGGTTTCGTCTTGGGGGATGTCGCGTTTTGGTTCTGGGAAGAAGGCGAGGATGGTGAGCATGGTTACGGCGCCGATTGGGAGGTTGATGTAGAAGCACCATCTCCATGTCTATTTATTATTTTATGTTTTTAGCGATATTTTTGGGGATGTAGTGAGGTAATTCGGATGTGAACATACCACTTTGTCGGTGAATACACCACCTAATAGGGGACCTGCCACTGATGCAATACCGTACATGCCGCCGATGAGACCGCTATCCTGGGGTTAATTGAGGTAATTCAGGGGCTGGGATTTCATTAACTCACGTGTATATTGGTCGTTTGGCAAGGGGAACGCTATGTGCGAGAATGAGGAAAGCGCCGGACATGATGCCAGCAGAGCCTAGGCCAGCAACGGCACGGCCGATGATCAACGTCAATGAATTCTGAGCGACTCCGCATATCAAGCTTCCGATCTCGAAGACGCTGATAGCGGCGAGGAAGACAACTTTTATACTCAGGAAGGTATAGAACTTTCCGAAGAGAAGCTGAAGGACGGCGGTGGTCAACAGGTAGGCTATAAAGGAGTAATGCTGATTAGCCATCTGGCAAGAAGCAAGATTTCATGTCCTTCACGGGTTTATCTTACCACTCCCATACCAACCCACGTCGGGTAGACTGTGGAAATCATCTGTGATTTTAGGAATAGCGGTTGCGATGATGGAGTTGCTACGTAGATAGATGTATTAGGTATAACTAATATACATTTCAATCGTAGTATGAGGTAGGCGAATCAGAAAAGACGTACTCGAGAGCCATCAAAAAGACGCCTAGACATAATGCCAAAGTGATCAAGAAGAGCTTCATGCCGCCAGGGTACTCGACACCGTCTTCTCGAGTCTGAATCTGTCGTATAGATTCCCCATGATGGGACAGAGCCGTGGTATGTCTTGTGAGTTCCTGGTTCTTCTCCTGGTTAGGGTCGCCAACAGGAGTATGTGCTGAATCTCCCATATTGATGATAGAGCTAGTCGAATCCTCTGACCCGTCCAACGAGGGTATATTTTTTTCGTTTCTCGTCCCGCCTACAATGCCGGCGTCGTTTGTCGTCATCGTGAAGGAGTCGTAACAGCGTCTTATTCACTTGAGGGATCGAGGACTGCTTGTTAAGTCTGCCCTGCCTGGGGATGTACCTTCAAAGCAGGAGTAGGTAGGTGTCACGGTATATACGATACGTGATAATCAAGAAGTCCTGATGGACCAGTACTTATTATGAAATGATATTTCTCTATTTAAGAGCTGTGCTATATACCTAAGTACATAATGATCAACCCATGCCCAATGCAGTAGAGAAAGGGGAAAAAAACTATCCTGTTCGTCAACCCGCCGACCCTCTGCGAATAGAGTGGCGACTCGGCTTTCTTGTTGAGTCCTTCCGAATTCATACATTCGAGGGCTTGTAAAGGTTAGAAATCACGCCGGTATGGTGTTTCATGGGGCGTATTTTAGCGTGTTTAGGGGATCTGTCTAGCCCTAGAGAAATTTTACAGTGGCCTAGACTAGGTACAATACCCAGGTACTTGGTTAGCTCTGAATGAATCATGGTGATGAGTGAAATTAGTGGATAGCGCAACTACAGCGGCAGGGGTTAGTACGGAATGCGCGGGATGCGTGAAGCAAGATCTTGGACATACCATTCAATTAGGCAACTCTCTATCTCCGAGATTTATAGATCTACTAGGTACTTATTGTACAGTAACATAGCTACGGCAGATCAGACACTAGAAGCCGTCTATTGATCTACACGACGTATTCCGAATGGTGAGGAAAGAATCCAAGCCATCCAATTGCTGTGGTTGTTACTGGGTATCTTTGTCCCTGAAGACAAACAGTGAAGCTAAAACTCTACAAGGCGGCAGAGGTGGCAGGGGTTACTTGTCTATGCAGCCATGTACCTAGAATGAGTCAGCTTATATCATTATGATTCATTTTTTGTACTACCTAGTAATTTCCCAACCCCTCTATTACGGCTAAAGAGTGGAGCCGACTTTAAGGTGAGGAGCCAATGATATGAAAGGTATTTAGTAAATATCCTCTAGTGTTACTCTTCAACTCCTTATAACTATGCCTTATACGTATCTATGTTCATAAAACATGGAGATATACGATCAAAAGTTAGAATTGCTGAGTCCTCGCTCATGTCGATGATATCGTATCATGTCGCGTATCATTATGTGCACCGCTGCACCTAATCTGGCAGTGCAAAGCTAAGGCCAGCCCCGCGCTCCTTCGTTTGGTGGCGTCAATGTCTGCCCGTCCAATTCCGGCGTTGCAATGACAAGTCTTCATGCATACGATCTACCCCGATCGGCAGTAAGCCCTAGCTCGTCCCGCGGGGTCGATATGGTCAGGTTCTTTGAAATGTTTAGATCGAGGGAACCATCGTCAGCATCAATACTCTCGAAATATCGTCAAGATGTGGTATGGGAGTAGCAGAGCACAAGCCTTGGCAACGCTTTTTCTGGCATGCACCAATGCGTGCCTGCACGAACGCTTCTCACATTCGCCTATGATAACGAAGCGGGACTCTCCCTTGACCCCATTGAGTCCAGAGGAAGCCATTCTTGTGGATGCTATTTCCAACACCACGATATCACAATGGTCTTATTACTACACCCATGGCGCACATCTTGCCGGTAAAAACCTGTCAATGGCAGAGTGGACGGCGGATCATTGGAGAGAAAATGGCTGGAATTCCAGCGTCGTTTCCTATGACGTCTATCTGAACTATCCCGTCAATAAGTCGTTAACTTTAACCTATTCTAATGGCACTCTTTATCAGCCGGATTTAGAGGAAGCCGTGCTGGATGAAGATGAGACAACCAGCTATCCTAATCGAATACCTACCTTCCACGGGTATTCGGCCAGTGGTAGCGCCGATGCCGAATTCGTCTATGTTGGACGTGGCCAGCAGGTTGATTTCGACAGATTGAACGAACTCGGTGTACCCTTAGAAGGCAAGGTCGCTATCGCGAAGTATGGCGGCCCTTTTAGAGGACTAAAGGTGAAGAATGCGCAAGAGCATGGTATGATCGGCGTAATTATTTTCACGGATACTTCCGATGATGGTAATATCACTGAAGCCAACGGTTATGCCGCGTACCCTGATGGGCCGGCGCGGAATCCATCTTCTGTGCAACGAGGGAGCGTACAGTTCCTATCGATATATCCGGGTGATCCAACAACCCCCGGTTACCCTTCAAAGAATGATTCACCACGTGCAGACCCATCGCGAGTTCTCCCTAAGATCCCTTCAATCCCAATATCATACGTAAATGCCATTCCAATCTTGGCCGCTCTCGACGGACAAGGAACACCTGGCACTGAGGTTAATCGTACGGGTTGGGTGGGCGCACTGAACGTGTCCTATAGTACTGGACCTGCCCCTGGTACGACTATTAGCATGTCAAATCTTAGTATGTTAAATCGAAAATCCCTTCCCCCCTCTTTTGCGCCGTCTTGGAAGTTGAACTCTCCTAATTGAGCTGGATACGGGAGGGGTTGCTTCTAAAATCCTCCTCAAAGAACGAGTTGCTGACTCTTATCGTTGTAGTGGAAGATGAATATACTCCAATATGGAACTCGATCGGGATAATTAATGGCACGATCGCGGATGAGACGATCGTGATAGGAAATCATCGAGATGCGTGGATTGTTGGAGGCGCTGCTGACCCAAACAGCGGAACTGCCATCATTGTCGAACTTGCGAAAGCATTCGGCAAACTCTTGTCTCAAGGATGGAGGCCGAAACGAAATATAGTTCTTGCCTCCTGGGATGCGGAAGAGTACGGTCTTGTTGGTTCAACCGAGTGGGTTGAAGAACATGTGCCTTGGCTTACTGAGACGGCGGTATCTTATTTAAATATTGTGAGTTATGCGTTGAGTTGTTGGTCTAATACCCAGTCTAACAATGAACTCTCTTTTTGTCCCAATTTAATTAAGGAATGATCCAAATAATTTTTATTGGGAATGAATGAGTTGGACAATTCAAATAAAAAAAAAAAGAGAAAATTAGATGCTGACCTCGGGTACTGCAGGACGTTGGCGCTTCCGGACCTTGGCCTTACATAGATGCAACTCCCGAACTACATACAATTGCAATCGATATAATGAAGAAAGTCTCGTGGATGAACACAAATCGTACCATGTACGACGCCTGGCTTGAGTACACGAGTGGTTCCGTTGGTGTATTAGGTAGTGGTAGTGATTATACTTCTTTTGTCCATAATGGAATCGGTTCTGTAAGAATACCGTTTTGATACGCCTCGTGGGATCGGGTACTGATGATCAACAGATAGATATGGGAGCTGGGTCAGGTTCAGAAGACCCTATTTATCACTACCATTCTAATTTCGACTCTTATCATTGGGTGAGTGGTCATAAGAATCTACTTAAGATTACAATCGCATAACGATTTCTATCGGCGTTTTAGGTATCTAGTACTAACTACATATCTTGTAGATGACGACATTTGGAGACCCCGGTTTCCTAGCCCACAAATCCATGGCCCAAGTGAGATTTTTTACCTGTTAATCATGAGCAGTTATAACGACAGAAAGGCTAACTATTTTGTTAGTACCTAACACTCTTGGCTTATAATCTCGCAGATCAAGATGTGATACAGTTCGACTTACCTAACTATGCCACACAGCTAGAGAAATATTACGATGATCTCGTTTCAACGATCAATTCAAATTCTCAAGACCTAGATACCTCTCCGCTACAGGATGCAATAGAAGAGTTCAAAACTGGCGCGACAGAAGTGCAGGCAGCTGCACAACAGGCAACGGCAACGAATGACTCCCAACTGATGACACTTGTGAATCACAAGTACAGAGATTTCCAGCGTGGGTTTGTATCCCAAGGTGGTCTCCCGGATCGCGAATTCTTTCGACATCTCATTTTCGCTCCCGGACTCGACACAGGTTTGTTCATAACCGCCCCCTTCTACCGATACAAATAGCCCTTACAAACTAACGTTTACTTGTAGGTTACGCGGCAACGACATTTCCCGGGATAACAGAAGCAGTGGAAGCTAAGAACACATCACTCGCAACTGGTTTTATTCAGAAGACTGCAGACGCTATTTTAGTAGCTGCAAATATCATCAAGACTTAATTATGCCATAATAATAGACTATTCTGGCCTTCTATCTAGTACGGTGTTGATAGATGTTCTCAGTGATTTCTTCAGTGCTTATAGAAGTAGAACAATGAAGATATGTAACTTATATTTCCCTTTACGATTTCCCCTTTGTTAACCATAGGTAGGTAGGTAGGGTACCTATTGAAAGAAGCTTTTATGTTTATATCTTTGTTGCTCATTCAATAACTATAAAGTAGCCTTGTTGATATCAATATCTCTCTCTTATACTAAATATTCAATGTGAATGCACATCAGGAAAAGATATTTTCTAGTGACTACCTACTTACTATGTTGATATTCAACACTTTCCAGAACAAGTCTCACTGGTTCATCATTCCAGCTGAAGCCTTTACTCCAAATACGGAATAATAGAACATATACCCGATTTATAATATGGTACCTACCTACCTAGGTATTTCTTATATTAATTTCAGTGTCTATAAACCCCCATTTTCTTTACGACCAACCATCCTGTCACTTTATATTCCTCCTCTTCGAGACGATGTGTAAAAATGATCCTTCCAATATTCGAGGCAGGTTAACATATCTAACCTAACGGGATATGGATAATACCACGTAGGTAGGTACCTACCTACTTAACCAAGATATATCGTCGACAGCGAAAGATTATGGCCAAATAATCCACAGTATGGGTGGTGGTGGTAGGTAATACATAATATTACCTAACATATGAAGGTTAAATAATTTTCTCAACCCCTGACACGTAAATATAATCCGTCTAATGGGATTGATGATCAAAGTCTTTCTTGCTTGAAGCAAGTAAACAACATGAATTTTGGTGATAAAAAGATTGTTTCAAACAGCCTCTAGAAAATTAAAACCAGCACTATCTAAATAGAGATTGAAATATAGATATATAACTAAGTATCTACACAGGTAGGTATGAATATAAGTATAACTAATGTTTGATTGCTGTTTAGAAACGTGCTTTTATCAAAGCTGTTGACGTTCTCATAATACTTATGATAAATATCCGAGTATCAATAAGTTTATTAGGAAATTCCCCACACGTTTCTTCAACATGGACGACAACAACAACAACAATAACAACAACAATGATGATAATGGAAACAACGCATATGGAGATGAAAACTGGATCGTTCAACCGCTCGGTCCCGACGATGACCACGAGGTCTGGGACTCGGGCAGCGGGGATGATGGCGTAGATGACGGCCCAGCAAGCGGGAGCGATGGCGATGATGCAAATAGCGGGTTCGCCTTGGATGTTGACGAAGATGGGAATGCTATAAACGACCCGGGCCCCCCTGACGACGACGCATACGGGAATCAAAACTGGGCCCCCATAGGTGACAACGGTGACAACGGCGACAACGGTGACAACGGCGACAACGGCGACAACGGCGACAACGACCTCGACGCTCTACGTAACACAGATGGCTGGGATTGGTTATTCAATTACGATCGGCCGTACGATGACGAACGAACCGAGTTCCACAACCAACATGCTGATTATACGTCAAATTGGTACCTAGAAGATATTCCCGCTACGTACGAGTTTGATGTATATAGGCCAGTGGGGAGACATTATACCAACCCCCAACTAATACAAAACGATGAGGACCTTTATTTGAGAAATGATTGGTATTTCCGAAATGGAATCCCCCACGAGATTTCAACACCCGATGAGCAAGGGTGGAGATGTTTTCAACTTTGGATGCTGGAGATCGCTCGATCATGGTGGCGACCTATAGAACACCCGCAACCTGCGCTGAGCCCAGAGCTGTTCGCGAACATATACGTTAGAGGACATATGAATTTCTTCCGAGTAATGCGGTCTCGTGTAGATAGACAAGTACAGCACTCTTTCTGGACGCGTTTCGCGCGCCGCCGCCATAGGGAAGCTTTGACCTATGAACCGACGTTCAATCGGCTTCGATATCGACAAGAAGTGATCATGTATAGTTTGACCGGAATGGATGGCGCCCTTGTTAGTGCCGATGACTCGCAGGAGGTCGAGAGTTTCGCACGATTCTTATTATCCCGCGCCGTTTGGGAGCCGTGGATCGAGTACGGGCAAGATTACCTGCAGTGGCACCCAGAGACGCAGAACGCAAGGTGGAACATGATCCAACCTACCTTACACAATGCGGATATTGCTGCTGCTAGGAGGCGTGTATATGGGCGGGGGATAACAGACCGTGAGAATCTGAACAAAGAAAACTGGGCCCATGAAGACCACGCGATGAGATTTATCATCACCCTCTATGACGAAGCGGAACGACAATTGACAGCAGCTGGGTTTGGACCTGATGAAGTACTGAATGGTTGGCGTGCCTGCTTATTTAAACAAGATAACCGGGCTGATCTCGACGACCGATACTGGTTTGGATTTTGTTTGCTCATGTTACTAACGGCAAGCTGGCAACATAACAGAGAATATCCCGATGAACGTTATGAAGATACTCTAGTCCCGGCACTCTACCCAGATTTCGAAGCACGTCCATTTGAATTTCCCGACGTCGAGGTTGGGTCACTTGATCTTGACCCTAATAATCCATGGGTTATTTATCCAGAATACGTATGTCCGTTCGACTTCGATTTAACGTATAGCTTGGGAATAACGGAGGCGCGTGAAGGCGCCGCAGTATTCGAAACGGAAACTGGCGTGGAACGTACGGATAATGGTGTCTGGATTCCCTCGTCATATCCCTGGATTAGGTTCTAGGTAGGTATACTCCCTTTTTTTTTTCGTTGGTTTTGAGTATGATACCTCTAGGAATATACCTCGTAGTATTTATAATAGGTAAGGTAATACAGAACGGTAAGTAAACTAAAATTGTCACCCAGCCAAAAAAAAAAAAAAAGGTGAGCTGCTTGCCATATATCGAGTCGTGTTGTCTGGTGATGATGTACTGACCCTTCTCAATGTATGGGCCGACTCCTAACTTGAGTAACTTCAAGGTTCTCAAAGGAATCTTCAACCAACGTGCAAATTAAATTGCGTGTCAATTAGAGTGAGAATTTTCAATTGAATTGGTTTAGTTGCATTATATTTAGGCACCATTTGATCGAGATGTTCCGAAAGGCGTATCATTTCGAGGAAAGTATGATCCAAGACACCGGTCGCAGAGTAGCGAAGTAGAAGTGATAAGTTGTCGGTGGAAAAGTCTTAGTATATTTAGATTTAAAGAAATTGAGACTACATGAAAATATCATAGTTGGAATTGCAGAATTGAGGGTTTCAAAGATATAGTAATTATATTGTATTGTGATAACCTTGGAAGTTGTTCAAGTGAGAATAGGTTGGTCTGGTTGTAGCTGGTTGACTATCGCTAAGAATCTTCCAAGATACCTACTAGGTACTACCCTAGGTACCTGGTATTGTATTGTAGCTACTAGATTAGGTAGGTACATACCTAATTTGAGAGCCCACGCCCTAACCTTATAGGTACCTAGCCACACTATTGAAGCGATACCCCGCACTATGAGGGGTATATTACAGCTTGTTTCGACTTTGTCGAATTCTAATTCTTTCCTAGTTCTTTACAACAATACAGCATCCTCATCTATTCCAATCTTTTATTGATACAATTGATATAGCAATACTCACTCAAGTAATTCATTTTATACTTAATACATTGGGTATTAAACTTGACTGATACCTATCCATTACAATATTATTACCTAACGAACCCGCTGAAAACGTTTAACATGTACCTACACACTTACCATACCTAGGACTTACCTATGTAGCATACTAAGAGAGTCGCTATCATTTTTTACCCCTTAAGAACCTAACTGCGTATTCAATTTAGACCAGAATGCCACCAATGCTTGAACAGCATGCGACAATTCGCGATCGTTGACTCGTTCATAGTAAATCCTGCTCTGCATATACCGATCTCGCTCCTCAAAGAACGGCCTCGCTCGGCGTCTCCAGCATTGATACTGCGCGGCGTCTTCGATAGTTGGTTCCCGTGGTTCTCCATTGCTGGATTCCTCGAATGGAAGCCGTATAGGTAGTAGAATCCCATGGATTCGGAATTCCTCCACCGTAGGATCTTCGTCGATATCCATTGGAGTCGATACTTGATTACTATCTTTACGACTTTTAATCGCCCTATTAACCCGTTCAAATGCGGGTGACTCTATTCGGGGTACCCTTTGCTGCATCAAAGAAAACAAGCTGATGGCCTGGGAATTCAATTGGGCACGGTCATGAGCCTTGCAATCATACAATTTGACGAACTTAGCAGGCTTTCTCGTGCGTTTCTTGGGTTTTGGTTTCTCCTTCGTGACACGCTTCCGCTTACCAAGTTTGACCTTGCCACCCTTTGCATCCTCTCTCTCCGAGTGCCCCGCCTCATCCTCAGATAAAAGAGCTTCGTCCGATGACTCGTCTTGAGGGCGCGGTATCATATGGCGGTTATTTTCTGCGAAGGCTGCGTACTCAGCGCTTTTCGCTTCGAGTCTTATTCTTTCCATCTTGAAATGTGGTTTGGGTACGTACTTCGGACTCAGAGCATGATGCAGTAATCTCCTGTCTATTATCCCTACATCCGCTACATGGACGCGACCGGACGAAAAGGGATTGTACGAGTATTGTTCGGATAGTAGAGACTCGGAGGGCAATGGGGGTTTCCATTCGGCGAATCCCGATTTGGCGAGAGCCAATTTCAGTTCTTTGGGTTTTGTCGGGATTATCTCTTTCCACGCCTGGAGGATATTATTCGTATCATGTTGCAACCTCCTTTTTTCTAGTACTTTCTTCGAAAAATGGCTCTCGAATGATTTCTGCTGAGTTTCTCTCATTTTTTTATTGTCGTAGGTTTTACGAAGGTCAGTCCATCGATTGTCGTCAAAATTTTCTAGTCTGGGGAGTTGTTGTAGTTTGACACTGACATCTTCTAAAGCTAACTCGTAATTCACCAATGCTACACTTCTACTATCCAGCCTCAAACGCATCAAGGTCCGTAGAAGGGGTGAGTGAGCCATCGCGACTAGTTCTGACGCCCAGTGTTGAGAAATATGGGATCAAGGAATAGGCGATAGGTGAATGAATAGATAAATGGTTATAAAGCCCGTTTAAAGTGAGCTCTAATGTCCGAGGTTTTATATTTTTCATCAAAAATCGAAGTCCCATCCCTTTCGCAGGGTTCCCAATGATATAATCATTGATGTGGACTGGGTCGTATGAGAGTTCTTTATGCAACATAATCCCTTTGTTATGTATACACGCAAAGCAATACCGGCCCATTCGTTATTATTTATATTTTAATCTTTGTGCGCTCTTCCTTCATCATTTCGTTTCTTCGTTCCTTCGTGTCTCTTCTCTCATACATCTGCCTATTGTTATTTTCTTTTTGCCTTGATTTATATTGGTACCGAAGTACCTACCTAGGTACTAGGTATGTTCCAAGTTTCATTTATTGAATCCAATTGTCTCCAGGAGGCACCCTTTGATTTCTCTCTTTGGGGGAAGCTAAATCATATATCGGAACGTGACTGCTCGGTCGCCTTGTGCAGAGAGCTCCTCAGCGGTGAATTGATCCCCGGCCCCTTGTCTGATAGCTTTATCCCTCGCCTTGTTTATGGCAGTATATGCCACAAGAAGAATTAGCGCAGCAATGATACCAACGCCAATGAATCCTATTTCTAGGCCATGGCCAAGTATATATCGCGGAGAATCCTTCTGTCGGTAGAAATTCGACGCCATCGCTCCGGCGAGATTGCCTATGCCAATCTGAAGCGCCATTCCAGCACTGCGCTTGCAACTACCTGCTAGGTTATTTGACAACCAGGTTACCAAGCCTGGAAATGCCGGGTACATAGAACAGGCTGCCAAAAAGACACCGCCGTAGACCACTCTAGGATTCGTACTTGAAATGCACCTTTGAAACGTTAGTAATCCCCCATAGCTTAGTGTAATTGTTGTCTGAAACGACTCACATTGAAAACCCGACGATCATTAAGAGGAGAAATGAAATGATAAACGGGCTGCGCTTTCCTGCACGATCCGAAAGGAAAGCGAATATGACTGATAGGATTGCCGCTACTATATAGATCGGTACGGTCATAAGTTGCGCAGTGCTCGCAGAGTAACCCAAATTCCTGATAATCGTCGGAAGAAATAGGCTTATACCATAGATTGGGCATACAATCTACAAGATAGTTATCTCAGTTAGTTACTCAATTGAAGGCTCGAGGTGATAAAGGTACCCGTTACTTACTCCCCAATAGACAAAGATATTCACCCATATCTGCCAGTCCTTAAAGGCGTCAAGGACGTATTTCCATTCGAACTCCTCTGCTTGGGCTACCTGCATCTGCCCCACTTCTATCCCTTGATATTGCCCCTGGTATTTCAAGCGAAACATAACAAACTCTCGCTCTTTTGGAGTGAGAAATGATGCAGTTTCGGGGAAGTCATGTAAGACGAAGAATGCGACGGAAGCGATAACGATCTAAACGACTTAGCCTCATCTCGCTTCGTTGATTCATTGATAGGGGATTACTTACGGTTACCAGTCCCTCAAGAATGAAGATCCAGCGCCAGCCTTCTAGATTACCAATACCATCCATCTTTGCAATCGCAAAGGCTAGAAGCCCACTGAATGCGCCAGCTATTGAAGCAGCAGAAAAGAACATGGCCTGTGACTCGATTAGCAAGCGGTGTAGATGAAAAATCTGGTCCTTGGAGAGGAATCGTACTTGGCGAAGTTGTATCTCATGACGACTGTACCACATGGTGAGATAATACTTTGACGAAACGTTAGTTTGGGACAGCCATACTTGAGTCTTAACAACGTACGGCGCAACCGGGAAAGAGACCTGCTTCAGCGACACCGAGAAATAACCTCGTTATGAGTAAGCCATGAAAGCCTCTCACTATACCCATTAATGTTAATACGATCCCCCACTGCAAAGATTAGAATCAGTAATTTTGGTTTCGTCCATAGGTACGAAGGCATCAGAGCTCACGTACCACGACCATGATGAGCGGGAGCCATATCGAAGGCCGTAGTTTCTTCAATATCAAGTTGCTTGGTACTTCGAATAGACCATATGTGAAGAAGAATACAGTCAGACAAAGGTTGTACTGATCAGAGCTGATCCCCAAATCTTCTTGAAGGCCTTCGATCTTGGCGTTCCCAATATTCCCTCGATCGAGGTAGGATAATAAGTAGAGGACCGTGAGCGGAGGGATCAAGCGAATATCCATCTGATCAGAGAAACCATGGTTAGTAAATGGGTTTGATAGGTGATAAAGACTTGCTAGATATGAAGTGCCTCGGACCTTTCTTAGGATTTTTTTCTCGTCAAGATCCGCGAAGGATTTGAGAGTTGTTCTCGTGTTCGTAAGATTCTCGATGTGGCTAATCTCGCCATGTAGCTCTTTTCCATCACCGGGCTCGTAGTTATCAACACCAGTCTTGACAAACATCGATGCATCTCCGTTGGGCATCATGATGGGTATGCGAGTTCTGCTATATGAACGTCGGGTGTTTTGATAAATGGAGGGATTGGGTGTGGTCTGAGCATGTTTAATGGAAGAGAAGACTTATAGGTAGGTAGGTACCTATCTAAGACTCGGTTTTCACCTGGCATTCCACTGAGGGGCATTATTGTAAGTGACACCGGTGGCGCGTGTGGGCACGCTGGAGAGCTGCCCTACACAAATTACATCACCGCATGGCGTCGGCGATCATCAAGGTAATGGCGTCGACTCTAAGACATTTCGAAGATAGATCTCCGATGCTTTAAGAGATGGATTAAGCATCGAGTTTTGGTCTTGTAGTACATCTCAATTCAACATCATATAGGCACCTACATAGTATTTATTGGTATGTTAAATTTATTGAATTCTGGAAGAATGCGAGAACTAACCTCCGGCTAGCAATCGTAGAGATTGTGGAAAGCAGCCGTGAATATGCGCGGAAGTTGATCGGTTGGTGGCAGGGTTGTAAAATACATCTAATGGATCTAGTGTAGCTCTGTGATACCATACCTAGTACCACGCGAATAAATGGATGATACACTGAAATCTTGCCTGCCGAAAACTTTTAGTGTGTTTATAAAACAAATAGTCTATTAGAAGCTTCGATGTTAGTTTTGACGATGATTCACGTGTGAATATTCAACTGAAAAGGGTGAAAGTTATGGATGTATTTGTAATATGGGAAGGAGTGTATCGATTGAGCCTGGCACCCCCGGACCTGCCTGTGTGTGCGACGGGCAATGAGCAGATTTAGCGCCACTCTTTTAGGTTGGAATGTTACTTGGTACTTTCAAGGTTAAACCATGTTTTGACAAACTCAATCAATTAATAATAATTACTACCTAGGTAGGTAGGTGTCTATATTCTATCGTGAGCTGGAATGCTGCCTTATGTTATTCGCGACTGTGAAGTTCAGCAATACGGATCACAAGTCTCAGCCAGGCTCTTACGAGCTCATTCTTCTCCAGCTCATCCATAGTTCCTATAAGCTCACCCCCATTGAAGAACTCACCCCTGAAGTATATTTTGACGACCTGCAATATACTAAGATCCCTCTCGGCTTCCAGTAGTTCATCAAAGAGAGATCTCCAGTCTTCATGACTGACAATATTGGGATTGGCATCTGCGTTGAGCACTAACACTATCCCTGTTAGAAATCGAGCTTCAACTACGGCACCTAGGATTGTCCACCCACTCGAAATATCTTGAAGATCAGCACCTCCAAGACCTTCCAACGCAGGTACTGCTGGTTGGGGTTCATCTAGAGATTTTCCTATTTTTGACCAGCTAGCGATCATAGCCATCAAAGCTGCCACATTACGATATCCAATAGCTACTCGCCAGAAGAGAGCTGTATCGCACCCGTGTTCAACGAGAAATACGGTATTGCGTGTTGCCAACTTGCCTGAAGAAATTGCTTCATATGCGCATTGGCGTACATATTCGGCCAGTTCTTCGTTGTACTCCGTTATGCCATTTGGCCAATCGGTAATTGGTGGGTTATGGACGAAGATCATCAAATTTTCAAGGTATGCATAGTTGTCATCAGTGCTCGATGCATTAATGATTATATCGGTATTTCTTAAGAAATCTCTCACCCATTGCTCTGGCTCCTCCTCATGATCGTTCAGCACGTCCCAGATGAAATCCGAGATGTTGCATGCATTTTGCGGGCACCTATTCTCAAGAGCTGCCGCGATAGGATTCGCACCTAAAGTAGCCGGATAGTGGGGGATTGGGAAGATCTCGTTGTTCATCGATATTGTGTCCAATATACGACTCACAAGACCGCTATTTTCCATCGCTCCAGCAGCTTCATAGAGAATTTTTTCTAAGCCGCGCCCAAGCAAGTAATTCCGATTTGCATCCGTGTAGGGCAATTTCAAGAGTTGGTTTATTACTCCGTAAACATAACCATTCATGCGCCCTTGTATTGCTCGTCTAAAGCTTGGGATAAGACGGGAGTCATTGTCAAATGGTGCTGGATAAGCATTCGCATCAACCAATATCAAAGCGCATTGTTCGATGTTCTCTCTTAGCGGTGATCCTGGTTGCGCATTACAGTAGCATTCAATAGCATACTCAAGCGCAGTTGGGCATGGTGAATTGACGTGCTCTGGTTCGCATGGTCCTGTGTGAGCGAAACCAGACATTTTACAATAGCCGGGCGTATCATGATGTTGCTGGGAATATTTCATCTCTGTATCGAGAGTTGCGCGACGGACGAGCTGCGATACGGCCCCCACACGACCTACTCTCATCGCAGCATGAAGTGGAGGCTCAATCTGGTGGAGAACTGGATAGGAAGCGTTGATCGCACCGGGGAATTCCCTGTCTAATCCGTCTATAAATTCGCTAAGAATATCATCAGGAGTGTCCGGCATTTCTATGGCCGTGTTAAGCAAAGGAACAGGAAATGGTTCGAAGCTCGCTTCGTCCCACCGATAAGTTGCTTGCCTCACACCATCACGATCAGCTATATTAAATTCCGACGTGAAATAATAGTCTGGGTAAGCTATAACACTCCGGATTATCAATTTGGGGTCCTGGTCAAACAGGGTGTCGTCTAAATTAAACTTAACTACTGCCATCGTCTTTATAATTGGAGGGCCTGGTGACTTAGCTGACGAAGAGGTATATTGAGTGTCGATGAATGGGTAATGAAACCTGTCAGGATAGATTTAGATTATCCCGGATTGTCCACGAAGCGGTGGAGAGCGCCAATTGGTAAGATCTGGCAGTGAAGTCCATAAAATATATCCATGAATCTCTCACTGCCTGATTAGAAACAGTGATTGGTGTTCTCTAACTATTTCATTGTGGTGACATATGGAGACCTTTGTTTGGGTTACTAGGTACCTAAGGTACATATACGTGCTGACCTCAGTACCTGGATACCTGTGCTGGCATCACTGTATTTTGCTTTATTCCCTTCGTTACACAGACGCTATTCATTAGGTATTTACCTCGCTACCTTATCATGTGTAAGCTAGGTACCTACATATTTGACCCAGGCAGCCAGGCAGAGGATATTTGGCATCACAGTAGGAAACCCACCTACCTTAGGCACCTCAGTACTAGGTACATAATCTGAACATGCCCCTTTAAGCCTCACACTTCGGATTGGTACCTAACCATAACACATAACACATGGTCTGTTCTTATCCCACTACGAGCAATATGTAAGTATGAAAGGTATTGCTGATCTCAACTAGGTACCATATTAGTTTCTAAGCACCGAACCTCTTGTCCTGACTCAAATCTACTTTAGCCGTTATTATAGATAAAAGTCCGACCGTCTAATGAGAAGACGACCATAATATTGGAATAGTTATCACAAAGGGTCTATAGGCCACATCGATATTGATGATATAGGAATAAATATATGCTGCAGGAGGCATGCGAGCATCCCATATGTCACATTGGAACTCATATAAACTGCTTCGGCAATAATAGAATCTCTAACACCCCGACAAATGTTGAACGCAAAAGACCTCTAGCGGAGTTATCCTCACGCATATTCGTGCTACTGTGAGTAAATTGCTGTCTAGTCGGGTGACATATGTATATACAAACAGCTGGCGGACATCCCCAAGTCGTAAATTACCCGATACTAGAAGGCCCGTATTCTGCGAGTCCTTCGTGCTTGCTATTAAGGAATGATATTTAGTAATATGGAGTCTTTCAAAGTCATTGAAGTTGTGATATGTACTACTTTGAAGTTGGCAAGAAAAAGGGGGGCTACCCGAATAGGTGGGCAAAAGACGGGTCAATTTCCTCGGGTCTGTTCCTCAACCTAGACGTAGATATATACCACATTGGGTAATAGCTGGGCATTAAATGACTGGAAACACCCTCCAAGCTTTAATCGATGAAGACGGGTAAGAATATTTTCATAGAGTTTACGCTTGGGCGAAGTCGTAAGAAATTAACGTAGAGCGGGTGGAAAATAAACATTCTTCGGCGTAAGATGTGTTCACGTGGACAAACGGGTCATGGATTGACACCGCCATCAGCCATAATCGATGATGAGTAAGATCTCAATCCTCTTCTTTTCTTCCTTATCGTTTTGTCCTCGATCTTAATGTCTGCCACAGGACTGCACATACGTGAATACGGAATTGATTGTAAGCATGTCAAACTCCGGGGGCTGTGGCCGGTGACATTATCCGATGAACTTTCGAGCATATAGGCGAGGTTGTCGTAGGGTACTTCATCCCAGTACAGGAGGGAAGGGCTGATATAAGATTGACACCTCGCTGGACTAAGTGTATATCGTAATAAATCTCACGCTAGGTATAAATACTAGAAATATGCAGGTGCATTTTAAAGTTAACTCTCCTACTTGATCCATAGTAATCTATACTGGTACATACCTCTTAGTTAGGCAGATAACAGTTTGCCCAAGATGGATGACATTCGAATCGTTATTTTCTACTTGGCTGTGCCCAGTATCCTATTTTCCATCCTGCGTAAGATACCACTATGGAGAACCAAGAAGAACCGAGAAGTCAAGGGAATTCCTGGACCTCGACAGTTTCCTGTCGTTGGGAGGGTTCATGACGTGGATCGATTCTGTATGTGGAAGAAGTTCAAAGAATGGGCTGATATTTATGGGCCTATCTATCGGACCAGTATGTTGGGCCAACAGTTCATTATAATATCAGACCAAAACATCGCCGAAGAGCTTCTCGTTAAAAGAGGTCACGTCTACTCTGGACGTCCTCAGATAAGAGCCCTCTTTGATCACAAGACCGGGCCTGGTTATCTTGCATTGATGGACAGACACGGTATAGAATCAATCGATCGCGATAAGTTATTCGGTCGCTAACTCGTTAGAAGACATCTGGACGCGTCAACGGAAATGGATCCATGCCGCAATGGCAGACTTCCACCGGCATCATTTCTTTGGCGTCATCGAGGATGAGGTCAAACGATATCTGGCCATACTCCTTCTGGACCCAGCTAAATTCCATGCCAACACACGAGAACACTGTGGTCGTATCATGAGCCGGTTGGCTTGGGGTGATGCTTCGCAGGGTAAGGAAAACGCCGATAGTGCTGACTGCACCTTAACACAGATGTCGGTATCGGGGCCGATCGTCAATACTATGACCCCTCTCTGGGTAATCCCTTGGGCCCTGAATCCGTGGAAGAAATTCGAGAGGGCGCGGGAAGACCAGCAACGAGCATGGTGGCTCAATTCTTTCCAGATTGCGAAACACAAATTTCTTCGAGGGGACTTGTCTGAAAACACGTGGTCGAACCGGTACTTCGTAGGGCTGCAAAATCAAGGTAATCTTGACCTGGAACAAAGTCCAGAGGAGGAAGAATTCGCAAGTTGCATGCTGGGATTCCAGAATTTAGTGGGCGTCGTGACCATCAGTGGGCCTCTGCAATTCTTCTTGATGGCGATGTTACTTCACCCAGAATGGCAGAAGAAGGCGCAAGAGGAAATCGATCGGATATGCGGTGATCGCATGCCAATAATAGATGATATGGCAGATTTGCCTACAGTTCGCGCATGTCTCAAAGAGACAATTAGGTGGCGATCCGGGGTTCCTTTAGGTAAACCGCCTGGCTGCATGATATTGACTCCCTGAATTTGCGGATGGCTTGCTTACGCCGTATCAGGAGTACCCCACCAGGCTGAACAAAACGACGAGTTCCGAGGCGAACGGATTACGAAAGGGACCGTGATATTAGCATGTGAGTGGTAAGTTGAATTTACTTTCCTTTAGTCGCTGGTCGTGCGCTATTTCGTCGCTCTAACTCGGGGCCAAAGGAGCATGAATCGTGTCCCGGAGCGGTATCCCGATCCCGAAGTCTTCCACCCTGAGCGATATCTAGAGAAAGGATGGCCTACTTATCAAGAACCGCTTTCGCGATATCCTAACTTTCGCGAAGGTGCGGGAATGCACACGTTCGGATGGGGCCGTCGCGTGTGTCTCGGTCAGCATATCGTAGATGACGAGATGTTTGTCTCAGGCGCGGGGGTGTTGTGGGCTTTCAATCTGGTTAGGAAGACGTGTCCCAAGACGGGAGAAGTCATCGAGTTCGATAGTGAAGGCACCAATGCCCACGTAATCTTGGAGCCGTTGCCATTCCCATGCGACTTCCAACCAAGAAGTACTAAGAGGACTGCACAGATTTTGCTAGGATATGCGGACATAAGGGATCAATTGAAGATATGAGCGACGGTATGATCAGTCGATATCAGATTTTTAAGAGTCGGACAGTCAAGGTGATCTGTCTTGAGCAGCGCCACATAGCTCATGTCTCACTTGGTTGCATATTATTACCTAGTTTGGCCGTTATACTCGAGTCTCTAGATATATCGACCTCATCGACCTCTTTCTATCGTCATTCGAGTAGTGGTGGTTGTTCTGGTTTGGGAAGTCCGCTTAAGTAAGCGAGGTATATTGCGCGATCTGGAAGATAGTAGTCGTGATCAATGTATTATACTCAGTAGCGAACTCTAGTGCGTCGAGTATAGCAACAGCACCATTAATTTGGATGTATTAGCTAGTAGATGGATGTCTAGCGAATCGATTTGGGTGGGATATTACTTACAATAATATGCTCTATCCGACGTTGGACGAATGATTTTGAATAGATTAACATAATGTGCTATGCCGGGGGAATGGCGTGCTCGCAGCTTCAAGCCACTCAGACCTCTTCGCCCACTCTCAATTCCAGAACAAATGGCGACGCCACCAATTGCCTATCTGAGTCAATACTGTACCACATCTTCCCGACCTTACTTTTTCTTCTATTCTGACCCTATCCGGGCAATTAAGTTGTGCCCTAGGTCCTCACCGTCGTATCGTCTCAAGCATCATCATGACAGCTGATAACGAATCTAATTTGTCCACCAATGAGACTACCAAGCTCTTGCAGCAGGATGCATATAGTACCGACTCAGCCAGCGAAGGCCTTGGTGGATTCTCAGATAGTAGTAGTTTTATTGACAGCCCGTCTCCAGTGACAGCTTATGGAACTCTTACGAAGCCCGACGAGGAAGAACAACGCGGATCAGAGGATAGCTTGGGTGAACCACCGCAACAAGTCTATAACAATGGCTTCATTGCTAAGGTTGTAATTGCTTTACTTGTTGGTAAGTTAGAGATATCCAGGGCGTATATTCGAACACAGACTGACATGGGTGGGTATCTTTCAGGGGTATTCGCTTCGAGCGCAGACGGTTCATTGGTGATCGCGACACATCCTATCATAGCATCAGAGTTTAACGATCTTGAAAACTCTACCTGGCTGTTCATTAGCTTCCTACTTGCCGGAGCTGCAACTCAATCTCTTGTAAGTGCTACTTTTAAACGCTGCTGATGCTATCAAACGTCTGACATCGAGATCGCAGTATGGAAAACTAAGCGATATATATGGCCGGAAGCCCGTCTTGCTGGTTGCTTATGCACTCTTTGCTATCGGATCGTGAGTGAATTCATCGAGACTTCTATGACGACTGAGTCTCACTGGCTGACTTTCCGTAGTGCTTTGATGTAAGATTATCAATATGAACTCTGGATTTTGTACTAAAACTTATGAAAATTTCCGTATAGTGGTGTTGGTCAATCGATGTGGCAAGTTATAGTTGGCCGCGTAATATCAGGTTCTGGAGGTGCCGGATTAATGTCTTTGGCCGCGGTGATTATTACTGGTGAGTCCATCGAGACTCCAGGGTTATATGCCATTTAACGTGGAAACTCACAAACCTCTAGACCTGGCCCCTTTAAGAGATGTAGCTTCGTGGCAAAGTTACCTTAATGTTGTTGCTACTGTCGGCCGTAGCTTAGGCGGGCCTGTCGGGGGCTTCCTTGCTGATACGATAGGATGGAGATGGTATGCTTATGACATTTTCTGATTTGGGTACATGTTGAACTGATTATGGTGACGATCAGGTCCTTCTTCGGACAGACACCGATATTCATATTTGCGATGGTCCTTTGTGCATCGGTACTTCCCAACCTAACGACAAGAGAAGGTCAAATGGATGCCGAATCCACCAAGGGTCGGTTGGCTAGGATCGATTTCCTAGGTGCCATGTTTCTCGGCAGTGGACTTCTAGCTATCCTTCTACCACTGAGGATTGCTGGACAAAGGGTGCCATGGACAAGTCCTATCATCCCATCGCTTTTCGCAGCAGGAGCTGTCTTATTAACGCTATTCATCGTAACGGAGATGCGCTGGGCGAAAGAACCTATATTTCCACTAAGGTTACTAAAAAACAGAGATGTTGTTTTTAGTTACTTTATCCTGGCTTGTCAGACGGCTGCCCAAGTCGGAGTATGTTACCTGAGTTTGCACACCATCTTCATACTGAAGTTACTCATATTTGCTTTAATAGATGATGATATCCGTCCCACTTTACTTCCAAGTTACGCAAAGGTCGTCGAGCACTGTAGCTGGGGCTCATCTCATGCCAGCTGTTATCGGCAACACTATTGGCGGTCTTTTGACTGGGGCCTGGATCCGAAGGTGAGTAGCTTACTCTGGTGTCGATTTAGACCCGCCCGTTTTTTTACGTAGGGTCAATACTAATAGGATGCGAACATATGAAGAACGGGTTACTTCAAAGTGCCTCTCGTATTTGCAGGGACCATTTCGTTCGTTTGTTACACGTTGATGATACTTAGATGGAAAGGTGAAACCAATTGGGCTGAATCCTTATATATTTTCCCAGGGTAAGTGTCATTCGGCCGTACGTATACGTAGATCTTTCACTAACGGGAACATGATAGCGGCTTCGGTACTGGTATGTCTCTGAATGCGGTTTTCGTTGCTCTCCAAGCGGCAATAAATCCTATGGATAGAGCGGTGGCGGCATCGGGTTTGTATCTGTCTATGCCTATTGGATCGATCTTGGGCATGGCCGGCTGCAACGCCGTCATGCAGGGGATAATGCCAGTGGACTTGGCGTCGAGATTGCGTGGTATTGGTATAGAAGGGATTGAAGCGGAGAAGGTAATTGATCTAGTAGCCATCTCGTCAAATCCAGCGAATGTAATGCTTTGTATACTGACCGCATATGAAGATCATCGAACAAGCTACTGCGCGAGTTGACTATCTCGACGAGGCGCCGAAGAAAATAGCCAGAGCAGTTGTACAGTCATATGTTCGTGGACTTGAGTTCAGTCACGGTAAAAGAATACCATCAACTACTATGCCGGTACGATCGATGACTAACTGAAATCAGGTGTATCGCTGCTATGTTCAGTTTTGGCAATAACTGCTGCTTTGTTGATGAGGAATAGAAAATTGGGCGGTTGATATTACCTAAAAATTAAACTGCCTGGGACTAGGGGTTCAGCTGGGAAATCTAAAATCTGGTGATTAGACAGAGTTTTAATGACGTCATCTTGTGGGCTTGGACCAATTAGCTGAATCAACATTACCTATTAAGGTTGTGAGTGCATCTTCCGTTTATTATGTACACAGCCACAAATGACTGTACAGCCACAATGTGTGGAACATTTCCATTTGTTATCCCCACTGATCTCCGGTTTCTAGTCCAAGGTTCAACTAGACCATGGAAATAACTTCGCAAAACATCTGTATTATCACATAATCATATTGTAAGTTCAATTTGATATGTGTTGATACCTAGTATTATACTCAATTGACGGGGGTTGATCACATACTCCATTTCATATTTGGCCACTACAGCCTCACGAAACCCAAACTTTCGAATTTAAGCTAAGGCCTAATCGCGCTGTCACAAAGCTTGAAGGTTGCCTGAGAGTGGCAGTGTTAAGGCTGTTCTACTTTGTACACAATGAATCAACCACTCAACCTGACAGCCCGATCAGTGATCACCCCATGGAAGGGGATATAAAGATGATCACTTTGTCTGGGAAGTCAATATTCCCTTAATATTTATTTCTCGAGCACAAAAATCACCTATCTATACCAGTTTCGTCCACCATGAATTCAACTTCAATTACAAATGCGATCAAGGAGGCAGTCCCGCGTAATAGAGATCTGTTAGCCATTCTCTCCGAGACAGACCATGCGCCGCCAGCCTTGGAGCAACAGAAGCGTTACATCGATGACCTCAATAATGAACTCTCCACTATCCAGAAACGCATTGTCGTGTTGGACGAACAACGAGCTAAAGAATTTAAGGAACATAAGAAATATCGCGACTCGGTCATGAAGCGCTTTGCCTACCGCGTGGGCGGCAAGACAGATAAATTTCAAGCTAGGGCCAACAAGGAAGAGCAGGAATACTTTGCTGTCTTGCAGAAAGAACGCCAAGCCAAGGAACAGGAGGAGAACATAAGAGTAATGCGCTCTAAAGCCTTGGAGGCACAGAGTGATCTAGAGGCTGAAGTGGACCGCCACAGAGAGGCACAGGAACAACTTGACAGCCTTTATGATAGCATCTTCCAAGGACCAACGCCAAATTTCCCTGAGGAAGATCGTTCTGAGCAGAACGCAGAGAGCGCATTGAATGCATACCACAATTCTCGCATAGTAGTAGAAACAGAACTCCAAGTCGTGAAACTTCTATCAGAAGCCAAAACACGGCTCAGCCATGCTCTTGGCTACACAGAGGAGGCATTAAGTTACAGCCGGATGGATATGTTTGGCGGAGGGACATTTTCGGATTTCATGGAGCGTAACGCACTAGACAAAGCCGATAGCGAGGTTAACCAGATGCGATTACTCATGCGACAGGCACAACGCATGTCTCGACACGTACAGGATCTTCCAGCTGTCAGGATAGCGGGTGGAAGTCTATTAGGAGATGTTCTCTTCGACAATATTTTCAGTGACATGGCCTTCCACGAAAAGATCAAAGACTCTCGCGCGGCGTTAGAGCGAGCTCAAGGGTTTTTACTCAATCAGCTAGCTCAAGCAAAATCGAGACACGAAGAAGCTGAGCGCGATATGAATAATTATGCGTCCGTATTGGAGACCTCGAGAGAAGAGTTGCAAAAAGCAAGACAACGCATCTTTGATCGTGTAGCCGACAGCAATACGGACGAACAGGCAATCCCAGCGGACGATCCACCACCATATTGAAAACTTCACAATTTATGCTTTTAATAGAAACTCGATCAAGTTTAAGCAGATTTCATAAGATGGACCAAAGCTTCGATGGAGTGAGTTAGGATTTCGATTAGTTAATAGAACGCTGCAACGCTAACTCGAATGATGGATCACAGCAGTATGGCTGTCCGAGATAATTATCTCCCCTTTACTGCTCATATGATTATCCTAAATAAAACAAGGTCAAGCCAAATATGACCAATGGATCAGTTTAAAACTGTAACCATACACGCCCAAATGAATCCCTACTGTCTCTTCTAGCCTCTCTATTTAGAAACGTCTAGGGCGTTTCTTGGACTTGGTATCCGCTTTCTTAGCCGTCGCCGCCTCACCCTTCTTGAGAAGATGGCTGTCATCAATGCTTCCCATCATGACGTCCTCGTCATCTACCATCTCATGGTTCATGTGCGCAAGGAATTTCTCCTGTTCCTCGAAGAAGGCCTTCAGCTTGCGTGTCGCGACCTTGCGGCCGGCGCTATTAGCCTCACGCAGCTCCTTCAACTGCTGTCGGATGCGCTCTTCTAGAATCTCAAGACGGTACTCGCTAAACTGGTTGTATAGCTCCGAGAGATTGGAGATAGGTCTCACGGTTGTCAAAACTGTATCATCCCTCACCTTCGGGGATCGTGGCCGGAACGAAGTCACCATGCTGATACGCTCCGCCGTGCCAAGTGCTCGTAGAGCTTGGTGCTCTATGTATCTGCCTTGGAGTACCACTGCACAACCCTAATCGTTCTGGTTAGCTATTTCGTCTTTTATATTCAATATCTGGGATAGGACTTACCATCTGAGGACCTCGCACTTTCATAATATCACCGTTGCCTGTTCGCAGGGCCGTCTCACCTCCGATCATAGTAGTACAGTCGCTAAGCATGGTCACGCAGACGAAGGGGTAGCTGTCTGTGTGCCAATCTACGATGGGCTTATCATCCTCCCAGGGACAACCCGCGATGCCCTCGTCGGCCTCGTATTGAGCCCGGTCGTTGAAGGCTTGGAGTTCTTCTTGCTTCTCCTTCTCCGATTTGACCGATATATTGATATGGCCGATTTCAAAATCCATCTCGGGCACTAGCTCGATACCCGCGACTTTAGAGATGATAGCTAATGTCTCCGGGCTCTTCCATACGTCATACACGAATGGTGCGTACCTGAAGTAGTATCTAGTTAGCCACATTTGTACGTTTATTATCTGCAGGAATATTTGGGGAAAACATACTTATTCGCGAATCCTCTTAGTTGGCATTGTGCCAAATTGCTAGAGTACTGGCAGTTGCTCAACACCTCGGGGCTGAGAACCTCTTGCCTCATCCTCATTACAGCTTCCTCTGTGAATAGAGGGAAAGGCTCTGAGACGGCGACCGAAGAGATACCAGTATCCTCGGGAAGACCGATTTCCTTCATGGTGTACACCTTAGGCGCCTCCTTGAAGGCAATGTGCTTTGAGGGATTAAAGGCATCATTTCCCACAGCCGACACAGCAGGTGCCGTAATGATGGGAGACCAATTCCGCTTGGTGTCAGCGGGAGCTGGCAATACTGCTGCAGCGGCCATTTTGAATATAAAGATGCAGATGTATCAGAACGGATACTAAGAGATCTTATAAAAGGTATGGGAGGTGATTCACACCGATATTGGTGATAATGAAAGTAATGCGGATAGATGGTTGCTCAACGTCAAAGGTCATAAGAACGTTCCCGGGGCTCCCATTTATGATCGTGAAGCCGGCGCTGCCAGTCCGGGGTCATTCTGATCCTTATCTCCAAGTCCTTGACTCTAATCAATAGTTCACTTCATCTCGCCAATGGTAAAGCTACGGGGCCCCGGAAAATGCGTCGCTGGTATCATCCATGACGAATCTCGTCGAAGATTGGGCATCGTGATGATAGATAGACAAGACACGGGTTTGGCCATGGCAGGCTTGTCGACACCCTCAAGATAGGGCGGCACCGTTGTGGAACCGACGATGAGGGCGTGTCGGTCCGTCCGTGTATCAGATATCTCTCCAATCAGCAAGTTAGCCATGAACTATATCTCGATAGGAATTACTCGCCAACATACGTGGTTCAACCTGACGAAGGGATTATCAGTTTGTAAGGTGTGGAGGGGCTACCCCAGCGTTACCGGACGTAAATTAAAGCGGCATCCAGACTATCAGATGCGATGCCACCTGGGAAAAGGGAAGAGCCGCGATGCACAAACCTGACGCATCTCAGGAAAGAGAAACCGAATCCCGAGAAGGGTTGCGCATTAGCTTTCGCGATGTCGGTTAGAAGATTTAGGACTTCGAGAAATATGTCTCTTTTTTGGGGCATGTTTGGGGCTGAATGAGACGAGATGCCCCTATTTTGGCTTTTTTTGGCATTCATCCTACTCGGTAAGGCACCTACCTTGTTTACCCTGCCACCGCGCCTAGGTGCCTAGGCCATCTACCACCCCGCTGACTTTTTTGATAGTAGGTATTTTGTATGCACGTGTATACTATTTTATACATACTGTATACCTACTATCTACCTACCTACTTTTCTCGATACCTAAGATATTTCTTTTTATCATATCTAAGACCTAGGCGAGACAATCGACTACTACTCAGCAATTGCCATATTAATAAATATAGGTATCATCAGATATATCATAATATCTGTATGATCAAGCCTCTTGCGCATACAGAATCCTATATGCGTGAGATGCGTCTGAGTTGCCGTCACGTCGCCAGGTCTCCATGCGACGTTATCTCCGTTAGTACTGCTCGGAGTATGGTACGACGCCCGATAACGGAGATAAAGGAGAACGCCTAGAGGATCCAACGCCCCTTACACCTGGGACTAGACCTTGCTTATCATGATGGGTTCGAGTCGGTGCGCTCAAAGCTGGCAAGGCTGGTTGCTGATCCCCAGATCAATCTCTTCGTCCCCATTGATCTATTGATAAAATGTGACGGTTTGCCGCGGTGTCCTGTCACTTTTCGCGCCATGCCTTCCGCAGATCCGGTGTAATTGGTCTCTTTAGGAATGCGGAGAGCTATCGACGAGTTCCTATAGGCCTACCACGTCGGCTGCGTAACATCTGCCGAAGCGTTGCATGGGTTGCAAAGAGGACTGGAAGGATTCTATCTTAGACATAACACATATACACATATACACTCTCAATTTGGACAACGCCTCTTTTTTTCTTATTTTCAAACTCTGACTAACAACAACCAATTTAGTCTATATGTTGGCATACCAACGATGTTATCGTCCAGTTTTTTCCATGGCTGCTAGAACATGTCCATCTCATTTGCCCTTACCATATACCGGGGAACACGGCATGAGGGGCTACCGTCATTTCTGGTTTAACGCTATATATACATCATTACCGAGTACCTGCCTAGGTATCTTGGAACCTATTACATCAACCCGATGTATTTTTATACCGAGCAGATCTCATCAAGATACATGATCCTATGTAGCATGAATACTTCAACAGTGTTATGATTCCCTATACATGGATTCGAAGACTTGGAGTAAGCAGGATGCATCGCATACGACCTGGTGAAATGACGGGGTTCGAAAACGGCCCAAGTATACGCCACCGAACCTGATGACAACCGGCGCTACGTTTTACTACAGATAAATATATATATCCCGAGCCAATGAACACGAATACGCGAGATATTGACATGCAAGATGCGAGTCTGGAACTTCATTCCTTAGTCACTTGACGAGTTGGAGGGGATTCTGGTCCATGCACAATGAACTGCATCAAGGGCACAGCCGAAACTATCATGATTTTGGTCGATGGCGGTTAAGTCTATGTTACACCAGGATTCTAGGACTAAACTGGGTTATGGAATACCCTGAAACCTTGTTTTGATATTGATTTTGCATGCATTTGGTTCCCGAGATACGAATCAGTGTAGGTCACCGAGCAAGCAAAGCCACCACCAAGTGGCGTATGACTCGTCTGTTTTACATATTCTATTGCCATGCTTATGGAAGATGAGCATGACGAAGCCGGCAAGGCGTACAAGACTGTGCTACTAGGTAGGCTATTACGTGATAGTGAATATTGGTATGTTGGAGGTCTATAACTACCTGATCATATGTCAAACCCTAACCTACCTAGTATATATCATATACCTACCTCGTTGCTTACCTGAAACATTGTTATTAATGATGGGATGTTCGCTGACAGCAACCCACGAGACCGGCGAAAACTGCATAGCCAATCATCCCGTCATTCTTGTGGCAAAGAATCTGAGAAGATAAGCTTTATGATGAGTAGGATATGAGGATCGAGATCAACATCGAGGAATACCAAATCGGATTCAGCCACCGAGATATCTTCGTTGAAGTGGCAACTAAGCACGGCAGGAGTTATCTCGATCTTCTAGATCTACATGGCTATAATATTTAGTTTCTGACAGTACTTGCCTCATTTGTGTGACATTGAAAATTCATGAGAGCTTTGTACAACTTGGTGACTTCTGCCATAGATCGAGCAAGCCAACTGGGACACTAACCCCGCGATTATAACAATTTCTTTGGAAAATATCTACCCACCTGGCAATTATATAGGTACCTACCTAGCGATAGTGTAAACATGCCAGTTGATGTTTCGTCTTATCTCGAGTAATCATTGTCAAGTTGTATGGTCTGTTCGTGAAGCTAAATATCTACTAGACACATGCAGAAAATCAGCTTCTCAGATAATCACCAAACTAGGTATATTAATAACTAGGCTTTCTACAACAACTGGGTAGCCTAGCTAGTTCCTCTAGAATATCTTCCTTTCGCTGGGATTCCCTCTAAAAATTAGATGTCTGTACAAATCAGATTCAAATTTTTGTTAACGTGAATCCGTACTCAACCTCATGAATGCGAAAAGGGGGACTTCACTCCCGTATTCCCATGGATCCAATTCCACATCTTTACAACCCTATCACGGTCCAAAGGTTTAACATTCCTCATTGTATGCGACAGTCGCGAACTGCACACGATATCAAATATGGGGTATTCTGGGGCGTTGGTAGAGCGGCACTCGTCCTTTTGGTTGGAGGGGATCCTCGCATTAGTATATCTCTGTCTCCACAGTCCCAATAGAGCTTGGGACGGATGCCTTGCTTGCGAACTACCAAGCGATGACTCTAGTCGCTGCAGCCATTCTGCAGGTTGAGCTGATTGGAACGAAGGGCCCCATGACGTTTCTGAGACCCATTGTAGCAGCTGATTCCATGTTGGTGATTTGTGAGGGCTTAGGACATGGTATACGGACATCTCTGGGCTAGCTAGCGGCTCGAGGGTATGTTCCGCCAAGGAAATTTCCAGAATTATCTTTGCTGCTTGGTCTACCGGTAACCAATTCAAAGTTTCATTTGGTAGTTCTGGCAGACACTTCGTGAAACCAGCAGTCGACAGCATCAACGGGTACGCTTCACTTGCGTTCCATGCTCCAGCTTCATTCCCACAAAGTTGGCCGACGCGGATGACCGAGATATCCGGCCTCTTCAAAGTGCTAGTTGGCATATCCCTAATTAATCTCTCACGAGCTCTAGCGCAAACACGTTCAGCTACCCATTTCGACCTTGAGTAGCCCAGAGGTGAAGCATGAGATGGATTTAGAGACGTCTTCTCCGCGATAACGGCAGATGTATCGGAAGCCACTGCTGCTGTAGAGCTAATGAAAAAGCAGCGTGCACCACTTGACACCGCCATATCGACCACGTTCCGTGTCGCCGAAATAAGGTCTTCAAAGGAGCTAAGGCGGAGGCTGAAGTTAACCGACCAAGCCGCATGGATGAAAACCGTAGCTTCGGTCACGATGTGTGTCCATTTTTGGTCAGGGAGGCCGAGATGTGTTTCAGTAAGATGGCAAGGAAGGCAGACAACCTTTTCATCGGCAATTCGCGATACGTCTAGATCATGGGGCCTCGGTAATTGACGATCTGATAACGCCTTCAATACCCGCTCTTGGGCAGATTGTTTTGTCTGACTACGAAGCAGACAGTACACCTTTCGGACTTTAGTATCGTTACATAATACAGACAGGATATGTACCCCAAGTAGTCCCGTAGCACCCGTGAGGACAACAACTTCACCATCTTTCTTATGTGAATTGATATTGCATGCTCCAAACTCGCTGTATTTATCAGCGAGTTGGTTCATCAGTTCTAGCTCGTCGACCTCGCTGTTTGAATAGCAAACACCGTTGCCGTTGCGGATTCGGATCAAGTCGTCGACCAATGTAATAACATTCCCATTATCATAGATGACATTCAGGGGTAGCTTCGGAGATTTCTCGGGAAAGATGTTAGACTCGATGAGCTTTCTTATCTGAATGCACGCTATTGAATCCACTCCTTGCTGGAAAACATCCCTACGAGGGTCGATTTCATGACCTAGAACTTGGGTAAATAAGTCCAGAATGAAGGAGCCGAGATCTGCATCCGAAACGATCTCATTATTTATAGAAGCAGTTCCCCCACTTGCGTAGGATCTCTCGATCACGTCGGCATACCGGGCCTCGGCTTGGCGTCTCAGTATGGATCCCTTGCTGCTCTTTGCTAGGGGATCTTCTTTCGACCCTATGGTAATCAACATTGATCTCGTTAAACGAGAGTGGCCTTGTGATTCCTTGTTCAACTTGCATACTTCTGGCCAAACTGCTTCGACAACATCTTCATCCAAAGAGTCCTTTGATGCCTTGAATAATAGAGCACCCACATAGTCTCTACCTGCACCAAAGATGAGAACATCGCGTATGAGTTGAGTTGAGGCTTTTATAGACTCTTCAAGCGGAGAAGGATCGAACTTTTTACCATTTGCCAGAGTGATCTGAGCGTCTGCTCGACTATGATATCGCCAGGCATTTGGTAATGAGGGGTGCGGTTCGAATAGGTCGGACGTAGCATATGAACCATCATTACGATTTGTTATCGTTATAAGCGGCCAAGGTGGCATCACCACAAGCTCTGACAAGCCGTCCTCTTTCGGTTCAAACGATAGAAGCCCAGAATCATCGATCGGCCGGAGATATTGCCATTCTTTATCATGGACATAGTCACGATGCGAAGACATAAGAAATCCGCATTCGGCACTTCCCATTCGCGATACAAGATTGATTCCCTGCTCCACCAGATTATCACCGACCGAAGGAGCCAAAGCAGCACCACCGACTCCGACTAAATCCATGCTCTGGAGCATGCGAATTCCCTCTTCCTCTTCGGATAACAGTTGGAGAACGTAAGGCACAGACGAGAAATACTTCACGGGGACTGCGCTTATCTTCCGGGCCTGGACTACCGAGCGGATAACATTGACACCAGTAATAGGCGCAACGCCTTCAGGGAAAAACCAAATCATGGCTCCACTGGTCCAAGCTCTAAAGCAATCGGCGAGGCCGCCATGGTATAAAGGCGTGGTAGTAAATGTCGCAGGTTGGTTCTTATGTGGAAAGTATGGCAGACAACCCACTGCCCCCCATTGAGTCTGCGGTAGTGGTTTCGGTATACCGGATGAAGTCCCCGACGAGTGAAGAAAGTACGCTATATCGGATTCTTGGTATTTATCGGCATTTAGATCAAGATAATCATCATTTAGGCAATGCGCTTCCTGAAACGATGGTATCTTGATCATGTTGATGTCCCCTTTAAATTTAGGGCCCCGCTTTTCTTGCACATCGTCTACAAGAATCGTTCTCATGCCGGAACTCTTGCAGAGATGTTCTACTGCTTGAGGATCAAGCTGAGGACTGCGAGTAAGAATGAGCCTATAAGAAACGTATTGGGAATATCAAAAAGTTAAAGGGTCCTTACGCTAGAAGAAATGGTTTACACCCTAGTCTCATGAGTCCTAGCCATGCTGAGACGAAGTTGAGACTACTGGCGCATAATAACCCGATTGTGGGCGAGCCGACATCTTTTGATTCGACATGTAGGGCTTTTGCTAGGTTTCTAGCCGCTATTTTCGACAAGGCGCAGAGTTCCGAAAATGTGACATGGTCAGGCGCTGCACCCTTTTAGTATCGTATAATCCATAAGATAGTGAGTAACGTACGCCAGTGAGGTGTTGTATCCGAATTGTAATTGGCGAATCCAAGGGCTGGAAGCCCTGGTATGTGTATTGCATGCGTGTCAATCAATTCAAGGACTGTTTTCGACGACCTCTGGTCGTTGCTCTCCTCTTTTAGATGTGCTGCATGCCCTAGGGTACATGTGAAATAGTTGAAGTTTGAATATGCCATCATGTAAAATAATAAAAACCATCGGTAAACAAAAATATCAAATGAGTATCTGAAATTGTGACGGGACAGATGAATTCTTGATTGCGATCTTATGAGGTCATAGATTCATGTAGCTATAGTATCGATGTCAAGGCTATGTAACACAAAGGACGCAGAAATAATTTGAAATATTAGATACGATATATATGGAGAAGAAATATACAAGAAATTAAAATTATCGAAGTGGTAAATTTGACATACGTGATAGAGGTATCAATTAGCAAGTAAACATCTTCTTCGTGCTAACGTTGATTCTGCTCCAATGTCTTCCATAGCACCAAGCATATAGGATAACACTCGGCCAATAGACATGATATAGGAAAAATGCCGGCAGCGGATCCCAAACCTCAAAGGTGCCCTCTTTCCATGTGAGCAAATGGCGCAAGAATTCAATAGTATCTGATGAGGCATGGTTGAAGTCGATGAGACCAAAACACCACAATAGCATAGGGTGAATGAGCAACGAGACTAAATCATGCCCTATCCAGTATCTCGGTTTTATATTGGCCGGTGGAACAACTAGCCCCTCAGTGCCGGCTTGCGACTCGCTTTCATCAATGGCGTCAAGGTAAGCGTTCACCATAGCTTTCATCTCAGGACTGTGCTGCGCAAATAAAACCACTGCAGTGTGGGCACGAGGGTTACATTCAATGGCGTAAATATTCTTCTCGATCCCGCAATAACTAGAACCTTTTTCGCTTGTCATGAAATCAAAACTGAGATGACCTGTCATGTTCTCGGGGTTTGGTGAACGTCGCACGAATTCGACGGTGAAGTCCAGCATCGCTCGCGATAAGGGAGAATTCGAGGGGAGTGGTGTGTAATGCATCAGTAACTCGGCACTGGGGCAAGCTACGAAGCATTTCACCTCCCCTCTTACTACGAGAGAATGCGTGCAGTATTCTTCGCCGCCGGGGATGAATTGTTGCAGAATCCAGGGGTTAGGTTTTGATATTGGCAGCTTAGAGAGATATAGCTTGGTATCCCTTTCCGTTGGAAGAGGTAATAAAGTCATATTTCCGCGATTGACGTCATCTAATCCAATTGACTTTAGGATAAACTTTCGTTCTGGGTTGGATATCCTGGAGGCCGCGAGAATCTGGGTGATGTCTTGATTCGACTTGACCTCATGTGTTTCAGGTACCGGAAGTCCTCTGTCTTTGCATTGTTCCATAAAGGCGCCTTTATTATGTAGTGAGGATGTAGTTTGAACGTCAAACTGTATACACTTACACGCCGTATGCCGCTCAATTGATTCTTTGGCATATGCATCTTGGAGAGCATTAGCAACTCCAGAGCAGGAAACCCAAATGGTGACCCTCTCCGCCTGAATTATTCCGACGAGACGAGTATTATAAGCATCGGTAGCTTTATCGTTGTCAGTATTAGGCAGCGAGTAGAAAGCCGAGAGACTCTGTGAGTATCGACCAGGGCAGGGAGAATCGAGATCTTCGAAATCAGCTCCAATGACACGATAACCTGAGAGGTAGAATGAACGAGCTAGTGCTAGCCCCTTTGCCATTCCTACACCTGTCACTAGGATTATCTTTTGAGGTCGACTCGAATTCTTTGTTCGGAGCACCGCTCCTGACTCTTCTGGGGAAAAGATTCCCCCAAGAATATGAAACGTACATGCCAATGAGGCAGAAAATGGAAGTATAAAAACACTGAGAAGTACCAAGCCAAAACATCTAGCTGTTTCGTTCGATTGATCTTGGGTTGTCATGTTGAGATTGATTAGTAAGCTGATTGTGTAGACCTTGTGGGCGCGGGGAACAGAGGGGTTGATTACTAATCAAAACAGTCTCTGAAAATTTCCGCAATTCAACCAAAATCGACGCGCGGAGAAAAACATTTATGAATAATAGCTCTCGCCGGCGATTGTAAGAAATAGAGATGATATCGTCATGATTGCATATGAATCCACTATTGTTTCCTTAAATCGGATTTGGAAAACGTCACCACTTGAAATGTACCCTTTTGGCTTTCAATAGAATGAATCTCAACAGTTCCGACAGGTTGTTGGATAGTAAATACTGAGTGGTTGTATTTCTTATGGCCGGAAATTTGAACTGAAACGAGGGGAAGACATCGGATGACCTAATCTTTTGATTACGTAGCAAGACCACAGAAAATGATTGGTAATCCGTTTACGTAATATCATCAGGATTACTAAGGTCCCGTTCTTAAACATTTTTGAACTTTTCTAATAATTGCTTGCGACTTCAATTCAGCCCTAGAGGCAATTGCTCAGATGGTTTCCCTTCTACTCATTGCTCATATTTTTTAATTCGTGTTAGGTTGCATATTTCATAATTAAATCTTTAGAAGTTCGTTGAGTTACGCGCATTACTTTAGCCCTTTCCTTACTTTTCAAGCAGACGCATCAGATTACATAATCAACCTCACGCCCTGGCCTGTATCCCGTTCAATAGATCCATAGGGTATCGGGTTGTCTGAGGGTTCACACCATCATGAATGTCGTCGTGACCATTGACGTATCCATTCTGACGATATGTTTTATGGAATCCGTTCGTACCATTCTGAGTTTCTCCTATTTTAATATCAGAGTTAGTACCTAGGTTACCTGTTTCTAATGAAAAAAAAACCGCAGGGAATAATGTGATGACCGCTCACCTCTAGCTTCTTTCGCAGCTTTCTCCACGTTGAGATTTTCTGTTTCAAGGTCTGTATATCCGGTATCACTACTATCAACATACGCCTCAATTCCAGCACCTTGTCTAGGATACGTTTTCGCGATCTGTTTATGCTTTCTTAGAGCGGCTTTCAGCTCTTGCAGCGACGCGTCATTCAGGAAGGTGCACGACCCTAAGGGATTCGGCACAGCGAGTCGCAGAAGCCCGTCACGGGTTTTCAAAATAGCGGCCGTGCCCTTATCAATCACATCATCGTCGAATTGAGGATGATCAATTGACAGGCCAGCTCTGGAGAATAAAGTGAATAGTCGACGATGTTCATTATCTGGAAGTAAGCCACGTTGTTTAGCCAGAGTAGCAGAATAAGCCATGTCGATAGAAATGGCATGTCCATGACGCAATGGAGTCTCAGGGATAAGCTCGTGAAGTGGTGACCATCTAAGCTCTACATTAGCAAATACCTTGAATTCATTTCAAGATGAAATAAACTTACGTATGCCCATACGCAATGACTCGATCAAGACCGATCTCGTGGAGATTGGGCGTCTCCAATTTCAGCATTTCGTAGATACCCTCACGATTGATCTAACACGTATTAGCACGATTCGATGACTACCATAAATTAGGAATTACTTGCGATGTCTGCGGCTTGGCGAATTTCAGCCCTCGAACCATCTACTCGACCAAACTTCGTCTCGATGAGTTGCTCACAGAACTTATCGAGAAGATCAAAAACCTCAATATGAGAGCATGAGGAGATCTTGATCAGTTCGGCGAAGCCATTTCGGACTTGCGCTATCGGTAGGGTTCGAAGGAATGTGAAGTCGAGGAACGTGTGCAACGGCGCATGATAGGCACCAAGCCTGTTCTTGTACCGACCATAATTGACCGCTACCTTGATGCTAACACTAGCATCAATCAAGCCAATCACTGTTGTCGGTACACGAATGAAGTTGGTGTTGCGACGATAGGCGGCGCAAGCAAAGCCAGCGACATCCGTGACAAGACCGCCTCCTACCACCAGCACAGGTTCCTATCTCATGTGAATATAGGCCCGAAAATACCGTAACATTAGAAAACAATACCTTTCGGATGATCCCAAATTCACTCATGCTGTCAGCAATTTCAAGGAATGTTTCGATGGTTTTCGCTTTTTCTCCAATCGATGTCTGGTGAACCTTGAGCTTGATATTGTAGTGATTAAAATACTTCGTCATCTTTGAGCCGTATATTCCGTATACGTTTTTGTCCGTTACAGCTAGTACTCGCCCCCATTTCCTGTAACATTCTGCAAGATTTGGGTTGGCAACGTCGAAGATCCCATCAACAAACGTGAAGTCGTACTCGATCTTCTCGTAACCTTCGACATGGAAACCACCTTTGGTTTCATGAACGGTTGCTTTCAAATCGGACATTTTAGAGCTGTCTACGGGTTATTGGAACAGGCGAATGAGTATCTTCGATATGGGTCAGGTATGAGAATCGATAAGATTGAAGTCAAACTCGACGTGTTTATGAAGAGGAGAAAAATCCCATGTTGAAGTACTAAAAACACTTATGACAGACGCTGTCATGTTTGACGCGCAATTAGTCATGACTTCTCGATTCTCTACCCCTGAGTTCTTTGTCTCGCGTCAACAACCTCAATTTCCGTCGTGCCTGACGTTGTTGACCCTGTTGTTTAATAAATATGTTTTCGCAATATCTATGTAACTTGATGCTAAGTGAAGATAAACTTCATTTCGTCCCTGATCTGCAAGAGACGGCGTGCAGCCAGATCTCGCGCTAATCGAAACTGGGGAAGATAGATCTCGCTATCCCTACCAAAGTCTTATTAATGACCGCTCAGAAAATGGAGGAACCCACTATTACTGTCGCTTTACGAATAGACAGAAAGATTCTTTTCCATGGGTTTGTTAGTGTCATAGACACGAGAAGAAGCTTTTACCTTACTAGACATGAATTAGACGTATCATAGACTTTATGACGTGATTATCTACCTAGGTAGGTACATGCCTAGTTGACTTACGAAGTAAATATCATCAACGAAGATTGGACATGCTTGGATACGAGCTTAAACTTAACCCCTTAGTATCCACTTGGAAAACAAGTCAATGACATCAAGACTGTAACGAAAACACGTGGTGGTATCGATACGCGCATAGCAATCCTCAACATGTTGTGATTTACTTCGTACCTATATTACAGTCTAGAGGCAAAGTATGTGATGTTTTCTCACATTCCCGCACAGAGCATCAATGGGTACCCACGATGTCCGAAGATAAACATAACCTATTCGGGGGGACTCCATATCAACCCCAAGGAGAAATATATGTCAGTACGGCTATAATCAATCTCTGCATTTGCGACACATTCTAAACTTACGCATCGAATACATGTAGTTCAATGATGGGAGAGAGATAGAACTTCTCGACTTCATGTATGCTCACCCGCATCTTAAGGACATGCGAGGTAATCCTCAAAAGGTCCTTGATGCAATTGACGAGTACGGAAAAACTAGAAAATACTTGAGTATGTATCGTTGTTTTTCGTTCAGCCCTCTTTTTTTACCTATTCATCAACATTCCTTGTTATGATGTTGTTAGTGCGGACCGCAACAGTTATCCCGACTATATTTTTTTCGAGAACTTACTATTTCTCCCAGTGAACATAGGAGAATACAAGTCAAAAACCATCGTTGATTTGATCAAAGAGGAAAAACCCCATACGATAGTTGAGCTTGGCGGTTACGTTGGTTACTCCGCGATAGCATTTGGTGCAGCGCTGAGGAATATCGGGGGGAAGCACTATTACAGCCTGGAGATGAACCCGGAATTCGCTGCTGTTATTTCGATGCTTGTTGATCTAGCAGGACTAAGTGATGTCGTGAAAGTGGAGGTTGGCCCCAGCTCTGACTCTCTCAAGCGATTACACGAGGAAGGTACTTTAAACCACATAGACCTATTATTCCTCGATCACTACAAGCCGGCTTATACACCGGATTTGAAGATATGTGAAGAACTTGGTTTGGTTTCCGAGGGATCGATATATGCCGCGGATAATGGTATGATCGCTACCCAGTTGTTCTTTGGTTTACATACCTATTCATTGACCCGATTCATAGTGATTAAGCCCGGGAACCCTTTATACTTACAATATGTTCGAAGTACAGTGCAAGAGAAAAAGAAAAGCTTCGGCCAAATAGATTCAACTGCTCCTAGAGGTAACCCTAATCTGATATACGATAGTCAACTCATTGAAGGCTGGGAGCCTAGTGGCGTGCCGGTGAGTACCTATCCCTCTAACTACACCTCACACACGGACTAATGACGAGTAGGATGCGATTGAAATCACGCGATGCATAGGAATACAAGCTTGAAGGATTAGTACATATGATAGAAATAGTACTAGATAGTCTAACAGCAAGATGGAAAGATTATGTAAGCACAATATGACCAGATCATGGTATGGAATAACTCCATCATGGTATGCATGCGGATTATGTCGAAGGTACGAGAGAAATGGATTGAAAGAATTCAGATTTGATGCATTTTAGGCTTGTAATGCCTTTTTATCTCCATTTATTATCAAGAGTTAATACGTTATTCCGCATCTTTCATACAGTGCATAATTACCTAATTTGTTACACTGTATTAATTTTAACCTACCTAAACCCGAGGATTAACAGTGGCTCACTGGTTCATACTTAGTGGGTCACCACTGTAGCTGAGGGACATCAGTCACTAATAAAAAATCTTGTACAGTACAAAGATTGGAACTTCGAAAGACATAACCCTAACCCCTTGATGCACACATTAGTAAGCAGCCATCTAAGAGGAACCCCAACCTTAGCTTACATAATGAAGCATCATGGAGAACCAAACTGGCTTCAAACCTTTGCAAAGGATTGAATCAGAGAAGGTATTCTGAAGGAATAAGTAACATAATATCGCGCTCGATTATTATATATTAGTGCGAATCTAGTATTAGAGATTACCTACCTACCAACCTACCTACACAAGCTCAAACCAGCTGCTTACTAATATGACCTCCCCTAAGCATATAGGACTAAATCAACTATTAAAGCCGTAGAAGTTAATATGAATAATATAAACAATGTATCTTTAAACGAATTTTATTCCGCTGTTCGGTAATCCATAGATATTTATACCTACACAATAATAAGTATAACTGACTGTCTTTAGATGTTGAGGAAAAGGGGTAAAGAGAAAACCTAGGTACCTTCCTGGGTATAAACATGTTAAGTTGTTAACAGCCCTGGAGAATACCTAGTATTCTCTTTGATATGTGAGGGTATGGTTAAATTCAGCCTGATAATATTATCAAATTCTAGGATTGTAGTGTTGGTGTAATGTATGCTCCCATGACAGTGGCCAGAGTATATTGACGAACATACTTAGTACCAAGTTAAGAATCAAAGAGAGAATTGGCTAACGATATTACAACTGCTTTGTCGACAACATCACGACCTGCCTCCATTGAGTCTCAGCATCAGGCACAGACACAATGGAGGCAGGTACTGGATGATTATACGCTCATTGCTCCCGCTGTTTCTCATCAATGGCCCCGTAGAACAATACTATTTAAAATTGACCTTCCCATGGTGAAATTCCAGGTTCTCTTTCCAAGTCTTCCACTACATCTACACGTTGAACAGAAGCCAACCCACATTTCAACGTGCCCTAGGAGCCAGCATTCAATCATCCCAAGAAAAGAAGTATCATTGAACTAGAACTCCAAGAAAGTAAGTAAGGATATCTTTTCATTGATTCTCCTGCCTATCAGTGCCTCAAATTTTCACTACCATTATATGGCATTCATCATACCTACCCATCTCCATCAGCCACCTCCACCCAAGCCACACGACTAAACTAACCAAACCCACTCCCCTCAGACCCACCAATCCCTCACCATGCCTCTCAAAAGAGCGATCCCCGAAGAGGATCTCTACGCCAAACTCGGCGTCCCGAGCACCGCCAGCCGGGACGAGATCCGCGCGCAGTACAAAGAACTAGCGAAGAAATGGCACCCGGACAAAGCGGGCGACACCGAAGCCAACAAAGCGGAGTTCCGCGCCGTGCAAGAAGCGTGGGAGATCCTGGGCGACGAAGCGAGCCGCAAGGCCTACGACGACTCGCGCGCGAACAAGAAGCCCAAGTTCGCGGAGTTCGTGCGCGGCACGTACCCCGAGGACCCGTTCGAGGGAAGCCCGGACTCATCTCCGCAGGCGAAGAAGCCGAAGAAAAAGAAGATGAATGAAAGCGGTGGTGGTGGTGTTGGTGGTGGTGGTGGTACTAGTGCGAGCAACCAGTTCCCGGCGTGGATTGCGGGCTCATCCATTACTGTTGCGATTGTGGAGTTGAACGTGAAGCTGGAGGAGGTGCAGCGCGAACTCGGCGTCGCACAGGGCAAGTTCGATGCCTGCCAGCACGACATGCTAGCCGCGTTCGAGAAGCGGACCCCGCGTTCGGGAAACTTGGACTGGCGACTTGCCATGGGGAAAGCCCAGGTAGGCTTTCGGGAGTTTGAGAGCCGCGTGCGGGCCATGAAGTCCATGCTTCCGCTCTCGGGGCAGAATCATTGCCAGTTCTCGATACTGATATCGTTTCCAAAGGATCTGGCGAAGTTGTCTGCCATGATCGTGAAGATTTCGTTCGCGGTGCTGATTCTGATTCAGCTCGTGGAAGACTATGCCGAAGGCCGCGACAACGAGTCCTATATTTGCCAACAGATGGAGATCATAGGAAACTTGGGACCGGTTGTCTAGTCCGGTTAGAACGTTGGCAATTCACAGGCAAACACCTTTTCGCTTGACAGGTCTGGAGCTGGATGCCATTCGCAATGGAGTAGGAGGATAAATGAATTGCACCGGATTTCTCTAGCAGAACTCGCTCTAGCACTCTATGTAGCACACATATTCTAAAATAGATGCTGACTGGCCTACTCTATTCCTCTTACCAAATTACACCCCCACCCTTTGTGATAAATTGTTAGCTGTCGCTAACCCTAGATTTCCTTAACGAAGCCAACCTCAACAACCCTGTCCATAGAAAGTCTCAAATTCGCGATCTTGGCACGCGTATTTTCCCTGATCCAGAGGAAAGTCGTCAGGAGAATGCGGCGGAAGAACGAAGTTTGGTGATCCTTGATATGCATTTGTTCCTTGCCGATGATGTACATGACCTTGCTAGCGTAGGCGCGGTCAAGTCTGCCGAGTTCTTCTTTCGTAGCTTCGTCATCGAGGCCAAGCGTTGTCCTATTTCCATTAACCCTAGCGGCTGTAGCAGCAGCGAGCTTGGCTTGAGTTTCCTCATCGGTGGTCCCGTTAACTTGACCATTGCCCTCTTCTGCCACATCATCGATCCGCGCCTCATCGCCGCTGCTTCCGTCGCGGATGATGAACTTGCGCACTTGTTCATAGATCAGAGCCGCTAGATCAGGGGTGATAACTTCGTCCATGTAGCCGTGACGAACAACCAGTCTGTAACATCCGGGAACAGCAGGAATCCTTGAGATAGCATACCGGTCACCTGCCGCTACAGAGGGAGCCTCGACAGGGTGGAGGTGGAAAAAGATGATGGCGTCAGGCACCGTGCCAAACTTGCTAACGAATTGAGTGAATACGGTCGGAGTAAGCACTCCCGCCTTATCGAAGTAAATACCCAAGCCCTTAATACGGCTAACAGCCCCGCCACCCCAACGAGGTGTTAGAATGAGAGGACTATCAGAAGAATCATTCTCGCGATGGATGAGCTGGGCAGGCCGGAACCTATCTTCGGCCTCTGCGTGCCATTGGTTCTCCTTGCCAAAACGCCAGAGCAAGAAGATGCAAGTGAGAATTCCCGAAATCGTGATCGTAAACCAAGCACCGTCGGGAACTTTGTTGAGGGCAGAGGAGAGGTACAAGCAATCGACAGTAGCAAAGACGAGCCATGGTATGAAGACGATAAACGGAGATAAGCGCCACACGATGAGAGAGGCAAGCGTAACCATGCACGTGTCGAAGAATGTCACAAACATGACACATACACTAATAATCGTTAGTATCATAATATGATAAATAACCATTGAGAGAACTTACCCGTAAGCGTTGCCGAGTCGAGTTGTATTAGAGTAAACTCCGGTGACGAGAATAGTTCCGCACATCAGAATCCAATTGACGAAAGGCACATAGAGCTGTCCGTGGAATTTCGTCGACGTGTGGACAACCTTGACTTGCGGGCAATAAGACAATTTCATCAATTGACTGATGAGCTATAAAGGTTTTGTTAGTACGAGACAAGTCCAAAAGGAGAAGAAAATGAGATTTACCTGAAAGACGGCCGTAATCATAGCTTGCGAGGCAACGATAGCAGCCAACACAGCGACGATCAAGCTAGGGTATAACATTCCGGGGGGAACCGCGTTGTAGAACGGGTTGGAGTACGCATCGGGGTTGACGCTGATGTAGGCGGCCTGGCCGACGTATGCTAGTAACAAGCACGGGTAACACCAGGACAGCCAACTGATCTGGATAGCTCTCATGCTGAAAGCGCCCAGGTCCGCGAACAGAGCCTCGACACCGGTAAAAGCGAGAAGGATGCCGCCAAGCATTTTCCAAGCATCCGTCTTCTTCTCCATAAAAAAATGGATAGCAAAGTAGGGCGAGAATGCTTTCAACACGGAGTGATCGTACTTGATGAGGTTGTAAATGCCAAAACCGGCATTGAACCCAAGCCACAGGATGACAATTGGAGCGAACATAGTTGCCAATCTTGTGGTTCCCAAAGGCTGGATGATGAAGAGGAGAACCAAGATTCCGCATGACGTTCCAACGATGGTAGGGCTATCTATGTTTGGGCTTACGACGGAGAGACCCTGAACAGCACCCAGCACAGACTGCGCGGGCGTTAGCACACCATCAGCAATGACCATCGAAACGGCGAGGACGCCGATTGTCTTCAGGAGACCACGGGTAAACCTGCTCCGCTCGATTGTCGATCGAAGCGTGCGATTGGTAGCACTCATGTCCTGAGTCAGATGGCGTTCCATTTTCACGAGACGCGCCTCGCGAGGGTCGCGGTCGGTGATATTTGCCTGTATAAAGTTAACATCGAAGACCCATTCTTGAATCATTTCAACTACTCACATATCGGGTAAGTAATGAATAACAGCTGAAGGTACCCCCTTCTCCCTGGTTATCGGCGTGTAGGATGATCAAGATGTATTTCAGCGTCACCATGATCGTCAAGGACCAGACGACGACGGAGAGAACTTGAAGAAGGTCATCGTAGCTAGGCGAGGAGGTGAAGGTACTCGAGAACACGTATAGAGGACTATAGAATCGGATTAATCTCAGCGGCTCAACGATTGGTTCGAAGTTTGTGCGAGGTCTTACCTTGTCCCGATATCACCGTAAATGGCACCGACTGACTGGTACGACAGCCTTCACAGCACAGCCGATTAGCATCAATCTATGACACAGTATAACAACTCCACAATCGAATGGGAACTACGATACCAGAGCAACGCAGAACCCTTGAAAACCTGTTTCTTCCTCCCATCGTCTTGGAGCCAGTCGTCTTCCTCTTCGACCTCGAGGTGATCGCTGCGCCTGTCGCGAGACGCGCGAGAAGTCGTGCGACGAAGGCCCGGTCCGCGAGACCGTGACAAGCTGCGGGTGTGGTACACGCCGCCTAGATCTGTTCCACCGCCGGCACTAGAGTCCGAGGGTTTGATGGTGTCGTCATCCGCGGCGATTGTGATCTTGGGTGTCGCCATTATTTTCATCAATCCGCATTGGGTCTTATTGCGAGAGCATCAAAAAGGGTAGTTCCAAATACGTAAATGGTGTCCAAGGTCACACGCAAAACTACTCACACTGCAGGAAAGGGAATAGATTTGGTAGCACGAATGGGAGGGTATTAATACATATTGGATGGTAGGTAGGATACCCAGGATATCTGGATGGTGTGAAAGCCATCTAGACCTAGGCCGGTTGGACCTTTGAAAATCCCGGATCCCAGGTGAATCGGCCTATTACATTACAGATTTTGGTAAAGATAAGACCACCGCACAATGCTCTTTTCCTTTCTTTTTGGGGGGAGGCTTGGGGAGCGGACGTGGGGAGTGCCTTTGACTAGGCTGTTCTGCACGTGGGAACCGACTAACAAAAAACACGGGTTTCTTGTTTGGGGGGTGAGAACCTAGCAGGTGAGAAAGGATATTGTCCTCCTGCAGAGCAGGCTCCAAAAGAAGAAAATGGCGCTGGCGCTCCAATCATTTCTTGAAGAGCTCACCGAATTGGGATAGCTTCCCTTCGTAATCCGTCACTTATATCCCAGCTAGACAGCTCAGACCTAGAGCGTATTCAGCCTGGGCGCGGATTCTACGGCAAGGGGTTGTCTAAGCAAGCTTCTTAGAGAAAAACTTGCCTTTGCTAGCACTTTTGCTAGTCGAAGATCAAAGGACATGAAATGGCGAGAGATGGACGCAACCATAATTTTGCACCGGCGCCATATCACATGACCTCGAGGCCTCCGGATAGGGGGTTGCAAAAGCTAAACCCCAATCCATGGATTGATATCCGGGGTGGGTATGACGAAGTAAATGTCCCGTCGAATTAAAGTATTGGAGCTCTTATCTAAAGCACATGTAGGTAAGCTTTAGGGTAATGTTACAGTCATCGAAATAGAATTTGGTAGGGTTCAAGGGATCACGGTGAGCGGCGTATCACATGCAAGCTCCAGGATTCAATTCAGGTAGGAGCAAGCCATCAGAAAATGGCTCATCCCGACGGTATGCGACGCGTATAAACCACATTGGTTCTGTGAATTCTAGACACAAACACCAAAATATCGACTATTATAGTCGATGAAGTTTTTTTTCCTTTTAATTAGATTTCCAAATCCATCCAAGTTGGACAGAGTTGACGGAGACAGCTTGCTCGGCTGTGCTCACGCGATGCTTTCCATTAGACCAGCGCTTTCATCGAACAGGTAAAGTCAGGCATGTATCCATAAAACAGCTAAAGCAGCCTGGAATATATTGGAGATGTATGCCAAAGGCGATGCGCTGCATCCGCTTGTGTACCGAAGATATGCGGATATGCATGCAACTTCCAACTCGGGCAACTGTAAACGTCGTGTTATGAGTAGCAAACTAGATAATACGTCAATCTAAATTGATCATAAAGAAGAAACGAATCTCCATTTGTCTATTTTAGTCTTTTCGCCGGTTGAAATCTTCTTTTGTTTTTGTCTTCCCAAATGATGATTTTTTTCTCTGACCTGAAAAGCCACGAACGAATAGTCTAAGCCGCCTTGAATGTCGACGTACGCCATTTACACGCCCAATCCCACCTGCATACCATTGTTTGAGCTGTCTGAGTTAGTTAATCCAATTGATCGACTGTTTCTCCATTTTTCTGCGACCCATTTGTCTCGCCAGCCACGCTTGTCCCATCCGCACGAGTGACGGGGAAAATCCAACCCATATTATCCTGTACTTTTCCTAGCTGGATACCTTTCAGTTGAGTCAAGAGCCGTAAGCAAATCGGGCCGGCATCTTCATTCGCAGCAGGGATGTAGGTGACCTTCTCGACACCATCCTCAGTCGACAAACGCGAGTGCGCTCCAGCAGACGAGATGGATTGAGGTGAGGCAGGGTCAAAGCGTCGCGTGATCGATCGTATTGGCACCAGCGCCGCAGCAGTACCTGCAGCCATCACTTCGGAGAACTTAGGCAATTCAGTATATTTAATCTAGGGCATTGTTAGTAAAATTGATTGATATGCGGTGGTTTTATATGCAAAGCGTTACTCACAGATCTTTTCTCCACCTTCCACCCGAAGCTGCGAGCAATGTCTAAGACACTGTCTGCAGTCACGCTCTGGATCACACTCTTCGAATCCGGTGCGACAAGTGTGACATTGTCGCCGTCTACAATGGCACCGATGAAGCCACTTGTGCTGAACTCGTCGATCTCCGAATGTGTTGCACTATCTAGATGAAGGGTGATACCATATCCTTCAGTCCTGGCTTTGTCGCTCCACTTGAGCACAGGTGCGTAATTGCCTCCGACCTTTGCATTCCCTGTTCCGTTCGGAGCTGCGCGATCGAAGTCGTCCAAGATCAACGCATTGACCGGATGTGTACCGTGGTACACACCAGTGGGGAGAACGTAGACACAGAACGTGTATTCCTCTGGAGGGCTCAGTCCCAGTTGTGCGCTCGAACCAAAGATTTGAGGTCGAATATACATGGCAGCGCCCGTCTCGTGAGGTGGGACATATTCGGCGTTGAGAGAGACAGCAGCTTTCACAGCACTGATGAACAAGTCGGTAGGTACAGGGGGGACAGAGATGACGTCGGCAGAATGCTGCATCCGTACGGCGTTGCGATCAGGTCGGAAGATCTGAAGATCACCGGAAGGATTACGGAAGGCCTTGAGGCCTTCGTAGGCTTGTTGGCCGTAGTTTAGGGCCGGGGCCATGCCATGAATCCGGATGTAGGGATCAGTCACGAATTGAGGCGGCGTCCATTTGCCAGTCTTCACGGAGTAGTGGGACTCGATGTGCCCATTCACTACCAAGACCTAAGAGTTAGCTAATTCCTATGTATCCCATATTCTACGCTCGAGACCAGGGAAAAGCAAGCTTACTTACCCTCACGAACTCGAAATCCAACATTGGACCAGTCAATGGTGTTGACCGGTGGTGGCGGGAATGAAGCCATTATCTTAAGATGTCTATGTCGTTATGCGAAACCTTCAATTGACTACCGAAACTTTCAATTTGTCGGGATTAGACTTGGGATGACACGATTCGAGAAAGTAAAATAGTATTAAGCTGAGAATATGCAATTAAATCATTGGCTCCTGCGACTTGGTGCGTATTCGAAATTTGGTGACTTGCAGAAGGGATGAGTTACCTCCGACTATCGGAATCGCGGGGTTAAACAGCAATGTTACCGTGGTGGGGTCTTTACAGGGTTAAACGTCAGCTTATTCATCAACTTTCTCTTTATATCCATTAGCGCTCAGTCATACACATGTTCAAGTTCAAAACTCACTCACATCTGTCCATGGATATCTTATTACCGATCGAGCTCACATTTAGAAACTGGATGATGAGAGGTGAACACAATTCATTCTGGCTTCCTAATTTTAAATATATGGAAAGCGGGATTGGCTCAATCTTTGTCTTCCTGAAAGTTCCTTTAACACCATAGTTTCCTCCTTTGCTCCCCAATTCTTTGACCTCCAATTCAACCAATTCAACCAGTCAAGGATAGGAATATGTCCTATCAACTAAACCACCGAACCTTCGCTAGAAACCCCGCCTTAGTATTAAGTCAAGGCAAAGATCAACAAGCCTATCCAAACTTCCCGACTGGTCCCCTGCCAATGTTTTCCAAGCTCCCAAAACTCCCAGAAATATCAAGACACGTCAATAGATACCTAGTCTTCTGACCAGTTATCCGAGACTTTCATCAGTGCAAAAGCTTTCAATTTAACGCCAAGGTGTCGATTATATGAGCCAAGTGAGTTAGACTTGAGTCTATCTCTTTACTCGGCTTCTGCTCCCTTCTGTCGTGGCCTGCTATGAATTATTTAGTGGCCATCGATTCGTATTGGATATGTCGTTCGTTGGTTTAGTTAGGGTACGAAGTCGTCACCCAGGTCCAGAACCAGGTGTCTGACTCTGTCGTCATCGGGTTCGCAGGAGTGCTGGGATCCATCTTGCTGTTGCTTGTTGCACGATATCGATTGGTTTGGATTCCTGTGTCTGATTTCGCTGATGTTGTGAAACTGCGCGTATGCGACCGTACGAGCGCAGATATCTTCAAGTAGATGTTGAGCTCGATCTCTAGCCGATTATGTGTTTTAATTGGAGACTAGTTCGACGTCCTTGTTTATGGCTGTTTATGCACCGGTAATATGAACTACTAGGCAGTGTAGGTGGGTATATAAGAGTACACTCTTCACAGTTGACGGAAGTCCGGTGGTAATATTGGAGTAAAATCAATGTCTTTAGTGTCCTGAATCAACTGTTGATTCTCCACCTTGAGGTGCCGGCACCACACACAAAGTTCCTTATTAAAGATGATTGAAGTAGGTTCTTGAATTCAACAACTCTGGAGGATGAGAGGAGGCGGGGTGGTATTATATATCCAAACGTGGGATGTCTATCAATGACGTTCACGCCCAACTGTTGGATTTCCAATAATTTCGGAGCCAACATTCGGAAGTCCGCCGAACCAGGGAACTTGCAGCGCTACCTGTTCCTTTCCATCTTCCCCGACACTGACGGCTCTCCCTAACGCGCTCTCGGCCGAAAAGAGAAATCTGGGGTCGACACAGTTGGAGTCACGTTCCCCTTCTTCTCCCTATAGTAGATGCCTTATTGTCGACAACAAACCCAACCAAGATGAACGGCGTGTCGCGATTGGCAAACTGCCGACACGCCAATGTAGGTGGTTGAAGATCGCTACGCTTCGGGGGTTTCATTTCCACATGGATATCGCATGATCATGCGGAGTTTCCACCCGCCGAGCCACCTCAGCTCCGCGTCTGCGCGTTACCACACCTTCCCTGCGCGGACGCAATACACGGAGAACGATGGTACCATCTCGGTGATCTGCCTGATCTGACCTTATAAGGACGAGATAACCACATGGTTGGGAACTGTTCGCCATGCCCTCCCCTCCGCGGGGGTCGTTCCGAGCACCACATTAGATGCATGATTCTCAATCTAGATCTATGCCGGCATTTCAGATAGCTACCCCGGTCGTCTGATTCTCACATGTCTCTCTTAAGAAATCTCAAACATGTTTGGTCCACCACCTTATTTAAGTTCTCGCGATGGCACAATCTTTATCACTTTTGCTGTAGCATGGCTAGACCAATCTGCTGATCACGTACAATGAACATCGAGCCACCGTGAAACACTTACGCTACACTCGCTTGATATTGGAGATTGTGTCAATCTATCTATGTTTTCAATACTCTGTATGATCCGATTATGCATCTTTCATTACTTCGCTGTCGTCTTCAACATACCTCATATCACCACACCACATTGGCTTCGTCGTACAATATCATCGCTACACAAACTATTGCGATAACGACATGATCCAGCTATGGAACACACCACGCATAGTCCACCACGAATGGAAGCCGGGAGTTAATTAGATATGGCGGCTCTATATACCCGAAAACATATGATGGTGATGAATACGTATAACATCGCCAGTGGAGTCGCAGATACTGATGATAACTCAACAGACACAGCAGGCTACATACTCTATAAACGCCAAACTTCCAAGTCAATCCGTCTATCCTACTGGCTTTTTGAGTATCTTTAATACCAATTACTCAGTAAAGAGAGCTGAGAATATAGGATGAAAGTTGACGCCTACATTCACGACTCCATTACCTAGGTGGGTACCTGTGTACCTACTGGAGTAAATAGGTGATAACAGCTAGGTATGCCGATACGGTGTATGTCATTGTAGTAATATATACAATTGTAACAACAATAACTATCACGTACGACCATAGGAGCTAGAGAACTCGGGATCCCGTCCGCTCTCCCATAGATAAGCTGGCTACCGCTGGATCAGTAGTTGGGTCGGTGACGACCAGCGAATCCCCAGTGTTGTACGTTTCAATATCTTTTTGTCATTTTTGACAAGTTATGGGACTATGATCAGACTATGACCTAACAATTAAACATATATAGATGCGTATGTAGGTAGGTATGGAGCTATTTCTACTGCGACTTTATGGGTACCAATCGTATGAGTTGGTAAAGACATCGTATGGTTTCCAACAACCTCTACATCTGAATTATCTAATTCCAACCTCATAGACACGCGTATAAAAGTGCCCGTCGTAGTAATAGTCGTCTTAAAGCAGCAGCGTAGAATTATAGTGTATCAGGAGACTCGGTTGATTAGGAGATTTTCTTTTCTTTCGTACACTCTTGTAGCTGATCCGCGCGAATGAACGTCGGGACCACCATCTCTATGTACAGGACATTCTAGACCTCCGATAATATCTTCAACCAAAAACAATGTTCATTAGTAACTGATCCAAACGTCGTCCCATCGTAGCATGCGTGCGCCTGTCGCTACGTAACCGGCGCCTAAGTTGTTTTTGTAGTCCGACCGATCTATATCCCGCCATGACAAAAGAGAGAAGAAAGAAAAAAAGAAATCTTTGCTTTTAGGCGGATAGTAATACAGATCTAAAATGGGATCTGCCAGGGAAAACGTGCAGACCTTTCCAACTCACCAACACCATTTTAATGCTAAGTTCCCTAATTTTGGTACAAGGACCTTATAGGGGAAGTCTTTGCTTAGGTAAAAAGAAATATACGAATTACCCTCCTAGATCAATACCTAGTACTAGGGGTACTAAGCCGCATCCAACGCCATGTCCAATTAAAATCATGAAGCACCCAGTAGTGCCAACCAGCTACCGCAATGTTGAGCGTAACTGCTCCATCGCAGAAGCCGAAACAAACCGCCTCTCTTCCTAAGAAAGCCCGGCCAACTTTTGTAGTGTAACAAGAACACCTGCGGCCATAATTAGTACAACTTAATAACAGAACATGATAGATGACAACTTACCACTAACACCCTGCGTTAGGGTCGAGGTAGCCTCGGTATTTCGGCTACCCAGGCTCACGGTGACAACATCCTTTACCCCGCCATTACCATTGAGATTGTTAGCCCATTTGAAGACTTTCTCATCCTCACGGCCGTCGCCAATAACCATGAGGAAGTCTACAGGGTTCTCCTCAGATTCCCGCGCTTGCTTGACCGTGTCTTGATAGACTTGGATGGCGGCTGTCTCCTTAGTCCAGTCGATTGATTCGACCACAACGCAGTTATCCAACTGGGTTGCATGAACTCGTTGCTCCTCGCAAGATTCGTTGATATGTCCGGTCCAATCGCTTGCTTGGCGCTCCGCATTTGCGTAGTCGTCGGCATTCTTGTAGTGGAATGTCAATGAGCAGTTGCGATCCTCGATATCCGATCCGGGGGTACGCTCTAGGTAGTACTGAAGTATCCCCTTAACCGCCTCTTTCCACGCGGTGACCCTGTTGTGATCCGCTACCTCGGCCCAGGAGTTCTTCCCAGAAATCTTGATGAAGCATCCATTTTCGGCTATGAGGCCTAGGTTAGGAACCAGGCGGAAGAGGCGATCGAGCTCTTCTGGTCGGCGTCCAGACATAACGTAAACGGTGTTACGAGTATCTTCAACTAGATCATTCAATACATCTAAGGTACGCTAAGGATTTGTTAGTATTGCCGAAGCCTAGTAGTTATGGTATAATTATCATGACCTACCTGAGGATTCATCGGGATAATCTCGTTCATCGGGCCGTAGGGAATTAGAGTTCCTTCTAGGTCGAGGAAGAAGAGCCGACGTTGACTTTGGGAATATCGTTGCCCTAAGGTGTTCAAGTTCAATCGAGGAACGGATGTTTGATCATGGCGGTGCTGCTCCTCATAGACTTGGTCGAGAGACGACAAGAATTTTGAGAACCAGTGGCTTCCAGTATGGTGGCTAACAATTTCGCGGAGTGCATCCCATCGCTCCGTTTTCTCTTCGTCGGACATTTCGAGGGCTTGCTTGATAGCCTCGGAACACTGTCGATAGCTCCATGGGTTAACAGTCAACTCTTTGTTGCCAAAAAGTGACGAGGTCCCAGTGAATTCCGACAGAATGAGAGATCCATGCTTTTTCTCAGAGTATTTGCCATCCTGACAGACAATAAATTCGTGGGATGTGAGATTCATACCCTCGCGTTGGCTCGTGATCATAAGTGCATCTGCAATTGTCAAAAGGGCGAGATATTGAGGGTATGGGATATCCTGCTTCAGATAGACAAGGGGTAGGTACGCAAGGTTGGCCCAGTTTGAGTTCACCCTGGTGACAATGTCCCCCACAGCAGCGTCGAGATCCGTCTTCTCTCCAGTAGATAACGCGACCTGGATCAGAACAACCTTATCTCTCCATTGAGGATTCTTGTTAAGAAATAGCTCATAGGAAAGCAGCTTCTGCCGAACTCCGCGGACGTGGTCAAGCTTGTCGCGAGCGACGATGATTTTCTTGTCCTTATATCGGTCTCGCATGATCTCAATCCACTTCATTACCTCCACATCCTCGCGGTGGGCGTTGAGATTGACAGGATCAATGCCAATGGCATGATTCATGACATTCACGAATCGATCTTCTAATTGGATGCCGTCGGGTGTCGCTTCTACCGCGAGAAGTCGACTACACGTCTGGAGGAAGTGGCGCGTATATTCATGGATTTGGAAACCAATCAGGTTCGCGCCAAGCATACCTTCAAGCAGCTGCTTTCGGACGGCTAGGCAACGGAAGACCTCGGAGGATGGAAAGGCGACGTGAAGGAATAGGCCTATTTTCGCATCCGGAAGCTTCTTGCGGATCATTCCCGGTACCAGGAGCAGGTGATAATCGTGGACCCATATCGTGTCACCTCGTTTCCAATTCTTCACGATCTTGTCTGCAAATGCTTGGTTGAGGTTAACATAGAATTGCCACGAGTGGTCCTCATATGCCTTGCTCTTTGGATTATCAGGGATCTGGTAATGGAAGACAGGCCAGAGAATTTGCTTGCAGAAATGTAGATAATGTCCGTCGAAATCCTTATCCGAGCAGAAAACGGGATACATGTTGAACTCGGTAATGAATCTGTCGTTGATATCATCCTTCTGCTGCGTTCCTTTGAGCGCGTCCGTTGGCATGCCCAGAGTACCTACCCAAGAGTACTCTTCTCCATGGACATCGCGAGCCGCAGCGTCAGCCGCATTACGGAGGCCACCATTGCCTTGGTCGGCATTTACTATGCGCCAATTGGCGTGGGCAAAAACTCTGTCGTGGCTGTCGCTTCGGCTCGATCGAGGTTGGAGAACTCCTTGTCGGCCAAGCTCTTTAGCTTTTTCCAGGGTCCTAGCATGCTCTAGGAGAGAAGCTGGAGGTGGTGAATTCGCTCGGGATTTCGGCTGGTTCGCTCTACCGCCCCATTTTGGCGATTCTTTATCGGCCGGGGCCCTGAATTCTTCATCGTCCGATACGTTTAATACACGTAGACCGTCCTCGTTTATAAAGAGCCCATCGTCGAGGTAGGCATCTTGCTCATCGGGTGTCCTAGGAGGGGTGATAGCGGGGTCGGGAAAGAGGCTAGTACGAAGCTCGAGAGGGGGGCGTTTCGATGCTTTCTTCTTGTTGTTCTGCCGGTAGGTTTGACGCTCAATGGAGGGTGGCGCATCCGGCAGCTTGAAGTAGACAGTTTTTGGTAGAAACCTAGCAGGTGGAAAGTTAGATGAAACTCGGATGAGTAAAAATGTTCCACAGGGAATGATTGGGTTGAGATTCCACTTTGGTGCACGTCTCTCATGCAAGTTGGTCGTAGCTCCCACCAAAGGACCAGGGCAGAGAACAATTAGATCTCGGGAGCTCGATCTAGCACTAATATAAAATAATGACCAAGTGACCAAGCACTTGAATGGTCGAACTTTCAACTCGCGACAATGAAAGCAAGCTTGCGATTATATAACATAAATGGGGAAGACTTACAATGAAGCTAGGAAGATAGTCATTGTGGGAAATAATCGAGTTTAATGTAGTTGAGTATGGTTGTGTGTGAAAGTTGATTTTGACACAAACCAGACTACAATTGCTATGGTAGCCTGGATAGGTAGGGACCGCGAGAGGTTAAACGGTAGTTGTAATATTGCAAGTTCATAGGAAAGAATTAAATGTTTTCGTAGGGATGTTTGTATGTTAGGTGATCCGAGACCCGTGTATCGTGCGCGTATCGTGTTTGAAAGGGTGAGTTAGTAGGCAAGCTTTCTTCGAGTCACTCAGCTACAGTCCAAATTGAAAAAAAAAGTTTGAGATCGGACGCCCTTTAAAAGTCGGGTGATTGAACGGCGGAGAGGAACGGGAGCTAAACGGATACTACCGGGACAGGTTAGTAAGAAAAAGATTATCGATTTTATCGGTTTATGATAGGTAAAAGTGACGCAAGATGTATAAAATTCTCCCAAGAAAACGAGCTTTAGCCAGCATATTAAAGCTGGGTAAGCTGGGGAGCAGTTGGATCAAATCGATGTCAATGAGTTGTACGCATACTATCAATTGGGGAACTAAATTTGGGTACATGTTGTACCTACAGTAGGAAGTCGATTCTTTACTAGGATGACACCCGCAGAACTTGCCAGGCACTAATGAACTGTGCGACCAGTGACGTACTAGAAAGGTAAAATTTTAACTAAGAATACCTCTTAGCTTGTAACCTTTCCCGCGCCGGTCCAGTGTCTATACACGTACTGTTTCCAGTTTACCTAACGGCGCTGCGGCGGAGCTTCTAGCAGGGTTAAACGGTAATCACTAGGGTCTTAGCGCAGCTATCATCGATGGATCTAAACCTTGGAACATTTGAAGCTCTCCTTCTCTGCCTGCTGTCCTGGTCTTTTTTCCTTGCCTTCCTGCCGTCCTGCCGTGTTACACCAGACAAACTAAGAAACATCAACGCCGTCGCTAACAAAATCCAATGTTCTCATTCAGAGGTCAATTCTCCACTTTACAACAACGACGGCCCTTTTTTGAAGCCAACTAAATCATCTCAACCCTCTTACCAATCCCTCGATGTTTGACATATTCGGGTTGTACAATACATAGGAGAAATAGCTCCCTCTCAAAGACGTCAATGAACAAAGATCAAGAATATTTGTATGACTTGATACTTCGTCTCGGGCAACATCGATTTTAATTTAAATCGAAATTGAATGATCCAAGGACATTTTGCTCCGATACGAGGCTTTAGTTTAAGCAACAGCAAAGAGGCTGGGCAACTTGAAAACTTGACAAGAGGATCACAGCCCTATGTGGGAGATCGAGCTTTCTAGGAAGTTCCCTACCAGCCTACCTAGGTACTAGGTATGCGTACCGATCCAGCGATCCAGCCCGTTTTTTTCTCCTACCATAGTACATTGACTTTACCCTGGAGAATTTGGTCCGAAGCTAACTCGTTACAACCTACCTAGGTATAGAACCCACACACTCTAAAGGTGAAGTTGATTATTAGTCTTTTCTTGCCGAGCTCATGTCAAGAACAGACAAGAACTTTCTATCCAAAGAAGGATGTAACTCATAATAACCATCGCGAGTATTCGAGGTCGAACTTTTATGCCCGTACCATATCCCAACAGATGCCGAAATTCCCGTCGGTTTCTGCATTATTATCTTGGTTCTTTTTATTTCTCTCCACTCAAAGAGAGCTCCGCAGTTTCAACGTCGTGTTTCTCGTTACCACTCGTTTCTCTACTTCGGCTTGATGGTATCTCTGTAAATTATACACCAGAGTCCGAGCACATTGTCCTTCCGAGACGTCCCATTGGCTGCTTTTCACCTCTACCGGCACGGGCCATTAGTGAGCGACCGGTTTTCCCCGCAATGCAACCTTTTCGGTCGGGTCTTTGCGGACAATTCCAAAGACGTGATAGCTTCAAAAATCTACAATTATCCCTCCGTATCTCCTTGACCTGGAGGTTTCGTCAGCTACCCGATGCCGTGGCTATTCCTTTAATCTCTCCAATCATGAACGATGTTACTCGTCAGCCAGGAAAGGATTCAAGCCAGTCAGACCGGCGGAATACGAAGGTAATTGGCCGTCTTAGCCTACCGAAACCATGATGCATTAATACCTAAATTAAGCTCAATTAAGCCGCACCTTTCGTGAATTCGTCGAAAATTCTATCTCAAATCACTATATCTTGAAAAGTGATAACTGGAAATAACCAACCTTGGACTTTACAGTGAGCCTAGAACCATCTAACATGTAAAACCATGCAGAATCAACGCGGCTTCCTTGGAATGGCAACCCCTTGATGCCCAAGAAGCCTCAGAGAAACTCACATGTTTCTACGGCTTGCCCGTAGCCCGGGTCCCCGAATATATTGACCTGCAGGGGAATGCAAAATTTTCTATATGCTGTGCTAATTGGCTCACACCCTCAACTTCCCTCATGGCTTTTGTTTCGACTAACTGAATCACAGCACTCATGCATATATGCTCGTTACTAAATGCACAATCGTGAGAGGAAACTCGCAATTTTGGAAGAACGCGCATACGGGTCGGACCCGGTTCTGATCACGCGGCGAAGAGTAGATCGCTGGCAATTACTGGACTGTGCATCGTCTGCCCCATTTACAGCCACGGCCAAGAGCGAGTACACGATCCTAGGCACTAAGAAGAGCTTCACCTATGTGGAGTCTAGGTATTGGTTCGATAGATACGGGAACCCTCTAAGTTAACATTCCGTCTGATGGGTTCCTCTGAATAGTGCGGCTCGGCTGTACAGACAACGAAACGCTTCCAAATTCTGGCGACAGTACTGACCGAGTACTTGGAAGAGTTCGAAGCATGAAAGGACGTTACATCCTTGGCGTGTGATGTCTCGACCAGTCTACGAAGTTATCTGGTCAAATTCCCACTCGATTCCCATACCTGCTAGCCGACCTGGTATCCCAACGAACCGCATATATCGTAATTTACCCCGCCTTTGGCCGTTAGCTTGTGCGGAGGCTTGCATGATGGTCTCGCGGCACCACTCAGCACATGCTCCCTCGATGTCCTCCACATGGTAGGCTGGTAGACTAATTAAGCGCGTCTGAAGGAAATAAGCGCTTGGCTATACACGTCGAGAGACGCCTAGTAACATGCCTTCGTCGTGTCTACGCCATTATGGCGATAGCCTAACGCGAAACTTGCGAGTCAATCGCCATCTGTCGCTTTCTTCACCGAACATACATAGAACCGCGTATATGATAATATTACGACTTGACCTGAAAAAGATCTACATAGCCAAATCTATCGACTCGGATAGGCTCCCGAAGTGGCACGGTCTCATGGCCTCTCAAAACTTATGCAGGAACGGCCCGCATTTCGCGTGCCACCTCACTGGATCGCTGAACTTACCTATGTTGATACTCGACGTTGGGGCAGTTGGGGGTCGTGAAGTCACCTAGCAGCCTAGGTGACTTTCGAAATCGCATATACTATGTACTGTGGGTTACATACGTGGTTCATGTTTCTCTCAATCCTTTTCCGAATATTGTTTCGTATATCCATTTCTAAAGTTCCATTCTGTCACTATGATGAGAAGTCGCCAATAAATGATTTACGAGGGCATCTGTATGTAACGTTATGCAGTTCTAGTGGCTAGAGCGGTCCAGCTTCCAAGGTGGTGGAGCCCGGCAATGAGTTTACAATGAGCTTATCTCGACTCAGCTCTGAAACATCATTTTTCCATCAATTTCGCCAGAGCCGTACGGCTTTGTCTTTCCCTCCGGACCCAACCAGCCGGCCATCCAAGGACCAATCTAACGCATATACCTCATCTTCGTGGCCGGGTAAATCAACCGATAGTTTGAAAGATCGCATATCCCATACTTTCAGAGTAGTATCCCTCGATCCAGAGCAGAGAAGGCGCTGATAATCACATGTCAGTTCTTGAGGGAAAAAAAATCTCGCAAAGTATGCCCGAGATAAGTTTTCATCCAATAAACAAGGGCGATTATCCGCAAGAGGTTGAAAAAAGCTAAGGGTGTGATTACTTACCGAATCGGCCGAGAAAGCACATTGGTATACAGGTGCGACCTACCGAAAGTTAGTAGTTGAGTCATACGTCGCTAACATTGAACCCCAGTAAAGCCATTAAGATGGTGCATAAAGCATCATATCGATGATAGGGCTAATTTGAGATCGTGTTGACTTACATGTCCTCGCAATGTCGTCAGAAATTTCCCGTCGCTGCTTGTCATATTAGCGGCCATGTGTAAAGGTACATGTGTCTGGGCAGATTCCAAGTCTTGCATATTGAGATAAGACGTCGATGACTTACCGGGCCCATATCTTGATGTGATTGTCCCAACCAGCGCTAGCAATCAGGTTCCCGTCTGGGGAGAATGAAACGTGATTCACTTGTTTCTGGTGCCCTAAAAGACGTGCTAGGGGCTTCGTCCCCTGAGCCGGGTCCCAGAGGTACATCGTGAAGTCGTCACTGGCGGAGATGACCCGTTCAGCTATCTTGCCTTGCTGCTTTGCCGCCTTCTCGAACCGTTCCTTCGCCTTCACCCGCTTTTCCTCCGTAGATGCCGGTACATTTTTTGTATGGTCATAGAAGGCTGTCCGGAGCACAAAATCCGTAGAGAGCGCAAGGTGATTCACCCAATGGGCATGCGAAGACAACGTATGTTTTAGCGTCCCGCTCACTGCGTCCCATACCTTCACTGTCTTATCTTGGCTGGCACTGTAGATAAGATCCGTTCCGCCCCATCTAACGCAGCTAACACTACCCTACGTTTCCGTTAGTCCTTTTGCCGACATCGACAATGTGAGTAATCTAAAATGATAAAAAAAACTCACCTTATGTCCAGAGAGAACGTGTTCTGTCCTACCAGTATTCACAATCCATATGCGAATCGTGGCATCTTTGCTAGCGCTTGCTAATTTTGGCGTGTCGTCACACCATAAATGGAATGGCTGCCATGCAATGCTCGTGATCCATTTAGAGTGACCATTAAACGGCTTGCCGAAAGATTGCCCGGATTCGTCCCATATCCGAACGGTCTTGTCCATACTACCAGTAGCTAAATTCTGCCCATCCGGACTCCATGCCAGCGCCAAGACCCAACCCGTATGGCCTTTGAGAGTGTACTTTGGCGTCCCGCTATCTGTGTTCCATATTCTCGCCGTGTTATCGCCGGACCCAGTAGCTAGTAGACTGCTCGTCTTGGGCGAGAACTGCGCTGTTAAGATGGCTTCCCCATGTCCCGGTATCCTATTTGACATGCGCGTCACGGCTTGTACTTTGAATACTGCCTGGGGCTCGGCGGCTAAGGTTATCGTCGTTTCGAAGGGATTTTCGATGCCATGTTTACGGAGGACTGCTAGGAATTCCGACGGTGTCGGGTAGTTATCGACAACCACATCTGAGTTGGGTATATGTATGCGAAAGCGATAGGGTGTAAACTCTTCACGTTCCTACGAGACGACAACGCTTTAGTACATGCCATGCCATAATTGAAGCGTAATGTTTAGAACAAATATCGTACCCTTCCTAGTAAAGTATTCAGCAGCAAAGACACGTTTTTCTCGGTCGCATCTGCTAGGGGTACTTCTATCGTATCGGCCAATTGGTTCCCGTCGTTGTCTACGAATCGCGCCTTGAAGGAGCCGGCTTCGATAACCGGGGGTGTGACATCTTGTTGGATCTGGGTGCGCTCTAGAGCTTCGCGTCTCTGTCGCTTCGAGGGCGGCGGGGCTATGGTAGCCATAATATGGAGATTTTCGCTTGGATGCTAATTCTGTGGGTAGTAATTAGGATATAAGTTTAGAAGAATGTAATTCTTTCTCTGAATTTTCAATTCAAACCGGCGAATAGACTAGCTTTCCTCGTTAATCGAATTATGACTTCGCGGGGTGGATGAGGAACAAAAGTTGAAAATAATTATCGTTATCGTTATCTTTATCATTATCTTTATCACTATCTTATCCTATTTTCTTTTTCTGGGGCTTGTCAAATGAGAACCTTGATGGTTGATCGCTACTGGGGTAGCTGCAGGAACCACCCAGATGTCGCAACCTTGGAAATCGTCGCCTGGAATTTCGCTTCAATTCAAACTCTACATATCAGGTAGGTGCTACTTGAGTCAATTAAATCGAATCCTTCAAAGTTTCCATCAAGCTCGAACTTTCCTTATCTTGTTGAGAGTTATAAGTCATGTTTCAAATTAGGAGAATTTCTCTAGAACTCGAAAAGCTAAGTCGAATTTCAATTCATCTCATTCATAGATGTAGTCATCATCAATACTCTGTCGAGCATTGAAAGTTACCTTCGCAATGGAACCTTTTCCTGGCTCTCAAAGGCCTGAGATGTCTTCAAGTAAAGAAACATCCTCTCGTTCACGACGAAATAGTATTTCTGGTCAATCTGTTTCTCGCACTACGTCTTCTACTCCTCATCCACAAGGCATACACTATGATCTGCCGAGACCGAGCACTTCGGCCAGTCAACTTACATCTACCTCGTACAATGGCAGTCGATCAGCAACAAGCATGTCGCACTCAAATCCCTCAAGACAGCGCCGTCATACAAGTACTGCTTCAGGGCGTAAGTCTCGCGCAACCTCTTCTGTCTGGGGCTCCGAGCCACACGAGATCATTTGTGCTGTCACCGAAGCTCGTGGTGTATCGCCTACTGTTGGACTTGCTTTCGTCAATATCACTACAAATGAGGCTATTCTAAGCCAGATATGTGACTCTCAATTTTATGTCAAGACGGTTCACAAGATACAGATGTATGAGCCATCTACAATCCTAATTGTCAAGACAGCGTTTCCCCCACACCCTAAATCTAGCTTGGTCTCAATTATAGAGGAAGAACTTCCCAATGTAACTATCGAGCCTCTCGATCGTAAGTACTGGTCCGAGAATGCCGGTCTCGAGTTCATCCAAAATCTGGCATTCAGAGAAGACCTGGAGGCCATTAAGGTGGCAATTGAGGGCAACTTCTACGCTACATGCTCGTTTGCTGCGGTATGTGCTATTCTTACCTGTCTTCCCCTTCAAGCTTCTTATTGTCAATAGGCTATTAAGTACGTAGAGCTTTCTTGCTGCGTATCAATCGCATCTCACTCGTTGCGGGTCAGCTATCGACCATCAGAGAATACAATGATGATCGATATCTCCACCATTCACTCTCTCGAACTCATACAAAATCTGCAGAATGCAAAATCAAAAGACTGTCTCCTCGGCCTCCTGAACGAGACTCTTACACCAATGGGTTTAAGAATGTTACGAAGCAACATACTCCAGCCTTCTTGTCAAGTTGAAAATACCCTTACCCCTCGTTATGATGCTTTAGATGAACTCACCGTGAAAGAAGACATGTTCTTCGAAATACGAAAGGGTTAGAGCCGATACACTTATCTTCATACCTGTTACTAACCTGTTTTAGCTCTTAAGGGGTTTGTAGACATGGAGAAACTTCTCACTGCGGTAAGTGGGTGAATGAGTCTACGACTTCCATCTTTAGCTAACTATGTGGCGAAGCTTGTCATCGTGCCCAACCAGTCGTCGATCCAAAACTCAGCGCAAGCTATCAATAATATTCTAAGTGTCAAGGCTTTCATCACTGCTGTGTCTTCTTTGTATGAAGCATTGGGCGCTGCACGTTCAGATTTACTAACTAGAATCCGCGAAATATGTCGTCCCGAGCTCACTCAACCCGTCGCAGATCTCATCTCTGATACAATCAATGAAGATGTGACAGCTACGAAATCATCTCTTGACATGAGAAATCAGAGAACATATGCAGTCAAGGTGACTAACTCATGAATTCATTACTTACAGCACAAGGGCTAAATTTCTCTATGGTGCGGGGTTCACGGCCTCTTAGACGTTGCTCGCCAGACATACAAGGAGGCAACAGAAGATGTTGGACAACACATTGAAGACATAATAAGTAAGTTATGCTGTGTTGAATAAGGCTATTATTGGGTGCCGTTATAACCATTGTCCCAGGAGATCATGATATCAACCCTGAGCTTCGATTCGATGACAACCGCAAGTATTGGCTACGCCTAAGACAGAGCGACTTCGAAGACAAAGATATCCCAGAGATTCTCATCAATAAAGTTTCCAAGGGTAATTGGATTGAATGCCAAACCCTAGTCTTAGTCCAAGTCAACCACCGCATTACAGATTCTTACAACGAGGCAATAATGCTCAGCGACAAATTAGTTCAGGAACTCCTAGACGCGATTCGAGCTCACGTACCGAATCTTTTTCGCGTATGTGAAAGCATTGCGCTTTTAGATATGATGGCGGCGTTCGGTCAGTCTGCTACGACAAGAGACTATGTAAGACCTGAGGTTGGTAGTGCTTTAGCCCTCAAAGGGGCAAGGCATCCTATTTGCGAACGAGTAAGCCAATTTCAGGTCTAGTATAATTCTAAAGATTAACTATTCTTAGGCCAACACGGAACAATTTGTTCCCAATGATGTCTTCGCCAATGAGCAACACCGATTCCAAATCATCACCGGCTGTAATATGAGCGGCAAGAGCACTTACATCCGAATGATACCGCTCCTCCAAGTAATGGCTCAGATCGGCTCTTTTGTGCCAGCACAATATGCTGCCTTTCCAGTGATTCAACAACTTTTCGTGAGAATGTCTACAGATGATAGCATCGAGGCTAACATGTCTACCTTCTCACTTGAAATGAGGGAAATGGCATTTATATTGAGGTATATTTAACCGCTTTTCGTGCAATTCATTCTAATCCAGTCCTAGAAATGTCAATGAAAAAAGCTTAACCATCATCGATGAACTTGGTCGTGGGACTAGCACAAGAGATGGCCTAGCTATTGCACTCGCCATTTCCGAAGCCTTGATCCAGAGCAATTCTCTGGTGTGGTTTGCAACTCATTTTCAGCAACTTGGTAAGTGATCTGGCACAATAATATTTGAAATACCGTCTCAATTTGTGATCAGCGAAAGTATTGGGGAGTAGACCAGGAGCCCTAAATCTGCACCTTGCCACCGAAACCCACACTATGGATAGCGGCAATCCAAAGATGACCATGTTATATAAGATTACCTCGGGACCTATGCAGGAAGAAAATTACGGCCTCAATCTTGCACGTGCAATTGGATTCCCAGAACGATTCATTGAAATCGCAGAAGACGTTTCAAAGACGCTTGCGGAGACCATCGAGAGGAAGAAGCAAGACTCGCAGACCAGGAGGCTACTTCGGCGCCGAAAGCTAATTCTGAACTTGTATGACACTCTCCTTCAATTAAAAGAGTCAGATATGGACGATGCTGCTTTGGGTAGCTACCTTAAAAGGCTTCAAGACGAGTTTGTATCTAGAATGGATGACATTGAACGCGATAAACAAATTGAAGAAGAATCGCCATGAAGGGTAAATGAAGAGCCTAGGGTTTTCTAGCCATCACACACTACTGGTATCTTCTTTACCTATCTTACATATTGCTTGAGCTTTACCTAAGCTTTGATTAACGCAAGTTTGTAAGTTTCTCCGATCTAGCTTGGTCTTTATTTCACAGCCGATCCTATCCAACGCACCATTTCCGTATGTTGCGAATTGATGCAAGGGATATGTCGCTAATGCGATAATAGTTACGAATCTCAACGGTGTGAGAAGAATAACTTATCATGAATACGTATGTCTATTTCGGAATCGGGCCGCGAGCAACTATCACGCTGAATGGCATTTGTACCTCGTATATCCCATTGATAAACTCGGTATCCTCATAGGGAAGGATATAGATTGTATTACTTCAGTTGATATCAACCAAGACACGTTACATGTTTGCCTACATGTTGAAGTCTTCACCCGGATTCGCCCCGTTTACGTGGTTGGGATTGGTTTCATTATACCAATAATAATAAGCATCACTTTGATGCCGTTCCTTCACGCCCGGATGTAACGACTTTCTCATTATTTGGATGTACTTCTCCAGATCGAGCCCGTTTTCTTTTCGGAATTGTGTAAGTTTCTCAAAGTTGGTGCATTGCCGGTTGATAGACCTAGATTCCAAATATTTGTCAGATTTTTTCAAGTCGGGTATGTCAGCTCCCATTATGTGATCGTGTACCTACATACTAAAATTAGTTAAAATCGCTACGTTAGCGAAACCTTCGAGTACGTTAGATGGAGAAGAGAGAAACCCACTCAGGTTGAGGATATTCTTGCCCCGCGACCCAGTGATAGGTCATCAAATTTACGTTACCACTGCACTGCAATGCCTGCAAGAGTATATCAACGCAGTGATTGATATGTATTTCGGGGAGGCCTATGACGGAATGGTTACGGGTTTTCAGATGATAATAGTCTCGATAGGCATTATGGCGTAAAGTGTTCAGACAATGGATTTGGTGGTACACATCGAACGCGCCGACATAAGCGTCGTCGCCCAGTCCCCAATCGGAATTCTCGAGCTTGGGCACGGTAGATGGGTCTTTACCCATCCGGACGATGTCGTCTCGTGTCAATGGATAGAAGCGACTCAGCTCCCATTCATCCCATAGTTCGTCAGCAGTCGGGTTAGGGAGTTCTCGTGCGATCGAGGCTCCCTCCCTAGCTGGAAATAGCGTGCCTTGGACGACCCTTGGCTTCATCTCCAAGTCTACCCTGTCAAAGACGGGGCCTATCTTGCATATTAGCCACCGTATTCATTGCGGCAGTGGCTAGTTCTTACTGTAGGTAGATGCCTGCCGTAACTCGGTGTTGAGCTGGTTTCTCTCATTTCTTGTCGCAGAGAAGAGCGCAAGGGATATCAAGAATAAGACAATATTCGTTATTGTTATTAGTATGGCAAAAATTGTCCATAAGCGGCCCCGATTCGGTCCTTTCCGGGTCTCCGGATTTTCGCTCAGTAACCTCTCCGCCTCCTCATCTTGGTCTTCCATAGTGAATGAAGATGATGGCGATAAGATGAGCTCATCTGAGGTGCTCATTTTCGAAGGTGGTTGGGGTTCACTTGTAAGTTTTGAAGCCATCAGGCCCAATGTACATCTCGACTCCGTCGAGAGGGTGTGATTGTTCTCACTGGTCTTACCAACGGATATGTTGGAACGAGCTCGCGTGACCCTCCCGGGCGAAAAGTATGTTGGAAGCATTCGGTGCTACAATCACAATCGGCGACCTTCCGAGGTGTTTCAAGCGCCCAGGAAATGTTGACTGATCTCGATGGTTAGTTTTAATGAATATCCTAGGTCGATCATGCGACGGAGGGCCGATAAGGCCCCCTTTTTACGAATATCCACTTTTCCAAGTGAGGATTTCTAGCGATGCACGTCTTTTTAAGCTATGTCTGCTCCCCAGGTTCTCCAGATATCTATCATTCAGGATTGCGGCATTTAGATCGATGATTGGAATAGTGGGTTTTATCTAGATCTATGCTTAATATCATAATCCCGAATAGGACATGTTCGGGACAGGACGTGCAAGGGTAATACTTGTTGGGCTGTGCTAACCGGTCTATGATGCTTCGTATTGGACCTCTAGAATCTAAGGAAGCGACCTGTTTGTTGGTAACGGGATTGTGTAGCAGTCCGACCCGTTGATCAATGCAATCCGGACCCGATTCCTCATGCGACGTAACCCGGGTGATCGGCTTACCTCCCCTAGGCTATCAATAATTGGCTAGGGCATGCGAATTTCTCGCCGCATGTAAAGATGATTTGAGTATGAGGTTACTTCACTAGACGTATCAGGAACATTCGAAGCAACGTTCCTAAGGCGCAAGCATGACGCAAACAAGGGATGAGTTGACGGCTCATGCCCACGTGAGCGAGCTAACGCTGCATCTATCGTTCGCTTTAATATGTCGTATGTCTCTGGATATTTATCCCCGTTACTTTTAGGGGAAGGTGCGCGAATAGGACGCCAGATCACGCCGTCGACCATTGATTATCTCCCCTTGTCTAGGCACGGAAGCAGAAAGGATCGACGTTCGTTAGTTCTGTCAGGGGGAACATAGCCGTGCTACCGGGTGCGCCGGTTACATTGCTAGTCCTATGGCGCCGACAGCAAAGCTTAACGATGTTGGGACCATCGGACCGTACACATGCTATCATCCTTCAATTATAAGCTTGATTCATCCGCGCCTGATCTCGACTCATTCTAAGCAAAGATTCCGTCACGATATAAGCATCAATCATCAGACCGTTCATCATATATAAACCATCATCGCCCCCTTCATCAATCTTATCAACTCTCTACAAGATATTCACCTTTAACGCTATTTCAAATCCTCATCCAAGATGCGTGTATCAGCAATCTTCTTCGCCGGCCTCGCCACCGTGGCATTGGCAGTCCCCGTTGAGGTAAGCCCGACAAGTCTTGCGTTACATAGGACGTGAATTGAATTCTGATCATCGATGTCTAGGTTGGGTCCGGTTTAGTTGAGCGGTATAGACCTATCAAGTTGACCGACTCGGCCCTTGAAGGAAAGGAAAGCCAGACGGAGAAGCGTCAATATGAACCTATCGAGAAGCAGATCAAGGAGGTTGCGGCGTAGAAACGCAAATGTTGACCTTCCTGAAAAGATGTGCGGACCATGAGAGGGACGGTAGATTGACAAAATGAAAGCAGCGATGGGGTTGGAAGAGACTTATGATAGCATAATATCATAACCAAGGTGTGCCAAAACGCAACTGACTTATGTGAGAACAGTATGATAAAGATCAACTCATTCATGCTACAGTACTTTCGTAGGGTTTCTGATAGATTGGTGCATTGTCTATATGCCAATAGCGGATATTCGCCCACAGACCTGTAAAGATCGAAAATTGAATAGGAACTATTAACAAATAGGATAATTGAATCCAGCTCGTCAGCCCATTCACTCTCCGGCCCATGTTTCTTCTTCCACTAGGTCTGATTTCATTTGGCAGGCGCTGAGAGTTTAAATTGGAATACCTTCTTGCAATCTGGCGTTTTTCTTTAGAGCTTATGCTCGTTAAGAAGGCCTAAATTATAGTGGCCGTCTATTAAAATTTAGCGGACATGTCGCTGCTGGGTGTAGCTTTTAGCATGGATTTAACATCCAGTATGAAATAATTGCTTATCTTATTCCGCACTGGCTAAGAGACGTGTATCAAGATTCAAGACCCTCCCGATCATGAATTTGATTGCGGTATACCTGTAATAGGGCTATTTAGCGATAGAAAAGGTCCATATAGAAAGGTATGGTCTATTTAAAGGAAAGGAGATACGCTCCTGGGGTATGCAGAGCTTTTGTTTAATAATTCCGCATTCAGCTGAGCTAATCATGGGAGCTTAGGTAAGCTCTAAGTCAAAACCTGACATAAGCAATGCTTACCTAATATTTCTGTAATAGATACAGCGCTTGTACCTGCTTGAGAAGCGGATATATCCATTGATAGGATCCAGAAGTGTAAGTGTCATTTCAGCACGATTAGTCTCAAATATCGAAAGATATTCAGTGTGAATGGTGTATATGACATGAGTTGTAAAATATATCCATATGGAATAATTGCTGTGGAATAACCCAGTTTGATTGATTATGTAAGAACAAGGGGTTGAACTTGGATTAGGTAAGCGTGCTTCTGTTCATGATTTACATTGTACACAACTGCACTTATATGATCTATACAGGTAATGCAGGGGAGTTTCTTGCTTTGGATCTTTAAAATTGGAACAAGTAGGCTTTAAAATAATATCAATCTGTATCACCAATACCTAAAATTTGGTCGCGTTATACAAAATTAATTCTTTATATGTCAACATTGGGGTAGTGGTTAGGGTTGGGGTTGTCTTGGTCATCATTTCATGACAGCTTACTTCCACCCGACTTTGTGATCAAAGTCAGTTATACAAATCGTGCTGCCTGGAAAGCAGGAGTTTCTAAGGCATCATACGAGTTAAAAAACAACTACCAGGCGTTGCGCCATAGAGTACATGGCGTCGACTGTGTCTCGGTCGAAGCAGAGTGATTTGTGGGTTTTCATTGATTGCGCATCGTACAAGTAGTCCTATTTCTTCAGCTATTTCTATTCCTGACGCAACACATGGCCATGATCAACGGCTTATGGAGAAATGTCCAATTGCCGAGACAAGCATAAAGTTATGGACGAACCTGTGGATAGGTTTCAATCCTAATTCGTGCTATCTATAGGTAAGGGGGTGGCACCGCATATCACGCCTAGAATGTCAAAATTCCTTGGAATGACTTAATGACTAAAACTTGAATAATTATTCGCTCTTGTGCCACGATAGCCAATAAGCCTTATTATCACATTTTTGATAAGGTAATTGTTTTGTTTGCTATCGTGATCCAGCATTAGATATCCCCATGCTGGCCTCCAGTACCTGTGACTTGGGGTTTTGCTTACGTAACACACTCGTAGGTACATCATTTATGTTTGATGCCTTAATACATCTTGGCTGCTTTCTGAATTTGACTGAGTTATAGAGTTAGTAACAATGGTGGTCTTAAGCAAGTACTCAGGTAGGTCAGTATAGTAGTTGAGATCCAGAGCTGATCTAAATTTGAGTCTCCTCATAAACTCTGATAATGAAGTATACAGTCAGTAACCCCTTAGACATCAACCCCTCATTATGAGCGAGTTTAATTACCTACTAGGTATGTATAGTAGAACTGTTGAATATTCGCATAGAATGGTATGATACTATTAGGTAAGCGACTTCCTGTCTGGTAACCGGGGGGGTTAACAAGCGAGTCACCGAACCGGAGTCCCGAACGGACAAGTTTGCCTCGGACCTGATTTACACGAATGCTGGCAATGGCCTTCTACCTCATTGGCTACCGAAAATTCAGCCGACTTGGATATATTACCCTGGTTTTGGTAAACTGCCGGCTTCTTATTACTTAGGTAGGTACCTAAGTACCTACTTAGTAGCATCAATCATCAACTCCGTGTAAGTAGGTATGTATCGCGTCTGTATGAATATTACACTACTGCTTAGGTACTTGTATGGACTACTCCCTCTTGAAAATTGAGTTTCCACAGGTGTAGTGACTTTGTAAACTATTTTAGGTCAAATCAGATTTACCGCCACAAGGGGTCATCGCATAGAGTCAGAAAATACAATCAATGTGCTAATCACACTGTATTCCACTGTAGTTTGATCCATCCCTCATGTTACACAGTTGCCCTCATAATAAGAGTAGGTTACCTATTTAAGAAGGGCAGGGGATAGTTTAACGCGTGGAAGTATTAGCACATAGGCGGCTTGTTCTGACTGTATTCTGCCTCCTATGCAATTGAAGGCGTTAGAATATTATATCGGTATTGAGTATCATTAGAACCGGTCGGGGTATTTGAATTGTCCAGGTACCGACATCATGCTATTGATTACCTAGGTGAACAAACATATACGTAATCATCGTTACACCTAAGCTACTCCTCTGGGGCGGTAGGAAGACGGGGTCCGAAGGATTTTTAGTATGGAGTGTCGATTTGGACAGCCTCTAAATCCAATAAGCTGATTGGCGCTGAAAAGGCTGGCGAATATATACATTAGTCTAGCATCGTTAAAGACAATTCGTTTCGCGACATTTGCGGTAGGAGAAATCTCATGAAGGTACTTGTTAGAGATTCATAGTTTCGATAGAAAGCTCTTTTTGTAGAGCGCATCTTGTACTATATATACAACCGAGGAAAGTAAACGTTGAGGCACTTTATTATGCAATGCATGTGCACGGCATCACGGAGAATTAATGAGGGCTATCTGATTAGGTATGTTTCACTACATCGCGCATACATGGGCTGCATGGTACATATGTCACTGGTAAGTCCCGGATTTAGTGTTGCCTTCCTAAATTGGTAAATTGTCAAGACCGTATTGATGCGAGTCAAGTCCCACTTGAATGGATAGGATTTAGAACCATGAATGGGAAAAGGGCTTTGCATGATTATAGCGTAGTTGCGTTGTTGCGTTGTTGTGTCGTTACGTAGTTGCGATCGGTGTAAGAAACGGCTGATATCATGATCAAACGGCCTCCACGATCGACGGATTGTCTCCACTAGCTTCTTCGGTACCGAATCTGAGTAAGCACCGTATGTTTTTTTTCTCCAGATCTACTCGACCATAGCCTCATTTCGCTTTTTTAACATCCAAGAAGTCGGAAGAATAGTGAGCGATGTTTCCGCGCTCACGTAAATGAGGGAAAAAAAGATTAGGACCGGTCCAAATTTGAAATATCTGCCAGCCACTCAGCCACTCCGGACCGCCCCGGTCTGCCGTTTCCCATTCCAGGAATGAGGATCTCCAAATGTTTTAGATCCCGCAGCTAACCCTTTACCCCAATGAGCCCTAGGCAGCCGAGTTTCCAGACTATCAGTCCTTCTAATTGGATATTCTGTTATGTGATCGTCCTAGCTGCAATACTGTTTGAGGATGGGGCACGCTAGAAGTCCGCCCTGGCACCGTCAGCACATGCCAGTGTAACTGTCAGGGAGGTTGTTATTGTAACCTACCTGGGTACCTACGCAGTCACACTGCTACGAATGCTGGAAATTTCGTGTGTGCTTCAGACTTAAGGGAACGTGCGGCGCTGAGTAGGTATCAACCTGACAGTCTGATTATTACCCATCAGACGGACAGGATCGAAGTCCCCTGAAATCCGGAAATAGAAAACGCACTCGGCCGTTGGAAGTCGCGAGAATAACCCGGTGAACACGGCTTCGCCGCGTCATGCGATATTTAGATCAATTGGTGAAATAGCCCTTCAAAGGACCATCGATCGATACTGCCAGTGCACCGATGTCCTTTTTATTCAAATATCGGCGCCACCTTCCATGTGCGTCTTCCACAAATCTAGACCACTCTTTGCGTACCACAACCCTGTTTCCTCGGCAAATTTTATCCAACTAGAATCCAGATTAAATCATGGTGGTAACAGAGACAGACGTTTTAATCGTCGGTGCAGGGCCAACAGGGGTGACATTGGCGCTGGAGCTGGCTGCCCAGGGAATACCATTTCGTCTCATCGATAAGGATTTGCAAAGATCAGATAAATCTAGGGCTCTAGGTATTCAACCTCGCACTCTGGAACTTCTCAACCGACATGGCAACGTTCGAGATTTCATCGCTCGGGGGAATCTAAGCCGTGGTACTACATTCTACATCAACGGCAAAAAGGCGGCTGATATCGACATCTCTGGTCTCGCCGACGACACAGCATTCCCCCTCATCCTCATCATATCGCAGGTGGAAACAGAGGTATACCTTGATGAGTGCCTTGCGAAATACGGTTTCTCGGTTGAGCGCGGGCTCGAAGCAAAGACAATTGTCCAGGATTCGGAAGGCGTCACCGCCACATTCAGGAAGCCAGATGGCATTGAAGAATCCGTTCGCGCAAAGTACGTTGTTGGCGCCGACGGAGCGCATAGCACTGTGCGACACGCAGCGACAGGTCTTACTTTCCAGGGAGAGGCTTATCCTCAGGACTTCATTCTCTGCGACGCTTCTATCAGAAACTCCAAGATAGCCTGGGATCGATTCTCTCTCTGCATGGGTAGAGGTTCTCTTGCCGTCTTCCCGCTGAAGGATGGCACGTGTCGAGTCGTGGTATCGCGAATGGACGCAGATCAGGATGCCGAGTTGAAACTTGAAGACTTTCAAACCATGTTGGACAACCTCCACACTGATGCAGGGCAGTTGTACAACCCTACCTGGATCACAAGGTTCCACCTACACCATAGAGGTGTGAATAGCTATCGTGATGGCCGTCTCTTCGTCGCAGGCGATGCAGCCCATATCCACTCGCCGGCGGGAGCTCAAGGGATGAATACAGGGATACAAGATGCTGTCAACCTAGGGTGGAAGCTAGCAAAAGTGATCCGTGGCGAACGTCCAGACTCTTTCCTAGACAGCTATGACATCGAACGCCGACCAATTGGGCAACATCTACTCGAGAGTTCGGATAAGATGTTTACGTGGGGATGTTCCTCCAACCCCTTTTTCGTCACCTTCCGCAACGTACTGTTCAACTGGGTTTTGCCCTGGTATGTCAATAGCAAGAGCCGTCGCGCCAACATTTTCAAGTTTATATCAGAATTCGGCATTAGCTATAAGGACAGCTCGTTCGTAGGCACGACACCAGGCCATACCGGACTAGTGGTGGGAGGCGATCGAGTTCCCGACAGAAAGATCGAGAGTGCGGGGAGCGAGAAATACTTTCACGAGCTTCTCACTCCCGACACGCACCATTTAGTGTTCTTCTCCGGAGTTGGCCAAGAAGCTGCCACGAAAGAGGCCTTGCTGGAAGCGCGATCCAAGTTTGAGAAAATCAATTCGGAGAAAACCAAAGTTCATATACTCTTTAACGCGAAGGCCAGCTCCGACAATGCGCTCGGACATACCGATATTGGAAATCGGTTACACGATGACTTCGGCTGCTCTAAGCCTACTTATGTCTACATTCGACCCGACACATATGTCGAGCATATCGGCCTGATTTCGGAACTAGATGAACTCTTGGTGTGGTTAAAATGATATGACCTTTAGTTCTGGGGTGGAAGTTGACAGTTATATACCAATGTTTTTCAACACGCATGGATACCTTTTTTCTTATCTATCACCTAGTGAACGATGCTCGGAGTTCCGATGCTATGGTTCCTTTCTACTTATTTCTGTATTACTTCCATGGAGCATGGTGTTATGGCACTTCCAACGACCTATAGAAAGGTCTAGGTTCATTAGATTAAATGTTTAATTTCTTTTAGGTGGCTTTCAGTTTTTTTTAATGGCCAATTCTATTGAAGCATAGTTGCCCCAATGCAAGTGCCCGGGACGCGTGTAACAATGGTGTATCTATGCTGAATGGGAGTTGCAAACAGGAATGACTCCATCCGTACCTACCTAATTACCTGTTAGCAACCTTTGGTATTGAATTAAGTTTGTATTTCCTTCAAAGTTCATAACAAAAGACGTAACTACCTCTTTACCAAACAGAAACCGCCTGCTTCTGGTTGAAAAGGCAGGAGCGGCGGATGCATGTGAGTTATTCTTAAGCCACCCAATACTATTTAAAAAAACTTTAGAACTCTTCAATTCCAAACTCTCTTTGCTTTTCTAAACATTCTACCTTGAAATTTCGTTCTTAATAGTTCAACATCCAAGCCTTGACTAGGTACTGATAACTACTTACTAGGTAGATATCGCCGAACCTCTCTAAAATAGAGAATCATACTATCTTTATCAAGAGCGATGTCATCCCTAGAGCTGTGTTGTGTGTGTTGGAAGAAGGGTGGCGAGCTCTGCGGTAGATGCAAGAGTAGCTGCTACTGCTCTAAAGAGTGCCAGAAGGAAGACTGGAGCCTTCACAAGAAGGTCTGCCGCATCGCTGCCGCCGCACCACCGAAGTCAGAACGTCCATCTCCCTATCACATCCAAGCAATCTTTTGCCCGGAGAACACAGACACTTATGAGTTCGTCTGGGTCAAGTGCTTTCCTAATCTCGATCACCCGGAAGGCCCACGCTTCATTCCCACCAATGTCTCGATCCGAGATATCTTCGGCAGAGACAAGAGCGGTATCACAACCAACGGTTACTTTTGGGGACCTGGTCTACCTGGTGTCATTTATCCACATCTGACAGCGAGTTTCTTCCCTGCGGAAATGAAATCCGGTAACAATCGTCCACTCCTCATTGTCGGCTCTGTGCACGAATTTGGACTGCATGGAGATTCCCTGCCTCGCTTCGTGGATGCAACTCTCGCAGATATGCGCGCGACCCGTGCAGGAGTTGCGCCGATTCAATTTGCGGTACATTGGCCTGAATGCCCTGACGAGTTAAATTTCGATGGTATTATCTAAAAAATTCGCTGAGTTACGAACACATTCATATTTTCAAGGTATTAACACCGTTTCTTTATCCAATTTAAATCTTGAGTGCACATAATATTAATCAGTCTTCACAGCTCGTAGTCCTCTCGCCAATTTGCCAAGTCCATCTCAACCTCTACGTCGCGGGTTCTATCTGAACGTGGGAGCTAAACACGTGGTAGCGGACATCGACGGAATATTCGCTACTTTGTATTTATTCTGGTTTATGTGGTGGATGCGATCTTGCAAATATTAGGGGAATGGGAGGACTTTCTCATTCCCAAACCATAAAAAAGGAGATAGGAAAAAGCAGTTTATGATTTGAGAATGGGTCTGGCAAATGATGATTTCTTAGCTAAATAGATGCGACTAATTACTTATTTTCCTATTACGCGAAGATAATATCAGTTTCGTTTGCGGTGGAGTAAAACTTTAAACTTTAAGAATCTAACTAACCCCTGCTACCGGTTGGTGTGCCGGCTTGCTAATAGCCCCACCCCCGCAATAGCAAAGCCCTACATAGAAGTACGATGCAACCATGGCACCGGGATAGGACTCGTCTAATAATTCGTAGATGAGACGAAATATTCCCCTCTCACCCTATCACCGTCCTAACAATGCCTCCCAGATCCGTTCTCATAACAGGCTGCAGCGAGGGCGGGATCGGCGCGGCCCTAGCCGCAGAGTTCCAAGCCCAGGGGTGCCAGGTGTTCGCGACGGCCCGCACCACGGATAAGATGCACGCGCTTGCCAAACTGGGCATCCAGACCCTAGAACTCGACGTCACCTCCGACGCCTCCATCGCCGCCGCCGTCTCCGCCGTGCAAGAAGCTACGGACGGCTCCCTCGATTTCTTAATTAATAACGCGGGCGTCAACCACGTCATGCCCTTCACAGACTCCAAAGTCGCGGACCTTAGACGCGTTATCGATACTAACGTCGTTGCTGTGTTGGCTGTTACCCACGCTTTCCTGCCCCTGCTTATTAAGGCGAAAGGCACGGTTGCGACGGTCGGGAGTATCAACGAGGTCTTTAATCCCCCGTTCCAGGTCGCGTATAACGCCTCCAAAGCCGCTGTCCACGCCATCGCGCGCACGCTGCGCGTGGAGCTCGCGCCGTTGGGGGTCAGGTTCGTTACCCTGGTTACGGGCGGCGTTAGCACTCGGTTGTTTGAGAATTCGCCGACGCAGTTGCCTGAGGGGAGCGTTTATGAGCCGGTGAGGCGGACGTTGGAGGGGAGGGAGTTTTTAAGCGGGGCGAGGTTTGTGGAGGCGGATGTTTATGCGCGAGAGGTTGTGGGGGATTTGCTTAGGGCGAGGCCGAGGCTGGATGTTTGGCGCGGCGGGATGGTTACTGTTGCGTGGATACTGTCGTGGTTTGGCTGGGAGGGGATGTTGGTGAGTTATCGTGACCTGGTTGAGAGATGGTGTTGTGGGTTGTGTGTGCTGGTGCTAATCGGTGTTACAGGATTCGAGCATGGTTAAGGGGTTCCATCTTGATCAAGTGGGACGGTGAATGGAACGATGGGTATTTACGTTAGGTAACTTAAGATTTACGAATTTATTGATGTATCACCTTTTTTCATTATTTACAGATGTTGTTATGAACCCATTTCCTTTTCTCTCCTTATTCTTGTCACGCCCGGACATAATGGTACGTTTTTTTGAGCGTGGGGGGTCGGGTAGGCTGAACAGGGATCTGATCTCGCCACGAGTATATGTCTGTGTAAGAAGCTCCTTCGCGTGAGAGACGGCCGGGCTGGCCTGCGCGATGTGTTATTACATCTGCTTCCCCATGTTTATAGCCCGCAAGATGCTGCTCGTCATCCTGAACCATTGGGGGATCCGGGTCGCTGTCCCAATATTCTGACGTATCATTATAATAAGTCCGTTTCGGTTTAGTGCTACGTTTTCTTTTGGGGGGAGGATGGGATTCATCTGGTGAAGGGTACCAGTCTTGCTCTTCGGAAAGGACAAGCCCAGTGATAGCCTTGATATCCGCCCTGATCGACGGGTTTCTCAACACTCCTTTGGTATCTAGGAAGGCGATGAATTGTTTGGTAGGTCTGTGTTTTCGGCCATTTCTCTTGTCGTAGGCACGGTTAATTTTAGGATCAACCAGAATTCTGTTGAATGATGACCGCGTGATATCCTTATCGCAGCATTGTAACTCGAACTCCGGCAAAACTAGATAGAGGGCAAAACGCTCCATGAGACAATAGTGACATATCCAATGCCCGCACGGAACAAGTCGGATCTCGCCGCCAAAGACATGGTACTGAGACTCGCAATAGGCGCATGGTATATATGTAGTTCCTTTTCTTTTATCGAGTTAGTAATTTTGTGGCATTGGTGGGAAGAGGGGAAGGGAATTACTAAGAGGTACTTACGCAAAAAGCAAGCCTCTTTGGTATGCTTCTGGATCAATTTTAGCTGCGACCTTCTTCTTGTCGCTCTTCACTCCGGTAAAAAGTACTAAGGATTGGCTATCATCATTTGGTATGTTATCATCTTCTTCGTTGCCCCCATTGCTTATCGTGTCATCAACTTTGTTTTTATCCGTTATTCGAGATCTATCAGGCCTTTCGTTCACGGGTTTTTTAGTGGTGTCCTCAATGTTGCCTCCGGGTGGTACGACTGTGATTGGCGATTGTGGCCTAAGATCATCGGTGTGATCGGATACGAATTTGTGCTCGTTCTCTGTTGTGCTTTTCGAACGACCATGCTTTAAAATGTGGGAAAGATCCATTTTCTGTCTCGTCTGAACGAAATATGGGGATCTCGGACGCGAAACCAGGTTCGGGGTGAATAGTTCGTCGGAGATACCAGTTGGTAAAGTCAATAACTTCTCAAGAGGTTTAGTTATATGTTTGCCATCTAGGTCTGAGGACGGGGTTATAGGTGTATGAGATTCTAGGTCTTCAGATATAATTGGTAAAGAAGTATTAGAAGAATCTGCGTCATCTAACACGTAAGGGGAACCAGGAGGTAGTGGCTCTCTGTTGGTCTCTTCTTGTTCGTCATCGCAGCTGTCAACATACGGAGGACGATAATGAAGAGATGGAATAGTCTCTTCAGGCTCTTCTAGGAGTACCACTGTCTTGTTTTCGATAGGCTCTTCAATTAGCTTTTTCGTATCTGCTTCGACTAGCTTCTCGGGTTGTTCGACGATTGGTTCAGAGATAGAGCTCCAGGTAGCCGAAGCTGCTGATAACATTGTGTCTCTACTCCTTTCGTTAGTCTACACATTCAAATATTGAATCGACGTAGCGCTATATCCCTTACCCATGCTTGATGTCCGCTAGTTGAACGGGAAAGCTTGTCGTTATCCATGGATGTTTATCCGCCATTTCAGAGGAAGGACGATCCATAGGATCAGGAGACATCAGAGCCGCGATGAATTGTTGGCCCTGGTCTGTAACGGAATGCGACTGGAGACTTCGGGAGGGGAAGCTCAAAATTCCATTAGCGTATCGAAATAATTCGGCGATGTTCGGGAAAGGGAGATCGTTTAGGAGCATCATATAGACACATACGCCAAGTGACCAGAGGTCTACAGCAGCCGTGTAAGATCTCGATTCACTACCCAGTCCAAATCCCATTGTCTCTGGTGCCGCGAAACCTAATGTCCCCATCTGTAGAGTATGCATGCTTGTGACGTCTTGCTGCCTTCTTTTGCTAATTCCAAAATCTGCAATTTTGACAAACCACTCTGGACCTGTGGTGACCACCATGATGTTCTGATGTCAAGCAAATCGGTTAATAGGGGGCTTATTGCCTAGGTGGTTAGGTAGATAATAGAGCATAACTTACCCCAGGCTTGAGATCTCGATGTACAAAGCCGTTTTCGTGCATGAACTTGAGACCCTCTAAAACTTGAGAAGTGATGGCTCTAGCTTCTAATTCTGGCAACGGCTTGGTTAAGTACTTATGTAAATCGCCTTTCTCAAGATATTCCATGGTGATAAACACCGATTCATCGTTCTCGAACCAGCCATCGGAACGAACAAAACAATGCGAGTACTGAGATACGGTTCAGCATACGATACTAGGTATCTGCAAGGCGGCTGCTACCGTTTCGGTTTCACATACCCGGTTGTGTGAGAACTTGGAGATAGCTTCGAGCTCTCTCATATACTCTAGCTCTTTTCCCGCTACATTGTACTTCTTAATTTGTTTTACCGCCCTCAATTTCGTAGTACCATCATTTCGCTCGCATCGTTCTAAATGTACTGTCCCATAGGCTCCCTGGCCGAGGAATTGATCGCGCACCCATCGCTCTTTTTTGGGTACATGCCTTTCGCGAGCCGAGCTTCCGGATACGTAAACGATGTGTTGTGTGTAGGCGGCGAAAATCTCGGTGTCGAGCCTCGAGTCGCGGACGATATCGGGTAACGATTGGATTAGTTGTCGTATCGACATACTCGGAGGTTTATTTTACGCATCGGTCGACAGCACATTGCATGATCAATATACGACCATGATTCATAGGTACGGTCAATTTTAGCCACACTTAGAAGAAAGAAGATGGATCAGACTTGGTAGAGTGGACAGAATATGTTGTCATGGTCTCGAGGGTGTGATTGAACGAGGGGGAATTGGGGGCTGAGCCGCCACGCGCATATGCTTAGCCCAGAGTGGAATGTGCCTTACACAGCCTACAGATTCCATCGCCGCAGTCTTAATTACTAGTTGCCTAGGTACCTAAAGATCGGATTCTTCTTTTCTATCTTAAATACACTCTAGCTCCTATCGCAAAGGTAAACCGAAACGCGGCTTTTCTTAAAAACAAGCGCAGATACACTGTAAGACGGAGGCGTCGTTCAATGGCAGAACTTATTCTAGCCGCTGTCGGAGCAGCGGACTTATGCCTTAGGTACGGTCGGTTCCCTCATATGGCGATGTCTAAAGACTAAGGTTACATTGACATTTCAAGCTGACATGGCACACCTAGGTACGGAGATAAACTCTTAAAGGTTTATCAAGCCTTTAAGCAAGCAGACGAGAATATTAAGGCTAAAATTCTCCTAATTGAGTCGACATGGAGTCAAATGGCGATACAAGTGGAATTCGTCCAACGAATTGCTCATACCATGAGCTTGGATCACTGTCGTATCCACTTCGAAGTGCTGGAGATGTTGCAGACCAAGTTACAGGTCGCCATCAAGAAAGTCGAACCCTTATTAAAGGAAAATCCGGCAAAAGCACATGAAAGTCGGATTAAAAGATGGAAATATGTGCTCGTTCGCGAATCACTCGATAAGACAATTTCCGACCTCGAACAGTGGCAGCGCATCTTCGACCCCACATGGTATTTAATCATCCTGATAAAAGATAAGGCAGTTGACTCGGAGCTGCTAGAGAAATCCACACTATCCAGAAACAACTCTTATAGCAACTCTTATGGTGAAGAGCAAGGCAATACGAGCGTATCATCTAGTTCCACCCTGGTTACCATACAGAATTTGCGAAACATACTCAAGAATGTCAAGAATGAGTCGACACCCGGTACCCATGTTACGCTCCCCGCAGAAGGGTTAGACTGGGAAAGGGCACAGAAGATTCCATACTCAACCACACGACTCATTCCCCGTATGGGGTCCAACAAATTATTTCTCGTGGATACAATGCTCTGCGACTCAACCCTCGATATTCCTCGAGCAAGGGCTGATGCAGAATCTCTAGCGAGGAAACTCAAGCAGGTCGAGAATGCTAATTTCGGTCTTCTCTCATGCCAGGGCCTCGTCAAACGGAGAACACATCCAACGGGAACTCTATCTTCTATCGATCTAGTCTTCAAAGTTCCAATCGAAAGAAGGAAGCCCGTCAGCCTACGATCAGAACTCTTGCAGCGCCCCGTAATGAATTTAAGTACCGTTATAGATATCGCGAGACAGTTGGCGATGGCAGTCAGCTTTGTCCACACGTGCGATTTCGTACATAAGAATATTCGACCCGAGACGGTATTAATCCTAGCGAATTCCGATTCGGAATTAACAGAAGGGAGGATTTCCCCTGGGGCTGTCCAACTTTTAGGCTTCGATCGATTCCGTAGCGTCAACTTCTCTACCATGCGTCGTGGCGATACGGCTTGGGAGCGCAACCTTTATCGTCACCCCCTACGGCAAGGCCTACACGCGCAGGAAGATTATGTGATGCAACACGACGTGTATAGTCTTGGGGTCTGTCTGCTAGAGCTTGGACTATGGAAATCATTCGTGATAGACGGGAAAAGTGAAGAGGCACATATCAAGGATGAGGACTCAAGAAAAATTCCATCACCAACCCTAGGGTTGACTTTAGACGATTTTAATCAAGACACAGGATCGCCAGCAGAACCAGCAACACGGATAAAGGACCATCTCGTCCAATTGGCCAGATCTCAGCTACCACAACGGATGGGAAATAAGTATACAGCTGTTGTAGTTACATGCCTCACCTGCTTGGATGAGGAGAATGAGGACTTTGGCGATCAAGAGGACATGCGTGACGAGGACGGGATTTTAATCGGTGTTAGGTTTATTGAAAAGATATTGCTTAGACTAAGCGAGATATCAATATGACAGAATCTAAATACCTATCGCGTCGCGGATCTACTCTCCTCTAGCTTCTTGATCTGGGCCTCTATTTCGGGTACCAACGAAACCAGATATTCAAATTCCTTGAGGTTGAGAGAGATGCTATCCTTAGTTGCTCGCAATTTACCGTCACTAGAAACCCGAAACCAACCCCAGATGTCTATCCGGACCTCCGATCGATACCACTCAACGCCCACGTATCGGCGCCTTATATGTTTACTTCGCCAATTTGGTCCGATTAGCTCTTTACGCTAAAGACCGGCGTCGGCAATGCCAGTTGGAATGAGTTCTTGCGAAGCTTTTCCTGATTCGAATGGCATGATAGCGTTGTTTGATGTCTTTGAGATGATAAATTTTGAAGTGCACGCTCATATATGTATTGTGGACTTGTATAGATGTCTTTTGGTTGTGTAGAGTGACCATAGTAGAGAAACCGGGCTCATCTGGATGGATATTAACCCCTATTTATATTATATGGACGAGATAGAAATGTTTCCTTTATCAGTCAATCTTATAGAGTTGATATCTTACTGTAGTGTAATTTTCTCATAAATAAGACGAGTCATATATGCGGTATCACTTATAATACTGAGTTGTCCTTAACTATATCATGCAAAGGTGATGGGTGGACCTGTTGTCTTTCGTAGCGCGCAGACTTTCGGTGCGGCGAACTTCTAAGGTTGAGCTTAGAGGTTGCACTAATTGCATACCTAGTAATTATAGGGCCCTTATCCCCTGGACCCTTACGTTTACAGCACTTCTAGAAGCACTTGCACAGTTGCATTCCAATCCATATCCATGGTAGGTCCCACCTAACTTTAGGGAAAGGACGGGAAAGCGCGGCGCGCATGATCACTAATTTAGGCACGCGGTTAACCAGGAAGCTGCTATCCTTTCTCTAATCTCGCACTTATACATTCTATTTCTGATTTCTTTCCTTCAATCGTTCGCAATTCATCTCCATCTTCATCTCATCTCATTTTTATCATATTATATTATAGAAATCCTTTGTTTCTCTGCGCCCATGAACCATTCCCCGTATTCGGGTTTTAATGTCATACCAAGGTCCCGGGCATAGCCAACCCTCCGAAATTCCAAGTGCTGCCCTGTAGGTTCGAGCACTAACCCATACCAACGATGTCTCCAGCTAGACCTACGTATCACCTCTACACAATATAAAGGGCCGCTAACTTCATACGCTCTATCAAATATCGCGTTACCAATAGCTTTGCCCTTGTCGCATAGTATGTCTCCTGGCTCGTCTTTTACTCTCGAAAAAACGAACGCGCTATTGTACTCACTGGAGTTTGGGTCGATTCGGGGATCAATAGCCTTAATTCGTGCGGTCATCGTCATAACTCCGGATGCTAGCCTCCCACGAGAATCTAATCCCAGTGAAACTACCTCCGCCTGGATGTCTTCCGCCGCGCATTCATAATTGTCTTCCTTCGAATCGGGGAACATGGAAATTTTTCCGTCTAAGGCAGACCAGCTCCAGCTAGGCGCTCGATAACCATCTTGTCCCGGTGGCAACACTAACCAGTTCTCTAACGACCGCTGCCATAATATTCCAATATGCAAGTGACTTTTCCACAGTCCAGCAACGTAAGACTCCCCAGTTCGAATCTCCATTTGGCTCGCTATGCCTGAAATAGCCGGTAATTTATCATTCCCTTTTGTCAGTGCTCTTCCCGTGTAATCTTCCACCATTTCATACCAGTCCCAAACAAACTTGCCTCCGGCTCGGCCATTCTCGGGCTCATAAGAGTTGCGAAATCCTCTCCAGGGTTCTGTTCCTTGGACGTGGTGTATTTCGTAAGCTTCTGCCGATACACAGTCTTCCGATTTCCGTAACTCGCGGCATTCCCATAAAATCTGGTCTTTGTCGTAATAGATTACTCGTCGTGACAAAATCCGTTCCTGAATCACCCATCCACGACGCTGCAGAGGGCTCTCTTTTAAATTCTGGAAACCAAAGATTTTGGGGCGGACCATGACCTTGGTGTATCCGGAGGACCGAGATTTACTGATGGAATATCTAACTCCGACATGGGTAGAATTGTCGCGGGGTATGAAGCAACCAGTATATGAATCAGAAGATGCAGAGGCAGCAATCGTGGCGAAGGCCAATGAGTATATGCTACCCATCTTAGCACTCTCGCTTTCCCAATCGCTAACATCATCTTGAATTATACATAAGGAGTCTATCCAAAGGTATTGAATGCCCAAACTTCGCGTAATCATCACCGCGGAGTGAAATGTTTTAGACAATCGAGCTAACGGAATGCAATTTAGGTGTTCCTCAAGTGTCGCTAATGTTGTTCGGATTACAGCGCCGGGATTAGGACCCCAGCAGTGGCTTAGTGCTAAATAGCGACCAGTCTTGCCCGAGGTGATCCGTAGGCGTGGTTCACCACCTTCAACGCCCACATCCACGACTCTTGTAGGGAGATCATCGCCCAAACATTGGCACTTAGAATGGTTCTTCTCGCAGTCATCGATCCATGATTTGATCATATCTGTAGCATTCTCGGGTGCTCCAACCTTTCTTCCCACAATAATATCTTTAATATTCGAATCCAATTCTGCGGCCGAGTCGTCGAGATAAAGATCATAGTGCCATGAATACAATAGATTTGAAAGTTTTGGGTTTACAAGTCGCAGTTTAAACCCGATCTGCTGGACTCCGTCTTGTGCGCCGTATATGTCTCCGCGAAGTATCAATTGCGAGCCATTTAGCAGAGATTGCTCAATCTCCTTAAGCCGTGGTTCTCCAACTCGTAGCCCTGCATTGCCGACCTCGATCTGGAAGCGGGCAGCGATATCGTTATAGAATAACCTGCATAGAGAGCATGACGAGGCACTTTGCTGCAAGGCCTCGATGGATTTGTAATGGAATACATCTTGTGGTAAATCGTCATCAAAAAGGTGTGAAAAATCTAACCCACCACAGATTGTACATAACTGCATCTGCGTGAAGGCCATTATTGTAACTATAGATGATTATGGCGATGTTTTAGTTTGCTGATGGTGAAGATTTGGGATAAGTAAGGCCTCCTCGTGATAGTTTAGGGGTCGATTGCTACCTAACAGGTCCTTGCATAGCCACAACCACCATCTCCATAGCCACCATTTAAGTCACGACATTAATCATACGAAGAAATTCAGCTACTTTCCAAGGTTCACATACTTATTAATCGAAGGTATTAGTTTAAGTCAAGTGCGGACTTTTTCAAGGCATCACATGACTAAAGAAGTTAGTAGTTACCCCTCAATAAAAGGGGTTCCCTACAACAATACCCCTTGATTCCAGATTAACAAAGGTCCTGATTGTTAACTATATCTTGAATCATCAACACAATCAAAAGCATTTATGGATATAAAGCATCCACATTCTCTTTTTTTATGTAGCCGCCTAACCAAACACACGCAACTCCAAGATACTTATCTCAAATCATCCCATACCTAGTTATTAGCAATCTCTTTCACACCATGGCGACGGGCTATAATAAGAACTGCTGTACACCCCACTTGAGATCAGGCTCATTGGGAGCAGCTGGCCTAATAATCCATCGGTATCGCGATACAGGCGAGGTAGAAATGCTAATCGGACAACGGGCCCCAGGGAACGATCATGCAGGAGAATGGGGTACGATAGGAGGCAGACTTGAAAATGGAGAAACCGTCTATCAGTGTGTGATGCGACAAGTAGAATACAAGATTGGGATCAGACCTGGCAATGTTTTGATACCGACTGCTATGACGGCTGATGACCATGACGCCTGGACTTACACCACTCTATTCGCTGAACCAGCGCCGGGTCTAGAGGTTAAGGAGTTCAAATTGGAAACTAGTAAGATAACTAATGTCAGATGGGTCTCGCGTCAGGAACTACGGAATTATGATCTCCATCCGGCGTTTGAATATTATCTTTGCGCCTTGTTATACATCCTACTACCTCCCGATCTAGATCCCGTAACAGGGGACATCGTTCGCCCGCGTCCAATTGGTCTCCCTAGAGTAAAGAAGTCAGTTAGGTTCAGCGATAAGGTTGAAAAATTTGGGTAGTGTAATATGTAATACATAGGTATATACCCCTGAAAATAAATGGAGTTATAGCATCAGAGACCTATACCAAATCTGCCTGTAGGTATTGTATGAAACTAGATAAAGCCCTAGCCTAATTTCGTAAGTTCACCTGTGATATTATCATATAGCTAGCTAAGTAGACGAAATCCCTAATGTTCTCTAGGTAGCAATCATACCAGTATTTGCCCACCAGTAGTGTGACCTACCAATCCAACCTAGTACAATTTGCTCAAGCGACGAACTCTCCGATACCGAGTCGGAATAATAGTAAAATTCGACCCACACCCCGCATTCACACACGACGAAACAGTGTGTATATACCGGATCTTCCCCCCCTCGACCCTAAACGCATGACTATCCGGCATCGCCTGTTCCACAACCGTGCGATCGAGCCCCGGGAACCCGAGATAGATATCCACGACCCCCATCTCCTCATCAACGACATACCGACGATTGCTAACCGTCAGATCAGACGGTAGACCTAGACTGCACGTATTCCCCCCAGCACCGCTCGTATCCGTGTACGCCCCGCCCTCGAGCCGCGCGCAAGGCGTCCCGAACGGAACGCTGACGTTCACGCTCTGGAACCGGTTGAAGTACGCGTCTCCCGCGGCCTGGATGACTTCCCGACTATCGCGCTTGTCCTCGGGGATCGGGTCCCAGTTCTCCTGCGAGGCCCAATGCAGGTACCCCGTAGCATTAAACAGCCAGTCTCCCTCGTCCGTCACGATCGACTCAATCGTCGTGACTTTATCGCCCGTAAGAAGCATTCTAGTCCCTATGACGTACGGGTGTTCCGCGCTAGCGGCGATGAGTTGCGTGAACGTCGCGCAGAGAGTGGGATCGTGGATGCTGAGGTTCTGGTCGAGCTTTATGGGCTGCGATAGCACGCCGGTCTTGATGTCGAGGGGTTTTTCGTTTTCTGTGTATGTCAGGTTACTCGCCAACGCGGTGAAGACGTCGATTTGGCCGCTGCTCTGGGCTGAGACGTATTGCTCGGTTGCGTTTTTGAGGAGCGCGCGACTGCATTCTGCTGATGCGCTGGCCGCTAACCAGAGACACGTTAGGGAGATCAGTTCGAGCATTTTTATATGGTGAGAGTAAATCGATAGAATCGTGATACGCGAAAATGAAGGGATGGAAGTGAACCCTTTAAATGCAGGTACCGAGAAGATTTTAAGGGGTAACCCTGCGAATCCCGAGTTAGGCCATTGATACAATTCTCATCGATCTGCACAATTTATGCTAATCATATTGCCTAGATTGAACACATTTAGCCCATTCGCATATTGGTGTCTATGTCGGTTCAATCAAACCCCATATTGAAAATGAATAATTTACCTAGTCCTCACCATGTTTACCAACCTACATATTCCCTTGCCGGTTTTATGACAATATAACCAGGAATTCTGCATTCGGGACTTCTATTTAAGTATTCTTTGCTGGCTTTATTTTACTCTTGTAGCCATCATCCAAAAATTGGGGAACGTCCTAATCGCCGGTGAACATCGAATAACTTCTAGTAGCACTTAATCGAACGAGAATCATATCTTCTGCTTCAAGGCATAGTTGGTCACTATACACCCACGCTACCCATAAGAATTAGATATTAACAATCTTCTTTCGATTCCATGGACCAGTATGCCGAGTCGGCAGGCTTTGGTGGTCGTTCGTCATGGGATTGCTCAACCAGGAACGGATAAGTATTATCATTTAACCAATGGCCGCCGAAGTAACCTAACGACTCCTCGTTTCTTTCAGTGTATACATCGTCGTCTATGATAGACTCGATGGTTAGAGTGGTTGATACTTCCGTGAGAAGTTGGGATCCTTCAAAACTTGGCGGGGTCATCTCAGAACTCAACGTTCTAACTTCGGAAGGCCCAGGGTTGGTAGATGTGGTTGGTAGAGAAGCCCTTGACCAACAGCGAGCTTGAAAGGATCGCACCAATTCGACTTGAATATCCTTAAGCCACTCGATTGCCTTTTGCTTAGACCTGTCCTCCGTGAGGTTGAAATTGGTCTCCAAGCCGTGTTCCAAGGTAGCTCGGAAATCTCCACTTATTTCCGTCTGCACGAATTCTTCGAAGTCACTCAGGACATCAGAAACAGATCCGATATGACCGTAATCTACATATGTTAGTATAGCTAAGACCTACGTATTTTATTAGCAATATTTCTGGATCACTTACAAGGAGACGGAATTTGAGATTTGGGAACATCAGGAAATAAGATTGTGTAGGTTAATTTCCACTTATCAAACTCCGACATGCTGGTAAATTCCCTCTTTCGAGATCTTAGTAATTTTTCTTGTGTCGAATCAAAACCACACATTGGGGGAAGTAGTCGTACTTCGCAAGGCTTGGTTTGCCGGCTGTGATCGTTAAGATTATCCTCAATCGCAAAACAGTTGCCACACCGCCTACACACGAACTCTGGCTGGCGGTGACGACTGTATAAGTGTTCTCTAGAAGCACGTTAGTCTTAATACAAGATGTGTGGCTCGGAAACCCACTTCATTCGACGAACGGAATCCCAGCCAGGCCCACGGCATCTCTTCCACTCTTTACCACTATACTTTCTCGAGTCGTGCTTAAAGTAGGGGCAGGCTAGCAGCGCCGACTCCACATTTTTTCCTTTATCATGCCTTGCTCTTAACCGTCGAGAACCGTCCTCGTCACTATCGTCATGGTTATCGTCTTCTGATTTACCATTATTGTTTTCCCCTAGCTTCCTCTTCTTATTCGAGGTCGAACGGCTTCCTCCTGGTAGATTGAATCCAAATGATGCAGGTCCTTGGCCCCTTCGAGAAGAACTCGTACCTTCTTGGGTAGGATTTGCACCAAACTGTTGGACTGTGAGGCCTTCAACTATTCGCAACCCCTTGAGGGAGGGCAAAAGTTGCTGATATTTTTCATCAACGCCCTCTTGCTCATTTGGAATACATGATACTTCGACCTCTTCTAAATCTTCGAATCTTGAAGTGCTGGTAGCTTTAGTTCCTAGATAATCTGATATGGACTTCAAATCGTCAGAGAAGCAGTCAGATTGCTGATCCAATTCATGTGATGTGCCCTCGCTCGAATGGGCCTCTTCTAACTCAGCTAGTGGAGTTAATGTTGCATTAGCTCGAGGAAAGCAAGAGGGAGTATCGAGTCGGGCCACATCACTACCAGGTTGAATGTCGTGAATACCTTGGTCGAGCAACCACTCTTCCGTTCTTTTTTTCCTGTTCTTTCGAGATGCCGTGGATTCGGTTTCGGGGCGTTTTACATTTTTCTGGATGCACTTGAGCACTATGCTGATGTCAGGTGATTGTCCACGTCTATTACTCCCGAGGTTCAAGGAGTCCATATGTGATATCAGCTGTAGCCTGTTAGTCTATATACCAAGTACGACAGAAGCAAGAGCATAGGTAATACCTTTAATTGTGTATTCACGCGTGGAATCGGGCCAGGAGGCGAACTACGTGGGTAAATACCCGTATATGGGCTTGAATCTTCCCGCTCCGTATTATGGTCTTTAGATCCCTTTACATAGCTAAGGCTATGGCGACATCCATCCTATGAAGCCGTTAGAATATTATTGTAGACATTGGTAATCAAGAACTTACATATCCACTGCAGTGGTCGTTATCAACAACTACTTCTCTCTTACCTGGTCGTCTCGATTGTCTTGACCCATTTTGCAAACCCTTGCCATGTTTCATAATCAATAGATTGCAACTATCCTCTCGAGTTAGGGCTTCCTGACAACGTTCCAGTCCATTGGAGGCGTGCCTGGAGTCCCACACCCCGTCTGAAGAGTCGAAAACATCCTGTCTACAGGAACTCGAGGAAGATTCCTGATTGTCGGTTGATATTGAAGAGTTATCGGATATATCAATTGATATCGTGCTTGTGGAAAGAGATGCCCCAAGGGGCGTGGCCGCTGATCGGCTAGAAGGTGGCCCAGGGATTCCATGTTGATGGATTAAGACTGGAGTATTCCTCCTCCGATTTCTTGCCGCCGATTTCCTGTGTACTAACTGATTTATCATGGGTGAATACAGCATTTTCGATCGTATGCAGCTCAGATAAGGTGATCCATGATTCTTGATCATTAAAGAGGTATCAATTGCCCAAGTGTCGCGGATTGATCTGTACTCACGGCAAATTGATCACATCCGCAAGTCAAGCAGCTCGGTTTCGATCAATTGCGAAGGTCGTCAGCAAAATATTTGATTTCTGCACGTAAGAGCCGTAGGTACCCATGATTGGGTCGGCTTGCCTCCAATCATGAACATTAGTAGGTCCTCTCATTTTGCGCATTTCGCGCAAAACATAGAAACGGTCTGCAGTTTTCATAATGCTGCTGGAGCGCTATACGTCCCACTACTAACTTAATGAATTTGCGAAAACAGGGAAAACTCCTGTTGGGAAAATTAGTTAATTGAGAAGATGATAGAAAGTTTTATAAATAAGCCAGCGATGGATAGGTATTTAGACTGGTATTGAACAAACTGCTATAATCACCTTCATAAGAAGCCTGAGTACCAGGTATTAATATATTATTGACCACTGTCACCACCGTCACCACCGTTTCTATATTTTTCGTTTTCAAACGTTGTGTTGAAACGGATATTATGGATTCCGTATCCACGCTGTCACTATCTGATTCTGCAGGCCAAACGTAAGTGCGTGCCGTAAGCTGTGCGTGTCGGCCTTTTTATTAACAGGTAATAGAGCGCGTCGACAAACCGACCCTATCATGCTTAAGCGATACCTTGCCGAAGCTCCAAGCGCTTCTGGAGAGCTCATTCCACGAAAGAAAAAAGGTCTTAAAGAGCATCGAAAAACGATTCGGTCGCAGCTCGAAAGTATTGACAGGATTTTACAAAAAGATGAGAAGTGAGAAGGTTGAAATAAGAAACAACCTTGGTCCTTAGAAGGTTAAGAGGGGGCCAACCTTCCTAGCCTAGTGTGGACCAGTCGCTATTATTACGTGATCCAGTGAACGATTCAATTTGGGGCGGATTATGTAACTCAAGATTAGTGCATAATGGGAACTTTCTGATTACTGATTAAGTTGGCTGACCCTGTTCTAGTACAACACAATAGATCTGAAGTCTATCAACTTCAACTTCATCCTACATTTAAAAAGACATCTCTTCTTTGGAACAGAAAGATAATCTTTTATAAAGGAAGCAACGTGCCATGTCCAACATATTTAGGTCGCGTGCATGTCCCGCCGCAACATTTAGCCCTACAAGGAAGGCGAGATAACCATGTGCAGCGCCCGGTCCCTATCACGCAGCGCTACTCCGTCCAACTGACCGATGTTAACGGAACATGAAGGAGCATTGAAAGTGGGCATTTGCGATTCAGCTTAACTTGTCATAACTATTCAATGATGGCGACGAGAGTATTCTTTATCATATCTAGTACCTAGTACACACAGTAGGTAATCAAGATAAGATTGGCATGTTGCTTTATTAAAGTTCAAGTCAATGTTTACGCCCACCACATCAACAAAGATAGATCTCAAAGATAGATCTCCAATATGATCAGTTACTTCATTTTTTAAGTGAGGCCATCCAGATCCACACAAATAAATTCCTTCCTCAGGTATCCCCACATTCAAAGTTAACCAAGTTTTGGCATACTATCATCATGGCATTCTTCTCCTCACTCAGCTCAAAATCCCTTCTCTCTGGGTTTCGATTGGACGTTTATGCTAAAATCACTTTTATTTATATCCTATTAAGTTTCACGATGCCAGTAGCAGCAAATCGACCTATTCCTAACGATTATACTACTGCAGAATCGGGCAACCCTTTCGTAAATGGTTGGTATGCCGACCCAGACACGGAAATCTACGACGACCTTTTTTGGGTATACCCAACCTCCTCGTATGGCTACGATGAACAGACTTATCTCGACGCCTTCTCAAGCTCGGATCTAATCAACTGGACAAAATACCCCAATGTTTTAACCACGGATAATGTGACTTGGGCTACCAGAGCCCTGTGGGCCCCCGCACCAATTTTCAGAGATGGTAAATATTACCTATATTTCGCTGCCAATGATATCCAGGAAGGCGAACCGGAAGAAGGAAAGATCGGGGGCATCGGAGTTGCTGTGTCAGATAAACCGGAAGGCCCGTACGTCGATGCCATCGGGAAGCCATTGATCGGAGAGTACCACAATGGTGCACAGCCAATTGACCAGGATGTCTTCATAGACGACGTGGATGGACAGGCTTATATCTACTACGGAGGTCACTCACATGCCAATGTAGCGAAGCTAAACCAAGACATGATCTCCATCGGCACCTTCGACGATGGAACACAGTTCAAGGAAATAACCCCTGACAATTATGTTGAGGGTTCACAGATGCTTAAGCGCAACGGCACCTATTACTTGATGTGGTCAGAGGGAGACTGGACTGGTCCTGACTATTCTGTTTCTTACGCAATGTCCAACTCGCCTATAGGTCCATTCAACAAGATAGCCAAGATCTTACAGCAGGATGAAGCAGTGGCCAAGAGCAGTGGTCATAACGGCGTCATCAACGTTCCAAACACGGATATATGGTATATCGTCTATCATCGCCGCTCGCTAAGCGAGACCGACGGTAACCACCGCGTACTAGCATACGATCGCATGTACTTTAACAAGGACGGCACCATTGAACCTATCGAGATGATGGTCAAGGACAACTTCGCGAACGGGCAAATGTTCAACTGGAAAACATCGGGCGGTGATTGGTCGGTGGTAAACCAAAGACTCAACGTCGCTCAATCGGAAAAGGCTTTAGCTGCACTCGACACGAATTTTTCAGATTTGTCATTTAGCGCTACCGTCAGCATCACAGAAGGTACCGGCAATGCTGGGCTCATTTTTCGGACCACCAGTCTAGAATCCGGAGCCTACGGTTATTATGCAGCTATCTCCACGGAGGGCAAAGTCATCCTGCGGAAAAACGACGAAGGAACTTGGACGCAACTCGGGCAGGCGGATATTCTATTCTCATATGGACAGGAGTATCCGCTCAAGGTCAGAGCCATCGGCAATGAAATCAGAGTGTACGTTGAGGATGGTTATGGTCCTAGGATCACTGTTGAGGACGATTCATTCACCCATGGCGCAACCGGCTTGGGGTCTTTCAATACCAGTGCGGTATTTGGCTTCGTGTTCGCAGGGAAATCCTATAATTAACTTTGTTTGCTTATTAGGTATTCCTGAGTTGTAGGTAATTATCAGTTCATTTCAAAATATGTAATGATAGAAATGAATATAACCCCAACCCTAACCCCGATGACTAATACATCTAGATCCTTGACCTTAACCCTAAATCACCCCCTTTTCTATCGTACATAAAATCATATTTCCTCAATTGTGTAGCAATTATACCTCTAATACACGATTGAACGCTAAATCTAAAAGGATAGCTAGGTAGGAGTATTTAATACGATAATACTTGATTACTCTTTGAGGGATGCGCCGTACTACTTCTAACCTGGTAGTTGAGCAAGTTCGGGGTTCCACATTCCGGAACTGCCCAAAATGGCACCTCTACGACACCGAGCTGAGTCGGTCTCGAAACAGAATAAAACCAAGAAATTCCGTTGAACTTAGGAACAGCTTCTAGACTTTCCTCCTTGCTGATTCCTAACGCAGGAAAACACCATACGAATGACGAATTCAATCGCTCAAGAAAGCCTTATCAACATGTAATGGCGTTCCGGCAACTCAAGACCACAAGCACCTACCGGCACGTCACCGCACGGCTCCTCGCTTACACGGCCGGGCTGCTGCTCATACTCATATGGACCTGCCGCCTGATGCCAAGCCACCCACCGCACTCCCCCGCAACCCTACTCCACCACCAGCAAACCCGTCCCAACAGAGACCGCAACGAAGATACAGCCGCAGACCTATCCAGCGCGCGCGCACCTTTCATCGCATGGCCCCTCCGCCGCGTCTGCGCTGAAACAACGTACGTCCCGGGCCTCACCTTCGTCTGCGATAATAACAGCGGCGGCCCCGGCAATATCCGGAACTACATCCTCACATGCATCCGCTACGCCGTCGACGCCGGCGCCACCGGGCTCGTCCTCCCGCGTATTCGCGCGCGCTCGGTTTCGAATCTCGATAACTTGTTTCGTGAGTCCCAGCCTTTTGGGTACATGTTTGATGAACTGCATTTCCGACGCGCGATGGCGGATGCGTGTCCGCGCATTGCGGTGTATGCGGAAGTCGAGGATGTCCCCGGGGCGAGGGAGAAGGCAAGGCGCGAGGGCCGTAGTGTTGAGAGGATTGTGGAGAAGGTGACGCCGAAGCGTTTTGGTGGCAGTCGTGCGGGCTGCGATCAGCGCGATCCGAATAGGTATACGGATCTCTTCGGCTCTGCGTTTCGCGACTGGCTGCGCGATTCTGCGGCGGAGAGAGGATGGGCGCCTGTTGATGATGTGGATAATCCGCGGCTGATCCGGTTATCGTGGGGTGTGTTGTGGGATTGGCCTGTATTTCGCGACGGGCAGGAGTTTGCGGCTACGTTTGGTGGGTTGCTTAGGGTGAGGGAGGATATCTTGGACTTGGCTGATACGATTGTGACTATGATGAGGATAATTGCCACCTCGACAAAGGGTACTGAAACTGTGGCCGGTGATTCGTTTTTCGGTGTGCATTTACGTTCTGAGGCAGATGCTTTGTCTCAATGGCCGTCGTATGAGAATCAGACTAAGAGTTACTTACGTGAAGCTGCGAGTCAGGGGTACCAAGGACGGGTGGCGTACTTGGCCTCGGGAAACAAGACGGAGGCGGAGAAGTTTGGTAAGGAGGCCTTGGCGACTTTGCAGCTTGACGTCAGGTCTAAGTATGATTTATTTGATAAGGGTGACGAGGAACTCGAGAAGTTGGAGGAGTTAAGTTGGGACCAGCAGGCCCTCGTCGATTTTGTCGTTTTGTTGAACTGCGACTACTTCACCGGGGTGAGCCCAAGCAGTTTCAGCATCAACGTGGCGTTGAAAAGACACTTAAAGGAGGAAGGCTTGTATACTCGGCCTTGGAAAGTGGGCGGACAAGGTGACGGGCGAAGCTGGCTTGTTGGGCGGTTTGATCGGTATTGGGAAGATTGGCTCTTTATGTTTGATGGTATGTGGCCTTGACTTGGCAGATAGGTAGAGAATCACGAATAACAGAAACTTTTATTACCCCTATTTACATGTATGACAACAGGACTTGGCGGTACTGGGCTTTTAACCATTACGATACTTATTAATATGTGATATATATCTGACTGTGTACTTAGTAGGTATCTTCATAGTCAAGGAATTCAACTAGCAGAATGCGTTTGCTAGGTAGTTGGTGTCTTGCCTCGTGAGTTGCAGCCAAGGAAAGCTCATATACCCAGAGAATGAATAACTGAAGCTTCCTGGGAGAGGAAACACTGTTATAATCATCTGAAAATTGACAGTTATATCATTTAACTTGTTTAAGATATAAGAATTCAATTCGTCAATTTTCATTTCTCTTGAATTAAAGTCCTTACATTTGGTACCATTCACCTTGAGGAAAATTCGTAACTACTTAAATACCCCTTTTTCTATAATTATTAGCCATGCCTCTACGGAAAGGCATGCGATTTGGCCTACCCATTCGAAACAGGTGTTTCGTGGGTAGGGAACAACATCTCCGCCAACTCCAGCGATTTCTTGTCCATAACGCAGTAACACCATCAGGATCTGAAAACGCTACGAGTTGCATTTTACACTCGCAAAGTGGCTTGGGGAAGACGGAGATAGCTGTTGAATTTGCTTACCGAAACCGACATTCCTTTGACTGTGTCGTCTTCCTCAAGTGTTCTACGGAATCCGGCCTGTCAGAAGAATTCCAATCTCTTGCCGAATATCTTGGCATCCGTGCGACAGGCTCGACGATAGTTGAAAGGATTAAGGAGTTATTCGAACAATCAAGTAAGTTTCGCTAAGACCTAACCGCTCTACCTACCTCACCATTAAGACTATCGTGAGTGCAATAAACTGATTTTATTAGAATTGCGATGGCTTTTAATTCTCGATGATGTTGACTTTGAACTTGACTCCCTGCTCACTAGGGGCGAGTTTGGGTCGATTATTGTGACAACACGGAAAGATACAATGTGTGAACTCGGCCATGCGATTACCGTCGAGCCCCTAAGCGAGAAAAAAGGGGCAGCATTAATGCACAGATATTTCGAGCAGGCGCATCATGGACGCCTCTCTCCTTTATTCAAGGACCAGGAATTGCGAGAAATCTCAAGGAAGTTTGGAAACCATCCTCCGTCTCTCCTGAAAGTTGTTAACGCAAGCATCGACTATGAATCCTCTCACCGGATTCTCCAGGACCTAGATGGGCGGGACGAAATTGCATCTGTCGTTAGAAAGACTTCGACAAAGGCGAAAGTTAACTTCACGGATCTTCCTAGAACCAGTCTCAACCTCCTCTTAGTAGTGTCTTTCCTTGATGGTGACTTCATTTCCGACGATCTCCTATTATCCTCAAGGGGTATCCCAATCGACATCGGCTGTGCCGATCCCTTCAGGTACATTCAATTCCGCTACGAAAAGTATTAAAACTAACAAAATATAGGATGCGAGAGACCATCAAGTTCCTGCGGAGAAAGGGACTTATCTGTCGACTACGAGGTGGGATATCAATTGACCGCGACCTGCAGATCGACATTCTCTGCTGGCTAGATATTTTCACCGCACTCCGCGACGCGGTCTTCTCGTCTGCTTGCCATCTTGTTCGAAGCATGATACCTTCAGCCGACGCACTGCAGAATCTTGTTTCTTGCGATTCCAACAATGTGGTTCGTGGCGCAATTCCTCATGCATTACGCTTATACGAGAATCTCCATCAGACTCCTGGAAATAAGGTAGCATCTTCTGCACTTGCTCTTACGTTTAGCAAAGCAAGTCAAGATTCCTGGGTTAGAACGTCATCCATGGAGGGAAACATAATATTGAAAGCAGCCTTGGCACTTGTTCAGTCATTCCAGTCGCAAAAAGGAACGCGAAATGGGATCCCGAACCATTTCACTCACTTCGACTCCCACGGTCGAATCGAGGATTCACGCGACACAGCGGCAGCCCTCGAAACTGATATCTGCGGTTTTCTTGGCGCCGTCAGCTCCAAAAACGGGCTTGAAGAACGACAGCGATCTATGACCTATCGCGGATCAGCTCTACAAGTACGGTTGAGGTACACGAACATGACGGACCCAACATTTTCAGCAACCCGAGATACGGATCTCATTCTTCAAAATGCCTACTCGGATCTCAGTTTCGGGCTGCTCTGTCAAGGAGACTTCAGTGAGGCGGATCGTGTCATTGAAATGTGCCGGAGCCATTTCGAGGGATGGGATCCCAATAGATCCGATCTTCCGTTTCAGTATGCGAAATACTACCTCGTGAAGTCGTTCACATTCATGGCGTCTGGGGAGTCAGGCCGAGCTCTCCAGTTCTGTCAGCGAGCAATTGATTTTCTTAGACAAGGGCATCATGATACTTGGCTTTTCTCACACTACCAATTTGCCCAAGCGACAATGTACTTCTATGCTGGACAGGCGATGAAGGCCCTGGAACTACACGAAGCCATTCTAGCGGAGAGGTCATCATATTCTCTCCCGGAAGATGATATACGCTATGTTGAGAGCGTATATATGGTTGCCGCGTTAAGTTATTTCACTGGTGCCTATGAGCGCTCACAGTACGTTTTATTTCCAACCCCCGAACCTCCGTCGCTAATATTGTTACGTTTAGAAACCTATGCGAATCGATTCTGGAATATGGATTAGAGAACCACCCCGAAGAGTGCGCTCGACTACAATATATGCTATCTCAAGCTTACTTCAAACTCGGCATGATTGACGACGCAAGAATTATGTCGGATAGGGCACATCGTTTTAGAATTCAGCGTATAAGCCTCGTTCCCGACGAAATCCCTAGAGCGGAAGAACCATTAGCGATGCACGACCACTTCTGCTCCGTCTACACTAGACTAACTAGCAAGTTAAAATCACTATCTGTAGGAAGAGTGGTTAGTATCTTCTAATTGAACGCGATACAGGAGATGAATTCATCTATAACATATAATTTCTTTATTTTCTTAATATAAAAAACATCTGATACGCTTTGTTTTCCTTGAGGTGGGGAGCCCCTTTTATGATGGACCCTTGTAGATACAGAGGGTGCAGCGCTGTCAAGTGCTATAATTTAGTATGTACATTATAGCGCTCACTCAATGCTACATCGTCAGTCTCCTTTTCACGTACAATAATTTCGATACAGAATACTTATTTCTATAGAAGTACCAGGTTTGAATCTCAATGGATTAAATTATGATACTTATTTTTGAAAAAAAAAAAACCCCCCTTTAAAATATACATATTTTCTTCATTTAACATATAAATTCGAATACCTCAGTTCAGTTGATTTTAACGTTAAACTTTTACGCTTATGAAAGCCTCCGGCTATACGTCAGGGCGATCCCACCCTGTATCTAGGGCAGCGCGCTACGGGAGTGTACCAAAACTATAGCGCGATTAGTTGTTGTACGCCTTAAATTTACAGGAAATGGTTGTTCTAGGTTTCATTAAAACGGCAGTTAGGAATCGGAGAATCTTCATATCTACGGACCTCAAATTGACGCAAAAGGTCAAAACAAATAGAAGCATATAACGCATCAAGTCTTCCAATTTCATTATTATGTAAAATACGTAGGCGCATGGGATATCTAATTCTATCGTTACACGTTGTCATCACCGTTGTCCCTCCAAACGTGGGTATCTCCTAGACTAAAAGAACTAGCAACGCTTCCCAACCCGTTATTATTCCTTAGCGGCGTCGCCGCCTGACTACTCCCATTCCCGCTTATGCTTCCCGTGTTAGAGTCAACAGACGAATTTTCGAGAAGTGGTGGCGGATCTTGGTAAACCCAAGGTTGCTCTAGGGGAATGACGAGGCTCGGATTTATAAACCTCATCCCCTTTTCCCGATCTTCGTCTATGGTGCTCATGCGCCTCGACAATCTAGTTTGCCGTTGGATCTGCTCTGGGTCTCGGTCAGGGCGGCTTCCGAGGCCGGGATCAGTAGCCCGCTTGATGCTTCGGAGCGCGATGAACCTCGTGAGTGGGGTAAAGCGGCGTCGAGAGTAGAAGTGATACCAAAAAGTTAACACCAAAAGTGGCACGATAAGTCCTGCGGCTATGAAAGCTGCCTGCAGTACTAGAATAGCAATCATGATAACCTGAAAAGCAACGAGTCCAACAATAATACGACCACAAATGATTGGCCATGCACCACCAGTGGCGTGTTGGGGTTGATCCATCGAATACAGTAACTGATACTTGTAAACAAAGTAACCAAGCGTGAAATAGCATATACCAAGGAACAAGACGATATGTGCGCCGGGGAGAATGCTATAAACCAAGCAAAGGATGAATACAAGTAGCGCAGTTGGAAGATAGAATCCGTAGTTGAAGAGACCTGGTTGAACAAGCTCGGCGAAATCTCGAGGCGTCTTGGCTCCCATCCGGTAGATCGCGTAGAGTGATATGCTACCGAACTGTAAAAGCTTGAATGGGAATAAGCCAAGGCCTTGGAGCATGATGAAATTGAGATAAAAGCTGTTTAGGTCCTGGATTGAACCGGCTATATTGCTCGCAATAGTACGCGTATCTTTCAACGAGTCACTAATTATCGTCCAGAATTCCGATAGCGCTGCACTACCCGAGACTGCGTAGACGATGAAAATGTTGAAGAATATGAAGAAGAAATTCTTCGATATTGTGGAAAGCTCAACTTCACCTTGCGACACCATGCCCTGGATGTTTGATAGGTAATCATAGAGATATGGAACCAAGATGTTGAGCAACGAGACTACTAACGTAGGCAAGCCAGTTTGCACGAATGCCTTAGTAATATCATGACGCTCCAGAAAAGCAGCTAAGGAGGGCAGTATCTTCTCAATGGTGCAGATATTAAGCAGTGACGCCAGCACCGCTACTGGCAACAGCCAAAGAATTGATAGAAATGTGATAAAAACGGTGACTGTCCAAGACTGCAATCGACGCTTATATCGCGGAGCATAGGTATTCTTCCATATCACATCTGATGGGGCTGGTGCTGGTTTGGTTAGTAATCGCCCCGGTCTAGGATCAACGGTGGCCTGGACAGCCATTTGACAGGCGGCAATAGAATCCATCGTGACAAACGCGCAATCTGTTGGAGGGTACTCCTTCTTTCTTGCTTCCCGAATCTTCTCGTCGTGGCGCCGTAACATCTCTTCATAGTAGTCGAGAGCATCAACTTTGCGATTTCGCAACTTCAAAAAGCCAAACCGAAGTCGAATTTTTGGCCTCGCTCTTTCAGCAAGAATGTCTCGTAGACCGCTGCTAGCGAGAAGACGTCCATTTTCCCGCGACTCTTCATCGTTATTCTCACTCTCTTGGATGTTACCGTCTGCGATTTCTGATTGTTGATCGTCAGATACTAGCGCAGTCGCTGGTCGTCGCGCTAGGTAAGCGCTCCATGATTCCTCTAGCTTTCGAAGAAGTACCTCTCGCTGAGTCATTAATCCATCAATCTCAGTCCAGTTGCGACACAAGGTGACACTTCGGACATGTCCAATCTCCAAATTTTCTACAAAATCTTTGATCTTCTCCTCGGTTCTAATATCTTCCGGTATCCCCGTCAATCGGAACGTTCGGTCGGTTATTGTCGACTGAGTGCCCAAATAATCTTGCCTTATCTTGATCACCTTAATGGTTTCGGAATTCATGAAATACATCGTGAGGAAGGAGAAGAACCAGGTGAAAACCATGTATGCCCATAAATAGCTCCAGCTCTTATCCTCGGGTTCGGAGTCTTCCAAGATATGTCCAAGATTTGTTGGAAGATGAGAATCGGGTATTTGGAACAGGTCGATATAGAATGAGTGGTTTCCAGGCGTTTTGCCGGGAGGTGTAGTTGTCCCGGCATCGAAGGTATTATGAATAGGCCAAAGGACAGCAAGAGCGAAGAATAATATTGTAGCGAACAAGCGAAGCGACATTTTGAAGAACGATAAAAACTGCGAGCATATGTGTGAGCGATCTAGAACCGAGTTCATGTTCCCTATATCAAAATACGTACCACAAAGGCATCCAGGCCTGCAGATGCCAGCACCTGCTCTTCTGTCACCCTGTATAACGCGGGTATCCATCCAAAGAAGCTATCGGGGAGTACAGGTAAAGCAATTTGAGGGTCGCTATGTCGTTTTCGGGCAGCATACAGCGTCGTCCACCGAGGTCTGAGGATCTATCCAAATAAAAATGTTAGAATAAGAAAATCGATATGAGGTAACTCAAATCTTTGTGAGAGACTTACACAAAAGGCGATAAAGGCTGAGATACCTAGCGCTGCCGAGATCACGAGTTGGACAAAGATGTCCTTGCTGCCAGGGCCGGCAGCTATCTCGCCGTTACAATAAGGATTATCATCGTCGTCAGAATACATGATTTATCGATGATATGTTTCTACATCTAGAAAAAGGGTGTGCGCTGGCTGAGCCGGAGATGAAAGGGACCTCGAACATTAGGGTCGGGATTCTAGGAGGGCGTTTCGGAACGATGATATTATGATATTTTGAGGTTTCCAAGTTTGGAAAGTTCGAGCGTCAAATTAGAAGCTATAGTGGGGCTCACCGCCAAGTGACGTACCCTGTGCGGTTAGCCTCCAACATCGATATGCCACATTTCATAGTGGCTTCTTAGCCAGTTAGCGCACTATTAGCGTATTGATCATCTTAAAATGACAGGCTTGCCTACCAGTCAGGTAGGAACTAATCAATACCTAGTAACCATGGAGATAGTCAAAGAAAGACGTCACTAATAGAGAAAAGAGGTTGCAAGTCGTGAAAGTTGAATTCAATCTATTTTGCATATATTCATGTTAAACATAGTACGAAGTCTGTAACCCTCATTCCCCCAGCACAATATAACTTGTTTCTATTCTATGCACCGCCCTCTCTCTTCGCATATTCATCCTCAATGCGCTCCTCATACAACTTATCATTCTCTCTCTGCTCATCTGAGACATCTTCGATGCGGCGTCTCGTATCCACGCCGCTACCTCCCAGAGCTCGGCCTTCGGAAGACGTGAGACGGCCTGAAGAATCGTATTCACGGCGCTCATGGTGGAGTGGCTCGCCAGAACGCTGCGAGGCAAAATGCGTCGTGGTACCTGACGGGTCACTGGTGGTATGCTCGGCAAAACGTGACCCTGTGGTCTTTCCGTCACGGGTGGTAGAAGACGAGAAAGAAACAGAGGATGAACTGTAACTGTAGCTCTTGTTCGATGACATGATGAATGAATTGAACATGTGCGAAGTACTTTAATGCTTCAAGTACAGAGTATCAGGCTGATAAAAATACAAGTAAAGAAGAATTTATAATTGCAGAAAGTGTTCGTAGATAATGTGAATTTATGTATTAGGCGTCATACGTCATAGTGGTGTGCTTATATCTATATGCCCAGTACTCCCATTACATCATAGAGCCAATTGCTCCTTCTTCTTGTCATCAAACCTTAGGTAAGTTTCTTTTGCCACCTCTTAGGAATATCCAGGCAGCCCAGGGGAAACTGCATCCATTCCAAAAGTTTGGAATAATACCCACTCAGCTACCTAACTGCGGTACCGGTACCTGGCATGTAGGTAACTTGGCATACTGCACGAAGGGTCCTTATACAAATTTCTTAAGTGCCCTAATGTTTTGCTAAACCCTTCTAGAACCAATTGGAAGTCCCGGCAAGTTCAACGAGGATGTCCTTCGCTCGCCCTACAGGGTCCCCGCAAAGCGCTAAACTTTACTTGCACTACATCAATAGTTGGCCTAAAGTGGATCACTAGAAATAAATCTATGCACCCCCTATAACTCCGATCTAGTGACACAATCTAGTTTCTAACAGCAAATCATACGGAGAATAATTGCTTGGAAAAGTCCCAACCAACGAAGGTCATTCAATAACTAGAATAGCAGCCTAGCTATAAGAGTCACTCATCCTCGTGCCTAGTGAGGATGAGTGGAGCATTCGAACATCTCAAACATAATAGTATTGTAATAAAAAAACAAGATGGCCTTTTGTATCAAGTTACGACAAGTGAATGCAAGACATAGCTCACTCATATAAATCAAAATGGAGACACCAACTCTGTGACCTGGTAGGTTCGAGAGTTGAGCAACTACAACCCTTGCGTGCGGTTCCTAGGTATCCTATTGAAAGGTTATTGCGTTATCAGTTGCTCAGCTCTAAATTGCTTATCAGTTTATACCGGTATCCATCATAGGCATAGGACCCTGAAACTAGCGCAGAAAATCAACTTTACAGAAGCCCCGGAGGAAAATTAGTGGCTCATGCAGGCGTAATTTATGCTAGCTTTCAGGGAGGTTATTGCTAACTACAAGTCTTAGTTTAGAGGATAGGCACTGGCAAAAGAATCCGCCATGCTTTCGACCAATTTCTATTAGACTAGGTATGTAGGTACCTAGGTAAGTACTTTTACTATTTTCTAATCATATCATTAATAAGTAAAATACGGACAAGAAAGTACCTAGGAGTCTATCTCTGAATGAAAAATATTTTCTCCTTTCGTGAACACCAAAAATGACAACTGTAGGTTAAGTCTTGTGTGAAGTCGGCTGTAGACCCTATCACCCTGTTCTCTATACCTGAGCTTTGAGGGGTCCCTCGGCTTGAGCGATACTCGCATTCTCATACCCCAGGTAACAAATACTATATCTTCCGTATCCCGGGTGTTCCAGAAAATATTCCTTGCTTAGTGGTACGGGGTCCGAGATATCTTAGTCTCATCGTGCTTCGTTCCATGGCATAGGGCATCCATATGTATCCGATAATAATCGCACAACATCATATCGTACAGGGGCTTTCCCTTACGATCGTCTAAGAAAGTACCGAAACAATCGGCGACCAATCTATCTCAGAACCACTAGCGTATCCGCTCCTCGGCAAGATACCGAGCTGAGGAATACAATAAGGTAAAATGAGGCTGCACCTATCATATATAACCCCTATGTTTATCACTTAGACATTATCTCACGGCAATGAATATCTGTATTTCCACGTTGGGAGGCCTTCAGGCACTGCCTACTTGTGCTCCTAATCACCTGAAGTCATCACATGTTTGTTTGGACTTTTTACTGCATTCTGCTGCCGCCATGGAAGATTGGGAATCTCTGGGGTGAACTTGAATGGATTTAAAGACCAATTGGTCGCAAAGGTGCGCATGTTTGATTAGTTAGAGGCAGAACTATACGACGTTGGATAACTTAAAGATGGTTAATAGATAGTTGTCTTCTTCACTTCCACGAACAACCTTGGCGCACAAGATAGCACTGGCACTTAAAGCTCTGGAAAAATAAGGTTGGCAAAGCCCAAACCTCGAGCCCGAATTAAAGGATTCCACTTTGCGTAACTTGAAGCCCAACATTCAAGTGAGGCCGTTATACAAGGGCAGGAAAACAGTCCGATCACATCCGCAAGACATGCTGAATAATGAAAAGCGGAGTTTCACTTAACCCTTCTAGAACGAACGAAAATCCTGGTTCGTGCCAGCGAAGAGTAACCTGTTGCAATGGGTTGCCGTTCATTGAAGATTCGGCGTATGCGAATCTGACTCTGTTACTAAGTAAGAGAAGTCTCGGCGCTACTCTTCAGCTGGCATTAACTAGTAACGTCGTAAAGCTGTTTGCTAGAGCCTGAGGAGTATCTTCGTCTAGTTTCGAGGATGAAACTATGGATATAGTCGCAGAATAGACGATGGGACGTTCGTAATTTCCGTATCGGCAGAAGTGTATGAAATGAGTATAAAGGGGCCTCAAACCGGGTGAATATGTTGTGGTTGGAAATCGAGTAGCTCAGCCAACTCCCCTACGCACTGTAAAATCTATTAGCTTCTTAGCTATCACGCTCTCTTGGTTCACTCTTTCAGTTGTCTTTTGTTTCTTGACCTAAGGGCACAGTTACTATGAAGACTATTTACCTTCTCCTTACGGCTCTAGCCCCAATTGCTCTTGCTAAAGCCCCTCTCATAAATAGGGATATTTCTGATGCCATTGTCGATAACTATATCGTAGTTATGAAAAAGGCGGATTCGAAGACTCTTCAAGCACACTATCGGAAAATACACACTGCTTCTCAACGTGCCAATGATGAAAATCAAGGAGTTGTGAGGACTTACCAAGTTCACGGATTCAATGGTTACCACATCGAGTGTGATAACGCGACCCTTGATGATATTCGAAAGAATTCCGCTGTAAGTTGATGGTTTACGCTCTGTAGCAGGATTCTGACAAGCGCAAGGTCAAATACGTTGCACGGGATAGTCGAGTGATAGCACAAAGTGTCATTCCCAACATTCGAAAGTCAGGCCCGACAGCGAACACGTGGGGCTTAGGCCGAATCTCCCATCGTAATTCTGGCATCTCGAATTACGTTGACGATAACAATGCCCCAACTTTTGCCTATATGTTAGATACAGGAATCCGTGTGACCCACCAGGTAACGCTCCCTTTCATCAATGATTGAAACCGAGACTGATTCGAAGCAGGAATTTGGAGGTCGCGCGATATGGGGCCAGAATTTCATCAGCGGATCTCAGGTTAGTCGAATGACCCCGATACCGAGCTCACTAACAGGGAATAGAATGTTGACGATAACGGGCATGGAACTCATACGGCCGCTACAGTAGGCGGTAACACTGTCGGAGTCGACAATAGTACCATGCTAGTTGCAGTGAAGGTTTTAGATCAAAACTCATCCGGAGCCTGGTCCGGAATGATTGCCGGGATACAATGGGGTGAGTTCGATCCCTGATTGGCTGCTTTCAATATAGACTGACTTCGGTAGCTGTGAATGATGCCCAGTCGCAAGGCAGGATCACTCGATCTGTGATTAACATGTCGATAGGAGGTCCTAAATATCAGCCTCTGAACGATTGCGTCAAAAGTGCCGTTGATGCTGGTATAACAGTAGTAACAGCAGCCTGCAACTACGGTGTCGATGCGTGCACGTACAGCCCAGCTTCAGCACCTGAAGCTATCACAGTAGCAGCCGTGGACGAATCTGATATTCGGCCTAATTGGTCGAATTATGGAGCTTGTGTCAACATATTCGGCCCTGGTGATAACATCTATTCGGCCTGGAAAGACAGCGACACATCATACCGGACTTTGAGCGGCACTAGTGTATGTATCATGAGAGCTGCTTCCTTATACCCTCTAAGAGATTATTAACTCTTATTGTAGATGGCAAGTCCTCACGTTGCCGGGCTCGTAACATATCTGTTCTCGCGAGAATTCATATCAGGGCAGGAAGATGTAAATAATCGCCTCATGCAACTTGGAACCCAGGGCAAGGTGCAGAATGCGAACGGAAGTCCGAATTTAATCGCCTTCAACGGCAATAAAGCTGAGCTTTAAGTAGTCTTCAGTAGTTAACATGCGGAAGTAGTAGAAAAGGAGAAATGAATAGGTATATAAATAGGTATACAATATTAGTATGATTACATCGGAATTGATTCAATCCCTGAAGTAATGATGCGATCATGACCATTGGAAAGAAACCAAGTGCAAGTGTGAAAGTTTAGGGTGCTTAGGCACCTCCTAGGTAGTGGAGTTGTCCCTAAATGCCGGGGTGGGTACCCCGTAACTTAGTGAAGACGGGGTAGGGATAACCCCTGAAGCTTCATTGGCCCGTGCCGAAAGCATGGGCACTTAACGCGTCCACTAATTTCAGACGCGTTCGACTTCACATCCATGAACGAGTTCCGTCCCCAAAACACATTCCCAAGACGAGACGAGGCCTTACAAATTAAAACCACCCGTGGTATTCGTGCTTTCCAGAATGTCAGCCCAATCGAAAGGGAAAAAGCAACAATCTCTCACCAATTTCTTCACTCCGAAGACGGTTAACGGCCTATCCGCGCCTCGAAAGCCACAGACCGAAGATGCCGGTACCCCCAGCAAATCCCCCGAAAGCTCCCGCAAGCGACCTCTCCAAGAAGATACTGATAACGGAAACGATATACCGTTAAGGAAGAAAACAAAAGGAAAAGAAGTCGAGAATGAGCATGACGATATAGAAGAGCCAACCCCTACTCTAGCTCTAAGTAGACCGGGCACACGTACGGAACGCTACCTTTATAACAAATCGAGCTCCCACGATGATGCATCGGACGAAGAACCTAGTGCTGCCGAAAGGCGGAAGAGAGAAGAACTGCACCGTAAATTTGTACAAAAACTCGGGCGGCCGGACAGCTTGGCATATGGTAGAAATCGAAGTGGCAAAGGAGAAGACGATACCCAAGCTGCGGACGAGGATGGGGAAGATGGTGAGGAGGAAGAACCGCCTCCACCTACAAAGGGGAAGAAGAAGGGCGCCAAGACTGGCAAGCTTACACCAATGGAGATTCAATTCCTCGATATTAAGAGGAAGCATATGGACACCATATTGATTGTCGAGGTCGGGTACAAGTTCAAGTTCTTTGGCGAAGATGCCCGCGTTGCTGCAAAGGAGCTAAGCATTGTATGCATACCTGGAAAGTTCCGTTACGACGAACATCCGTCAGAAGCACATCTCGACAGATTCGCATCTGCCAGTATCCCTGTACATCGACTACCAGTACACGCTAAGCGCTTGGTAGCAGCCGGTCACAAAGTTGGTGTTGTCCGCCAAGTAGAGACTGCAGCGTTGAAAAAAGTTGGAGATAATCGCAATGCCCCCTTCACGAGGAAACTCACAAATGTCTACACCAAGGGCACATACGTCGATGAAATTGGTGAGCTAGATCAAGGTAGTTCGGGGGCTCCGGCAGGTGGATACTTGCTTTGCCTTACAGAAACGAAAGCCAAGGGTTGGGGCACCGACGAGAAAGTTGATGTTGGCATAATCGCAGTACAACCTGCAACCGGTGATATAATCTATGACAACTTCGAGGACGGCTTCATGCGAAGCGAAATCGAAACGAGATTGTTACATATCTCGCCATGCGAGTTTGTCATTGTCGGCGAGCTTTCCAAAGCTACAGATAAGCTTCTGCAACATCTATCCGGCAGCGCAACCAATGTTTTTGGCGACAGAAGCAGAATCGAAAGGATTCCAAAGTCGAAAACCATTGCCGCCGAAGCATACTCCCATGTCGCTCAATTCTACTCCGCCAAGCTCAAGGAAGCTTCCGAGGGCAACAACGATCAAGCCAGTGCACTTCTAGACAAAGTTCTAAAGTTGCCAGAGCCTGTCACGGTTTGCCTATCCTCTATGATCAACCACCTGACAGAGTATGGGCTAGAGCACATATTTGACTTAACCAAATACTTTCAATCTTTCAGTGCTCGTCAGCACATGTTAATCAATGGCACCACGTTGGAGAGTCTAGAAGTATATCGAAATTCAACAGACCACACTGAAAAGGGCAGTCTCTTCTGGGCACTCGACAAGACTGTAACCCGTTTCGGGCAGCGACTTCTACGTAAGTGGATCGGTCGACCTCTCCTAGACAAAGAACGTCTCGAAGAACGAGTGACTGCTGTAGAGGAGCTCGTAGAGAATGCTTCGACTGCCAAAGTCGACCAATTGGAGCACCTATTGAAAAATACCAAGACGGATCTCGAGAGGAGTCTAATCCGTATATACTATGGAAAATGCACACGTCCCGAGCTTCTGTCAGTCCTCCAAACACTACAGAGGATAGCAATGGAGTTTGGACGAGTGAAGTCGGCGGAGGATACAGGCTTCAAGGCGGAAGGTATCAGCACAGCCATCTTCTCGTTGCCGCAAATCTTGCCAACCGTTCTGTCATACCTCGAACGCATCAACGCGGATGCCGCACGAAGAGACGACAAATATAGTTTCTTCCGAGAGAGTGAAGAGACAGACGATATCACAGAACACAAGCTAGGTATCGCGTCCGTAGAGCAAGAGCTCGACGCCCATCGCAAAGTAGCCGCCCAAACGCTCGGGAAGAAGACCCCCGTGCCCTACGTGACCGTCGCCGGCATCGAGTATCTCGTAGAAGTGCCCAACGCCGAGCTCAAGCGCGTCCCTGCCTCTTGGCTAAAGATTAGTGGCACCAAGAAGCTCTCGCGTTTCCACACCCCCGAGGTCGTGCGCCTAATGTCAGAACGCGACCAACACAAGGAAGCCCTCTCAGCCGCCTGCGACACCGCATTCTCATCCCTCCTCGAAGACATCGCCGCAAACTACCAACCCCTCCGCGACGCCGTCTCCTCCCTCGCCACCCTAGACTGCCTCCTATCTCTCTCCAAAGTCGCCGCTCTACCAGGCTACACCAAACCCACCTTCCTCCCCTCCGACACGCCCCCCACCATCTCCATAACAGGAGGCCGACACCCCATCGCCGAGCAAACCCTAACCACATCCTACATCCCCTTCACCACCTCCCTAGCCTCGCCCTCGCCTCTCGCACACCTAATAACCGGCCCCAACATGGGCGGCAAATCCTCCTTCGTCCGCGCCGTCGCGCTTCTCGTCCTGCTAGCGCAAATTGGCTCCTTCGTCCCCGCCGACTCATTCACCCTCACCCTCACAGACGCAATCTACACGCGCATGGGCGCGCGCGACAACCTATTCGCCGGCGAATCCACCTTCATGGTCGAAGTAAGCGAAACAGCGCGGATCCTCCGCGCCGCGACCCCGCGTTCCCTCGTCGTGCTCGACGAGCTCGGCCGCGGCACCAGCACCCACGACGGCGCCGCCATCGCGCACGCTGTCCTCGAACACGTCGTCACCGAGACGAAATGCCTTACCCTTTTCATCACCCACTACCAGAACCTATCCCGCGTCGCCGACGGCCTCGCCGGCCGCTGTAAAAACGTACATATGCGCTTCACCGCCGCCAAACGCGACGGCATCGCCGAGGATAACGAAGAAGATGACGAAGACGAAATCACCTTCCTCTATGAAGTAGGCGAGGGCGTCGCGCACAGATCCTACGGTTTAAACGTGGCAAGACTAGCGCGCATTCCACGGAAGGTATTAGACGTAGCGGCGAAGAAATCCAGGGAACTCGAGGAGACGATCAAGACGCGCAGGTTAAACGGTACGGCAAGGCTCCTAGCTGACGTGTTGGGAAATAATCCCGACCAACTGGACCATCTTATATCAAACATCGAGCAGCTGTAGGATCGATCAGCTCAACCTTTAAGGACTTGCCTGTAATAAATACGATGGTTTTTATGAGTAAATTCAATGCAATTGTTGTAATAGAACGCGCCGCGAAGCCTAAATAATAGCCATGGACTAATGTACATACCCCGTGTAAAGATAAAGTCCAATCATCAAAATAGCTAGGTTGATGCAACAAAGCCCGATTCATCTATGTATGGTTTATCGTCAAACGCCTTCATCGGACCGCCAACCGCAACCCAGTTAAATGACCCACGGAGTGCCGAATGACAACAAGCACCATGGTAGGTCAGTGAATCCACCATATCCGACGCGAATAAAACCAGACTGAAATTAGCAAAGTACAGAGCTCAAGCCAATGTTATGATAATGTATGAATTCAGATGAATTCCACATTACCTTGCGATGTTGTGTCTCCCAATCACTCTACCCATACCCTGGGATTGTGCGGGTTTTCTCCCGAATCCCGCCGTGATACCGAACTGCATTTAATGGTCTGATAAGTCACTTAGTCGACGGTGAGAATGTAGTCAGACATTGAACTGTGTCAATGAGGAGTCCAACTATGATGTTAGCAAATGAGGACCTTAGGAAGCCCATAACCTCAGAGAACGTAATGATGTGAATAGGGATCTGAGAATTCCCACGAAAAACGTCGATCAAATTGCAAATGAACCAACTGATAAGTCGTCACGTTTTTTGCCATAACATGATTTCCCATGTACAACAGCTTCAGCGTGGTTAATTTGAATTCGAAATATCGACGGAAGTTTCTCTAGAGGTCGAAGTCGCCGCCTCCTTGGGTTGAAGAGTAGGCTGCACTATGCTGTGGTGCCATCTGTAGGGGACTGAACACGCCCTGGTTGCTGATAGGCTGGAAGCTTGTGGCCATTGCCGGCTTTGCACTCTCATCATACGAGTACATGTTAAATCCAAGTCCATCTCGTGGCTGGACATAAAGAGGGTTGTAATTCTCCCCTGGGGCAGAGGTAGCTGTCTGCAAGTAAGGGTTAGAGGGCGCGGCTGCTTGCTTCAAGCCCATGTTTTCGTTCTCCTTTCCGCCGAAATGGGAGGAGGTCGGCGATCGTTTCGCGACGGCATTTGAGGACGCGAACGAAAGGTTGGGGTTGCCCGGTCTCAAAGCGAGGCCTGGCAAGCGGTCGTGACTGTCAGGAAAAGTGAGTCCATGTCCCATGTATGAGGATTGGAGAGGCATTTGCCATGACTCACTGCCGTCTCCGTTTTCCGGAAGGACTGGTGGCAGGATCTGTTCAGTGTTAGCCGGCGTGTTTGCGGCGAAGGGTGGGAATAAATCCCAACCTAATCCAGCGTCCATGTTCAACGGGTCATGGTAAAGACCAATATCGCCGTGAAATCCATGACTGTGGAGCGGCAGCTGTGCTTGTGTCTGTGCCTGTGGCATTGAACCATGTGTAAATGATGATCTGGTCATTCGTCTGCCAGTGTCTGAAGCTCGACGGCGCTCTACTGTAGTGTCATCTGATAGAGGGAGGAATCTGAGCTGCGCGCCCTGTGTGGTTACTCGGTTAGAACGTGTGATACGAGTATCACGAGACATGGCAGCATGTCTAGTCTTCTTTGCAGCCGTGGCTGCACGGGTTTGAGGACCTCGGCGTCTGGGTTTCATTACTAGATCATCCTCTTCGTCTTCCTCTTCATCAGCGTCCTATATATTCCAGTCAGTCGATCATACCAAACCAACTCTTTTCTTCTTTTCACTCACTTCATCCTCATCCGTTGATGGATCATCGTAAACATCCCGAGTTCGTTGGTGGTCAAGGTTGACATCGAACACATTCTCATCCGTGCTTACTAACGTTGAATTTATCTCAAGCTGCTGAAGGACGGCGGGAGGTTTTCGTTGGTTTCGTTTGCGGCGCTGCTCCTCTTCAGCTGCATCAAAGAGACCCATGCCAGGGAAGACTGTGCCTTTGAGGGATGGAATACCTGCGTCGACCTCCTGCATCTCAATGTTGTCAGTGATGATGTCCGACGGGCTCCCCTCTGATGATGCGCATTTGACAGAGATGTTTTCGTCGCTGACACTCTCGAAATCGCCACGGGACATCATATCCAGGTCCCCCTCGTTAGGCATTAACGCGTTAAGCTGATTCGGCCAAGATTGGATAGCATTGTTTTCCACGCCATTGTACGCGCCTAAATAGGCCATTCCCTCATCCGGCTCATACTTAAGGCCTGTAATATCCTGGACTCTGCGACCGCGACCGCGACCGCGGGAGTTCTTTCAGAAAGCATACGTTAGAGTATTCTTCTATAATTATGACATGGTTAGGACTTACAGCATCCCCACGACGGCCACGACTGCCACGGCCGCCACGGCTTCCACGGCCACCGCGACGTGTTGTGGGGCGGCTCATAGGTGAATCTCTTGGGGTTTGGCTTCGTCGGCTCAGCTGCGCACCCTTCTCGCCACGTGCCTCCATACGTTGTAAAACTAATTGCTGGATGTTATACGTCTTGTACCATATGTCAAACTGTTGGCAACGCATAGCGGCAGCTTCATCGATCTGACTGATGATTTGCAAGTTGTGGAGCTCCAACAAGTGCGCCTTAGAGCTAACATGCGTCAGAAGGTGAGAAAGGTCGGAGAATCTCTGCTGCTTCTCGCAAGAGTAACAGATGAGAGGAATCTGTGCTGGATCTCCCTGGTGGACTAGGGGAGCGGGTTGTTCGAGGGGTTGTCCCTGATGAAGCGGCTCGCCACGGTCGCCAGCCATATAGGCATGGTCTACCTGCGAATAGGTCGCCATCTTCTGTAAATAGAACTATTAGCGAATGAATATGTTCCCAATTGATAATTACCGCTTAAAACAAACTTTGAAAAAAGACCGGCTTTATAAATAGAAATCCACAAGCATGGCTTGTTAACTGAGCTAGATAACCCATGATAGAAAGGGGCCAGACCAATAAGTCTTCATTAGATAGAATAAGAAGCCCTTAAGATTTAGTTCATTCTGTGATAAACACTTGTTGGGCTGATTGAACGGAGAAGCAGGGAATCTAGTGGTGTAAATATAGGAGAGGGAATGTTCAATGAAGTACCAGATGTGAAAGCAGTCGAGTCTCCTCATGTGGGATTCTATGAAGAAATAGAAGGGGGAACTGTTAAATCAGAAGAAATACATACCGTTTAATATCAGGATCACGGTCGTGAAAGAGTGACTAATGGAATTAGTACTTGACAGAGATGAATGTAATCTAAGACGCTCCAGATGAGAGGATTCTTTGATGGGTTGAAGGTGCGAGCTGAAAGTTGGCGAGTTGACGGGATGGGGGGTTTAATATTATGGATCCTTGATGCCGGTAGTCGTAGTCGCAAATCCGAGATTCGGATAGGTTGAAGTCTCCTAGTAGGCACTCCGGTGGATAACCTAAAGAGTTCAATATTGAATTGTAAGTAAATGGCCACCCATAACCATCAAATCTTTGGGATGAAAGTCATCAAAGATCTATGCGTGATATTTGGATACTCATACCTAGATATTTATCACCAGCCCGACGCTCAATACTCCGCAAAGTATGGCTAGAACCAAGGTGTCTGATCGAAGTTGCCGAGTCGTGCTCCTTGCAGCTTCCTTTCGGAATTCCTGTAGTTTCCTTCGTTAGATATGTACGTCAAGAAGGCAGGTATAGATGTAGAAGCGACAATCCAGTGAAGGTATCGTCAAGCTACCGTATTTTCGTAGCTCGACGAAAGTGACGCGATATATTGTGTGTAGGTTGTGAATACATTGGGAAATTGATTTGATGCTCTTTATATTTTCCTAGGCTCAATGACGAGAGAGATTTCTTTTCCATAAAACAAGAGAGTGGCAGGATAATGGCCAGAGGGTATTTCTTGGAATTGAGATCATTTAGACATTTGTCTAGAGGTGATCTAGAAGAGAAAGAGGCCCATTTTCTCAAGAGATGCGAGTAAATAGGGAAAAGGGAATGAGGGTGTCCTAGATGAATAGTATTGGAACTTACCTTAGATATTGGATATTCTTGCCATATGAATGGGTAGTAGAGAAGTGTAGATGGAAAGAAGGCGTTGACTCCTAAATCAATTCTTTTAAATTGAAAAAGATAGGGCCAACCGATACTTGAATTGACAATTGTTGAAGTTGCGAAGTAGGTGAAGGGTTGAAGTGGAAGTGGAAGTTGGGAGGGGAGAGGAGAGAGGGTGGGTTGGTATTTCATTTCTCTACCTGTATTTCTAAACATCTTGCAATTGCCAATTGAGTTCAATCGATAATACTATACTAGGTATCCACTGGAGTATCATCAGTTCTTTCCCACACGATAATTGCATCGGTTTCGTTATCATCTAGATATCTCATGTAAGTATCTATTATATCTAATATAGGCGACGGCCGGCGAATTGGGATGCCGAATACATAACAGTACTTACCTTGTAAAAGTGGATACATATCTATGTGCCATTAAATAAACTTGGAACTTAAAATAAAGGCCCTTTACTTTATTAGGAAATTGTCTACGCATTTCTATAGGTGTGCAGGTACTTAAGTATCATATATATCGTCTCTAATTACATAACTAGTAGGTACTAGGTAGGTAAGTACCGAGCTAGTGGGGAAGCACAGCACATGAACGTCGACCTCGTACATCCTTCTTTTCTTTCAGCCCTACATGAATATAACAGTAGATATATTAGTAATAGGTAGCCATAAGACGATCCTAAGGACATAACAACATCCACATCATACCTACCTGTAGACTGGTATCAAAAGTGACTTGTATGTTAATTTTACCACGCCACGTTAAAATCAGAACTATCCCCTGCATTATACCGTTAGTATCCACCCCACTGTAGTACTTGTAAGTTACCTAAATAAACTAAGAAGGGGATACTTGACATGTCGTCTCATACCATAGCGTCAACACATACCTAACCTATGCACTTCATACATCAATTTTCCTGATACCATTTTATGTTGAATACATGTCTACTAAGTACTCAGTACATATGTATCATAAGAATACTTCACATTGAAATACTAAAATTATTATTTATAATCATTATGGTAGTTACTCGTCAACATTTGATATTAGGTACCTGTGTTCCTAGAAGTAATTGGATAATCATTAAATAAAGTTCGAAACGTTAGAATAAGAACGTTAATAAAGTACGAAGGTTCGGGCCAAAAGTTTGGACCATGTGCAGCGGGCGCTGGTGGCTGAAAGCCGTGTGAACTAGAATAACATGCTATCGTGTGGCGTTTTTATTTAGTAGCTAAGCTCCTTAAATAGGCTTAGGTTATAGCGATTACCCACTAGAATTTAGTGAATGGATCGCTATCAAGTAGCGGTTCTAGCCTAAACCTGATACAGTATGAAATAGCTGCTTATCTAATCACGCACTGGGCAAGGGACGTGGCTTGATGGTCCAAACTTTTGGCCTGAACCTTCGTAACTCTAAACTAAAATTTAGACGGTGTGCGCTCATTGATTCCAGGCTAGTTGTAAGCCATTACAATGATTGGCTAGGAATATTAATTTAAAAAAGCATCTATCATAGATGCATCTATTTTCTTAGCCAATGAAACAGTGCACGCATATACAGTCATTGTACCTGAGCAAACGAACCTGAAAAAAAGTATCGTTCGAAAAGAGGTCAAGTATTACCAGCAAATCTCGGTCCGAAAATCTCGAATTTATTACAACCCATATTGATTGACTGCAAGACAGCATTGAAAAATAGCATTGAGGTAACAACAAGGTCAATTGTGGATGTAAAAAGCTTCCGTGTCTTGACTCTTCAGTCGCAATTCCCAGTCGTCGGGGCACTCTCATTGCTAGGTATTCTAGAAGCATCTTTCTTTACGCCACCGGATTCTGACCCGGGAGGCTGGTCAACCCTGTGAAAAGCATGTTTAGCTCGAGAAAGTCGTTTCCTGGGTGGATTGATGAGTACTTACAGCCGTCGATATTCTCTTTCACCATATCAGGAACTTTGCATTGGTTCTGCTGGGCAATGCTTTGAGTCTTGAGCATTGGCGCAGAGACGTAGGTATGGCCATCCATTGCCTTCTGGAGAGAAGTGTCCTTCCATCCAAAGAGGTAATCAGCGTGGCTGGAATAGCCACTAGCATCGCCAGTCGACCATACAAATGGCTGGTTACCGTCGGCGAAGTCTGCGGGGTCGTTGAATGCCCTGGTATCCCACATGGTCTCGAGGAGGATTTGCGGTAGTCGGACAGGGTGTGTAGCAGGGCAAGGTCCACCAGACTCGAATGTTCCGGACTCTGGGTAAGCGACGTGGTCTTGGTGGTTAGGCGAATCGAGGTTCTTTCCATCCCAGCAGGTCGGAAATCTATGGTTAGCCATAATACCGCCTCGGCAGGCCTTCGGGGGGAATCCAATGTATTCCGGCGCTCTGGTACCTTGGTTCTCCATACAGATGTATGTTAGTTGTCGGAACTTCCTGGCCTGTTCGCGGTCACGGAACACCGCATCGCCAACAAGCATGCGGAAGCCAGGCTTGAAAGCCGTGACAGTCGACCTTTGCGCAGTGTCGAACAAGGCGTCGCTCATATAATATACGACCTTCCAACTAAGTTAGAATATCCTCGCCTCGGCTTAGAATTCACCTAGATCTTACCATGCCTCCCTGAGTACCCTCCATACCTGCTTGGTTAATTTGAGGGACCCTCTTGAAAGTGCCATTCTTGGCACGGTAAAAGAGGACAGCCGTCCAGTAATTTGAGAAATCCTCCGTAAATTGACAACTCGTACAGGTCGATAATCCAGGCAGATCATGATCCTCTGGTGGCATCGACGCGTTGAATGAGTTCTACAGCATGTTAGCCACAGGTACAGATCTTCGATACTCATAAGTCTCGTACTCCTCCTATAATCTGGTGAAGATGAGCGGACGGGTTCATTCCCGGATTGACCAAGGGGTCCAAACGTTGGACGGTCAGACTCGAACAACCGAATCGGAGCAATGCATTTGCGGGCGCAAATAGCCCTAAGGCAGAAATAAACGCGTTCAGCTTCATGTTCATAAGGATTGCCTAGGCTGTTAGTTTGGGGGTTGTGGTCAGTCTAGGAAAGGCAGAAAGTCGGAAGATAGTGGTAGTAGTTATGATATTGGCGTTGGTGGGCCTTCACATCGCCGCAAACCACTGCCGCTCTTCCCACACCTCCAGGGAAGACAAGCTTGGTCTTCGGTCACGGATGATATCGACCCTTAATATCAGCAAAGATTTCCATAGGCGAGCTGCTTGACCTTGGATCCGGTTAATGTGGAGAACATTTACTAGTTCGGGACTTGCACAGGAAGACGAAGACAGCAATGGGTTGGGTAGAGATGACAAAAGTAGCCTCTCCCAGCTATTTGGCATCTATGACGTATCAATATAGCAAATATTAAGGCCTGTCCGGTAGATGCTTCTCCCATTCAAGCTTGAAACCTCTTTTACCATGTTTCTTATTGCCATAAGAACATACCCTAGTTCAACGTCGTGATTAATATAATATATATGCAGATGTTTTACATGTAGGTAGGTAAGTATATCGCCTTGTCCTTTGAGATTTAAGGATACCTTGAACAGCTTTATTCGACTTCTAACTAGAACGTAGGCCGATATAAAACCCGGGGATAGTGGTTCAATGAAGTCGGAGCGCCCACGTTCCTCGAAGTCATATTTGGGCCATACCTTACTACCTCCTATTAGAGCGGAGTGACTGACGCCGGTTTCCTTCTTCACCGTCCCCGCACTATAACATACAAGATACTTTCCATTACTGGCAAATGAAAGTAGAAATTCAATTCTTGGTTATTACTTACACATAACTGACATAATACGGGGAATGTGATATTTGCAGTTGGCATCCATCCTCGGCTAAAAGCCTTAATTAAAGCAAGCTGAGAATTTGTTATCATAGACACCACTAGAACGAAAGTATCGTTTTATTCTACTAATATCATCTGGCCCGTTCCAAAAATACACACGATCTCCTTTAGTGTGTCGTGTTCGTCTATCAGAAAACTCACCGTAATCGTTCCACCTTGAAGTATTCTCACCAAACACGCCCTCCCGGAACTCACAATGAAGCTATCATCCACATTCACTCTTCTCTGGGTTGGCATAGCCCTCGGTCAACAAGTACCTGAATGCAGTCGAGAGCTCGCAGCAACTGACGATTGTGCCGATGTCATCAATGCCAATGCCTGTTACAACCAATTCCGATTCAGGGACAACCAAACACTCTCTTGCATTGGTGGCACGGACAATAATGCGAGGGCGAAAAAAGTAAGACATGAAAATATAAAAAGCATTTAGAGAGACGTCAGCTAACTACATAATAAAGGCGTGTAAATGCTGTGGCTGCGTGGGCAAAGTGATGTGCGATTGGGTCACACAGCAGCGGTTCCAATGTTAAGATTCATCAACTCCGAGACTATAAACATGAGAGAAGATAACATATTCGAAGTTGGGAGTATTAGTGAAAAATCCGGTCAAAGTCATCGTCCTTCATCCACTTAAAACTCTCAATAGCAAGGTTAAATGTTATGCCCCGTGCTTCAAAGTTTTCTCCTTCCTTCCCGGACGCTTTGTGATGCCTCTATTCTACCTAGCTAGGATGAAGAGATTCCAGACTTTTTACGGTAGTATTTATACATATTTCTCAGCGAGACATCATTGTAAAAGATCATGACAAGACGCATAGCTCATTCTATCAAATAGACCTATGATTGTTATACCAGTAATAGGTTGTTGGCTGCTAGGTAAATGACAACTCAGTCTGGGATATGAAGCTCGGCTAGCGGTAAGGAATTAGGTGAAGTACCGATCCCCCTAAGGAGGTCTTCAAACAATGTTAAACTGCTAACAATGTATCAACAGGCAAGATAAGTACCTGGAATGACAGCACTAGGTATATCAAGTATGAATGGCGGGATAAGCCTCCTTTTCAAAGAAGAAAAAGAAACCCTGTTTTGGGATGCCCTGTTGGTTACCCGTTTTTTCGGAGATCCGATTTCTTCCCGCATTCCGAATCCGCGGATCCGGGGAATCAATGCCGTACTATTTCCCATGAGCAATCTGTCACCGAAAACAAACTTTTTTTTTGACATCAAAGGCGGTTGCTTTTTTCGGCTCTCACATATGATAACTGGTGAGTCCGAATGTTGATGTCAACGGCTTGATGAAGATCATATGATAGGAAGGAAGAGGATCGTGCACCTACCGACCACCCGAACTCTCAAACAAAAAAGTTTCTTTAAAATTAGCAACCTGCTCCATTAATTCCTCCTCAATGCCTTATTTCACGCAAACCGTCCATCATCCAGCCGGTCAGGCCGGAGATACATGAAGTCAGAAAGAAGCAAAGAATGGGAGGGAAGGATTCGATGTGCGAAGGATGGTCGGCTTGGAGCAATGAACTGCTGCATTATTTAACTCCAGGGGACGATCGCTAGCGGATCAGCAGTAGGGTCTTGCCGGTTACCCAATCGAATTTCACGCAAGTCCACTCCGTAAGCAGATCCGCCTTAATATCTCCACTACCGGACTCGTGGCACGGCATTACTCTGCAGTAGATCGCTGCATCGCCTCGAAACCCGCATCAACCAACAGTGAATGCCGCCAGCCGTAAGCTTAACTTGGACCTACTCTGCTATGTCGCCATAGTCTGACTGCATATACGCCGCAGATATACAGACATCACTGTCAGCATACCCCGCCTCTCGAGGTATATAGCGTATTCAAGTTGAATTGATCGAATAGTTCCGTCTTCCCTCTTTCCAATGGATCTTTTTCTACTCTCTCTTCTAAATCCGAGCCCTCCGAACTTGAAAGTGAGGGTATCTCCGGGATGAAGTTCCAAGCTCTCTTCTCGCTGGCGGCGAGCATTATCCCCCTCGCTCGTCTCGTTGCCTCAGAGCCGATTCAGTATTGCAGAAATGGCGCTGAGACCAACGAGATTGACTTCTGTATGAGCATGTTGACGCACTACAATGCCTCCACCAGTGCTCACGATCTTTTCCTAACTATGAGTGTCCTTCGTCCGGACAGCACGCCTGTCGGATGGACTGCCATAGGTTTAGGTGAAGTTATGGAAGGTGCTCTTATGTTTATTATCTACGGCGACCCGCTAGCGTCTAAGAAACCCGTTGTCAGCATCCGAAAGTCCATCGGTCATGTACAACCAACACTCATCACCGAAGAGGACAAGAAAGACGGAGCTGAGCTACATCTATTACGTGCCGATTGGCAAGAATCCCCTTCGGATCCGCGTACCGTATCAGCGGTAATGTCTGTCGTCTGTTACTCATGCCATCTCTTCCCGGGAACGAAAATCTCCGCCACATCGAAGTCGCAGCCATGGTTGTGGGCATGGAATAACAAGCAAGAATTCGACGATTTCCCGTACGATGCTCATCTGAAAATGCATGCCCATCACGCTGGTAAAGGTGGATGGGGAAATTTCTATGTCGATATGTCGAGAGCATTGAACACGTGGAAGAGTCCCCCGAGTCCACCTTCAATCATATACGGAATGAAAGCCATCGGCGTCAGCGAGAGCCCGGGTATGTCGGCCGCATACGGGATAGCATGGCTTAAGAACAACCCTATACTCCATGTCCATGGAATACTCATGGGAATCGCCTTTTTATTCCTCTTCCCTCTCGGGGTGTTGGCCATGCGGTCTGGCCGCATGAAAGCCTTCAAGTACCATTGGGTCATACAGCTTATTGCCTCTGGTTTCACGGTCGCAGGCTTTGCGCTGGGGCTCGTTCTTGGGCGCAAGGTCGATACCTTCCATCAAATACTTGGCATCACGCTCGTGGCCTCCCTCGGGCTGCAGGGGATTCTCGGCTGGCGACACCACATGGTCTTCCTTCGCCTTCGTCGCCGTACCTGGCTCTCTCATTCCCACATCTATCTTGGCAGGTTCATGATGATCGGAGGCTGGACGAACCTTGTGACTGGTCTCGTCCTCCGCGGGTATTCCCGTCTTAGCGTCGGAATAATGGGATTTGTAGTGGGCTTTGAAGCAGTCGCGCTCACAGCTTGGTTATTATGGAAGAGAATCAAAGCTGCCCGTGCCGAAAGAATGAATAAGTCTAACCCTGATGGAAACAAGGATGACTTAACCAACTACTTCGCTTTGGATGACTTAGATGATGATGAGGAGGAAGAAGATGCTTCGTCTTCGGAAACCCTACACGATGAAGAGTCAAAACCCATGATGGGGAAGTCCGAAAAGGCGTAACTACCAGAGTACTTAAACCTTTATAGTAGTATACGGAGAGCAGTACCCCAGAGTGACTGCCTTTATCATAAATGAAATAACAACCAGACTGCAGAAATGTACAATATTTTGCCGTTCTTTCACGAAGACATAGTGTTGTTGATCAGTTGTAGAAATCTGGTACTTCCACGAGGAGACTGCGCTAACGGTCCGTGCCGCCCTGAGGGGCATATTAGGGTGCTGTGAGTCCTAAAACAAAGAGTCCTTCAGGGCTATCGCTACCCCAATTTAGTGTAGACTCTAGACTTGTAGGTGTTACCTAACTCCTAAAAATCGGCCACTGGAACTAGAACACTAAATGATTGCCGAATTTCGTGAATGTTCAACATCCTAACGCATCCCAGCCCACCAGAAAACGCCACAGTTGTTTATTCGGCGCTGATTTATTTTCTTCGGAGGACACGTTGCGCAGCCCACTTACCGAAAAGTTCAAGGGATAAAGAAATGATAAAATTCCTTCAAATCCCCATGGACTTTTGTCCCGCGCGCCAATTGTTAAGATTAATCATCAGAAGAATCATGCCTTATCCCTATGACGAGCGTAGGAAGAATAAAATGATAGAAATACCAACCACGAGGGGGATTTAAGGACAAACAATATCTCTCAGTAGAATCCACGAATACCAAGACAGAAAAAACCATTAGGTAAAAGATGGTGTCCATGAAAGATATATGAGACGACGCAAGTTTGTACGAGGAAGATACTGCACTTACCTTTATACGGAAACAACATCACAACACAGGTTCGTTACCCCGAATTCTTTCGCTTCCACCTCATTAGCGCGACTAGGCAATATTGACTAATATGCATAGGATACTATTACTATTACAAATTGAGTACCGCGATTGGGGCTCTCGTATGCAGATATCTGCTTGGATACTAGGTAGTAGCCTAGCTGCTAGGCATAAGGAGATGCATGCGGGGCGACACCAAGGATCTCATTCAAATTCCCGTTTATCGACGAGGAAGAGCGCCGCTTTAAAGCTAGCGACGAGTCTATCGAGTGCGCAGCTTCGATAAGATCCCCAACCCCAGAGTTATAGCTTATCTAAACGCGATGCCGAATCATCCCCATCCAATCGGCGTGGCCAATTCGACCTGCTAGCCGCAGATCTTGGACCTGCCCGAGATAATGCAGGGGACGCCGTCCAACCAGAGCCGTCGACCCCGCCGTAAACGGTAACGCTCTAGATGTACGACGCCGGTCTCGATTCGCACGTGTGTTATGGAAAACAGCCAGTCTAGTGTTATCTCCTGACCGGAGGAAGCGAATATCTGGGCAGCATCGCACAAAGTTATCGTGGCCGAATTCGGGATAAGGGTGAAGACGTCAGTCGGGAAGCCTTCGGGGTTTTGAGGACGTGGAGGGGGTCTTAGGATGTATATAAGCTTGCATCGCGCTCTTGTAGGATAGGAGAAGTTTGTCAGCGACAGTTCCAACCAAGAACAGCTTCCAGCACTTAATCGATCACGATATCTAATGGGATCTATACTCAGCAAAGTTAACAAGAAAAAATCCGAAATGGCTACTACTCCCGTTGCAATGACCTACTACGCGAAAGCGTCGAGCGTCAAGCCGCCACTGATCGCCAACGACAATGCGTTCCTCGGAGACGTATCTTCATCGTAAGTTCTGGCATGGATCCTCACCTCGTGTACAATGTGGCTAACTTCATGATAGTGACAAGCTCGACCCCGAGAAGCCCATATCCGCTGGATTTTACCGACTCGAGAAGGGAACTCCGCTAGTATATGCCTACCACTACCATGAGAGTAAGCTTTCCTTGCCAGAATATCTCCTGACATAAGACGACTGATCAAGTATTTAGTGAAAATCATCATCGAGGGTAGCTTCGATATCAGCGACGAGGCAGGCAACAAGGTGCACGCAGTTCCCGGCGACGTCTTCTACTTCCCCAAGGGCTCCAAGATCACCTTCACCACGGAAGATTACGGGCTTGCCTTCTATACCGGACAGCGAAAGGCCGATGACGCATAAATAAATACGTGTAAAAATCAAATAAAGGCGTGGGATGAAAAGTGGCTTGTTTAAGGCTGGTTGATCTATTCTCACCAAGTGTACATAAATAATGAAGATATATACCCTCTACTTGGTTTCTTTTTGATAGTCGAGCGACTTGAAGATTACCTATCAAATTGGATCTAAAAAGCAGTGAATGGAATGTACAAATGTGATCCCAAAGCCCGTATGACGTAATGAAATACGAACAAAGGGGGAAAACATCTGAAGTCTATCTACTCTTGCCTTGTATCCTAACTATCATTTAGAACAAGCTAGTAGGTTGCTTATTGCAAGAGATGGTAAATATAGGTATCAATTTTGATGTTGAATTCCATGAATGCACTCATAGTCACCTTATAACGACGTTGTCTTCTCGATTCTATCAACATTGCATAAGACTCGACATAGATGAATCGGACAGACGTTTTCCAGGAACTGTTGCGCAGTTAACCTGCCCTACCAAATACACGATCTATCGTAGATTTCGGTAGAGCATACACGGGATCAATGTATTCCACACCGGGATACTCCAGCAAGCTTAAGCCTGTCAGGCCGAAGAAAGTGTGCCAGATGTCAACCATATTACCGGGACGGTCTGACAGACCACCCTTTTCAGTATCTTGGCAGCTAAGGGTAAACTTGATAAGTTTCTCCCTATCGACCCAATGCGCGCGGTCAATGATTGATAGGCTGCCCAGTACCCACCAGTTGTAGCATACATCTTCATGCTTCTCTGGTCTCCCGTTGAAGCCGCCGCGGGCAACTTGCCTCTCGCTGAGCCAGCTGCCTAGCTTGTCAATATCGATCAAGTCTTTGCGGCCGGCAATAGCGAGAGCAGCCACGCATGTGAAGATCTGGCCGGAGTGGCTCTCGGCGCCGGGGCTAACGCCATATCCACCGTCAAAATTGGCGCACGCCGCAACGTAATCGACAGCTTTATTCACGTCGACAATGTCCAGTAGACCTAGGAGGGAGAGAGCATTTAGCCCGCCATATAGAAATCGCGTGTCTTCTTCTCCCCATTCGTCGCCCGCAAATACGCCGGTTTCCCGGTTTTGGAGATTCGCTATGACTAAAAGCAAGGATTAGCGAGCTGTTGTGCTCGACGCGCGGTTGACAACGGCAAAAGAAACAGCAAATAAGGATTGAGCTATGCCGTGACTGATTGACTCACACTTGCCCACTTGAGCTTTGCCGTCACCCTTGCCACGCTTCTCTAACTCGTCCAAGGCGTCGAGTAGAACAAGGATCTGCACGGCGCTGACTGTGTAGAGCATGTGTGCGTCATGGCCGGGCGCAGCACCAAATCCGCCGGTCTCGTGTTGACAAGAGAGAACGAAATCTATGGCTTCGTCTCGAGGCAGGGCGTCGGGGTGTCGGAGCAAATGTAGTGCGGTAAGCCCCCAATAGAGTCCGTTCAGGCGAAGATGTTCGGTAAGCCAGTACTCATATTCATCCTTCTTCGTATCTAAGCTCTGTATGTACTTTACGTGGGCTGCTGTCGCAAGCTGTAGCTCGTCTGGTAACTTTTGTATTCCCGACATTTTCGAACTTCAACGTTGAAGGGTCGGATATTTGGATCGGCAAAAGAGGAGGCGTAGGATAGACCTCGAACAGGTGGAGCTGACGAAGGCTGAAAGGTGAATAATAGTGAATTGTAAAAGTTGGCGCAGCGGAGGTAGGCAACAGTGTAACTTATTAAAAATCCTTGGGATGCGAGGTCCGGAGGTGGGGTACCTGCCAAAGGTAATGTGGGGTAGCTCCTTACCGCCTGGCAATACCCTAAATTCAGTTATTATATAAAGACTTCCCACAATCTCCTCCTTCTCAGTCTTTTTTCCTTTCTTCTCTAGCTCTCTTTGCCATATGGCTTAGATCAAGTGTAGTATCTGTTCTTTTCAGTTTAATATCTGAAAGAGTTACAACGTAACTCGCTCATTTATTATACCAATTTTTGTGCCAAGGGGTGCGATTCCCCTGTGCTTGCACATGTTCGCCCCCATTGTGTCTCTGGTCTAACACTGCTTCCAGGTGATGCGACATTCATCTTTTTTTTTTTTTTTTTTCTTGTTTTCATTGCATTCTCAGGGGTTCCCTGGGAAGTGACGAAGACTTGGATGTTGTGTTTAAACATGATTTGCCACATTTCAGCTGTATTGTGAGCGAAACATATAAATGGTGTGTTATCAGTATCCAAGCTACCAAATTGACTTGACTGCTATAAGTTTATAAGGGGCAAGGAGTTCCTCTGACACATAAAAATACAACAAGTGCCATGATTACCTTTAGCTTTACTGGCAGTCTTGCTTTTATTAAACTGTTAAATAACACTCGAGTTTAATTTCTGTATTGAACTGAACGCCGTATATCGTTTGTCGTGACATAACAAATCCCCAGTGTTGTCCTGATAGGACAAATAGGTGAACTAGTTCCTGTCAAACAACTGCCGTTCGTCAAAAGAACCTCGTACAATGGGAATTGTGGGATTACCTGCCCAGGTGTATAAAGCATGGGCTTCGTTGTTGTAAGGGGCAATTCCATCGGTGCCGCACGTATGACAGTATTATTCGGCCGAGGGAAGATATGTTTAGAAACATGAAGCCGCTACCATCGGACCATACATTTCCCCTTATGTGGAGTTGTGAGAATACATACCTAGCATAGGTCTTTACGAGATAAAGATTTTGTTACCGTCACGATATTAATAACAGCAAACATGTTTGCACCATTCAACGTTGTAATATATCTCATGTAAGAAACCTAAATATCTCATGATATTCTGAAACGTTAAGCTTCTCAACTAAAATTTACCATCGTATGTGTGGCCAGGTATAGAAGTGTCTAGCGCTAAGATGGTACAATATAAAGATACTAGTATATAGTATGTAGTATGTAGTTGTAGTTGAGATATGTATGTAGGAGGTAAGGGAAAAGCGGGCAAAGGTGGAGAGAATGGTTGTGCGTGGCAGCTTGTTTCAGATTCCAAAATCTTGTTACGCGCCTTCGCCAGATGTAGTGTGGACCCGGGAGGTCCGCCTGGCCATTGAAACTTCGATATTATCAGATCACTCGCTTCGAAGTTCGGGGCCTGTATTTTCTGCATGACACCAATGTCATCTTTCATCTATTACCTGAATACTTTATGTGATATTAATACCCAGGGTGCACATGCACCTAGGTAAGGACTATTGGATTTTGATATATTTCCTTGGAGGTAGGTAAGTAGGTACATTGATATGTATCAAATTGAAAATCTCGGTAAGTCAAGGGGGGGTGTTTTCGGATGCCCTTAGTTATCGGCTCCCTGCAAGGCTTTAGCTGTTTCGGGTATGGCGGGGGCCGCTTTGGGTATAACACGGTACATTCAAAAAATGACAAGAAGGATGCTAGCTCATGATTGGCTAAGAGTGTCCGAGTCACCACTTTGAGCATAGCTTGGCCGGACTAGCAAATTAAGCTATCCTCTAGCTGTAAATAGGCTTAGTCGCTTGGCTGGCTTTATCCTAATTGGCCAGATATAGTTAGGGTCGGGCTCGGATTAACTTTCATTCGTTTAACCGAAGCGCTAACTACTTTAGGCTTCATAGTTAACTTATGTAATAGCTACAAATATATTAATATTTGAAAAGTAATAATTTAATTGGTTAATAAAATTATACTTTTATACATCTTTATGAATTATGAAATCAAATCGTCCAATTAGAAGACTTTGTTTCCACAAAAAACCTATCGATAAGAATAAAATTGGTTGATTGGTTCAAAACGGTACATCAGACTCAGTTTCCAAAAGGTCTGCGCCATACCCGAAACAGCTAAAGCCTTGCAGGGAGCCGATAACTAAGGGCATCCGAAAACACCCCCCCTTGACTTATTAGGTATGCGTGTTTAGTGAACTTGTTCTGCAGCTCGAACCGCTACGCATTGAATTCCTAGTCTACTATCTCCTTTCGATAGTCACGTAGCAAGTACCTACATGTAGTATTTAGTTTAATACTCGAAGTAGGTACCTATCATGAAGTTAACAATGATCGGATACCGCGGCTGTGGCTACGGGAACTTTGCGATTGCAACTGTTCAACAACACTATCGAATATATCCGAGTCACGATCTGTTTCAATGATCATCACTCCACACCGAAAGTCAAGATGGTGTTGATTTCGTTCCCCTATTGTACATTTCTATGCACTTGCTAGGTAGTAAAATACCAAGCTTAAATGGGTCGCTTTAATATAATTGTTGCCTGTACGAAGTACATGCATGTACACGGATATCCATGGAATATCTGTAAGAAATACAGATTAGGTATAGCTTGTATTGATGTACATTGATTACGATTTGACCCCTGAGACTTAGCGCATTTCCAATCGTCAGGCACGGGCGACATTGGATAACTGTAGGGAGGACCTGGTAGCCAGTGGTAGGTGCCTACGGTTTCGGTACCTTACTACAGTGGTTATCCATGTGGGATATCCATTTATCCCCTGTCGATGCTTCCCAGACTTTCAGGACCCAAAGTCTCATCGATTCGTCAAACCAATTCCAATCTTGAATATTCAATTCAATTCTTTCCCCTTGGAAAATATCAAGATTGGATATTGGGTTGTTTATTTTTTCTTTCGTAAGGCATCACAAAAAAATAAAAAGATTCTTAACTTACTTAATTGTACTATACCCTATACCCTGCAACATCTCTTTATTTTTCTTATTACTTCCAGGATACGTTGGGATATCCTTAATCAACCCCCTAGCCTGGCGCCTCCTGTCGCAGGTTCACCACAAAGTCCTGCCCTATCTCACTTTACTAATCCTTCCTACGAATCAGTTTCGATACCCCGATACTTGATACCTGATACAGCATTCCAAGGCGCACGACTCATCCTGTCCTCCTGCGGCATACAGCGAATCAGGTCTTTCCCTGTTATTCCCCGATTCGTGTGTTTGACGGAGGACAATAAGGGGAACACATACCATCCATAATGCGCCGAAAGCCAGTTCCCAACCCGCTGTCCCTGGCTGGCGATTCGGATTCCTTGGGCGATCAATCTGCAGCCAGCGCCATCGCCAGCGCCAATGCCAGTGCTAATAACAGCGCCAATAACAGCGCTCGCGCTCTAAACTACCCCGATCAAAGCCTCCTAGGGACAGAGAGACTCAGCCCGCGTCCGACTCTCGGTAGCGATTCCAGCCTGCGAGTTGTCTCGCCGACGTCTTCGAGGTCGCCCAAATCACCACGTTCTCCCTTTGTTAGCAAGTTCAACACGACCACGCCTAGGAAACCCGTCCCGCAACAAAACCAAGCTTACCCCGTCGATTCTCACCAGCCACTGCATCCTCCCGACGACGTGCATCTCGCTCAACATCGGCGACGCCAATCTCCCAATCGCCGCGAGCCTGAATATCCACCTTTAGCTCTCCTTCCGTCGTCAAACACGACAAACACAATCACCACCACTACCACCGCCTCTACCGTGCCGGATACATGTTCCCATCCCGAGGTCGAGAAGCACTCGAGGAGTGGTAGCCGCTTTTTTAACTTCGGCAAAACCTCGAGGTCTGCCAATCAGCTTTACCCTACACACAACGATAGTGCCAGCGCGGGCGACGCTATGTCCCGCGGGACAGAGAATACCATTATGTCAGATAGAGGGGCGTCGAGTAAAATCTCCAAGAATTCAGGTACGTTTGACTAAGAGTTCAAAGGAATTGTACCTCCGTATTATGTCAGTCCCATGATACTAACCCTTTGTTTCGTTACAACTAGACCTATCCTCGTCTGTTGATCTTTCAGCTCAGAAGTCAGGCCATTCTTTGCCATCCAGATCTGACGTTTCGTTGACGTCGACCAACGAACAAGAGGCCAATTCGAAGAAGAATAAACCGAAGCCTTTCACACTAATGGGTCGCAACAGATCGCTGAAGGATAGGGATGGACATAGCCCAAAGGAATCGATAACAATCAAATTGAGTGAACCGGAGCGAGAGAACAACTCCTTAATGGGTATGCAACCTTTGAGGACGGCACCAATGAATGCCGATGGGCACGAGAGGTCTTTTAGACACATGATGAACTCGACAGTACGGAACCATTCTGCCGACCGCGCGATACCCCGGGACACTTCAGGGAACAAAGACCACCGACATGATAAAGACTATTATAGAGGCAACCCTTCCTCCCTCAGCAACAATAATAACGCCAATACATTTTTTAATGGTCTGAAAAATTCCGGTAGTCGAGCAGCCGACATGATCAGCAAGGGCTTATTTGGAAGAAGCGGCCGTAGTGCCAGTACATCTGATAGGGAGTTGGCAGTTGATGACGAGCATTACGTTTTGAAGGTTATCAACTTGCCATTGGTCGAACAGACGAGAATGACGAGGATATCTAAGCGGCTCGAAGATTCCCGCGACAAAACAGAGTTCTGGATGCCCGCCTTTCCCTGGCGAGCCATTGATTATCTCAACCTAAAAGGAACCGATGTCGAAGGTCTATATCGTGTACCCGGGAGTGGTCCTCAGATTAAGAAGTGGCAAAGAAAGTTCGATGAGCGTAAGAATTTCATCCCCTGTTCCCTTGATTTATATGACAATTTACTGATATTTAACAGAATATGACGTCGATCTATTTGCCCAGGACGATCTCTACGATATAAATATTATTGGTTCTATGTTCAAAGCCTGGTTACGCGAACTTCCCGACGAACTTTTCCCGAAGGAAGCTCAAGAGCGAATTTCTCGCGAGTGTGCTGGTGCCGAATCCGTACCTCAAATGCTCATCGATGAACTTTCTAATCTGTCACCATTCAACTACTACCTGCTTTTCGCCATCACGTGCCATCTCAGTCTACTTCTCGCGCATTCCGATAAAAACAAGATGGATTTCCGCAATCTTTGCATATGTTTCCAGCCCTGCATGAAAATCGACGCATTTTGCTTCAAGTTCCTCGTTTGCGATTGGAGATTATGTTGGCAAGGATGCAGGAACGAAGCTAGATATATCGAAGAAGAATATCAACTATTTCAACAACCGCTGCCTCGAGGGCTAACTGCGACACCGGATTCACGAAGTCGTAGTGGGGCCAACACTCCGGATGAACGAAATTTATCTTCGTCGGACAGCAACAAGCTATCAGCGCCTCCTATGGAACAACATAATGGAAAACTAAGAAAGAAACCAGGGACAGGAGGCCAAACAGGAGGCCAAACAGGAGGCCAAAACGGGGGCGCAGTATCGAACTATCCGGTTATGGCACATTCAAATTCGCTGACGGTCAATGGCGAACAAGACATGCCGCCACGGCGATCCGGAGAGCGAGAACTGCGGCCGCTGTCGCCTATAAAACCTCTTTCCCCGATGAATTTCTCTTAATTTGGCCACTTAAATCTCGGCATACGCAGTTGGAGAATAAGGATGGGTTTTAATCCGGATCTGATGATACCTTTCTTTTTGCTTTGTCTTGATAATACCCCCCCAGGAGATGAATGTGGTGCATATACGGCATTTGGCCTGGCGGTCCTGTTTTTTGACGACATTACGCTCCGTTTACGATTTCAACCTTTTGTTTTTTTGTTTCATATCTTAGCGCTCTACAATCGTCTAGCTCGAAGCTCGTCCGTTATAGGCCGGTAGTATGCCAATGCCTTTGGGGGTCTGGTGGTGGTAAATTAGAATACTTGGGGAAGGTAGTGTAGGAGTGTGGAGTGGAGTGGTATCGTGCTGTCGCTTGCGAACAACACCATCTGTTTTTTTTTGTTTAATTCTGTTCCTCGACGTTCGACCTTTTGGAGATCTGGAGATATCCTCATACCCCGACATTGATTCTAGGATACTGGTGCGGTGATGTCTGTGGCGGTTGTGTAGAAGCATAACCTAGAATTTATTCTCAATACACCTTTTGCGTGTGTTTTTGAATAACGAATTCCTACTTGGCTATAGGGTGAAAGCTACGCGCAAGGTGGATAGAGTGCAGCACAAACGTAGCGACGGAGTTTGGAAAAAAGCAAGGGACGGGAAAAGAATCTGTACCATAAAGTTACCGGAAGTTCCGCAGTTGCCAATATAAATATGTGCCTAGTCCGCAAAACCCCGTCTCCGCGTACCGTGAACGCCCGAACGCCTGCCTCTCCGCATCGTGATCTGTTATGCGCGGGTATCAACATCGTAGTGTCCCCAGCCAAGCTGTCCCCTCCCCGGTCTTTTCCGTGACATGCCATCCCTACAATCCTATTCACGGAACATTCATGCCTTCTTCCTCCGCTTCTTCTTATCCTTAGCCTCCTTCTCCTCCCGTTCCTTCTTTTCATCAACCTCGACCACCCAATCATGCGGCACCGCGCCCTCCGACCGCCGCTTCTGCACGCCGCCTTTGTCGTAGCCCCATGTGCGCTCCCACTCGCCTGTCTCCTCGTTGTATGTCTTTGACTTCGCACGTCGCTGCTCCCGCGTCTTCGGCTTGATTCCCTTGCGCGCGGCGAACTGCTCCCATCGTGTTGGCTCCTTCGGTGCTGGAAGCGGTTTCTCGCGTGGTAGCGCTGTGGTGGGGGCGGGGAGGGTGAGCAGGACTCCGGAGGTGCTGGTGTTGAGGGGCAGGGTGCTGAGGAGTTGGTTTATTAACGCTTGTGCGCCGTCGCGGGCTGTTGCTGCGAGTTGGGATTCGAGGTCTGAGGAGGCGGGTTCGGTGGGCTCGGAGGTTGAGAGGGGGTTTGGGTCGTTGGCGAGGAGGAGCCCGAGGTCGAAGGTGTAGGGTGTGGGCTTGGTGACGGAGACGTCGAGTTTGGGTTTCGAGGTTGTCGTTGGAGGGGCCATTTTGATTGACCCGGATCGCAGAGTTGTTTGTAGCGTGCCAATTGAGAGTGTCGAGTTTAACAGTAGATGTGTTTAGCGGTTGTAGTTGTGTGGTTGTTTTGACTTTTTAACGGCGCACCGCCAGGTTGGATGTTGTATGTTGCAATAATGGTAAGTGAAATAAATGGATGCGATGGTTTATTGAAGAAAAAAAAGTTCCTATTGATCCTAAGAAAATTTAGGTGGACCCCTAGAAATCTAGCGTTATCAGTTTATCGATAGTGGTCGGAGGGCTGGTTTCTCCGCTGTACCTGCCCAGATCCATGGGTGCTATTGCCCGCACCGATTGGACGGTATGTACCTATCAGAGGGGCAATTACCAAAATTTAGTTGGGTCCAATTCGCGATTTTGAGATCGAAGCTATCCATATTTCGTCCATATTCGATATTCGCAGAGGAGCTCGACTTCGATTCCCACCAGCAATGGCAAGCGCTAATTGCTGGAGGTGCCTGGCACGGCCCTCGCAGAGGATCACTTTGCCTACCTCCCTATTAGCGACATCATCACCAGCAGCACCTACGGCGGCTTTCACGACTTCGGCTACGCAATACACAAAAGCAATGCGGCCGGCTCCAAAGAGCAAAGCTAAAGTCGTTGGTGATGGCGGTATGTCGAGACATATCCGTGCTGGAAAGATGTTGATTTTGAATTCCAAGAAGAAACGAAGTCCGGATAAATTTAAACCACCGGCATCGGGGGAACGAAAGGCTTTTCGAAAGCGTATCCAGCTCACCAACGATAATGCGCTGGAGGTGAAGGGCCTACCGGAACTTACGGCTGAGAATATCATAGACTCCGAATCCGTAGGCAAAGTGATCGGCTTCCCGGGGGAATTGATAGATCAATTAAGAGCTAGCGAGGCCTTCAAAGCGACACAAAACTGGAGCCTGTTTCGATCACCGCATTTGTTGGTTAGACAAGAAACGGTCGACCTAGCGAAACAACTTACAGAGGCTGCTAGCAAGAAAGAGACGTTAAGATTGGTGCTTAATGGGGAGAGAGCGGCTGGAAAGAGTATCCTTGGTCTCCAAGCACAAGCCGCCGCGTTCTTGAACAAATGGATCGTCATAAATATCCCAGAAGGTAGGTTAAGCTATCGCCAGTCCGATATAATCGATAAACTAACCACTCTTCCTGCGATCAGGCCAAGATTTAGTCACAGCAGCAACCGAGTATGCTCATATACCCAATTCCGAGATGTACTCGCAGCCCACCTACACGATCAAGCTCTTCCAAGCCATCTCCAAAGCCAACCATGCCGTGCTTTCGCAACTCAAGGTCGAGCTGGACCACCTGCACCTCCCGATCTCGGTGAACCGCGGCACGTCGCTCGCGGCCCTCGCCACCGCCACCAAGGAGCCCGAGTTCGCCTGGCCCGTCTTCCAGTCCTTCTGGAGAGAACTGATGCAGCCCGGCCGCCCGCCCATCCTGTTCACCCTCGACGGGCTCAGCCACATCATGCGCGTCAGCGACTACCGGACCCCGTCCTTCGACCTGATCCACAGCCACGACTTCGGGCTGATCCGGCTATTCACCGACGCTCTCGGCGGCAAGTCCAAGTTCCCTAACGGCGGCGCCGTCCTCGGCGTCTGCACAAAGGGCAACACTCCCATCCTCCCATCCTTCGAAAAGGCGCTAGAGCAGGCCATCGCCGCCCGCGACGGCCAGCCCCTCCCGCCCCGCGACCCCTTCTACCGCAAGTACGACGAGCGCGTGTTCGAGGCGATGAACGGCGTCCAGGTCCTCGGCGTCCGCGGCGTGTCGAAGGCGGAGGCCCGCGCCCTCATGGAGTACTGGGCCGCGAGCGGCATCCTGCGCATGCGCGTCGACGAGAAGAGCGTCAGTGAGAAGTGGACACTAGCCGGAAGCGGCATACTCGGCGAGATGGAACGGGTTGCGCTTTATGATGTGCGTATGTCGATGTAAAAAAGGATGGGGGGATAATGAGGGATCGGGACTTAGGACTTGTAAATCTGTATAAAGAGTTAAACATATGTGTCTATGTCTATGAGATGTGTGAGGTGATGACTGTTTTGGTTGAATGGTGATTTGTTTTAGGATTTGCTGATTGGTTGAAGCTTTGTTCCTGTAAGACTGAATTTTAGGTGGTTTATGACCAACTAGGTACCTACCTAGCGAGAAATGTGTATAATACAATGACTCTGGTTTAAATTGATTGTGTACTTAGGTAGGTAAGCCAATATAGAGAAATTTTAATTATAAATGAAGGTCGAAATTAACATCAACTTCATCGTAGGATATAGAATCAAGTATCGTCGGTACATAAGGGGGACTAGCCCCTGGATCTCTCCCCAGCAATGATACTAGAGCCATAGACTTTTATGCTCATCAATTTTAAACAAAGTCCATTTGTGGTTTTCGCATCATACTAATAGTTTCATAGTTAACACATCCATGGGGTTTATCATTTTTAAAAGGTTTCTTATTCCTAATCTAGATCAAGCAACCCGACGAAGAGGTCGGTGGAATAAACAAACGTCTCTAGCATAAACACCTCATTCATCATCTTCGTGCTAATCGCGATCCCGGATCCGTAACGCCGTGGCTCGTTTTCACCCCCTTACTTCCACGCCATGATTCATTAAAGGACAAGAACTCAGTATGTCCTGACTCTCATATCGGCATATGCAATCGATTTCCTTACTCATCATCCTCATCTCCAGCATTATCAGTCGCGGCGACAAATACCAATCTACTTCCATTGCCAGCGGTTTGCCAGACCTATTTTTCTATGTCAGTCATTTGCATTCTCTAAGGAGGTATGAAAAGGAGGAAGACGGTAAGAAATATTTGAGTACTCACATCAAGGTTCGCGTATTCCTCTAACGCAGCTATCCATTGATCTTCCGTAAACCCCTTGCCCAAGACACGTTCGCGTACCTTGCGCAGGCTCAGCTCTACCGTACCCTCCTCGCCGTCATCATCGTCATCATCAGCTCTACACGCGCCGCTATCTGCTAGCGATTTGACCAAGTTGTAAATACGGCTAGCAGCGTTGAGCGTCCTTCTGCTACCTGCGCCTTCGTGCGCCGCGAGACTTTCCTTGCTAGCTTCCATCAATCTTAGCGCCTCATCTACATCGTCACGGTTGACCTCGGTATCGAACCGAAGTCGGGCTAGTGCTTGTGCTAAACGGACTACACCTAGTAGCGTTCGAGGGGTAGTGTGGCTAAATTGTTTGTTCTTTTTCTCGGCGCGGCGCTGGGCATCACGTAGGCGCACGTACGTCTTGGTTAGGTACTCTGTGACGGTTTCTGGTACGGTTGGTCGGTATGTGCGAGCCTGTGCTACATACGCGCGCACCTCGTGTGGGGTGAACACAATATTCGGCTGCTGTGCTGCGCCGTCGCCATCGTTGGAGGTTGCGTAGAGGTCGGGATGTTTGCTATGCATGTGAACGTATGCTACGTGTTTAGCCAACTGTGCGTCGCTTTCGCGGGTTGGTGTATCAAGTAATAAGAACAAGACATCGAAACGTGAGAGCAGGGCTGCCGGTAAATTAATATTCTCAACGGGTGATATGCGTGGGTTATAACGGCCGTAGATAGGATTGGCGGCGGCAAGGATTGAGGTTCTGGCGTTTAGAGTCGTCGAGATACCGGCTTTAGAAATTGAGATAGTCTGCTGTTCCATGACTTCGTGGATGGCGGTACGGTCGTTTTCATCCATCTTGTCGAATTCATCAATACAGCAGATGCCATTGTCGGCTAGAACTAAGGCACCACCTTCGAGTACCATCTCATCAGTTACAGGATCGCGCATTACGGCAGCGGTAAGACCGACACCACTGGAACCACGACCCGATGTGTAGACGCCACGGGGGGCAACCTTAGAGATATACTTCAACAACTGGGACTTGGCAACACCGGGGTCACCCATCAAGCAGATGTTGATATCACCACGGATCCGCATGCCGTCGCCCATCGTCTTCGTGACACCACCAACAAGAAGTAAGAGAAGAGCCTTCTTGACATCCAAGTGACCAAAAATTTCAGGAGCAATAGATTTTGCTAACATCTCATATACAGTACCCGACTGGCTAAAAGTGTTGATACGTCTCAGCAGCTTGTCATCAATTATCATCTCTTCATATGCCTTCTTGTGCTGGACGATATGGTGTGCTTCGACATATGTATCGGTCAGAAGACCAGCTCGCATCGCCTGAAAGCCGGTGTATGGAGTAGGGAGGAAAATTCCGGAAATATCCACAACATCTCCGGGGCTGATTTGGCGGACTGCGCTTCCGTAGCACATGACAGTAAGAGTTCGTGGAATTTGACCAATAGGTACTTGCTCTGCCAATTCTTGAACTTTAACTTCCTGGAAAGGTAGAAACTTGGATGCGCGCGAGGACTGGAAGAGTTGGCCCTTGGACTGGTTTTCCTTGCATTCTTGTGATGGGCAGCTAGTAAGGGGCGCAAATTGCTTATCATTGACAGGCTGGAAGATCTCGCATCCGCAACGATCACAGGTATATGCGCCGACTTGTACGATAGGCTTCACATCTGAAACTCGGGTTGCAATACCACGAACAGTAATAAGGTGACCGAGGTGGTCTCCTCGTACTTGTCGAACAGCGAGTGCTTTCACTGGTTTCTCGCTGGTCGATGTCCTCGGCTTGAAAACAAGCGTGTACCGTCTCGTGAGCTGAGAGGGAAAGGTAGACTCGAGCAATTCCGGGTTGTTGTTGTTAGCAGCAGCCTCGGCAAGGTCTCGGTTTCGGGCTTGTCTTCTTTCCATAATCACGTCTAGAACATCGTCTTTGAATCTAAAGCGGTGTTAGTGATTATGCGAAATTTCATGTGATTAGGTGTAATTTCATACGTGATGCCATTTGTAGGGGCGGGCAATTTGTTGTCAATAGCTCTAGAGAGGATTTCGACGTAGTGTTTGGTATTCGACTCGATGGACTCGACAAGTTTTAGTCCTTCATTTGTGTCATTCTCCCACTACTTCACATTAATTGAACTCTTTTCAGGGGGGAAACACAATCCTTACGGAAACAATATCATCCAATTCTATTAAAGCCTCGTCGATTGTGCGATCTGCCAGCTTCTGCATCATATCGGCATATTTGTGCTTTGGCAATCGTGCCGAAGCTTTCTCTTTTCGCCGTCGCTCATGCGCTTCGTCATCTTCGTCCATAAAATCGTACTCGTCACTTAAATCATCTTCGTCGATATTAATCTGACCGATAGCATGCGTTAGAGTTTGCTCTGGCGAAGTCTTGAACTTTTCCAGGAAACTCCCAAAGGCGGCTGCATTTTGACAGACTGTTAGCTTGAAATTGGATTTTAACATAAGTAACGGTTGACCGACCTTGTTGCGCCTCGTAGTCGACGACGTTTCTATATTGGAGTAACGCCATTATCAATTCAATTGAGTTTTACTCGTAAGAATCTTACTGGCCAAAAGTCGGTGGTGGGATGTTGAAGAATTGCGATAAAGTTCGAAAAGTCGCAACGATTGTTCGTTCGACTGTTTAATCCGTCTAACTCTAACTCTATGCAGAACGGTGGAGGCTGGAAACGCCAACAGGGGGAAGAGGGGCGGCCACTTCCAAAAACGCGTTGACGCGAATTTTCGCGTGCTCACCAGCCTCAGTCATTAAAATATTTAGTGGATCGGGGCTTCTGGGTCGTGGCTTGTACCTTTTTGCCTTTTCCCTAAATTCCACGTGCAAAGTGGAAGCTAGAGTCTATTTCATTACGTAAGATGCGGGGCTTCGTAGCAGTTGGAGTAGGGATGTACCTCTGTACCTTGCATATTCGATCAATCGAATTGAATTTAGTGGATGAGTACCTCGGTCCACGGCATATGCAGAAGAATGGCCCTAGAAACTTAGGCCTTTTCTTCACTATCGTGTCGACTTGCATAGAACACGTCGCTAACTAATTCTCAATTCTCAATGTCTAAAAGTTGGCAATGAACCTGTCACAATGTTTCCCATTTGATCTTTCCTCTACATTTAATAGTACTTAATATTGGCCATTCAAGACTCTTGCGAAGTTAGTTACGTCCCTTTCAATCCACCATGGCTCCAGCTCAACGGAAGAACGCGCAATCTACGCCGGCGGAGATATCCCTGGTCCATCTCAAGAATTGTCTTGTGAATCTTCCGACGTCCCTGGTCAATCTTCTTGTAAACATTAATGCTGTAAGCCTGTGTCTTCTCCCTTAGCCCCTCGACCCCTTTGGACCGGGTTTGTTATTCAATATTCATCTGGATATGTGCTGAACTATCTATGTAGCCGGCCCAAAATGTCATCGTCGAGCTCAATTACCGTGTTCCCTTGCCCGCCAATGGCTCCCCTCAGACCAATGGCTCACCCTCCTCACAACGGTCGATATATGTTGGGTGGACGGGGATGCCTAGCAAGCGGAAGATGGCCCCTATAGTTGATCGTGATGGTATTAGTGGTACACGCGGTAGTGGCAGAGACCAAGAGGTTGCCTCTGTTGAGATCGACGCCACCTTAGCCGCGACTCTTGGCCTAACAGATGGACAAAAAGTCACAACCATAATACACGTTGACCCCCCACTAGCTCACGTAGTTAATATCGAACCTCTGACACCTGAAGATTGGGAGATGATTGAGCTCCACGCGACCTTCCTGGAATTAAACCTTCTGTCACAAATCCGCGCCCTGCCGAATCCCCTATACACCGCCGTCTCTGGTCAGCCTCCGATTCCGCATCCGTTGACCCTCCATCTCTCACCCACGTCCACGGCAAATATCAAAATTTTGTCACTCGATCCGCCCCCTGCGGCAGATGTGCCATTTGTGAAGATTGCCCCTGACGCCGAGGTCATTGTCGCACCTAAGACCCGATCCAAGCCAACCAAAAGCACTCGCGAAGACCGTAGTGTGGGTGGGACGTCTAGGAGAAGTGGGAAGAGCTCAGCAAGTACGGTGCGTAAGAAGGGCGCAAAGGAAGAAAAGAAGCCAGCACTATTTTTAAGGGGGGTGGATCGTCAATTCTGCAATGAATGGTTTGACGAAGGATCAGTACCGCAGGATTTAAGTGTATGGGTTGATAGAGACCTTCTATCGTCGAAAGATTTCCGAGGAGTCAACTGGGTTGCTATTAATATCGTCAAGCCAGCCGGACTTCAACCCCCGATCGATCCTCAGAAACAGCAAGAAAATGCGGCAAGCGGTGAAACTGTGAAGGCAACTGAGAAAGTCGTTGCTCAACTACGTCCGTGGGATGACCCTCCAACAACACAAACTGCTTCTCTCTCTAGCCCCTTATGCGCGGTACTCGGTTGTTCGGGGATTGTTGGGGGAATAATAAAAATCGAACCAGCTCCTACACCATTATCACGTAGTGTGGTAAAAAGTTTGAAGGTGTCTCCGTTCCAAGCCGACAGTTGGAAATCCTTGGACGGCTTGAAATTTGGAGGAGAGTCGAAAGCTGAAAAGGAAGAAACAGCTAAAAGAATATCACATATATATGGCCAAAAAGGCAAAGACAATGGTCTCCTGCGCGGACCATTGACCGATGGAATGATACTTCCAGTATACGACAACCTCGAATTATCCCAAGGTTGGGAGGGCGGTCTCATAAAACTCGAGGCCTCTAATTTAGATTCCAAGGAACAGTTGAATTGGTATCTCGGATCCGAAAAACCCATATCAATCGAAATTCAACCATCAGCTGCTCGCCCAACGTGGCTGACGGAAAATGATATAGGCGAATCTTTGCCCCCGAGCGACTCTGTCCTTGTTGGGATTGATTCTCTTCTAACAGATCTAAAGTCACATCTTTCGCACATGTCATCCGTCCTATTAACCGGTGGTCTAGGGGCCGGTAAGACAGCCGTCGTGCAGTCGTTGGCTCAGACTCTACGAGAAGAATTCCTATTTCATACGACCTATTTCCCATGCCGAAAACTAGTCAACGATGAGAGCAGAATTTCTACTATCAAGGAGACATTAAATAGGGTTTTCATGAGCGCGAGTTGGGGCGCAAGGCTTGGTGGAAGAGCGCTTGTTATACTTGATGATTTGGATAAATTGTGTCCTGTCGAAACCGAGTTACAAGTAGGGAACGATAATAGCCGGAGCCGTCAAGTGAGTGAGACTATTAGCTCAATTGTGCATCAGTACTGTGAGCGCGATAAGGGTGTCGTTCTCCTTGCGACCGCTCAAGGCAAAGAGTCGCTGAATAACGTGATTATCGGAGGTCACGTCGTTCGGGAAATCGTTGACTTAAAGGCTCCAGATAAAGAAGCACGGAGAAGAGTCTTAGAAACTATTGTCAAACAACAGACTGTGTCCCCAGAAACCTGGCAAGCACCTATCACTTTTAATAGTCGTCCTACTACGGCAAACGGGAGTGTGGATGGTGACGATGCTGGCGCGTGGATGGACGGAGCAGATCAACGCAGCCGTGCCAATTCCGTTTCTACGAATGTAAAGCCGGATGGTTTCCTTCTGGATCCTGAGCTTGACTTTCTCGACCTTGCCGGTGAGACTGACGGCTACATGCCTGGCGACCTTTTACTTCTTGTGTCCCGAGCTCGTAATGAAGCTCTCATCCGATCTGTTTCCGAGATACCCTCCAAGGACTCTCTAGATATTATCCAGCTTGGTCGTGCGGATTTCGATAGCGCCCTCAAAGGGTTTACACCAGCATCCCTCCGGAATGTTTCGTTACAGACATCTACCACTACATTTGACTCTATTGGAGGTCTCAGGGAAACGCGGAAAATTTTACTCGAGACGTTACAATACCCCACAAAATATGCCCCGATATTTGCGCAATGTCCTTTGAGATTACGTTCAGGTCTTCTCCTATACGGATTCCCTGGCTGTGGCAAGACTCTTCTGGCAAGTGCAGTGGCTGGCGAGTGTGGTCTCAACTTTATCTCGGTGAAAGGGCCCGAAATATTGAATAAGTACATCGGAGCTAGCGAAAAGAGTGTTCGGGATCTGTTTGAGCGCGCCTCGGCTGCCAAACCTTGTGTATTGTTCTTCGACGAATTTGACTCAATCGCACCAAAACGAGGGCACGACTCGACAGGCGTTACGGACCGTGTAGTCAATCAGCTTTTGACACAAATGGACGGTGCCGAGGGTCTCTCCGGGGTTTACGTTTTGGCTGCAACATCTCGCCCGGATCTAATCGATCCCGCCTTACTCCGTCCGGGGCGTTTGGATAAAAGTTTACTATGCGGTTTCCCAGATGTCGAAGACCGCATTGACATCTTACAAGCTCTGAGCAAGAAAGTGAAAATGAGCGAAGAGTTACTATTATCGCAGGAAGGTCTTCTCGAACTCGCGAAGCGTACTGAAGGCTATTCTGGTGCTGATCTTCAGGCGCTTATGTCAAACGCACAATTAGAGGCCATTCATGACGTGCTCAATGACATCGAAATGCAGCCATCAGGCGATAAACGTGGTAATAATAATACCCGAGCCAAGGCGGATGTAGCCTTGCGGAGTCGGAATTTCGTGCAGTTTCGCTACGGTGCAGAAGCCGCTTTAGCTGATGCGGAGGTACGAGCAAAGAAGGGATACAATAAATCGACCCAACTTGCCGAGAACGCTGTTATTGCAGCTAAACTGGCAGAAATCAAGACCGCAAGGAAACAAACAAAACTAGGACACAAAGGAGCAAATCACGCCTCGGGCGATAATAACGAAAAGGGGAAAGAGGCAAGCAATACAGAAGTCCTAATTGGCTGGAAGCATATGGTCAAGGCATTGGAGGCTACCAGGGCCAGTATCAGTCCTCAAGAAAGAAACCGACTCGAGCGTATTTATAGAGAGTTCGTGGTCGGACGAAGCGGAGATATGCACGACGGACAGGGTAGCATGGAAATCGGCGGTCGGAGCAGTTTAATGTAGATATATTTGAACGAAGAGGTGTAGTATGAGGAAATCTTCAATCTACCACCTACATGTTACTTACGTAATCAATGTATCTAATGAATAGTTATTACGTCTGATTCTTCATATTATTTTAAATGTGGTGATATATTCATACTTAAAATGCAATTAAGGGGTCTATGAAGTTGGGGTATGTCTTAAAGATTTGAGTCGCCTTGGAAACTATGGTTTTGTAAACTTGCTTACTAAACACCAAAAAATAGGTATTAATAATTCACGATGGCTATCGTTGAACAACGAGGCTGACCAGCCGAGTATAATGGTGATGTCCGATACGATTGTTTTAATTGGTTCAGCTGTTGACGCTAATATCATAATAGGACTAGTGCCGTGCCACCGCATAGCTCCGTATCCTTTTTAGTGCGGACGTGTTCCAAGTCACCTTTCTTCCTCAATCGTCAACAATCTCGAAGCAGCAATCCCATGGAACTCCAGGAACAACCCAAATGAGAGTTTATGAGAGCATGAAATACTCTGAGGGTATTTAATACCATATTCTACGGATTACAAGTTTCTCCGGGAGAATCGGCGCTTCATAGCGCTGGCAATTTGGTGTCTTGTGTTGAGGGGCGAAAGACTCCTGATGCTGTGATCCGGGCTTGAGACTCTTCGATTGTCCCTGCATCCTGGCCTCGGGGCAGGTCCCCTAAGTGCTGTCCCGCTGAGCCTGTATTTGGATCACCTAGGCGATTGAAACTGTCAGGCGTCCGTAAGTATGTTTTCTCCTCTTCTCTTTTCTTTTCTTCACCCTCCACCCTCATTCCATCGCCCATCAACGCACCACCACGATGGCGTGTGAGACGTCATCGCCTAAGCCGCTTCCTCTGGAGGAGGCAAACCCCTCCCCTAAGAAGATGCCTACCAAGTCTTTCCGTCTTATCAATTTTCGACCGTCCCCTATCAACACATCCAAGCAATCTCCTACACCATCGTCTATGCGCGCGCCCCCTACGTCATGCGTGTCTTCTATTTCACCACCCGGCTTGGAGTCTCCCGCTGGCCCGATGAACATGAACATGTTTAACGATAATTGTGAACCAGCGTGGTATTGCGACGTTAACCTAGGTCGTCAGCCAGGTATTCGTGGTGGTCCATATGCTATCGCACTCACGCATATCCCGCCGCTGAGAGTTCCCAATACACCCTATATACCGTTAGTAATTACCATGCTACTGATGATTTATGAGGGAACCATCCCCTTGCCTTGCTTGCTACATATGCCGATCACACCGTCGTCATAACCATTCAAGTCAATTCACTTCACTCTCACATATAACATTCGTCACGACTTTTCATTTTTTTTTCTTATCTATGTTATAATGGTTAAAATATATAGCTAACCAAGTTACATAGTCCTGAGCCTCTTCCGAACCCGAACCCGGAGCAGCCAGAACCCAAGAAGACAAAATGGCAACGCTTCAAGTCTTCGGCGGCGGCCCTACGACGACGCGGCAAAAAGCTGTTGAAGATGCCCGGAAAATGGAAGAAGCCGTCCAAGAAGAATGTGCCAAGTCAGGAAAGCCTCCACCAGGCTACCGACTCACCGAACTAATCGGCAAAGGAAGCTTCGGTCGCGTGTACAAGGCCAACGACCTAATGACTTCTCAGGTGGTAGCTGTCAAGATCATCGACGTCGACGAGAGTGATACGGTGAACCCAAAACTCGCGGATACTTACAGCGAGATTCTCAAAGAAATCAACGCGCTACATCGGTTAAGTCAGTCTGGCGCACAAAACATCAATCATGTGATCGAGGCCCTACCTGTGGGTAAAGCTATGTGGATGGTTACGGAATATTGTGCTGGAGGAAGTGTTGCTACCCTAATGAAGCCCACAGCACCCGGCGGGTTGCAAGAAAAGTGGATAATTCCAATTTTGCGTGAGGTTGCGGTAGCAATTTACTGGGTTCATAAGGAGGGGATAATCCATCGTGATATTAAATGTGCTAATGTGTTAGTTACCGAAACCGGAGCAGTCCAGCTCTGCGATTTTGGTGTTGCTGGTATGATGGAGACGAAGCTAGACAAACGATCGACATTCATCGGTACGCCGCATTGGATGGCTCCTGAATTGTTTGACCAAAATGCACAATACGGAACGGAAGTCGACATATGGGCCTTCGGCTCTATGGTATACGAAATTGCTTCGGGATTGCCTCCCAATGTTAGAGCCAACGTAGGCCTCCCCCAGCTTGGAGACTACCTTAGAGAACATCTACCACGCCTTGACGGAGATCAGTATTCAGACCAGCTTAGGGACCTAGTCGCCTTCTGCCTCGAAGAGAACCCTTCCAAACGTCCCTCCATTGAACGAGTCCAACAACATCCATATCTTTTTAACACGAGTTCTAGATATCCTGCTTCGTCTCTGTCAAACCTCGTAAAAGCCTTTAAGCTCTGGGAAGAGCGTGGCGGCAGTAGGAAATCTCTCTTTGGTGCTGGGGGAGCCCAAGGTCCAACCGATCTAGGATCGACTTCGTTGGCAACGGATGAATGGAACTTCTCTACCACACTCGCCTTTGACGAGCAGCTCCATGATGCTTCCGACGGTAGGTCCGATGCCGAGGCTGTCCGTGATGTCTACGGCTCGGCCGTCGATTTTCCTAGTACATTCGGCGAAGATACTGCGCGACCAAAAGCCTTAGTAAAAGGTCGACGTCGACCACCTCCACAAGCCCTCGCCGCATCGAAAGTAAAAGCCCCTCTAGAGAAGGTCTTTGATCCAAACACTATATCCAATTACGACGAAAACTCTCGAATGTACTATGGCCGCCTCGCACCACTAGCAGAACCGATGACAAATGAACTCCCAGCATCTGACCTTCCGCTACGCGACGATTCACTACACGCGACACTTCGAGAGTCATTGATCGACCTCGATGCATCTCTTGGGGGTGGTGATCTATCTAACTTCGTTGACATGGGCACGATAAGGCCGGGTCCGCAACCTCAGCCGCAACCACCACAGCCGAGACCAGGGCCGCGCGCTTCAATGGATAATAACTGGTCTTTCTCCGCAGCTACCGAGTCGACTACGCATGATAGGGCACCACTCAGCGACCCCGCGGATATGAACGGCCGACACCACGCTCCAGACTGGTCGTGGCCTACCAGCATACCCCCTGCCTCTGCCAATCCCGAGATGTCTCATTTCACATTCAACGAAGACCGCACCCCCGATAGCCTCGAGGGACGTCCCCGTCTCATGCACCACCCTACAGAACCCATCGGCTTACCCTCCCAAGGATACGATATACAAAGCACGAGTACTTCCACCGACCGCATGTCAATGACCAGCCTCATCGACCTTGACATGAGCATGCCCGAGCCCAACCTCCCCGAGCTCACACGCCCATCCACGGCAAACTCGGACATCGGATCGATAGCTGGCTCAGACATCGGCACGCGCGAGCCCTTTGAGCTAGAGCGCCACGCCTCCGTGTATGCACCTACCAACTTCTCCAGCCGCGAACCCTCGATCTACGTCTCAGACGGATCGGAGTTCTCGACGCAGATCAGTAATAAGATCGCGGAGGTATCCGATGTTATACAAGTGCACCCCCATGACGAAGTCGACACCATCACGGTGCAGCATCACCAGCAGAGGGGAAGCGATTACACTGTCGCCTCATCCGAGACATACGTCAACGACCCCCGAACCGACGGCCCACACTCCCATCTGCCGATTATACCACCGCCTTCTAGCAGCGTCATGGAGGCGCGCGCGACGGCCGGCGATGTGGCGAATGAAATGAGGCGGCTAATCGGGAGTCTTGGAGATCACCTTTCGATTATCGGCGAGCAGGTCGCTATTATGGAACCTAGGAGGGCAGGGAGGAGTTACGAGGGTGCTGATTAGGTACCTAGTTGGTTGATGAGGAAGGACCTAGGATTAACGAAGTATGTTATACGGGAGACGAGAAGAGACGATACGAGACGAGTGAGCAGCTTTTATTATACATGCGTATGGAATATGAGTATATGAATAGGGTTTGGATTGGGCTACGCTTGAGGCGGACCGATGCCTTCCAATTAACGAGTTTGCCTCTAGAGTTTTGGGGTTGAAGATTATATGATGTTGGTGGGGAGAGGTCGAGAATGAATGGGATACCAATAGTTTAGTTTAGGAATGGTATTATCGAGAATGATTTCTAAACCTGTGTTTCTGTGATTAGTAACATGGAAGCTGAATAATGGTTAGGTAATATAGCACTATTATGTAATCGATAGTGATTATGTAAAAATATCTGATTAGGTAAACACTTTCAAGGAAACTTATCTTGTGGTGATGTAAGCATGTGTGATTACATAATGTTTTCTTAATAATCAATAAGAACCTGGAGGCAAGTTGATATGGGGTAGGTATGAATAACTAGATAAAATGCATATATCCACATTCCTCTAGTATAAAGGCATCTAATCCGGCTATCAATCTATGTAAACCCAATGAGATCCCCCATCAGTACGGCCTGATACTTGTCCACCGCCTCACGAAGCCTAATTAGCACACCCGCAGCCAACATCTTGACCTCGTTCTCCTCGCCCCCTTCGCCAGTAACACCAACATCGCCGCCGCGTGTGTTGCTAAACACAGCGCCGACCCACTCCACACTCTCTATGGCCTCGCGGCCGTGTCTCTCGCAGAGTCCCCGCATGTCGGCCTCGTTCACGTCGAGCAGGGCCATGAGACCGAATAGCACGGCCTGCGTGACACCCAGGTCACCCGCGCACTGGCCGCGGACCCCGAGGAGCAGGTCCCAGAACTCGGCCGTCATCTGGGGTAAGGCGAGGGTGCTTGGTCCAGCGGCGTGGAGGAGGAGCGCGAGGGTCTTGAGGTAGAGAGTTAGGAGGTACGGCTGGAATAGGATGCCCCGCGTAGTGGCAGATGCGGAGTGCATCGCCGCTTGGAAACGAGAGGTTAGCGGGAAGAAGAACGACGAGGCGATGAGGGAGGCGGTTGTATTGGGAATGGCACGCATGCGCGGTTTCGCTTTGCCTCTTGCTTGGTTGGGGGATTGCGAGTTTAGACGTGAGGTGAAGGACGAGAGTTTTAGCGTGTCTGGGCCTGTTGCTGAATCGGCTGCTTCTGCGGCTAGGGGGGCGAGGAAGGTCTGCGAGAGGGTTTGAGCTAGGTTATCTAGCGCATTTGATGGGAGAGGCTTGAGACCGGTTGTTGAAGACTCGAGCCTATTCGATGACGAATGTGTTATATAGTGCTTCTCGACTTTAGATGGTAAAACTTTGGAGGGAAATTGCGCGGCTGAAGTGTACTCGGATGTTTCGAAACCTGCTATTTCTCTACCGCTGAGACCGAGTACGATGAGTATAGATGCTCGCTGTGAGAGTGAGTAGTCGCCGTCGAAGAATGTCTTCGCAAACCACTGCCCCATTATTTTAGGTTGTGCAACTACGACAGCGATCATGCCTTGTTGGCGTAGTTCATCGAAGTTGTCAAGATCATATTTATCTTGAAGGCCGACAAGAAGGGTAGCTAGTTCATCTGCATGTGAACTAACCTCAGTGCCATAGTTGGCCTTTCGACGAATTAACGTAGGAGCCGTCATCAACGCCAACTTTTGCTTGTCATAATTTTCCGTGTCTCTGAAATAAGCAATAAGGTCTCGAACGTAAACGGGAGCCTTTGGCTTATCGCGATTGATGAGTGTGGGGTCGTCGTCTGAGTCCTCGGCGTCCGAATCTATTTTCGCATACGGCACTAAGTCTGGATCCTCTCCCTCCTCCTCATCCTCAATTTCTTCTATGATAAATCCTGATTGGGTAGGTTGCTTTCTAGGTAGTTGAGTTGGGGTTGCTGAAGATCTTGCTGGCTTAGGTTTGCTCGTAGGTTTCCGCGACATGGTCAGTTGTCTTAATGGATCTAGAGAACCAACTTTATCCGATATCCGGACCAAAGATTTATACCATCTTGCTTCTTCCGTGTCCATCTCATCCATCTTGAAATCGAGCTTTGTCTCTTTACCGTGTACGAGTCCGGAGAGTGCCTCGCCAACCACCATCCCTAGAAACCGAGCACGGTTTTGAGATGCAGCAATACGATTAGAAACGGCATTTAAATAAGGGCTTGATCGTGATAGCATGGTAAGTTTGATTGGCACGAGTCTGTGAACATATCCGACACTAAGCAATAGGACTTGGGCGTGCGCTTATTCTCACAGTTAGTGAATTCTAATAGGATAATGGGTTGGTGAATCTTACCATCTTGCTGTAGTAACGGGGCATGTTTAATATATAATTTGTCGCCGAATTGAGCAAGGCTTCTCTCTAGAATAACCACCATAGACTCTTTATCGTCAGAAAAGACGGCAACAGCAGCTCGTCGTACTCCATAACCTTCACCAATTCCGGCACCGGACCCGCTGGTTAACCAAGAAATGAGATTGGTCTTCCGCGCCTCGTCATTTCCCACAACTGTCTTTAAAACACCAGATGCGGCTGATATGAGTTTAGCGTCCTTCGTTGGATCACTACCATCCACGGTATTCAAATATTTATCTGGGAGCAGCTTGAGAATTAAACCCAATATTTTGCGATGATCAAGAGGTGGAAAGAACCCCAGAAATTTCTCAAATAGTGGCAGTGGCAGGCTATCGATATCCTGAAGAAGTAGACCCGTAATCAATTTGTTGACAAAGATCTCTGAAGCAGTATGTAATTAGCGTATATATATAATATGATTAAGGAATAGAACATACCTGCATTCGCTAATCGCATTGCTCGCGTTGATATTTCGGCACATAGCTTAAGGTCATCGTCATTGTCCCCTGACCGAACCCATAGTACCACATTTTGGGCAACCCAGTCGACGTATAGCTTAGTATTACTGAGCCAGATGTCATTCTTCAGTTGACCAGCTTGTCTGCAAATGTCCTCAGCCTCTGCGGATAAAGAAACAATCTTTCCGTTCGTAAATAACGATATGAGTTCTTGGCGCAAGGGGCGAATTTGAGTCTGATTATGTAATGAATTATTAATATCCCATATCCGTTTTATGTCATCATCAGATTGTAGGATTTGAGATAGTAATTCTAGGATAAAGCTCAGAGTGAAGCAAACGTGAGAGTCCTTCAGGGATTTTAGGTCTGACTTTGCCTCCTTCAAGAGAGCACGTAAGAATGCTAGTAGGGCATTGATACCGGTGATACTCTTCAAAGAGGAAATCAATAGATGAACATCTCCTTTACTTCGGTCTATGGATGCATCCCTTAAGATGGTCCAATAGTTCGGGACGATCTCTGTAACTAATGTGTGTATTATTTGAGCACTTTGAGGCGTAGGCTTTCGGATATCAAAGTCATGGTTGGATTGTGTGCCTTTTTGCAGGTACTTCAGTATGGATATAAGAGAATCGTAACCCGGTTGACTTTTGAGGGCATCGAGAACTTCCTCCGGCGATGAGCCATGGAACTCTACTTCTACTGATATGACAGACTTGACTGGTTTTGAAATTTCCAATAATTCATCATGATGAATTGGTTTTCGGTAGGTCTGGCTCACCGGGGTGAGAAGTTCTTCCATATTGCGAATCGTCGATCCTAGTTGCATTCATAGAAACCGGAATGCTTTCATAAACGTCAAATGTACATCTGGAGATTATCGGGTCTTGGCATAATAGCGACTTCCAAAATCCAATAAGAGATTTCTCGTAATTTAATTCTTAAAGAGCGGAAAGAGCAGGTAGTTGATCGATGTTTCTTCGTAGAAGAAGTTAATGGAAAGTTGATCGTGCAATTATATGTATTGAATCTGAAGCTGTTAGAGGGTTAGTTGAATATATCATTATAGAAAGATATTGCGGGGTAGGTTTTGGCTTTATTAGATATTAGTAATGAATCTGGTAAGCAATTCTGACATTTCCCCTCGCTACTGTCTTATCGGTGATAAGGATGACATCAAGGTTATGGATACTCCCGTAGCTACCTACCTTCCTTCACGATTCCTAAGCTCTCTCCAGAATATCAACTACGCACAAGAGACTACAATATGGCAACGGACGAGGTTGACGGCGCCGTCCCACGGTGGAAATATCTAGATCGGATTCGCAGAACCCCTGGTCCTTTCAATCAAGACTCCGAAATTAGCGAAGAAGCTCTCGCAGCACTGGATCAGGCTAAGATCTTGGTCATCGGTGCTGGTGGTCTTGGATGTGAAATACTAAAGAATCTCGCTCTATCCGGCTTCAAGGATATTCACGTCATAGACATGGGTACGTTGATATCGCTTCCAAACTCAATGCAATTCTTACTAACGTATGCTTGCGGCAGACACCATCGATATCTCGAACCTCAACCGTCAGTTCCTCTTTCGACAAGACGATGTAGGAAAGTTCAAGGCAGAAGTCGCCGCCAAATTTGTCGAGAAGCGAGTCAAAGGTGTCAAGATCACACCACACAACTGCCGAATACAGGAATTTGACGAGGACTTTTACATGCAATTCCAAATTGTGGTATGTGGCCTTGACAGCATCGAAGCGAGACGATGGATCAACGCGACCCTTGTGAATATGGTTGATATGGAAGATCAAGATTCTCTGAAACCACTCATCGACGGCGGAACGGAAGGATTCAAAGGCCAAACAAGAGTCGTATTACCCACCATGACACCATGTATCGAATGTCAATTAGATCTATATACCCCAAGAGCTGCCGTACCGTTATGTACCTTGGCCACTATCCCACGCCAACCAGAGCACTGCATAGAATGGGCCCACATCATCGCATGGGAACAAGATAAGCCGTTCCCGAGCCTAGACAAGGACGATCCTGAACATATTACCTGGCTCTACCAGAAAGCGCTCACACGTGCCCAAGAATTCGGTATTGCCGGTGTCACATACTCACTTACCCAGGGTGTCGTCAAGAATATCATTCCAGCAATAGCCTCTACCAACGCTGTCATAGCTGCCAGCTGCTGCAATGAAGCTTTAAAACTTGCCACCACGGCAGCACCATGCCTCGGGCTCCAGCCAGAGAGCTACATGATGTACTCTGGCGACGATAGTATCTACACGAACACATTCAAGTACGAGAAGAAGGAAGACTGCGCCGTATGCGGTGACTTGGCCAAGCCACTAGAGGCCGACCCTAGTTGGACGCTCAGAGAACTCCTCGATTCATTCGCGACGAAAGCAGATCTTCAATTAAAAAAGCCTTCTATTAGAGCAGAAGGCAAGACGCTATACATGCAATTCCCACCAAGCATCGAAGAACAGACACGGCCAAACTTAGACAAGACCTTGAAGGAGGGCCTAGGCCTAGATGTAAATCACGAAGTTGTCGTGACGGACCCGGCCTTCCCAGCGTTGATCTTTAGATTTATTCTCCGTTTCGCATGAGCAAGAGAGTTTATGGAAATTATACCAAAGTTCATACCTGCATAGATAGGAAGGACTAGACTTCGTCTTTAAAGTCAACGTGGACGTGAATAAGTTGGTCCTCTCCTGTCCTGTACTTGACCAGTCATGCAAATGAGTCGTGAACGAAACTGCTCCACCAAGCTCAGTTTTATATCTCAGAGCCCAGGTATAGAATATATCTTTATTTCTCAACTACGGCCGACATTGACAAGCAAGCAGAAATGCCTGTCATGGATCTATGCTGTTCCTCTCCAGGAATCACCCAATTATCTTACCTCATCGTACCGTATCTCTATATACACGTTGCAAGTAAAATAGACCTTTGTTGAATTTTTAACTGCATGTCTCGGGTCATGGAATAGCATCAAACGACAAGATCATAAAGCTAGCTCTATTTCATGAGTTCAATACACTTACGATGTCCCCATTAGACATCAGCATCAGCTTCTAGTTTATCTTCCTTAACATACCCGCGTATACGAGATGGGAGATATATTCCATCTAAGAGGCCTAGTAGACCCAGTTGAGAAAGTCCAAACTCCACGATCCAAGCCTCGAAGTAAACACGATCACATATTCGGCTTGCCCATCTACCGACATAGCTCAAGTACAAGATACGCTTGGGGCCAAGCACAAACAGAAATATTTCTACGGCACGTTAAGGATAATCCAGATGACTACTACAAAAGGCTGGAGGTTCTCCTGGCGAAGCTAGGACTTGACGGCTACGACCACGTAAAGACCAATAAGGGTCTGGATTACAAACGGCACATCCTCATCCCGAAGGCCATGGAGAAGCTTAGGAAGGTTACGAGAGGCAAGTTTGAGCAAAACGGTGACCGGTAAGTGCCTTCATAGACGGGCACGCAATTACAAACCATCCAACTCATAAAATACATTTATAGTACAACGTGGGATAGCGAAAAGCTTATATATGTTACAGGGACATCGCTGTTCGATTCCCCGAAACCCAAATGATGTTACCAGAACCTCACCATAGCGAATCCGAGACCATTCAAGAATCGCGTCAGGGGAGCCACGCTCTCGGCCACGATGGAAGTGAGAAGGAGCCTCAGTCCGAATATCATATCCACTCATTGCAAGACCGGATACGATTCATAAACAAGAGAGTCTCCAGACTCCGTATGACCGCGCAATCGCTTAGGATGTTCTACAGCGACTTGCCGAATGACGATCCCCTCGCCGTCTCGCTGTACCATCACAAAACCGTCGTCCGCGATATTAGTAACGAAATCGAAGATAGGATTGACGAGATGGCTCGTACTTGGTCTGAGAATCACCGAGATTTGAAAGATTCTATTGTGACATTGGAGAGTGATAGCGATAGCAAAGATCCGTAATGACAGTTTGTCGTGGGTGCGTGGGGACTTATGGGAAAAGGGGCCATGTGGTTTTCCCAAGTCTGTTTTCCCCTCTTCAAAAAGACTCTCAATTCAACTTTTCACATATTTAAAGATGACAATGCTGGATTATGTTAATTGATGAATTTAGATAAAAGGAATATTCCTGTTCTCATTAGTACAACCTCGCCGGAATTTCATCGAATTTATAATCCATAGCATACCCTAGTGTTAACAAATTCCAAACTCGAGATCCCCTATTAGACGGCCTTCATTTCGTTACGGGTGGTTTCATCAAAACTTGAAAATCAGTGCCTGTAGAATTATCGGGGTGGGATCCTAGAGGTGCTGTCTTAGCTACTAATACTAGGTAGATCTCGCTAAAATTAAAGGTAAATAAGCCCTGGAATAGATCCCACGTTAATACCCGCTGTGGGGAAATTCCCTAGTTCCAGGCGATTTCTAGGCGATTTCCAGTGGTAGGTTGCCAGCTCCAAATCCATCCCTGGAGCTGCAAGAATGAAAGCGTTGTAAAATCGAGAGATAGGTTCAATGTTACCCCCAAAAATGAGTAGGGAACGAAAATCTTCAACTTCTTTCGAGTGCACAGCTCAAAAAAAAACGAATTTCAGTAGAAACCCCATCAAATCGCAGACTATATACTAGGTACATTAAGCCAATACCAGGTATCAAAACTGCAATTGTGATTTTCGATGTTCCCTGAGTTTTTAAAGGGTTGTGAAGTTGGATGGGTTTAGTGGGAAAATTTCGGTCATTCTGTAAAAATTATGGCTTAGAAGCCTTGCAGGGTTTAATCTAAAAAATAGAGTTTTGGGTCCCTGGAGATTCCCCTAACCCGTAGTGATTGTCCACTGCAACGGCGCTATGATTATTCGCTAATCCCGTAAACATATACTAATTTGTAGGTCTATTATTCCACTACACCTACCATCAGCTTAACCCGCGCAAAGGGCTTTGATGGCCCAAAGCCGTATAAATTGGAATATCTTCTCACTGTGTGGTGTTTTTCTCTAGTGGCTAAGCTCCTAAAATATGTAGGCTTAAGTTCTAATGATCACCCACTAGAATTTAGTGAGTAGATCACTGTTAGGTCGCGGTTCCAGCCTAGACCTAATACAGTATGAAGTAAGTGCTTATCTAATAACGCACTGGGCAAGAGACATGGCTAATGGTCCAAACTTTTGACTCTACGGAACCTTGGTAGAACAAGACTATTCCCATTCGCGAGTCTCAGTCAGCATCGAGATCGCGATTAATTAAACCCCTTATCACATAACGAATAGCTACAGCGATTATCCTTTCCACTAAGTACTAAGGCTAAAATACATAGGTACGTTTCAACCAAATGTCAACAAATTGCCTAGCGGAGTTCTTAGCTGTTGGATTGGTGATAGAAACGCCGAGACTGGTTTCACTGCGGCGGATTTGCTTACATGGCTGTGGTCTCACAGCTTGTCCGTTTTCCTTCACTAACATGGTATCACCCATAAGATAAGGCTGATAGCATCCTCTAGAGTTAAAAGAAGTTGCCACTGTCTTAGTAGAGATTTTGGAAAGTCTGAGTCACATTTCACATCAACCACATCCCTTACTCAGCGCGTAATCCAAAAGATAAGCAATCGCTAAATAGAGCTGTATTAGATCTAGGGTCAATTCGCCTGCTGTTCGACAATGTAGCGGCTATCTACCCACGGGCTTAACCGCTGAAGAAACGCGTCACACGGTGCGGTGATACTTCGAATTACACAGTATGGACATAAACCGCTCTGTTTCGATAATCTGAGTAGGAATGTATGAAGATAATGGCGGGATAGATAATAGGTTGTGCCAATAGACATTAGATCAGATAAAAAGTCGGAAGCGCATTATCTGATCTGACACTCCTTAACCCCTGCCCCTGATACAGACAGGCATCGCTCAGGAATAACTTTCCTCAGAATCCGTCGAATTGAGCGTCGCATCATCAATCGCAAGCTTGCCTTTCCCAACCTCGAAAAAGACGCAGTAGTGCGGGCACCAGTTCCAGGTCTCTGGTAGCTTCGAAATCCAATCCATCGATTGTATCTGGTAAAGCTTCTCCCACTTGTGACTGTAAAGCCAACCGCTCTTCCATAACCCGCATTCTTTAAAGATCGCCCTCTCGGCCTCCATGAGCTCGGTCATCGCCAGTCCGTCCTTGTGGAGCCACTTGCAGTTGCAGACATACCAAGCCATGTCGCCGGACCTTTCCTTTTTCACTGACTTTCCGGGAACCTTGTGTCTTAGACCCCAGTTGGCGAGTTTCCTCCTGGCTTCGTTGATATTTCTCGGGTCAAGACGGTAGTCGGTGCATTTGATAAACGCGATCGGGATGACTCCCTCTTGTTCTGATATCGCGAGGGTATCGTTTGCTGGAACTTCTAGCGGTGGTATAGCCAAAGCCGAGACCAAGGCTAAACCAGCAGTGAATAGTGTTATGATTGATAGACGCATTGTATCGATGGTCGTAAATGAATAATCCGGTAAATGTTTTGAAGGTAGATGTAGATTCAGAGCACCAAAAAGTCGATGGTATGAAACAGAATGAACTTGAGACATACCTACCTATGTATGGAGGCAGGCATTTATATGTCAACCTTAAGAGGCTATCTCCGGTCCTAGCGATAGCTTTTACATAGAATTCATTAGATCGAATACACCTAAGCACCAGCAATGACTTGCTCACGCCCGTAAGAGGTTGATTTTGGTTTTCTGATTAAGAAAATAGTACTCTGCCTATCGAAGCCTATCTAAATATCTACTACTTCCAAGGTTCTGCTAAAAAGGGGGTTAGCTAAGGTTAGCTATGAAGCGATAGAACTCAAATTACCCCTTTTTGCGCCTTGAACCTTAAACCCCAACATATCCACACTCGCCAATAAAACTTATTTACAATATAGGTAAGTTAGGTGCTTATTATCATGTAAGATAAGATATATCAAGCGTTATAGTTCATCGTAGCTCAAGTCCCTTCAGGAAAAAGGGGTTAGCCCCACATGTTTTTACCAACTAGCAATCCAAGACAATCTGGAAATATCAATACAATCAAGAAAGTTTAATACAATTTAGTTCGCCCTATGTAGGTAGGCACCTACTCTATGAAGGTATCTCAAATCCTATCTGCCGTATCCGTAAAAGACCCAAGATATAATTACACGATTGGGGATATCTCATCATATGCTAGGCACTAAGTTCAACTTGCAAATTCCTTTCGACACGCTGCGCACTCCTTCCGGTCCCAACTCTAGCCTCTCATCCGGTAAACTCTTGACGGGGTGGCCCCATGCCCTAACGCCTGTCTTATCTTTTCTGAAGTTCTCTTGGAAATATCTAGAGAGCTCTACAGCTTGGGCTCCGCGAGGTAGCATATCTCCGTAGAATGTGGTAAGCATGCGGTACAGGGCAGCATCATCCGATGACTCTAGCTCAGTAATGAGTTTGCCTAAGTGGAGCGCGTCGCGCATCGCATGTATACCCCCTTCAGCTTTGTATGGCATCATGAGATGTACAGCATCACCTAGAAGCGTTGCCCTTCCTAGTGGAATCTCGTCAAGGTGGCAGTCCGTTGGCACCCATCCAATATCACGGATACCGTCTACGGAAGTCTCCTCGATAACACGTCGGAACTTAGGGTCCATATGCGCAGTCATCCTCTTGGCGATCTCGAGACGTTCGCTTCTCGGAAGGGTGTTAACCGCTATGCGACCAGTCTGCTGGGCAAGAGGGTCATGCCATGAGGCAACCCAGAAGAAATCTCCCGATTGACCGTCGGGCGCTACCTTAGTCAGGCCCATGAATAAGTTGTTCCATGCATCTCCGGTGGTGATTGGTATAATAGCCATGCTGTGGGCAATCTCTAGTTGACGTGCGAATAGATCCCCGCTCAGTGTGACCTCTCCGGTTATCGAGCTGATCGGCACATTCCGTAATACCTCCTTATTAGGTTTCCCCAATACATGCTCTCTCACTACTAGTATATTAGCGGCTTGCTTTCATTGCGGTATCATGGATAGGACGCATTTACCGATACTATTTGCGCCATCAGCGCCCACGACGAGGTCCCCAGTTGCGGTGGTGCCGTTTTTAAAAGTAACGATCATCTTGTCTCCTACTCTCCCAATCTGGCTTGCAACCCTTCCATACTGGACATTGATGTTGGTGGACAACCACTTTCGAAGCAATAGACGGTTGGCTCGTAGTGTGGGGGTAGACGGGGAGCATTCCGTGCCTAGTCGGTCGTTATGGAAATAAAAAACGACTTGGGTTTCTAGGTTGAGGGGGTTGAGATGATGAACGGTATCCCTGAAGTTGGGCATATCATCCGGAAAGGCTTTGAATAACTCATCCACGACACTGAGTAAATGAAGAATGGTCTTAGACTCAAGTATATTACTAGATAGTGGAGAATTAGAACTCACCTGTGCATAGTCAGAGACCATCCTTGGGCTCTAGCAACTTCGTGTTCATCCCGCTCGAAGATTTCGAATGGAATGCCATTCTTTCGGAGGACTTGGGCAAGAGTCAACCCGCCAAGGCCGGCGCCGACGATTAGGACCTTCGGTTTATAACCTCCTTCAGCCACAACTGGTGCAATTATTTCCTTCATTTTCGCGGCGAGCAATATATTTAGTCAAATCTTGATAGTTACGAAGAAAGTGCCGTTTTGACTCAGGTAAGCTTCGAAGGCCGGACACCCCCTTTTGTATACCTATCATTCTGACCATCGTCGTTGACGGTCGTGCCGAGTTGGGAGCTGTAAGGGATGTGGCCAATTAAACAATAGTACCGATGTCCCATGCTGTCTCTATTTCAGCCGTGTTCGGGCGACGGAGTATCTCTCTACCCCTGTACACCACATATTCCACAGCTAGAATCTCTTTGTCATAGGTTCATCTAGCGAGTGTCCATTGTTTGTGCCGCTCGGGTTCAGGCATTTTATCAAACGAAACTTGCCGATCCAGGTATGTGACAGCTTCTACCTGTGTCTTGCAACCTGCAAGGGTGCGGCAATAATTGATTAACGTATGCTCCAACCGCACGGTTATCACTTTGCCGTCATCAACTAAATTCTATCATTATAGTCCATAACTTTTCAGTAACTCCGCATCGTGCAAGATCCGCTGATTATGGCTTCATATTCTTTCGCGATTTCGTATGAAAGTCAGCAAGGTGGTGATGTGCTCGTACATAATGTTACCCTCCAGGATGTTTCGGGAAATGTGCCGAATATTCACAAACTAAACCCCTTCCAGCTTCACTAAAGCGCAATGCCAGTCTGGTCTAGAAGTTTTCCAGAATACCAGCATATCTCATTATCTTATGATAATTCGCCGCAACTGCAGGAGTAGCAGCATCGACGAGGGTTTCGTCTTACCTAAATAGGTATGTCCAAGGTGAAGTTTGGGTTGTACAGCCTGAGGCTGACCAGAGGAGAATGTTAAAAAGGAAAAATGCTATTTTTAGGCAGTGTCTTGCGAGATCGTTAAATCGGTGTTTATTTATTGCGTGCCTTACTTTCAGCTCCTATGTCACAGTGCGACCGAGGATAGGACTATATGCATGCATTATGATAGGCGCATAAGCCACGTTCCATCCATGTGCAAATGATCAGATCCACTTCCACCATACGTACGGCAGGTACGGAAGGAATTATTAGCCCGCATCTGACATTTCAGGATCTATCTTAGGTCAGATCGGAATAAAGATAAGCTTTATCAAGTTTTAGTTTAATAAGATACCTAGTAGCAAACATCTAGCCATACCTACATATATACAGTACTATATACCACTTAGGGAGGTCGGTAGTTGTAAACTGGTTCGATCAATTCTTCGTAAATCCGAACATCAGATGACACTATTTCCGAGATCGAGAGACCGACAACACTTCGTTCCGAGCCTCTTTTAGGTAGGTAAACCCACGCAAGAAAAGCAAGTTTATCAAACCCCCGCTCAGATTTTCAGCTCTTCCATATTAAATGCATTTTCGCTGCCATGTCTATCACATGCTTCCTTCAAAGTATAGAGAAGATGGAATATAGGTATGTAGATGGCGTACACCGAAGTAGAAACTAGACTGCTCATGTGGTGTAGTCCAAGAAACAATTCGGGACCGAAGATTGACGGATATTACTACAAATAAACCCAACCTTTCAAACTTTGGGGATCCCGTTTTCTGTCCCACAGTACGACAGAAAGCCCCGCAAGACCACTTCTAGGGCTGAGACATCTCCAGTCAGACACGATAACAGACCGGAGTGTCCCAGCCCTGTCTGCCTGTCTGCTAGGTACCCACTTTGTCGGTCTTCCAACGGTTACTGTTTATTCCAACGACGCCATTCTCCGCCAATATCCATATACGAACGGCAGGGCGAAACACAACACTCTTATTCTTCAAATACAGCCGATCTAACGTAAATGACCAATTATCAATCAAGTCTGGATAAGTAAGCATAGTGTTTTTGATATAAAAATCCGAAATGAGACGCTAAGCATGGGCTGTAGAAAAGGGGTGGGGAAGCCCGGTTCGCCCCCGGAATTTCTGTTCCACAATAGACACCGGATAGGGATTCTGCATGGCTGCTCATTTCCAAACTATTCATTTGACTAGAAGCGCGACTATTAGTCATCCCCGTAACCGGCAGTTGTCTTCAGGTAGGGGTTTCCAAGGAGAATAATTAGGTGCTGTTCATTTGGTCCGGCAGGTCCGGTAAAATGAGACCAGTAGGTATCAAAGAGACAGTACATGAGGTGCACATGGTCTTATCCTCTACCAACTACCTTACCCCAATCCTCATCTAAAGGTGACTGTCAAGAACTGGATGCTACTAGTGGATCGTAGCATAGTGTTTCGTTGCTCATAGTATGGACCTTACGTCATCATGCTTACTGATCATGCATATATGGACTTCATATAGAAGTTCATCATGGTCACTCACCTAGACTATTCACTTTCTTTCACACACCTAGCTTATCATATCTATACACTTATTATCTCTATGTTTATGTCATGATCAGTGACCTATCATGATGATGTCCTATCATAAAGTCTACGGAAGCGTATTTGAGGATCTCATCGATCTGTGGCTTATACCTCTGTAGTACGGAGCTATCACACTCTGGTTCACTAGGAGTCAACGAATATGTCTGGTAAATTCATATCTCCTTTAATAACATCCCTAACTTAATCCTCTCTCTAAGATAATAATTTAGGTAGCTACCTGATTCTTTTCATGCTAGGTTAATTGTTTCTAGGTACATATGTATTACACACAATAGACTAGAAAAAAACGGTCGTCGTAGGATAGATAAGTAACCTATCATAGGTTATGTCACGAGGCGGAAATAACGACGTTGTCGCGCGAGGAGCTCCTAACTACTCTCGTTATGGTATACATGCCTTTATCTGCTCTGCTCCCAGGACTAACAACCAACAGGACCCTCACAGACTCAACGGAGACTCCATGGGCCAATTCCCGATCCCATAGATCTTAGTTACTAACCGGGAGGAATACCAGACGTCTGACAGGTTATACAATATAGCATCGCAAGTTAAAAAAAGATTCTCCCAATCAGGGAATCGAACCCTGGGCTCAGGAGTGAGAATCCTGAATGTTGACCACTACACCAATTGGGATGTTCTTATATGATTGACTTATGGTTAGATTGATTTATCAGCATTGTCTTGATTGTATCGTTCAGGAAAGAACAGGTAGGTTTATTGATACTCGTAGTTGCCATCGTTTATGATCCATGGATAAGTTCGATATAAAGTTCTCCACAAATTTCGATATGGAAATCAATACTTAACCTGGTGGGCAGGCACGATACGCATTGAAGATTCGGCCAGATATTATACTTATCTAATATCTCTCTAAAAACCTGCAACAGATACACGTTGTAAACGTTGTCAGTGTATCCGTACACCATAGGTAAGGAATTTCTTCAGATATAACTCAAGTCCCAAACCACTTTACTCATAACTTTAATACATATTAATAACTAAAAGCTAAGAGGCACTTTATAATAGGGACATCAGTATCCGTCAGTAGTTACGGACATGTCAAGGTTGAATATCAATGTATGTTTACGCACGTAGCTGGCTACCTAGTATGTTCAATATGCCCACTGTACTAGAATAGACCCTTACTACCTAGTACTGTTAGTACGACAAGAAATACTCTACACAGTACTAGTTGCAGGACTCGGAATCTTGACGTGGAAGGAACCACCTACCTAAGTTCAGTGTAAAATATCATATCGTACCTTCCTATACTACCTAGTTTGGTCAGTGCCAAGTGCCCACCTGGAATCCAGCAGTGCGAACAGGTCCGTAACAAGGAGCTTTGACCATCTTAAGCACCCGGCAGTTGCAGAAATTTTACTAGTACTAGGTATGTACCTAGGTATTGACAGTGCTGGTTGAAAGTGAGGCCTTATTTAACTTTTTTTACTGGGCAGCAGACAGTAAAATGTTTTTTTCGAAGATCGGACGGAAACTGCCAGCTGATTTTCTCACTAGTTTGACCGCCTTGACCATCAAGCCCTTTACTATATAACACCGGCTCTCCCCAGGTAAATTGTTCCTTTCCTTTCTCCTCCATCCCACCAAAGAATCCCCAATCTTGGGACTTGGTAAGAATGGTCACTCCTAAAACCATTCACACCAACATTCACATCTTCTACTAAACCAACATACAATGGATCACATCAAGGCTTGCACTTCGTCCACAATATATCTCTACTATCACATTATGCCACCTTGATCATGCTTTCATCACTTTTTCGTTCACTACATACCTATTTACCAACCATCCAGAAAACCATCAACCTTGAACACACCCAAAATTTTCGAGGCTCCAAATATTTGACGCGTTTAACGTGTTAAAAGGTATGGTATTTACATTCCCATCTATATTTTATCGTCCATCATATGTAAACCATCACCTTGTCACTATTACCTTGTTAACACATGCTTCATCTAGACCATATACACCACCAAGTGTAGCAAATCAACCTTTTAAAATTGCTTTTGAGCAACACAAGGTAATCAACTTAATATTCTCATTCGTACTCAATGTCCCATCAGCTGATCGTCTTCAGAAAAAATACACAAAAAACTCAAACAAAAAAAAAAACTAAAAAGACACCGTCTCCCACAAAAGACACGAACAATGTGAACAATTAAACAAAGATAACAGTACATAAATAGTCTACAGAGACTGGTAAGATTCACCCATTCAATTAAATACTAATTATCTCCATCACCTAACATTCCCTTCTTCCCTAGTTTCCATTCCCACCCCTCCAAATTCGCAAATTCACTTGTCATTGCGACAGCAGCCCCACTCCTTCACTTCACGACAGCACTCCTAGATCTCATATGTCTTAGGAAGGCGAGATCATCATGAGATTAGTACTCATACAAGCTTGCAATTTGGTCTTGAACCATACAGAACTCCAGCCGTCCTAGTGATTGCAAATGGCTCTTCTGCTGCAGCGACTTCATCTCTTGCTTATCAGTCAAGCGTGTCTACGACACTGCATTTTGCTGAGCGGAATGATTTAATGTAAGAAGGAAAGCCTCATGATGGTCGAGTCAGTACGGGTCAAAAATAAAATCGGGTTTGCTTGTTGTCTGGTAAGGAGTCGTGTCTGCCTGTCAATTTGACCTGCTGAACACGGAATGCGGCCAACGACCGATCAAGTCGGCAATGATAACCCTACGATGCCCTCACTTCAATTCTTCTAGATCCCAATCATTCAGAGTCACCATCCATACTCCAAGGATCCAAGACATAAACAAAACAATCGAGGAACATCACGAGATGTACAAAGTACCTTACCATCAAGGAGAAACATAGGGTTATCATATGGCTGGGGTATTTGATGGAGTATAGGCAGAGGATTAGAAGAGCCTTGAGCTTTGGAGGGGTGGGAGTGGAATAGGATCAATGGCATAAAATGCCTGTTCTTGAGTATATATTCCTAGATCACAAGGTCCAAGGAGCAATCGCAGCGACAGACTGCATCTTCTAGCGAGAGAACATCAACTCTTACGCCACCAAATACACTACATGAACGCTCCCAAATGTCCGCTAGCTTCTTGCTCATTTCGTGATAATATGCAAAGTTGTAGTCCATAGCCCAGGCTTGATGTCTGATTAAATCGTTATTCGACTCGTAGGAGACCTGTTGGTAGACTAGACGCATCCATAACGCGCGATTCCAAGCAATGGGAATCCAGAGATCCTCGCGCAGGTGTATTTACTTACAGTCAGGCCTGAACAATCAATAATGTGGTGATATTCCCAGGTCGCCGCGTAATTATACCCTCGCCACTTTATCCTAATCTGGAACGGAAACATCGCGACCCCTCCATTACGAGTACAATCCTACTCTGCCTAATATGTTCTTGGCGATTTCATAATCTGTCAATTCTTACTATTCTCATCTGTTAAATGCCGATATTCGTGTCGCCTTCTCGCTATTATCTACAACGTGTAGACCACATCGCAATCCATCTCCATTTGAGGACAGCGCTCTCCACCATGAGCCACAGCAAGAACAAACCTAAAGTAGAAGAGGAGGAAGCATTCCTCGAACAGATACCCCTCCACGATGACGTCGCCTGGCCGCGAGAAAGGCGCTCCTGCAAGCCAACACGGTACTTAAGACTAACCCTCGAGATCGCAATGGCCGCCGCAATAATCATCTTGCTCGTAACCCTCATCCACTCACGCGTGGAAGAGAGACGAAGTCCAGTGCCAAAATGTACGTTTCCATTCCATCAAATACACCGCGCCCCGTCCCAGAAACCAGACACGATTCCCAACTAACCACTCATCCACTCCAGTCCCCCGCAAAACCTACACCTTCCTCCCCAACCCCCAATACATCCAAGAAAACATGCTCTTCGACGAGCACGCCACGCTGCACACCCTGCACAACTGGATCCCCCTAAGCGCCGACGCACGGGGGTACATCCACCTGCCCACATACACCTCCTACCCGACGCTCCCACCGCCGTTCACCGTCGCCATAAACCGGACCTCAGAGGGGCCAGCGTACATGATGTCGGTATTCCACCAGCTCCACTGCCTATCGTACCTGATCTCGCACTTCCAAGCCGGGTACGGGGGCGTCAAGTTAGAGGAGGAGGTGGCGCACCACTCGGCGCATTGCTTTGACTATATACGGCAGTCGATAATGTGCGCGGCAGACACGAATCTAGAGGGGGAGACGGAGGCCGGGCCGGGGTGGGGATCGCCGCATGAGTGTGTTGATTACGATGCCGTTCTAGCGTGGGCCAACGAGCATGGGGCCGAGAGGTGGAGGAATGGGCTTTTGCCTGGGGAGTCGATATTGTGATGACAGCATCAACTTGGGCGCGTTATCGGGTGCGTCGTTAGTACAGTGTCGCGTCGCCAGGGTTTCGCCCCAGGGTCCAAGAAAAATATTTTACTTTCTTTAGCTATATAAGATTGTCCGTATCTAACGCCTTATGGCGGCCGAGATATATAATCAAATAAGTATTCCCCGAATATTCGAGTATTTTTTATATATACACCTTAAGATGGCTGGGTATGTGCCTTTGACCATCCAAAACCGAACCTATAATCCCTGTCATATAACATCATCCATATATACCGTGTTGAAGGCCCCTTATACCTGAAAGAAAGTATCATACAATTACTGCCAAACAGCAGCCTGAGTAGGGTCTTGTAGTGATGCCTGGTTCGCGTAGGCACTCATCTGTGGTGTGGGAGCGACCCCCATATAGGGTCCATATTCCTGTAATAGGTAATTCCAATCCATCTCCCCGCCGAAGTTCACGTCTGGAAATGCGGTCGCGAACTGTCTATTAATATCTATTGGAGGCATTCCGCCGCTGCCAAACATATCATTATTCGCATATAAGGGTACTGTTGCCGGAGCGGTTTGCTGTTGTTCGGGTGGTGTCTGCGGAGTTGCGACGTAAGCGCCGCTTACGACGGGAATCTTGGGAGAAGGTGTCGGAACTGGTGTCTTCTTCTTAGTTGTCTTGGGTAAATGAGCGGCAACTTGTCTCATGTGAGTAATAAGACGGGGTGGGGCTATGGTACGCCCGAGTGCGGCTTCGGCGGCTTCACGCGCATCCCATGCTTTTACAAAGAGTGGACTGAAAGATAGGTGCATCGGGCTCCGCATGTGAGTTGTCATCTTCCTCCGGTCAGCATGCTCGCAGATAGTTTCCCAGGCACGTTCACATAGATCCCCAGTTGTTCGATGGCGTAGATCAGTAAGCAGGCAGATATATGCCGGGAATGGAAAATGCATATGTGTATACCACAGGAAGCCCTTCAGATTTTCCCTTGCTTGCATCATGCTGTCGTATTCGATCATCTTAATCGCCTCGATGAAGAGATCTTCTCTCTCGACTAGCGGCAAAGGGGAAGGCGCAGTAAGTGCAACGCGGAAAAATCCTGATACTATCTTTTGCTTGCAGATATTTGCCCGAGTCATAAGGAGAGTCATGTAATGAAGAGGAACCTTGGGATCGCAGTATCTGAGATAAGTGTCTTCCATGTAAGTGGAGAAACGTTCCAGGTAACTCGACAACCGGTGGTCAGCAACGCTCGTTATGGCTTGCGGATTTGATTCAGACACTTGACTCCTCATCTTGTCATTTCCGGGAGCTTTAGCAAACTCGAGACGGGTGAGAGAGAACATCATCTCTGTTGCACCAGTATGAGGAGGAGGTGGATCCTTGGCGTGCAGATGCAAGTCGGCATCGTTGATATTAAGCGGCAGCTTGCAGTTGGCCCCGTTAGATATAGCAGTGATTATAGAACCGCAAAGCTCTCCGATTCGCCGATCGAAGCCTGCGAGGGTCCACCACAAACGCCTTCGCTCTTCAACCTCAAACGGAGATAGATTAAACTGAGCACCGTCACGATGTAACCCTATCCGCTGAGCAAGACGTACGCCTATTCCTGTCAAGCAGAATAGCGACCGAGGATCGGAGTACTGTCGAATACCAAGCTAGTATATATTAGAATTATGCCCCAAATGAACGGGTCGGGTATGTCTTATGTCTTACAAGGTATAGCAAATATGCCTGAAGCAACGTCAGATCTGGGTTGCGCATAAAGCCCGCGTTCAGAAGGGCCTGTTGAGTTGCGTAGTAGTACTTGGCTAGTAACGCAGTTCTTGAGTTGTTAAATGTTGTCTGACATTCTTCTTCGTCTACGCTCGTGATGGCCATCAGGTAAATCGAAAACATTAGGGCCTCGAGAGGCCGAGACACCTTATCGAGGTTTGCGCCAGCCTCGATAATCCGCACTTGCAGTGTTGGTGTATGTGTCAGTTTAAGGAGAGGGTTGACATTATTTAGGTATATCTGCCACAACTGGAATATTTGGATGGCTGACGGGTGCTGGTCGGTGACAGGTTCGAACTGGCCGCCAACTACAAAAGGAAATCCATCGGCTGTCTCAAACATCTTGTCGTAAGCTTGATTAATTGACGACCCAACGTCCTCCTCGTCGGATGAATCTCTAATGGTTTCACCTATTGCTCGATACTACACGGATATTAGTATTTACAAATACGAGGGGGGATAAGCAACTACTAGCCTCCTTCTGAAAAGGAAACCACTTAAAAGTCCTGTGAGCTTCGGCGTCAGTTTCGGCATTAAATCTCGGCAGTGGGTGGGAGGTTCCCCTCCGGATCTAGGACTTCGCTTACCTGGGGACGTGGGCAGCCTCTCCGGGAGATGAGATCAGATTAAGGTCCACACCGGCTGGAGACTCCTTGCTTCGCTGTCTTATAAACTCCGGTTCGAGCTCGTCACCGTCTTCAACGGAACCGGGATCCACAATCTTGACGTCCGGTCCCAACGAGTCAAATTCGATGCCATTTTGAGATAAGAGGGCTTCATATTTCCGCAAGCGCTCGACTAGATCTCGTTCGGGGATGCGCTTCTTGCGCCTCCGAGGAGGCTGGGGTGGCACAACGCGGCACTCGACGCCGGCCTTTACACAATTGGAACAAGGCTTGCTCTTATCGCACCGGACCTTACGTTGTTGGCATAAGACGCAGCTATGACCTCTTGTGACCTTGACCATAGAGGCATCTGGATTGGTGGGCGTATGGCTAAGCGAGGAGCCGGCAGGCGGCGTGCTATCATTATTTGCCGAGCCATCGCCAAGTTGCGATTCTGGGGTCGCGGGCATGATGAGGTTCTTCAGTCGGTCCCGAAGGCTGGACGGGTTCTTACACCGCTAGCGGCTGGCGTGCAGATGCTTGCCGACGTACTAACGATCGATCAAGCTCAACTAGGAAACGGAGGCGACTCTGTTCTACATGAGACGACAAGTTTTGATACCGGGTGCGGCGTTGATTGGCAAGCTGGAGCGAGAACAATAGTGTTTGATGCGGGAATTTCGGGACCGAGTGAGACTCCGCGACAGAAAAATTATGGTCAATTTGGGTCAATTTGAGTCTTGTGAGCGGGTTCGTGCAGGACTTCTGGCTGCCGTGCTGCTGTGACGCTTTGGAAAATTTGACAGATGGATGGGGGTTAAGGGGGGGTGGGAGAGAGATAGGGTCGGATCAGACCGTCCCATCAAGCCATCCGGACTTAGATAGATTTCGAGAGGGGAAGAATATGCAGGTCAAATCAAAAGGGAAAGATATGTTGCGTATTCTGTTACAGTCTATAAGGAGGCGAATGAACCCGAGGTGTGTGCGTATTGTGGTATCGAATTGATTGATATTGATGGATGTATTGAATAGTAGGTAGGTAATGAATTGGTTAGATTCCAAAATGAAGGTATGGTTCACTTGAACTTGAACAAGGAGTAGAATTCATCACTCTCCATTCAATACCTTCTTCTTCTTCTTCTTTTTTTTTCAGCGACTTAAGAAAGCGAATTCCGCCAAGATGTACCTATTGTTACACATACATCGACCCTAGTGATCCTAGAATTGCGTAGACAGGTAAAAGATAGAGCAACAGGATGTAGCGGGGATGATCTTGGGTCAATCTGGGACAATCCAGGATGAGGAGTGTTTGCGTATAATGTATAATGTAGGGGTAACCTATGTAAGTGTAGTAAGACAGTAAGACAATTCCCTTTGATACCTAGGCGGGCAAAGTGGCGACTGACGACGAGTGGAATAAAAATTGATAAAAAGTTAGCATCCTTCTCAGATCGATCAATGCAACTCATGCATCATCATATCAACTTCGAGAATAGCCCCAAGTCGACATCGGCATCAGGTAATAATCAATCACCGACAGGGCTCTTTTGATCTTTTCCCAATCGAATCGTGGGCATGGACAATTGAATAGAGTCCGATCACCGACGAGGCTGGACGAGTCTACAAGCCACCTAACGGTAGAGTATCCTATCAAAAGTCTTGTAGGAATAGAAAGATGTTGGTCGATTGCGGATTCGTTCTCCCTTTGTTATTTTCGGGAATGAAAGAGAGAGGTTCGGGACCGAAGTGACCCTTGTGGCCCTTGCTTTTTAAAAAAACAAAGTGGATCGATGGATAACCTCGGATGCTTTGTGACTTGCTCCTTCTGCACGTTTAGCACGCAACCCAAAGTAGCGCTTCCTTCCTTGAAAGTCCGACATTGAACAATTGGAAATGAACGCTAACCCTATTCTATGGTTTAGGCCAAGCCTGGTAGATCGTTTATCATCACGTGCTACATTCTTATCTAATTCAAACTCGGAATTTAAAGCGTCGGTCATCTCAGCTTCGTGTCGCGTCCGATTTCATACCCGTCCCTATTGCGTCGGGACTCCCCAATTTCTCTGCCGAGTCATACGCATAGTACTGCCAATAGCGAACCGGCTAGTACCTACATACGAATTTTGCATTTACCTGTGGCACAGATTTTAATTGTAAGTTGTATTCATGGACTCATCGATAGATGACTCACGCCGCCCTATCTACTTCTTATATCTGTCATACCTGGGGATAGTGTAGACCAAAGTAAGATTTCGTATATATCTATCGTAGGTATGTTAGGGCATCTAGTACGCGTCTAGTCGAATGGATATGTATGGACAGTAACTTGTAGCTCGGGCAACGTCTAAAGTCAATATAGACTTCTCATCCCTAGAAACAAACTCTAGAGAACTCTATGACCCCATGAAAGAAGAGGGATAACTCACTCTTAGCTTTGGCTTTTCCCGATTGGTTTCGTCCTTTCTGGTATTCCCAATCTATCTTTATCACCACCCTCGTCCCAAATCTTGCACCACTAACCTCAATGGCCGAATCGTCGCGGAGGACATCCGAAATGGGTGGCCCTCCTGCGACTACGATGCCTAGTGATGTGGAAAAGACGGCCCAGGCACCACCGGAAATCCTTGATGAAGCCGAACACAATTTCCAGCCAAAGACTTTCAAGTTTTGGTCTGTGATGCTCAGCATATACCTCGCCCTCTTTCTGGTAGCTCTCGATCGAACCATTATTGGTACCGCCATCCCCCAGATAACACAAGACTTCCACAGCCTGGGAGATATAGGCTGGTATGGTTCGGCGTACCAATTGACGACGGCAGCATCTCAGCTCGTATTCGGCAGAATTTACAAGTTTTATGAGGTAAAGAGGTATGTCTAGGATACTTCCCTGTGATAAGTTAAGTGCGACATAACTGATCATATTTTTGTCTACTAGGGTCTTCCTGATTGCTGTCGCCCTATTCGAAATCGGCTCCGTTATTTGCGGTGCGGCTCCAAATTCGATTGCCTTCATTCTCGGCCGTGCCATCGCCGGTCTTGGCGGCGCGGGTATTTTCTCGGGTGTTATGATCATCATGATTCCTTTAGTGCCGCTCCGAAAACGACCTATGTTCCAAGGTATTTTTGGAATGGTCTTCGGAGTCAGCTCGGTCATGGGTCCTCTCGTTGGAGGTGCTTTTACCGATCGCGTCACTTGGAGGTAATACTTATCACCTTATCCCGCGAGTTCAATGAACTAATATCCCGGCATCTAGATGGTGTTTCTATATCAACCTTCCCGTCGGTGCAGTTACATTTCTGTGCCTTTTGATAGTCAACCTTCCGAATAAGCCGCCAGTGCCCGCATCCTTCTGGGAACATTTTACTCGTTTAGATCCTCTCGGAACGCTATTCTTCATCCCAAGTATCGTTTGCCTCTTATTGGCATTGCAATGGGGTGGGTCGACGTACGCATGGCATAATTGGCGCATCATTCTTCTATTTGTGCTCTTTGGTGTTCTCTTCATCGTTTTCGCGAGCATTCAGGTGTTGATGCCTAATACTGCAACGGTTCCGGTGAGGATAATTTCTCAACGCAGCATTACAGCCGCAACGGTTTTCATGTTTGCACTTACCGGGGCAATGTTGATGACAGTCTATTACCTGCCTTTGTGGTGTAAGTATCATATCTTTAAGTATTCAATGATGTCACATGCTTACACAAAGATATAGTCCAAGTTGTACAAGGTGTCAGCGCCGTACAATCAGGTATCGATACGCTACCCCTCGTCCTTAGTCTTGTCGCAGCTAGTTTCGTTTCCGGAGGCCTGACACATAAACTCGGCTACTACGTGCCATGTATGATCATTTGTCCGACCATCATGTCGATAGGGCTAGGGTTACTAACCACCTTCGACGTCGGCGAGAGTTCCGCTCACTGGATTGGATATCAGTTTCTCGTGGGTTTTGGCTTAGGTATGGGAATGCAGTCAGCCGGTCTTGCCGCTCAAGCAGTTCTCCCTAAACCAGATATCCCGACTGGAATCTCCATCATATTCTTCGTCCAGCAACTAGGAGGGGCCATTTTTACATCAGTTGGTCAGAACCTCTTGAGCAGTTACATGGTCCAGCACGTGTCGGAAGTACCTGGCCTTAGTCCTGAGCAGATTACCAACGATGGTGCCACAGGACTTGTGGAAAGTGTTCCGCCTTCATCCCGACCTGCTGTGAGGAAGCTTTACAATGATGCTCTAACAAAAGTATTCCTTTGTGCTATGGGGGTGTCACTCGTCGCATTTGTAGCAGCTTTTTTCATGGAATGGAAAAACATCAAGAAGACTGGACCCAAAGCGAATCTCTCCGGGGAAATGAAAGAGGATAGCACAACTACCACCGGCGAACAAGAGACAACTATTATGGAGAATGCAGAAAATTTAGAGCGACGTTCCGCTCAACTGGAAAAAGAGGAACGGATATCCAATGAGCTGACTAAAGACACCTCGAGTTCTACCTCTAAGGTTATCGAACAGTCAACTGCTCGTACGTCAAATTAAAGTTTTTGGGGGTTAATCAATATCGAGGTTCCAATTAGCTATGCTAATGCGGCACAGAAGCATTCTGGTAATGATTCTAGGTTGAGAAGTTGGGAAGTCGCTAGGAAGTAGTGTATTATGGTTAATACGTAGAGATGGAGGATTGTAATCTAGGTAGAAGGTCATCATGGGCTAGATAGAATTAGGCAAATAACCTAGACAATTTAGATAGTGTACATAATATTATTCTGTACATACATAACACTACTATGTAAAGAAGATCTTCCGTCGTGCAGATCCGTACATATGGATACGCTTATTGATGCACGTGTATTAGATATACACACTGTATAGTGACCGCTAGCTGGTGTAACGGTCAAGAAAAGTCTAATCTAAAAATAGACGAAGGTTATTGATGCTGAGTAAAAATACGTTAAAGTCTTGGCGCAACCTTCACAGTTGCAACATCATTCTTCTGGGACCTGCAAACTTTCATAGCGCGCAAGCTATCTGCGGTGTTCTTTTGTAATAAAAGATATTATTAGAAAACTAATGCCGATAGACACATACTACCATTATATTTTTCCTGCCTCTAGTGTTTCTATTCTTCTTAAGATCCAGTGGTAGAATGGGTTGAAAGTCTAAAAAGATTATAGTCAAAGCTCTCTACAGCTTCGATTTCTAAGTCTCCTCCCTACTATATTTCTATTGGTTGATCTTCTACGAGATAACCTTGTCCTGGCTTCCCGCCCTTTTTTCTATGTCTGGTATTGGCTGATGTGGGCTTTTTGCTTGTTCAAAGACTGCTGATCTAAATGCCAATGATGTTGTCAGCCACTCATCATAATCTACTTATGCTGACCATGAGAGGAAGGTATTTAAGGTCTATCTCAGTTAGATCTATGGAATCGTGGGGTTCGATACTAGCTGTGGTCGTCTATAATAGGATCACTTGATATACCAGCATTCACCTTCTTTCCATGCTAGATCCCTCCATCGAACGTTCCTTCAGCAACCCTGACCACCATGACCAGCTGAAGTTCGAGGCGGATCAATTGGGTTTTTCTTGGCTGCAGAGGGTGGTCTATACACCCCACCTGTTTCTTCTAGAAGCTCTAAGACAAGCTTACCAGCAGAACTAAGTGTACCGATGTGGAGACGAATACCTTTAAATACAGTATTATCTGGAATTGCGCACCAATCAGGTCTATTTTACCGAGGTATAATGTCTGTTTAGCGCCATCATCTATGCTGTCAACTTGGAATCTCTACCCTAGTGCTGAATAAGTCGGTGGGGATCAAGCAGTAGCGGTGGGTGAGCAAGGTTACTAACGAGGACATTGGACAAGGTCATGCCAACATATTCATACATCTAAAGCCCCATCTCTAAGCTGGGATTAGAAGAGGGCTTGCCTATTCTAATCTACTGCATGCTCAGGCGATGCTAGGAGAGGTATTCAAGAGCTTAGTATACACCGCAATGCCATATTGCCTCACTGCAAAGGCAGCATTGAAAATCGTCTTTATCGGTCGACTATCACGCCTTGGTCTTGGCACGTTAGTTGGCATACATACTCCTAGAAGAATGCCACACGGGCTTACCACGGGGCAAGATCGACAGGGGGTACTTACCTCCCATTGACCTGTCGAAGATGTCAAGTTCCCATCCCATCCCAACGCCACTAGAACACATACTTAATGCAGCCCTGTAGCCGAGTGCTTGGTAAAGCTGGAGATAAAAATGGAACAGCAGCACTAATCCCGCCGGCTCAGACCCCGATGTCCTTAGTCAGGATGGGTCTTTCATGTTACCTTACCATTCAAGGCAGGCTAACCAAGGTAGCCCATCATCACAGTACGCAGTATGGTGCCAGCTTAATCTTATGAAGGGCCACCTTACTTATCCAGGTGAATTCCCGACTAAAATAAGCTTAATATACAGACTAAAAGGCTATTTCTATATGGAAAGACGTTTCTAGTCCCTCCTAGTCTCTCCAGTCCCAGGCAAAGGGGCAGATAGGCGATTCATGCACGGGGCAGGGCCCGGGTAGGGCCTGGGGATAGCTCGGCACCCTCATCTGCGGGACGCCATACGCGATGCGTATCATCAGATTGTGATAGTTAGTATGGGGACTTCATGCTTCCGCAAGTGAGATCGTTCCACTTGAGGGGGTTATTAAGGGAGGCCTGTAGAATGCGGTCATACGTATAATAAATATGATGAGGCGTTCATGTTCACCTTGCCCCAAAGTCGAGCGTACGTAGGTACCTATATTCCAGACGGCCAATTTGAAGAGCATTTAGAATTACCGACACCAAGGATCGACACTCTCCAATTTAGAGAAAACAATAAAGAAATCTTGTACAACCACATATTAACGTATTATCATCTGCGTCGCTTGATCTCCCATAAGCAGTCGCTGACAATGGTCCATATGAAGAAAAGCGAATGGATGACAGGTCCAACTTTCTCGGTCGACGACGTGATCGACCCGGTGCTATCAGGCAGCGACAGTGCTTCGGCTTCTACTTCGGCGTCGAAGCGTAAGAGAGCAAGCAGACCTAAGGTCCGAACGGGCTGTATCACTTGGTGAGTCTATCAACATAGAAGGGGTCGTCTACCTATCTATCTCCCATTACTAATGGTTCTCGTATAGCAAGTAAGTGTAATTCATATGCATACCTATACGTCGCGAGGCAGGATTCTAGCATAGACCCCTTTTTCGCCTAATTTCACTCCTGAAATCACGCACCGAAACATCGCCATCCACCACCTCTTTATCACGCCCAATATTTCTAATATAGGTATCCGACTAACACACCCTCGTAAAACAGAATACGACGCGTAAAATGCGACGAAACCAAGCCGGCATGCACGCGGTGCACCAGCACAGGCCGTAAATGCGACGGATACGGGGGCACCGCACCACCGCGTCCGAAGAAATCGCCCTCGGCACCATCCTCATCCTTCTCCCCACCATTAGCAACAACTTCAGCAGTAACAGACCCTTTCCTAGTGCCTGAATCGGCCGCCGGCCCGTCAGACCCGTACCTAACCAAGCGGCACGAACTAGCGCGGCACAGCTTCGCTGCAGCGTGCAGGGGAAACTCCGCCTTGCGGATCCTACGACCACTAGCCGCCGACATCGAGGGGACGGAGCAGGAGCGGCAGTACTTCCACCGGTTCCGACGGGCGGCTGAGGCCGGGCTGGCTATGCACGCGAGTAGTCTAGGAGCCGGATTCTGGCGACGCCTAGTTCCGTTGGTAGGGCAGTCAGACCCAGCGGTGCGGCACGCACTTATCGCACTAGGAGCCGCACACGAGAGCGCGCAGTTACAGCAGGAGCAAGCACAAAACCACAACATAGCAACAGCCACGATAGAAAACCCAGCGTCAGGAGTCCCCTCGCGAAGTAGAAGTCCGGACGTTATGCAACACCACCAACACCACCAACAACTATCCTACATCTCGACACCCCCACCAGAAGACAACAGCGCAAGCATAGACCAACTAGAGCTCTTCATGATCCAGCAGTACAACCTCTCGATCTACCACCTCCAGCAACACGTCCAACCCGGATCGCCAGCCGAAAGCGTCGAGATCACGCTGATCTGCTGCCTCGTATTCGTCTGCATCGAGACCTCGCGCGGGAACGAAGCCGCGGCCCTAGCACACGTTGCGAACGGCCTCCAGATCATCAAGGCCCTACCTCCAGACTCGGAACTTGTACACTTTCCCCCTGGGTCAAGCGGAGGCAAAACTAGAGCTGGCGGTAGTGCTACAAGTGCCGCATCAACGAGCGGTTCCTCACCGCGTATATCCCGTTCCGACTGGCGCCAGCTCCTCGACTTCTTCCTCGCCCTCGAGCCTAGCGCTGCCACGTACGGCTTCACCAGCAGCCAACCCCCGACTCCGCCGTGCCCGACGATGAGCGCGTGGGGAACACCGCTAGAGTGTTTCGACGAGATGTTGCCACAGTGGGATATGGAAGGCGCCGATGTAGAAATATAAGCTTTGTATAGGCAGTAATGAGAAATACCTAGAAAAGGTCTACATGATTATATACAGGCAGCGAATATTATACGTGACACATCGATTCATTGTACATCTATCTCACAGGAACTAGCCTGATCATCGTTGACAGTCGCAAGATAGCGAGACATCTTTGTGATCCCTACACTATTCGTCATCTGCTAGTAGACCAGTCTGCCCACTAACGCCATTATCCTACATAAATGGAAGGGGGTATTTTGCCAACGAAAATCAACCGTCCAAAGCTCATGAAAAACATCTGCCCTCTCCTATGACACTTTCGAATCCTTTACCAACCTCCAAACCTCAAATCAGAGACGCCCACTTACAACTTCTTTCTTGAATATCCGAACACCACAGATATCATAAAACGAATAGCCTTCGTTCAATTCAAGCTTTTGCATTGGGATCTGCTCATCTCCGTCATCGTCTTCACTTTCACTTACGTCGTCCCATTCTGTAGGCGCTACTGGGAAAGGTCCGCCACCAACGTTGTAGTCGACTTGGTTCGTGGCGGGCTGCTTTCCCTTCGTTGTAAATTTCGGCTGCTTCGGGGTTTCTGTCTTTCGGACGACCCTCACGACTCTATCATCATCGCCTAACGCGAGCCATTCCAACTTTAGTTCGGGGTGATGGGAGATAGCGTCGACTATGAAACGACGTGTCTCCCGCATGACAGAAAGGCAAGTGTCTTCAGTTCTGAAGGAAACAAGATGTAGTGCTCGAAGATTCACAAGGCCAGCTATATGCTGTAGGAAGGTGTGCTAGATGCTGTTAGCGATATTCATGTATACTCATCCATCGGTAGGCATAAGATCACTAGGTGTACTTACAATTGCATTCATGCCCATTATTACAGCCAATTCTTCCAACGCTTTCCCTCTTCTGCAAATGAGCTGTACCGTTTTTTCGTTTAGGTCCCACGAGTTATCTGCTTGATTCTTAATCATGAGACGCTTAATAGAGTGCATATCTACGGTGAATGTTGTCAGTATGTTGAAATTGGAGGGCCACTTCTTGGTAAATCATTAATGGCCTTATATATATATACTTACGCTTCTTTAAGACAAACTTGCGGATCTGTTCTATGTTCGTTCCCGGGTTTAGCGCAAAGCTCTCTGGCTTGTACTTCGGCGATCGTTGGAGCATAAGTATCTCCTTGACACATTCAAGTTCCGAAACGAATTGAAGAAATTGAAAGCTGACGTCGTCCGTAAAAACCTTTCGTAAGGGAAGGGGCTTTAATCTATTCTCTTTCATCATCAATACCCAGAATCTTCTCTGTTCGCCGACATTCAATAAGGTTACTCGAGTTAGCGTGCGGAGATCTATTGCCTTCCCCAGAATTGAAGCCTTGATCGGTATGAGATGGATACTTAGGGATTGGAGGCTGATGCCTCTGGTGTCCCGTGCATACTGACTAGCATCGTAAGATGGCTTTTCTTTCTGATCCGCAGTTGAGACTAGCTGGCCATTAATAGAGTTGGGAGGTAGCTTCTTTTGCTTATCCGTGGTTGAGGTGAGACATTCGCTGGTATCTGTGGATTCCGGGATAGAGCTCTTAGCCATGCGCTGCATCTCCTTCAAAATATTATTAGCATTACTTTATCTTTTGTATTTTAATAGTAGTTTCAATGAATTTCCAGGGGGGGGGACGCGGCTTTGGATCGGGTAGAAAGAGCGCTTACATCTATAGTATTGCCTATTTCTTTCGACTGTGCTACGTCCGTTGCAGCTACGTCATTAACTGGCTGCAGCTCAATACCCAGCTGTTCTTCAGGAACTGTAACGTCGATGTCATCGGGATTGACATCATATGATGTATCGTCTGCCTTACAGGTTCGGTCTTTTACACCATCATTGGGAGACGGAAGCTCCCCTGCATCGTTGGAGGATAGGCCTGGTTTGTCGTTGGCAGTATGGTCTTGTGTAGGGGCATTGACCTTGTCCTTCATCTCTGTCCATTCGACATATTTTGTCGCAGCTATCGTAATAGTCTCTAGGGCATCTGCTTGTTGCGGATAGGTAAACTCGCTTGTGCCATTCACGTGTTCCGCTATGCGCTGGAAGACTTTGCTGACTCTGTCGATGAAGCGATCACCCTCGCGCGATAGAGACGTCTGTTCTTGAACTTCCTCTTCCTTTTTGTTTTCTGCAACAGTGCTCGAGTTCTTCGGGTGGAGGTGCTCCAACTCAAATATGCGACCTAATACCGACTCTTGCGCCTTTCGCTCCTCCTGAGCCCGAAAAGCCTTTGCCGGTCCGCTGCTATCGTAGTTGGCCGTCACCAGGGGTACAACTTGAAACTCGTCATCCTCAGATTCATCTATTTCTGCTTCTGCGGACGGCTTTCTTGCCTGCATTGCAAGGGAAGTCGAAAATGAAAGCTTCAATTTTCGTAGCGTCGATGAAGAGTTACGTACGCAAGCTTGGATCTCCGTAATTACGTCGAGGCTATCAATGTCAAGAACACTGAGACTTTCCAATGCTCTAAACCCTGAGATCGTCGGTGGCTCCAAAATTGGAGGCGATTTCTTGGATGCCCTATTTTTCCAGGAAGGTTTGAAGACTGGAGATGGAGGTGTTAAAGTAGGAGGGGGACCGTAAAGCGCAGGTAGAGTGTTAGTAGGATTCCCCCATTGCGCAGATGGAGATGCTAACGCGAACTCCATAAACTGCGAGGTTGTGTAAGGAAGAGGCGGAGGAGGTTCGTAGAGAGAGGGACCAGCTTGCAGCCGGAGATGTAGATGCCTCAAGGTCTTAATCTCGTGGAGCTGTTTGTAGACAGGTCGGCTCAATTCGACTCGGATATTCCATCGGAAAGCATCTAGTGACTGGGCCTTTCGTAGAGTGAGAAGTAAAAGAGTATTTAAGAACTTCCCACAGCTGACTGTAGTAAGGTATGGCTTGTAGGCAGCCTCGGCCCTGTCGCCTACACTGAGTGTGTCGAGGGAGATCTCCCTCAAGTATTGCGCATAGTTGTAATCGCTGGTGGCAAAGGTAGATAGACCACCTGCAAGGCCATCGATAGGGGAATCGAAAAAGGGGTCATCTTCGTCGGGGAACACGATGTGGAAGTTACGATATAGTTGTGCAGCGGCGAAATCACGAAAGCGTCGACAGACAAGAGAAACGCAAATCAAGTCGGATTGTACGAGCTACAAGAAATTTGATTAGCTACGAACTTTTTGAATACTAGGTAGCATTGATTGTGACTTACATTGGCACATATTTCTTTCAATATCTCATCTGGCAACTCGAGTACATCAGTTATCTTGCGCGGCGTGGTAATAGACGTATTAGTTTCAAGGTCCATTACGGCGACGTGATGAACCAATGAATTCAATCAGTAGGCGCGGCGAGCCCGCAATGGGCAACAAAGAAGAAGTTGTGCCGAGTTGTCAATGAATAATTATTGTGATCGGTCGTGTAGTCGCATAAGCCTTGTTCCGAGTGTAATCTTGCGATGTGATGGTTAGTAGACAAATTGCGTTTAACACGAATCGAATAAGACTATTAAGTCTGGACTGTTAGGATGTGCTGCGTCGTAGTCGTCGCGCCCGACGTAATCACATCCGAGATACCGAGTTATGCGTGGAATCGTACGTGGATTTACTGAATCAAGAGTAAGTTGGCGCTTTGAAGAGGAGATGGGGGTTGAAAGAAGCTAGGTACGAGTTATGCAGGGATAGAGGGTAGACGTTCAAGGTGGGTAGGTTGAGGAGGCAGGTACGTATGTAAGAGGACCAAACCCGGCTTAATGCTTGTGAGATTGTATTATACGTAGAGTTTAACGGCGCTGCGGCGGACACTAAAAAAGTACGCACAAAGTGAACCTCAACCCCACCAAGTGTATGGGGCTAACAGGCGGACGGGGAGGCAGGTACGGCCGGAGAAACTTGCCTGGTCCCATGAGGAGGTACGTACTTGCTATGGTTCATTTGGCGGGGAAGATTCGGGAACAGTCGTAGATCAGATTTTCCACTTGGCCGTTCGAGGTTAGCAACGTTAAGCTTGATATTACATTCGACGAGGTTCAAAATTCAAATTAGATAAACGACAATGCCTTCTTATAGAATAAATAGATAATTCATTCAATATATACACTCCGCTAGAAACATGAAAACTTAGGTTAATATCTCCTACAAGGAAGTGTAAATATGTACTTGAGGGGATCCCTACAGGACCCGTCAACTGTAAGGCCACTTGGAAAGAACACCGGAAAACCGAGCTAGCGCATCTATATTTATAGGGGGCTTGATTGTTATAGGCCTGGCACCTAACTCCTATAGTTTCCATGCAGCCTTATTACTAACAGTCGACGTAAGTCATCAGCATAGCACTGGTAGGTAATTAGTGCTCCACAACCATAGTCGGACGGAGTAACGCTTCCAACGTATGCACGACTTTTAGGTGGCATACATGAACTATCCCCAAATTAGAAGCTCTTATTTATGAGCGTTGTGATAAAAAGAAGTTATCGATCCATGTTATATAAGGTAGGTACATAGATAGGCATCTAACTTACCTGCTTACGTAGTAAATTCCTACGAGACTCAACATTAGATTTCTTAGTTGGGTAGGTACATATACCAGTATAAACCTAAGGTGGTAATCATGTTCAAGTACCCAATATCTCGGGTTCACTCTTTCTAAGGTTGATAAGATTTAGCTTTGCATCCAATATTTCTTCTATGGAAGGCCGCCCTTTTCTTATAGCTTCGGCGCTTTTGGCCATTTAATCGTTAAGAAGGTGAGTCACTTAAGAAAGATACAATGCCATTATCTAGGTACCGAAGTTATGTCTGATCATTACCAGTATCTGCTTAGAAATCTGGGAATCTGGGAAAATAAAGATCACATCTTGAAAATCGACATTCCCGATTGCTTGGGACCCCCAGAAGATGTCGAGCCTATTGGTAGAAGCTTATTGCTGTACTAGGATTATTCCACGCTAGCTCAGGTGTTTAAGTCGATTCCCGTTTCTTCTCTTTTGGTCAACTGGTCGAGTAAGCAAGAGCGAGGGGCGGAAGGATCGCTATTCCCCGCTTTAGCTGGGCTGTGCAGCGTGCTAACGTGCTAACGCTCCGCCATCGTTTATCAATTGACAATTCCAGGTTATCATCATCATCAACATCCAATGCTGCTTTTTCATTCATTGGACTAAATCTGCATTGGTGGTCTTGCCATCTGCCCATTCGTTTTCCTACTGTTTTTATAGTGTCATTTAAATTCGACTAGACTCTCGTTTCGATCATTATATATTATCTGACATCTTGCTAACATTAGCGATCCCGCCAGGTTGTTTTTCACGCGCTTGCGTAATTGGGTATTTTTTTTTGTTCTACCGGAATACTCCTTTTCTCAATTTTCAGCATGGCCGATGTCGATGAGCCCAAGTTCAATTCTCTAGCAGATCGTATCGCAGCTTTGAATAAACAAAAGAATTTCACTAGTCCTCCCACTTCTGCGAAACGACCTCCTCCACCTCCACCTCCCGGCGCTGGTAAGCCTTCATTCCAGGCTCCAGCGCCAACCGTAAATAGACCAACCCCACCACCAACCCCTAATCTACCTGCTCGGCCGCAGAAACCAAACGCACCTAGTCTACCTCGACGGACTAATACGACTGGATCTGCTATTGAATCACCACCTGCCTTGCTAGGACGCGATGCGCCACCACCGCTCCCGAACCGCAAGAATTCCACTCAACCATCGCCTGCTTTGCCAGTTCGTAGGCCATCAGCGCAACCGCTACCTAGTAGAAGGGGTTCCAATTCGTCTGAAGTATCCCACATCTCAACCATCTCGAACCTCTCATTAAATCCTGTATCATCTCGCACGAGCACGACCTCTACCGAAGCGCAACCTGCGCGAAGAGTACTCGCCCCAAGTTTTGACCATGCGAAACTTCCACCACTTCCACCATCAAGAAAGGAGAGGGAGGCGCAGGCAGCTAGGGAGGCCATAGAAAATGAGCATACAGAGGTCGTTAAAGCGCCTCTTCTTTCAGCAAGATCCGCTCCAGCAGTACCACAATCGCGACCCGGTCTACCACCAAGGTTACCCTCCAGGTCTAATAACTCACCGGCGCACTCACAATACGATGAAATACCTCCTGCAAATCCCCGCCGCCTTCCACCTCCTCCCTCCGCATTTGTGCGTCCCACTACTACCTTCAATTCAGACAGAACACCCAGCGCGCCTGGCCGAAGACCTCACGACGATGCGCCGCCTCCAGTACCAGTTAGTTCACGGCCGACATTCTCTCAGATCGATGCGGTTGCCGTCCGTACAAGCACCAGCTGTCTAATATGTCGAGATTTTTCAGCTCCAGATAACGTAGCTGCGCAATATCCCAACCATTCTCTCCCAAGGCATGACCCAGTCGGCTATTTGGCGAACGTGCTCTGCAGTCCCTTTTCGTCAGCGACTGACAAAGCGAGGGCTATATTCACGTGGTGCCATCACAACGTTGCTTACAACGTAGAAGAATTTTTTGGGAAATGTATCAAGCATAGAAATGTAGACGATACCATATTTTATGGCAAAGCTGTTTGCCAGGGCTATGCGGAAGTATACCAAGCTATTGCTCAGCGTGCCGGGTTGCAATGCATCGTAGTCGGTGGCCACGGAAAAGGCTATGGCTATAAACCTCTCGCGAGTGGACAGCCGCCCCCGCCGAGAGACCCCTCAGGCCGTATGTACTTTTCAAGCATTTTCTTTTTTTATCTGTCTCATGATTGTTCACTCTAAGTGAATAGCAACCGCTAACATCAATATTGACAGATGCTTGGAATGCGGTCTGTATAGACGATGGTGAATGGAAGTTGCTAGACGCTTGTTGGGGTGCTGGCTCGGTTGGCGACGAAAAATATCACAAACAGTTCAAGCCTCAGATGTTTTGCTTAAGCAATGACTTATTTGGGCTTAAACATTTCCCATCAGACGAACGTTATTTCTTTAGAGATGACGGCCGTATCCCAACGTGGGAAGAATACATCGTCGGTCCGGTCAGAGGTGAAAAGGCCGAGTTTTACGGCACAGCAACTGACGAGGGCGTCTCCGAGTTTACATTTAGCCCTGCTGAGAAACATGTTTCTGTGTATAGCAGGGAGGTAGTGCGATTCCAGTTTTCGAAGGTTTGCGAGCATTGGAATCCTGAGCGGCATGGGAAAGGTAGAAGCTACCTGCTCCTCATGAAGATACACGGATTAGATGGTAGGAAAGAGGATTTAGTGCCGTTAGAAACAGACGGGTTCTGGTGGTGGACTGATATTCCTGCGAGAGATTTGGGAGCACCCGGCCAGACCATTTTCCTGTATGCACTTACAACCCTTAACAACAAGGATGCGAGAGGTGTCACTAAAGAAGAGTATTACCGGGTGAAAAACGGCAATGGTTATAGCATGAGCTGGGCGATTTTTGCTAAGTGGGAGCTAGTATAGAATAACATTGTAACATATCTAGGATGAAAGGACAAGGTTGATAGGTGGTATACCCTAACATAGACGCTCTTAAATATAATATGACGTTTCCGTGATCTTAAGCCGTGTCAAGGGATTTTCTTTGTTGTTGGTGAACCCGGGAATTATTCAGAATACGGGGAATCAGCTATTTAAAAACGATCCATGGCGGTTTAAACTTAATATATAGGGCTGTACTAGTCATATAAGATTCCGAAAGTATTTCTGCTAACTTCAACATATGTGGACTTAAGACTTGAGTGGGACTCCGATGCTTTCCCCAGATTTTACAGAACTGACTCATGAATTGACCTAACGAGCTAGCTACCGCTCGTTAACCTAGTAGTAGGTACTTAAATAGTACTATCAGGGCTAATTTTCATGAACGACTCTAGCTACTTACCTGGTGGGTTTGAAGGATATTTAAGGAGTTGTTGGTAAACTGACCAGCTAACGGCTCTGTAATGACACCCTGAATTTGAATCAACAATTGGATATTAGGTAACTTAACGAGCTGACGAGTTAACTTCAAATAGGGCAACTGAAGTTACTAGACTAGACTCTCCTACTGGCCCTCATCCCATAATTAGAAGTCTTAGGGCTTGTGATTGTTAATATCTATATGCCGGAACTCCGGGAAAACCCACCGGCATACTTATGTATATATTGTGGGCCTCTACGGGGTTGAGACGGCGATAATATCAAAAACACGGACATGGTTTCGGGATTGAAAATTCGGGGAAACAATATCGAAACTGGCGATAAGGTCGTAATTTCTGTAGTTATGTATCTAAATATTTTAGCATCTCTGGCACATCGCGTTGGAATGGACTTTCTTTATTTAAAATTGTGGGTATGCCGAGTTCGGGGCACAGCTCTCAGCTCTGTTAGCCCTGTTTGCTTAGGTAGAGGTCGCGCAGGTCTTGGCAACATTGAACATCTTCCTTTTTCCAAGCCGGACCTCTCATTTCTCCGAATTGAGCGTCTGCTTACGGTCCAACCGAGCTAGAGAAAACTTCGATGAGTAGAGCATCATTTAATCTACCTCTAAGTAATTAAAAATGGGAGCATTACGTTTGAATTTCCGGTGCATATTGCTCTTACTTGGTCTTGCTTTCGCAGCCAGTGTCGCAGCTAGGGATAGCTCCGAACCCGCATCGCGTGCCTCCTTGAGCTTGGATGAATTGGGCGAAAAGCTCCAGGTAAGCCTCTCACAAACAATTACCGAAATATAATTCTAATATCGAGTCCCAGACCTGTGCGATTGTGCAGGACCTTAACGCCGAGAAGCTCAAAGACGCTTCGGAAACATCGACCTTGACCTCACAGATCTTCGCTGTCTTATTTCCTGGTAGCCCCGCTGTCAACGCCCTTCTTGCGACACTCTACATTTCAGGACCCCCGAATTTTCTATTGGCATTATGTCCGCCCAATATAGATCCCTCGTCGCTGTCGGTTATGGTAGCATTTGCTGTGGGAGGTTTACTTGGTGATACGCTCTTCCATTTACTACCCGAGATCTTTCTCGGAGAAGATAGCCCCGAACATGTCCGATTCGTTCTCGTCGAGCCCAACCGCAACCTACTCCTCGGTGTCGCTATCATGGTTGGTTTTATGACATTTGTGGCTATGGACAAGGGATTGCGAATAGCGACAGGCGGCGAAGGACACGAGCATAGCCACGGAAATCATTCCCATGATATACCGACGCAGGCCAAGGCTACTTCTAGCTCTATAGAAGTTTCGAAAGGAGAAGTTTTAAACCGCAAGAAGGGCGATAAAAGCATCGCCGAAGCCCCTAAACAAGATACCGAAAAGGAAATCAACGCCAGCGTGAAGTTGGGAGGGTATCTAAACCTGATGTGAGTCCACACAAGCCCTTGAGAACGGAGATCTATTTTGAAGATTACTTACTCTTTCGTAGTGCCGATTTTACACACAACATCACAGATGGGCTTGCTATGTCAGCGTCGTTCTATGCGTCACCTACCATTGGTGCCACGACTACGGTAGCGGTATTCTTTCATGAGATTCCTCATGAAGGTGAGTAAATCCCCAGCCTTTCCAGGCCATTGGATTTATTGGAAACTCACCATTACCTAGTTGGTGATTTCGCATTGCTCATTCAATCTGGCTTCTCGAAACGAGCTGCGATGGGCGCCCAATTTGTCACAGCCCTTGGGGCTCTTTTAGGAACACTCATTGGCATCGCCGTCCAAGAATTTGGTGGCGGCAGCGGCGTCGATGGCAAGGGAATCGGCATGACTGGTGGTATATGGGGCACTAGCCTAACGTATGGCGACATGTTGTTGCCTTTCACCGCCGGAACGTTCCTATATGTGGGAACAGTAGCAGTAATTCCAGAGCTACTGGAGACTGGTCCTAACAAGGCTTTAGAACTTCGGAAGACTCTTGTGCAGTTTGCGGCTATCGCGTTGGGAGCTGGGATCATGCTTTATATCTCATGGGATTAATTCATCATACTTGGCAGCATAGATCGGTTGGTCATAGAAAGGCGTAGCATCTGACAGTAGACGCGTAAGCTGGTCGAACTCATACAAGACACAGGCTTACTATGAGAGTTGAAAGTCGACGAAAAGGGATTACTATACTTACCTCTGGTTGCCGTTAGTTCTGGCCCCGCTAAATATAGGAGATGAGTCTGGCTTTTCGCTTCGCATTTCTCTTCGCGACGATTGCTAGATGCTATCAAATCGCGCGGAGGCGGAAATATCAACGCTCTATTCACCTACGATAGCCGTTGGAAGCCGTACCTAGTAGTGTGGTGGAGATGTCCCCATTGAAAAAAAATTGGTAACATTAAACACGAAATGCCAAGAAGATCTGGCATCGCAACCCGTTCCTGCATCTGCGAGACCCGTTTCAACTTGATATAAATGGTTCTCGACCTCAGAATTTACATAATATATACATGTTTTATCAGATCATTTCACGTGGTAGCACAAACATCCGAAACAATCGAGAGATGATAGTACGTCTTTCAATATGGATTTGCCCGAGATGAAGAAGCATCGCCTACTCGACATCAGTTGTCAAGCCATTGATATATATCTGTACATAATGAAAATAGACCCTTAACAAAGGATTTCTCCATTACGAGGAAACGAACTAACATATTAACTATCTCCACGTTCTCGCTACTTCTTGGTTGGTTGGCTATCAAGGTCACTAGGGGCTACAGCCTACAGGGCTGGGTTATTAATCGTGGAAAGCCGAAGTCGGAGTATATTGGGTGTGATGTATTACATAAACTTCAATGAACTTCCAAGTTGCTCGAATTTTTCTACTATATTTCATACAGTATATCGCACACAGTATTATGTATTACACTCATCTACCTACCTATGTAGGTACCTATGTAAATTTCACGATTATTTGCAGCATTCAACTTCCAGGATTCATGTGACTGGTCTCCATCCTGCAATAAGCAAATAACTGTGAATGTTCCACAGTTTATTCCTTCGGTAGGAAATTGTGGAATACTAGTGCTGCTTTAATTCGCCAGCTGTTAATTTTGGTAAGCCGTACAGGCATATCGAGATCACGTCTTCCATTGCCAATTGCTACCAGGAACAACATCATCAACCTAAACATCGCATCATGTATTCAGTCTATGCCACCATGTGGGAAACCCCATAAATATGTAGATGGGTTGAAAATCTGTTTCCTTATACGTGTACTAATACCTATCTCGAATGCCAGGTACTCAATGAGAATTATCGAGCCTCAAAGACGTGTAGGTATAAAATGGTGTTGCAGTTGCATTATTCAAACGATGATCCATCTATGACTCTACGATCGAAAATAGAGAAAGAGCTATTTTTCCCAATCGGGTAATTATCACATCCCAAACTTGGACGCGATAGGTCGACGGGTTAAGTTTTAGCGAGCGTTAGTGGATGTCAGAGGTATTCGAACATTGAAGGGCGCGCTTTACAAGCTTTAAAATGCTGGCTGGTGGATCTTAGCCCTGGTCGAAGCTGAAGCGGTCAAATTTAGCTTAATAATACTGGAGCAAGGGCCACATGTAGGTACCCAAGCTGCTAAAAAGTTAGGGAAGCTACCGGTGATCGTCCCGGGAAGCGTTAGCCACAGATCCATGATTTTTTTTTAACCTTCTCCGTCTCTTCTCCGTCTACAATTCCCGTCACCAACCTCACTAACTCGTTCAGAGAAAGCCGAGAACGGTGTTTTAGTGAGCCGCATGACAGCCAAAGTCAAATAATTGGGGGATCTGGGGATGATTCTCATTCTGGGGATCTCTTATTCGACCACACGTGGTGTAGTGTACCTTCACTATTCAGGGTCAATCTAAAATTCGATAGTCGATGGCGTGTACTTGAAAGGCGCAAAGTCACAAGTGTTCTCGAAGACTCCGAACGCCTAAAACGCCATATTCTACCCATCCATATCCATATTTCCCCTTGGCTCCACCATTCCTACTAGTTTTACGTACGACAATTGGACGCTTCTTCCTTTGGAGGTAAAGCCTCGAGTTGGTCACCTTTAGAGGTCAAGCGTAACCAAAAAGTTTTTTCCTTTGTAAGTCAACCACCCTCAAACTTGGACCCCAGACCTCCAAGTCCCAAATAAAACAATGCATGCCAACTTGACAAGTTGATTGCGCTTCTGCATGGCGCGACAACCCCTGCTTTGGACAAATCCGTTCCCATGTCAGGCCACCAGGGTCTACATTTCTACGTCCAACAGAAGACATGAAGGGCGGAGCGATCCCAATACTCCTTACGTCAGAACGGAGGACTTCTTGTCACAACTATCTTAATAATACATGCAAGTCTAAACTTCGATCAAAATTCCTTCTTCTTTTCTAGATGACTCAATGACTAGTGTCGAAGAGATTATAGATCAGATAATTGTGGATTTTCTTTTAGTTTCTTCAATCTATAAACCACCTACAACCATCTACCTATAATTATATAAATCTTTTGACCCCCCATCGCCGCCTCTATACATTCACTGCTACTACAAGCTATTGATACCATCACGTCGTACCCCCTTTCATTGTTGAATACAACGAGCCTAGTATACAGCCCCGAAGAAGTTCTACCATCGAGGTTAAATTTAGCATCACTCTATTCTATCGTCATTTTATTGTTACTGGTACTGTACTGCAGTTTGTTGTGGTTATATAAACAGCACTTATAGCCATCCCCCCCTATTTCCGCTCAACCCCGCAGATTAGGATCCTAGGCATCAGCTGGAACCCGAAGATAAAAGCATACGCCCTCTTTTTCATATAGCTACGAAATCACAGATACTACGCCTCGAACGTTTCACCCTCAAGGTTGAGGTCCGCACATCAAGAATGCGATCTACCGCGTCTTCGGAGCACAGCAAGCCCGCATCGCTAGGCGGCTATGCTCGCAAGCTGTCTATTGTTCCTAAGCCTAGCATGACCATTCACATTAACAACCATTACCAGTCCAAAGTCTACACCACTGGGTCAGAGGTATCAGGATATGTGATCATCAACTCCCCGAGCGATGTACGATTCGACACAATCCAGGTTGTACTCCTTGGGACCAGCAAAACCCGCATGGATGCCGTTAATATTCCACAGGCAACCTCTCACACCTTTTTGAAAGTCGTCATGCCTATTCCAGAATCCTCCTATCCAGTTCCGCGTATTTTCGAAGCCGGTGTAAACTATACAGTACCATTCACTTTCGTCATCCCTAGTACTTTAACGCTCAATGCGTGTAACCATAGTGTTGCCAATGATTCTGTTCAAGAACATCATGTACGGCTGCCACCCACTATTGGTTCTTGGGAGAAGGATGACTTTGCACCAAACATGAGCCGTGTTCAATACGCGATCAAGGCACGTGCGTATCAGGAAGATATGACCGGCGGGCAGAGTCTTAAGGTTATGGAGGCTGGACATGAGATCAAAATCTTGCCTGCAGTCTCAGAAGATGCCCCTTTAAATATCACTAAACACGACGACTTGTACACCATGACTAAGAGCAAGAACCTGCGGAAGACCATTATATCACCAAAGTCTGGGAAAGTGACTGTCACGGCTTCACAACCTGGACCCGCTATGCTGAGTCCCGATGGACAAACGATGACGCCGATAACCGTTCCGCTCGATCTCGAATTCGTACCGGCTTCCGGCGAAGTTCACCCGCCTAAAGTGACTGGCATAACCTCAAAGGTCACAGCGGTCACATACTTCAGTGCCGGTGGTATCAACCACTTTCCTAACCTCAAAGATTGGCACCGAGCATTCGGATGTGAAAGCCGCGGCTCATACTCTGGTACGACATCTGTATCCACAGGACGTTTTGAGCAAGTCAGATGGAGTCGACACATAACGGCACAAGCGAGACGAGATTCTGGATACGGTAGCGATAGCCTGGCATCGTCTGACTCGGACCAAGTGCCCAAACCCGCTCCTAAAAAGTCCAAGGGATCTACAGCATCTCCAATCTATCACACGACGAGTGTTCAGGTACCGATTGAATTACCAGTACATAAGAAGACATTCGTACCGACTTTCCATTCATGCATTACCTCCCGCGTATATATCTTATGGTTGACGATTACATTGGTTTCCGGTGGCACTAGTGCACATGTCACCTTAGGTGTGCCGCTTCAAATCGGAGTCACCTCCGTAGAATCACTTGGCAATTATGCAGAACTACCTCCTAGTTTTGAGGAAGCGGAAGGAGCGGATATTGACGAGTACCTGCGTCCGCGCTTCATGAGCGTCCCTTCAGTTGAATTTCACCAGAACGAAGCGTTACCAGGATATGCGGACCTGGACCATTATAGACGGACACTAGCTGCGCACTAAGCGAGTAGCTATACGGCGGCAACTTTGTTTTATATTTGGGTTATATTTCTCTTTCCCCGTGAGACATCTTACACGGGATTTGATACCACGCTCATTGGATTGAAACTTTTGGGCGAATATTTGGACAGCGCGGCGTTTAGGATCGGAGGCAGTATGTCTCTACAAAATAGTATGTTCAAATTGGTATATAACCTTGTGATCATCACCGGTGGTGGTATTTTCGTTTTCTTGGGTACGAATCTTCAAATGGGTCTTGGACTGGTCTTATGAGTTAGCTTAATGTTCAACACGAACCTTCGGATCTAATGCTCCAAATCATGCGTATATATTTATTGAATAATGAAATCTAATTTGACCTGCTTACATATATCAATACATATTTCCCCTCGCAATTGAGAACGTCGTAAAGTTAAGACAATTTTACCTGCCCAGGTGCCTTACAAAACCCATCCAGTTTCTGCAGCTTCCCCCTTTCCCCCATACTACCCAACCTTGAAAGTAAAGATGGGAAGACCCAAAACAATGGATCGCTTATTAATGTATGTGACTACATCTCTAGCAACTCTACCTACAGCTCGCTAAAGGCTTGAGGTGTCTAGACCATCATCTGACTACGCTACGGCGTAGATCCCGAACCCAAGGCGAAAGAGTCATGAATGGATGAGTGGAGACCGAGGTCGGTAGGTCACCCACTAGACGCTTTCTTCTCCAAAACTTCACATGCTTCGATGCGTACCCACCTGAGCTGGGGTAGATAGTACGAAACTACTCCATGATCCTGAGGTGTAATTGCTATTACAAACACGCATATCTATGTAAAACATCGCTTTTTACTTTGACGGCTAAGTTTGGGGACTAGGGATCTAGTTTCGCCTTAGGGTTAGCTTCGATAATATGGCGAAGGGCGTAAACACGGCATATGGATATTGAACGCTTGTGTATGCCGTATAGGGCTAGGGAGGCTGGAGATGTAGATATTGTCTAGCTAATGACTCGATATGATTACGAATAAATATCAGCCTAGAAAATGAAAGGACCAGTGGACAGAACACGGTTCTCAATTCTTATGTGGCCGGGTACATTTATATCAGGCGAAGGAAATTCATTATTTATTGTAGCTAAAGTATGTTGAAGCTGAGCTCTGTTGGAAGCCCACTTCCGTTTCTATGTACAAAAATGAATTGCTACCTTGTATAGGTACCGAATAAGACTTCCATACCTAGGTAGGTAGTTTTGCCATATATAAGCAATTGTCTAGAAAATGGGAGAAATTGAAACTTCCTACTTTATGATTGCCGGTTCTGCCCATAGATATTGAATTTGTTGGACGCACACCAATTGAAAACCTCACTCCGCCAGTCTTACTGCCAATTTGGTAATTTCTATGACGTCTCGGGAGAAGCAATTCAAGTTTACATCTTAGTATATAAAACTTGGAGCACTAGAGACTTGGTCAAGCGTCTGAGTTTGTCGTTAAGGATAAATGTGTGCTGGCTGTCATGTCACCAGCGATGACCCCCTATTCAACATGGAGCGTAGTCAACGAATATAAACAACCCTGAAACTCTGTTAACTATTGATAATACAAAATGATTAACTTCAACCAAATATCTTACTCTGGTCAATCTTTCCTGATGAGTTGTTAATTGGGGGGTGGGTTGGGGGTTCATAAGGACTCGTACCGCCGCAAAACGAATCGTTTCCCTTTCTACCTCAACCGACCCCTAAATCCGGGTAGGCTCAATACCACCACCTCCTATTTTAAAACATAGGCATTCAATCACATAATTCAGCATATCCAAACACAGCATAACAAATTTCCTCAGAAGTGTAGGCATGTATTCGCTATCAGCAATTATACCGTCACATACCACAACGGACGTCCCTATCTTAGAGCAAATCTCCCTCGCTAGAATGCTCAAATGCGATCCCTGGACTCCTCATCGAGAAACCCTCGATCCGACATGCGCGGGTATACGCAATGCATAATCCTCATCCACGTCCTAAGGGCGAATAGGTGATCCCTACCATCTCGGCTAGTTATATCTCATCTTTTCTTCGCTTTCACGTGGTGTACTCCTTCTGAAGCAACTTGGCGATCGTATTCAATCTGCGATCCCTCGTTAGTTTAAGAGTTCCTAACTTTTTCCATGGAGAGATTGGATCAACTTACTGAATATTGCTCGTCCCCTCATAAATAGCACCGATCTTGCTATCGCGCCAATACTTCTCGGCCAGCCCCTCTCTCACGAAACCCATTCCACCCATCCACTCAACAGCCAGCCCGCTAACACGCCCCGCGACCTGCGAAGCGTACAGCTTCGCCATAGCCGCATCTCTGACGAAATCCTCACCGGCCTCCTTCTTGCGGGCGGCGTTATACACGAGGGCCCTCGCGGCGGCGATCTCGGTATACGACTGCGCGATCTGGTGCTGCATGCCCTGGAACTCGCCGACGAGCTTGCCGAACTGCTTGCGGTCGTTCCACACGTACTTGACCGCGTTCTCCCACGCGCCGAGCGCGAGCCCCGTCATCTGCGCCGCGATGCCGATGCGGCCCTCGTTCAGCAGCCCGATGGCGTATTTATACCCCTCGCCCTTGGCTCCCAGTAGATTGGCTTTGGGGATCTCGACGTCGTCGAAGTTGATCGCGCATGTGCTGCTCGCTTTGATGCCTAGCTTCTTCTCCTTCTTCGCGATCGAGAACCCCTTCGCGTCTTTCTCTACTATGAAGGCTGTGATGCCGCGGTGGCCTTTGCTTGGGTCTAGGTTTGCGAAGACGATGAAGAAGTTGGCTTCCATCGAGTTCGTGATCCACATCTTGCCGCCTGTGATGCGGAACCCGTCGTTCGTCTCGACGGCGCGCGTGGCCAGTGCGAAGGCGTCGGATCCTGAGACCGGTTCCGACAGACAGAAGCTGCCGACAGTGTTGGTGGCGAGGCGGGGCAGGAATCGTTTCTTGAGATCGGTACTGCCCCACTTGAGGATCGCGGTGTTGACTAGGGTGTTGTGGACGTCTACCATGACGCTTACACTGGGGTCAACACGTGCGAGCTCCTCAATACCGACGATCGCAGCGGTGAAGTTCATGCCTGCGCCGCCAAATTCTTCGGGGATCTCTATCCCCATCAGCCCTTGCTCGAAGAGCTGCTCTACTAGTTCAGGGTCCATGTTCTCAGCCTCGTCCATGTCGCGGACCTTCGGCAAGATTACATCGTTGGCAAACTTTTGGACGGCTTCTTGCATCGCCGCTTCGGTCTCGGATAGGTGCGATATTGGTGTGGGTGGGATATCTGCGATATCAGTCATGCGGCGGGGTGTAGCGGACAAGCATCGTATTCTACGAGTTTGCAATATTAATATAAGCTATTGCGATGAGGGGTTTCGCTGGAGACTCACTGTTGAGCACCGAATTTCTGCGGTGACCTTCTTAAGCATCGTGACGATAATGAGACTCTAGGAGCTACCCCTGAACCCCGCCGTAAGGCTGGCCGAAGAAATCTTGCGATCGATGACATGGTAGAAGCAGCAATTGAAGGTAGTTGAAGTTCACAAATACAATTCACAAACGAGGGGCAAACCCTTTTTGAATTATAGAAGTAGTAGGCAAGGGAGGATGGAGAAAGGAGAAATAGATTACTCGTACACAAGAAGGTGAGAATAAGAACATGAAGGAGGAAATAAGATAAGAATGTACTCCCCGTTACAACATTCCCCGGATTTGAACCTGCCCAAACCGCCGAGCGGGTTGGTTCTGCCGAGGATAGCCATGACCCGTGGCCCGTGGCTGGTGAACAATGGATTGGGAATTGGGGAAGAGCGTTGACGTCGATCAGCTGAACGAACATCTGGGGAGGCGAAAATAGCGAATCAGATCGCCGAGAAGGTCTCCGCCCGGTTGGGGTGCCACTACCAATTATTAGACATGTGAATGTTAAAAAGTAAAAAAAATTGAAAGGTACATGGGTACTTCGTACATATGTGCGACAAGACACGGAGTGGGGATATGACCGGACCGATGTCACCTGACCTCGAATTTTCGAATCTCGCCAATTGACATTCTCTTGGTGATAGCTTCATACGGGAAGGCTCCTACCGAATTGAAAGACTCGGCTTCAACACAGTCGAGTACGTTCCGCCATGGCCGCGCCAATATTCAGATCCCTCTGGTACTCCCTAGCGAGGCAACCGACCACAATATCAACACCCCTCTCCAGACTGCCGTTGCGGCCATTCTCGACGACACCCTCACCGAACGCGACGCTAAACCAAGTCTTACGAGTATGCTCCCCCCAATTTCAGACAGCGATTGCGACGCACCATTAATGAAAAGAAATAGGGATGCCGTAAACCCCAGCGCGCGCGCCACGCCGTCTCCCCAGCCCTGTCAGATATGAACTGCCCGCAGCAAAAAGGCGTGTGCTTAAAGGTCGGCATAACGCGGCCCAAGAAACCCAACTCTGGAGAACGAAAGACCGCACGTATTCGCCTTTCTAGCGGCCGTATGATCACGGCCTACATCCCCGGTGAGGGCCACAATATCCAGCAGCATTCGGTCGTGCTTGTTCGAGGTGGTAGGAGTCAAGATTGTCCCGGTGTGCGGTATCACTTGGTTCGGGGAGCTTTGGATTTGGTACGTCGATGATTATTCTGTTATTGTGTTTGGATTTGATGCGATTGAGGGATTTCTAGCGAATACACTGGTGCTTCTGCTAACTCGAAAACTCATATAGGCTGGTGTGGGCAATCGCAAGTCGAGTCGAAGTAAATACGGAACGAAGAAACCGAAGAAGGCATCAGTGGGCGCATAGGGCGGAGTACGAAAGCTTGAGCACTGTATCTGATTTATATCACATCCTAGAGAGGATCTTAAAAACCTCTTGTCAATCAGAGGTTTCAGGGGCATCGGACACGAATTGTACATTTACATGACGTTATGCAAAATAACTCGGAGCATTCCCATTTCAGATGGTGCCACCATAAACTTGTATCTACAGATGAAAAAGAAAAAGACTCCGATATCATCACTGAATTGATGAATCCATGGACGCCAACCTCCTTTCCCGCCGTCAATACCCCCTATGGTGATGCGTTATGGTAGATCGTCATTAGAAAATGATTAGTGTCTACTCTACAATCGTTTTTTCCCTCATCCCGTTTTTATCTAGTCCTGTTGATTCTCATAACCTTGCGGCTTCTCCAGCCCGTTGACCTCGAAGTATCTTGAAGTACCTATGAAATCATATTAGTCAGAACAATATCAAGGAGGTAATATGGGCACATACAAGAATATCCTTTCCAGTCAAAGTTTTCCTTGGGATTACAGTGGCAGCGGAGATCTAGCCGCGTCTTCTCACCAGTCGGACAGTGGGTAAAAGGAACGTGGTAATATGCGATGTCGTTAAAGAAGTGGAGCTCTTCCTTCTTCAACAAGAGAGCGGCGGCGATAGAGTGGACAGGTGCATCTCCCCATCGCTCGTAGAAAAATCCACCATCCATATCGAGGGACTCGAAGAAGTCGACATACGCTTTAGATCGAAGCCATTCAAGGTTACCGACCTCGAAGTTAGACCACTAAATATATATTAGCTTAGTTAAAAGTAACGATTGGCATGTAACTTACGAAATGACAGTGGTTATAGGTTTCGCCGCCGTCATCACTCAAGAAACCCATAGAGTTGCCCTCAGCAATGTGCTCAGGGTAATTCTTCATGAATTTCTTGACGCTGTCCCATAGTGTGGGGATAGTCTCGACGTATTCATATAGACTAAGCACGAAGCTGTACTTCTTCTTGTTCTCAGCCATGAAGCGGAAAGGATCATAGTGGATATCACAGAAAAGCTCAATGCTGGGCTCGACTCTCCAGTAGTATTCGTAGTTCATCATCAGCGGCTGACGGAAGAAGAAACCGGACTCGAAGCGGCACATGTGTCGGTAGCTGACGGAGTCGCCATAGATAATCTTTCGCTGCGCCATATCCTCACGGACCTTGCGCGCTTTGTCCTGGTCGATATGGTCAGGGAATGACCAATGCTCGTGGGGAATTTCGCCATAGTAAGTTTTTCCGGAAACGAGAGAGCTGGTAACCTTCTTGAACGTAGCATCAAATGGCTTATCATTCAAAAAGACCCAATCATAGTTGTATCGGCGGTTGAAGCGATCCTCGACTTGGCGAATAGAGCGAGCAATCTCCCATACGTCACTGTTACGAGCAAGACTGACAAATGTAGCGTTCATACGAGGGCCAGGGGCAGTTCCCAGAAGCTCATCCCATCCTTGGTCAGACGGCGATAGGGCCATCGGGGCCTCGGCGAGATCCTGGAATTGCTTGGGAGTTCCAGTAGCCGGCTTCGATGCTGAGCCCTTCGTGGAACCTGGCGTGCTCTTCGAAAAGTCATCTGACTTGCTACCCCAACTAGAGGAAACTCCACCAACATCGCCTGCTTGCTTCTCGGGCTTTGTGGATTGTGGTGAGCCTTTGCCGACACCGAAATTCGAGGGTTTTAGTTGAGGTACTCCATCGTACGAGGAATGGGATACGAAATAAAGGACTGCGAGAAACTATTGATATTGAGATTGATATTAGCGACTTATACTCAACTAGGTACCTATGGACACTGCAAGGTAATTTGCGATGCGGTTGAATGGACTTACGAAGAAGGCGAAGAGAATATATCTCACGATGCGCGCGCTACCGGCGGCCATATTGCGGAATCCTTATTGACGGGTCTTTCACCGTCAATAGATATTGTTGTAGGAGAAAAACGGTTGATGTTTTTCAAGAATTAGTAGGTTTCGCCAACCGGATGGTGGCGGGGACCTCCAAAGGGGAAAAGTTTCTTTGCGTATTGTTGTAAGACACAAAGGAGATCATTAGGTCATCACCGGAAAGCTCAATTTGTGACTGACTCGTCGTCGCACACACGAACCCGGGTTTTGACGAGAACGACCAAAGTGAGCGCAAGAATTGGAGAGGAAATGAAGAAAAGGTATAAAAAAGAACAACGAGATGGATTAACGGATTGGTATACGCTAGGTTAGGTAAAAGTAGGATGCCCAGTGGTTCAGGTTGTGAATACGAAGTAGAAAGTACTAGGTATGTAGCGTAATAGGCGTATGAAAAGTAAACGAGCTTCGAAGTGGATTAGGGGTAATAATGTACAAGAAGACAAGGCAATATAGGTACCTAATGTACAATACAAGCACTTGAGGTACAGGGCTGTACGCACTACGCTACAATGCTAATGGTGTAATTGGATGTAATTGGTTTTGAGTTTAACATGGGGACAAAATGGGAAAACGGAAACGATGGATTTAAAATTTCGACTTGAACGGATCGACGCGTCAGTGTCAAAGTGGGCAGGACCCAACTTCCACTCTTCCACTTTCTCTCACTTTCACCCCTGGAACTTGTACAAATCTGTACATGAGTACAACCTGTACAACCAGTACGTCCCCACTCTTTACGATATTAGGTGCATCTAGGCCTGTGGACATTTCCGTATCAGCGTTGTTCTCATTTCTTGGCAATGCCGTACCTGTCCGCCCCGAGCCCGTATCCATATGGATCTCAACTTTTTATATCCCTTATCGATTCGCATTTAATGCTTCAATGCTTTATCGCACCATCTGGCACGTTACGTGGGATACATTAGCTGCTTAGCTGCGTTGTACTTGTGGCCCATCAAGATTAAGAGACGCACGATTATATGCGACTATTTAGTATTCAACAAATGGTAGTGATCTGTAGAGGTGGAAACTTATACTCTGTACTATGGTATGATTACACTTGCTGTGACATATTTCGAGAGTCTGTCTCAACAGTTTGAGTAACATCTGAACTCATTAGTTTGCTCGAAACGCTCGTCTCAATGCAGTTTGCCGTGGCCATCAACCTGCATATGAATACGTTGTATATGATATTCTACGACTCTAAGATCTACTGAATGAATATACAATTCAATATGTATGGTTATCTTCAAGAATTTCTTGACCTATCGTCGTTCATCCGATGGAGCCGCTTAGAGACTAATGCTGACGTACTTTGCTACGTAGTAAGTACGTATGCTTTGGAAAAATGAAGTGATATGGATTCTCTTAATATACATATTGCGGGCGACTTCTTTCTTTCTGGGCTTGTAAAAATATTGATTAAAACTCGTTTCAGTCAGCATCTGTCGTGTGGAAGTTGTCTAAATTGGAAGCCAAGTATTCGTTCCTCTATGTATAAAGCGTTTCTTCTATTAAGCCGAACACGTGATTGGACCTAGGCATTCAAATATTTACATTATTACGATGCTGACTACTAAACTCGCAACCCTGAATAATTGTAAATAATGTTGTTGAATAGGAATAATCGCATTTTTAGATACTGATATATCAGTTCAAGAGAACTTGACTGTAAAAGAAAGATACATTATACCGTCATGTATCTGTGTATCTATGTACTTGGGTACATATTTTGACAAGATCTCTGAATGATGTCACGTGTGCCCGGATCGTATTAACATCTAACCGTAAATCTCGTCCCCTGTCATTCCGTTGATTGGCCCAATGATCTTCAGGCCGATATCCATCCATGGATATTCTGCAATTCCACCAAATTGCTTGGGGAACAACTTCGTCGTCTCGTGTGTCAAATTCATCCCGACAAAGTTGACGACGTTCTCTTTCACCAAACTTGTATCTGCGTATTTTTCCACCTTTATTATTTTATTATATTCTTTTGTCATTGTCGATACTGGGAGGATAATAGTGCGTTATTCGCTTCACTCGACGAAGCTGTAGTTATATTTGTCCAAATATTTCTATCGCATTCCCGATTTCGACCTTTCGCCCCTCCATCCCAGTTGATTTTCGCACCATGATCAAGCAAGCCTATTCACACATGATCTACCAAGTTTTCCAGTTCTCTTAGCTGTAAGTGATATTCGAACTTCCCTACTGACTCATGGTACCTTCTTTTCATCTTCCAAAACACCGAAACACCCGTTCTACTACATTGTCATCCTGCGCCCGCATCCGCACTTAATACATTTTTTGCGCGTTCAGCCCTACCCGAAGCTCCACCTACCTACCCAAGGTATCATACGTGGAAAGCTCTTCCTACATTGTCTATGCGCTTTCGATTATAATTCTCTTTCCCCTCCACCATTACGATCATTTTCCGTATACATCTACGGCCATTTATTCCCACGCTCTTTTTTCATTCTCTATGCCCGATTTTAAGGTGCTACTAAGCAAATTCCTTACCACCACTTGACTTCCCCGTACTAATTAGTCCTACTAGTTCCTTGTATCTTAATCCAAGGACCGAGGGATTCACCCTCCTTTTGTAGTCGGAACATATCCAAAGTACTACAAACCTCTCTTTTTTCGCCATGTCCTACAACGCGAACTCTTCGTACCATGACACGGCGGCTCCTGGCTTCGGCCAGTCCCACGATCCGTTCGCTGACCTTTCGCGAAACGCCGACGAAATCAACGATGCTCTAGACTTTGAGGATACGTATGATGGATTGGGCGATCAGTTGGATGAGACGGATGATGCTTTCAATGACGACACTTTTGGTGGTGGCTCCGGCGGAGTCTCACATGCGCCTGTAGGCAAGGATTTCGATTTCTTTGGCCAAACCGCAAAAGTTGCCGATGCCATAGAGGAGGAGCACTTGCGCTTCAACCGTCAGATGCCGACCCCGAAGCCGGCTCAAACCTCGACTCAACACTACGGCCCGGGCTACTCGTATCAGCCCGCACCTGCTCCTAGGCCGGCTAGAAGTGGTTACGAGAAGTACAAGGATCCTGTACCGGTCTCAGACCTTCAAGTTGACGCTTCGATATGGGGAGTCCAGCCGAAACGATCTGTTGGTCCAGCAGTGGTTCAGCCTCAACAGCAACAGCAACCGCAGCCTCAACTGGTCTCCCAGCCTCCGGCGGCGTCGACAGGTCGCAAGATGATGAGTTTGGAGGAGGTCGAAGCCGCGATGCGAGCCCAGGCGAAGGCACCTGCCCAGCCCCAACAGCCGCTCCCACAGCTGCAGCCCACACATATGGTTGCCCCTGAACCTCAATTACAATTTCAACCTACGCAACAAACCCATTATTCTCGTCAGGAGTCTGGTGATTACCGCCAACAACAGCCGGACAACCGTCCACCTCAGGGTTTTTATCCCACCGACAATCACCAAGGTGTTCATGGGGTAAACCATGGACACCCTATCTCTATTTTGCAACGCCCTTCCTCGAAGAACGCGCCTCCTAGTGGACCAGGTGTGCCTAGTCCCCTACCCCAGCCGTCCCAACCGTCCCAACCGTCTCCCATGGGATTCCCAACACAGATTCTCCAGAATCCCAACCGTGTACCCGGGGATGCTAATAGAATTAACGTGCCAACACACCCGAATCACCGATCTCAAGGTTCGTTCGGTCGACAGCCTCAAGTCAGTACGAACCAGCCTCACCTCTCGCATTTATCTGAGCAGGAGAAGGCGGCCTTTCTTGAGGCTGAGGCGAGACGAGCAAAACGGAACCATAAGATCCATGTTCTGTCAAAGGATAACGGCCTGATGACACCCCAGGACAAGAGTTTCATTACTAGGATCCAACTTCAACAGCTCGTCTCAGCTACCGGTGATCCCAGCGAACACGGCACCGATGCTGCTCTTGCAGAAGATTTCTACTATCAGGTCTTGAGTTCTCTACGAGCAGGCCAGCGGCCGAACCCGAACCAGCCGTTGAACAATTTTGCACAGACGTACCTTTTCCAAACAGGTAATCGCCACGGAGGCATGAGGCGTCAAGGCAGAGGCCCAGAAAATCACATGCAGCGTATGGAACAACAGGTTCAACGTGCTGTCGAAGCTGCCAAGAATAAGCCCAAGAATAAGCAACTGGTTATTGAAGGTAGCTTAGGAAAGATCTCGTTTAGCAACGCAAAGACCCCCAAGCCTCTCCTGAATATTAAGCGTACTGACAGCGGTGCCGACGCGAACCGACCTACTAGCAGTCATCGCTCACACCCGACGGCAAATGGCACTGATAAGAAGGAGACACTGAAGAACGTTGAACAGGCTTATCTGACTGTCATGAAGATGGAGGACGTGAACCGAAACATGCCTCAGCCTCCGTCCAATGGAAACCCGGACCCGGACTTTGAGCGACGTGCCGAGCTACAACATCAGCTGCAACAGCTGAATGAGCAACTCTGGAACGAACTCAAGGTGCACGAACCTATCGGTGCGACATCGACTCACCCTTTCATCGCATTCCTCTCCTATCCCAAGGGCAAGAAAATCATCAGCCGCGTGTTCACTTTCCTCACCCTTGAACAGCAAACTACGATTCTGACTCTTATTGTCCTCCACCTTGACCAACTGGATGTGGTACGCGGTGCGATAATGCAGACCGGGGAGCCTATTAATGTCAACGCCGCTACTCGTGAGAACATCGAGCTATTTAGTTCGTATGTCATGCCAAGCCTTCTCCACCTGCTCGGCAATTCAGAACTTCACATTGTTACTGGCGTGCTTGGTTTGATGACCCAGAACTTGAACTTGGACGTTGTCTGTCGGACGCGCATTGGTTGCTCGATGTTGACCATGATACTCAGTCGTGCTGAACTAGCTAAGCAGGCCGGGCAAGCTACCGAGCAGACATGGCAGCAATGGTGAGTGTATTACTGACCATTACACACGTATTAGTAACTAACATTGTTTAGGGTCGGCACTTTCAACCAATTCTTCGATGCGTTAGAGCCCACGCTTCCCCATATCTTCCCTGGCACCGTAGCTTCCGGGGAAGATATCTACGTATGGCAGTTCCTAGCAGCCATTGGTATTGGCGCTAGTCTGGAAGAACAGCAACGCCTTGTCCTTGCTGTGAAGGACCGTGTCATGGACACCTATAGCCTTTCCAAGACCCTTCCCCCTGACATGGCGAAGACGCGCCTGGACAATGTTAACCTGTTCATGCGATCTATCGGTCTTGACGTCGAACTGTTGGAGTAGGTCTTGGACAACAGGAATCCTTGAACACAACCATATCGCACAACAAGCGGCTCAGGACACTACCGTACCGTGCAATTTACTATCAGCCTATTGGCCTTGAAAACTAGGAGCAAAAGTTGGATGATATGTCTAACGCCGCTTCTATGCGTAAACAACGTCGCAAAGTGATAAAAGCTATGCAAAGGGTGTGGAGGAAATACCGGAGTTTTCGGGACTCTACGTACAGAAAAGGATGGATGCGGGTGAAAGGGGGCTTATCTAAACTCTTGCTAGATCGCAGGATATCCGTATCCGGTTGGGACGAAGCCTAGAGAGGAAGCTGGCTGGACTCAGGTGGATGGTTCTGTGCTACCACAAGTAGTGCGTAGTGCGTCTACTATTGCTTAGCTTATTGGCATGAAATGAGGCATCTGTTGTCCTATGGCTGATCTCATTACGACAGTCGATTTCGATCCCTTCTGTGATAATGCACGTAATTCTAAAAGAGTATCTGATCAAATCATCTGTATTGCAGATAATACTTCAGAAATTACCTATGTAGAGTACACGGTACTAGGTAGGCAACTGTATGAATTACAATGCGTGCTAGATGAGCACCAATAACGCCGAGCCATGCATTAAATGATCTACCACCCCTTGAACCAAAATCCCAGCCAACCCCTATTTTTATCTATTCCTTAAAAGCAACGGATTTACCCCTTACACCTGCAGGCTTCTTCGCACCCGAAGCCGTGGCTGGGGCTGCTACAGCTTTTCCTTTTCCCTTAGCGGCACTAGCCGGGGCTCTCTTCACGGCTGGTACGCCGCCCTGGTGAAACACCTCGGCCTTGATCTCGACATCGTCGTCGGTGGGCTTTATCTCTCCCTGCGCACTGCTCAGCCCGCTAACGGCTTTTAAGAAGTCGTCCTCGGCCCACTGCGTCTTGTATATCGGCTTCTTCTTCCTCTCCTTCTCCTCCTCATCTTCTTCGTCGGCTTTCGTAGCTCTCTCCTTGCCCTTGCCCACGCTACCGTTACTATCGCCGTCTTTTTCTGCCTTCGCGTTTGCGGGTGCGGGGGCGTCGCCGTAGACGAGGCTGCTGCCGAACATGTTCCACGACTTGTCGCTGTCTTCGTGCTCGTACTTCAGCCGCGTCCATGGCTCGGTTTGCACTTTGCGTAACCGCTCGACCATCGTGTCGACGCTGGCTCCGCCGTCGCCTTGGCCTGCGCTCTTGATTGTCATGTGGATCGCTTTCGCTTGCGGGGTTTGGCCTTCTTTGCCTGCGGCGGCTGCGCCTTGTCCGCTGGAGGAGGGCCCCGCGCCGCTGCTGCTGCCGCCTTCGCGCGGTCGAGAGAGCCGCTCTTGTTCGGCGTAGGCGTCGAGATGGTGGAATTGCGGGCGGAGGTGGATTAGGGATGTCACGGGGGTGAGGTGTAGTTGATCTGGAGGGTTGTTAGTTAGTTATGAGTAAGTTGTAGAGTATGGTATAGCACTAGATAAACTTACCTCCTTTAAACACGCCAACCATCCATCGACAATTCGTCTCCTTCTCGATCGCGAGCTGGCCGCCCAGTGTCTGCGTCCGGATGACCTTGTCCTGGCGCACGGCCTCGCTCCAGTCCATCATGCTGATCTCATGCTGCCAATCGTTCTGCCGGCTCCCTCCTGCTCCTCCAGCCCCAGCCCCCGCACCCCGTCCTGCTCCGCCGGCGGCTGATCTCGTAGGTACGCCGACGCCAAAACCGCCAGCTAACCCATGGGTGCCTCCGTTCTTCGCTGCCGTGCTGCGCGCTAGCGCGCTGCCCCATTTCATTCCCTTATCGCGGTCGTAGTCTATGTGTCCATGGGCCATCGGCACGTCGACTTCGACGAAGCCCGATTTTGTCTTGAGTCGCACTTCACTAAACTGCGGGTACACAGAGCGCACAGGGCCTTGCTTGTTCGGGTATTGGAGTACGAGAAGCTTGCGGTTATCGGCTAGGGGCGCGTTCGTGTAGACGTCGTAGCTAGCGACGATGGGGTCGGGATCGTCGTCTTTGTTGGGGGTGGCTGTGGAGGTGTTCTTGGAGGAGGTTGTTGAGGGCGAGGATGTGGTGGTCGTGGTGTTGTCCTCATTAATAATTTCGGTGGCTCGCGATTGCGGCTTCGAGGAGCCGCTGTCGATGTCCATTGCCGACATGGTGGCTGGCTTTGCGTAGGAGTATGAATGTAAAGATCGAATTCCCAATTATTTGATATCGATTTGTATTTAAAATAAAGAAGGAAACAAGTCAACTCATTTTTACGATTAGTTAGCTTGGGATTATGATGAATGCATCGGCACGATTACCATGTAAAGCTTCAGTGAAAATGACTTTTTGGAGGGGCATTTTCTTATCTTATCAGATATTGTTCCTATCTAAGCCTAAGGTACGTACATATGTACATACATAGGTACTTCGTACCTAGAGCAAGAAATTAAACCTTGAAGCATTGACCACTGTATAGCACAGAATTCTGCCGCTCTTACCGCCCTAGCGCGTTTCCCAAAGGCATAAATACCAACTTCTCTCCCGTCCTTTCAATCTTCTTTTTTTCCTTTCTTCTTCATACTTACCTTGTTCCGCGCACCTCAGCTCAAGCATTGGGGTTCGCAAGGGGAGAGACCTGCATTGCACATCGCGGAGTCAATCCTTTTCTATTATCCCACGTGGATCGTAGGGAGCGCAATTTTTGATCTCAGTCCATTTTCGTTATGAACGGTGCCTTGCTGCATTGCCATGAAGAAGATGCATGTCGACGAATTAGTTATTAGGCTGCAATACACTACAAGGACACCTGCCGCCTGCCTGCATAATGTATGCAACGTCCCGGTGTCCCTAGAAGAATGCGATGTGCTCCAGATTCTCATTCGTCGCTAATGTATCGTACATGAACCTCACTAGAACTAGACCGGCAAGGAGCGACGCGATCAAAATACATCAGCCCTACCTTCCATATCATAGAATTTATCTTATTTACACAATTACTTGAACCTTCTATTTAATGTCTAGGTACTAGCCATGAATACCCTTCAACACAATGAAATCCGCATTCTAAAAATATTACCAGGAGATGCGAGTACTCCAATCAAATGCGAGCTTCGCGTAGCTTCTCTGTCGAAGGTCTCCGATTTCGAGACAGTCTCGTATGTATGGGGCGACTTCACCAATCTCGTCGATATCGAACTCTCTGGTCGCAAAGTTGGAGTAACGAAGAATTTACACACCTTATTGCACCGTCTACGTCTAACGTCCAACGCAAGGTCAGTGTGGATCGATCAGCTCTGCATTGACCAGAAAAATAAGGAAGAGAAGTCGAGCCAAGTACGTTTGATGAGGCAAATCTACTCCAGGTGCTCATCTGGACTAATTTGGTTTGGAGAACTACAAGATAACCTGGCCCCAGAAGATGCTGCAGCTGTCGTCGATTTCTTTCAATATATCAGCGCCTTCTTGAAAACAGGATCACAGGAAGAACATCCTAAACCAACCTTCACGAAGTCGAAGGCTTTATCTATGCGTTTCTTAGCAGCGCTACGGTCTATGAGTTATTATGAATGTCCTTGGTGGTTAAGGATATGGACCGTACAAGAAGCAGTCTTGCCGAGGCAATCTACAGTCATATGGGGTCCCTTTGAAATATCCTGGGATATATTTCTCGTCGGCGCACGTACATTCACCTTTACAACCTTTTCGGAGCTGGAGATCATCTCCCGTCTGCGCCCAGAAGACCAGTGGAGCGTCTTCAACATATTCAGACAAGTTAAAGGACTCGCAAACGCGAATAATCTGAAGCATGATCCCATTAGCGTCATGACCCGTTGGCGTGGTCGCCAGGCTACCGATCCCCGAGACCAGGTTTATGCCTTGACTGGCCTTAATGCCCCCGGTCTGTTACCGAATAGTGAGAGATGTGACTACAGCATTCAGACTCATGAAGTTTACGAGATAGCCACGAAGGATTTAATTCGATTTTATGGAAACCTACTGCCGATTTCAATGAATCCACGCGTAGCACAGTCATGCGCAACACCCGGAATACCTGGTTGGGCTCTAGACTTAGATACACATCGCAATTATTGGACTTCATGGACAATTGATCGCAACCTTTACGAGAATTCCAACGCCAACCAGGGCTTGACGCCGAGTTCAATTAACCTCGATGTGGAAAAGATTCTAGGTCTGGATGGAGTATTCGTCGACGTCGTGAAGATAGCGGATTACGAGGAACACTGGATTAAGGATACGAGTGCAATCGCGAAGATAATACGACGGTGGCACTCTCTTACAATGGAGAATGGGGATACTATGCAGTCAACCCGACGGGAAGACTTCGGTTTGCTTATGCTGAATAATATCATAAGAGAAAGGGATTGGGAAGTCACTTCGCCGGTAGCCCCAGACGATATCGAGGCGGTCTTCGAATACTTGGATACTGGAGAGCAGAATCACACTATAGAGTCAATTGTCGCATCAACAATGCAGCAAAGTTTCTTCATAACGGAGACGGGATTGATGGGTCTCGGTCACCTCGAAACACAGCCTGGCGATGAGATATGGATTTTTAACATGGGAAAGGTACCGTTTTCCTTAAGAAAGCATCAAAATACTCAAGAAACCACACTAGATTATGACTTCTTCGGGCCATGCTACATCCAAGGGATCATGCAGGGGGAGTTCCTCGAAGGTGGCAAGGCAAAAGGCAAGGAAAAGGCCATATGGATACACTGAGAGCTTCATCGTATAGCAAGAGTTTGGTTGTGCCATTACCTAGGTGCGTTCAGAGCAATATTTCTTTATATCTAGACATATCTGTTAGTGATATGATAGATGCTCTTCTTATGTTCGCATCGGTATCATCTATTCTGCACCTCATGTCCACTCTAATAAAGCGACCGATTGCAAGGATGACCTCGACTAACCGTATAAACTCCTCTTTTCAATCAATTACCGTGATTACCATTTCGAATATCAATATTCTATTCTTACATCTTGGTAAGTTATCGAAAGTAGTGATGCTAGTTCATCAATCTACCACGCAAGGGAAGTACACTGCTTTTAATCGTACGTGGGGATTCCAGGGGTTAAAGGTGGGTCCCCAAAAAGGGGCTCAGAACAACGAGAGCACAAAGCAAAAGACATGCTACACAGGCAGAGTGAACGAAATGAGGGCTCAATTTTTGATGAGAAGCTAAAAACCTGATAGAACTATAAATGATATGTAAAAGCAACGATGCCAAAATATGTCGACCCGAGGCCGAGTACAAAGAACGATAAGAATTAAATGTTGTCAAATCCGACCCCGGCGCGAACGCCATGTCCAAATCGGAAGACGTCTAATAGTTCTCCAAGCCGCGAAACCGTATTAATAAATGAGCCGTGTATATGTGTGTTTTTTATTGGAAATCCGTCATGTTCGTAACTTCTTCCACCCCCTCCCTCCTAGAATTTGTTGCTTAGACTGCGGTGCAGAGGAGTGCCTCGCCGAGTATGGGTAGGACACAGCACTCGGCGGTTAGTCCGTCGGCGGCGCAGGCGGAAGTGAAGTCTTCGATGCTGTTTAGATCAACACCGGCTATTTGTGGGTTAGCGTGTTGGTAATCACTCAGGAGTGCGATGAAAACTTACGGCTGGCGCAGGTCAGGTCAAGGATACCGTCGACGTCGACTTGGCAGCAGAGAGGCTGGTGCAAGTCAGTAACAGGCATTCTAAAAGAGTCTTAGAATAACAAAAGAGTGGGATAGAAATTATATGAATCACATACGGTGTTACCGCCAGGGCAGACCTTGGAAAGGCCACCCTCGGACGAGGAGGTAGAGGTGGAAGTAGCGTAGCCGGTGCTGGAAGTGGTGGTTGGGGTCTCTGCTGGGTACTTGGTGGTTGGGTAGTCACCCCTCTTGGTCTTAGAGTGCTCCTCCTTGGTCTTAGAGTGCTCCTCCTTAGTTTTGGTGTGCGCTTCCTTGGTCTTGGAGTGTTCTTCCTTGGTCTTGGTGTGCTTGGTCTTCTTGCTAGGCGTCGGGGTGTAAGTAGTCTCCTGAGAGGTGGTCGTTGTGGTGGTGTAGTGGGTCTCGGGAGTGGAGGTAGGGTATCGGATCACTGGGGTTGAGGTAGTGTAGACGGTTTCCGGGGTGGAGACGGGGTACTGAGTCTCGATGGTCGATGTTGAGTAGTGAGTTTCAGGGGTGGGAGTTGAAGTAGTGTAATGAGTTTCCATGGTAGAAGTTGAGTACTTGGTCTTCTTCTCGCTGGTCGTCGGGTACTGGGCTACCGGGGTAGAGGTAGAGTATTTGGACTTCTCAGTAGTGGTGGAGTAGTGGGTTTCTGGGGTAGAAGCTGGGTAGTGAACTTCTTCAGTGGTGGTTGGGTATTGCGCTTCCGGGGTGGAAGTCTTGTAGTTGGGCTTTGCTACCGGGCTGGCTGTAGCCACGGCTGCGAGGACAACGGGGAGAAGAGTCTTGATCTGCATCTTGATTGTGTTTGGTAAATTAGGTAGGCAAGTATGTGAATGAAAGATGTTATGCGAATAGTTGGAATTATTTAAAGAGAGATGAGAAGTGAGGAAGTGAAGATGCTGATGAGTTTGTGAGTGAGGATGATATGCCAAAATAACGACGGCCAACTCGCTTCTTATAACTTACCACGGGTATGGATTTTTCATCGCCATGTGAAGCTCGGCGATCTACCTAGTCAAGCAACGGCAAGCTAACTACTGCAAGATCGTAGATCTCACTTCAATACTTACACGCACCATTTTGCCTCCGCATCCGAAACAGTAACTATGATTCAGCCTTGTAGTTATTGTTTTAGAAATCTAAATAATTCGCACCAAGCGCTACAAGCCACATAGGAATAAGTATCACTTGCATACACGCGATTCGAACAGGATAGATGTACTTTACTCGAAAACCGATCACTCCCTACCTAGTAAAAAGAAAAGAGATGCATCCTCACAAACTGGCAGTCTAACATGACAACTATCATAACACATCGTTGATACCTAAGTGGCTAAAGACTAACAGATGAGTTTCTTTACTTCGATATTCTCGTATACACGGCTTAGAAAAAGAATAGGCAATGATTGATATTAGGCAAGATCGACACAATATTTGTGACGCTGTCAGATACGGCGGCGCCATCGACGGCGGTTACGAGAAAAGACACACATTAAGAACTAGCTTCAAGCCATGAAGTATTTAGAATATAAACAAAACTAAGGATATTGGCAACCCAATGGGAAGCTTCATGGGTTTCAATAAGACTACTTACATAATAGAGCTAGACTCAATTTCTAAGACACCTTTGAGAATGATCGACATGATCGCGTCTACTAGATAAAAGGAGAGGTTTCCTCTTTCGGTAGCCGGGCTATTATTGATACAAGCTACTGGCGCCGCGGAGTATTTTTCTTTTCCATAATGTGCGAGTTTGCTTTTGTTATAAGCACGACTTGGCTTTTCTGGGAGCTGTTCCTGGGAACCATCGCGCCGGGACGACGGATCGTGGCTGATTCTTAGACCTAAACTACCGAGTCTCCTAATAAAACGGATGCAAAATATCTCCGAGCGTATGAGACACTGGAGATTATTGCATTGAGCTGCCAATCTGTGAACAAACTGGAAGTTTTTGCTTTGCTAATCATACAACTCCCGGCGCAAGTATTTCGTACGACATCTTGCAATTCAATATAAAACAGTATGTTTTCCATTACCTTAATGACTAGGTACCTAGTAGGTAGGTGTGCAAACATCCAACAACGACTATGTATCAATATCTACCTCCGTTCAATTCTTTGACGATACGATGCAACACGTCAATAGTTATGCGGGAAAGCTCGTACCTACTGAATGTGCAATTTGATAACCACGACCATCCCATCCGCCACGAAGAGGAGATCCAATCCTTCAAGTAATATCACACACGGGCGAAGTGGCCACCGACATCATGTAAACTCTCTTTACTCCAACCTTGGCGCTCTCTTCTTTCAGCTACGTTGATCATATTCACGGCTAAGTAACGTTCTCGATGATGGCATTGACGATAAGGATCAGATGGAATTTCACTGGCTTTAGGATAGACATTTTACAGTCAGATATTGTAGATCACTAGAACTTCAATTGGATGATCGGGTTTTGACTACATATTTTGTTCCAATAAGATCGCCCGCATCTACAGGATACATGGAAATGCCGTAGATCGAGATAGCTCGGGTGATACGAATGACACATAGATATATCCCCGCGAAGCAGTCTGCGTAGTCCTGGAAGGTGGCGTTGTAGATCGACTTGGACGAGATCTTCACATGGTTATGGGGTACGGTCAGCACTTCAGCTGATACAATAGCATTGTGGCGTTGACAAGATCCGATAGAATCTGATAGCAAAGTCGGATGCGTTGGTCCAATGATGCGGTGTCCTTTCGACACGAAGCCGGGAATATATGCAGGCTGTGCGAGCCGAGGGCAAACTGAATCAAAGGTACCATTATGGTTGCTAAAGACAACTTCTGCAACGGTGCGAAGCAGTCTCTACCTATCTTACCTCACTCTACGGATCTCGAAAGGGAGTTCTTCGTAGAGCATTGGTCCGTATCATCAAAGACATTCGTTATGCGTCTATTTGCATCGAGAATTCTCGCTGCTGTAGATATTACCCCTATCTTCTGAGCGCGGTCACGGGACAAAGTTTGTGACCCCCCTAAACTATGAATGGACCAATAGGAAGAGCTGGAGAGCTTAGTCCATGCCTAATTCGGTAGAGTTTAATATGACCTCTTGGCATGGATGAGCATTGGATATAATAAAGTCAATGGTACTTGTGAATTACTACCATAAAACATAAATGATGTTAATTGCTGATATTCTAGCCACTACTTACCTACCTGGGCAATCATTACTCTGACCTTGAACTAATAGGTGCGTGGGTGAGTAGCAGCCAGCTTTCCCTTCAACTCTTCACATAAGCATCGTCTCGTTATCAGTTGTGAGCTTGGGATGAAGTGACAATGTTCCTTATGATCATGATCACGATCAATACTTCATTGGCTATCGTCCCATCAATAGCCATCCTTTTGAACTATTAATGGACTCGTCCGTCAACTCAGCTGTATGCTGTGTTCGAAACTTGTTCGCTTCTTTAAGAAAATCGAGAATATATCTGCGCTCGGCATCCCCACCGGCCAAGTATGATATGCGCACCGGGTCATTGAACGATACCGCGCAAAGTGGTTTTAGCGATAGTCCGTATTGACAAGTTCGCCAGATCCTGCAACTCCACTCGAAACATTCCACTTCTAGGGTTGGGTCATCGAAGCCTCGCATCTTGTTAAGGTCCTGTCTCATCCGATTTACCACGATGTTGAATGAGTTCACGTTCGCGAAGTGCAGAGCTATCGTCCCGCTGGGAAACTCGTATCTCGTTCCAAAAGGCGACTCCGGATCCGGAACCTCGTAGACTAGGTTATACTGAAGAAGAGGCTCTATAGTAGACTCATAGAGCTCCCGGAAATGCATGCCAAGGTCGTCGACGGCCGCGGAGAGATCCTCGATTTCCTGTTCATCTCGTAGACATGCCGGCACATCCCAGAGTTGAGAGAATCGGTTAATGGTCTCCGCGAGATTCATAGCTTGGATAAGTAATTTAGACATTTCAACGATCCATGGCGTTCGGGTCTGCCATTGAGCAAAGAAATTCGTAAGTGCTTGTGCCCATTTGGGATACACGTAAAAGTTGTCGATTTTACCCGCTACCACTAGACTAAACTATGGATTCGATTAGTTAACATGATTTTAAACACCGGAAATATAAGTAAGCTACCATATAAGCAAAGGCGTCGAGCATGAGCTGAGCTCCGAGCTGGTCTCCAGATTTTGGTGGTCCTTTCTGTATAAGGATAGAATAAATGCCATTGGAGTGGGATATTTGATTGACACTTCCTGCATAATCAAAAATGTACTGCTCGGCGATTAGAAGGTACCTCTTTCATGGAAAATGAGTGTCGCTTACTTCGGTGGTCTGAAGATAAATGGTCGCGGCTAGCGTGGCGTTTGACGTCTGTTCGTGTGGATCGTTGAGGACCTTCTGCAAGCTTCGAAGGGCACGATTGTAAGATGATAGATCGAATAATTCATCTTTATCCGCTCCTTGGCAAAGCTTTAGCCACGTGGATAGTAGAAGATTCGTTGCATCGAATAAGGCTTCATTTCCCTCGAGTAGGGGTGGTACGTATCCTAGCGTACTGAGCCAGGTGCTAAGGCTATATCCCGTTCCCTCGCTAGATTTCAGGTACATCACTACCTTACTCCCTAATAGATCAAACCGAGTTCCAGGAGGTTTCTTTGGTATCTGGGGCTTCTGGGTATATAGTCTTAACTTCGAGAATGTTGCGCCGCTTGTCATAGTTTTATTTCTAAGATGTAATAAACTTGTCTTCGAGTTGGTGTTTCGCATTGGTGCCAATGGCTCATCTGCTGAATCTGCATCGGTTTCTTCTTGGGTTAGGTCTCCCCACCGAGTGACTCGCCGTGTGTGATTCCCATTGTGTACAAACTTGACATATTTAGAAGGACCCGAACATTCCCTGCCTGCTTTTTTGCAGGTTCCACAGGTCGGCCAATTCTCGTCGCACTATATAGTAAAGTTAGAACATGGAATTAATCGGCCAATTAACGAGGTTAAGTTGTGGGTTGGTATGTTAATTCAAAAGCGCAATTGATTATCAAATTGGTATGGGTATGGTACAACTTGAAGGCATCGACTGACCTTAGTTTTCCTCCGCCTGCAAAAATCACATCTGTTACTTTTCGGTATGCCCACCATTCTAAACGTTTCGAGGAAGTTGTCGCGATTTCGAATTATATCTCGGCATCTCTGAACCTTTGTGTCCGAGCAAGCACTCCTCAAATTCTTATATCTTGAATCCCCAGGCTGTGTCCGGGACGGCCGCCGAGATCCTCTTCGCGTATGTCATCGCGTTCGCAGCATGAGCCATAGTTCTGTTTAGCCACTGATACCTTCACGGCACAGCACATTTGCGGCTGTGGTAAATTGGCCAATTGTTAGTTTAACCTCTTAAATCGAGTGTGGCTAAGACCCATATCATCAGCCCTATATCGCACCATCATACTGAAAGTAGTAAAAACGGCTAGGGGTATCTGTTTGTATCTAACACTTGGCAGACGGGCTTCTTGCTATGTTAGGCCGACTTTGATTTCGTTGATAATACGTGAGTAACACTGCATAAGAAGTCGTTTGAAAGGATTCTAAGTAAACCGATAGATATGCGCAGCTGGTGGAATAAAATGATGGAAATTTGATCTTTCAATGAAACCTGACCCTTGTAGCCCTTGGCGGCGTAGGACTCTATTTTGCTTAGCTAATCAGGGGTATGCAGCAAAAATAATATCCGGAGCCCCTTATTCGTAAGTAACGAGGTACCTCAAAATCATCCAGAACGCAGACTTGATAACCAACAAATTGACCTCTATTCCATATGTCTAAAAGCTAAAATTACCGAAACCCAAAGACTAAGTCATTAGACATTAGCTCGCGTATATTTTGATATCATCGCACATCCGGGTATATACCCTTCTCATCATCATTCCTATTATCTTCTATCGGGATACCCCGAATTTCGGCATCCGTGGGGGTGTCGTCATTCGCCTCACTCTTCCGAGCTTTTTCGAGAGCCCGCTCAGCCTTGAGCTGCTTTCCGGTATCACCCTGCTTCTTGCCTTTCTCGCGAATCTTGTCGAAAGCCTCACGCGTTAGATCTTGCCGGAACATGCGCTCGACTACATCCTTTTTCCGCGTGCGCCTCCCGCCGATGCTAATTAAAATCCCCGCCGTAATATTGACCGTGATGGAACAGCTCAAAATTGTCGCTGTCAATGCCATCGGTCGCTTATTATAGTCGATACCCCATGTTGTAGCGCCCAGTGAGATTTGGAGGCACGAGTGAAGATCTAGCAATGTCACAATCGCGACCAACCAGTTTAAGGGAAAAGCATAGTGCGTTTTGGTCTCGTGTGGCTTGTAAAAAGTGTGGGACTTGGCGAACTTGGTCTGGTGGTGCACGAGCCGAGCCTCCTGTTCTGGGGTTAAAACCGAGATCTCGTCGCGCGCCGCCTCGAGGTCCGCATTCGTTGGCAAATCGTTCTTGTCGCGGAGTTTCCCCATGCGCCTTTTCCTACGCAACTTCCACGTTAAGCGGTGATAGTGTGCGATATAAATCATGTGATAGGTATCAACAGCACGGAATGGCGCTAAGCCATCGCCGACAACAGCAAAAAGGGCAACTAAGACATAGTCGATGACGTTGATGGCGTAGACCTGCTCCTCACCAACGTAGATCCAACCAATCAAAAACAGCACCCAAGCCAGACCGAACAGGGTGATGAGCGTTGCGTATAATGTAACCAGGAAACCGAGTGGTTTACTGACGTACTGGCCGAATGCCTTCATACTGCGTTTGAACTTAGACCGTCGTGAATGCAGCATGTGACGCACGTAGTCGTTCAGTTCAGCCTTCTCGTCGTCGTCCCAGCCTTCCAAGAATACACCATCTGGCAGAACGGCATGTTCAAAATTGAACTCTTCTTGTTCAATCGTTTGCTCTCGAATGCTAGGTTCTCTAGGTGCCATAGACAGCTGGTAAGTCGGGCGCCGATTGATCCATCTGCCGAGAGATGGGATGAAAAGGGAGTTTTGTATGTTGGTAACATTATTCAACGTAGATACTTCGGGATCTGACGAGCACGACGAACGGTTAACACCATATCCAGACATTGTATCACTGCTTGATGGTATACTCACCAATGACATCCAGTATGTCTGCCAGATTTGTATCTAGTTCCGTACGTCCATTTGGACCATGGAAGAGGGCGGTACTGGTAGGTCTCACATTCTCGGGAATTGCAGGCATACCAGAACCCTCTGTTCCTCTGCGAGGACGTATTATCGCCAAACCTGGTCGTTGGCGGCCCCGACCCGTAGGATCGGAGCTAGAACGACGTCGACCAGATTCCCCATCATCTTGAGGTCTGGATTGTTGCTGTGGCTGCTGTGGGAGAGTCGCCGTTGCTGGTCGCTGTAAGCCGTAAAATTCAGGACGAGACTCATCAGACATCCTAGTCTAAGAAATAGCCGCGAACGCGGACCAAAAAGTTTGCTTGCAAGAATCCGACTTGGCAGTTGACTCGGGACATATTTGATACTAATGGAGATGTTCTAGTAGTATGCTGGTATGAGCTAACTGCCTCTTATAACTAGTGATGATGTCATGGTTTAAATTCGAGCCAGGGATAGCCAAGGATTAAAACTTGGATGCCACCCTAAAAAGCTTATATAATGCACGAAAGCCCCCTTATGTCATACTTCTTTTGTTAAATGTCGTCACGTATATGCATATTATTAGTTATCTCACTTATGAGTAACCCGGCCCTCGACTTTTCTAATTTTGAATTTCATGTCTCACAACATCAACCTTGTCTATTGTTATTTCTCAAGACTGCTAATTAGACTTGTTTAATCCATACAGCCATCTTTACTATAGGGATACGAGATATGAGTACTGTCTTGTTAAAGGTTTTAGTAGTGTCCTTCTAATATCACTGATGTCCATCTAGGATCCGACTGGTAGCCGACTCCTAAGCAGTCTCTGTAGAGCGAGATGTCCAACCATTTCAATGTTTTGAGCACCATTTGATTGCCGTCGAACCGTCTATCGCATCCGCTCTTCGCGCCCGTCGAGCCAGCTAGTGCAATTCACGCATCGGATCGCCTAGATCAGTCAGACTCACGAATTCCTGACAAACATCGGCGGAGTGCAAGCACGAACCTTCGAACCAATGCTTTTTTTACAGTATCGACATTTAACTGTATGCTTGATGATGGGGTCGTTCGACAGATACTGGTACAAACTTGCCAAGCCGTAGAGAGCTATGCCGATACCTAAGAAATTGACGATTCGGTTGAGAAACACACTGGCATGCATCATGTCAATCTCTATGGTCCCTACTTAGTGGCGAAATGTTTAATTCGTCATACCCATAAGCTAGAACGATAGCACCGTCATTCTGTGCCTGATCTAGAGTGTTGTAACCATCTTCGTCGTTATAGTTCGGCCCCGGTCTTAGCACTGCGAACTTCTCGTTCATGTTCCTTCGTAATGGAAGAATGACAGAGAGTGGCGGGAGAAGTATATCGCTTACGAGGGAAGTAGTGAGGGCCGTGAACGACGTTGCGAGGCTATTGAGACCAGTGTCAACGGTTTATGTCCCCTAAGTAGGGGGTCTGGATTTCTTTTTGCTGACATTAAGCCAAATGCAATTTCAAGAATGTTACCAGAGAAGGCGAATTCGATGAAGCCAGAAAAGATACGCTGTGCTTTCTGTTCACCTTCTTCTAGCAAGGTACGTCGCTCCTCATTACGTTCATCGCCCCCCTCTTCAAAATCCCACGTGTTAGGCATTGTGGGGAGACAGGCGATGTAAGTCGTGATGTTAGAATTTCAGAAGATATAATATTTTGTTTCCTGTAGGATGCTTTGTAGGAATGTTGACGGAGGTCCAAAGGTTCAAATGTCGTTGACTACATGCACGCAACACGAATTAAAATTACGAAGCTCTGTAATACAGGGTCTTGTCATACCTGTCCTACTTGTTCTACCCATCCTTCCTGCCTTATCAATCGATCGCCGGCGCCATCCAACTCATGTGCTCTCTCGTGGAGACAATGGCGACCTTCAAGTTACGGGTTAGTGCGGAAATCGCCCAATGAGTGGGTAGATGAAACGAAGCTTAAGCAGCCTTATCTAGATTAGTGCAAAGCCCAAAGACGCTGAAACTTTCTATTGGAAGTCCCCATCCAGCTAAACTTTTAGGGCGGGACCACGCCGCAATGGCACTTATGTCCACTAAAGCAACATTAGAAGGATTACATCATACTTCGTAGGCCTTGCCCATTCACACTACTTTACCAAGTAAACAACATCAATAACACGACCAAATCTATCCAATGTCAATAGTTAAGTTTACATATTTACCTCATCTTCTAACAGCTTCTGCGTAGCTAAAATAGTTGCCTGGTACATTAGCGACGAGGTATTCTTGCCTAGGTAGAATCATCAACATCAAACCATTCATAACACGGCTAAGTCACGAACCTCATCCTCCCTTTCATCACATGCAAATGTATGCATATGCATGAGGCTCATAAACAGATTAAATCTGGTTGATAGACTAGTCAATAGGTCCTACTTCTACCGCTTCTTCAATGATAAGGCTAAGTCATGAATAGAAAGAAAGGAATTCGGCACTCTACTGCGCATGGGGTTACGCGATCTAGATGCGGTTAAGAACTACCGACTATGTAACACTTCCGGCAGCGTGGTACATCTTTTCTAACATTATTCAATATCTTTATGCAGTTCTGTTGATCATCATGATTAGGATCACGAAGAACCGTAGGACTTGGCCCCGAAGTGGTCTAGTTAGACCAGGTTGTATTGATCCTTCGACCCCTGACTTTGTGCCCGTAAGGCTATACGTCTAAAGAGAAGTGAAGCTCGGTGAACACGGAATGGTCGATGCAATTCTTCCCTGGTCAGATCAGTATGCATCGATATGTCACCGAAACATCCCTTTTCTAGTCGTTGCGTAGTAATGGGAAGCGCTTGGCTGCGATTAGGAATCGTGACAGCGAAAACCCTTCAGAATCAAAAACTCCGCTGTTTTATTTATACATTACGATTCAGAAAACACGGAAGTGCAAAAAATGCTAGTCACCGAGCATTCATGTCATATCATGGCAGTGATTTGGGGAGTCATTTACCTCAAGCCAAAGTCGCGGTTAAGATCACTAACAGAAGTCCATAAAAGCTATATGAAGACTGTTCACGATTCAATAACCATTTCCCATCATAATCGTATCATATTTGCTAATACCTTCTAAGAGAGCAACTCGTTGGGAAATCATCGCAACATGAAGAAATCCCGGGAGAAGTTTTACGACATTCTGATAAAAACGCAACTTACAACACCGTTATACCTCAGAACGATATGGCTCTTCACATACAGCGACATGAAGACGATCATGTTCCCGCAGAGCATATTCGGGGCTATAACAGCATACGCTGCTTGTATGTTTGAGCAGCCTCATGTTTCCCACGGAATAGTTGGCTGGCTGCTGGTTCGATACCCACTAGCTCTGTTCTGGACGTGGTCAAACTTGCTCCCCTTTAATATATTCAACCAACTCAGCGAGGAAGCAATCGAGGAAGATCGCATCAACAAACATTGGAGGCCGTTGCCTTCTGGTATGGTTAGCAGAGAGAAGGCCGCATCTATCATGCGGAAGCATTACATTTTCGCCATCATCGTTAGCAGCTGTATCGGTGGGCTGCGTCAGACACTTTCGCTCATCATCCTGGGTACTTGGTATAATGCGGGTGGTGGTGCTGATAGAAGCTTCATTGTTCGCAACCTCATCAACGCGGCCGGGATTTTGTCGTTCGCGACTGGCGCTATGGAGGTGGCATTGGGAACTCGACTGTTACTAACAGGGCCGTCGACCCAGTGGATGAGCATTCTGGCCTCTATCATTTTCACCACGGTACAGACTCAGGATCTTTACGATATGGAAGGTGACTCGATCCGAAACCGGAAGACGATGCCACTTGTCATTGGAGACACATGGACACGTTGGTACACAGCCCTTATGATCTCGATATTTAGTCTCGTATGTCCTGCATACTGGTCTATGAGATGGTACGGCTTCGTCCTTCCATTCCTTTTAGGGGTGCTCATAAGCACTCGGACGCTGAGATGGCGTACCCCTGAAGCAGACAAAAGAACTTTCCAACTTTGGAATGCATGGCTTGTGTCTGTTTATTTCTTGCCGGTAGTACGATATCTAGATTTGGGCTGCTAGGTGATGTGATAGAATAATTATGTCATCTGCAAAAACTATATGGCTGTCGTAATCTAACTGGGCTATTTTCTCCATGCCCCTATGGTGAAAAGGGGCAGTTTGGGGGTTGTATTATAGGAAAGAAAGTATAGAGGAAAGGAGGAGTTAAATAGAATCATAGAAATAGACTTAGAGATCATCTGTATTAAATGTGCTTACTTAGCACATAACGAATAGGTATATTTTATTTAAATAGGCACCTACATCTATGTAATCGAGAAGCAGGGCCAGAGATCCAGATGAGAATCTTTGGCCGGATCAATCAAGATGATACTTACTGCATCACTTGGCTATTACGTCGGAATCCGGCTTGATAAGCTACCTGCATTGCTAATTTCTCCCTGCGCTCGCCTGAACCTAGCTCATTTCTGGGTTCCTGGGCGACTCTATGCAGCAACGACACCGCCCAACCCCCCTGATTATTGGCCACTAAATCAGCTGCCTTCTGCTATTTCACTAACCCTACCCGTTCTAAAGTACTTCGCCCGCATTAATTTTATGAATCTTGAGAAGTTCTAGGCTATCGATGTGGTATTGCGAATGCCGTCACTACCACGTTTATGGATGCATCGCGACTTTATTTCTAATATCCAGGTAGCTTTCCGATTCCTGTGGTCAACTTGGGTGATTCTATCCGCCATTCTTGGTTAGCACTGGTACCGTCACTAACGAATCTGGACGAGACATAAGATTGTCGGTCGTCACTGACGCTGGCTGAACACAGAACTTGGCCAGAGACTACTTCAGGGGTTCGTCTGTCTATTAGCAGGTTGTACGAACACCAACACACGCGCAAGCCACTGATCGTTCCTACATCAAAACAGAACCTAGTGTGTGCTATAGATGAATAATCACAAAACCGGTAAAAGATTACTGTCTCAGGTGCCTGGAGAGTTGATGCGGCAATGGGACCCAGATGACACAACACCTCGTGGCTCAATCTCACCGATTCGTTCATGTTTCCTGCATGTCGAAATTCGGAAAAGTAAATCATCTATGAAGTATCACCTAGGTACCTACTAGGTAATAGTCAACGTACACAGAAAAGCAAAACCAAATTTATTAAAAAGAAGCAAAAACCGCCTCCTTTTCAGCAACAGTACCAACCCAAACTCCGGCTTACCCGTCCCCTTTCAAGACATCCCCCCACGCCCCTAACGCCGCCTCAACCTCCCCAAAAGCCCCCCTCCCCGTCCCCCACTCCCCTTCTCCCCCTCCACAACAACCAACCCCCTCCTCCCACGCCTCCTGGGAACCCAACACGCCAGCCCCCAAAACGCCGTCGCGGCCAACATCACCGCGAACGCAACCCAGCTCACAACCATCAACTTCGACCCCTCCACCGCCGAGATCCCGACCCCATCCCCCGCATCATTGATCTCCTGTACCCCCTTCTTCGCTATCGCCGTCGCGATCGCGCTCGCAAGAGCCAAAGCCAGGGTCGCTAGGGCCGTGAGCGTGATGTTAATCGCTGATACAGCGGGAGTAATGGGATTAGGGCTACGCCGGGAGAGGGTTAATGCGACGATGCTGGAGAGGAAGGAGAGCCCGGAGAGCCCGGCGCCGAGGGCGTAGAGGGTGAATGTGGCGAGGAGGAAGCTGTTGAGGTAGTCTATTGCTTCTTGGATCTTGGACGGGATGGGGAGCTTCGAGGCGTTGAGCTTGAGAGGGCCGGCGGAGAGTTCTTTTTGGATTAGGGCTGTTAGGTTTAGGTGTACTGGGTTGGGTGTTAGCTTGGTGCTTGGTTGTTAGGGGGGTGGTGGATATACATACCTCCTGGCGATTGCGCCGTGCAGTTCGTCGTGTTGTACCACGCGCCCTGAGAGGTCGCGTTCGGTGCGAAGTTGCCTTCGCAGGCGGTCATGACGTGGAGACTGTACCATTGCGAGATGCCTAACTCCTTCGAGAGCTCGTCGGCGATGTCGCCGATTATATCGTTTAATTGGTCTGTTATCGCGCCTTGGAGGTCGTCCCAGAGGGAGCTAGTGGATGAGGGCTGAGACCCGGAAGATGTTGAGGTAGGTATGAGATCGTGTCCAAAATCAGACATGTTTATCTAGTGCTTGGTTTAGTCTATAATTCTTAGAATTTTGGTTCATGGGTAAATAACGCACGGCGATTAGATGGTAGTCTTCTAGAGCTTGCTGTTGCGAACCCGTGCCGGCGAAAATCGCTATCATTGCTAAGACGAATCCCGCAATCGACAGGATGAGTGGAATTATCACGGTCAGTGGCCTGATGCCGCCATCCTTCGTGATGGCCATGTTCCTTGTGTAATTATTGAGAACCTTGAATATCGCGATGTTGTTGTCGCTTCGGTCTGGTCGGTGTAGTGAATGTGGTAGTATTATATCAGCTTATAAAGGGGGGTATTTTGGCGAGCTTTGGTTGGTAGTTGTCTACTTATATCAAAGGCAACCTGCATGAAAAAAACAAAGGAAGTTTGATGCGAGATTATGCTGCAGCAATGAGTATGGGAAGTTTTAACTGACTACATACTGATACGATTGCTCGATACAGGCGTGGCTGCTATGATATAACAAACCTCACACCTAGTCACTGAACATGTCATGGATGGCTGTCCACCATTCGTTATAATTCTGCACTAGATGGCAGTGCCCTGGAAGACCAACTGATATTCGTCTCAATTCTAGCAATTACCAGCTTTTTACCGCTTTATGGACATTAGGTACGCATACGTACGATCTTCCCCTGTCTAGATTTTTCCAAGACATGCGAAGACATGATATGTACGTACACTACTGCAAGTCAACAGCATTTGAGTGGACAGGAAATGCGTCACAGGTCGGTTTTGCCTCCTTTAGTCGATGTCTGCAACGATGATTGGTTCCTGACTAGCGTTGCGTCATAGAGGTCCATCTGGAAATGACCCCTGCCAAACCGGTTCGGCACCTCTGAGCCAGTCAACCCTAGTCGGTTGTATCGTTGTCGATCGAAACCCGGCAGTCTAAGAAGCCTAAGCCTTCGTTGGCGTCTTTCGAGACTAATTAATAGCCACAAGGTCGTCTTACTTAGCAGGGTCGCGAAACAAATTCGTAAGCGGAAGCGTTTAAATATGTTGAAGAGTTAGAGAAACGCAATAGTTGATGTAACTAGCGCGGGTTTACATGGTTAATATAGGATAGATTTCTCGAACATTTGAAATGCCGATAGGCTCTGATGACCTTCCATTGTCTAGACGCGAATACTATTTCTAGTTATCAGAGGCAACCAACGGTTAGCTAAATTGCGAATTCGGGGACTCGCTACCTCACGATAAGTCACAAGACTCGGACATCAGGATGTATTCAAAAAGCTGTATTTATATTATAGGCAACCTTCAAACATACCTAGACCGCATCTCCCCACGCAAGTTCTCCCAGTTGCCGGGTCGTTAGAGCCGCCTCTGCGCTCTCCGAAAGAGTATCTTTATCCACCGTTATCCACCGTCCCTTTCCTGATCGCTGTGTTCTAATATGTTTCCCGACTGCTGTTGCGGACTCTATCCATTCTGCAAATCTTGAGATTTGGGCACTGGTTGAATCATCCGTGAGAGCGTAGCCAGAGTAGAGCCTCAGCGTTGTAATCTTTCCCCAATCACCCACCCAGTCAATATAGTCTACGGTGAAGTCCCCGTCGGAAGTTTTCATCAGAGCAGGGAACCAATCTCCACAGCCTGTCAGATCGAGATATTCTAAGCCGTACAAGGCCTTGCTTAGACGCTTTAATATTAGGATAGCCTCTACCCAGTCGTTATCTAGATTGTGGCTATACGGGCCGGTACCGCCGTACTGAACACTCCTTCCGGTCACCGGGGATATGATTCTAGCGAGTTTAGCGTTCGGTGTTAAGGACGGCTCAGGCCATCCAGATAAATTGAGATGTGTAAGAGTTGGCATCTTGTTAGCTAACAATAGAAGTTGTTTCCAAGACACATTGGACGAGTGCTCAGGATCAATCGCAAGGGATAGCCGCGTCAAGTTCGGCAACATTCTAACTGGACCGGGGATAGGCTCCGGGGTTTCCCACGAATCTTGAAGATCAGGCTGCTCGACTACTACTTTGGGAGGGAAGAGTAGATCGCTCAATTCTCTTAACGTCAGCGACTTGCCCACGGACCCAGCTAGGTCTAAGTAGAATATATCCCCGTTTAAAATGTTCAAGTCGGGCTTGTCGACGTCGTATTCAGCGAGCTTCTCTTCGGAAGGACCGGTAAGGATGAGTCGTATGTCCTTAATAGACAATCCGGGCTCGTAAATTTCCGCAACGTACGTCAACAATCCCGTGCGCAAATGGCTAGGAAGTGTATATAGGTAAAACTGATTCCATTCTCGCTGCTGCTCCCAATCCCGGGCCAGTCTCCGAAGTAAAAGGTCTATGAGACTTCCCGACTCGGGGACATATGCATCTGGTAAGCGCCAGTGTTGAATATGCCCTGCGGCATCAGATTGTAGTTCCTTGGGAGCATGTCGCGATAGCGCTAACGATACCCAACTTCGTGGAGGTGGCGGACCGGGTGGTGCTCGTCGACCATTGGCGTCGCGGCGCGGAGCTCTTCTGGGTCGTGGGGCGGGTGTCTCGGGAATTTGGAGGATCTGACGGATCGAGGGGGGAACGGTGGGAGTTGCTGCAGCTACATTGTTCTGCGCACCATTTTGCCTCACGCTACTCCGTCGCATCTCTGCGAGAAGCTGGTTGACCGAACGCTCATGATGTTCTATATGTTACATGTCACATATTAACGTCATGTCGTGCTATGTCTATCGGAGATGGTGGCAGTGGGGCTTCACTTACCAGTCGCCCGGGACGAAGAAGATAGGGCAAGTGATGGTGGAGCAACCGAAGGCGGTTTGGAATATTTATTGTTATGCCTTTTCTTAGGCATAACAGTTGAGGTTGGCGGAGCCTATCTCGACTTTCTGCGAAAAGGTACGTTCGCGAAGTTCATGAAGAGTATCAACATAGAATCGAAGAACGATAGAGTTTCCTTAATAAATTGTTTAGAATGATTGAAGCGGATTCAATTGCTGCCTGGGGCTGTTGGGGCTGCTATGCAGCTATGGTGAGTCAATACCTAAGAATTCCGTAATAGTGGGTACCTGCCCAGAAAGGGAAATCACCATAAGAGCGCTAATCCCGGTCTACTGTACTATGGACGTCGCAATGACTCTTCGAGATATTCAGGATTTTCGCTGATGACAACAGAAAGCTAAAAATACCTTGCTATCTTATTTTCTCTCTAAATCCTATGTACCTGGCTCAAGCTATTTTACAACGTTTAAACTCCATAGGTATTCGTTGCGATGTTATCACGTTATTGAAAGACACTAGGCGCGTCCCCTCATCGTCCTGCGAGAACGTTCAGAACCCCTCCATCAACCGCGATGATCTCACCGTTAACATACTGGTTCTTGGCAAGATACAGGACAGTCATTCCCATCTCTTCCTCACGCCCTGCTCTCATAAGCGGAACATGTCCTTTATCTTGAATTTTCTCTGGCGGTACATGACTTTTCTGCCTCTCGTCACTACCTTTTGCCGTCACTTTAACATGCTAAATTAGCTACGCCCCTAATCGAGAATGCCATGATGGCAGCTTCTAGATCGATAGAATTCGAAGTACTTACTCTCGCTAGGGAAATATCCCGGTGCTATAGAGTTAACTCTAATTTCAGCCTTCTGGAACTCAGCACTCATGAGCTTCGTTAACTGGATCGTTGCGCCCTTGGCCGTATTATAGCTAAAATGACCCTGAGCATGTCGCATTATGCCGGACATGGATGAAATTGTTATAACGGAGCTAGAGTACGGTTCCAAGGGTCCTTTAGGACGAATACCGGCTTGTAGAAGAGGGAGGAAGGCCACGGTCGTAAAGTACACTGCAGTGACATTGGTGTTGAAGTTGTCATGCCAGTCATCAGGGTCTTCGTTGTTCCATAGCTGTGCCTTAAGATCGTCGGCCTCTCTGTGCTTAGGCTCAGCCTTCGGACCCGAGATACCGGCATTGCAAACCAGGAGGTTGATGTACTTCTCCTGTTTGCTCAGACCCACAACCAATTCCTCTATATCTTCCTTCTTAGTCACATCACAAGGTCCGATAGGAATGATTTGGCCTTTGCCCTTGGTAGGTTGGTGACTCTTCGCCGCATTCTCTAATACTTCTTTCCGTCGACCCGTAATGTATACTTTGGCACCATTCGCAGATAGAGCTTGTGCGGCCATGAGCCCAATACCTGTACCTCCTCCGGTGACCACAGCCACAAAATCTTGAACCCCAAAGAGCTTATTCACATCGAACTGGTGTGTATCAGCCATGCTAAGGAGTAAATTGAATATATTCTCTTCGAAATCGGAGTAGATAAGTTAGCAGTCGTTTGGAGAATATGCGCAAAAGGAAAGTCAGGCTTTTACTTTTGATAGGAAGGTATAATATTGAAGATCAAGATACCATCGGCGATGAGATCACATACACACAATTCGTCAAGCTTATCTAATTGCACAAGAGATGTGCCTGCCTATCGGTGGAGGTTTCGATGAGTGGTGACGTAGAATATACCTTAAACATGTGTAACAGGGATCTCAATAGGAAGTGACAAACAAGATCGCCACTGCTTTCAGTATTCTCTTCAGCTATTAAACTCGAAATGGCAATTTGTATAGTTTCATGTATAGAACAGCTAGATCAATTGGTATTTATACTACGAAATAAAAAGGCTCTTTATATTTATACACACATTGCACTTCTTATGCAACCTCGCAAAATTCCATTTACAGCTTTGAAGTCATCTTTTGGCCTTGGCTCAGCGCAGCTGTGGCATCTGTGATGAACTCATCCACAACCGCCTTCGCGCTCATGTTTTCGTTTACCAGCGCAGCACACTGTCCCATCAGGAACGGTCGGAATTGGTCCATAATGTCGTCCACGTCCTCGTCGCCAGTAGGCTTTGGTGCTCCTGGGATCTCGGTGACGCCGTTCGCGACCTGCTCTAGGTCGTGCTCGTAAGGGAGAACACCCTTAGCCGTCAACGCCTTGATCTCGCCCTGGCGCTCGTTCTCCCAGGTTTCGATGTACGGGTTCTTTCGCACTCGCAGCGGTCGTCCGGTGAAGATGAGAGTCTTAATCGTGTCGTCAAAGCTGGCGGTCTGAACAGCCTCCTTGTGCGATTCTGGCGCTCCGGCTTCGTCCGTTAGGATGAATCGGGTACCAACCCACACAGCGCTCGCGCCCATCATCAACGAAGCAGCTAGCAGCTGTCCGTTGTGAATGCCACCAGCAGCGATAACTTGAACTTGCTTGCCTGAAACCGGACTTATCTTCCCCTTGCAGATCTGGACGCAAGCCGGGATGAGGACTGTGGTTGGAACGTTTCCGGTGTGACCGCCACCCTCGCCACCCTGCGCGCAGATGATATCGCAACCGATGTCTAACGCCTTCTGGACATGCTTGGGGTGTCCGACCATGTTCATGTAGTAAATGCCGTGCTTGTGTAATTTGTCGACGACGGCCTTGGGTGGCACACCGACAGCGGAAACGAAGAGTTTGGCACCCGATTCGATGACGACGTCGACCAGCTCGTTAAGCTTGCCTTTCGTGTAATCGTAACTGTATTCCCACGGGATTAGTTCAGTGATCTGTTTGGTCGCCACTCGCCGAACGAGAGGCGATGTGTATTGGGGATACGAGAACGTACTTTGTTTTCCTGGCGTTACCGCCAACCTGTGGGAGTAACAGGTCAATTCCGAACGGCGCATTCTTGTCATTCAAGTACGACTTGAGTTCGTCGATCTGTTCCTTCAACATGGCTGGGGTGTATGACATGCCTCCAACGACACCGAGACCTCCGGCATTTGTAACAGCTGCTGCCAACTTGGGACCAGCAGCTACGTTCATACCAGCCAGTAGGATAGGGTGGTTGATCTTGAATAGATCGGTTATGGGCGTTCGGATCTTCTCTAAATAGTCACATCTGGTTAGTTTACTGGAATCAGCGTAGATTGTTGCAATTGTAACGCACGTGGTGAGGCCATCTTGACTGTCAGACGTAAGCTGAAATTACAAAACAATTCGAGGTAACAGAGCGAAGTCGGATCTACAACTTGGTTCTACAACTATAATATAAAATAATCAGAGTTGATTAAATATTAGAAGATAGATCAATTCGAGATAGAAATACTAAGAGGATGGTCTTTGATTATCGGCAAAATAGTCTGGAGATGGTGGAAATTGGGGTCGTACGGCTATTGAACCAGCGTGTGACCCAGTCGAAAGCTGGGGAACCGAGGCATCTTGAGTGCCTAGTCGACGGCGAACTAATCCCATCTGGGAATACTGCCTCTTTTAGAACTTGATGGAGTGCATCAACCCCTGAAAGCGGGTACTAAGCCGAGGTTCGTCTAAGCCATTTTGCATGCGGTTGCTCCGGGTTTCCATATGTTTTAGATCGTGTTAAGGAAAGAATGATGAATGTCGTCGCCGCAAGTCATTCTGCATGGGCTTAAATATGCAGTGATTTACCTAATGATAAATCTTGTGCTGCGGAGTAACTGCCCAGTTCAATGGTAGGTCCTTCTTAATGCCGTCGTCATCCGTCATTCTTTAGAAGAAAAATCCATAAGCCGGAGTTACGTAGTGCCGTAGTGCCGTAAAGAGTAGATCGGAGATTAGATTACGGTACGTATGTACCTATTTTTTTGGTAAGGTGGATATCTAAAGTTTGCTTCATCAATTTTTCCCGTCAGCTTCAGAATCCAGGTGCCATTATGATGCGTGACTAGCCAATGCGGCAATTGACTAAGCGGCTTGATCCTTCGTTTAGTTTTCAATGAGTGGTTTCTCATCAACACTTCGAGCATGGAGTTATACGCTTCGCCGTATTCGAGTGCCACCATCTTATACGCATTTGAATGCCTCCTTAGGTGATTCAATACATTCTCCTTTTCCCTCTTATTTTAATAGTATCATCTTCCAGAGAAGTAGTATGGACCGTCAAATTTCGTCGAGTCCATCTAGGGAAGCATGCGGCTGCGCGAAGCGTCGCGGTAAGCAGACTGCTTATATCGCTCTGGGAAGTAATGTCGGCGATCGAGTAGCCATGATTGAGCAGGCGTGTAAAGAGATGGATGCGAGAGATATCAAAGTCAAGAGGACGAGCAGTCTCTGGGAAACTGAACCCATGTACGTTCTAGATCAAGATAGATTCGTGAATGGAGCTTGCGAGGTTTGTCTTAGAATCCCCACTCCCTACACCTTGAGCTGAATGGTCTTCATTAGGTCGAAACCGATCTGGAGCCATTGCCGTTATTAGACCAATTGCAAGACATAGAGAAGTCTATGGGAAGGCGGAAACTCATAGATAAGGGTCCTCGAAATATCGACCTAGACATTTTGCTTTATGAAAATGAAAAGGTCGATCATGAGAGACTCAAAATCCCTCATATTGGTATCCCTGAACGTGAATTCGTTCTCCGCCCTCTCGCCGAACTCATCCCGCAAAAGTCAATTGACCCTTCCAAACCATGGAAATTTATCCAGGATTACCTGAATGAGTTGCCCGAAACGCCTGAGCCACTCTCGACTCTGACACCGATATGCGCCTCAGTAGAACCTTTGAATGCCCTCAAGGCAACGCGGAAAACACAGGTAATGGCCATTCTTAACATAACGCCTGACTCATTCTCGGATGGGGGGATACATACCCCCGACTCGTTAAGGGACACAATCATGGCTTATGTCCGAGGCGGCGCCACGATTTTTGATATAGGTGGCCAATCCACAGCTCCGGGTACGCTCGAAGTCAGTGCGCAAGAAGAAATGGACCGTGTCTTGCCTGTTATCGAACTTATCCGCAGCCTTCCCGAAACACGCGATGTCGCGATTAGCATAGATACATACCGAGCCTCAGTTGCCGAAGCAGCCGTCAAGGCTGGCGCAGACATCGTTAACGATGTGTCTGCGGGTCTCATGGACGCGGATATGCTTCTCACGATGGCCCGTTTGGGGAAAACGGTCTGCTTGATGCATATGAGGGGAAACCCTAGTACAATGAGTAAGCTAAACGAATATCCGGAGGGACTTATCCCGACTATCGCTCGGGAATTACTCGAACGGGTAGCGGCAGCTGAGGCGGCGGGTATCCGCAGGTGGCGTATCATTCTCGATCCGGGGCTTGGATTCGCCAAGGTCGGCGAGCAGAACTTACAATTACTTCGCCATTTCGACGAGCTACGTAACTGGCCCGGATTAGAGGGTCTGCCATGGCTCGTGGGGTCCAGCCGTAAGAGCTTCATCGGCAAGGTCACAGGCGTGCCGAAACCTATGGATCGCGTCTTTGGCACTGCAGCGACCGTTGCCGCGGCGGTACAGGGCGGCGCGGATATAGTGCGTGTCCACGACGTCGTGGAGATGGGGCAGGTAGTCAAGATGGCTGACGCCGTCTGGAGATATTAAAGTAACACATTGCATTTTGTGTTACTGCCTATGGAAATTACATGTGTCAAGTGCCAGAGCCTCCAGGGTCCTATCATCCCTCATTTTTGTAAAGCGTTCAGTTCATTCAGACCCTTCCATATTCCCATTCATCAACGCCCTCATTGCAATTAGCCCACCAATTCATCACCTTTACCACCGAATAGTGTGCTCAACTACCAAATCCCTAAAAATCCACCAGGGAATTGCTTAGGAATTCAATAGGACGTCCAAGCCAACTTAGAAAGTAGCGTCTCCACCACCAAAGCGAACACCCTTCTCCTTACCAGTGTCGACAGCCTTGCCCTTTCCTTTCTGCTTCGCCTCGACCTCAGCCAGGGCCTCAGCCTTCCACTTCTCGACGAGGGCGGCCGCCTTCTGCTTCTTGGTGGATTCGGCACAGTACTCGAGGTCGGCATCGGTGACGCGCTCGATTCGCATCTCAGCGTCAGAGACTCGGCGGATCTTGGCAACCTGCGTGCGGATCAAGTGCTGGCTGTCGGCATTGTCTGCATGCGCACACTCCTCTACGATATCATCATCCAGGCCAAGGATAGCCTCCGTGATGTACGCAGCATGGACCTCATCTTCTACATGCTTGCGCACCTTGTTGAGGATTCTTGCGCGTGCCTTCATGAGGGCTTGGCCAACTTGCTCGAGTGCCTTGGTCATGAGCTCATCGTCTGAGGTCTTATCCGCCGCTTTCTCTTCAGTCTTACCCTGCTCGTCCGCCTCGGATATATCCTGGGATGGCTTGCCCTCGCGGTCTAGGAGAGGCACGCGCGACTCGTTGGTCGTCTGCGGATGGCGCTCCTTGACAACGCAGAGGCGCTTGGCTGGGGTGAGCTCCTGTAGACGAGCCAAGCCGCGACGAGCGTTGATATCGCTCTGATACTCCATGTTGTTAGGTCCGGCAAGTGGAGTCGAGGGGTCTGAGACTCCGCGACGAGGGTAGCCGCTCTGGGGGGTGAGAGGGCTGACCATGCCGCTGCGCACGCTACCGGAGCTGACGGAGCTCACGCTCGGGTCGACTCGAAGGTGGTTCATGCTGCGCACCTGTCGTGGGTGGCGTGGGGATGCCTGTCGTGCGATTGTTAGCAAACATACTTCGATGCGATTAAGAACATGACATCTCTCTATTCCCGAGGCTGGGGGCATAACATAGGAGAGTGTGTGACAAAAGGAATAAGAGGAAGGAATACTCACGGGTCGAAGACTCTGCCCGCTCAGGTCTCGAATCTGTTGGGTGTACACCTTGGAGGGAACACGAGCATGCGTAGGGATGCCCATACCGAGCATTCCGGAACCATTAGCATCAAGGTCTCCCTCATCGAAATAGGGAACCATGTACAGGTCGCCGGGGTTCTTCATGTTCTTGAGATTCTCTCTGTACTGAGCGTGCTGGACCTGGCGATGGCGGTTCAAGTCGAACTGCTCCCATCGCTGTTTAGCCGCGTGGATGGTTTCAGCATTCTTCTTGATGTAGTTCGCCACGGGGTCGTTGTTGCTGTTAATCTCAGACATTGTGGCAGAATGTTTGAGTCCAGGGGTGCGAGGACTGTCGGGGAGACTGAAAGTGACTGAGCGAATGTTGCCAGCTGATCGAGCTGAGACGATTCGAGCAGGTCCAACGCGAAGGATGGAAGTGCGTCGGGCAACTTGAATCTGAGCGTTTTCAGCGGCAGCGTCGTTCATAGAATCTCCAGAGCCATGCGACTGGACATCAGCGTCGGCATGGTGTGTAGTAGCGCCACCAGGCGCATCAGCTTGGGCGGAATTCTCTCCTCCGCGAGAGTGGCTTGAGTTCACAGCAGTAGACTGCACGGAGACGCTGGAGTTGTGGTCATCTCCGGCAGGAAGCTCAATGCTGCCCGTAGGGAACGCGGTCACATCGCCGCCGGTGGAAGATACATGAGGGTTTTGTTCATTCTCCTTGTTCGTACCCGGCTGCATGTCGCCGAGAGGTACGCCTTCTTCGTCAGGCGCCGAAACACGTCGGCCCTTGAAAAAGCCGCGAAGAGTCGAAAGACAATTACCCATTGTGCAAGAAAGACGCGATCACGAGATGCTCAGAGGAGTGGAAGGGATTGATTAAATCAAAGCGAGACTCGAAAATGAGCGTGATGTCACAAAAGAAAATCGAGAGATGGGTAAAAACGAGTGAATGATAGCTTTGAGAAGTCAGGAATTGACATTCAAAATGCGTTGCAGCGTGTAGAGAGGATTGGGGGAAATGGAGTGATGGGATGAGGGTGATGAAAGGAAAAGAAATGAAGCAAAACAAAACGCATGAAGCATTAGAAAGGTAGGAAACAAGCGTGTTCCGACTTGCGGCTGGTGATTCTGTCTCTTTCCGTGCGGCAGTGAAGCTATCACGACTAAGCGCGGCTTGATGAGGTCCTTTACCATCGTCCCGGCCGGCTGGGGATGGTGGGGGACGCGGTCTACTCTTTCCAGTGTTAGCCATCTCATCTCATCTACGGATCTTTGAACTAGAACCGGGTCTCCTTAAGACTGTCGTCAAGTGAACCGACATAGGCGAGACTGTCCTTGTTCGTTCTATCACCGGACCCGACTTGACCAAGTCCGCTTTGCTTCATCCAGCATTGAGAGCCTAAATATTGCATGGTAACCGAATACCATTTATAAACAATCACTTTGATACGTTTATGAATGGAGAAAGCCTCTCATATACTCTCAGTTGGTGTATATGGATTCAGGGGCTATATTCAGGGGTAACATAAGGGGCTACAATCTCAACATCAACCACCACCAAAAGGATTCAGCTATCTCTTTTTACGATATATACACGGCATATCACGCGTATTAGATTGTTCAATATGAGTATAGAGGTTGAATTCAAAAGTCTATGAAGCGGCTACCTTCTAAGTGGTAGAAATTCCAACACCTATTTAGTATCCGAATGTCTCTTACTTCTTCTATCAAACGCTACAGACTCAAAGTAGGTACTTAGTGATTTAGAGCGATAATAAGAAGTTAGGTATACAACGTCAATTGGTGATCTATGATCGGCCCAGGCTTGAAAGGGGATGATTCAGTATTAACTGCTACTTGGGTAGTCTTAACATGCAATCCATATCACGAGAAATATATCAGCACTTCTATTATCCACTTAACAGAAGCTATTTCTTAAAGTTTCGATTAGTCACATAGTTCACTCAACGCCAAGTTACCTAACCTTCTATGAAGACACACATGCATATCTACCTAATACCCTAGTTTTGTCGCAACCTTCTAGTCTCCTACCCTCAGAAGCTTCTCTATCTAACTATAGCAATATTTCCGCTGTAGATTTAACCTACGAGCGTGCATGAAATCCAAGACTGTGGCTTCGGCTTCTATCCACGCTAGCATGCAAGCACACGTTATACGATCTGTGTGCCATCGTAGCACCCAGTCTAGCAAGGGTCATAGCACGTCCCGGCATCAGATCTCCCACGCTACGGACTCCGGACGCCTCTCACCACTGTGGCACTACCTGAAACGAACGCCATCATCTCTCGGTGATTGAAACTTTATCCAACGGCGTCTTGGCAAGGCTTCTTTCCGCCTGCTGCGGTAGAACCGTGAGGCTCTCCTTAGCTTCGCCGTTGTGGCTTCATCTTAGAAGGATAGGGGGGGTGTTCACCGTATATGCTGTACTCCTTAGTCAGCATCCATGGCTTGACATAGCCTACTAAGCCCACGTTTATACCCGCGAGCGAGCTAGAGTCCGGTCTCGTCGAACGCCATCGGCGCTAATGATGTCACTTCTACCCCCTTTCAATCGGCGACCGCCGGTCGGCGATGTAGATTCCCGCGAGAGGGAAAGCTGCGGAAGCAATACGATAAGAAGCATCCAGCCACGTATAGGCTTAGATAGGGAGCCACCGCGCCAATCTATACTAGCCATTATCTGATCTTCGGTGTGTTCCTCAATTTTACTTCGTAGGGCTGGAATCCTCTTCGGTGACACAATCCAGTGTATGGTGTGTTCATCTAATAGCCCTATGTATCCGCAACCAAGCATTGGATCTTCATTGTGGCACCTGACTCCGTACTCGTCACGTTTCACCTTGAGAAATTAGGGGGGGTGTATTCACATAATATTCTGTGATTACATAACGATTAGGTAGTGATACTTACCGTCACACTGTACACCCTCACCCGACCTTGTGACTGGGACATTGTAATCATAGTAGGTAGGCTTTGATAATTACTATACTAATGTCAATCAAGCGCAACAAATCCTATACTCGAGCAACTAAACTTCGGACATACCACCCAATCCCAATCCTATCCGGCACAGCCCTACGTACCGAACCAATGGAAAATGGGGGGCCGCGTAAAGGGGTTTAAGCCGGTTCAGGCTCCATCTAAATCCGAAGCATACCCAGTGCCATCCCACGCATCCCCGGGCTCAATCCCGCGATCTCGCAAAGGACCCCTTTCTCCCAGAGCTACCTACGCAGAGAGCGAAGGCCAGCAGTGCCTTGACGTGGGATCAGCAGCCGTCGTCTCTTTCGGAACGAATAGCCGGCGGAAGCGTGTTACACCCCGTTACACTAGATGCGGATGCTAGATTGCCCCAAGGCTCTGGGTGCGTGTGTACCTCTCTAAAGCCCTACGTGTGTACAGTAGGCATGTACCTGTAAGTCAGACGCTCGTAGCATACAGCTCACAGCATGAGCGAACCTACATACCAAGCAATATTTCAACGTGGCACGAACCCGAGCTGTCGCCCATCACAGATCTCCTGATCACCAGGAACAGGGGGGCTAAAATTTCCTTGATTTTTTTTCTATCTTTCATCCACACTACATCATCAAGCAAGTCAAGCCGAGTATGTGGGAACCCGTAGTGGTTTCAGTCTAGTGCTGCCATCACATCATTAAGACGTCCAGGCTATAGGGTATGTACATATGATCTGCAAGGACCTATTGGAGGATCCTAACATAATGATATTATGAATAAGCCGAGCTGGAACCGATAGATATCTCACCCATGTATGCTATTACCAGCTGACTTCAATAAGGTCAGTTTTGCCTTGTATAGTGATGCGTAGGTCAGTAATTTCGTTGAAGAACCTTGGGACTGGGGACGAGATGAAGAATACAACCTCACCAAAATTTCCACAGCGAATCAGAATGTAGAGAATGATAAAAAAAGATTTTAAACTAATTTACTTCGTACCACAACTCATCGGACGAAAGACGACCATGACCCCTTGTCGATCTAGTACCTAGTACTATAATTCATTCGATCGTCCAATGACAGCCAACTCATATCATTCGATAACTTTTCCAATGCATTCAACCATCGATGATCCTCTGTAAATCAAGAATCACTGAACAAGTTTTGTGTTACCTCGCGCTTACTCGGCTTGATCTTACCGGCCAATTCGTATTTAGAGGATACTTAAGAGACCTGGGGGGAAGGCTTTGGAGTTACACACGCGTTTGCAGGGTTACACCGCTCGGCTGACTAGGTTTCTGTACCACGTAAGCCTTCTTTGTATTCTTCTTTTCTTTTTTTTTCTCTAATGTGATTAATATTTCCCAAGGTAACCTTAGGGCGGCGTCGCGACTGGACCGCCACCCGATAAGTGGCATACCTAAGCAGCTAAGCAATATCCATACCTAGCTGCCTAGGTAGACAAGTGGTGTGGATTCCAACACGGTATGCCTGTTAGATAGGTAGATAGGCAAGTTAAGTGAGCTGACGACAGTTGTAGCGGATCCTTCTAACTGTATTGAAAAATTGGTGCATGGTCGGCAATAAGTTGCACATGGATCGGCAGTTCGCTTGTTACCTGAGGGGAATTCCCTGCTTCGCTTAAGCGACCTTTTATGATCCATGGTACGCAGAGAAATACTTCATTGGTCCCTCGCTCCCAAACAATGCTTCCTGTACATCGCTGGGAACGGACAAACGTATAGCGTCTGCGTCGCAAGAAGCGCGGCGCAGTAGTTTGTGTCACTGGCAAAGGTCACACACAGCGACGCAGGAAGATAACCTTCCCGTCCTGTACATGTGCGGCGTGGGTTTTTTCGTACAACAGCCATTTACCACCAGCGCACCAGGCACGCATCAGTAACGCCCCCTCTCAGGACCACGAGTGACCTGTCATATTCCACTCGAGACGTGAACACAGTGTGGAATTGAGACAGCGTCGGAATAATGAGCGCCCAGAAATTGAATCGACCAGTCATTTTCATCGGTACTCTGCCCGGCAGCTCATGTTTTACAAGTACCGTTGTCTGACTCAGCCATGTCCACACGGGTCCAAGCCGCGACAAGTCGTGGATTCTCAATCGACGCAAGTGCCACGAAGTACTGCGTAGGGCTGAGCAGGAGACGGAAGTAGTGTAACGAAGGGCTGACGATGCACGTCAGGCACATCATCCGTACGTTCTGCATAACGTAGAAGGGAGGGTACTCGGGGAAAATCACGTTTGCTTATGGGTGATCCTTAGTTGCGTAAGTCTGTAATTGTTAGTGGGTTGAAGTGACATCACAAGCAGAGCGGAACCCCGTAGTCCTGCCGCGCGACTACGCCTAGTCCGGGTCTTGCTACGGTAACATCGCGTGGCTTGCTGAATGAGAAGCTGTTTGCGAATGGCAATACGATCCGAGCCTGTCGTCGACATGCTACGACCTGGTCAAACGTTTACAGCCACGGGACCGCGGGGAGATATGGCCCCCAACTTCTTGGTAAGTAGTAGGTAGTAGGTACAGCTTGACCGACTCGCCCTTGCTCACGTCCGATTTAGTTGGTGTTGGAAGGGATGCTGCGATGTTTGCCTGCGAGATCAGAGTAGTGAGAAGGTAATTAATGGTTTGCTCAATCATGTTTGCCGCCCTTAGGACCAGCATGTACCTTCTACAACCACAGTTGTTCGGGTCGAATTGAAAGAAAAAAAAAATCCTCCAGCAGTCCAGGTACTTGGCACGGTAAAGAATTGGACTTTTGAAGGAGAGGGGGTCAGATGGTAGGGTGGGTAAGATTGAATCTCTCGGCACTTACCGGGCCTCGGCGAAGCAAATAATAGAGATCCCCGCCCTGCTAGGACCAGTAGAAGTGTTAGGAAGGAAATGAAGGGGCACGCAAGGAGGGAGTTGGTGAAAAAGATAGCATTTAGCTTGAGGGAATTTGGGCATGCTCAGCGCGTCAGATATAGTAAGCTTTTTCCGGTGAGAATATACACATTCAATGCCAAGACCGGAAATGCAGGACGATAGCATTCAATGTCCACGCGTTGCGGGAGTGTTCACTCTAATTTTCGCCACTCGAGATCATTTTCCGCCGCGGAAACTCGGAGCTCGATGTGACGCAGCCTAACGAGGACAGGCGTTGCAAATCGGATATGAGATGAGAAGCATGAATTATGGCTGTATATAGACGCGCGATTGGGTGAATTGGTTGCCTAGCTTCTCTTTTCAGAGCTCTCTCAACCATTCCTTCGTCGAGGGTGGAATGGACGACGGATACGCGGCCCCCAACTTAACCAGCATCAACCAACGGCTGGTTGACAACGTGCGCCAAGGTCATATAACCATCCCATCATGTGGTGGCGGGTCTGTCACTCATGCATTGGTAGGTTCCGGATCCGCGATGGCGGGTCTTGCTCGAAGTTTTCATCCTTAGCATCGCGAGATTGCGACTATGAGTTGCAGGAAACGTCGACTTCCAATAGGTGACCAAGCACATTTACCAATTAGGCTTGCGAATTAGTGCGAGACGTAATGATTCTAGCATCTCCCCTCCTCCTTCGACGACCCTGACGACGATCTGTAGAGCGAAATGATCCACAAAAGCTTAATTGGACCGCGAACCAATTAGCACAAAGACAAGGCTTTGTACCGCAGATGTATAAGATGTATAAGATGTATCTTATTAGGAGGTGTGAAGTAGACAAAGAATGGAGAAGACCCGCGGGTGGTATCTCACCTGCATGTTATTGTAGAACACCACTCATATGCAAGGCAATAATGAGAAGTTATTGCTTATCCCATAGCACTCTTCTCGGCCGTACTGTCCGTCGCTGATACCTGGCGTGTCTCTAAATCTGACAGCGACGAAAGAAGAGAGTAAATTTGTTGGACCTTCAGCGAGACGGCTAAAGTCGCAAGGAGCTGACCGATGTTGTTGTCTCAACTGGTACGTAAGGATGTTTAGCTCGTTGGAGAAACCAAAGTTGACCGGTGAACAGAATCTTGACTAGATTCGTGCACTTGCATTGTGATTCGATGCGACGGAAAACGTATAACCCGCTCAAGCTTACCTAGTAGGTACGCATAAATTATGAGAGGATATACATATGCGAGTGCCATTATTAGAGGTCGGAAGAGGAAAACGCCACGGCTTTCCTGACAGGCATTGTTTACCACGACCGGGATATATTCAACGATGAAGAATGGAGAAGACAAAAAAAAAAAAAGAAAAGAGGAGAGGGAAATTAGCTCAACTGTCTCGGGCGCCGAGATCCATTAAGTGGTAGGTACCTACCTACCTAGGCATTTAGCTAAATCAATAATAAAGCAATTGCAGCTACCCGTCGATCGTCAACTTTATTTCTCCTAAGAAGTAGGGAAGCCAGGTATGTACCTATGTAGTATGCAGGAAAGTACGATAGATACTGCAGTGCGAATTACCATATCAAACTCTCTACTGCATGATACATGGGTACCTAGGTGCCTACATTTCTACCTACTACTGCTGGCAACATTGAATAGTAGCCTCACGTAAATTTCTCCGTTTCTACCTACATAGTACATGCATGGTACCCCAAGTAGTACATCCATACATACATACATACATACATACATACATAGGAATTCCGTATTATTCGACCGTATTTACACAACTAACTACCCAATTCAGCAATTACAGCAGATAGGCACGATATCCGACACTTCGCGTACCTAGATACATATCTTAGTATGCAATACACCCAATATACTGCCTAAAAGTAGAAACACCGTTAGGATAAGCTACTGGAGTCGAAAGTCAAAAGTTCTATTAGCTCTAGCCTTTCTAGCGCATGGTCTAGGCAGTCTAGGCAGGTACATCAGGTGTGGGGTTTCCATCTATTAAGTTCCACTGTTAGCTTAACATTGATACCAAGGATCTACCTCAAATCGCGTGCGGATGCTAGGGTCCTAGCTCGCCCAGACTCCAGAACGGCCACCCCTGCTCAGCTAACCTTGTACCACTGCACCGCCTGAACCCCGGCTGAAAGCTACCGCGACCTTGTGTCTTGTCCGGTCTACGACGTTCCCTATCGTGGGTGTCATGCTTTTAGTGCAACCTAGCTCCCGTTGTGGGGCTTTGAGGCTTTGTAAGTCCAATTTGAACGACCTCTCAACCTGATCGAGATCAGTAATGACATGCGAGCCATCAAGCGAAATCATGAAAGAAAAAGGAAAAAGGAAAAATATCCATGCCGCGCATCTAATCTATGCCAAGGCCATCTTCAACCGTAGAACCCTGATGTAGGGATACTCATTGGCCCAGTGTGCGATCCCCCTTCGTTTCTGGGTTTGCAGCTACCTACCTTAGTAGACCGTGTTCTTTTTCCCCGGTTCTAATTAACATCTATCTTCTATTGGTCATCATCTGTTAGTGGAGTCATGCGGAAAAAAAAATTGATTTCCTTGCTTCGATGGTTGGGCATGCACTGATCCGCTGTCCCGCAAGACAGGGGATCCCATCGCGGTAGTCGAGAGAAGCAAAATAGAAAGGAAGCTATGTTGTATCTTTCGATCAAGAAGCTACGGGAAGGCAATTCTGAGCGCGCGAGCACTGCTAGTGGGGGGATAGCACGCCTTTTAACCTTGCGCCCTTAGCTCGATCCTGCTCTTCCTCGTTTCACACCAAATACTCTTCTTATTCGACTCGCGAGGCTTGTAAACACACATTCCACCCGAAGCGTCCCTCAACCACATCGAGACAGGAGAAGGCGAGTTGCAGTAAGTCAGTCTCACCAGGAGGACCCGGACAACAAGCGAAAGCAGTTGCCGAGTTGGGGAAGATAAAACTCAGACACCCTTATAAACCCGTCTTTCCCAACGCCACCCATGAATTTTTTTTTTACGTAGTCTTCGTCAAGTTTCAAGGCAGATGAATGAAAGTCGCTTATCCTTCGTTTGTCGAACCCTCTCGAAAACACCGTAAAAGCATCGCACCAGGGTATCCTTTCCATTATCCCACCAGATAAAACCCATGTTTTGTAGTATATCCGGTAGAAACCTCCAGGTCGTAGTTCATTCTTCGTATATTTCTGGCCCTCATTCAGATTCCCCATGCAGACTCTTGCCCAGATATTCTTTCCCCGCCATATTCCATACGCCGCCACCCCCCGCGTCCAACCTGGAGATACGGAGGATACCAAAAAAGTCCAGAGAAAACAATAAATATACTTTTCGTCTTTGATAGTCTTGTCGAATGCAGGTACAGCTCGAGAACAGGTAGCTAGAAGCTACCGAGTGAATATGTCATGTGGATAGACCAATGTACGTCAATCGGGACTGGTCTCACCCGGATTGGGGGAGCATTGTTGGCATTGTTGGGTAGTAACCCGCAGAAGTCGGTTTTCCTTCGAATCTGTTACAACCCCCTCGGGAGTAGTAGTTGCCTGGTGTATAAAAGAGACTTGGGAGAGGTCCATCGTACTCGTGCTTCACCTTCGAATTCGTTGAGTCGACTGCTGCTGGCGTCGAATGCACCAAACTTTCCGGTTCGCTTCGATGATGGGAAAACATCTCAACTCCCTGTCTCGCATCGCTACCCTCGTAGATCGTCCCAGGATAGTACTGATATTCTTTCGCATTGTCAATAGCTTTAGCCTCCTCTGCGGGGATGATTGGGTCTATCGGCATTTCGTTGTGGCGCGTGGTCCCGTAGTGTGCAGAGCGTGGGTCGTATCCCCCACCGCTGCCATACGCATTCGATAGTAACGAAGATCCACTAGCACCATAGTCAGAACCTAGGACTTGGGATCCCGAGTAGCCTCCCATCCCGCTTGATCCGCCAGGTCCGCTACTTGTGCTTCCGCGTCGCTCCGTCTGGTAATGTCCAGGAGAACGGCCGCGAACAATCATCTTTGCGGATTTGCGTTGCGCGATCTTCATGAACTGTTCCTGCGCCTGATTCCCTACGTCGACGTACAGCTCAACGACCAAATGATAATATTGTTGCGCTGCGCGCCGCTTTCCATTGTTTGCGGTTGCTTGCTTAAACTGGATCCTCTCAAACGTATGCTCGCTCGGGTACGACCCTTGCGGGCTCTGTCCGTAGCCACCTTCGTACAAAGGTCTTGATCCACCGGGTATGTTGTGGTGGTCCTGATAAAGCAACGGATGCGGCGGCTGCTGAGGCTGCTTAGGTGTCAGTCTCACCTTCTCCGGTTTCTGTACCGGTCCTTTGTCTCTCTTGGGCGTGTGCTGGACCAGGTCGATGGTGTGAGAATCGCTGTCAGACACGACTGCAGAAATGCTCATCGCGAATCCAAATACTTGGTATGATGTTGACGATCCAGTAGGAGCGTACTGCATCGTCGTGTTGGAATAGTAGGGCGACAGGCTGTATGAGCAGATGCAGGAAAAATAATTTCTCCTGTAACATGTCCAATCTCCCTCTGACATGAAGAAGCCCTTGTCGATGGTCCCATGGATATCGATTTTAATGGGCGACCCCGATTCACTGTAGACCAGCTGACCATTTGCGGTCATCGGCATTAACGGGGGAATGTGCGTTCCCGCAGACTTGCCATACTGGCTGGCGTCCATCCTGACCGGACTCGTGAAACTAATACTAGGGCTGGGAGTTGGCGACAGAGGATGGCGTCGCAAAGGTGCTGCGAAAGAAGGCGATCTCGTGTGCTCCGTTGCTCTTCCAAAGGACGGCCTCGCTCCGGAGTAGAGATCTCTTACGCTGTATGCTGGATTTGGTAACGCAGCCGACCGGTTGGCATGTGCCATGCCCGTAGATGAAGTGCTACTACTACAGCAGTAAGTAGGGCAAGAGCTAGAGCAGTTGGATACGGATGTGCTATTACACACGGGTGGGTTCAGGGTGGGTGTGCAACTTACCTAGAGTTCAGGCGCGGTGGCCTCACGTCGATCCCAGAGAAGATCTGTGAGGCAGGAGAATAGAACGATCCGGTATCAGGGGAGTACCCCGTGGTTGTGTTGTTGAGGAGAGGCGCAGAAAAGCCGCCAAGTACAGAAGGCGGCTGAGGAGGGGTTTCTATTGTTAGGGAAGAAATATTGGAATCTTGGGTATATCTGGACAAGGCGTCAGCAGGGGCTTTTGCCAAATAGAACCTCGTGTGCGAGGCTCCAGGCAAGCTAGCGAAAATTGCGTGTATCGCAGTTCCATACAAGACATGTCCAAGTGCGACCAAAAGGTAGTACTGACAACAATGTTCACGTACCACAGGGGGGAGCGGATACAGGATCGGGAACTACAAAAAAACCACGCCACATAGCGGCGAACAGCGGAAGCGTCACAGGTCTTTTGTGTAGCTACAACAGCCACCCATGCATTCTCCGCGCCTATGGGGAGTGAGAGAGATTTACAGGCGGTGCTAGTAGGTGCAGATTCTAAGGTAGGTAGGTTATCTTTGGGGGGGACGCTAGCAGCAGGGCGATCGAAGCAGCCTAACCGGCATACCTCCATAAGTGCCCAAGTCTGCCGTCGTTTCGTTGAAGAAACGAAACGCGCGTGAAGTATGGGAAATCATGTGGTATTGAGACAAAACAGTGGAATAGTTAAGAATTAGAAACTAGAAAAAAAAAGCAATGAGGAAGTAAGACGAGGGGAAGTTCTGATTCAACGACATTTTTTTTATTTTTTTCTTCTTTTCTTTTCTTTTCTTTTTTTTTCATCTTCTTTAGTAACGAAGGGTAAGGGACATCTGCTCACCTCATATCACCAGTAGCCGGGATGTCGAGATATTCCAGCCCAGGACAGGATGGTGGCGAAGGCTCAAAGTCCTGCTAGAAGGAGGAAATTTGTTAGTAACGTAAGCTATGATGGCTGGTTATTTTAGCATAGCGGTGACGGGTCTAATTAATAGAAGAAGAGGCCCATTGGGTGTGAGTTGTAGTCATTACCGGGCTTTGGGCATTGCCGGCGGGAAATTGAAAGGGCTCGAGAGTTTTTTTTTGTGAGCAGTCCCTGTAGAGGATCGGAGAGAATGTTAGCATACAAGATTTTTCTGTACTGAATGGCTAACATAAAAATATTGTTAGGACTTGAGGACTTGAGAAAGACTTGCAAGTAATGTAATGCAGCGTAATGTAATGGCAATGGAAGTAGTAAGTATGAAGGTACTTAAGTGTATGCTAGCTGGTTGGGTACATAGGCAGACGGTATGGCTAGGTAGAGGGCTATGCGTGATGTATGTAGTGGGTGTGTGTGAGTTGTATGAGTTGTGTTGAGTTGCGTGAGTGTGTGAGCAAGTGATTAGAATGATGCGTCAGTGAAGGTGGAAAGAATGGCACGGTGTTTGCTCCCCGGCTACTTCCAGTTCAGTGCTAGGAAGGTACCTTGTCATTCCGTGCGTTGCACTGTGGTACCGCTGCCTAGTATGCGAGATACTTAGATGGGCTGACTGGGAAGGTACCTTAGGATCGAAGTACCTAAGGGAAGTACCTTCCAGGTTATCAGGGACGCAGGGAAGTGGCTGTCGGGATCCAGAATCAGGGCTATGGGCGTGTTGTGGGTGTTGTGGGTAGGCATGTACCTAGAGATAGAGAGGATAGATATTTCTTTCCAGGGGGGGTACCACACTAGAAGACCCGGAGGCGTTTTTTGTACGACGTAGGAAACCGGGGATGATTAATTTATTTTCATCCAATGTGACAAGCTCCTTCCGTTGATTTGCAGAAGCTTCGAGGCAGCCATTAGAGGGGCAGCATTTATAAAAGACATCAAAGTATAACGACTTTTCAGTCCGTTTCGCTTCCTCGCATCTTTCCTCTCTATCTCTTTTTGCATTGATTTTCTTTCTGCTTTTCCTTGAAACATGATTCATAAAGTGACGAATAGAGGAGAGAGAGGAAGATAAAAAATGAATAAATAAAAATTTTAAAAAAAAAGTACTTGCTGTATGGATTTACTTAGGGATGAGTGTAGGTAGTAGATAGGTGGTAGGTGGTAGGTGGGTTGGTATGGTGTGGCTTCAGATGTGTAAGTGTGTTTAAGGTAGGCGTTGAGATGAATGTGCTTGCGCGCGTTTATGTGTTTGTGTGTGGGCGGGCGCGTATGTGGGCTTGTGCTTGGTGCGCGTGCATATGAAAGAGGACGACATCTTCGAGATTGAAACTGACTGACCTTGAATGGCGCTGCTTTCAACTTCGATCTCAAGGGCTTCAGCGAGCGTGCTAGAGCTGCCTTGGAATCTTTGTCTCCGACTCCCTCAGCATCAACGATGCATAGCCCATTTCATCCAATTGGCTTTCGTTAATTAAAAGCGCCCTCACACAGACCGGTTCGGCGAAAGCGAAGTTTCTCGATTTTTCTTTTACGTTTTCCGATGGGAAGTAAGATAGGAAGATATAGGGGAGTAATAAGAAAGGACAAGAAGATGATGCATGCATAGATGTAAGAATGAAATTAACGAGTATATGTGCATATCATGATAAATACCTTGGGGTTAAGTTGTTGATTCATTCGAGGAGCCTCTCTGTTTAAAGAGAGGCGTGGTTCATTCGGCCGAAAAGTGGCTGACAGTACCAATATAGCTGGCGACGGGGGATTGGGATTGGGACTTCGAAGACGGGTCGCGGATTACCTAGTAGCTGTTGTAGCAACGGTCGTTAGTTCCGTATTCTACTAAGTATGCAGGGTTCCTTAAAAGAGGAAGGGACATTGGACTGAATGTAACGGCTTCGCTCAAAGAGTCAAGCCAGTTACGCCAGTTAAGCCAGTCAAGCCAAACCCTTCCGAGCTTATCCACTAATAAGGCTTTTTCCCGTCAAGACAAAACATCTTCAGGGCAATGCTGTTCTGAGACTTCGATAGGTACATCGAAAGTACCCCCGAAAAAGAGATGCCATCTTAAGTAAGATGATGTGTAGGCGGGTACCCTATGTTCTTTTCTTTTCTTTTTTTCTTTTTTTCTATTTTCTGTTGCTGCTTCTTTTTCTTCTTATGTCTTCCCTCCACTTTTACATTTCAGCTATACGTATCGACTAACCCAACTTCCGGTCTCGATCGGTAGTGGGTTATGTACCATGGTAGATGTTGGTGAGGTAAGTAATTGATGTATGTCAATCTCAAAAGGTAGGGTAGGGTTAGGGAGTGGGCTCGCTGCTTGCAGATGAGAGGTCCAGGGGCCAGGATGTACACCGACCTTTGGATAGTCCACTGTAACCATAAGTGCCAAGTGATTGATAGCTTTTGGAAATACATACACCGTCATGCAGCGAATAATAAACCTGGACAGTTAGAATTCCTCTTGTCAGCGGCTTTCAACCCTCTGCAAGTAACAAAAATAACATGATTAATATCGAAGGGATAAGCTCGAGAAAGATGCAAAAAAGAAATGCAAATAATAAAAATGAAAAAAAAACAGAGATAAAATAGAAATAAAGGGCAAATCAGAGAAAATGAATTAATTGTGCAGGGTTAGCCCAAGATGCGGAAGCTCCAAGCTTCATCTCGCAGAACCAACAATGCAGAAGATAAATTGAGCCGCGCCGAATTAAGTTGTATTGGGCTGAGTGGTGTCGAGTCGAATCGGATCACTAGGTAGTATGTTCAAGAACTCAGACAGTCAAAGTCCTCGGATTCGTCGATAGGCCAAGCTGAATCAGCCGTATGCTACCTTTTGACACCGGTGAAATCGTCATCGCCCTCTGTCTGCCTGTTTTTTTGTTTTTTTTCTGCGCGTCTGTTTCTCCGTACGTATAATGTATTTCTAGGTCCGCGATCTGCTTGGCGCAGGCCGTTGGCCTTGTCTGAATCGCGATCTCGTGCGTGGCGCCTGCACAATATCCCGACAAGAGCAGAAAAGAAACTAGGTACCTACTCTCCCTATCGGAAGGGGGCGCTAACATGCGAATATCTATATTCTAAACGAATCGAAGGGAGACCCTGAAAGTGTGTGTCAGCGCTGCCTTCTTCACTGCAGATTTTTGAAGCGATTTGATTGATCAACCACGGTGGAGGCTAAATGCACACCAACTTGCCTACCGCCATCTTGGGTCCATGGCGCCATGCCTATCAATTTGGAACAGAGCACGGAGTGGCAGTTGGATGAAACCGTACCTACGGACGCCATTGAATGGTGCCATCGGACACTTCGTGGTGATCAGCCTCCCAAGATATGAACTGCCCAGCTTACCTTATTATTCTCTTATCTGCAGCAAGCCTTGCGTTATCCCAGAATCAGACTCCGTCCCGTCGCTTGCTACGCATCGGATTCGTTAAGCCGGCTTGTGGGTGCTGTCGGGGAGGGTTTACCCTAGGTAGGTTTGCCTTTTCTTTTCGAATCAGTGTAAAGGGGGGGTCGTCTAGGTCATGCGAAGTCTCAAGGCAGGTACCAAGCTAGGTAAATAGCATGAGCGCGGCAAGGCTTGAGATAAAAGAGAATCTATATACCCTTACAAAGCACGTCTTCAAAATTTGGCGAGGTGGCTTCGAATCGTACGATAGCTTATACTGTGCAGAAGAACTTAAGGGGGCTTGTAAGAAGAGACAAAAGGGTAGTGCCACAAGGTAGTGCATACGGGTGAAGTCAACTTCTCCAAACCCGCAGCATAAAATCCCATATATCGGTCTGACTGCGGTGCTTGAAGATTCAGGATTAGGAGGTGGATTATTTGATAGGACTGGCAAATAGGCGAAGTGGGTATTGTCTATTCCCGCTTAGGATTGGGCAAGGTGATAGTGGTAGCAGTGGTAGCGCAAGCTGGGGGAGTTTGAGACAGCGACTATTATGGTTATCTAAGGATTCTGCGGAGAACTCGAGGCGCATTCGGTCTTTTTAATCATTAGCGGCTGGCGTGTAGCTTCCTGACTGACCGGCGGGCTGCGCGGTGATGTATGAGCTGGACAAGGTAGTTGGGTGTAGCCCTATGTGCCCAGCCAAAGAATTCAACAGATGAGTATCGACACGGGATAGGCAGCACAGGCTGTGCCTGACATCAGCGCTGGCATCGAGGTGGAGTGTGTCAAGCGAGCAGATCAAGTAAAGATTCTGCCAAATTAGACACAAGGCACCTGGGCAACTTAGCTCCATCTTTCCTTCATAACAATCAAGGCAAGAAGCCGTTCGAGTTGCAGGGCTTATGCTTCAAATTGTTTTAGTTCCTCCAGCCTCAATACCAAACAAGTCCTGGGGCGTGGCCACAGACCCCAAATCTGCTCGGTACTGTAATTAGTATTCCTGAAATTAGAACTGCCAGCCTCCTCCTAAAACGAGTAACGGTATCACCTAAGCTACAGCCCGAAATTTACCTAGGTAGGCTCTGCATTGCTAGCTAGGAAGATAGCTCCGCTCTCCTCTGCCGGGATTTGCCTCAAATGGCCCCGAGAATATTCTTAGAAGCAGCAAAAGACAGGAAGAAGGTAAAATAGGAGCACCGAGACTTTGGGAACTCGTTGAAGAGGAACTCCGTTCCCATATGCATCACTGCTGCACGTACCCTGCCGTAGGTGGCTCTACGAGACGCCACAAACACCTTCTGGTAATTGGTAAGGGACTTGCTTGGCCGAGTTGTGGTCTAGTCTTCGGGAAACTGCATGACAAGCCTACAACCGTTGGGTCGGCTCTGAAGCCAGTCTTCGCCACTTTCAGTTAGAGGGGCTTGATGATCAAGTATCGCTGCCGAGATCCTTAATCATCTCAATATAATAAAGAATAATAGAATACGTCCCGTGTTTGGGGTGCCTAAGTTGTTTCCTTACTTGGTTAGGTAGAAGGGAGATTATGATTCTTTCTTAGCATAGGTAGGTACTAAGAAAGCTATCAACTCTAAATTCAAGGCCGATATCGAGTCATCAGTGAGTGAGTGAGTAATTTTGAAACAACGTTCTTTGCAACTCCTAGCTCTCTGGTTTGAGGTATTCCTTTCTCTCCTGGTAAATGGTCTTCATTAGGACTTGAGGGTCTACACGAGTGACTTGCCACATGCTATAAATCCCATGATAGATACGTAGTCTATCTCTCGGCCCTATACTATCGGCATATAACCTTTCCCACGAGTTTGGATGCAACGATGACCTTAACAAACCCTCGGCAGCATCCGATCAAGAGCGGCAGGGCCTGTCTACATGCTTCTGGTAGGTTGGGCTGACACACCTGCCGGGTTGGATGTGCAAGGTACGTACGTAGCAGCAGATCATCTGAAGCCACGATCTTGAATGTTTCAGGCAATGGAAGACCAAAGATTAACCTACCTAACTAGGTAGGCAATAAAGAAACGACACGTGAAGAATAAAGTTTCCGTCGACTAGATCGACCGAACGTCTACAACCAAATGATAGGCCGGAGTCAAAAACCTGGGCTTGGATTTCTAACGCTCGGCCGAAACTAGGGAAGTCCATAAACTTCGCTCTCCAGCTTTTCCAGCTTTGTGATTGATTGCCTTTCCAGACCGGAGACCGAACAACCGAATACTACAGCTATGACCTGATTTAAAGCTTGAGTTAAGGGTCTACCGGGATAACAAAAGGAAAGACGTATGTACCGTCAATATAACTTGGTCGGTGATTGTCTTCACGCCGTAAATCGATCGACCAATGATTTTCTCCTATTACCCGAGGTTTCTTAGCTGGGACCGGGAACGAAAATTGTTGGCCACGCCCAAATGCCCATATGATGAAGCTAAGGATATCCCCTAACCAGCTACTAGAGACGAGAACAAGTAGGATTATCTTCATCATGTCTCTCCTCATGCAGAACTATTAATATAGCTACATAGTTTGTGGATGGCGGGCCTTATGCGCCTCCTTTGCCTTTCCAATCCATAATTGTCTATGCGAGTTCCCGTTGATTTGATAGACTGCATGTATTCTACCAAGATAACCTTCCCCACATACCAGGCTTGGGTGTGTAACACTACGAACTGTTTTAGACCGCGGCCTGCTTTGGTCGTGACTAGACCGGCCATAATTACAAGGTTTTGAATGTCACTTTCCTAATACTGAAGCCTTTTCGTTGAAAGTAAAGACAAATTTATCATACTGCGTTGGGTGATAAAGCACTGAAATTGCTTTAGGATACGTACAGTATCTTAGGAGAACGATGTTCATGATTTCGATCTAAACGAACTCACCAGAGGCATCGAATGGTAAGGCTTACTAGGGGGTTGATTGAGATACTAAGCTTATGTAAATCTTAATGTTGATGCGTTTTAGGCTCCGTGCGTTGAGAACATCGGCATGCCGAAGTCAGCCTGATCGATTGGGTCGTAATACTTAATTTCAGACACCATTCAAATGTCCTCATTGTTGTCCGGATCGGGCCGCGAGCTCTAGTATACTTCTGCTCGTCAATCTAGAATATCGCTGCAGCAATCTTTCTCTGTCATGTCAATGCACATCATGATCTACAAGACGCAGCAGTGGCACGTTTGGCACACTTAAACATAGCAGTAGCGAGAAGCCATGCTTTGCCCAAAACATCTTATTTTGAACCAAATAGGTGCACAATGGTTGCGCAAGCCGAACAAGTAGTGCCCACGCGGCGATTCTAGATCTTGTACGAGGTGAGCACTCACTGACAGTTTAAGGCGTTCAAGTAAGACCCTAAGCTACCATCATATTCTATCAGTATGTATGTATGTACTCTTCTTCTTGTAAGAAAACGGAACTTAGTCCCGGTATGTTGTGTCATAAGCACTTAGTAGATCATGAAGCCCTTCACTAGCTGGATTAGGTACTTACTTCTACTCAGGTGGCTTCTTGCAGTCACTTCAGATTGGTAGTAAGCAGGATTCGGGAACCTTTAGAATAGCATATCCCACGTCAAGGACGACCTACCTACTACGCTGTAAAATCATTTTTTACCATGCATTTTAAGTCAGCCGGTGGCGGCGGCATTTGATACACCCATTGTATGCATGTCACCAAGCAGCAGGGGTAACACATGGTAACGGGCAAGGTAACAGGAACATGGTTAGCTAACCTAAGAGATTTTCTGGGGTAAAAGGACTATCTTGAAACAGAGTGCTTAAGAAAATCTTGGAAAAGATACATATAAGACATTCTAGACGCAAGAATAGTCATTGTTCGGGCAAGGTCCAAGTTAGGTAACTTTGTGGTCCACGGTCCGGGGATGCTTATGTACTAGGTATGTATGTAGATGTAGGTAAATACCTATCAAGCAAACCGCCAGCTTGGCCTCCAAACTTACTGCTTATTCAGGAAATCCCGAAAACCTGTGAGCAGATAAAAAGAAGAAAAAGCAAACATAAGGCACTAACGCCGGGAGGATCACTTGAATTGAATCATGATGTATGTAAGTATAGTTGATTGAGGGCCGACACGTGTTCTATGATCTGAGAGAAGAGAAAGGGGTAAGAGAAAAAAGAGATATTTACCTAAGGATTTAGGTAAGAGGTAAATGGTTCTTTGCCTAGTAGCTGTTCCAAATTCGCACTGTTAGTTTGCTTCCAACGACCGGTGTAAAAGGGTACATGAAAATCTGACAGGGCAAGTGAGATTTCATGTAGCGATATACCGATCCCGCCAATCAGAAGCTTAAGGGCCAAAGATGACCCCGGTCGTACAAGGGGTCTCCCGTGAGGTAGGGGTGTGGATGATGGGTACCCACTACTTAAAAGGGTGCATGACATGTATATAGTATGTCCTTTTTAGGAAATACTGTCGCATACTTACAACCATTATGTATATATGTATATATGGAGGTAACCGTATATTAAATACGTATAGAGGCACGGTACCGTTTAATGCTATTGAAAATATTGGAATAATAAATCAATTTTTTGCTTGAAAAAGAGGAAATATTGTCATTTATAGGTACATGATGTAAAATTGAAACTAAATGTATAGAATAAAGAAAACTCATTCCTAGAAGTACTCGTACTAGCAAATAATTTATATGATACTCAATCAATTCTTTCATTTAAAAGTACCTATAAATTTGACCATTCATCATCAGTTATGCGAATAGCCTCGCGATATGATCTTGCCGTAAACAAATGGATGACTTCGTTTTTTTTTAATATTAACGAGTTACAATAGTAGTCTCATCTATCCCAGTTTCTTAATTGTGCCACGGAGAGTACTAGGTAGGTAGGTATCAATTACCTCTTTAAAACCTTGGATATCGCAAAGTAAATTCCTTGCTGACTACTACTCACATACAGCTCACACACCTCGCAGCTATAGATGTAGCTAGGAGTCACCCAATTTCCGATCTAGGAGCATTTAGACGGATACTGGCCAGCGTACCTATGTATAAATCCATGGGTCTTAGGGCTACGGACACCGTGCGAACGAAACCTTCCATCGAGGTTGGGGGGTGAATTTTCACTACTATGGTTAGGACCATTGTTTTTTTTGGTTTTGGGGTCATGACCGGCAGGCTTGTCTAAGCTATTTTCTAGATTGGTCTATCGCTATCCAGGAATTACTTGACCACGT